CCACAAGCCGAATGGCTAGGTCTGTTGACCTGTATTCCCGGTTACCCATCTGCTCGTCGGGTAATAGGCCATAGGCTTCGACTGCCTCTGTGATTCTTTTGGTAACCACTATTTCCACTACCTTGCCAATGGTAGGAAGGAGCGAAATAGGCCTATAGCCTCCGGGGGTAAGATAGTCAGCTGGGGTTTTACCAGGCTTTGGGAGCACTATAGCTATAGCCTCCTTTAGCCTGGCCGGCACCCATTGTAGTTCGAGGCATCTCTGAGTGAGTAGTGCGAGGATCCTGTACAACGGCCTACCACAGGCCTTCAATAGGCCTATAGGGAGGTAGTCGTTACCTGGGGCCTTCCAGGGAGCGGCCCGGGCAATGGCATCTTGTATGTCCCTAGCACTAACCACCTGGCTTATTGGGATCTTCGGTTCCCACGGCTGGGAAAAGGTGGGATCTTGGATGTTAGAGAGGTCGGCTGGCGGGCTTGGAAAGAAACGGTTGGCTAGGGCCTGGGCCTTCTGGGTATGGGTGGTATAGCCGTTGATGGCCGGGAGCCTAGGGGGGCTAGTAGGCTGGAAGCTCTTGCAACGAGCCCACCGTTCTAGGCTCCAAAGGAGTGATTCGTTATGACTGGCTTCCTGTAGGGTAGACCTCCAGGTCTTTGTTCTAGCCTGTCGTATAGCCCTTGAAAGGTCCCGGAGTCTCTGGTTTAGCTGGGCCTTGTTATAGGCCGTAGGTGCGGCTTTAGCCGTACGTTCGGCCTCCCGGGCCCCCTGGACCTTTTGTTGCACCTCGTTCGTCCACCAGGGGGCTTGAAATCCATTGTTAGGCTTCCTTCGGGGGGTGCTAGCGTTGGCAATCCTTGTAAGTTCTTCGACAAGCCAGTCGAATGCCTTATCTAGGCCTTCTACTGACTGGGTACGGCTCTGTAGGCCCTGCGGGCCAGGGTTATCTAGCCTGCAGAGGCCTGGTAAGAGGGCTGCTTCGGCCTTTACCCTCTTTTTATCCATCTTTTTCCAGGACCAACCAGGGGGGGGTGGGGCTGTAGGGGAGTGTTCGAGGTGGACCTCCACTACTTGGGGGTAGTGGTCGGAATCTCCTCTTTCCTTAATACCGTAGTAGGAGCAGGCAAGGTCTATAGAGGCCCAGATTAGGTCGATAGTCGATGGGCGCCCCCGTTGCCTACCCTGTGGTTCCCTAGTTATAGTGCCCTTAGGGGTTACTAGCCTAAGGTCCCAAGAGGTGGCTAACTGGAGCAGGTTGTTGGCTTTGTTATCGTAGCGTTCGTAGTAGTCCCAGGCTGGGTGTTGAAGGTTGAAGTCCCCTGTAAGTATTATTTGGCTAGAGGGTCGGGGGTATTGTTGCAAAAGAGTGGCCGGTATTGTCTTGATTGCCGGGGGGTTATAGACCGACCAGACTTCGACCCCCTGGCTACCTTCATAGCCTGCGAACCGAACCCAGCACCAATGTTCAGCTACCCCATAGTCCCATTGGCTAAGGTCAATTGTCTTCTTAACCAGTATAGCCGCCCGACCACTAGGTTGATGGACTAGGTGGTACTGGCTACGTCGAGGGCAGTAGGTAGACTTAGTTTGGTGGTTGATCCACGGGTCCTATATAGCTAGGACGTCGAACTTGGCCTCCTCTACTAAGATTTCTAGTGGTTGCTTGATGCCTCCGGTATTCCATTGTAGTATGGTAACTACCATGTAGTACTAGAGGGTTGGCTGGCTAGGTGGTCGGCTGGCTGGCTGGCTAGGTGGTTGGTTGGCTGGCTAGTTGGGTCGTTCTGGTTTGTAGCTTGGTTTGTAGCCTGGCTTATAGCCTGGCTAGTAGGCTGGGAGATGGATAGTCGGAGCTGCTTGGGATCTTGTTGGGCCTTTGTTGGCCTGCCCCGTGGTCGTTTTCTAGAAGGGCCTATATCTTGGTCGTCGTGGCTTAGAGAGAGGGAGCCAAAGATAGGGGTTGTAGTTGCGGTTGTAGGGTGGGTTGTTCGAGTAAAGTCGAGGTCGAAGGTTAGTTGTTGTAGCTTGGAAGTAGTTGATTCGAAGGTTCTGGGCCTGTGTTGGTAGGCCTCCTTAGCTATAGCCCGTACTCGGAGCCGTTCTGGGCACTGCTTGTCCCTGGCCGAGTGGCGACCCCCGCAGGCTGGGCATCTAAACTGGCCTGTAGTATAGGTAGGGCATTGCTCTTCGCCTTCCTTACCACCATGCCCATGGGTTCCAGCGCCGCAACGGGGGCAAAGGGGGTCCTTTCTGCAGTAGCGGGCTATATGGCCCCACTTCCAGCACTTAAAGCACTGCGTTGGCCGTAGCGGAGCCCAGTATGGCTCGCAGCTAAAGAGCTGAGCCCGGTATAGGACCCCTAGGTCACAGGCCTTTTTAGCCTCCTCCTGGCTAGTAAAGGCTATAACTACAGGGACCCTAGTGAAGTCTGGGTTATGGGGGTACTGGAAGATGATCTTTTCCACTGCCTGTAGCCTGGCCTCTTCTTGAAAACTAGCCTCTGTAGCCCCCTGGAGGTCAGCCTTCCGTAGACCCTTGACTACCACTCCATAGGTCCGTCGGGCTTCCTTTGCCTGGCTTCCGAAGGCCCGTTGAATCCAGTCGTGGTTGGTAGAGTGCCATTGCTTGGTATCTGGGTTGTTGAAGGTAACTACTGTATCTCCGCTAGGTAGTTTCCGGGCTGCAATAGCCCCTTGTCGGCTAGAGGCCCCATTAACGGCTTGAATGATTTCTAGAGGGGTCCTCTTGGCTAGGTCAGGTGATAGATGGCCCCCGCGAACAAGGACCTCGCAGTTCTGCTTGGCTGGGATAACCTTGGCTGGCTGGGCTATAGTGGCTTGTGGGGGTTCCCGAACTATGTCAGCCCAGGTTCGAGTAGCCTGGGCCTCCCCTGGTTTAGTTTCCCTTAGTGCCGCTCGCACCTCTTCGGCTACTACCTTCCGTAGGGTAGGTAGGTTCAACGCTGTAGCCGTAGCCTTAGCCTGGGGGGGCGGTGTGATGGCTTGCTGGTAGGCTTGTTGGTAAGCTCGTTGAATCTCCATTGCAAGTGCCCGGGCCTTGCCCCTATCCTCGGGGACCAGGGCAAGTAGGTCGTTGACAAGCCTAGTAATGTGCTCATATGTATGTAGATGGCTAGTAGACTTGGTTGTTCTGGCCGGCTTGGTTATAGTAGGTAGGGTCTTCTGGCTTGCATGTTGGCTTGCATGTAGCCCTAGGGGGTCAGGGGAGGTTTCCCCCATCTCAATGTCAGGTGCCGGATCCGGAACGTCGTTCATTTTCAGCTCTTCCTGGTAGGATGGGGCCTGTGGGGGCCTATAGGGTGGGTAGCGTAGAGGAGTGTGGGGGATCGTTGATAGGGTGGGCCGTTCGGGAGTAACCGGGTCCAGTAGGGTAGGTGGTCCGGGAATAACCGGTTGGTCTGTGCGTAGGGAAAAATCTTGCCTGACGGTCGGGTGCCCGCAACACAACAGCTACTTCAACGGCCTGTTGCGGCCGCGCAAGGACGGCCGCGCAAGTGCAACCAATACCGTTAGATAGAGCTCGTCGAGGCGGTTAGAATGGTATATGTTTCGAAGAGTTTGCCGCCCTTGCGGGCAAGCGGCGATCAAGTGGAAAAGAAAGAAGTTTTCAAGGCTCTAATTATAGCCGCGCAATGGCTGCGGTACCCCGGAAGACCTTAGCTGTTAATTTCAAGTATAGTGAAGCTACTATATCCAAGACCATTCAACGGTTCCACAACGTAACACCGTCGAACCTAGCTGTGACGAAACCATAGGCAGTCCTGCCTCTGAAAGGGTTCGCTGGTCGAAGGTATCTGCTGGTCGGACCGTAGGTCTCAGTGAAGCCAAAACGTTCACAATAATGCTAGTCGCAATGTCTGCACAATAAGTAGAGGCTATTGCTTGTATTGCTCACTGGAGAACTCCCAGAGTCCTCTGGAACGAGTGACTATATACTGGCTATTTTTAGGTGCTCTCATGTGCTCTATAGAGCTCCCTAGAGCTTGGTGCTCTGTTGACTCCATCGAGAGCTTCCATTCCCTCGCGTTGATTGGCTTAGCTCCCGAAGCTCTCGTCTGCTCTCTAGAGCACCTTAGAGCTCCTTCTTATTAGTCCTAAATGATTGGTTCGGGTGTGCCCTGCGCCACCCGTCGGGTTATCCCACCTGCAGCTGTCCTGTTAGCTTAATTCGTGACAAAATCCCTGTTAATTCCTATCTTCTATATCAATACCGTAAATTTATACTATACTAATTAGTCTAGAAATCTGAAATTGAAAAAGGTGACTTTTTTATTTTGTATGAGGCTGAGTAAATGGTTATACGAAAATGTTCGCAACGTCCATAGACTTTAGTATACTTAGTGCGCATTTGGGTGTGGGACCGGTAGTACATCGCCATTAGCCACCCGGCCACACTAGCCACTCGGGCCCACTACAACCGCAAACGCTCACGAAAGTCTGTGCCTTAGAGACTACCATAAGGTACAAGCATAAGAAGAAACCGCCAAACATTGAACACCTCTTGCTAGGGCAATGATCCCTATCAACTACTACCAGTAACTCGAATTCACCAACTAGCCTAATACATCAGACCAAAACAACACTCCATGGAAGCCGACGAATTTCACACAACACAGCAACCCTTGTTACTGCCATCCGAAATTCGGTTTTCAACGGGAAACCGGTATATCCAAGCTGCCCAGCAAATATTTCTCTACATGCTATCTCCTTCTAAACTATCCTTATTGAACTCACTATGAAACATAACTGAAGCTCCGCGGTTCATTTGACAAGTGGTATCCCAGGCCAAATACATGTACAAGATTTTGAAAGAAAAGAGAAAAAGACGCACCAGACCGCCTGCAAACAAGCAGCTTTCTGTAAAAATATCAGCGTACAAACCCCGTTCTTATCATCAGGCAACCAAACAAGATGATATGCTGCGAGATGATACTCGGAACATCGCAGCATCCCCCGGCCTCTTTGCATCGCTCCAGCCGTCTTCAACCAGTTGGCGTTATAGTCGCCGCGGGCTGCAACCCCCCGGTCGCCCCCAGCTTTTCTTCATGCCCCTCCTCCTCGGTGACATCCTCGCCATCCTCATAAATCTCCTCGACAACCTCCCCCGGCCCCTTGACAATGGGACTGAACACATCCACCTCCTCGACCCCGTCATCTTCCATCCCGCTGAACCCGGTCCCTCCGCCACCCCCTTGTGCCTCCGAGCCTTCATCCTCCTCCGCATCTTCGTCCACTTCCTGAATCGCCATCTCGCCGCTCCGCCTGCCCAAGCCACTGGCGCTCGCACTCCGCGAGTGGCTCGCCGACCCGGACCCCGAGCCGCTCCTGCTATCTCGACCGTGATGATTTCCCGCCAGGCTGAGCATAGGCCCCTTAAAGATATTCCTCTTCCGTTTCGCAAACATGACCCCGCCGCCGCTAAAAGGGTTGGGACTTCCCGGTGTGGGACCCGATGAGCTGGCGCCTGCAGCTGCACGGGAACTGGGTAGGCCTTCGTTGAAGATACTTAGAGGCGGGCCGGCACGGTCACGGACCAGGCGGATGTTGCTAGGAAAGCCGGGGAAGCCGCCGGCGGCCGTGGGCGTGGCGGGGAGGACTTTGACCGAGTGGTGCGGACTACGGGTTTGCATAGGGGTCTTGGAGACGGATGTCGAGACGGAGTTTGTGGAGGAAGTCGAGCTGGCTTTGCTGTGGCTGTGATGATGGGTATGGTGGAGGGAGCGGACCGAGGAGACAGACGATGAGGTAGACTTGCGTCCTCGCAGCCCGGTCGGGCCGGATGATCGCCGGACCGTTGAACGGGGAGTTAAGGGGGAGGGGGAGAGGGAGTGGCGCTTGTTGTAAGAGCCCGAAGTGTGCAGACGGGGCGCATGGCCGGGAATGGGCGGTGTGGTCAACCCGGGAGAGACGGGTGGGTGAGAAGAAGCCTCCGCATTTGATGGTCGTCTTGCCGCGTAACCGTTAGCTACGACCCCTTTCGGCAGACTAACGGTCTGCGGGGCCGATACCGAGCCGCTCGCTGGGTACTTGCTCGTTTGTGGTCGCGGGCTGTTTTCCTTCGATTTCCCATCCTTTCCGCTTCCCGGTTTGGCCAAAAGGTTAGGGGTCGACTGGCTACCGCGTTTGTTCGAATGCTTGTGCCGCCTGGTGTTCTCAAACAGCCAGTGCGTCCAGTTTTTCCAGGTCGCGATAATTGCGTGCGACGGCCGCTTCTTGACTTTCTTTAGGTCCTCAGCTTGGGAGGAGTTACCCGTTTCCAAGGCATCGCTTGTCGTGACCAAGTGGAGTGTTGAGCCTCGCGACCGGGCGCTCCGCAGAATCCCCTCCTTCGGTGGAGGTATCGGCTTGCGGTTTCTCGAGGTGCTTACAGATCTGATGGAGTCCTTGTCGATAGGCGGAGGTGGCACTTCGCTATCCGGGCTCAAATTCCCATTCGCAAGTTTAGAGAAGTCAGAGAGATCGGGCATATCCGGGATCTCCAACCCGGGATAATGGCCACTTCTCCTTTGGCTCCTGCCGCGTGTCCTCGGCGGTGGTGGTTCAGACAGTTTAACGAAGTTTCCTTCCTCCACAGTTGCCAAGGCGTTGAGGCGGCTAGAGGCCTGCGAGAACCGGCGCGATGTCCTGTTCTCCGCCTCCCTCTCCTTGCGCTTCCGTTCTCTCCTCCTTTGCTTCCGCTCCTCTTTTTCGATCAAGAGAGCCCACCAGCCCGCGAGAGCGTCGCATCTCTGGGCAACTACGCTCTCGATAACCGAGTCGATGTCTACCCCAGCGCTTCGCATTCGGTGCAGCGTCTCCTTCTCTAGGTGCGTCGTGAAGGGCTCTGGGCGCACAACTTTGAGGATTTCCTGTTGCTGTGGTGCGTGCTCGGCGAGGAACGGGTGGGCTAAAATCTCGGGCAGCGTCGGTCGGAGGAGAGGGCGCTTCGAAAGCAAGGCCTTCAAGAGGGACAGGGCGTCGGCGGGTATATGGTCGGGGTAATTTGGCTCCTGGGTCAGAATCTTGTTCCTTGTGACGTTGTCGTCATCGTCATCAAAGGGTAACTCTCCGCAAAGCAGCGCATAGAGGATAACGCCTAAACTCCATACGTCCACCTTCTCGCCGGCATATTTCTCGCCCTTGAGCATCTCTGGCGCCGAGTAACATATTGTCCCACAGAATGTTTGCAGATAGTTGGCCTTGCCTTCGTATTCTCGTGTGAACCCGAAGTCGCAGAGCTTCACATTCTCGTGCTTGTCGAGGAGGATGTTCTCGAGTTTGAGATCGCGGTGGACGCAGGATTGCTGGTGGACGTAGCAAACGGCGCCGACCAGCTGCGTGAAAGTTTTCTGGACCTTTTCGACGGGAAGCTTGCCATGCTTGAGAAGGTAGTTGTACAATTCGTCACCTGTCCCGGTTAGAACCTGAGCTGGCTGTCGATGCTAAGCCTTGTCGTACCTGGGCAGTATTCCAAAACCAGCCAAACCAATGTCTCGGTCACGATGACCTCGTAGAGACGCGCTATGTGCGGGTGAACGAACTGTCGGTGGTGGTGGATCTCTCGGGCAAGGTTTGAGTCGCCCTTGTTGGCCGATTTAAGAACGACCTGCAGGCTGAGATTAGCTACGGCATGAGGCAGCAACACGTGGTGTGGCGGGCGCACCTTGGAACCATTCGTGAGTTTGTGTGTCGCGAGGTAGACCTTGCCAAACGAGCCCTTGCCAATCAGCCTTCCAAGAGTGTAGTTTCCGACGGACTTGAGATCCTTGTTCGAGAATTCGCTGCAAAACCAATGGTCAGCGCGATGCTAAGGGCTGGGGCATACGAGACCGGCCAGGTGCCTACTCAAGAAGCTCTTGGTATGATTGCGCAAGCTAGGGGGCGCGGTCTGGTTAGAGATGGTCGCATCAAGCACCCAAGTACCGGACAGACACACCTTCGCCTTCCGCCCAAGAGCCTCGGCCTTCGCCTTTGTCGACTGCATCCCTCCACCGCGGGACGCAGCCCGGCCGTCATCCGCAACCCGAGGCGTCTCGCGATTGCAGCAATCGGAGGCAGATTCTTCCTCTTGGATCGCCCGCCTGTTGATTGGGAGTCAATTGACAAGAGAGCTCAGCCACGACATGAGGAATTCCGGTGGCCGGTCTCGCGACACCCACTGATATCGAGTTCTCGGGAAAATCACAGGCCGTATTCGAACTGCTGACGGGCTCTACGAAGGACGAGATCGGCAACGTGGGGCTCGGTTGAAGCTCATTCAAGGGTTCTTGGCATCCCAATGTCCGTTCCTTGCACGGCCTGGCAGCCTAGGCAAACTAATATAAAGAGGCCACGAGTTGCGCGAGAGATGGCAATAGTGTAGTAGTGAGATTTCCAGGTGTTGTTGAAGCTGGGACGCGATTGTGGAACGGGGGCCTCGGGCAGGAGCTCCAGAAATTATTAGCCTCGTTCCGCGCATCCACTTGGAATGCAGTGGAGTGGAGCTTACGTCCACAGTGGGGTCTCGCCGTGATCCTCGATGGGAGTTCAAGTTCTCTGAGGAGCACTTGTGATAAGACGTCAGGACGTGCATGTAGACCCGGTCAGCTAAAGGGTGAGCTGTATCACTAGACCTGTTGACAATGGCATCCTTTTTCTGTGCCGGTATGAAGAATATTGAAGATCACTTTCTCTCTTTTCTTATCGATCTTCGAGAACGGGTACGAAACCTTCTTCCCGAAGGGGCAGCCGCCAAGACTGCATCAATCCTACATAAGCGGGTCCAGATCGATGGCTTGGAGTCGCATTCGGTGGTCCGGGACATCCTTGTAATTAAAGATGGAACCATATCTCGGCCCTCCACGTGCTGAGAGGATATCGTGGTTTCGGTGGCGATTCTTCATGTACGGAGCATACAATTCTGCCTTACTATCCCGTACACTATAAGAGCGGTGCTTCAGCGTAACAGCGACGGGAGTCTGCGCAGGTGATACTACGGTGCTCTATACCAGGCAAATTACCAAGACAATCGTGGATTGAGTGGACCTCTAAGTGATTCCTTACAATTCAAACCATCCTGGCATTACGATTTAGTTATAAGCCAACCCAAATGTCCAACTCGTTACAGAACATACCCAGAGAACTCCAAAGACTCCTGCCTCGGACCCCATTTACATACACCGACCCAGACACCGGACTCTCATCAGAATCATTACCGATTTCGTGATTTCGATACCTGGTCCCTTCAACTACCCTCCTGCTTTCCCTTCCCCTTCCCCTTCCCCTTCCCTCCCTTAAGGTTCAGATTCTCCTTCCCCAACCCAACTAACTCCCTCCATCTGCCTGGTTCACTGATCACATCGAAGACCTTCTCCTTCTTACTCGTCACCACCGGGGCGCCCACATCCTCCTCGTCCTCATCATGAGTATGCTCCAGGTCCCCGAGCCTGGACTCATCCGATGAACTAAACGAACTGGCACTCGGGCTCCGGTTAAGCACCATCCTGACCGCGCCTAAGCCCTCTCGCTTCTTTGCCTCGCGCTGGGTGCGCTTCATCTCGGCTAGGTGCTCGTCGGCGCAGTGCATGGTCACAACGTCCAGGCCCGGGAAGTTGCGGGAGAGGAAGGCTTGCAGGTCCGGGAGGATGGATTCGTCGGGCCGGTAGGTGCCGCTGTCGTTGTCGATGACCAACTGGTAGAGACGCGGGTTTCGGGGCGGGGAGGAAGAGGGTGGTCCCCCGGGAGGATGGTGCGGGGGGTGGGTTAGAGGTTGGTCATCGTGGTCGTGGTCGTGGTGGTGACGGTCGTCATTATCTGCGTTGATACGCTTTTTGTTCTCACGGGTAGAATGGCCATGACTCCCTGAGGAGGAAGATTCTTCGGATGTGTGGGAGCGATGGGAATGGTGATTGTGGTCATGGACGGGGCGAGCGAGCCTGCGGATGAAGAACTCGCCTGCGCAGGCGACATACGTGGCTACGTCCGAGTGCATGGTGTGCTTGCTCAGCAGGTCGATGCCGAATTCCTTGCCTGTCTCGGTGAAGCGCATCATGCCGTCGAGGGTAATGACATAAGTAAACACGCGGCCGCCTTCGTCGAAGTGGGCCATGCGGAGAAACTGTAACGATGCTTCCTCGCTACACGGCGCGAAGGTGCCGTACTCGGTACTCGAGTCGTAGTTGTAGATGCGGTTGTGCTGCTTGTGGAGGACCTTGTGGAGGATTCGGCCCCGGATGCCGCGCGACGAGAACATGCGGCCGATCATGGGACGGAATTCCACGTAACGGTGGTAGAGTTTGGGCGGGACAGGACCAGAGAGCTGGATCTCGTTTGCCTGGAAACTGTGTGTGGCCGTCAATAATTCCCGTGTCCGACCCGGGGAAGGGGGGGGGGCTATACTTACTCGTATTTCTTCGTCTGAGGGTCATCCTGCTTATCTGATGGAGAGCCTGCTTCATTCCCCTGCTCGTCCTTGGTCACCTTGACGCCTGTCAACCGCCCAATCATAGGACTGTAATGCTTCACGAAAGTCGTGGGTCCGACTGTATACATCTGCGCGTGCGGCGGATCCGACTGCCCCAGCACCTTGATGCTGATGTGCAGTCGTGGAGTGATGGAACCATCTCCGCAGAGCAAAGCAGTCGCGCCCCTGATGAAGTAGGCCCGTTTGCTGCCAGAGCGCTTCTTAACCAGGAATACACGGTCCAGGCCACCCCAGTTCTCATCCAAGAACGGGACTCGGATGGTGACATTGCCGAGGCGGTCATCGTGGTCTGGCCAGTCCTCGTCGTACAGCCGACACTTCAGCGAGAACCCTGACGAGGGCACATTGGCCACTACCCACTCCTCTTCCCACGCGGGCTCAGTCGTCCTCCTAATTGTCCGGGTTCGGCGGGTGAGCAATGGGTCTTCATTATGTCTCCTCGGCACGTCGGCAATCAGCGTAGCGTGGAGATAGGGGTCTGAGGACTTGAGATGGAGATCGCCAATGGGCAGGTTGGTAGCCTGGTGAAACATGAACTTGAGTGTGTACCCTGGAGGAGCGTCTGGGAGCGGAGTTGGGTCAAAGCCCCCTTCGGGTTTTGCCTTTTGCATGAAGTGCTCCTTCTTCTCGGCGAACTTCCCCTTCTGGTCCATAAGGATCTCATGAAGATCGCTGGGTCTGGTCGGGCGGTGCTTGCCGCCGTGATGGTGAGGCGACTTCGGCGCTTGCCTGCTGCCTTGAATTTTCCCGTCTTCTGGTGGCGCACTGGCGGGACGGTCTGGTAGCTGGGAATGGGCGAGACCTTCTGCTGACTGAGATGTGATGCTGCACCGAAGAGGCGGCTCAGCGGAGATTGGGTCTTGGGCCGACATGTTTAGTCGGCTTCGACGACGACTTTAGCAAAATAGTGAGAGCCAATGCCCCCTTACAGAGGCTCGTAAGATAATGGATTGGGAACTTCAACTCTTTCGCATGTACTGGGGAGAACAATAGCACTACAGGGTCCGGGATTTGGGATGAGTCCCGAAGGAGCGACCAACAATATGTGAGCGGCTTGATGCCAAGAAATTCTTGGCAGAGCAGTTGGGCTCGGGATTATCGAGCAACGCGGAGATCGTCGGCCATGGGGCGCATATCGCTGGGTTGGGTTTGTGTGTGGGCACGTGGTGGGTTAGATTTGTACTGTAGCTGCGACGAACGCCGGCGATGAAGCGGTGGCGCCTGAGCGGATCAGCAACCGTTTGAACGCGGAAGATCACACAGGGGCTCGAGAGAGGATCTAATAGAGGAGTGTGTGGTAGGTATCTCCCGTGGTGGTTACAATCAACTTGAGGTATAACATTTGGCACCCCGACTTCGAGGATGAATCGGAGCGACGCCCGCGTACAGCAAACGGCTGTCCTAGCCCGGCGATGCCGGGTCCAGGCTGAGGGACACCAGCTCACATTTCCCACCAAGAGTGACGTCATATCTGCTTTCGGATCGCGGGGCGAGGGAATCGGGCCTTGGCACTTGGCAGTGTCCCCACCTTCCACTTCAGGAACCTCCCACCCAACCAAGAAACGGATGATTGGCGACAGGAACAGGAATGAAGAGATCATCGATGTTTGGTGTACTGTTTGTTCTTGGCTGTAGGGAGCCTCTGTGCCTTCCTAATTGAAATTCCACATATACTCAAACAACAACCCTCCCAATTCCCATACCACTGGCCTCGCACTCAAGCACCAAGGGCCCTCCCGACGCGCCGCTAGCATCTAGACTAACCGTGACCTTGCCCCTATCTGCAACCACACAAACCGTCTCCCCCAGGTTCCTATAATCCGTCTCACAATGCCCATATGCATTCCCATTACTAGTCGGACTACCGCCGGCATCCTCCCCATCACCACCACCGACCTCCCTGACTTCTACCCCAGGATAGGGCAGATATCCCTCCCGTAGCGGGATTAGCATAACAGGGATCTCGGCCTCCGTTTCCACCGTGGAGCTCATCCCCTCCCATTCACTGTCCGCTGTAACGGCGGGGATAACGAAATGCCCCTTCCGCCTCCCACCAACTAACCAGGTATCCGGCGGCGCGATGATCTCGTAGCCGAACTCGAGATCCTTGTCCCTCACGCTAGCGTCCGCCGCTGCGGTGTCCCAGATGCGCGTCCACTTGAGGTGCAGCGTGGCGGGGAGGAGCTGGTTGACGACCACCGTGTCGCAGCCATCAACGCTGTTCGATAGGTCGGTGAGGGTTCGGACAGGGGTTTGGAGGCGGATGTCGACTGTGTGCACGACCGAGACCGTGGGAATGTCGACAGGGATGATAATCGTGTTGGCGGTTGATGTAGAGTCGGGGTGCGAAAGGGGTAGTGCGGGATTGGCGAGGAGCCAGGTGCGGAGGAACCTCGAGAGGCTGCTGGTTACCCCGTCTTGGCCTGATCCGAGGCCGGCAAATTGCTTCTCGCAGCTGACAGTGGAGAGAAAAGACGTGGAAAGTTCGCCTTGGAGTGTCGCCTTTTCGAGGTCGTATGCCGACAGCCCGTTTCTGACACGGCTGAGCACTTTGGAGACAATGAGCTTGCAAAACTCCTTCAGTGGGGTAGACTCAAGATCCGCGGTGAGAGACCGCTTGAAGAGCGCCTCGATCTCTTCCTGGATGACGCTGTAGTAAAGCTTGAGATAGAGGGTCTTCTTGACCTTGGGTCCCAGCTTAGATCCGGGTTTTCTAGTAATCTTGTAGAGCAAGCTCGCCGGCTGCTTCGGGAATACAAGGACCGGATGGCTCGACGGCTGCCCAAAGCGCGCTTCGAATAGGTCCGAGCCGAGGAGCTCGCTCTTGAGTAGCCGCAGCGGACTGTCACTTGCAGTCGACACGGCGAACCTCGAAAACAGCGCGTCGTGCTTGAAGATATCTTGGACATTGACCTCGAGGGCGAGAGATATTGGGACCGACGACGCCTTGAAGAAAGTAAAGTTCCCCTTGTCGGTAGAGTATGTCACTTCGGCTCTGACCGCCACCTCGAGCAAGTCCTGCTCGACAGTGAAGGGGAACCTGATCCTAATGGAAGTGTTGGCAGGCATGACGCCGAAGATGAAGGAGCCCCCTTGAGACTTTGTCGGCTGCAGCGAACCTATGACTTCAGCCTCGCTCATGACTAGCCTCAAGCCGCCAGTAGCGGACTTGATCTTCACCTCGCAGCTCTTGATTTCGTTCCACCCTGTCGACACCTCGAGATCCAGAGACTTCTTTTTGTCAAGCTGGAGGTCTTGGGCACCCATGAGCTGCACGTCGAGGCAACTTGCCCGCTGGTAGAGATCAATACGCGGATTTCTGAGAACCGCCGACGACTTATCCACCGGTTGATTGATATCCCGCTCGTAGTGCAAAAGCACTTTGTTGCTGCATAGGCGGACTTGATCCACCTCAAATGTTCCCGCCATCATGACAGTGCTCTGAACCCTCACCTTGTTCGGCCCGGGCCGAATGGTAATCGGGCCCTTGCTCTGAAGCCAAATGTCCTTATTTCCTCCGATGGGGGGACTCGAAATCCGCAGGCTAACTGATGTTGCCTCAAACTCGTCCACCAACAGACTGTGAAGGTCTAGGAATAACGAGAAGCTGTCCTGGCCTTCGTCGTAGAACGGCGGCCCGTCGAGGCCTATGTCGCAGAAGAGGCTCGTCAAGGGGATCCTAACGTCTTTCTCTAAGGATGCCGAGACATCCAACATGTCCGTGAGGTACCCGGATATCGCGGAGGTCTCAGGGTACTGTGTAGTCGTGGTGAGTCCCAGTCGAAACCGCGACTTCTGCTGCAGCCGGTCCCTCTCGGCTACAGCCGCCTTGCATAGGAGCTGGCGGAGGGCTTTGTTGACATAGTCGTCGAATCGCTTCAACTCCTTGAGACAACGCGCGTACATGACGAGCATAGACAGCTCCAAGAGGCTCCATCCGCTCTCACCGAAAAAAGGGATGACTCTGTAAAAGTAGAAGGCCGCCTCGCTGTACTCGCCTAGATGGAATTTGAGCACAGCGAGATCAGCCATGTTGGCCTGGACCGAGTGTGTGTGGTTTGCTACCGTGTAGTGACGCAATGCCTTATCAATAAGCGTCTCGTACAAGCGGTAGAAATCGTCCTTGTTGCCAAGGGCTGTCCGGAGAAGCGCATTGGCCACACCAGCGACCGACGTTTGTAGTCGGTCGACAGTCTCTGGCTTCGACGGTGTCTCATTGTCCTCGGCTTCCAAGCTGATTTCGTCCATTTCAGCAATGCCAGTCTCGCCTACGATAGGGACTGATGCCCAGCCATCTGTCCAGCCACGCTTCTTGCCACATTCTTCAAGAATGTTTCTTGACAAAGTGCACAATTCAGCTCTCTGCGCCGCCAGTTCTTCAAGACCAGCCTTGAGATAAGGAGGAGGAGAGGTCATACTGTCTTCAGGACGTCCAGGGCCGGGGAATACACCGGGACTGAGCGGAGGGCGGTGAGCGGACTGGGTGTGAAGCGACGAGCCCCTTGCTGGATGCATCATGGTTTTTGGCTCGGGAATGGAGGCCTTCTGCTCGTGGGCTTCGGGTGTGCCGAGAGTGGACGGCGGGATCGGGAGTGCTTTTGTCGAAGTCTGAGCAAGAATCTGTTGTGCGACGGAGAAGGCAAATGATGCCACCATGTTGTCAATGACCTCTGATAACAATGGATCTAGGGAGATTTGAGGATCTCCCTGTCCTTTGGTAATCGCTGTCATTGCGGATATTACGTCGCTCCTCATGATGGCAGACACGGCAGGGACGAATTCGAGCGTCCTCTTGCAAATCTCGGCGAGATGTAAAAGGTTCTCTGGCTCTTCCGTCATCTTTGGCATTGGGGTTCTAGGGGCGACCCCTCGGGGAACGAGTTCTTGTTGCTCCTTGAGCTTAGCCAGGAGCTCCTCCCTCGTCGACCACGCATTCGCCAGCCGGAGAAGGAGCGCGACTTGGCGAGAAAATATGTAGCACCTAAAGTCAAACAGCGACACTTTGTTTGCCAGGATGAGATCCCGGTACAGCTTCTTGGACGAGCTGATGGGAATGCCGTCGAAGTTGTCGACATGTTTCTTCTCGCCGGATTGAAGATCAACGGCCTCCTCGTCGAACTCGAGATTGCCGCCAGCAATCTCCGCCATCGCCATTTGAGCGATATCCTTGAGCTCATCAGTGCAATCGAGTAGCTCGCCACCGTTTGCCTCGGGCGAGCCCGCAATCGCTTGCGCCTGCATAGTAACATCCAATCCGACACTCAGCTCGTCATACACGACCAGGGCATCTTCGACTAGACCGACGCTCTCGAAGCCGCGGGCCAAGCCTTCCTTGAGAATAAAGAAGGTGCAAAAGTTCCAGCCAGGGAGACTTCGCTGTGCATCTCTTTCCTTGATATCCTCCTCGTATTGGCTGACTCTCCTGTCAAAACTCAACAGAATAAGCTCCTTGAACTTGGCAATCAGGTCTGCCCATGCGTTTTCGGCATCTTGTTCCGTCTCCTGGTAACCGGTGGGCACAGCCGGAACAACGCGCGGGAGCATGTTATACGGCACGTCATTGATACCGATGCGGATCTGTCGCACCCGGTCAACTACCCCTTTGGAGGAGCCGTTGAAGTCCGCGCGCAATTTCTCCAGAAGGGTGCTGGATCCGCCGCGCCATCGTGATGCCGCCGAGGTCTTGGTGTCGGAACTCGAGTCAGGCGCCTTGCCGGAAACACGCGGCTGAGTGGCTGCGACAGAGTTCGGGAGTACGACGTGGATGATAAGCCACTCGAAGGCATCGTGGTTTTCGGCGTTGCTGCCGGACTTCGCCTGGGACCCGGCGGTATTCGCCTTCATCCACTCGCGAATTTCGGCCCTCGTCGTCGACTTGTACGTGTCGTTGTCGTCGCACCTCACGAGCAGCACCTTGAGATACGGCGTCCTGCGCAAGCCGGGGATCTGATGCCTGCGTTCCTTGGCAGCACCTCCGGCTGGTGGACGGAGTGTGGCACCTACACCTGCACCAGCCGACTCTCCCTGCTGCTCAGTAGAGCCTGCCCTACCACCAATTGCCGCTGTCTGAAATCCATCGTCGCTACTTGGCGGGACAGTGGTGTCGCCGGAGGTAGGCGGCTTCGGATTCGGAGACGCTTGTGGGGTGAAAATAGTCGAATAGTCGACGCCCGCAGGAACGAGTTCGATGTGAAGGGTGCTGATGGACCGCAGTGGCCCTGCGTGCGACTGCCAGTGAAGATCGCGGAGGGGGAGCCGTGGAATCAGGCCCGGCGCAAGGAGCTTATAGACATCGTAGGGGTCATGGTACTCGACTGCAAGACGAAGCGTTTAATCGATGAGCACGACAAGACCACAGTGCTGAAGTAAAGCACTTACCTGTCACTTTGGACGACGAGAAGGGCCGTTCCATGCTGGACAGCGCGGGAGGGGCCTATGGCATGATCCTCGTCCAAGCTGTCAAGCTGCTCATCGCACGGGGCAGACGACAGTTGATATCGGGTATCGGCGCTCGATGCATGTGCATCTGTCGTTGGCCGTCACCGCCTGAACCCCTTGCAGCCGTCGCGATTCTAGTACGCTTTGGGAATAGCTCGGGCACCGTCCCAAGACTGCCCCACCATCTATCGGTGACGGGGTTCTGTGCGGCGATTTCGCGATCTCAGGCCGCTGGAAACAAAATTTCAGTTTACCCAGCGCAAACACGGACTTCCTCACGTCTCAAAAGCAGAGTCAGTTCAATTTAAGATTCGAGTGCAAGGTATTACTTCTCTACTTCAAGCTGGGCTTACAGAGCTATCCTTTCCATCTGCGGACAGCCAAGCAAGCCATGGCCACACTCCAGGCCATCAAGTATGAGCGGGGCAGGCTGTTAGTGCTCGATCAGCTCAGGCTGCCCCACGAAAACCACTACGATGAGGTCTCGACGGCCGAGGAGGCCTTTGAGTGCATTCGGTCTATGAGAGTTAGAGGTCGGTGAGGAGCGACGTATCAGGAGCAGATCAGTTAGTTACCTAGGTACTTGAACTCCCGCTGAACTTCTCCAGGGGCCCCAGCGATCGCCATCGTGGCTGCCCTGGCGCATGCAGTTGAGCTGCACAACGGGAGCTGCAGTGAGTGAAATTCCGGGCCGCAGACGGTCGATGGAGACTCGGGCACACTTACTGACAATGCGCAGCCGCAACAACCCCAGAAGAGACGGTCGCCTACATCGAGTCTCGGCTAGATTTCCTGAGGGAGAGCCGGCCAACCGCCGTTGACCTCTCCAATGCCATCTCTCTCCTCAAACTGGCCGCGAGAGCCGCCAAGATCGAGGGGTTGGCGCACCCTGAGGCCAAGGCCGCCATCCTGAACTCGTACATCGAAGCGGCAGAGAAGATCTTGGAGAAAGACATAGAAAACAACAAGTCTATCGGGCGGTACGGCAGCCTCTGGTTGAGCCAGCAGTTCAACGCCAGACGAGACCGTCCAATATCGGTCCTCACCCACTGCAACACCGGCTCGCTCGCCACCTCCGGTCACGGCACCGCGCTCGGCATCATCCGCACCCTGCACTCCGAAGGCTTGCTGAAGCACGCCTACTGCACCGAGACACGCCCTTACAACCAAGGCAGTCGACTGACGTCGTTCGAGCTTGTCTTCGAGGGGATTCCTTCCACCTTAATTACCGACAGCATGGCGGGTGCCCTGTTCGCACTGCACCGCGAGCGCATGAACATTGGCGCTGTCATCGTCGGTGCCGATCGTGTCGTGCGCAATGGCGATACCGCCAACAAGATCGGCACATATGCACTCGCGGTTCTCGCCAGGCATCACGGCGTCAAGTTTGTGGTGGCCGCGCCGACGACCAGTATCGATCTCGAGACGGAGACAGGCGAGGGTATTAAGATCGAGGAGCGCAAGCCCGAGGAGCTGACTCAAATCACTGGCGCCGTCGTCAACGCTGACGGGAGTGTTGACACAAGCCGGACGGCACGGGTGGCCACTGCGGACCAGAGGATCGGCGTCTGGAATCCCGCTTTTGATGTCACGCCGCACGCGCTGATCGATGTGATCGTGACGGAGCGGGGGGCCGTGGTGAAAGGGGCGGACGGGAAGTTTAACTTTAGCCAGGTGTTGCCTGAGAGATGGCGCTGACTGGCCGGGGGTCTGTTAGGGTTAGTTGGACTGGAAGGGTGATTTACAAGATATACATGATGGCATGAATTCCATGTACGGTAGATTTTCTTTGGCGACTTCCCTTAGAGACCGAAGCCAAAATCCTGCGGCATTTCCTGGGCCCCAGCACTTCGAGTTCGCGTCGTCCTGAAGATCTCTGGGCTGAGAGACAGCGTCCAACGGTCTTGGCGGCGTTGCCAGGGTAAGAGTCCAATTAGGGTAGCCCCGCTTACTCCTAGTACGTATGACTTCATTGTGCCGGAAATTGAGTCGACAACTCTATCAACTACACCCCGAGCTTCCAATTGCGCCAGAACGAGACAACACCTCGATGAGCGTCATTGCAAGATGAGAATCACGGTGAGGTCCCTGCTACTCTGCAGTACTCTTTGCGCTCGGGTCTCGGCGCATTGGGCCGCGGATAGCAAGCAGCAGCCCATCGTACACCATCAAGGTCCGCTTGGCGACAACAACGACGACGACGAAAAGACACCCGTGTACAGGACGTCACTGCTCTCACTCCATCGTGCCCTCGTCGATGTCCCCTCAATCAGCGGCTCCGAACGCTCCGTAGCCATCCTGCTCGAAAAGATCCTCACCGATTACAACTACACCGTCGAGCTCCAGCGTCTCTCTTCCACAAAGCCCTCCAGTGACGAGAATGATGAGAGCCACGCGCGATACAACGTCCTGGCCTGGCCGGGCCGCAATTCAGACCGCACTTTCCATAACCGCGTCCTCATAACATCCCACATCGACGTCGTCCCGCCCTACATCCCCTACGCCATCAACGGCACTCCCATCGCCCCGGGCAGTCCCTACGACTTCTCCGACATCACCTCCAACACCTTCATCTCCGGCCGCGGCTCCGTCGACGCCAAAGGCTCCGTAGCTGCGCAAATAACCGCCGCCTCCCTCCTGTGGTCCTCCCCCTCTATCCACGCCTCAGACGTGATGCTCCTCTTCGTGGTAGGCGAAGAGACCTCGGGACAGGGGATGAAATTCTTCTCCTCCTCCCTCTCGAACCATACCTCGCCGCCGGGCGGGCAGCGACCGCAGTTCCGCGCCGTCATCTTCGGCGAACCGACCGAGAACAAGCTCGCGTGCGGCCACAAGGGGATCTTGGGCGGGAGTATTTTTGCGAAGGGCAAGGCCGGGCATTCGGGTTATCCCTGGTTGGGGAAGAGCGCCATTTCTGTGCTTGTGCGCGCGCTGGATAAGCTCTTGAGTGCGGATCTGGGATCGAGCGAGAGGTACGGCAACACGACGGTGAACGTGGGGTTTATTGAGGGTGGCGTGGCGGCGAATGTGATTGCCAAGGAGGCAAAGGCCAGGCTGGCGGTGAGGATTGCGGTGGGAAACCAGACCACTGGCGGGGAGATTGTGGCGGAGGGGATCAGGAAGGTGTTGAGGGAGACGGACGAGGAGGCGCTCGGGCTGGAGCTGGTGGCTGGATATGGGCCGGTGGAGTGTAATTGTGAGGTTGAGGGTGAGTCTAATCTGCGTAAACGTGAGTGACAGAGTGAGGCTGACGACGTGTTTGCTTCAGGCTTCGAGACCATGGTGGCCAACTATGGGACAGACGTCCCGAATCTCCATGGTGACCACGTCAGGTATCTGTATGGTCCCGGCAGTATCCTCGTTGCTCATGGCGATGATGAGGGGCTGCGAGTCCGGGATCTCGAGGATGCGGTCGAGGGTTACAAGAGGTTGATCAAGCATGCCGTGGAGGACTCAGCGTGATTAATTAGATACCCGAATCTGCTTTCCTTTGCAACTTGGATGGGCATGTTCGGTTTGTAAAGATTGAGCTCATCCACCTCCAACCGCACCCAACCACGCCGGTCTTGCTCCTCTCATCGCCCGGCCTAGTTCAACAGCCCGGGCGGCCGAGTCTCTTTCCTCCCCACTCGACCTCCGCAACAATACGGCCCTGGCCTTTTCAATAACCCCGACGGCCCTCGTCGGCACGGCCAGCGCACCGTCCAGCTCATTCAACCCGGGCTCGCCCATCACCGCCAGGGCGGTCAGCCCGAAACACGAGTGGTAGACGTCGGGTGGCCCCCCGGGGTGCTTCCCGAATCCTCCGATGCGATGTGCCATCTTCTCGAGCAGGAACCGCCTCAACGGCTGCCAGTCCAGCAGATCCCCCTTGCCCAGGTTGGCAAGCGCCGCGGCGACCCACCATGTGTAGCAGGTGTCAGCAACCTTGTTGCAGCGGCCGTTGCACGCTACGTAGCGGAGATTTTCGGACAGTGAGAGGTCTGAGAGGCGCTTGGGGAGGAGGAAGTTAACCTCTTCGTCCTCCTCTCTCTCGCCATATTCGGCGTCGCTGCTCGGGGGTTCTGGTTCAAGGTAGACGAACTGCCGTGAGCTGAGCCAGTGTATGAGGCCGGGCATATTCCGGATGCCCGAGTAGAGGACCTCGCTGCGATGGGGCGCGGTGCTGCCTTCGACTGGGCGGTCAAGCAGGGAGAGGGCGCTGATTGCACAGTAGGCGTAGCCGGCTGAGCAGTGTTAGTATAGAAATGATGATAGCTCTAGAGGGGCAAGTGTGACTGCGTACCATGGGGCTCTTCTTGTGAACTGCCTGCGAAGCCGCCGTCGTAGGTCTAGATCCGGCCGTCAGTACGGTGGGGAATGCAACTTCGCGCCGTCTGGAATCACAGACCTGACTGCTCAAGATATACTCTGCCAGCCGCTCCGTGTCGAAATCCTCTACCCACCCCGGCTCCCCCTCCCTCACGTCCCCCCGCAACACCCAACGTATCGCCGCGGCAATGTAGCAATACCGCATGTCGTACCCTCCGCCAATGAACCAGCCATGCCCGGGCAGCAGCTTCAGCACTTCCCCGAAGCTGCCATCCTGGCGCTGCAGTCTCCGCAGCCAACGTAGCGTCTGCACCCTGTCCACGCCGCTGAACGCCCCCGCCTCGTCGTTCTCGTCGGCTAGGAGTGCAAGGATTTGCAGCGCAAACAGCGTCGCCGGTAGGTTTGCCAGCCCAGGCCCCTCCACATCCTCCTGCGCGCCTGTTTCCGACTGCCACTGCTCATACCCCTTGACGGGAAAGACGAGGGATGATGAGGCGGCAAAACCACCGCCGGGTTGTTGGTGTGAGAGGACCCACTGCCGGATTTTCCTGCGGTCTCCGGGGGCGATCAGTGGTTTTCTGTCTTGTTGTGTCTCGCTGGGTGGTGGTGTGAGGATGCAGACAGAGTTGACGATGAAGTAGGCCAGGGCCATGCGGTTGCCCTCGTTGGAGAGGTAGTGTCTCGGCAGCGACGATTGTAGACACATTTTCCAGTACCGCAGATGGCGGTCAATGTCGAGCACTGGCTCAGACCTCTCTGCTGTGTGTGCCATGTCTCTTAGAGCTACCGGCAGAAGCCGAGTGGTTCCCGATTTATGGTTTATTTTGTTGCCGTTAGGGACAACGCATGTCGGCCTCGTCTCTTTGGTGGGCTTTGGTGGGCTGTTTACAAGCTGGGAGAAGAACTTGAGGCTTTCTTTTTGAGTACATGTCAGCGAAAATCGAATTCCATATTATGAAAGAGGCTTCCATGAGTGCTAAACACATGACAAGCAACGTCTACGTACTTTAATGGTATTGTGATATCATATGTAGGGTCGAAACGGATGAGTATGAGAGAATGAGTTGAGATGAACCATGAATGACCCGGCTCCCCCGTCGAACAGGGGAACTCAGCGGCTCGGGTCCAGCCGCGAGCTCTGGTGGGGCGATACAGGCAAGGCAACCAATCGAAGAACCCAGTCTATCAAGAAGTCGTGGCCGATAAGGAGTGTGTAAGGCGGAACCTCTCGGCTGAAGCATTTCCACCCGTTGACCAACTCCAAGCCCGGCCGGCCTTTCGACAAGGTTGAGGATATTATAGAGCAGTAGTACGACAAGTTGACGCAGAAGAAGCCGAAACCATCCCAGTACGCCGATCACCCATTGAGAGAAACAGACCAAGAGCGAGCCTTCTCCTAAACTTCCAGGTTCAGGCTGCCACGCGCGCGCACCACCCCGCCCTTCCTCTCTTACAACACGCGACAACGGAGCCGGTCCCCCTGCACTTTGCGATAGACCGCGAAACACGCACCCCATGGCATTTATTAGTCTTCGCAACCGGTGACTTCCAACTATCGCTCCGGCACCACCCACGCCATGGCACTCATATCCGCCAAGACGATCCTCACCTCCCTCTGCCTTTTCCACATCACGCTGGGCTTCTTTTTCCTCACCAACCCGGGCACGGTGGCCGACCAGCCAGTGGTCTACTTGCTAGGCGAGTCCATGGGCTTGGTCCGTCTCCGTCCCTCAAGCACATACACGCCTACAAAAACTAACAAAAGCGCAGCCCCATTCCCGCTCCTTCGAGACGCAGTCCCCCGCCCTCGCCTTGCTGGCCGTTGTCCTAGGCATATTCGGCATCAGCGACCTCGTGACCCTCTCCCTGCCTGACGAGATCTGCCTGGTCCACTACTGGGGAATGCAAGGCATGTTTCCCTCTTCCTTTGTCCCCTCCGCTTGGCCCCTCCACTTGCCCCAAGCCACACCTCGCTAGCCCTTATTAACGAACTATTCGCGAGCAGCGCCTCTCCGGTTGACACTCTCCTTTCTTTTCTCGCTGTACTCCTTCCTCTTCAGCGCCTCGTCGCCCCTCTTCTACAGCGACGGCCCGGACAATTCGTCGTCATCCTCGCGATCGTTCACCAGCCGCCCCTTGGTCCATCATAAACGAAGCGGTTATGTGCCCTCCAGCTGGGGCGGTGACGCGCTCAAGAACAGGGTCTTCTTCGCCTTCATGTTTGTCGAGACCATGAGCTGGTTCTGGGTGTGGGTTACGCTGCAGGAGGAGAGGCGGGAGGTGCTGGCGAGGAAGGCGCGGAGGCGGAGTTCTTCTTCAGCACAGGGAGGGGCGTTCGCCCGTTAGCGGCCGATCTTGGGGTAGAATGGGGGATACCAGGTAGGGAGGACTTGAGCTGGAGATGTGATACAGGGGAGTTTTGGTTCGGTTTATCTGTTATCTGGATTTGGACATGCGATGATACCTCTGTCAAGTTGGCATAGCGAGCGAAATGTGGCACGTAGCATGTGGACAGGTTGTCATGAGGCAGCCAGCATTGCATGTGTTCGATATATCAGATTTGGTCCCATCATCCACATGATTTGCTGTCTCGCCTCACCATTACCCCAGCACTGCCCACCGCCTCTTCCAAGTAGGTGAAACAACTCAACTCAAAACAGCACCTCACTCCATCCTGACCATCCCCCACCCCTTGACGCCCTCCCGCCAACTTTCAATGACCTTCCCGGCCCACTCCTCGGCCGCCGCCCTCCCGCCAACAACCTCACTCACTGCCCGCGTCACTTCACCCTCCTTCCCCTTCTCCTCCCCTCCATGTGGTTCCTCATCAGATCCAAACACCAAATCCAACAAGCGATCCAACCAACCCCCCTCGCCCAACGCCTCCTTCAGCTTGAGCACATGGCCCTTCACCTCAACGAGCGCCCGCCCCGCAAGCTCGTTCAACGCCTTCATCTCCGCAACGACGTCCTTGTGCAGCCCGGACCGTCCGCTTCTGTCTCTCGAGAGCTCTTTCTCATGGAACGCGAGCACAAACGCGGCGCTGTGCTTGATGGCGAGCGCTGTCTCGCGCACGTGGGAGAGAGTGTGCATGTCGGCGAGGGATTGGCAGGCCGGCGGGACGCGTTGTGTTGGTTGCGGAGGGGAAGAAAAGAAGCTTGTGCGGAGGGAGCCAAAGGCGGACTTTATGGATGACGTGAGGAGGGAGAGGGTGTCGGGAACTGGCTCGCTGCGCGGTGTGGAGAGGGCAATGAGCAGCGCGGCGGAGAGGAGGGACAGGACGGTGTAATATGTCGACTCTGGCGCCGTGAGACGTGAAGGGGTCGTGGGTTTGTGCAGGAAGTCGGCCAGGGAGTTGCTCAGACGGGAGAGCGTCTCGAGAGTGTACTCGCGGTCACGGAGCGCGACCTCGTTGGTTTTGGAGGGCCGATAGTCTTTGGGAGGCTTGTAAGACAGAAGGTCGATGTATTGCTCGGAGAGGAAGGCTAGGTGCGAACGCTCGTTCTAGCGGCATGTTAGCGAGCTAGGTCGGGAAGAGAAGAGAGGGTATGTGTGAAGACTTACAGAAAGTCCTGGACCGAGGCGGAGGTACTCGTGGATTGGTGGGCCGTGGAGGCTCTCAAGATTTGCAAACGGCCCGTAGTCTGTTTGGGCAACGAGTGTTGTGCTGTCATCGATGTTTTCTTCAGGTTGTCAGCAGGAGCAATCAACAACGGAGCGAGAGGGTGGCATACCAGCAAGTGGATGCTCCTCAATCTCACAATCGACCTTCCCGCCATAGCACCTGATCGCCCGCCGCTCCTCCACTAATGTCGTCATCAACGTACAGCTCCTTCGGAGATTGCCGTCAAACTCAACCATGTCGAGGATGCTAGTGTAGCTGCCGGCAGCGAAGGCATCCCAGATGCGCACCGGCGACCTGTCGATCAGGCTGTGGTTGTAGAAACTTCGCAACGGCTCCATCAACGGACGTGTTCCCCGGAACAGCCCAGGGGAGAGAGTGGATATTCTATCGAAGAACAAGGGGCTGAGAGAATCCTGAATCGTCCGCTTGACGTCGAGCGGAGTCCACAGCTGGTACGCGTACGAGGCACAGCCAAGCAGCAAGTATAGTTGGACGAGCAACATCCGGAGCTGGGTGTCGCCGGGTGTCACTCGCAGTTGGGTGTCGAGAAGGAGAACGGCCTGTAGAAACGGGCCGGGCTCAACAAGGTGCCACAACGACTGCCCCTGATCCGAAGTGCGCGGCCGCAGCCCGGAAAGCTTCAATAGAGAGTTCCCCATGACGAGGGCGAGGTCTAGGCGAGGATCTCGATCCATGCGGGGAAGGGAGTTTAAGATTTCCTGGTCGCCCGTTATTTGCTTGTACGCGCTTGATGCTTCGGTTGTGAGCTTCCTCAGGCAGGGCTCGCATGGAAGCGAAGTAGGGTTGTTGCATAGCCGACACTCGAACGGCTTAGGCTTGGTTTCGCCGTCCGTGACGCTTGGCTGGGCTGAGAGTGTCTGCGGGCATGTGGAGAGAAGATATCGGAGCTTGCAGTCCAGAACTTTGAGCACAACCTTCCGTGCTTTGTCGGCGGTCTAACACTCCACCATCAGTAATCGCATCGTTGATGGCGGCATCAAGTAACAGATCATACCTCGTCGAGGATCTTGGGTATTACCTCCTCCAGGAGAGTCTTCGCCTCTTCGAACCCCAGGTCCGCCACATAGCCCTTGATATCGTCAAAAGCGGACAGCCTCTCAAAGTATTGGTCCAAGAACAAACCAATTTGGATCACCCTCGGTGATAAGCCTGCGTTGTCGTGGCCCGGATATAATGCTGTCGCGGGTAGCCGGAAAGTTGTCTCGAGAAGCGCCAAGCTGAGGTTCTTCTTATACATCTCGCTTGCTTTGTCCTTGATGTCGATGTATTTCTTCAAGATAGTCTGGACCTCAGCGAGAGCCCTGAAAATACTGGTAAGTACGCGTGAAAGCTCAAGACGTCTCAAGCAGGCTTACGCTTCCGAGTCTGCCGTTTTGCTAGCCGCTAACGCAAACCTTTTCCATATCTGCAAGTCACAGACTAGGAAAGGCGAGGCAGCCCCCTCCAATCCGAAGCTCATTGCCTCGCGGCACATGTTATAGATGAAATCCCACTCGGCCCAGCCCTCCAAGGCATTCAGGCTCTCGTAAAATAAAAGCTTGCGGCCTTCCTTGAGCTGGCCGATGGCTCCGAGTTTGGAACTCCGCAGCCGAGAGATATACTCCTCCTTCGTCCCATGACTCAAGAGAACTCGGTAATAGAGGGAAATCTCCTCCTCGGTCAGGAGTCCCCTGTCTGTGGGCCCCAACTTGGATGACTGCAACTGTTAGCTTTACTTTAGGTGTGCTGGTGGAAGCAATCTGATTACATTCTCTGTAACATCTGCAGCCCGTTCGAGCTGTCTAAGTGCCAACAGGCTGTAGACCTTGCGGCTCGCATCAGTGCACTGGGGGCTGATCTGTCCATGTCAGTCGCCGGCGAGGAGATGCATGAGGAAATAACAAACACACTGAAAGGAGGAAGGTAAGCGTGATGTTCCAGAACATGTACCGCCGGTCGGCGAGGTTGGCGTAGGTCTTGTCCAGGGTTGTAGCGATCTAGTCCGGGGGGTTAGCGCTAGAGAGCGGTGAAAATCCCGGTCGAAGATGACAGACCTGCTGTGCGCTCACGAGATCCCATCGCTCTAGACAGGCTTGGAGACACTGCATGGCCAGGGGGCTGTTGGGGTTGGCCTTGGCCCAGCGGACCCTCAAGGGGCCCAGGGTGTCGGCATATTCGACCTCGTAGTCGAAGAAGTCTCGACATGCCCACTCATAAAGCTCTATGGTGTCGATATCCGGCGTTTTCTTGTTCTTGACAAGCTCATCAATGGCAGCCAGCATGGCAACCTTTTCAGCGGTGCCATCGAGCTGAGCCTCCGCACACATCTTGATCACCTGCAACCAAGAATTCAGTATACTTGTCCGAATTCCTATGTGAGGAAGGCTGCACCCACCTCATAATAGGGATCCTTGAGGGTAGCGGCCCGCTTTGCAGCAAGGCGGATGACCGCATTCCAGTTTCCATCGCTGAAGGCCGTCTGCAACTGCACGTCGACACTCGCTCTGAGGGCCGGGCGGCCAAATCTGTATGAAGGCATGGCGGGACGACCCAGCTGTGCATCAAAGGGTAAGGATCGGATTTGCGTCTTGTGCAAGGCATAAAATAGCACAGCAAACCACAGGCGATTACCCAACGTAGGTGAACGCGGGGGAGGGCCAAAGACGAAGGAGGGGACCAGTCCTGCAAATACAGTTGTACACCCTGTTCCTCTACGCTCCCGAACCGTCAGGGAGCAGCAGATGAGGGGCTTCTATGGCACTTTATCTGCAGTTCCTCGACCTCCTATGTTCTCGCCGCTAGCAGCTGCCGTCTAGAGTCGGTGAGATGCTGAGGAAAGTATTGCACCAGTTCACGCTGCCACTTTGGAGCTTTGGCGGGGTGATTTGATGGTCCGTGCACAACAGCTCCCCACCTTCGGTAAGGAAGGTATTCCGTACCCTCTACCTTACGCGGAGGAGATCCACCATCAATATCCTGCCAGCGTGAGGAGCATCCTGCTTGCCTTCCCAGTGACCTCATGGCCCGATGAGCCTCGAACATGTTCCGGTCATGATGGTACCTTCTCTCTCCGTACCCCAAGGCTCTGCCGTGGTAACCGAAAAAGAGAATGTTTTACATGGAATTGTACATCAGTTCTACAATCAGGTTCTCTCTTCCTGCCCTGTTAGACGGAAACCTAGGCTCACCGAGACGGAAGTGCTCTGCTTGCACATTCCCAACGATGACGGATGGGTATCATAAACTCAACCCCGTTTCTCCGTCTTCCGCTTCTCGATCTGTCCATAATGCCAACGCAAGTCAGTAATAGCTCCTCACGCGGCAAGGAAGGAACTGCAAATCCCATACCCAAGCCTTCTTGCAGTCCCTGTACGCCCTGAAAAGCCATGGCGTTAGTTCTTATGTTATGCCAGGCCAAGGTTCCCACACCAAAGCTATCACTGACTGGAAGTAATCCGTGCACATGGTCCGGTCTCCGTCGTTGCGATGCAAGCACCGGATACTCCGCGCGGCAGCTTGCTGGCAAGGGTCGAGGAATTCGCTTCTGTCTTTGCTATTTGACGCAGAGAAGGTCAGCAGGGCGAGAGGCGCAGAGAAAGGCGCAAACGCGGACAGCAGCGGACGGCAACTCACCTTTCGAACTTCACCTTGGTCTCCCTGTCCCAAGGGTCGGCCTTGCTGTTTGCCGTGGAAGCCATCTTCGCCACGTCACCTCGGGCTCTGCATGGGGAGTGGTATGTCCGTGTTGATTCGGGCGGCTTCGTTGAGGCAGAGACGGCAGACGTCGGGTTTGCGGCATCTGTGGAGGCAGGAACCGGCGAGCCGCATGTGCTTCCGATTTCTGGGCAGAGCTCTACACAGTATCAAGCGGCCGTTTGCACGGTTTTCCGTACGGTCTAGTTTCCCCTACTAAGCCTGCCCCCTTGACTCCTGAGCAATGTAAACATGACCATGCTCCCTTGGCGAATCATCTGAAAAACACCATGACATGCTTCAGCAATCAAAGACAAGCAGTCGCCATGGGGTCAGCAAGTTGAATAAGACGATGCAACCAGCAGACGTAACATCAAACTAAACGCCATGGAGCTACCACGCTCAGCAACCGCCTCTCTGATGTTGTGATGTTGAAAGAATCAGCTGACAGTAATAAGAACCATTGAGTGACTTCTGTAAATGCAAATCCCATTGTTTGAATAGATCTGCCGTGCTCAAATAAACAAACCTTCCGGCCCACTCTCGCCAGAGTCACCACCACTACCAGCCACCGCCCACGAGTCCAGAAAATCCGGTTGGCAACCCCACAAACTAAAGCTCTGCCGGACACAGACCTTGGTGGTCTTACCATGTGAGTACAGCTTGAAGGCCCTCCCACATATAGCCATCGTCTCTAGCTTGGCTGCGCACATCGAGATCTTACTTTAATACACACATCTTCCATGCCTGTTACCTTGCCTCCGTCTGACCAGACCGTATACGAGCTCTATGGCGGAACGAAATCTAATAGCTAAGTACAGTACCTTATTCATCTGACTTCTTTCTCTTCCTCCCCTTCCACCTCTCCTTTTCAGGTATGGCTCAGACGGCATCCATCTGCTCGAAGAAGTCGTTCCAGAAACGGCCTCGACTGGGTCCACGACTGGGTCCACGACGCAGGGCTCTAAGCTGCGTACCTCCTCAGGGATGAATTCTGTGGCAGTGGAACGAAACAAACCATGATTACAAACGCGCCTAATGAAATCGCATCCCACCAATCTTCCTCCTCAATCTCCACCCAGGTCGGTCGCAGTTGAGCCTAATGGAATCCCGCTGCAACTTGTCATCAGACCTTTTCCCGGGACCCAGGCCCCTCTTCCTCCCGGTATGCTGCAGCTCACCAGCGCTCGGCTATGGGGCACTGGTTTCAGCCGGTATGCGACCTGGAACTTCACTCGTTGGCGATGAGCCAAAGAAGACGGCCTGGATCTGACCGAAGCGCCCTTTCCTTTAGCGCTAGTCTGGTGGAATTCTCGGGGTTGATTAGTTAATCGCAGAGCGGGCAAGTTCAAGCTGGCGGCGGCCGTAGCTGAAGAGGGCCACGCCTTGCATGCCAGCCTCTCGTCGGCCGGCAGCCAGGCAGGAACCCGTGGCTGTATCTCCGGAAGTCTCTGGGTCAGACATTTCATCTGCAGCAGGGTCGGGCTCGTCTGCGGTAGCCTCCATGGGGAACCATATCCGGTAGCTGGAAGATGTGCACTAGCTCGTCCACGACTGGCTGTTGAGGAGTCCGGGCTGTGTTTCCAGCACTCACTCTGGGGGCAAGCCCCGGGCGCCAGGGGTCAGAGAATACTGGACAGATGCAAGATCGTCAGGCAGGAGGGTGGAACTGCAGCCGGCGTTGACGATGCGAAGCCGAGTTGTCGTCCCGCGGACGTGCATGTGTGGCGTGGGCTGACTGCGTTTGGCTCGTCCAGAAAGCTTGGGGTCGCGAGTCGAGGTTGGCTCTACGACTCGGGCTTGGATGACTGCGGCTGGGTCCCTGATGCGTTGCTCGGGACGAGGCCATGCTCGAATTCTCCATGATCGACACGGGCCGCGGCTTCACCGTTAGAACCTCAAAGTCACCACTTCCGACGCGATTCCAAAGTGAGCAAGATAGCGGTCCTGGCCCCATTCGAGCTGCTCCTCCATCATCAGAATCTGCTGGCTGCGCTCCGGAGGCAGGCTGATTGGAAGCAACGACAGTCGCCTCGTTCTCGAGAACCAGGGGTACCTAGTTTGGTGTCCGGCCTTTCCTCTTTGTTTTGCTTTAGGTTCTTTCTTGTATTTTTCCTTTTTTGGTTTTAACTTTCTTTTTTATTTTTTTATCTTGCTTTTTGTGCTCATTGCGCGCCCTGCCTACTCCAACAAAGCTGAGCCGGAGACGACGGCACCGTCTACAGCCAGACTGCGAGCAGTGACCTGATCTTAACTGGACAGGCACAGTGATGCTGGCTTTAGGCGGACATGCCAATTCTGGAGTTGGCGGGCCTCAGTAATGCAATCCAGCGCGTGGTGCACCTCGCTGACGAATTGTGCATTGACGTTGTTGAAGATGAAGGTAAATGTGAAGGGGGGTTGCAACACTTTCGCCGACATATCCCGCATCGTGCTCGCTATGACCGAGATGTCGTAAACCGCATCCTTCGCGACTTTGGGCTTTTGTCATGAGGAAGGAAGACGGCGAGCATCTGCTTGAGGCGACCCTTCTAGTGGTATGTTGGCAGTGGCAGGGGAATTTCCATTGAGTTGGTAAGGGTAAGAGTGGGATCTTTCGGTATTGCGAATGACCCCGGCGGAGTTTTGGTAAAAGTGTTCTCCTTGTCGGACTCTGCGTTGTTACAATCCGAGGATCAAGTACGTGAGGAGGAAGAGGGAATACCACCCGGTAGCTTTTGTGCTGTTCTCCTGGTTTATCTTTCCGGGTGCTGAAATCAGGGGTGGAGACCACAAGCTAGGCATGTTACTGGAAGTACCGGTACAGTAGGAACAGGGGCAGAAGACTGAGAAACAGGCTCTCCATGTACAGACCGAAGCAATGTCCCCCAGAGTCTCAGGCTCCTCAAGAAAGCAATACAACCTGTGTGACCCCCTAAGTTCAACACCGGATTGCTCTGTGACTGATGCTGTAGAGGAGCTCACTGGTCGGGCTGTGTTCTTGTTCTTCCTTTGCTCGGACTTCCATAGCGTTTTCCAAATCAAGCCTTTCTTTTATTTTTTGTAGGGTGTCAGGACGTCGACAAGAGTCTATGGACGTCCTCGCCGACAAATTACGTGATACGGACAAGCTCCCGCGGAGGCATGTGGAGGTCGGCCTGATTGTCTGGGGCCTCGCAATTTTCAGACGAGATAACCGGGCGTTTACATCGAACATGTGCTGAGGCACCATCAAGGACAGTTCGGATCCATTTGATCCAGAGGAGAAGATGGTCCAGAGACTGGGTCATGGAAGGTCAGGGTGTGACGGCAAAACCAATTGTCGATCGGTGCCTGCTGCTTATGGGTCTTCGAATCCAGTGAGGATGTCCCCGCGTGTGTCCTTTTCCGTGATGCCGCTCTCGTTGATAAGTCGCTGCTATTTCTTCGGCAGCCTCTGCTAATGGTTAACGTATCTTATAAGCGAGCGGGACATATAAGCGAGCGGGACATATAAGCGAGCGGGACATATAAGCGAGCGGGACACTCTCCACCACTCTACAACAACCATCCTCAATTGCAATACAATAAGACCATTAACCAACTACAATTACATCAGAAACAGCTGAATCAGACCCTTCTACAACCTCCTGGCACGTACGGGCATTATGGCCAGGCTTGCCGCACACACCACAGCACCGAACCTTCGTACGAGCCCCCCTGCACCACCACTATCCGGCTCCTTTTCTTGCGCCATCTCCCCAACCACAGCCTTCTGGTCCAGTAGATCCTTTGCATCTTGTACCGCAAGCGATCCTCCAAGCTGCACGCGTGTTCTTTTGGCTCTCCGGCGCTTGCTGAGTGCCTCGTTGGCCTTACGGAGCGAAGAGACCTCGGCGCGAAGAAGAGCCATCTGGTGCATTATAGCCATTGTACCCTTGGCCAACTGGTCTACAGCAGCCAACATCGAGGTTGGGGAGCTATTTTGATGGTTGGCAATACGAGTCTTGATGAGTGTAGACTGCGCATTGGCTTCCCGGGAGTTGTGTGGTGTCTGGAAGACCCAAGACTGTGCAGTGCTAGGCCGTGAGGTTGGGGGTGTTGGTGTACGAAGCTTGATATCCAGCTTAGAAAGTACCCTCTCTGGATCGTACGGCATAAGGCCAGCACCTGTAAAGCCACCCTGTATATTCTTCTCCGTCATAGAGGCGAAGAAGGCCTCGCGGAAGGCATAGAGGAACTCGAGCTTGCTTATGTGGTTGATATGCATGCGTATCAAGTCCTCGACCTGGCGACCGTACGCCTGCTTTAGCGGCCCAAAGCAGCCAACATCGAGTGGCTGGAGGAGGTGGGAGGAATGCGGAGGCATACAGAGTGTGATGATGTGATGCTCCTGGCAGTAGAGCTCGAATTCGGTCGAGTGGTGGCTCTCATGGCCGTCGATGATCAATAACCGATATTTGCCCTTTGTACGGGGTGCTGTATGGAAGTCAAAGTGCTTGATCCAATCGAGGCCTACGGCATTGGTGGTCCAGCCGTTCTCGGTGGTCGCGATACGCCAGTCGGCCGGGAGGTTGCACTCTTGATACCAGTTGGCGAGGTGGTATTGCGCGGCCAAGATGATGAAGGGTGGGATAGCCCAGCCGAGGGCATTGACTCCCTGGATTACCGTAGCCCACTCGCGGTTACCAGGCTGGGCCAGCTTTGCCTTGCTACGGCCATCAGAGGTTGTAACTACCATGCCTGGGAAGATGATACCCATTATAAACCCAGTCTCGTCGAAGTTATAGATATCGTCATCCACAATGCCGTACTTGGCCTTGACATTCTGTACGAGCGCGAACCACTCGCCAATAACCTCTGGGTCCTCGCACTTGGCCCTCTGGTAGTCGTATCGACGTGACCAACGCGTACGGAGAGCGGGCTGGCGTTTAACGAAGTTGTGAGCCCAGAGCTTGCCAACAGGGGGCGCATTGCATACGCGTAGCAGTTGGTTGGCCATATCTTCCACACTACGTAGCCTTGGTGGAAAAGCTCGCTCAGATAGCTCAGTTATATACTGGACTATAGCCTTCTCTTCTAGATCGGTAAGCTTCCGTGAGTTGGCTGGAAGATCGCGTCGTATAGGCCGGCCGGTACGTCGGTAGCCGAGGGTTGAAACTGGCACGTTATAGAGCTTGGCCGCGGCTCGGAGGCTTAGTTTCGTATCATTTTCAAGAGCTTTGAGGGCCAAGGTTACCTTAGCTTCCTTTGAAGCGGAAGACATCTTTAGTTGTAGGAAAAACGCGTTGTTGGAGGTGGATGAAGAAGGACGCGTCGTGCCAAGAACTTAGTGTCCCGCTCGCTTATATGTCCCGCTCGCTTATAAGATACGTTAACACTATGATTAAAGTATTTTAGACAAGCTGGAGAATAGGACATACCGTAAACCGCGGCGTATGTACGGTCTCCCATATACAAAGCTCCTGAAATGGTTCCTATCCGGATTTCCATCTGGCCCTCTTGCCGTAGATGTCCTCAATCTCGTGCTTGCGGAGGAAATGCTTGAGGATAGTGATCTCCGGGAAGTCTTCTCCGAGGGCAACGCGTCCGAGTTTGAGAATCCTGCGCAATCCTTGGACGGTGAGTTTTCCCGAAATATTCTAGGGTCTCAGATGCTGCCGCGCTCTGCGCTGGTGTTTCCGATCTGTTGCTGACCCTGTCTTGTTCAGGAGCCTTCACGGGGCAGCCGGATCGAGTCCCTGATTATATCAGATACCTTTAGTCAGTTTCGCCCATCGGTCAACGACCGCGTATGGTTCTTGCATCCTAGAAACTCCATGGGAATTGAATTGGGGAGGAAGACATCGAGGATCTCCTTCAGGCGACTGGCGTGGTAAGTGACCTTGTGCGATCGGAATTTAGCTGCGTCGCCGCTCTCGATGACATCAGCTTCGCAGGGCGGTCAACAAGACCCTGCCTCTCATGTGGCTTGGACGCTATATATGAGAAATACTAGTCAGTGACAAGCACACGATATTAGGGGGACGGATCGTTCCGTTCTACACACCGTCAATCGCCTCCAACTCGATCTCTCAATCGTCTGCAGCTTCTCGCCGTAGTCGGTAGAGTAATCTGTAGTAAATGTGCACGTAGCACTCGGCCAGACGCGCCTGTTCATCGACCGTCAGGTCGCGAAGAGTGAGCTCCCTGACGATGTTGGTGATGACGGGAGATCTTGCGAACGCCAGCACAATGTGCTCCTACTGGGGCCCGCACGTTCATCATGGCCGTAGAAACGTAGTGAAAGACTGGGTGCTGGATGAACTACGTGCCAGGTGGACTATTGAGCAAATAGTCAGGCGTAGGGCATATTCCTCGTGGCTGGTCTTCTGGTCATTTGCAGTGATATCGCAAATGAAGCTCCCAAAGGTACCTTAGCCATCAGCTTGCTTCTGCATGTGTGCCTTGAGATCTCCTTCAATCGGCCGGAGCTGGCGCAGGTGTTGGATGCAAAATCCTCTGATCATCAAAACGATGGTGTTGAATTCGTCCGCCCACTTGAGAGCTCGAGGTCGCTGCTTTGCCGAGGACGTGGAGTCTTCCGCTTCTTCGAGAGCTAGCCGTTTCCCGGCGCTGGGTGTGAGCCTTCAAGTCTCTTTCAGGAATCAATATCCGATAGACGACATCGCGCCGCTTTATTGTTCGGTTGAATGTGCAATCGACTCCGAGTTCGGTATACGGGGTGTTATTCCCACCTGACAACGTGCCTGTTTCTGAGGACGCCTCTAGGCAGTTGAGTATAGGTGCTCCTAGATAACATCCTTTGAATCTAGGGAAGGCCGCCCTGTTTTTGAGATTTGTCAGTCCGATCTATACATCAATGACATGTCAACGACACATCGAATATCCCTTAAAGTACAAAGACTGAATTTCATCCCACCTTTGAACTTCTTTGTTTACCTGTTTGTCAGACACCAGACATGCGCGGGTGGTAAAGGGTGTAACTCTTTTTCCACTTCCATCTTTTTGTTTGGACTTGATGGTGCTGGCGTCAGTTGGAGAGATACCGGTGATCGCGATTCCGGGTGATTGCTTCTGAACCTGGATCTAGCCGCCCGGTTTCGAGGTGTTTCTCCACGTAAGAATCAAGAGTGTATAGAGCACAAAAGGAATTCAGAGATTCCAAGGTGAAAGATGGGCCACGAGAGGTATGAGCAGGCTGTTGGCTGAATGGGAAGGCGGCTGTTTTACCTAGGACTGATTTGCACCATTCCGAATCACACCATCAGGGCAGGCTCCAGGAAGGCAGGACCTGTCACCCCGGTCCAGTCTGGGTCAGGCGGCAAATAGGGCGCTTTGCTATGAAAATTCGCTCCTTCTACGATGTCGACGTGGGTAAGAAGGTGTAGAACGTTGAGTGTATGAACCTACCCTGACCGGAACTTTCCTCTGCTATTATCCAGCCTCTTCGTCCACCATTCTCCTCTGCACAAATCCGTTCCGCTCCGGTCCAGCAGCTCACTATTCAAGTAGTCTGAACGGGTAGACGTGCCATATTCCACCTCCGGAGCCCTGACTGGCACCTTGTTCTCCTATTTACTCCCCTCGTTCCATATTCTCCTCCGCACAAAACCTTTCCGCTCCGTTCCGGAACCCCATCGCCTGAGAAGGCCGGCCAAAGTATAAAATCCTCTTCCTCACACCAGATCCCCCTCCTCTTCGCTCCTTTCAACCGCACCTCTCCATACCCCAGGAGGCAAGACTCCTTGGCTATACATAGATCGGTATATTGACCGAGTCACAATCCAGCGCCAGGCTATCTCCCATATCTGCCACCACGTATGCTGCGGCATAGCTTGCGAGACAAGCAGCAGCCCGCCCAGCCCGCATCAACCGCCGTCTACGTCGCTCAGCCATCCCAGTAGATCTCGACCTCCCCCCACCTCCCCTTCCCCTCCCCATATCACCGCCAGCAGGGGTCCCTCAACCTGCGAGATACCCCGACTCCTCCTCGGCTCCAGGTCCTAGGAACTGGCGTGATGCACGGCTTCTGCGTCCAGTATTACTCCGAGACCATCAACCCGTCTTAAGACCGTCCTGGAGCCATCACCGATCTGTAAGTCGGCCGCCAGTTCTTCACCGATCTCTGGCTGGGTGAAGGTTATGAACTAACAGTTGGCCAACTAGTAGTGCGATGCCCTTCTACGAGTCGTCTACCAAGCCCAATATGGGCAATAATAGCAACAACGCCATCGCCGCCGAGCAGGCCACGGCGCCCGCCGATGCCTCGCCCAACAGCAATGCCATGATGGATATGATCCGCGAGCTGCAGCGGGCTAGGGAGGAGGATCAGCGCAGGATCGAAAAGCTGGAGCGAGAGCAGAAGGAGAGCCAGCGCAGAATCGAGGAGCTGGAGCGAGGAAGTGAGGAGGACCGCCGCGCCTTGGTGGCCCAGGGGGCCCTCACGCATCTCAGGCTCTCACAGGCCAGGCGGGAGATTGCAGAGGGTGTGGCCGAGGCTCGTGGCCACGTTGCTGAGGTCCATTGCCTTGTCGCTGCGGTTCACGGCCGTGTCCACTATCTCGACGAGCAGGTGCAACGCCTGCAGGGAGCTTTAACTACGGTGTCCAACTACGCTTACATCCACCTCCATGACCTCCCGGGAGTACTCGGTTTCCTGCGGGATGGATTGGAACATGTGATATTCAGACAGTCAACTGGTATATAAGCTATATACTAGAAATCTGAATAGGACCCTCATTCACAGCTGCAGTTCACCTTTGTGATGATCTGCACACCCTATTGCTGCACCCCGTCGCTGTTACTAACCGCTGCACTCGCCGCTGCACTCGCCGCTGCGCCAGACGCTGCGTAGCTGTTCGGATGGGCGGGAAGTTCAGATGGGCATATGTCATCCGAACAGTAAAAATGCTTGGTTCAGACGGGCATATGCTATCCGATGACCCTGCTGTCCGGAGTCTATGTACCACTAACACTTGAGAGAGAAGCCGACTTAGGCACGATGCCCAGCGACGATTAGGGCTGTCATGGCGAGGACGCTGATGTGGATGGTGATGGCGACCCTTTGTGGATGCGTTGGTTGTTCCATCTGGGTTCTTCTAGTACTACTATTGGATAGATGCCGGGCTTGAGCTCACACCTGTCCTTCACTTCTTACGTTTATTTATCAGTGATCACGGCATAATGCAGATATTGGAATCCCCACGTCATGACGGAGCGGCTTCACGAACTCATGAGGAACCACCGCGAGAAGCAGATTGACGACATCGCCGCCAATATTTGCACGGAGATGATCATGAACAGGGACAAGCTTGAGGAGCTACAAGATATGCTCAATGCTGCCGCTCCACAGGGAGATGCACGCTACATGAGTTTCTTCCAACTCCCTTCTCATTTACTGCGGGAAACTACCAATCGGATCATCCACTGCTATAAGGAGGTCCAGGAGTATACACCCATTGATGCCCTACCATCCCACTCATCCGCCTCGCCCTGGGGGATGGTGAACCCTTACACCGTCGCAGATACCCAGGCATAGGTGGTCTCTCTGCTTACCACGCGGTCCTACTCAGCTGGCAGTCAACCCGCCGCCTAGCGCCATTTCATGCACCTTAGGCCATTTGCCCGGCTCGTCATTTTCCCTCATGCCGCTCACATCGCGTCACAACTCGACCTCGGTGCCATATCCGAACCTACCGAGCCTCCCTATATATAGAGCTTTACTGGCGAACCTGGTTCGGAATTTCCTTCAGACAGGGGAATTTCCACGGAGTCAGAGCTAAAGCACGACAGTGACGAAGAACGTCTCTTCGAGTAGAAAAGGAAAATAGGGAGAGAATTGCCTAATTCAGGGAGGGGAATACTTGATTGTTTGAGCAAGTCTCGCCAGCTTTCGCCAATTCTTGGAGTTTGGTATTAAAGCAGGTTTTGCCTCCTCCCTCTAACTTTGGTAGTCCCTTCCTTATTCTTCGACTCTATCTTCTTATTGCCTACTAGTACTGGTAATTTCCCTCTACAATTTCTTCTTGTGTTTCTTCGCCCCTTCCAGAGTTTCTCTGTAGTTCATTCCCTCTTGTATCATATCTCTTCACTCTTCAAGAACACTTTGCCCAACTCGTAGACGTGGTATAGTCCTTTGGAAGAATCTCTTACGATCAATTCCCGGTCAGGTCCTAGTTTCAGTTTCATTTTCCCACTCGCAACAACTACCATGTCGTAGCCGCAGCCGAACGCTGCCATTACCAGGGCTCAGGCCGAATGGATGGGAGCTTTCGCCGGTGGTCACCATGTTTCGTCCTAAGATTCCTTGTCATCGATGTCAAGATGGCGCCCAGTTTCTCTTTCCCTTCGGACAGGGATATCGACGCCATTACTACAAGAGCGCGTCGTCCCTACGACGAATTCTCCAGACCGTACCAGGCCAACAATGTTGTGAGGTCTACAAGACGTGAGCGATAGAACGAAGGGAGTCAAGGGACTATTTAGCCCCATTGCGGTCTGTTATAAAAAGGTTTAGGTGGTGGAGCATATCTTCGTTGGCACATCTCATGCGGTCCTATGGCGGCACGATACCCCGGAAGGAGGGTCTTGGAGTTTGGAAGGCTGGACGATGCCCGTTCTTTCGTACTGGTGATAGTAATAGTTGATAATAGGTGTTACGAAGCTACCAAACGTGCTTGGTGTAGCTCCCTCTGGCAAGCTGAATAACATCCGGAAGCTGATGTTACGAAATCTATATGATCCCTAGGTTTACCCCTAAATAGGCTACCAATCGTCTCGGCGAAGGAGTGGGTCTTCGAAGACGTCGGAACAGTATGACGGAAACAGCAGTGAGGGATGTGGGGGAAGATCTCGATGTCTGACACAGCGATTCCACCAAGCGGATGCTGATGGCGTGTATCATATCTGACTTCGACCACTACCGTTTCCATTAGTTAGCGAGCCCACCATTGAGATGAACCGAACAGGGATCGGTGATGCCAGGCAGACAGATAGCATGGAATGACGAGTCAGGATGGACCCGAAACATTAGATTACCGAAACAGAGACATAAAGCTATTAAACCCAAACGCCAGACCTGAACGATTCTGCTAATCCAACTAACACTTCCAGCGCATTGCTGTCTCCATGTTACACGAAAAGTTGGAACGATGTGGAAGCCCGCTACGCCCCCTCGGACCACCCCATGCCCATCCACACCAAGCTGCCCAACAACGTCGTGAGGACCACGACCGTCACAATGCCCGCGCCAGCCCTATCCCCCGTGGTGATGGGCGCGAGCGGCGTTATCTCATTATAGTCGATACCCGCATTCGGATCCCCCTTGCTCGTGCCGCCCGTGTCGTTGGTCAGCGGGCCCTCCAGCACTTTTTGCTGATTGATTAGCAGCGTGGAGAGCGCGGCGAGCACGCTCATCTGCTGACCCGCGGGACCCTTGTCGACGTCGCCGTCGTACGAGCCTGTGTTCCAGCGGAAGCCGCAGGTGCCGTCGTCCAGGCACGATGAGACGGCGCCCTCGGTCGAGGAGCGCAGCACCTTGAGGATGGCGTCGCGCGTGAAGGGCGCCACGATGGCCACTGTCGCGAGCGACCGGTGCATGTACCCCTTGAAGGAGTGCTGGTCGACGTTGCATTGCACCCGGTCTTCAAGCTCGCAGGCGCGCTCGACCATAATGCCCTCGGGGAAGAAGAACTCGATGGTGTGGTTCAGCAGGCCTTCGACGCGCGTCTTCCATTTGTCGGAGCCGTTGGTCTGTTGTACAGCGAGGTCAGTCACCTTCATTGAAGGGGGCAGGAGTTTTGGTGGTTTCGGAAGGGGGATGTTTGCATACGTAATTGTACATGATGGCGGCGCCGTGGATGAGTAGGGCTTTGTTCGCGGAGAACTGGACCGGGTTGATGTCGGTGCAGTTGTACTCTTCGTGGCCGCCATCCAGCACGTTCCAGTCATCCGTGATGTAGCCGACACCCCTGGTCCAGTCGTATGCCGTGTCAGCCCATTTGGCGTAGGTCTCGTTCTTCGTGTAGCGGGCCAGGCGGGCAGCAAGGTTAAGGAAGACGACCTGCGCGATCGTGTTCTTGTAGTTGTAGCCGCCGTTGGTGTGCGGGATCTGCCAGTGCAGGCCACCGTTGCATGTGTTCGTGTCCCACCGGGCGGCCTGAGTGTTGAACACGGCCTGGGCAAGCGCCAGCCACTGCGGTTGGCCCTCGGGCGGATTCTGAAAGTTGGTCTCAGCAGCGGACATGGCCGCCATGCCCCAGAACCCTTGGTCATCGTTGCCGAGTGAGGCGGTCCAGTTCCGCGGCATGTAACTGTTGGCAGGTGGCTCGGCCTGGAACACCATAGACCGGAGCGCCTCGTCGTTGTAAGTCGTGTCGCCCGTGTAGAACCAGTAGTCGATGATGGTCCCCCACATGGCGCCGGCCTGCCACCAGTAGTATGGACCGCCCGGCGGCGGCCCCGGGAGTATGCCCGGGGTCTGGCCGGGTTCGTCTCCGTGGTAATATGTCATTAGGTTTTCCGCAACAAGCTTCGCGGCATTTTTGATCTCATCTGCCATTGCCACATTGCGTGTCAGCGGTCTGTATCGCCTTTCCAGCCGTGCCAAACAAGAAAAGAATCCATGCACTCACCGCTGGAATCAAGATTAACCTGCAGCTTGCCCGCGCCTTGTGCAGTTGCGCCGGCCGCCGCAAGGAGCAGCGAGCCCAGCAGCGCCGTCGCTTTGGCCGCCAGTGTCCAGCCCATGTTATCTGCAAACTACTAGGCCCAAACGCATTTGTATGTCGGGCGCGCCGGAGGTGTTCGTCGGGGATTCGCCCTGGTCGTAAACGGGAAGTCAGTCGGTATCGATGTTACGGAATGAAGCCGGGGATAAAAGTTGGCTCGAGGGCTAGACCCGAGCTCTGAATTGTTCAGTTCATCAGGTTGTGCCAACAGAGCAGTTCCAACCTGTGTACTCGTACTGGTAGGTTGTAACTGACGTAAGGTTGTTGTTGGTCAGGGAGGATTGAGCTTCAGGAAGATCTTGGGACATGCCGACAGGGTCCTGCAGGGCGGGAATGAACAGAAAACACGCTGTGCTTACTAGTGATTTTCTGTTGGGAGTGTGGGACAGGTATGTATTAGACCCCTGCAGCTCGGACGATTCATTGGGAACAGGAGGGGGCTGTGCTGGGCGCGCATGTAACGGTGCCTCATTGGGCAGTTGACAGTCGAGCGCCGTTGGCATGGCTTAGCGGGCTCGTATCAAACAGCACCGCTTGTCTTGGCATTCGCTTGACAGAAGCTTAATAATAGGTAAATACGAACTCCTACATAAACCGTGAGAACAGAACTTAAGGTGGTACGTCGCCCACTGCAACTGTAATGCAGAACATGTTGTCGTGCCCGCCGGGTTTAGCGACCCTCTAGGTCGGGTATAGCGCCGCATCAGACTCGCGTCCTCGCACGGCCTAGCGCGCCCGCAGCATAAATAAGAGCAGCTTCCTCCGACGTCCCTTTTCTGTACTCGCGACTTCTCTTCCCTTTATCCCTCCCTCTTTTTCTTCGCTCCGTACCCTGTCTCCTTCGGATACGAAGACGGGCGTTCCACTAGCGGAAGTCTTCCCATGGAACGAGGGACATGGGATGTGAGTGGCGAACTTAGACAAATACAAGACTCAAGGCGCTGCAAGTCCAGTTCTAAATTGCTAATCGACCACTGGAGAGTAAAAAGAAGATACAGCTGTCTAGGTGTGGCGCTTGGGTGAAGGCCTTTCCCGTATTGTATTTGCGGCGCTAACGTGTTCGGCAAGGTGTGCAAGTCAAATTTCCTCTAGTCGCGCGCTTACGAGACGCCGCAGGTGACGTCAACGCACCCTCCCGGTTACGAGCTCCGCTGACGCCAGTGCGACCGTCTGTGTGAGAGACGAGCAACACGTAGGCGAGGCACGAGGGCGCTGCAAATGCTACTCAATTATTATGCTAATCGAGAGCTGAGAAAAGGAAGAAGATCCAAGATGGCGTCTGCGCCACGAGAAGGTAAATGGGTGCCACCGCTCCCGATGCGCAGTCGACTTGACGCTGCTTGTCGGCTTTAGTACCTTGGCGACGACGGACGGATGGTCAGCAGTCAGGATCGAGATCATGGCTCACCAAACAGATGAAGACCGAGAATTGGACAGATTCTTTATGCGTGTGACCGAGTACTTCTCCCCGGGCTTTGATCCGTATGAGCTCGATTGTCTGGCCGGCCCGGAGGTCACAGCACCATGCAATTCCCTCCACGTGCTCCGCCACAAGATAACTTTCGCGATGTCGTCTGAGACGCTTCCGACAACCATATGTCCTATTCTAAACACCTAGGACCTGAACGAGGGCCGTCAAGCGACCCTAAGCCCACCGAGCTCTAAGACGAACGCCGCCACAACAGGGACGTATCTCGGGGGTAGCGGTATGACGGAACATTGTGTCCTGTATGATCAGCGATGTACGGAGGCTTGCGTTCCCAGCCGTTCAGATTGTGGTGCTTTGCTACGCCACGGTTGCCTCCTTCCTAAATCCTGCACGGGCATCTTTGATGACGGAATAACGTTTGCCGTAGTCGACGAGGATGACAGGCAAGTCGGTCTCGAGATGGGCTGTGGAGAAGTCGTACTCGACGTGGAAAATATCAAAGACAAGAACATCCAGTCTGTCCCATTTTTCGACGACAAGTAACGTCGGGCGGCTATCATCGACAGGGATATCGAGGGCAGTGCAGGCGATCTTGACAATCTGGTCGGGTGAACTGGTGTACAGCGAGGACTTTCTCTGTACGAAGACAGCGACCCTGGCTGGTTGGCGGGAGTGGACAAGCTTTGCGACGGACTGCCAAAACCAGGTTAGATAGCACATACACGTTGGATCGGGAAAGTTACCATTGGTACAGGTATTTGTTGCAGCTTTTCCATCTTGATAGCATAAGCCGCACATTCAACTTGCTTCTGTGCACTGGCCCACCGCAACAATGGAGAGCGTCATTGCGGCCCTCACAGCCTCTCAGATATCCAGATTCTTTTCTGCAAACGGCCGTCCGACGCAGCAAGAAATGCGACCAATTAGCTGAACGTATCATAGAACAGCCTGCCATCCCAGCACCCGTCCAGGGTGGAACCAATTACACCGTCATTGCCGGAGAGTACGTTGTTCAATTTCGTGCACCCAATGCCGTCCTTAACTTGGAGTTCCTCGGACACGTCGAAAAGGCCTATCACTGCTTTATGCCATGTCATAGTGACTCGGGCACATTTGGGGAACTCTTCGTCTACAAGATGCGAAATGTGGGAGGGGTCTCCTTGTACCTTGCCCGGGACAGTTTATACCGGAATGGCTGCTTCCTCTTGCAACAAACAGTAATGGATTTTACTCGGTCGGTATCTCTCCTGGTGCGAACACTAGGACAAGAATCTTTATCTTTCCGAATAGCTTACTTCTGCCGACCCAGATTCTTTGCCTCAGCATGGCAAAAGACCCCAAAGGCCATTCCCGTGTCAGACCGCCGTTTGTTACACTGCAAGTACATGACTCAGCACTCACAACTCTCAGCGGGACTCCCGGAGCGCTTTCGCCCCATGTTGAATCGGCTCCTCCCACGCCTCCAGTATATCACGGCCGTCGAGTGGCCCCTCGTGCCCAACCACATCGACCTCCTTGAAAACAACATCCACGTCGACCCGAGCACAGGCAAACTGACGGGTGTCTGCGACTGGGCGGGCACGGAAGTTAGTCCGTTCGGCATGTCACTCGGCGCAGTCGAGAACATGCTCGGGATTCCAAAATTGGACAGGGAAAGCGGACGGACTGACCATGTCTACCATGCCAACCATCGAGAGCTCAGTGACCTGTTTTATGACGAGTTGTATAGTGCAATGGGATCCGTCTCTGACAGGGACAAGGAGTGTATCGAGGACGCTATATTGGTTGGCCTCTTTCTAACCAATGCCTGGCGGTATGACGGAGCTGGCAACCAGCTCCCTGCCGGGGAGGAAGAGCATGGCTTGCAACATCTCGATGCAGTTCTTCGGGCCACATCCGACGGATATTGATGGTGTGAGGACTTCCCATCAATGAAAATGGGGCCCCGTGTGGTGCAGAGTCTCGTGCCCAGAGCTACACGTCAGTTACGCGGCACACACCTCGGTTTCTTCGTCAGCCATTGCTGTGGCCCCCCGAGAGCAAAGCTGCTATTCGACGGGAGCACGTTTTCAGCCACGCCAGGACGAAGTCCCCACGCCCACGTCCTCTCTTGGAGGGTTGCTTAACCGAGTTAGGGCTGGTTATGAAGGCGGTGATGATGAGGTCCGAGATCCTGTTCAAGAGGTGGCAGCGGGAGCCCCTACTGCCGATGACGAACCTTTATTTACATTGCTTACAACAGGGCTGTCAATGCCTCTGTTCTCTTGGGTGGCGCCAAGCTTCGCTTCACACTTATTCGGCCTCGCCTGGCCAGAGGAAGGCTAGAGGAAGGGGGCACAATCAGGTATTTTATTCATAGCTAATTCTCGCTTAACTAACAACTTGACTTGGGTTGTTAAGCTGCCAACAACAGGCGTAATATGGAATGAATGAGAGACGACGAAGATAAGAGATTTGAACCAGGAGCAACAGCGCTTTCTCAACTTAATCCGTAATCCATACTGTGCACGTCTAACGCTAGACCCTCATCAACATTTGGAAAGCCCATAAGGCTACACCAGGTATGTACTGGACATGTACTTGATCAACATAACCGTTGGGATATGGCGACTACGGCTTGCTTTGGTACAAAATAGATTCAATGGAGGAATGAACAAAGATAGACTCTCGGTATTTCAATACAATCAATGTGCTCCAATGCTCCATGTGTTGGTGGATTCTCCCTCACCATACCTCTTTCTATCTAGGCAAACTAGGGTACTGATTGCCTACCTTAGGTAGCTCTCATGGTTTAGGTTCTGTATGTCATAGTTGCAGTGGAAAGGGTGTATCCTGGCTAGGTATGCAATGTGTATGAACAACTGAGCCCAGAGTGTCACTGGTGAACCCAACCACCTATTTGAAGTTCTAGCCGGACAAAGTCATTCTCTAGATGCAATGCTGGCGACCAAGGGCGCCGCTATTGAACGTGATTCATATCATTTGTCTACCTTAGGCACCTAGATTTTCTGAATCCTGCCACGTCTTGGCTGGCTTCCCGAGACCTAGCAATAGGGAGGTCACGAGAATATCGCAACTTGCAAGCGAGCTCAACGCATACCCTCTGTATCCTGGACTATTGTTCTTTCTCACTAATCCCTATCAGAAGTTTACTGATAGCTGAATCTATGCTCATAACTTCATCCGTTTGGCGGATCTTCTTGAAATCCAAAACTGAAAACAAAAGCGAAAACATACATGGTGGTAGCCGAGTGACGGGGCGATTGTCGCCACGCGTATGGGTTCATGTTTTTCCTTCGATTTCCAAGTTTCCAAATGCCGCTTACAACACGTCACTCAGCCGAATCAGCCCTCCTTTCTCAGCCAGATCAGACCTCCTTTCTCCAAATTAGGTGCGTGAAGTGGCGAGAATTATTTCTCTGCACTCATCTACGTCTGCCCACAGTCTCTCTCGTTTTGTAACCACTTTACTTGCACCGACTATTATCAGCCATCCATTTTCAAAAAGGCTTCCCGGAAAACCGCCCTTGTCATCCTGAAAGTCAATAATCCGGTTCGCCAGGAAATATAACGTCTTTTAAATTTGCATCATGGAATTTCCCTTCTCCGATCCTTCTCCTTTGATCCCTTCGACCAAGCGGGGCCTGCCCGAGGAGTTGGCGCAATCCCCTACCGCAAAGCGGGCCAAACGGGCCAAGCGGGCCAAGAGTGGAAAGAAGCGTTGCGATGAGAGTGTAAACGAGTCAGCGATCTGCGCCGTGCAGGATGATTGGGCTTGTTCTGATACCGGCCCGGCTACTCAAAAAGATCTCGAAGACACTGAGATGTGTGATGCTCCTGCCCAGAACATCCCCAAGACAGAGGCCAACACCGGAAAGTCGAGAGCCGAGCCGGACCACCAAGGGAAGCCTAAATATCCCATCATCAACGGCCGCGAATGGATCCCAGCTGTCGCCGGGCCATCCAGGCCAAGGGCTGGCCACAGAGAGCTCGCTGAGCAGCCAAGACGCGAGCTCACACCTCTTAGCGAAATCGCTCCTCCCCTCGATTATACTTTCAAAGCGTTCCCGAACCCGACAACATCCGATTACAACCCCCCTGAGGTACTGGAGAAGCCAAAGACCAAGGATGAGGAGACCAAGGCCGCTGGCGAATCTCCCCAAGTCACCACCAACAAGAACGACTTTGACGAGGGAACCTCCCCGATCATTCCCGCTCGAGGAAACCACGCAGGTACCAAAACCCTGAAAGCCATTAACAAGCACCTCAAGGCCATCGAGACTAAGCTCAACGAGCACTCTCCCGACGAGATCGAATCGCTGCGCGCTCATATCACGCGTCTCCAGGAGCGCCTCGACCTCGACGGCTTGCGCGCCGCCATTCGCCACGAAATTCTCTTCAACGCGCTCATCAAAGTGGCAACCGACGTGGGCAAGTTGAGCAGCCAAATCGAGGCTGCTGCCCAAAATCAGCGTGATGAATCCAAAGACGAGCAGATCAGTGAAGCGAGCATCACCAACATTACACCTCCGGCGCGTGTGAATCAAAAAAAAGGAAGGGATGGCATCGCCGCGGCGGCTGCTGCTATCAAGGAGTCAAAGGATAAACAGAAGGTTAGCCTGAGGAAGTCGCGTAAGACGCTGGAGCAGTGCCTGAGGAGTTATACCGAGGATATGGATCGCGCGGGCAGTATGAAGGCTGTGAGGAACTATGGCGGGCTTTGTGTGCAATATGCTGAGGACTTATTTAAGACCTTGGGCTGAGAGATTTGTCGTTCCTTGTCATCTATCCTTTTCGCTCGTGCATGGCTGAGCCCGGATATTCATTTTCCTAATCTTTGTAATACGGGTGGACAATTGTTTGGCTACGGGACTGCTTGGTTTCCCTGTACGATCCCTGACCATGGCTGTTTAATGCTAATGCCTTTCACCATCATTATGTCCCGAGTATAATGTTGACGGAACGCTGACGGGTGGTTGACCTGTTAACCAAGGCCCGATGGGGAGCACTTGAAGGGGCGACATATTCCAGGTCAAAGCTGCTGCCACCTTAGATACAGACGCAGCACGCGGCAGGGTAAGTTCATCCGGAGGAAGCAACTGCAATTTAGATCTTCAAAAGACATTCCTTCATAAACCCCGACGATGCCATCAGAGTGCCTTCCCCATTTGGATCACCCGGCTAACTCGGCAGGTGGGGCCGTACGTCGCAACTCTCCGAGCCTCCGGCTTTTCTCCCCTGCAACTTGCAAGAACGTTCCTCTTCATAAAAATGGAAACGAGATCGCTCCGCACCCGGGTAGCCAATGCGTGCGATCTTTGCAAGCTGCGGAAGATCAAATGCAGCGGCGCTCAGCCGTGCGGATATTGTGTGAGACGTCGGCAGCCCGACAACTGCCGTTACACCGCACAGCGGCGCCGACCGAGGCCCCGCTCCGAAGTGACATCAGTCCAGGACGGCGCCTCCGCGTCTTCCACAACACGCTCCGGCGCGTCCCGGGAGCGGAATTCCTTTTCTCAACATGCAACGCCAACCCCCTTCCACCCAGGCCCAATCGCGGGCTCTACGACTCACGGCGTCTCCATCGCTCTTGCTGGATCCACGGGGCCGTCCTCCGCTCCGGAACCTCAGGTGCCCCGGAACACAGTCTTTGCCGCTCTCGAGGAGCATGAGCACGAGGAGACTGAAGTCCCTCGGGAGGCGCGGCTACTTTGCGACGCGCAGGGGAAGCTGATTTTCATCGGGGACTGTGCGCCCCTATCCTTCTTTCAGACCGTCAGGCGGCTTGTTACAACGCGCGTTGACGCCCATGCATTCGCCCCTGAGACGAGTGGCTATTCGGCCCTTGAGAATGTCTACTCACGAACATCCGCAGTTGGAGGCTACGGAGCCGAGCCGCCGGCAGTCAAGGTGCCCATCGGCCCATCGGTGTCCGGCTACCTCGACGTGACCGCAGGGTTAATCGACTTGTTCGACAATACCACCCGCTTAGCCGATGACATGGCCGCCTGGGCCGCGCAGATCCGCCCCCGGGACAGCGTTGTCGATGTGTCCTCGGCCGTGAATTACCTTGTTCTCGCCATCGGTTGCCAGAAGTCAGACGAGAGCATTGCGCAGCTGTACTACGACTACGCCCGGAATCTTGCCTTTGCGAGCCTCAGCGGCGACTTGGGAGTCGCAAGTGTTCAGGCGTTTATTCTCATCAGCTTCTACTCGCTCGGTGCATGTCAGATCAATGCCGCTTTTCTTTTCTTTGGCATCGCAGCACGAGCGGCTTACTCTATCGGCATCCACCGGACAGCTGTCAACGTACGGTTTGGCCCCGACATCCACCGGCAAAGAGACCGGCTATGGAAAAGCCTGAGGGTGCTGGACTTGTTCCTTAGCACATCCATGGGCCGGCCGCCAGCGACTTCGGATGTCGACTGCACCGTACCGTACAGCGCCCAGGACGACGGGGGTCGTGAGAAGTTCGATTTGCTGAACGCGTCCGCCCAGATCTTTCTCATCATCGAAGCCATCGTTGTGGAGGTCTACTCGCGGCGGAAGATATCCCCACGGCTCACCGAAGGTATTTCCCGTGAGCTCCGCGAGTGGTCAACGCGCTGGCTCCAGCGGCTGAAGGACGTCATCGAAGGAAAGTCGTCCGAGGACCAGCCCGGGATGGTGAACGGTGCTTGCCAGATTCTCTCATCCTACTACTACGCCGTCATACTCGTTTCCAGGCCGTTTCTCATGGTTGAGCTACACCACAGATTGTCTGACGGATGCCGCTTCGCTTCAGACAACAGGGCTGGCCTCATGACCGGCAAGTCAAAGCTGGCTGACGCATGTATCGATGCCGCAATATTGATGGTGGAGCCGGTGAGAGATCTCATCGAGAGGGGCTTGCTGACACGGCGCGCACCGATGATCGTGTGAGTGGTCTTGTTGTTGCTTTTCTCTAAGTCGGTCGCTTATTCCGCTCCCAGCTCGTGGCTTTTTGCCTCATCGCTTGTGCTTGGTGTCGGCTTGCTTGGCGGATTCGGCCGCATCATAGAGAAGCACTGTCGTGCCTCCATCGCTGCCCTCGAGTACTTCGCCCAGGCTGATGCACACGCTGTGCAGTACTCCCTCATCGCCAAGTCCCTCCTTGCCACCGCATTAGAGTATCTCGAGAAGAAGGAGATACTGGAACGCCAACGGAGAACCGAAAGCTCGTCCCAGCTCTTCGGTCTTGTTCCTCATACGCCCCGCCCAACCAGCGATGGCAACCGTGAGCAGGCACCGTCAGGGACTCGCCAGAGCGAGAGTCCGGATGTTTCCAGTAGACCAGATAAATCGCGCTTAGGACATGCAAACAGTCAAACGCCACGGTTCGGTTTCGATTTTGAGTCGGGCTTTGTCGGCTTAAGCGAGACGGTTACCAGGACGCCAGATTTCTTGTTCATGGATGGGCCTCTCAATGCTGATGCCGAACAGACCTTCGGCACACTCAATCTCTTCCCGCTACTCGACACCGACGGCCACATCGACTTGGCCAACTATTTCTGAGATGATACTACCTATACCGTTAGGTATGTTATCTCAAGTCAATGGACCCAGGATCTGTAGCCAGGCCCGGCCTGGAAGTAGGGAGCTATATGCCACCCTAAAACGGCACACACGCACCGTATATGCGCCGACAACCATCCGCGGCTGTGTCGGGACAGATAAAAAGCTCTTCGTCGACTAAAACTAGGAGTTCCTGTATTGCCTCGCTGTTGCGTCCCTGTGTGCTGCCGTGTCGTGCCAGGAATTGCGGTGCTGCTATAGTACGCTACCAATTATCCTTTAAACCACTCGTAGGTCATAGGAACCTGCAGGGAATTAGAGATATAGGTATAGCCTCTCATCTCTATGGGTGTCGCCTGCTCGGCGATTGTATTGACCTTTGGGTAGGAGAAGACGTCCCTACTTCTTACCTCATCTGTGAAGCCCACCATACATTGCCATCGTATGTTGATCATTTGGAGGATGGGAGTGTGTCGCTTTCTCTTGGCTACTAAGCTGTCTGTACCTATACCCATCTGGACCACGCCCCTTGTTCTTCAGTCAGGGCTTAGAAACAGGCGAGGGCGATGTCATGATGAGCAAGACGATTCCCTTGAATTCTCTGCAGCGTAATCTGTTAACACGTATTTGCGTTGATCCACACCGTCTGAAAGGTTAAGCTCAACCTTCGCTGAAAGTTTGAGACTCTGTCCGTATCAGCACCATCATATGTGACCTTGAGAGTGTTAGGTAGCCGAACCGGTCAATCCAAATGTTCGCAGCTTCTCCAGCATCACCTTTGTTAAGAACATATGCCGTCCTATCCCACAGCAAGCCCTCCTCATCTCAGACTCCATAGCCTCGGCCAACCTCCCATACATCGTCTCCATCACCACACAACCACCAGCCAAGTCCCACCAGCCATCCGAACCTTCCTCAACGCAACCGCCATTACAAGCACCGGGGAGGTCGCCCCAACGGTCTTCCAGCTCTAGAAGTATGTCGTGGGATATTCAGAGATCGGAACCATCGACCTGGCTCAGGAGTCAGGACAACGAATCAACCGTGAAGAAAAGCCAACACAGGTTACACAACTATGCTCAACGGTAACCGCACTCCACCCGACACACTTGGACTTGCTTAGCAGTCGACTCAGCCCTCGACGAAGCCTGGTGCATCAAAAACTGGCCCCTAACGCTCAGAGACTGTCTTATCTGATCCGCTGCTGAAGCTCAGGGGTACAGTGCTTTGGTTATAGGCAGAGAAGACCGAGGTGGGGAGGGGGGGGGGGCTCTGATGAAGCCGCTGAAGAGTTTGAGCTCGTAACGTATGCATCATGGCAATTATATCAGGTTGTTAGCCGACACGACTCGGTACTGTTCCGTGTCAAACACAAATAAGTGCGATGCATCGGCGCCGACGTCGTTCCGGATCACATACGAGGGCCAGCCGTTGATACTTCACCACAATGTCAGACGTGGTCGCTTTAGTCACTTTAGCCAATAGACACCTTACCGTGTCTTAATCTAGGTCAACAAATGATCGGTCCAGGAAACAAAGTCTGGTTTCGCGAAGCAACCCTAGCAAAAGCAGACTATCACTGCAGCTCTTATCTCCCTCCCTCATCCCTCAGATGATCGAACCCCTCCTGGACTTCCTTTGGGAACTGGGCACCTTTCGGCCTTGGCATGACCCATCCGGGATTTAGATCTCTCCACCTTGGATCAGCTTGCCCAACTTCTCTCTCAGCACCTTGACAATAACCTCCGGGTTGGGGCCCGCAGATCCCGCCGCCGAAATATCGTCCTTCGTGACGCGGACCATCTTCACCTGCGGCGCCAGGACAGCCACCGCTTCCGACACAGACTTGGCTTCGTCGTCCGTGACAGCGCCGCCGAAGATGACCACCTTGGGCACCTTGCGCTCGGCTGCCTCCCTGTCGACGTTGGATCCCAGGCCTGAGGAGGGCGCCGTGGCCGTGTTGCCGCCGCACAGCGGGGGCAGCTCGGTAATGGCGGACTTGCCGTCCATGCACATGTGTACGACTGTGGTGGGAGAGAATAGGGTCGGTTAGTTACTGGGTGTGATTCAAGGGCAAGGGGGGCGTTGAGGGAATGGAAAGGGAAAAGGGAGGGGAATAGGAAGGGGGCATTCTTTACCGTCATACTCCGGTAGAAGGAGGTTCTGGATCTCTTTGGCCACATCCGGGTTGGCACCGAGGCTGGCGACGGGAATGGGAGTGGCAGACGACATTGTGGACAGACTGAGAAGCGCGACTTCCAATGCGGCGATTCGAGCTGTTGTGATGAAATGACAGGTTTCTTGCTTGTTGAAAGTTCAAGGTCGTGGAAGTCCGGTCGAGAGACGTTGTGATTCCAAAACCGAGAACCTTGGGGAACTGCACCCGACAGAAGACTTTATTCATGAAAGAGAAGGGAGGGACAAAGCTGACGCGTTCCCCAGCTGGGCGTACTTAGCGGGTAACACTTGCGATCGGTCGTTGGTCGTCCTTGCCGTGGCACTTCGTCGGTTCCCACCAAAGGCCACACGGAACGACGAGTTGATGTTGCTCATGCGTTGGCTTTGCTCGTTGGTGTAGCTCTTCGCAGGAGCAAGGGGCTGCACATCCTATCTCGAGTAGGGGTTTTCCGGTGTTCGGCTTCCCAATTTGCACAGACTCCGAAGGCCGAACGATTCAATATTTGTTTCAATCCGTATCACGTGGGGTAATCCGGCCCTCGCCCGGCCACGACAGGAAACGTCTCAACGGCTCAACGGCGGCCTCGGCACATGGAGACTTCCGGATTCCGCATTTGTCCATCGGACCAACGAGATTTTCCGTTGACATTCCAACAATGTTCGCAATCCCGGCGTACATGCCGATTTCTGGGGCTATTGAGGATTCATGTCGAGGGAGCCAGTCGGGTCAACGCATTCAAGGTTCGGGCGTTACCCGTGGCGCATTTATACTTGGGAGATGACGACAGCCGTCGCACCTTCGTAGACCGAGGCACGGCTGAAGGAGGAGAGAAGATTCATTACAATTGGCACCGTGTCCGATTGCGCCAGCAGTACGCTACAGGGACGGCCCCGGAGACCCGCGAGCTTTTAGATCTCTTCTCATTCTCGGCTGTCGAATCCCCTTTATTCCATCAACATTGCTAAGTCTAGGGAATTCACCTTTCTTCCCTTCTTCCCTTCTTCCCTTCTTCCCTTCTTCCCTTCTTCCCTTCTTCCCTTCTTCCCTTCTTCCCTTCTTCCCTTCTTGCTTCCCTTGCTCCTTTTCCTTTCTTCCTGATTCGGTCCTGAATGCTGAGCACGAAGTCCGCCCCTCCAGCCCCCGACGACCATGTCAAGACCCACGGTCGCAATTCCCTTCCTCTTCCGGCTCTGCCCTCCGTACGTCCCTTTACAATTCTCGCCATCCAAACATCCTGACACACTCCAGTATTCGTCGTTTGAGTTTGAGAATGGGAAAATATGGTTTATAATCCGTTGAACCTTGCTGATGGGATTGTCTCGCCATCCTACTGGTCGTCCGCACATTTCTTTTCGCAGGGTGGAGGAGGTTGCGGCAGCGTTCGCAGAACACGAGCGGTGTCCCTTTCCGTTCCTGCCCCCGAACAACGGCCAGCAGCAATCCGGCGGTCTTCATGGCTGCTCGGGAGGTCGCGTCCTGAAAAATATTCAGAAGATGCGGCCGAATTGGCACTTCTGAGCTACGGGATCTTGCTGGGCGGCAAGAGCTTTCTCCGGCGCAGGGGTTTTCGACCGCTGAACCTGGCAGAGGGGTCTAGGTAGATATTGGGCAATCGGTCAATGCTCAACATAGCACAGAAAGCCCCAAGCACCAACGGAAACTGACCTGAGGGGCACTGTTTCTAAGCTTCTCCCTGGAGATGTTCAGACTTCTCGGATTCGAGGAGTTTCAGCGTGGGGTTTGTCGCTTTATTGGTATCTGTTCTGGTACGTTTTCCGGATGCGGACGACCAGCCTTTCTTGTTGACCGGTGTTCCCGATCTTGTAGCCACGACATGGAGCGTATGACGTACGAGTGCAGACCGGCGTCTTGTAGGACGCCCCGACGGGAGAATGCAGGATAGGTACCAGATTTGATAGTAGTCTGTTTCAATTTTAGGTTCAGCGAATGGTCTTCTATCTTCTGCGCCGTACGTACGGCCAGGTTCTCCGGCCCAATTGGGCGGTCACCTGCGCCGTCCCGACCGATGTCTTCCCCCGCCTCTCGGCTGTCGTGATGACCGTCCCGCACTTTTGATTTTCCGGCCACAAGTAGGCTCGTTGCACTTGTACTCCGGAGCACCATCTGGGTTGTGTTTATCTCGTTAGTGTTCGAACAAAGCCGAAGAAGACTTGGAGGTCTTGCCACAAGTAGGCTCGCTGCACTTGTACTCCGGAGCGATGCCGTGCTTATGTTTTGTATGGAGTCGTAGCCCCTCTCTCGTTTTAAGGCCCTGCCACAAGTAGGCTCGCCACACTTGTACACCGGCGCGTTGCCCAAAGGGTGGTGATGCTTTACGTGGTATTGTAGACCCTGAATAGTTATATAGCTCTTGCCACAACTAGCCTCGTTACAATGGAATTCCTGTTGTAGCGCCGAGATATTGCCTGATCGAAACTTGTCGTTGAAGAAACGGAACTCTTCTTCCCATACATTTCTGTCCAGCGGCGGGCGAGGAGTGCCCATATCACTTCTTGTATTTCTGCTCATAGTCAGCGATTCCCGTCCAGGGCAGGCCTCATAGTTAAGATACGGTAGGTAAGACTTACCGCATCCACCCGACGTATGTAATGCCGGCCGCAGGTTCGCCATCGTACATGTGGAGGGTGACGGTATTTTCGGTCGTGTCTGGGGTTGGAAGAGTCGGTGCAACTGATGAACAACTCGGGAACCGAACAGGTTGAGACAATGTTGAATCTGAAACAACAGCTGAGAAAAGCACACAGGCTGGAAACAGTTGGACTAATTGAACTGAATCGTGATGTGATGCAGGTGGATAACAGGATCAGGTTTCCAGATACTGGGGGATCCGGAAGTCCTTGAGAACTGTCGAGAGGATGCGCCTTCATACTTTCTTGACGAGGTCGATCAGTGTGACTCCCAGCTCAATCTGGGTACCAACTGAAGATGGCCTGAGACGGGCCAGGCAGACTGGGCCAGAGCGAGGATCCCATGCTCTGGTGAGATAGAGTGGTTAGCTTGAGGGATCTGATATTTTAAATGTCTTTTGGAAGGTCAGAAATAGTGCTCGAAAGTGTTTGCGTATAATGCCGAAGCCTTTTATTGTATGCTGACAATCTCTCCTTGGTCGTGATTAAAGAGGGATGTTAGACATAGACAACCAAGCGACAAATAAAGGTCCACTGTCAGGGACTGAGCAGTAGTAAACCTTTACTTACTATCATTCAAAAGAGTCATGGAATGCCTGATTGCTTTCCCATTGTCCGTTAGGCAGGTTCTCTAGTCACGGCCTGATAGCCCCTTGAAACTCAAAGCTGAACTTATGTCAGTCTCGTTTAACCTAGCATAGAATAATATTAGCATACCTATACGCGACGCCAAATTGCCTGTCGCTTCTGACATTGGGCAAGAGGGTCCTATAGCGTTCCAATTGCCAATCGTGCTTGGTGCCGTATAGGTAGTCGACCGGAGGTGGGATATGCTGCTCCATCCACTTCTCCTCTACCTCCTTGCGGGACTCGGGCACGAGGAGGTGGAACATTCTCTTACGCAATACGTCCAGGAGCGTGCAACCATCGGCGATGGGCTCCTTACGGTTGACTTGGCCCTCAATTGTGGGCTCTTCGACATTGACGAACGCCTGGACAAACTGAGCAGCACTTGTCCTCGTCGAAGACACGCACGTCGCAGATATCTGAGCAACGGTTCAGGGAAGTAGTAGGAGATCTTCTCTACGCTGTAGCGTCGTCCTGGGACGATTGACTATAGGTCAGATAGACGTCTTCATAGAGGGCTCTGCAATTATTAAAACGGAGACGGTACCGGGTAATTAGCCACGCCCGGCAATCGGACGAAGTGTCGACCGAGGCTGGTTACCCAGCCCAGGTTAAGTTTCGTAGGGCACTTGGGTCCAATTCGCGACCATATCCAAAAGGGCGATGGGTCGACAAACTTCGACCCCGTCGCCCTCGCCGCTACCGCCATCACAGTGGCGGTGGTAGTGCTGGTTGCGGTGGTGGTGGCGATCTCAAGAAGACGAACAACGGTTCGATCGTCCTCAGGAAGCCGGGGATCTGTGGATTTCTTTTTGGCGAACGACAGGGTGTTCCACCCATGGTATCTCTGATGTTTCTGCCCGGGCGAGGACCTACTGAGTGCGTATCACGGTGGCTTGCTAGACCGTACAAAAAATGTACGGGACCTATATGGCCGAGGAATTGTACGAAGGTTGGTGGGGAGCAACCTCCGAGCAGGCAATCTGTGGATAGTCTTGGTAGTCTTCTCGCTAAGGTATGATGAAAGAAGCAAGGATAAGGTAAGGATGAATCGGCGGAAATTGGGGTTGCCTGCAGCTTCCAAGTACGGAGGGTAACCCCGACAGATCTAAGAAATCGAAGCTCTCCTTCCGACGTCCCATGGCTGCTCCTTCCGAGTCAGTCATCGAGGCATATTGCACTAGGTACTACTATACAAACTAGGAAGGCGCTAGACCCAGGTATCAGTTCAGTCGCCCGTTCTCCAATTGCTCCCTCACAGAATCATACGACGCATAAGCATCAGCCTCAGCATCAAAGTCCAGAATCCATGCCTCTCTTTTGAGGTGCAGTGATTCGGGATCCTTCCAGATAGCTTCCCAGTCGGCCTTGTGCCATTGTTCGCGCGTGGTGACTCCCGTCCGCTGAATCTTGTGCACACGCTCATACCGGATCCGCTCCCACACCTTGAGCGCCTCCTGCACCTTCCCCTTGCCGGCTTTGTGCAAACACGCGGCAAGCACTACCCCGTCCTCCATCGCCTGACTAGCCCCCTGGATTGAGGTCGGCAGGAACGGATGCGCCGCATCCCCGATCAGCGCCGTCCGCGCCTTGGGCGAGATAAACGTCGGCAGCGGATCCCGAAACACAAGCTTATAATCAAACAGCCGGTCCGGCGGCGTCAGCTTGACCAGCTCCCGAACGACCGGGTCCCATCCGTCCACGACGCGTAATACGTCCTCGATTTTCCCGGGAAACTGCCAGCTCTCCTCGATGCTGCCCGTGTCCTTGTGAGTGCACACCCAGCTCATCTCCTTGCCGTCCTTGATGGCGGCCGCCAGGAAGTGTACATCCTCGCCGATCCACCCGTTGTGCGAGTCGCCGTTGGCTACTAGATGTCTCGTCTTCTCGTTCTTGAGGAGTTCATCCGAGGGGAACCATGTGCGAAACACGGCGTAACCGGAGGGTTGCGGCTTGTCCTCGAATCCGAGCACTAGCTTCCTGCCTGGCGAGCGGACCCCCTCGGCGGCGAGGACTAGGTCCGCGGTGAACCTCTCGCCTTTGTCGGTTTCGACCCCCGCGCATGCGTCGTCCTCGAAGTAGCGGACGATATGATGGCCCAGGCGGATGTCGATACCCCTTTCTTTGGCGTGCCGCAGCACGGCCTGGTGGATCTCGCCCCGGTGGCCGTTGACGCGTGGTCCCCAGGTGCGATGCTCGTCGACAAAGGACTGGGTGGTGACGAACCTGCCGCGCCAATCGTGGAAGTGGAAGACCTCGGATTTGTGCACAAGCGGGTTGATGGCCTCGCGCACGCCGGGCCACTTGTCGAAGATGCGAGACGAGTTCTGACCGAAGCTAATAATATCTCCGAGCGGTTGGAGTTCGGGAGCTCTGTCAAAGAGCGTGACGGAGTGGCCCTTGCGGTCGCACTCGATGGCCGCCGTCAAGCCGGCGAAGCCTGCGCCGACGATGATGACCTTGATGCCCGAGGGTGGCAGGCGGGGAAAGTCGGCCATGTCTCGTCTCAGTGTTACCTTTTTATATCGTATGGAGTACCTAGGTAGTGAATTCCTTGAGGACGCAGGTGTTCTCCCGAGCCGCCTCTTTCGTAGTCAATCCCGATACCCTTCGGATGAGAACTTGGGAGGCACGGGTCCGGGGTTCCAGAGAGGACTAACACTATATACACTTTCAGCAACAGGCTGCTCCAGGACTAGCCATGCAATACCATGAGGAGAAGTAGCCCCTAAGTTGTGTTGGGGTCCCTGGCTGCATTATTGGACGGGGAACAACAACCGATGCTGACCCCGCATAGGATTCCTCCTGGATAACAATTCACTGATCCCTGTGCTGCAACTGAGAGTACACAGTACATACATCTGCATGGAAAGCTGGGGTTCGCATCACGTAGACCTTGCCAGGATTGGATGCTGCAGTCTTGAATTGATTGCTGGGACTAGTGACACAAGGTAACACACGGGTACCATGCTGTGTTAGAATAGTTCCTGCACCGAGAACGGACGCAGAACAAGACAGTTGCTGCTAATTTTTGCCGCGTTGGCAGTGTTTATTAGACACATCTCAGCATGTCCGAGTGCTGAATGGGGATGTCGTTTGCCGCAGAGAGATACTGCGTCGCGTCAAATGAGCGGGACTCGGAAGACTCCGCCCGAACTTCGAAGCTCGCGGAGTCGCGGTGATGCGGAGTCTCATCGTCTCGGCACGTCAGCTGCATTGGCATTGGGCAAGGACACGAACGTCAAAGTTGAAAAGCTACCCAAATGTTTCATGCGCCGCCTTCACATGGCTGACAGCCCGGAGAAGCTGTCGCACACATGACGCATACAACCAGAATGGAATAAGCCCGATGGAAGTATGAGGTGTCTGACGTAGGCCGATTTTTTAACTTAGGGACTCCGCCTGGGTATGACCCGCTGCCAGCGGGCTGAGTCACGTGCAACGGTACTGTGCAAGGGTCGCCGAGCTGCTGAAGTGCCGTTGCGATTCGGAGAATTCATTGGGCAAGGATGAGCGACAGAGGAAGCTCCCCACTTCCAGCCACGCCTCACCTTTGGAGCCGCATGGACGTTTGTGCCCTGAGCCACCAACGTCAAGCTTCTGGCTCGGAAAGCGCCGCACCCTTGATCTTTGCGTTTGCGATTGCGCCGGGCCAGAGGTTTGCTTCGTCCTCCCCAGTTCATCTCTCTGTCTCGGCCCATCAAATTTGCGGGGCGTTAATTTCTTGGAGCTCTAGTACACGGTAACAATCGCAGACGTGAGTAGGTAGCCATCATCTCCACCTCCTAATCCTCACACCTTCGACGTCACGACGACATCCGATCTCTTTGCTGGCCAGCCGCACTGTACATGCCAGTGCGTAAGACGCCAACCACACTTTGCCACATACCGAAGCTTGGGCTATACAGACTCATCCGATCGTTTAAATCAGACGCGCAAATTTCGCCACAGACCTCCGATATATCTCGTCCCATCCCGTCCCACGGGCTTGCAGCCACTTTCTCGGTGTTCCATCGCACCACGACAGACGCACGACATTGGTGCCAATCGATGCACCGTGCCGCTCCAACAAGATGTCTTCTTTACGTATGTCCGCTCGTGAATTGGTCATTTCTGTTTGCTGACCTAATTGTAGTGACCGATGAGGAGCGGGAAACGTACACGAAAATCATCGACGGAATTCTAGCAGAGGCCGATCTGGAGACCATAACTCGCAAGAAGATCCGTCAAGGCTTAGAGGATGTAGTGAACAGGGACCTAAGCGATCAGAAGGTTCGTATGGCGTATTTGCACTCCTGCCGGCCAGACTACTGACGCCGTTGCCCTGTAGAACGCTATCAAAACGTTGATCGAAGCTCGCTTCGACGCCATATCCAACGGAGCTGCACAAGAGTTACCAACACCTACTTCAGGCGCAGCTGCCGAGTCGTCACCGGCCAATGGACGCTCGGCGTCCGATGACGCAGATGATACGGGCGCCGACGGTGAGATACAGGTCTCACTCCCAACCCGTAAAAAGCAGAAGCGGGAGAGCTCTAGCGAGGATGCGGACGCACGTCTGGCTGCCGAGCTCCAGGCTCAAGAGAACAGACTGTCCCGCGGGCGCGTGACTCGCGGTGCCGGTTCCGCTAAGCCTAAGGCGAAACCGAAGATTACAAAGAAGAAAAGCTCTAAGCGGGTGCGCTCCGACGATGAGAGCAACGCGGAGGATTCTGGTACCGGTGATAAGCCGAAGCGGAAAGCGGGGGGCGGCTTCCAGAAGCCGTTCAACCTCAGTTACCCACTGCAGGAACTGACGGGAGAAACCCAAGTAAGTGTCGACCTCCGTCGTCCTGGACCATTTTCCTCTGACGACGAGATAGCTGTCCCGCCCCCAAGTCGTCAAAAAGATTTGGGCCTACATCAAGGGAAACTCTCTGCAGGATCCCAATGACAGGCGCCAAATCCTGTGTGACGAGAAACTGCAGGCCGTCTTTAAGCAAGACAAGGTCAATATGTTTTCGATGAACAAGCTTCTCGGAAACCAACTCTACCCAATCGACGAGTAGTCCATGTAATCGGCTTTATGAGGCTGGGTTTACGGACCGGATCGGCGTGCTCGGCGTCTCGGAACAAGTTCAGTTGGTTCAAGGAGTATGGGGGTATGCCTCTTCTCGTTTTCCATCTTTTTTTTTTTTTTTTTTTTTTTTTTTTTTTTTTTTTTTTTTTTTTTACATTTGTGCAGGGAGCATCCGGTGTTCCGGACGCTCAATCTATGCTCGGCTCGCCTATCACACGTCTCCTCGGGAACGGCAACCTTCCATCAGCAAGCGGGCTCCGATTTTGGTCCGGCACATCACGGGTTACCAGGGTGGGACAAACTACGATGGCGTCACTGATTTCTTGCGGTTTGAGGTTTTAGTACATTTTTGCTCCCTTTATCTTCCTGTTGGTATATTTTACCCAAGGTTCTTTCTAGGAAACTGGCTTTTGAGGTGCCACGCCTAACGCCCTAATCAAGTGGCAGTGAAAGACTATCGGCTGGCAAGGAGACGACGGCGCAGATCGTTCATGCCCTTCTAGTATAGCATCTGATATTTTGTATTGTGTAGTTCTCAAATTTGGGAAGGCAGGCAGGACAGGAGCAAAAGCATAGGACCGGTGTCGAGTGCGCGAGCCCAAGTGAGTTCAGGGTAGAATCTGAGGATATCCAACCTTTCTTGCAGGGCGTCTTTAGAGGTGATGTGCAGACAAGGGCGATGTCTGATAACGCCCCGACTTCTTCGATGCCGTCGTCTGCAGGACGTTCATTATCCCTTATGTTTTATTGGATGAGGGCGATCGATGAATCAGAATGACAGCAATGCCATGTGACTTCAACAACCCACTCCGTCTCACTTAAGTGGAAATTGTGTCTTTCAGTCGGTGACAGAACGCCAGCCGCAGTAGTTGATCTTGCATGCTCTACCTAAAGCGTCATACCCAAGGTACCTAGGTAAGTTGAGCTTAGCATTGACAGACGGAGCCTGAATTTACTGGTGACGATGCAGGTTATAGGTATTGTACTATGTATACCTTATGACACATGCGGCGAGCCACTATCCCCGGCTAGATCCGCCGTGGGGCTTGCGCTGCTGACGGGACCAATCACGTCACTGACCCTCGTGAACGATTGGCCGTGTCTGGCAGGTTCCACCCGCTGATTAAAATCCCCAGAGCTCCGACGATCCAACCTGGAACGTTAAATAACCCCACTGTGCTGTCAACTTCGAGGCCGCAAACAGCTTCCGACAACTGCACAACGTGCTCCGCTCGACCACCACTTCTCAGCAACGCATTCGACCGAGTCTGGGTCTCGAAATTGCAGGAACTCGCCTCTCGAGCAGTACATAGTCAGGCTGAACCTATCCATAACCGAGGGGAGTTTCAACCCAAACGCTAGAGAGCACTATTCAACGCCACACCGGGACACAGCCCAGCAATTCACAGAACCGGCATGGCGTCAACTGGCTCGGCTACACCAGCTACCGACGGCGGTGGAACTCAAGAGCACACGCCTTCAGGACCCCGTGGTGACGGACACAGAGGAAGAGGCAGGGGACGCGGAGGAAGAGGCCGTGGCCGAGGGGATGGCTCACGCGGTAGGGGGAGGGGCAGAGGAGGGGCGTATCACCACGGCAGTCATAACCCACCAACGCAACCGCCACCCGAGCCCGAAGCCGAGGATCCAAAATCGACTGAGACCGCCAAGCCCCAGAAGTTCAAAATTAAGAACGATACACAAGACGAGGGTGCCAATGGTGACGTCGAGGTCTGCTTCATTTGCGCCAACCCGTTCAGCCACTACTCGGTGGCACCATGCGGTCACATAACCTGCCATATTTGTGCGCTGCGTATGAGGGCGCTTTACAAGAACAAGGATTGTCCACACTGTCGGGTACGTGGCGTGACAAGCATACTGAGCGACGTGGTTGATGTTGACCCTGCTGTGTACAGACGGCCTCCCCGTTTGTCATTTTCACCAACGACGGGACTAAGCGCTTCGACGAATACAGAGACACTGACATCACCAGCACCGACGACAACATCGGCATCAAATATGCGGGCGAGGATATTGTCGGCGATACTGTCCTTCTCTTGCGATATAATTGCCCCGATGCCGAGTGCGATTTCGCAGGCCTTGGCTGGCAGGATCTGCATCGCCATGTCCGCTCCGTCCACCATAAGAAGATGTGCGACCTGTGCACTAGGCACAAGAAAGTTTTCACGCACGAACACGACTTGTTTGCCGATAAGGAGCTCAGCGAGCATATGCGACATGGCGACGACAAACCCGGCGCCGCTGATCAGACGGGTTTCCGAGGGCATCCGCTTTGCGGCTTCTGCGGTGCCCGGTTCTATGACAGTGACAAACTGTACGAGCATTGCCGGAACAAGCATGAGCGGTGCTTTATCTGCGACCGGAGAGACTCGAGGCAGCCGCATTACTATCTCGATTACAACGCCCTCGAAGAGCATTTCAAGAAAGACCATTTCCTATGTCCCGACAGAGAGTGCCTTGAGAAGAAGTTCGTCGTGTTCGAGTCTGAGATGGATCTCAAGGCCCACCAACTCAGCGAGCACGGTGGATCGTTGGCAAAAGGAGCTCGCACCACCGTCGCCCTGTCTAACTTCGACTTGCGGCAGAGGTACGAGCAGGAGAGGCGAGGCGGAGCTAACGCGAGGGAACAACGGAGACGGGGACCCGATCCGAACGCCGAAGCTTTGCCTGTCAGCTCGGCTCAGCCCTTACGGAGAGACGAGCTAGCCTTCCAACGGCAAATGGCCCTGCAAACAAGCGATAGCACAGCCCGGCCAACGCCTCCTCCAGGCCCGTCGCGCCCAGTTCCGAGTACCGCCCCAACGCAAACACAACACCGGGCTCCTGCCAGCCAGCCCATTATCGACGCCATGGAGAACCTCAGCATCACCGACTTGTCCTCCCTTACCCCTGAGCAACGCGCCAGCTTGACCCGACATGGCGCCGTCATCGAGCGTGCCTCCAATCTCCTCGGCAACGATCCCACTAAGATGGCCACTTTCCGCGGGCACATTTCTGTCTATAACAAAGGCTCCATGTCGCCGCAGCAGCTGATCGATGCCTTCTTCAACCTCTTTTCCGAGACGTCTTCCACCGCCCTCGGCACGCTAGTGCGGGAAGTCGCCGACCTCTTCGAAGACAAGAAGAAAGGCGAAGCCCTGCGCAGAGCCTGGCAGAACTGGCGCGCCACTGAGGAGGACTATCCGTCGCTACCCGGCTTGGGCGGTATGCGCGGCGCAACCACCTCCACAACAGGCTGGGCCGCCGCAGCTGCCGCCAGCCCAGGCGGCGCTAACAACACCGCCCAAGCAGCCGCCGCGCACGCCGCCGCGCAGCTCCGCCATTCCACCCGCGTGCTCAAGCTCAAGAACAGCACCCGGCGCACTAGCCTCGGCGGCCAGTCAGTCATGTCCCTCGCCTCGGGGTCCTCTGCGAACTCGAACCCCAACGGTAGCACATCATCGCGCCCTGTCGCACCGGCATCTGCATTCCCTGCTCTGCCCGGACAGCAGCAGCAGCAGCAGCAGCAGCAGCAGCAGCAGCACCAACAAAGACCGTCCTGGATCGGCGGCACCGGTTCTGCGTCGAACAAGCCGGCACCAAGCGCAAGGAAACCAACCGCCACGTCAAACGAGGAAGCTTTCCCTGCCTTGCCGGCCGCGCCAAAACCGCAGACGACTATCTTCGGGTACGGGAGCGGGCGCCCGGTGAGGAGGGAATTTGGCGGGGCGCCGAGGGATACAGGATTTAGTTGGGGAGGCGGTGGGAATTCCAGCTCTAATGCGCAGCAGGGTGCTGGGGGTGGCAGTGGAGATGGGGGTGAGGACGGGCAGCATGGGCAGGGCGGTAAGAAGAAGAATAAGAAACAGGTTCTGGTCCACTGGGGTTAGCATAGTAGCCTTCTACTAGAATGGGATTGAAGGAGATTTGGGAGTCGATACAACATGTGATGTTTCACTGCGGTGGGAGAGCATGTATTATTGTGCACTGAATAATATATTGGAATCATGGCCACCTTGGAGAGCAGAATGGAGAGACAAGGTTGTGTAGCCCGTCTCATTTGAATGAGTTCAGTTATAGGACACCCGACATGGACGCAGCATGTTGACAGTTCATCCCACATCTCTTGAAGATTAGTGAATGCAGACCAACACAAGACAGACACGTTTATCAAGAATAATACCACCGCTTCACTAACGGGGGACCGCTACGCTACGCTTCCAGGAGGGTTTCGTTTGATGTTTGATAAGGGTACCCAACACCGCAGCAAGAACAGTATACCGAAAAAGATAGACAGCGCCCATAACCTTAGGAAAAGCCCAGCTCAACCTTCTTCGTCCTGCTTCCATCTCTTCCCTCATTGCCGACAGTCGCAAGCCGCTCCATCTCAAAGACGTCCCGCCTAACAAAACCCCGAGCACCACACACATCTCATGACTAAACGATAGTCGAAGGCGGCATAGGCAGATAATACTCCCTAAACCGATCGGTGTCGGCCCAGCTAAGGTCGTAGACTACATTCCAGCAGACGATCAGCAAATTCGGGAACCTACGTGCCCAGAAGGCCAGGTATCCGTCCGGCAAGGGTCCAACCGTCTTCTTGAGCGAGTCGGGCATGTCCTCGTAGTGGTTGCGTTTGTTGCGCAGCGCGCGTAGCAGGTCCAGCATGCGCGTGCCCGTGTACTTGCGCTGCTTGCCCAGGCTGTCGACGAACTCGCGCGGCAGCTGCCTGAGGAAGTCGCCCTTGACGACCGCCTCGGCGTGGCTCTCAAGGTATGCCAGGGCCGGGGACGGCGGGTCGCGCGGCTCCTTCTCGAAGTGGTCTGAGACGTCGCAGAGGAAGTTGAGACGCCGCTTGTAGCTCCAGAAGAAAGGGTGGGCCATGACCTCGACTGCGGTGGGGCGTTCCCTGGGTTTCGCGCTGAGCATGCTCTTGATGAGGTCACGCGCCTCGAAGGCGAAGTCGCCCAGGGAGTCGAGGCGGTCGAGGGTGTAGTTGCCCTTGCGGATGTTGACTTCGCGCATGAAGCGGTCGCCGCAGTCGAACGGGTGTTCGCCTTCCGACAGGACGTAGTAAAACACCAGGCCGAGCGAGAAGATGTCGATGGCTCGCGTCACCCGCCGGTGGTGAGGTCCTGGGCCCTCGACAACCGCGGAGCCCGACGCGCTGTGGACGCTGGAGCCTGGATCAGTGAACGTCATGGTGTTAGAGCCGGGCGCGTCGTCGTCGATCAAGAGCTCCGGGGCGCGCCACCCAGTCGTTCCCGCGGCGTGAGCAGTAGTCGCGCCAAACGACGACTGGCCGCCTTCCAGCTTCTTGCACAGGCCAAAGTCGGATACGAGGATGCGTGGCCGGCCGTCTTTGCCCATGTTGACCAGGATATTCTGCGGCTTCAGATCACGGTGGACGATTCGCAAGCTATGCAGGTGGCTCAGGCCGTTGGCGATCTGATACAGAACACCCGGCATGTCGCGCTGGCCGGCTTGCGCTAATTCCCTGTGGTAGTGGGGCTTCTGGACGATGTCGGCGAGCGAAGCCTGGCAGAGCTCCAGGGCAATGTACAGGAAGGCGGCGCGCTCTTGCTGGGCATAGTATCGAATAACTGTTCCAAGTCAGCGCCGCTATGTGATCTTCATAACAGGAAACGCCTTACCGTTCGGATGATCGTCGCTCTCTCTCAACAACCTAGTTTCCTGGCTGGCAATTTCATTGAACTGGACCAGCATACGCTTCACGGCAACGTCACGGCCATCCCACTTCCCTGCAAAGACAATCGTACCGTTGCTCCCCGTGCCCAACTGCTCAGCTTCGTTGACCTCAAGGCTACCCATCTTAAGGATGTGACCGGAGACCTCATCCCCGTCGCCGGACACTGTAATAATGTCTGGCTCGAGCTTGGGCTCACGGACCAGAGCTTTAGCCTTATTGACCACCTCTTCGACAGATTCCTGAGGGGCATCGTCATCTTGAGATTGGGAGTTCTCGCGCTGACCCTTGTTGCCTTTCCGATGCTTCACGCCTCCGCGGCGGCCTCTGTGTCCCTTTTTCTTCTTGGCAGGCTCGCCCGCTGTGGCATCGGCTCCTTCAATGACCGGCTGACCCCGGGCTTCCTGCTGAGCTGCCGGTTCGGGGGGCTCAGCAAAGGCTACGGTTGGGGATGTTCGTTTGGCGCGGGCATTAGTCGCTGGGCTGGGCTCTCCAGGCTCCTCCGTGGGTACAGCGTCGATGGCAACGGCATCAGGGGCCGCAGTTTCTTGCTTTGGCCTCGCCGGGTCAACAGCGACAGGGGCGTACCCTTGAGAAGGAACCGGGGTTGGCGCTGTCGGATTCACTTCGATTCGCGGCGCGAGCACCTCGCCTTTGCCCGATGACTTCCGGTTGAAGCTAAGCAGCTTGTCCTTGTATAGAAACCACAGCGTGACAAAGAAAAGAACGATTGCTGCAGGATTGCTGACAAGGTCAAAAACCCTGGTCACCGCAAGCCCAGGCAGCTTCATCGCTGCATCAATAAACCCGGGCGGCTCCGGCTGAGGAGAAGGAAGCAGGCTGGGAAAGTCGACATCAGGGAGACCCTCCTTGTCGGACCCACCACTTGGGGCATCCAGCAGCAAGCGCGATGGGTTGCCCAAGTTGTCCGGCAGCTGGTGCGTTCCAACAAGCACACGGGACTTTTGAGCCTCATTTAGTATGTCCCAATATTCCTTGACCTCCAGCCAGTCGAGTCGGTGGATAGGTGCAACCGGGGCGGAGAGAATCAGAGGATATCGGCTCCCGGAGAGAGCATACCAGCTCCCTTCCTCGGTCTGATTGATGAAGACCTTTTCGCTGCGGAGACGCAAGTTGTCCTCGTCGCTGGCGGGGAGCGGCGGCTGAGGCAGGACAATGAGCTCCGGGTCCGCGCCAGGAGCAGTCCCCCAACGGTGGAGGACATCGAAGACTCGAGCGACAGGGGACGAGAGCGTCTTGGTGAATACGGGACGTTCTTCACTGAAACGGCCGTATTCGAAACCGTAGACTTTGCCATCATGCTGGCCAGTGACGTAGCGACTGTCCTTGGTGATGAGATTTTGTTGCATGAGGTCGTTGTCCAAGGTGTTAGGACCCCATTCTGAATACTTGAGAGATGCGATCGGGCTGCCGTCAGAGCGGTGGATGCTGACAGTGTACTCGGTGCGCCCAAGTGTGATGGTGCGATCATCGCTGCATTCTTCCTCGCCGTCTGCCAGAGCGTTCGGCTTGAAGCAGCTTTCCGACTCCACCTTGTTGACGTAGCTGCCGGTGGAGCCAAATTGCTTGATGACGGTCCCGGTAGCGGCGTTCAGGGTGACCATGGTCGTCTTCTTGTCTCCGGTGTAGAGGACGCCGTTGGCCTTGTCATTGAAGGGCGCGAGTTCCTCCACCACCTTCTTCATGGTCCAGGCCATCTTGGCCAGGCCGCCGCCGTTCCCGTTCGGTCGCCACAGGTACAGCTCGCCGTCTCGTGTGGGCTCGACGACCCAGATGTAGTGGTCGATCGGGTCGTAGTCCTCGTCCAGGACGGAGCGGTTGGTTCGGAAATGTCTCGTCTCGACCAAGGGGTGGTCGGCCTTGAAGTGCCAGCGTTCCTGCCCGGTTTTCCGGTCGCTGGCATAGAGGTCTCCATCGACGGTCGCCAGAAGAACAAAGTCTTCCACTTCCCAATCCTCCAGGCTCCGCGCAACATGCTGCGAGAGACCAGCCCCGGGAGAGGGGCCTCTGTATTTCGATGGAGGCGGTGCTCGAACGGACAGGTCCGGAGCCAAAGCGTGGGCGCGCGCATCGTCAGGAATCAGGATATTATTGTTATTATTGTTGGAACCAGCGAGTTTTCGAAGGCGCGTCTCTTCGTCATCTGCCTCCCGGGTGACGGTCGTCTTCCGGCGCTGGTGGATGCGGGGGGTCTCGACCGTACCGCGACCTGTCACGGTCGTCGCGGCGAGGTTTGGGGCGGCATGCTGGTCGTCCTCGGGCGGCGACCTCGGCTGGTGGGCGGGGACTGGCGGGTGCTGGTGCTGCTGCTGAGCATCGGCGAGAGAGAGCCACGGGAGAAGGATCAGTGCAAGTGCCAACAGCCGATACTTGCGCTGGGGAGCGACATGGCCAGGAGGCCGTCGCAGCATTTTGGGGACAACAATGCGGATGTTTCGGGGGGTTGTCTCGATTCAGGAATCACATCAAAGCCGGGGTTACTGGAGCTGGCGGCGGCATCGGCAAATAAGCGAGTGGATTCAGCAGTTGAAACAAATCGAGAGAGTAAGTGAGAACTATCCTCGCGAGAATGACCTAAAGAGCGAGCCTGCTGCCGCTGGCTGATGGTAATGCCAACGGGCTTTGGTGGTGGAGGCTGTGCTGATGTGGTGGTCGGTGAGCGGAGTGGAAGAGGCCATGTGGTGGAAAGCAAAGCGGGCTGCGGAAGGATAAGAATGGAAGCAATTGGACTCCTGGGGTGGTGTGGGTGGTTCGAAGCAAGGGGGTTGGCTGTTCGTCCGCTAGGGCTAGGGGCACGGGAGCCAAGTGGGGCAAGGGACAAGCGAGTGCTCCAGGCTCTGCTCACCAGCACTGACCAGGCAGGGATCGAGCAACAAAGGGAGGTCGAGGAGAGTTTTGGGTGAAAGAGGCAATAAGGCAACGTGAGCGCTCTGGATTTGCGAGAATTTCCGAAGACAATCACATCCTACGCTCAAAAGGAAGAACAGATTTAGTACTTCGTCGATGCGGATTTCAGCCGTCGGAGGCCATCTGCCGATTGTGCCTGACGCGAAGATTGATTGGACGGAATCAGTGGTAACATGCTACGACTCGCATCGAGATCTGAGGGCACTCCAGCCAGCCTCCCGGAGTCCTGCCCTACTTACGGTCTAACTAGCCTCTGCCACAGTTCGAAAGTCTGTAAGAGATCCTGTGCGAAATAATTCATCGACTGGAGGCTCATGTCGCCGCATCTTCCTTAGTTTCCGCTACGTACGGATACAGCTGTGTCCCTCGAACTTATTGTTTCATTTCCAGGACCATTGTCTTGGTTGGGGCTTACAACATCGCCGCAATTACGCGTCAGCTCTCTGACCTCCTCCACTCTCGATCAACTTTCCCCTCCATCTGCAACAGGCATTTCCCACTGGGAGATGTCGCGTTCATTGTCTTTGTGCCACTTTGGATCCAAGAGCATCAGGCTTACTCAGATGGCGGTTTCAAACCACCCAAAGCGCATTGTATCTGTGGGCACGCCTCCCTCGGGTCACGGCACAGTAGCGGTGCAGTGGTTACAGGTTACACCAACGGGTCTCGCTTCGGCCTCTTTCACCACAAACGGAGCGCAGATGCAGTCGTACATGTACTTCTTAGTTTCACAGACACCCGAGTCTTCCGTACAGAGGAGGGCTTGGGACATGGGACGTTTAATATTCACATCCGTCAACTGGACTACAAGCCCACCAAGTGGAAGGGCATGCATTTGGCCTACATAAATTCCCTCCATCCATCGCTTGTACTTGACGGAGCTCCTATCATCCATGTAACAACGAACAGCGGCCTGTCACTTAAGTTGATACACGGCTAGTGTTGCCATGAGTGTCTGATACTGTAAGATAATACTGGTACATAACGCCGAACTGGACCACAGACATCCATGAGCCATTCACTCTACAGCTTTGGCGTTGCGGCAGCCTGCAGCATGTTGGTGTGCACCTTGTATATCTTTACCAGCTGGCGTACAGCGAGATCGAGCAGGACGTCCTCGGATCCGCCGGGGATTCTTGCTCCCATGACGTCTCGGTAAAGCACTGCAGACTGGAATTAGCAAACATAGTCCTCGCCTCGGTAGAAAGGGGGTAAGACTCGCTCTCGACGAGCTGCCCCTGCCCAGTCTTGGTATATCCGTTCCCCCCAAACAGCAACACAGCCGTATCAGCACACTCCTTGAGCACCATGCCCGCCTGCGCCTTCAGCATCGCTGTCGGGCCGCCGAGAAGAATATCTGCCTCGCGGTGTGGCAGCTTGGTCATCATAAACGCGAACTGTTCCACCCACGCGGTCAGGCTCTCGAGCAGAGCGCCGGCCTTGGCCAGCCGGTGCCGAACCACGGGCTGCTCGACAAGGGGCTTGCCAAACGCCTCGCGCTTCATCACGTACTCGAACGCAGCAGAGAGTGCCACCCTGGCCTGTCGCGTGGCCCCAGTCGCGACGGCCAGGCGCTCGTGGTTGAAGTTGGTCATGATATAGCGCATCCCTTGATTCTCCTTGCCGATGAGGTTCTCGACAGGGACGCGCACGTCATCTAATTCGATATAGGTCGTGCCGGATGATGCTAGACCCGAAACACTGATCCGGCGCATCGTCACGCCCGGGTGATTCTTGAGCGGGACCAGCAGCGACGAGATGCCGGACGCGCCGCTGCCGGGCGGGCCGGTGCGCACCGCCATGCTGGCGTAGCCGGACCAGATGGCGTTCGTTATCCTAGAAGAAACAACAACGACCCTCAAGCATCAGCCAGCTTATCCTTACCCCCTATCTCAGACCCTATCAATGGCAGAACCTACCATTTCTTACTGCCATTCAGAACCCAGCACTTCCCATCTTCACTCTTCACGGCCGTGGTCACAATCCCCGCGACATCACTGCCCGCGTCGGGCTCCGTAATCGCGATGCAGCACCTCTTCCTCCCCATCAGCAAGTCAGGTAGCACCCTCCCCTGCAACTCAGCACTCCCAAACTTCAGGATCAACGGCACCCCAAACGCCATGCCCGTCGTCAAGCTCGCCCCGGGGCCCGCCAGCCCGCTCCGCGCCATCTCGTCGCCAAAGATATACTGGTGCAGCGAGTCAAAGTCCTCGACGCGCAACCCGCCCATGAGCGCGTGGATGCCCAGCTTCTTGAGCCACGACGCGGGTAGCGGAGCGGGCAGGCACGGGATGAGCATATTCGCTTGCGCGAAGGTTTGGAACACGGTGGGGGGCAGCGTGCCGGATTGCTCCCATTCTACTGCGTGGGCGTGCAGCTGGGCTTGCAGCCACGGCCGGATGGCGGCTTGCCATGCGCGGTGCGACGGGGTGAAGTGAGGGCTGGGCAGGCCGAGGAGGTAAGGGGGTTCAGAGAAGGGGATTGGGACTGGGGCGCTCATATTCGTGAGAAGCTGTCTTGTGTTTTGCAGTCCAGGCCATCCGATGAGTACCCCGTGTATGAGAATGGAAATGGGACGAACATGCTGTAAGCCGGGGAGATCCCGGTGCACTGGATGTGCAGGGTCAACAGGGATCCCCGCATTCCTTCTGGGGCTGTCAGACGGAGCCGAGGTCATGCCCAGGTGATCTGTCCGTCCCTGTCTGCCCATGATCACTGTCAATCGTCGTCAGGGGCTGCTAGGGATACTGGCGATGTCGACATACTAGTAAGTAGCGGATGCATTTCTGTAATCAACAACGAAAACCCGCATCTCGGAATCTCGGATACATACAATGCAATGAATTACTACTCTCTAGACTCTGGTGATGGACTCAAGCTTGAGGCCACTCTCGCGATTTGATACTCAACGGATTCCGGTTCGTGACTCTTTGGAGGGATTCTAGGACCCCTTAATGCCTACATGCAGCCGACACAGAGGCTCATGTACTGGCAGGGGCCGAGTATAGATGCTCAGGTCCCTTTTCGTGCCTTGCGCCCTGCCTCTCTTATGGGAACGCCTTTCCATCGCAATAACATCCTCAGGCATATCGAAGTAGTCTCTGCGCAGGTTGTCCTCGTTGATACTAACTACTGGCAAGGAGGGGAGCCTACGTAACGCAGCAGACACAGACGCCCGACACCAGATTATCCATCTTTTCTTCGCACTGCCGGCAGTTCCAGGATGGAGAGGAGGACCGAATAGTAGGGGGGGCTAATAAACTCTTGTCTCAAACAGGCCTTGAATTATTCAATGCCCATATATTTCAGCTTCTCAATCCCTGTCCGCCCCGGGAATGGCTAGCTGCACAGATTAGAGCCCTGACGAGCATACTATATCGACCTCCTTTCAAACGTCACTCCCTTTCCCCGCCACCTCCCAACCCCACGAGCGTCTTCACCTCCGCCATGCACCACGAGCGTATCGTAATTCAAACAACACCACCCCTCTCCTCCCCCCATTGAATTAGAATATCAGATGGCTAGCAACTGCCTTGCGTGCCTCCAAGCCCGAGCACGGCACACCGCCCTCCGGAGCATCCGGACAGCTGCACGAGCAAGCACCCTTCTCCCCGTCACACAGTGCGGTGCAGAACCCCTGCGCAAAGCAGTGGAGGAAGCAGCCTAGGTTCTTTGTGCGTCCCTCACCTGTGCACATCCCGGGCCCGTCATCGTCGTCACCGTCGTCCTGGGTGTTTGTTCCACGCGTGTCGATAGCGTTCGTCGTCTCCACGTGCGACGCCCTAGCGGCATCGACGGGGGGAGTGCTGGAAGCAGGGGGCTGGGGCTGTTCGTTCCCCGGGGACGGGAAACAATCGTGGTTAATCAAGTGTCTCATACACCAGAGGTAAATCTACACATTGGGTAAGCTGCTTGTGAATGTAGAATGTACTGACCACCAACAGGCCCTCGACCTGCCCTGCCTGGCAAGCGATGCGCCGGTCGCCGGGGGTGCTGGTGCAGGTTGCGTTGCGGACCGGGTCGTACCACGCCACGGGATCGCTGATTGCGCCCTGATGAGCCGTAGCGGCGACGAGGACCGAGCAGAGGACGGCGAGGGTGCGAGTCTTCATTGTGCTTCGGCTGACTGGATAGAGCAACAGTACCTTAGTTAGTTCAGAGGGGTAAGCAGTGATTAGCACGAGTAACCCGTCAGTGACTCCCGATCATCAGAGACTATGGGGTATATAACAAGCCCACCGAAACGTCATGTCATGCCTCATCACCTTCATTCCAATCCTGTCGGTTGCTAGGCCCATTTCCGAGACAACACCAAGCAACGAATGCCGTGGAATGGAATGCCCTGGTTCATGAGTCTCACCCAGGAAGACTTTCTGATCACAATAGGAACCTGACGGCGTCAATATGAAGAGTTGACATTGAACTCCACAGATCCCATGTGTTGATGGAATGCGCCCCTGATATTAGAACTCAGAGAACGCAGATCAGTCTTTCAAACGTATCGGTATCCGTCTCTGAATGCCGATGCGGGCATGATGGTCCTGGCTTAGATTCTTACCAAGCCCAGGAGTAGGGGTATTGTAGTTAATAGTGTACACTGTTCGTTGCCCGAATTTGGGAACAGACAGAACCTCACCCAACGCCAAACAGTAGCGTTACTATACCTGGCGATGAAAATATCACCGTACTCACATTGGAGCCAAACACCGAGAAGAGATCCCTGACCTCGCCAACCCTCCCAGGACACCAGGATTGTCACCCACAAGTATGAATCCGAACCCTCAGTGCGCCACGCTGATGTTGGCGCACTCCCGTGGGCCCCCTGACTCCTCTTACATGGTATCGCCATCGCCATCTGGCGTCAGCTAAGAGTCAGCCTGTCGACCTCCAACCTGACCTTCTCCAGCCACGCGTGTGCCCGCCGCCTCCTTTCCAGCTCGTCCGCCTCCTCGACCCGCCCATGCCTCCGCATCAAGCCCTCTAGGTGAATCGACCAGAGGGCATACTGCTCGTCCGTCGATAGCTCAAGGCCCCGTCGGCCCCACTCAAACGCCCGGTCCCAGTCCTCTACCGTCTCGTAATAATCAAACAGCCATCCGACGTACAGACACTCCATCATGCACGCAAACATAGCAGGAAACTGCCCGCTTGCGACGCTCTGCTTCAGCCGCGCGAGGTGCGCCTCGCATCGCACACCGAAATCCTTCAGGAACCGCCTGCGCAGCCACTCCTCCGCCAGCTGGTTGCCCACCGGGTCCTGCACGACGAGCAGTTGCGCCCAGTACACGCTCTGCGCCTCGACGCGGAGCATGTGGTGCTCGTGTTGCCGGCCACAGCTCACCACTCTCCCACTGCCGCTGCTGCCGCTATCCCATGACGACTCCGCGATGCTGCTGGCACTGCTGCTGCTGCTGCTAATGGTGCGCTGGCAGGCGAGGTACTGATTGCGGGCCCACTGACGGTTGCGATCGAGCATACCGGGAAGGCTGGCGATGGTGTCGGCGTTTATCTGGGAGAGACGCATGATGTAGCGCATGATGTCCTCGGGCCGGTCGTCGACGAGGCTGGCGAAGGAGGCCGCCAGTTCAGCGACCGGATGTTTGCCGAACTTGACGCTGGCGAGGCGTGCGAGGTAGCGCAGGTAGGCCGCGAGGATGTCTTTACGACCGGATTCGAGTAAGAGGTGGGGCACAAGGAAGCAGAGATCGGAGAAGGATTTCATGGTGGGTTTGGATATCTTGCGCTCGATCTGCAGGAAGGCGAGGCGGAGAACGCGGCCGCCATCCATGTTCTCTTTGAGGTCGAATAGGTCCATGGCGACTTTGAAGTACCTGTAGCAAGGGTCGACGTATCCGGCGACCTCTTCGGCTCGGAGATTGGCCGAGTCTTGGTCGATGTGCCCGTGGATAAATCGGCGGACGGCTGCTAGTCCAACCTGCATGCCACGAGACCCGTCGCTGTCGTGCATCAGCGAGTCTCTCGACGACAAGACGAGCGTGCCGTCGTCTAGAGAGTCATCCGAGCTCTGGTCGGTGGGTGACTCGACCTTGGTCCGCGGCCGCTTCTTGACGGTGTATTTGAAAAACCCCCATCTTGCGAACTGGTTCTTGTACATCTTGGGTCTTAACCAGAGCAATGCATCGGTTAGGAGCAGTATCTTTGTCGAGTTGCGATCAAGGGGGCTGACTTACGTGGCTCTGACGTTGTACTTTGTCTCCATAATGCCGATGATCTCACGTAATATGCGGTTTTGTGTGATGTACAGCTCGTGGAGGACGCTCTTCCAAGGCTCCCAATCCTCGATTTTCCGCGGGACAATGGGCTGCCCAGCCGCCTGGGAGTCCCGCAGATGGGCAGTCTTTGAAGCGGCAGACCCCTTCCCACCATGTCTTCCAGCTCTGGCAGCTTGGTTTTGCCCTGTTGTTGCCTTGACCTTTCCGGCTGGCGTACCCGACGATTTTTGGGTGGGCGCCGGAGGTTTGAATTTGAACGGCTGTAGTCGCCTGACCATGAACGGCCTATCGTCGTCCGCGACTGGGCTTGATGACTCCTCTTTGATGAAAGCCTCCTCAACGTCATCATCGAACACCATTCCTGTCAAGCTCTCCGCGGCGGCGAGGATGGCCAGGGGATCGCCCTCCGGAGACACACTCCGGTCCATGGGATAGACTAGAGGCCTGGGATGGCCGGACGCGGACTTGCGCAATACACAAAGGTAGGCGCCGGCACAGCTACCGTCGAGTGCCACCGTTTGCGGATCCGCTCACGGGGCCTGGGGCCGCTGACACTTGGTGGAGCTGGAGCTGACGTCGGAGCGGGAGCTGAACCTGGGGACGGGCCGTGATCGCCGATCTGCAGCGGCGACAGCACCATTGTTGGGCGCCGCCCAGCGACTGGCTTTCTGTGTGCGGTCTGTGCAGCGATGACGGAACTCCCTGGGCGCGGAAATCGAGATGCGAAGTGCATGCACGAGGGCGGGACTTTCGGAGGTTTAGGCGAGGCTTTGATAACGAAGCGGGCGCACGTCAGTCCTTTGCGGTTGCGGGAAGGGCGGCAGTGGGCGGAACCCGTGGACAACTTGCAGCAATTTGAGAAACCCCCTGGACCGAGATGCACGGCCCACACCCCGCCGCGCCCCGCCGAGACCTGAGCTCTTTCCACCCTTTTCCCAGCTGCAGCTTGGCGATGTTGTCCAATCAGAAGGCAGGCGCGGCATAACCCCTCTCCTCGGCGTCCCCCGACGCAGGGGTAAAGGGAGGGTGTTTCTGCTCCCCGCCCTTTAATTAACGCCCCCGTTTCGTCTACGCTGAACCGCGACTACGCACAAGGCAGCCGCATTTCTGCGTGCCTCCAGACATTTCCATCAAATTGGCGAGATTCTCTAATTTCTGCATTTCTGACCCCTGAACTTGGCGAAGGTACACTACAATACACTACGTGTAGTGTATGTAGGATGTAGGAAACAACTCTGCTAGGTACACGTACCCGAAGCACTTCGGAGTACTAGCATTCCCACTTCGGGCCGAAGATGCTATGTAGGTAGGTACGTAAGGGACCTTAGTTATTCCGTGCTGTGTTCAGCACTACTGCCAGGCGCCAACCTCCTTTGGCTATGTCTAAAGCCTCTCCATCAACTCAGCCGCAGCCCGAATAGTCTCATCCGACGGATACTTATTCTGAGCGTCCCTGAGTCCCTTCATCCACTCGGACCATCTCTCGTCGCTGAAACCCCGCCAGTCCCGATCATCATACATGGCCCCGGGCACGCCCAGACGTCGCTCGAATGTGAAGCCCTCAGCGGATAGATCCCGGAGCTGCTTCCCGCAATAGCGGATCCAGATGGCGGCTATCCTGGCCGCGCCTGGAGAGTCGACCTGCTCGGCGTTCTCTTCAAACGCGTCCCTCAACATCCAGAGCGCATAGAGCGTGAAATCTTGCTTCTTCGCCGTCAAGTGGGCCAGGAAGGCGGTCCAGTTCTCCCACTTTGTCTGTTGACCTGCGGCAGGAGAGCCGTGTCTCTGCAAAGGGTCTTTTTGCGAGGTTGTTTCCGTCAGCAGGCGGGCCTGTGTTGAACAGACAGGCTTGGTTTGCTCACCTATGTCGTTTAGCAGTTCCCTCGCAACCCAGCCAAAAGTCGGCAGATCCTTCCACAACTTCCCGCCAGTGTTCCCGCACACCAGCACCTTCCCGTTGGCGTCGGTCGGGGTTGTCTCTCGTAGCTGGATTATGAAGTCGACCAATCTACCCTGCTGCTCGGGCGTGATCTCCCCGGCGACGTCGAAAATTTGGTTGTAGGCTTCCCAGATAAAGTCATCAATCGTCGACGCAGAGGCCTTGGCTAGGTCATTGAAACCCTGCACTGCCGCTGCCGTGGCCTCGTCGGTGGCCGACGGGTTCTTGAGGGGTTCGAGCACCTCTCGTACGGTTGTCATATTGGCCGATGACTGACTATGGTGGAAAGGCACAGCTTGCTGATGCGGATGACGGAGGGCAATTTGGATCCTGCTTCGAAGGAAGTGACCGGCTATATATTCTGACCCATCCGATCTTTGAGATGGACAATCCGTTCAAGTCCTCGGCCCACGTGCATTGGGAACTCAGGTGCCTGGCGCGGCTTGACGTCAGTGGGGCCCTCGTTGGTGCGACCTTCCGTGTCCGACTAGCAACTCCACCACAGAACTGGCTTACACAGTACGATACACATTACCGGTAGTTAAGCAGAATGCAGGTCTACAGACATGGCAATGATAACATATATCTGAAACCCACCTTTGTCTAATGTATTTGTGATCTGGCAACATATAAGATATACGATATCGCAGTGCAATTCAATCCACATATCAAATTCCGCTAACGTATTTTATAAGCGAGCTGCGCATATAAGCGAGCTGCGCAATCCCCACCACAACGCGTCCTCTTTACACTTAACATCGAATTTTCCCACAACCTAATATGCCCCCTACTTCAAAGGATACAAGGGTAATCTTGGCCCTTAAAGCTATCCAAAATGACGAAAAGTTAAGCCTTCGAGCCGCAGCCAAGCTATACAATATACTGGAATCAACCCTCCGTTCCCGATGCGCTGGTACCCCTGCACGACGCGACACTACGCCTAACTCGCGCCGGCTCATGGACTCCGAAGAGAAGGCTCTTATTCAATATATAATTGAGCTACAGTAGTTGCACAAGCTTTTCCACCAAGACTACATGGTATTGAAGATATGGCCAACCAACTGCTACGCGTATATAACGCGCCCCCTGTTGGTAAGCTCTAGGCATACAACTTTGTCAAACGCCAGCTAGAGCTTGTGACGAAACCACAGGCAGTCCTGCCTCTGAAAGGGTTTGCCGGTCGAAGGTATCTGCTGGTCGGACTGTAGGTCTCGGTGAAGCCAAAAGGTTCACAACAATGCTAGTCGCAATGTCTGCACAATAGGTAGGGACTATTGCTTGAATTGCTCACTGGAGGACTCCCAGAGCCCTCCATAACGAATGACTATATACCTAGCCGGTTCTGTTGGCTCGCCGCTGTTCGCCGGCTACCGTGGTCTATCCCCGATCGCCTTGGGTAGATGGCTACCCAAGTCTATCGTGGTCGCTTCCGCTCGCCGGCGACCCTAAGCTACCCAGGTCGTCCTTATGCGGCCGCCTGCAGCTTTCACCCCTGCTGATTGGTTCTGCCTGTTTCCGTTGTGCCCCACCAGGTGTTGCTATATGGTTGGTTCGTGACAGAGCTCCGGACGCGTTAGATATATCAGTACGACTACTAGAGGGCCAAGTACAAGGATCCAAAGGTTATTGGCGAATAGTTTGCGCTTATATAGAACACTAAGGCCAAGTACGGTATTATAGACGACGATATCTATAACTTCGACAAGACTAGGTTTATAATACGCATTATCTTCGCAGGTATAGTTGTCACGACCTCAGATAGCTATAGCAAGGCAAAGCTAGCCCAGCCTGGCAACTGCAAATAGGCAACGGTAATCTAGGGCGTCAATGCCCTCGGCTGGGCCATCCCTCCGTTCATTATCTTAGCCGCGCAGTACCACCTCGCCAACTAGTATACCAAGTGCAACCTTCTAGCCGACTAGCATATTACAACTACCGACAATGGCTGGACTACTAACATAGTAGGCCTAGATTGGATCAAGCACTTCAACTTCCATATAGTGCCTCGTATAAAAGGCAAATACCGGTTGTTGATCCTCGACAGCCACGAGAGCCATCACTCGACCAAATTCGAGCTCTATTGCCAACAGAACAACATCATCACGCTCTGCATATCTCTATATTCCTCCTACCTCCTCCAGCCACTCGATGTTGGCTGCTTTAGGCCGTTGAAGCAGGCGTACAGCCGCCAGGTTGAAGACTTGATACGCACGCATATCAACCACGTAAGCAAGCTCGAGTTCCTTTGCGCCTTTCGCGAGGCCTTCTTTGCCTCTATCACCAAGAGGAATATCCAAGGCGGCTTCGCAGGGTCTGGCCTTATGCCGTATAATCCAGAGAAGGTGCTTTCCAAGCTAGATATCCAGCTTCGTACACCAACACCCCCGACCTCACGGCCTAGCACTATACAACCTTAGGTCTTCCAGACACCACACAACCCCCACAAAGCCGAGTCGCAGTCAACGCTTATCAAGACTCGCATTACCAACTATCAAAATAGCTCCCCAACCTCGATGTTGGCTGCTGTAGACCAGCTTACTAAGGGTACAATAGCTATAATACACCAGGTGGCCCTCCTTCAGGCAGAGGTCTCTTCGCTACGTAAGGCCAAGGAGGCACTAAGCAAGCGCCGGAGAGCCAAAAAAACACGTATACAGCTTGGGGGATCGCTTGCAGTACAAGATGCAAAGGATCAACTAGACCAGAAGGCTATGGTTGGGGAGGTGGCTCAAGAAAAGGAGCAGGATGGTGGTAGTACAGGGGGGGCGCGTACGAGGGTTCGGTGCTGTGGTGTGTGCGGTAAGCCTGGCCATAATGCCCGCACTTGCCAAGAGGCTGTAGAATCGTCTGATTCAGCTGCTTCTGATGTAATTATAGTCAGTTCTTAGTGTTGTTGTCTTGCAATTGAGGATAGTTGTTGTAGGGGAGTGGAGAGTGCGCAGCTCGCTTATATGCGCAGCTCGCTTATAAAATACGTTAACAAGTTCACACCAATATCGCAACAGCTCAACAAACAACGTTGTTCCACAAATGCTCCTGGACATGGATAAGGCACCAAGCTTGGTGCTAAGATCGACAAAGGTCCTTCTGGGCAAGGATTCTTTGGTAAGCCACTCATCGTCTTAAGGCAGAAGGCCACGACTGACTACCTTACTTTGGAAACACAATGACAAGTTGACGAAGGGTCACGGTCACTCTCCGGTGTGGGAGAAAGTCTTGAATTTAACTCTTACCCCAAACGCTGCCAAAACATAAGAGGGTAGAAGACGGCAACTGTTTCTCGTACACCCAAGATACATACACTATCAGTTCTCGTCTGCTCAGTCTTACCACCATGAAGAAGGGTAAATCCACAGCATACTATCTTTCTTGACTCGTTGGTTTTCAATCTAAGCTCTTAGTTAAGCTAACAACAATCAACAATTCCTGTTGCACATGCACAATCTCTTGGAACAACATGACTGACTAGTAGGAAATTCCCCCTCTTCTCCTCCCCCCCCCCACATTTCCAATCTAGTCCTCCTCCTTATTCTGATGCCTCTCCACCAAAACCCCTTTTCCTCCCTCTTTTCCACCACCACAACCACCACCACAAAACCCATTCCCCACCTCCCACATCTCCTCCTCCTGGTCCCCCCCTTCCCCTTCCCCTCCTTCTACCTTCAGACCCCCCTCATAACCCGCAAGCACAAACCTCTCAGCCGGATTCCACCTCCCCACCAACAGACTCAGCCTGGTCTCCTGCACCTGCCCGACCCGATGGATGCGGTAGTACGCCTGCTGGGTCTCGCGCTTCGTCCACGCGGGGCCCGTCACGGTGCTGTATCGCGCCCGCTGCAGGTTCAGCCCCGTGCCGGCGAGCGAGAGCGGCGCGACCAGCACGTTTGGTGGCGCGTTGCCCTCGGTCAGGAACTGCGCGAGGAGGGCCTGGCGGTCTGCTTGGGGCTGGGAGCTGTGTAGTAGGACCGGTTTGAGGGAGGAGGTGCCGGTGGTGGCGGCTTTGTATTTTGGGTGATTGTTGTTGTTGTTGTTGTTGTTGTTGTTGTTGTTGTTAGTAGTAGTACGTAAGAGGAGGAGGAGGTAGCCGTGGAGGAGCATGGCTTCGGCTTCGAGCGGGCAGAAGATGCAGTACTTCTTTTGGGTGGAGGGGCGGCCGGGGATCGGGGTCCTGTCGGCGAGCATGGTGAGGATGGTTTGGGAGATGGTTTCCAGCTTGGGGGAGTGTGCTGACCAGGCCGGGATGTGCCGGAAGTAAGGGGTCTTGGTGACGTCTCCCTTGGCGGCGGAGAGGTGCGTGCGCAGCTCGGAGGGGGTGAAGGTGAAGGCTGACCCTGTGGGAGAGGCGATGCCCGGGAAGGTGGAGGCCAGGCGCAGTTTGAGGAGGAGGGCTTCGCCTGTCTGGTTGCGCAGGAGTTGCGGAAGGGGGATGTTTTGTGCTGTGGCGGCTTCCATAGCGAGGTCCCGCGTGCGGAAGGCCAGCGATTGCAAGTCGGATGTCACCGCGGACGGGAGAAGGTGGTCGATGATGTTGACCTTGAGCGGGCCAATGTCGGTCAGGTTGCGGCCCTGGAACTGGTCGGTGCCCAGACGGCGGACCATCGTGTGCTGGAGGACCTGGTCGAGGCGGCGCCGATAGTCGGCTATGTCGGCCCTGGCCACGACCTTCCCGCTGGCCTGCAGCCCGGTGAGGGTATCGAAAGTGTTGGTCAGGTCGTCGAACGCTGCGAGAGTGGCGCCGTTCAGGGGATGGGACTCGTCACGCCAATCCTCCTTCTCCCAGAGGGAGATGGCCGGACGGATATCCGCCGGAGTCTCACCGAAGGGCGTTCCGGACACAAAGTATGTCAGCGGAACGGGCTGTTGCGACTCGAGGCAGCACCTCTTCAGATGCTGGAGCCAGGCCACAGTTCTACTCTCCTCGCCGTCCCGGGCAATGGCATACTCGTGGAACTCGTCCATCAGGACCATGCCAGGCAGGAGGGCGCTCCTTTTCGTGATCTCAGCCGAGTCCGGGATCAGCACAAGAACAGAAAATAAAGTGTTCAGGCGGGAGATGTACTCGGGCGACACGACAAGGATGTAGTCGCTCTGTCCGGCCCCAGCCTGGTACTGGTACACGGGCCCGGTATTGCCTTGCTTCCCCGTGACGGTAGCGCGCAGGGCATTGACGTTCTCCCCGGTCAGTCTGTCGTCCTTGTCGACGCCGTCATAACAGCCCCAGATCTTGAACACCTTGGTGTCGAGCTTCGTCTTCGCGTCGCGCACCATGGGAGCGCAGTTCCGCGCCGGAGCTACCATGATGTTCGGGCCGTCGGGCAGTCGGTCGGCTAACTCCCGTGTTAGCTCGTTGTAGCAGTAGCACCGGAAGCCATACCTCTCGTCAAAGGGACACGAGCGCGCCGCCACGGACCCAGAAGGGTTGTGCTGGCTCGGAGTACCAGCCCCCACCTTGTTCTTGCCCTGAGGGGGAGTGCCAGTGCCGCCTTTATTATGATTCTTATTATTCTTTCCCTCCTTCCAAGCAGCCCTGACCTCGGCCTTGCACCGGCGCAGGCTATGCGCAAGCGCGATGACGCCGTACATCTCTTGCGTCTTGCCCAGCCCCTGCTCGTCGCACAGCAGGCCGCCCGACACGTCGCCCAGCACAAGCTTGAGCAGGTTAAACACGCCCATGAGCTGGTAGTCGAACAACCCCACCGACATGCCGGGCAGCTTCTTCATCGGCACCCGCTGCTTCTTCGTCTTCCGCGGATCTCCACTTACACCCTCGTTGTTGTTGTTGTTGTTGTTGTTGTTGTTGTTGTTGGCCGCCGGCAGGGCCTCCCGCTTCTGGTACTTGGCCAGGTTGACGCTGAAGAAGTCGAGGCAGGCGTGCCACTCGGCCGGCGTGTCGCCCGCGCCGTAGCTGCCGACGTAGGCGTCGACGACGCCCAGGTCTGCGGTGCCGTAGTCGTCGTCTTCGGCGCTGCTGATGTTGTACTCGGCCTCGCCGAGTGTGTCGACGATCTTGAGGTTGTTGATTGCTGGAGCTTCCAGGCTGGTGGAAGTGGAAGTGGAAGTGGCAGTACTACTAGTACTTGGCTTGTTGTTGGGGTTGCTGCTGTTGTTGGTCCGGATAGGGGAAATAACACCGGTGGTGGTCGGTCGTCTGACGGCGTTGGATCTGCTCAGACCTGTTGTGCCTGTCCCCAGGTGGAAGGAGGCTCGGTTGGGCGGTCTGCCAGTGACGGTTCCGGTATTTTGGGGTCGGGTGGCCCTCGAGGTTGTGGCTGAGCCGTTGGTTCGTCCACGGTTGGGTGCGGTGACACGCGTGGAAGGGCGGCCCCTGGGACCGGACACACCCCGGGTTGAGGGCGTGTTCTGCTTTGCCGCGGTGGCACCAGGAGGTTTCCCTGAGGCTACGGATGCCAACGACTGCTTCCCGGCACGCCCACCTCTAGTGGTGCCACGGCCAGCCGCGGAATTCCGGCCTGCCGTAGAAGAAACGCGGTCTGGAGTGCTAGCCGAGATAGGTGTAGCAGAGGAGTTAGCGTTGGACTCACCGTCACTGTAGCTTGAGTCGCTGTCGGATGGAGCCTTGACAGGGACATCGCTAGCGGTGCTGCTGGGATCAACGGCATGAGCTGGCTTGAATACGGCCGTATTCGGGCCCTGGAACTCGCTGTCCGTAGAGCCGTCTTCACCTTGGTGAACAGGAGTGATCTTGACTGCTTCAACTGCTTCAAGGACGGCATTTTCATCCCCGGAATAATCCTCGATATCCTCGAATTCGAACTCGGTCCTCCGAGCTGGGGCCGTGGGCGACGGAAGTCTGAGCTCGGGGATCTTGAGGAGGTCATCATGGGCAAGCGGCTGGATAGACGGCTGAGGCGGTGAATGGATGCCCCCGGCTTCAGGCTCTACAACCCGCGAGGGCTGGGGGGCGATTGCCTCTTCCTCATCGTCAAATATCTCGACAATCCGCGGGCCCGGCCCAGGGGATAGCTCTTCCTGAGCGCCTGAGCACGGAGACGAACCCTCAGATAGACTCGGCGAGTCAAGATCGAACAACTCCAGGTCATCGTACCGGTCAGGATACAGGATGTTGAGCGTCAAGGTCGGGGCCAGCGGCTCGGGGCGCTTCAGCGGGGCGATGATGAAGTAGAGATCCGCGTCCTCGGGCACGACGATGTAGCTCTCGGCGATCTCTTCCAGAATCGACTCCCAGACGTACACGTTGGGCACCTCCCTGGCTTCCGGGTGCCTGATCCCAAACTGGGCAAAGACCAAGATGTGGTCGAACCTGCTGTATCCGAAGCGGTGGACCAGGAACCGCACGAGCTCGGACCACATGTACTCGACGGGCTCGTACTGCACGTATCGCTCGCGGACGTCGTCCGCGACGAGGTCGGTCAGCGCCTTGCGCCACTGCTCGTTGGTGTCCCAGCGGATGACGTTGAGACACATGGTGGTCAGCTTGTGGATGTTACGCGACGAGCTGTCCATTGTGATGACGGTTACGGTTGCTGCTGCTGCTGCTGCTGTGGTTGATTTGCTAGTAGTAAACTTGGGTAAAAGCGAGATGATGAGGAATCAGGCGGATTAAGGCGGATTATATGGAGAGGTATGAGAGATTCATGGTTATAAATACTAGTATTCCTACTCAGCTTTGGTTACTTGTTAGTGAGTGCAAGACTTATGAACAATGTGGACATATCTTACCCTTGAGGTGACCCTAGGGACTGTTGTTGGTCGAACAATGTTGCAGCAACCAACCGATGAACAATGCCATTCTTAACCACAGGGGTGCTAGGACAATCCCTTTTACCCTTTCAACACGTTCTGTATTGAGCGATATGGACAAAGTAGGGAGCAAGTCATCAATACATGAACAGGCGAAGTCACTATCAACGAAAAAAGAATCCCAAGCGAAGAACTTAAACCAAGCTCATGTCCCGAAAACATAGGGAGTCTGAAGATACTTTCGGTAACAGAAACAGTTCAGGAAGCCACCAGCCCAAACAATGGATCAGCAACCCGACCAACCTGAAAGAGAGTTGGCGAGTAGTCTGGACCTTCTGATGGACCAGCTGCGAGACATGTTGCCTGACTATCAAATAAATGAGTCAGAGCCCGGGCACCGTGACAAAGATGTGGAATCATTCTGGGACGGCCTGCGGCGTCAGCTGTGGATTGAGGATGAGGAGATCGACCTGCTAGAATCTAAGGGATCTGAGCCGAGCGTAAATGATGCGAAGAAAGTACGCTTTCGGTCGAGGAGAGAACAGACGGAAAAAAAAAAAAAAGGAATAGTACCTAAGTACTAGTAAGTAGGTAAGGTGGTGTCAAGGACCTGCATTGATTACGTTGTTGAGAATTCTGAAGTTCCTCTCTATGCCTTAGTAGCATCTAGTGTGTTTCAATGTAGACTATAGTGAATAAAACGCTTTCGGAGACTCAGGCAGTCAAGAGCCCTTGAGTACGTTAGATATACCATCCTTGCCCCAAAACAGTTCGCTAACCTATAGGTACCAGAAAAAGGGGGCGGTATGCTGAGCTAGTTCGGGATCGGCATGCGGGGGAAGACACGTTCTTGTCGACCGAGCTTATTAGTGCCGGCTTGGCCTTTGCACTTGCGCGTCCCGGCTGGCTGGAGAGCAGCTCCCTCCGCAGCTCCGCTCCATCCACCCTCCGTCACTCTCAATAATAATAGTCCACCCGCCAATTGTGGCTATGTGCGGCACAGCCTAGTGTATCGTGGTGCATTAGGGCTGCATGAGGCACATCATGCAGGCTCCCAGTCGGCCATGTATTTGGCCGAGGTTTGCCAGGGCTGACCGTCGAGGATATGCTTAAATAGCTACCTTACCTTCTTACCTTAGTTCAACATGGAATGTTCTGTCTTGGGCTGTGGAGGGCGGAGAACGCAGAGCATGAAGCTCAAAGATTGAAAGCAGCGAATCGCCATGACGGACATTGCGGGCATCGCCATTGGCGTCGCTGCCATGTGGCAGACGGCCGTCGCTGTCTACGAGCTCGTCGACTCCACGCGGCAGTATGGCATGGACTACGAGATTCTCAACGTGAAATTCGAGGTCGAGCGCGTCCGGCTGGTCTGCTGGGGCGACGCCGTCGGGCTCAAAAGCCTCGTGGTGTCAGGCAACTCGAACGAGCCCACCAGGAGCTCAACAACAACTACAACTACAACACCTGGAAGCACCCCCGCATCATCTACTAGCGATCCAAACAATGCAAAGTTGGATCCACGCCTCAACCGCGAGGAGATCCGCACCGCCGTGCTGCGTCTGCTGGGATGCATCCAGCACGCATTCGAAAACACGACGGTCCTGCAGGAGCGCTACGGACTGCAGCCCGTCGTCACTAGGGGCCAGGTTCCCGCCGCGGGCGTCCTGGAATCGGACGAGGCGGCAGGCCTGCCGCCGTCGCAGACACAACGCATCCTCCAGGGCGTCTTCAAGCGCGCCTACGAGAACTTGCGCAGGGTGGCGCGGGACCGCCAGCGCGACGCGCCGCTCGCTCGCCGGACGGTGTGGGCCGTGCGCGACCGCAGCAAGTTCGCGGCGCTCGTCGCCGAGCTGCGCGGCTTCAACGACAGCCTCGAGAGCCTGTTCCCCGACGCGCAGGCGCGGGCCGCCCAGGTCATGCGGAGCGACATCGACGCCGCCGTCGGCGTGCGCGAGCTCGCGCTGCTGCAGGAGGCCACGGCCGGCGAGCACGACGCGCTGTCCGAGTGCGCCAGCATGCGGCTCGACGAGCTGGGCGTGACCGTGTCGGCCAGAACCGAGCTGCTGTCGGTGGCGTCGCGGGCCCGGAGCGACGCGGACAGCGAGTCCACGGTCGACAACGCCGCAGATGCGCAACGGGAGGAAGCGGACGAGGAGATCCAGCGGGAGAACCAGGACGGCGGCGCGCAGCAGCAGCAGCAGCCGGAACCCGCGATGACCGAGCTGGAGAAGCGGCTGGAGGACCTGGAGCTGTTCGTCGGGAAAAAGAGCACGGGTGCGCTGACCACGCACATCATTGGCCCCTATTCCGGTCTGGCGCGTGTCACGGCCCATGTCTACTGGGACGGCGAGCAGCGAGACCGGAACTGGCCGTCCCCGTGGGAAGACATGGAAAAGGGATTTGTGGGCATCTCACACGCCGCCTTCGAAATGTACAAGAGGAAGAAGTACATACGCAAGCCCCCGCGGTCCGAGTACGAGTCCCCCGATTCGGAAGACTACGTCTTGCTTGACCCGGAGAGCCACGCCAAGCTGGAGAACGCCAATCCCGGGACCGTCACCGTCGAGGGGTTTGGACTCGAGTGCTGGGACTTTGAGGAGACCAAGCCGAGGAGCCAGACGATCATGGTCAACAGTTCGAAGCTCCCCGTCCTGCGCGCGTGCACGCTGCTGCGGAGGCTGAATGAGATCCAGAAGAAAGCAGGCAAGTTCGGATGGAGCCCAACCACGGAGGAGCTGAATCTCAAGGAGTTTGTCGGCACGCTCGGCATCGTCTACTACGACCAGAAATACGCCAACGACCCCAACCGCTGGATCGGCGATCTCTACGGCGTCATGAACCGCACCGACATCTTTGCCAACTTCCTGACCGAGTCCAGCGTCGGCCTGCAATGGGCGAGCCCTGCCAGCGACGACTTCATCGGCATCTGGAACTTCCTCCGGCAGATCATCCTGAGCTGGGAGCTGGCCGTGAGGCTGGAGCATCTAGACGGCGGGCGCTCTTACACGGGCTTTACAGAGCGGATTCTTGCCAACCTCATCATCTCCGACCTGTGGCTGAAGCATGTGGAGATCATCCTCACCGACCAGAAGATCCCCACGGAGGGCCTGAAGAAACCCGACACCGCCGAAGAGAAAGCCGAGGCGGAAGAGTTCAAGGAGAAGGGCAATGACGCTATGAAGCGTGGCGAGTACCAGAAGGCCATCGATCTGTACACCGAGGCCATCAAGATCGACCTCAGCAATGCCGTGTACCGATGCAACCGGTCGGCAGCGCTCATCGAGATGCACGAGTTCGAGGCGGCCGAGGAGGACGCTTACATCGCAACCCAACTGGACCCCAAATACGCCAAGGCGTGGTCCCGGATGGGCCTGGCCATTCTCAAGCAGGGACAAGGCAAGCGGGCAAAGAAGGCATACGAGATGGCCCTGCAAGTCGCGGGCAGGGATGCAACCCCTGCCATGCGCAAGGGGCTAGCCGACGCCGAGACGAGGATCAAGGAAGCGGTCGAGGCCATCAACACGGAAGCCGACGACGAGAAGGCGCACAACTTAAGATCTGCGTTCCTCGACGAGGACTGGGAGATCATGGGCAAGACGCCAGAGCTGCATTCTCTCGTGCACGAGCAGCAGGTGGAGGGCCTGCTCCTCTTCGCCGAGCGCATCAAGTGGCCGTACATCAACGAGGTGCGCGACTATGCTGAGGACGCCTACGCCACCATCCGCGGCGGAGGCACCATCAACATCCACCTGCACGACTGGCTCTTCGGGCTCACCCTGCCCGGAAAGTGGTTCGCCTTCAAGATCATGACCGCGCTCGTCCTCTGCACGCCGAGCATCCGCGACAAGGTCGGCATCGCCCACTACTACGAGTGCGGCCTCTCGCTGCCCACGCGCTCGTACTGGCGCGTCAGGACGGTGCTGGGCCGCGTGCTGGGCTGCCTGCCGGGCGTGGTCTCGCTCTGCGGCTGGATCGGGCCCTGCCCAAAGGTCGATTTCGACCCGCCTCTACCAGCCAAACCGCGGCACATCCGCATCAAAACCCGCCGCGTGGCCACGGTCGAGCACAAGTCCTCCGCGTCCGCCGCCGACGGCGTGCTCGACCTCGGGGGCGGCGGCCACCACGACCGCTACTCGGCCACGCGCATCCAGCCCGACGAGGAAATCGACCCCTACCTGGCCGACATGAAGGACCCGTCCAAATGGATCATCCCCGAACCGCCCGTGCGCGACATTAGCACCTGCTCCATCGACTCCATCACGCTGACCAAGCTGCCCCTGCGCACCGACGTCGCCCACAAGGCCGCCGCCACCACCACCGCTACCGCATCCCCCTCCTCGGACGCAGCACTCCTAGACATTGAAAACGAAACAGAATACCGAGCCAGCATTGCCTTCCGCCGCGACGACAACTCCCCTGAGCCCATCATCGTCTACAAGCTCTACACCAACCCGGTCTTCGTCACCCCGCCGCCCTGCCACCCAGGAGGACCCAAGGGTAGTGGTGCTTCTTCTTCCTCCCACGAGGTCCACATGCGCGAGCTGCGCTACTACCAGAATATCTGGCCCGTCGAGCGGCTGAAGGAGCATACCCCCGAGATGGACGATCTAATGAATGGGGGTGAGGGTGACGGCGAGGGCGAGGCGGATCGGGCGCCCGTCATGGTTATAAATGCCACGGGCAAGGGGGCCGAGGTGTTGGCGCGGGCGTGGTGTTCGGAGCGTGGGCGCAACGCGGTCATTCGGCGGGCTGGGGGCCCGTGTTTTGTTTGTGCTGTTAGGGCGGCTGCGCGGGGAGGGGGGTTGGGGACTGGGGTTTTGATTTGGACTGAGTGAATTTACTACTCTAGTAATACTGGGTTGTTTCTTTCGTGTGTTCTTTACTATGCTAGGTAGGTACTACCTAGGCTTTCCGGTTACTTTGGGTATGATGTTAGGGCAGATGATATCCCCTTTCCTTAGAGATCGGCCTTCTCGAAACACCAGTTATTACGCTCCCAGAATGCCATGTCTCTCCTTACCAGTAAGTGTGAGACTTGAATCTTAAGCCTTGCGCGGTGTAGCCCAAGGACCATGCCTACTGACTATCCAAAAAGGGGCTAGCTGGTGCTTGATGTCCTTCGGTCACACTCCTTTGTAACACCCACCAGAAGACAGATTCAAGCCTATCAGAGACCCATTACTCGCTATAGTTGCTTTGCGTTGTCATATGCCGGCATTTCATCTGTCGGGGCCGGGTTTGTTAAGGTAATCAAGACGCTCCTGATTTGGCGGATAAACGTGGCTAGCGGCGATCAGCCGCCCTAGGAGAACCTTGGTCTTCAGAGATATTTCTGGATCGGGATATATATATTGCACTTTGGATGGCATTGCGTATCTCACCTGGCACATCAAAGATGGGCGGTTTATCACTCACGGAGTTGATAATGTTATCAGACAAACTCTACCACGTGGCGGTGTTTAGATACAGTTTGGTACGGTATCGACGGCGTCTTACTGTGTACAGCAACACTTCAACAATCGGATACCGAACAGTGTGACTGTGCATCGCGCGACACAAAGGATCAGGGAGACAAAAGCAGAACACTTCCCCGTAAGCTTACAGTACCTCCAAAATTGTACCTCTCAACGTCTATAGAAAAAACTGCCGAAATTCTTCAACCTCAGCTCTTCCGGTGAGAAATCTTGATATGTTTTTTCGCAGCAGATGTTGACAAACCAGCAGTCTCCTTCACGGTCTCCACGCACAACCGCCCCAAAGAATAACGAGGACAATGGTACGGTATCGATACCATCATACCGTATCGCATCTCGCATCCGTTCTCTCTCGGACCAGTTTGCTTTACACGTGTCAGAGACTTGCAAGAGGAGGGTTAGCTGACTGGAAGCAAAGCTTACGCACCCCAGTGCCCGTTCTGCCCGCCGCGGCTGTCCGTGTTCTGATGACTGGTGACCACGCCCAAAGAAAATCCAGGAGTGGAAGCTTTAACCGGATCAGATGGGATGCCAGTACTAAACAGACCACCTGTGATGCTAGTCTTAGGGGGGTTCCCGGATAGACCAGGTATAGTGCTAGTATTTGAGGGAACTCCAAACAGACCAGATCCGGTGCTAGTCTTGGGAGGGTTCCCGGATAGACCAGGTGTACTGCTGGTATTCGAAGCACCTCCAAATAGACTAGCTGTGGCGCCGGTGGTTGAGGGATTTCCAAAAAAACCAGATCCGGTGCTAGGAGTTGAGGTCTTTCCAAAGGGAGTACGTGTGGTGCTAAAGATGTTTCTACCGGTTGAGTCGTTCCCAGTTGGGCCAGCAATATTTCCGTCCTGTGGTCTCGTGGCGGTGGTAGCAAACACAGACGTAGCCACAGGCTTTGTGGTAGCAGGGGCGCTGCCAAATGAGGAAAGGGGCTTCTCGGGTGCGGGACCGGACCCAAAGGGTGCTGAGCCGGCTTCTTGACCCTGGCCGGCGGGCCGGGGTGGAAACGACGTTCTTGAAGCCTGCGGCTCTAAGTCGCGAAGGATGCTAGTCGGCTGCTGCTTGGTGGCCGCTGTGGGCAGCGGTGTGGGAGTTGGAGCTGAAGTCGGTGCAGATGATGGCGTTGCAGTAGCTGCGCCATATACTTAGCTATCTTGTCTCGCAGAAGGTCAAACCACGTGGAACTTACCCGACTTTGTTTGTCCGGGTCCAGCACCAGAGAAAAGATGCACCGAAGTGGTAGGTCGCACTGAATAGATAACAGAAACATCAGGTCAGATCTGCTATGCATAAGCAGCCACCACTCAATGACCATGCACTAACTTGGAAGGCTTCTCCTCTCGTGTCTCTGGCATTCGCGAAGTCCCTCTTGCAGGATCCTAACCTCTCGTTCGAGCCACTGCCTCTGGCTTCGGGATTCCTGCGATTCCGAAGCCAACGCCTCCAGCGTCTCGGGTGCCATTCCGCAAACATCTCTCGGGGTCAGAATTGTTGGGATATCGCGGACAAGGCAGCCCTCCACTGCTAGGTTGATGATATTGTCGGTGAAGGTTCTGAGCGACATCTGATTTTGAGGGGTCAGAACTGTCTTGTCCTCAGTTCAAAGTACTCAATCAGTGCTGACTCACCTCGTAGTACACGGTCATCCAGTCAATTGCCTTCTCAGTGCAGCACTCATTTCTTTCTGGATCTTCCAAATCACGAAAGGCGAGAGGCCTGTCCTCACTGAGACATTCACCCTGACTAAACTCAACCCCACAGCTCTGCTGTTGCAACCGCTTGGGGCGATCATGCTGGAGTCGGCGGCGTTCGGCCATGCTACGCATTCCGAGGATAAATTCCGCCTCGAGCAGAGGCCCATACCCACTGCTATAAGGAAGGAGAAGCTCCTCCAGTTTGCACCTCAGATCCTCCTCTTTCTTGTCGAAAAATGGGTCTACATAGCGGGTAAGAATGGCTTCTTCAACCTGCTCATCCGCCCCGATAACGTGAATGAAGGCCCGGTGTACGAACGCTTGGACGACCTTCAGGGTTTCCCTGAGGTGCATCCAGGTAATGTCGTGCCACGGCTCGATCTGCTCTCTGAACAGTTGCAGAGCGAGTTCCTCGACGGCCTCTCCGGGGAGTTCTCCTCCTCGGCTGAAACATGCTTGCGATTGCAGATCCGCTTTGAGGGTCGACTCGTCTTTCGGCTCGGGATCCCGTATACTGTATTCTTTGATGAGCTGCCGTAGATGCCCGGGGAGCTCGTCATTGGGCTCGGCCAATTCGGTACTGGCATAATCTCCCCCCTCCCGCAGAATCCTGAACCGTCCGCCGTTGGTTTCCATGATGACATGGAACGCTCGGTTTCTGTTTCGTAACTCGGCGCGTAGTTTTGTTGCGGTCTGACCAATGCCTCCGAAGAAACCCGGGTTGGCTCGGTACCGTCCCTCAATGGCATCGCGAGCTAACCGCTGATACTCGTCGGCGATTCCGAGAAGATAGGACCGCTGCTCCTCCGTGCCGGATCTTGCTTTTCCCAGCCGGGCGAGATCTTCCTGGCGGATCTTCAGCTTGTTTTTAATGTCTTGAATGAGCTTTGGCAGACACGTCTTGATTTGACCAAGAATTGCCTTGCTGAGGGTTCTGCGCAAGCTCTTGACACCTCTGTTGGCTGGGTTGATAGAGCTCCAGGTCCCACTCTTGAAGAAGCGCTCTTCAATTGTGTCTCGATCCTCATCTCCTGAGGATCGTTCTTGTCCGGACATATTCCGCAACACGTGCCAACCGAGGGTACCGCTGTGCATGTTGTTCCGCCCGTTTGCAAGGTCAAGGTACTCTCGCTCGTGGGAGCAGGGCAGATCGGGCTTGGTGATGACTCCGATGGTACGCTCCCACTTCGGGTCGTGCTTCCTGGCTTCTTGCAGGACCTTTTGGTCCACCAGATGATCATTTGCAGCCACGACAGCTAAAATGATGCAGTTGGGTTTCTTCATGTAGCTCTCGATAAGCTGGTTGACAATCGATTGGTCTTCCAGACTCTGGTCCGCCGCTGTGCTGTGGGAGATCCCCGGGAGGTCGACGAGAGTGAGTGGATAAACGTCAGGTCTGGCAACTTCGATAAGCAGAACATCCCTGGAGAACTTCTGGGTTCCGTTGTCGCAGATGCCCATTCTCTCCTTCGCTTCTCTGATGATGTTGGGGAGTGCATCTTCGTCGAATGTAGCCTTATGGAATGGCTCGCGTGCACCGCCGCCGCCTTGCGCCCCTGATGGCGGACGCTCCGCATACTGAATGCTGACGTTGACGGCTATCTCGTCCGCTCGACGAAGAATGAGCTCAGTAGCGAAGCGAGTGCACAGGGCGCGGTCGATAGGAAATTGGATGCCGGTAATGGCCTCGAGAACGGAGCTCTTGCCTGACGACCGGTTGCCAACAACGATTACTTTGGGTAGGTTGACCTTATCATCACCAACCTGGATCTTTTTGAGACCGTCGATGGTGTCGAGCAGGGCTCTCGAATCGGAGCTGATTAGCTCGGCCAAAAAGCTGACGTCGGGAACGACTTTGGGCGTCGAGGCGGGATTCTCCATCTTGTGTCTCTTGATTAGGTAGAGACTTAGGGTTGCGTATCATGGAAGAAGATCTGAGGAATTGGGGTTGTTGGAAGGAAGAGTCGATTCGTAGACGATGTGATTGTTGATATATGAAACCTAGCGTGCTGCGTGATGCTAATAAAATGTCCGAAGTGTTCCCGTCGAACGCGAACAAGGAGATTCCGGACATCGCAACTCGGCCGGGTAAATACGGTATGCGCGTGCAGCCTTTTTCAGCCGGCTGTTTCACACCCAGCCACGGCGCTTAGCGAGGCAGTTGGCGGACTTTGCGATGACGCTGATTGCTGGAAGCTCAGCCAAGATGATGGCAGGCGGGTGTGCTGCCACTGCTGCGTTACCTACCAACGTGTTGCTAAATTAGGAAACTCCGGAAACATGGCGTCTCTTCGGCGATGGGCAGCTGAAATCCAAATAATCGCCTTGAGCGCTTTTATTGATTTTGGACGATGATACGCCATCCATCAGGTAGTGCACTGCGTGATGTTGAGCCAGCTAAGCACAAGCCAACTCGGGGCTGGCTCAGCTGGTTACCGACAAGTGTGGGTTGCAGGGAATCTATGCAGACACCCAAGCATACTGAAAAAGTGGTGATGCAATAATTGTTCAACAGTGCAGAAAAAGACGTAGCACTAATAAGAGCTTGGGTAAGCCTAACTGACTGACTACCTACCTAGGTACCTAGGTAGTTACCTTAAGTTAGCTCCAGCATGTTCAGCTTGATAATATCACTAACGTAACTTAGGTATATAGTGAAGGTTACATAACGTATCTTATAAGCGAGATGAACATATAACGTATCTTATAAGCGAGCGAGACATATAAGCGAGCAAGACACTCTCCACCACTCTATAACAACTATCCTCAATTGCAACGCAACAACACTAGGAACCAACTACAATTACATCAGAGACAGCTGAATCAGACCCTTCTGCAACCTCCTGGCACATACGGGCATTATGGCCAGGCTTGCCGCACATACTACAGCACCGAACCTTCGTACGAGCCCCCCCTGTACCACCACTATCCTGCTCCTTTTCTTGCGCCACCTCCCCAACCACGGCCTTCTGGTCCAGTTGATCCTTTGCATCTTATACTGCAAGCGATCCTCTAAGCTGTACGCGTGTTCTTTTGGCTCTCCGGCGCTTGCTTAGCGCCTCGTTAGCCTTGCGGAGCGAAGACACCTCTGCCTAAAGGAGGGCCACCTGGTGCATCATAGCCATCGTACCCTTGGTAAGCTGGTCTATAGCAGCCAACATCGAAGTTAGGGAGCTATTTTGATGGTTGGCAATACGAGTCTTGATGAGCATTGACTACGAGTTGGCTTCTCGAGGGTTATATGGCGTCTGGAATACCCAAGGTTGTGGTATGCTGGCCCGCGAGTTCAGGGGCGTTGGTGTACGGAGCTTTACATCCAGCTTAGATAGTACCTTCTCTTGATCGTACGGTATAAGGCCAGTACCTGCAAAGCTACCCTGGATATTCTTCCCCGTCATCGAGGCGAAAAAGGCCTCGCGGAAGCTGCAGAGGAACTCGAGCTTGCTCACGTGGTTGATATATGCGCGCATCAAGTCCTCAACCTAGCGACCGTACGCCTGCTTCAGTGGCCCAAAGCAGCTAATATCGAGTGGCTGGAGGAGGTACGAGGAATGCAGAGGCATACAAAGCGTGATAATATTATTCTGCTGGCAATAGAGCTCGAATTCGGTCGAGTGGTGGCTGTCGTGGCCGTCGAGGATCAACAGCCGGTACTTGCCCTTTGCCCGGGGCGCTGTATGGTAGTCGAAGTGCTTGATCCAATCCAGGCCTACAGCATTAGTCGTCCAGCCGTTGTCGGTAGTTGCGATACGCCAGTCGGCTGGGAGGTTGCACTCGGTATACCAGTTAGCGAGGTGGTACTATGCGGCCAAGATGATGAACAGAGGGATGGCCCAGCCAAGAGCATTAACTCCCTAGATCACCGTTGCCCACTCGCGGTTGCCAGGCTGGGCCAGCTTTACCTTACTACGGCCATCAGAGGTCGTAACCACCATGCCTACAAAGATAATGCCCATCATAACCCCAGTCTCGTCGAAGTTATAGATATTGTCATCTACAATACCGTACTTGGCCTTAGTATTCCGTACGAGTGCAAACCACTCGCCAATGACCTCTGGATCCTCACACTTAGCCCTCTGGTAGTCGTATCGACGCGACCAACGTATACGGAGGGCTGGCTGGCGTTTGACAAAGTTATGGGCCTAGAGCTTGCCGACAGGGGGCGCGTCGCGTATACATAGCAGTTGGTTGGCCATATCTTCTACACTACGGAGTCTTGGTAGAAAAGCTCGCTCGGATAACTCAATTACATACTAAATAAGAGCCTTCTCTTCTAGATCGGTGAGCTTCCGCGAGTTAGCTGGAAGATCGTGTCGTACAGCTCGGCCGGTACGTCGGTGGCCGAGGGTTGAAACTGGTACGTTATAGAGCTTGGCCGCGGCTCGGAGGCTCAGTTTCGTGTCATTTTGAAGAGCTTGAAGGGCCAAGATTACCCTAGCTTCCTTTGAAGCGGAAGACATTCTTGGTTATAGGAAAAACGCGCTGTTGGGGGTGGTTGAAGAAGGACGCGTCGTGCCAAGAACTTAGTGTCTCGCTCGCTTATATGTCTCGCTCGCTTATAAGATACGTTATCCCTTTTATAAATATATCAACCGCCCTTAAAATCTCGGTTAGGGAGCTATTTTAATACTAGGCAATTCGATTCTTAATAAGGGTGGACTATAAGAAGGCTTCTATTAGATTGTTTAGGGTCTTAAAAACCTAGGTATAGTGTGACGGATTGAGCTACCTGAACCACTCGGCTAACTCGCACCTTCCAAAAGGACGCCGACATCGCAAGTCCCCCGACCTTGCGACTCTGTGGTTCATATACGCGTTCACGCAGGCGCGCCGCAGCGCGTGCTCCACTCGGCCACACCGAGGAGCAACCTGCCGTGACAGCAAGCAGTTAATTAGCTATCTCTTCTATACTAGACAAGCGGGGCGAAGATCCTTTAACGTTTAGGTCGAGGATATATTAAATAATGATAGATTCCTCTAAATTGGTTAATTCCGAGAGTTGGCTTGAATGTCGTATCGTGACTACTGACCGCGTCGACGGCGGCTTAGCTTCATTAGGTCTATAGAAAAGATCCGAGCTATAGCTCTAAGACTTAATTTAGGATCATTCTCAAGAGCCTGGAGGGCCAAGATAATTTGGCTTTCGTCATTTTTCTGAGGCATGGTAGGTTGTGGAGGAAGTGGGTGTAGAAGTGAAATATCGCATTGGTGTAGTTTAGTGTAACGTTCGCATGTATGTAACTTTCGCTATACACCTACGTTATCTATATACCTATATAATGATGATTACAAAGGGTCCCTTGGGAAGCTGAGCGGTTACTTGACCCGTGTGTCGCACCTGCCCTTCTTGAATGATCATGATTGTAACTCGATTCAACCAAGCAGATTCGGAACATGCCGATTCTGGGATTGTTCTGCACTAGCACGCCGGTACGGATTAGAGTTGGAGGCAACCTTGGAAGTTTGCAATTGCCGAACCCCATCACACAGGCTTGCCGCAACCTCATCAAGTAACCGGACGGGCCAATCAAACTGCTTCGCACATCTGAACTTTAAAAAGGTGACATCCATGTTCTTGAAATGCAACCATCCAGGATCCGACCCGAAAAGCAGCTCACAAACATTAGGGATTGCAGGTGTCGGTCATCCCTTCGGTCATCTGGTGTCTTTGGTAAGCCCCGCTCTCCTCCTCCCAGAGTCCCAGCCAGTCGACCGCCATTTCCCGAGCCCACACAACCACATTTTGGAGGTTAATACATATATCAGCGGATTGGCCCTACACCCTCGTGCGCCTTCCCCCCATATTATCCTGGAATGTGGTGTGTGAAGTCTGCCGCTGGTATATTTGTTCGTCGGACGGACTAAAATAACCCCGCTCCCTTTCTGATCCATCGAAGTCCTGTGAACAGTTATGTCCGACTGAGCAAATCCGCTTCTCTGACAAAACAGGCAGGTCAACGTCCCTTGTTGTCCGCGGATACCGTACAACTGGTTATACCATACCGGATTCGTCGTCGAGGGCCGTCTCGCCATAGGGACGACTCCAACATTGATGAGGCCGCGCTGTGGAGACCCCGCATTCGGCCGCTGCTCTCGGCTTGCCGTGTTACATGGGCTACGACGTTACCCAGTGAACACTTGTTGCTGGCCAGTCTAGTCATGCAGATCTTCCCATTTTGAGGGCCGCGTCCCAACAATGTTCACTTGCTCCTCTCGTTCCACCCCACAAATACTCCGTAGATGTACTATGTATAAGTAAACCTTCCTCAACCTCTTGAGCTTTCCGTCCATCATCCCCTCGACGTACCAGTTCCTTCTCACGTATCTTGTATACCCGGAACGCCCGAGGTGGCACCAAAACATGGCGACAGGTTCCATCAACGAGGGCTCGGCCGGCTTCGAGAAGGCGGGCCACGATGGGCTTAAGGACAAGGACATCGAGTCCGGCACCATGAAGGAGGTTCGCTCAACAGCGGTCATAACAACCTACACCGCTGCCGAGGAGCGCGCGCTGCTCTGGCACCAGGACCTAACCATCCTGCCGCTCTGCGCAGCCATCTACTTCCTCTGCTACCTGGACCGCTCCAACATCGGCAACGCCCGCATCCTCAACTCGAGCACCCACAACGACATGCAGACCGAGATCGGCGCCACGCAACACCAGTTCAACGTGGCGCTCATGGTCTTTCTGGTCGGGTACTTTGTCTTCGAGGTGCCGTCCAACATCCTCCTTAAGAAGCTCCGGCCGTCGCGGTGGATCGCCTTTCTAATGTTCTCGTGGGGCGCCATCACCATGGGCCTGGGCGGCGTCCACACTTTCGCGGCGACGGCCGGTGTACGGTTCCTGCTTGGTGCGGTCGAGGCGGGGCTGTTTCCAGGCCTGGTGTATTACCTCACGTTCTGGTACCGCAACGACGAGCGCAGCGTGCGCGTGGCGATCATTCTTGCCAGCGCCACGCTTGCGGGTGCGTTTGGTGGTGCGATCGCGTATGGTATTGGGCATATGAATATGGCGCGGGGGCTGGCCGCGTGGAGGTGGTTGTTTATTATCGAGGGAGCGCCGTCGTGTGCTTCGGCGGTGTTGGTGTGGTTCTTCCTGCCCGACTACCCAGAAAGTTTTCTGAAGGGTCGGCAGAGGGAGATTGCGCTGGAGAGGCTTAGACTCGAGGGGAGCAAGAGCCATCACCGCAGCATGACCTGGAAGGATGCCAAGGAGACGCTGACCGATTGGCGCTTGTACGGCCATTATCTGGTGTATTTTTGCATCTCGGTGCCCTTCAGCTCCCTGTCGCTGTTCACGCCGTCTATCACGGCCGGGTTGGGTTTTGTCGATCTGCAGGCGCAGTTGATGACAGTTCCCCCTTACGCGGCGGCCTATGGTAGGCTAAGCTTCTCCCTTTTTCCTCATTCCGTTTCTCACTAGCTGACTCGGCGCCTTGTGCAGTGACGCAGATCTTTGTCTCTTACTCCGCAGACCATTTCAACGCTCGTGGGTTGCACAGCGCCGCTTTTGCCCTGATTGGTGGTGTTGGCTTCATGGCATCCGCGCTGCTGCCGGCCGACGCCTACCTCCACCGCTACGGCTGCCTCATTGTTGCCTCGGCCGGCTCCTTTGCGTGCATCCCGCCAATGCTGGGTTGGCTGACGTCCAACGTCTACTCGACCGCGTCCGTGGGGCTGGCTATTGCTATCAACGTTAGCTTCGGCGCAGGCATAGGCCAAATGCCGGGAGTGTTTATCTACAAGGCCGAAGAGAAGGAACGGGGTTACCCGACTGGGCATTGGGTGAATGCAGCTGTGCTGTTCGTGGTTGTCATTGGGAGTATTGGGCTGAGGATATTGTATGGGTACAGAAACCGGAAGCTCTTGAGGGAAAGCGGTGGTCAGGAGGTGAGGTTGTATAAGCTGTAAGCTTCGTTGCGGCTCGCTCAGGCATTGTATTCTTCAACCTCAGTACATTGGTGTGAGGTGCACGGCCTTCTCTTCGGCCCAATAAAAACACCAAAGCCCGGACTTTGGAGCGCTGTGGTTCAATCGTTCTTTCGCGGCGTGATGGTCCCACCATGTCTCGGGGAAGAGACATGGCATCACAGGGAGAAAATGTCAGAGGAAAGAAGGGGATCCCGTAAGACTAAGACTGCAAACAACGGCGACTGTAACGAAGAGTACCAGCTTGATCCACACGAATCGGAGAGACAGCGGGTGCCATGACAAAGTTGATGAATCTTTCGGGGTGGCTACTCCATTCCTCAAGACATTGGATCACGAGGAAACTGCAGTGCATGATAGAATCCCAATGAAGGTGGCTGTTCTTGTCTGTGTGATTGACTGGAATGATGAAAAGGATGAGGGTGCAAAAGTGTAAGCTCACCCCTATGCCCCTTCCCCAAGGGAAGGGGGGTAGTTGGCTACGAAAGGCCCGAATGGCTTTTCTTCGGTATAAGGGCGACCGAAGGACTAAATTATTTGTGTCCTAGATTGGAATCGAACCGGTAACCACTACGCGTTGCCGTGAGGGTAGGCCGGGACCAATCTGGCTCCCACATGACCACTGAGCTAAGCACCAGTGTCCACGAGAGAAGCTCGGTCTTCGTTGGAGCTTGGGTCCGGGGAATCGGTATATAAGGTAAGCCGGTTGACCTCCAGCTATGTGATGCACAATAATAAACACAGCGCAGGTTCTGCCACAGTGCCACCAGCCCGGCCTCTCCTTTGCACAGTTTTGAGCACCGTCCAAGCAACGTGGTCCCTGAGTCTGGTTCGTTGAAGCCACAGCTAGCCTAGCTGTAACGTAACATCTTGGGATTCAGAAGCACGCCAAGTGACTGTGCCTACTGTGAGATTGCGGTCGAATGCGGATGAGAACGTAGAACAGCACCAACCCATGTAAGCCCATGTCAGCGCATGTAGATGCAATTACCTTTGAGCTCGAGGCGGGAGTACATCGCGAGCTTGAAGAGTTTAAACCGCTCTCTACACTCTGTCCGGGCGTCCCCAACTCGCAGCATTATCCACATTCCCAACCCCATCTAACACCGCCTTCCTCGACCATCCACAACCCGGTCTCTGCCTTTTCACGCCTGAGGTAGGATCGAACTGGCTCCTCCATGCGGTGGCAACAATGTTCTCCATCACCCCACCCTTCTTGACCCAGTCCTTCTTGACCCAGTCCCCCTAGGTACGATAGGAGGGCATCGTGCCCAGGGGCCAGCATCCTTCAACCCAGGCACCGACCTTACACCCGCGCGAAAGAACCCCGCCTGGAACGCAGCCTCTATAGCCCAGAGCTGAGCTCCAACAATAGTCCGTGTCAGGGAGGAGAAACATCCTAAAGAAATCCGTCACCCCCTCCCCGCCATACCCTCCCTCTTCTTCGAGCGCAGCCACTGTCCGGTTGTCATAAACTTTGGACAACCTCGCATGCACCAGCCCGTTCGCCAAACCGTGATACAGAATCACCTCTCCACCATTCTCACGCACCGCCGCCAGCGCAGCGTAATCATCCGCTGTTGCGTTGCTGGGGTCTGGCTTCTCGGCGTCACCGTTTACGTAAGACACTCTCGTTGAGAGTACGCCAGTCCCAGGCTTGGTTGGTCATACAGAGAGTTGCGGACGTAGCCACGGCATAGCGGTTGGTGTTCGGTACCGGTTAGGAGGAGGAGCCACTGCGGCTCGGAGCCGGAGGTCAGGTCGTACACCACCTCAAGTCCTGGAGCGTAGAGTAGAGAGAAGAGAAGATCGAGTCTGGACTTTGTGATGGAAGTCCCACTTCCCTTTGGCCAGGTAAGAAAAGGCGATACAAAGAACATCGGTGTCAACGGGACGTAATATTTACCTGAGGGACAACGGCATTCGGATTCTTCGTCTTCTTCCTCTTCTTACCATTTTGGACGAAACAATAAAAGAACCTTGAAAGGGGAGACAGTCGACTGGATTTCGTCCTGTCCTCGGCCCACGCATCTACACGATAACCCCCTTCATGACGGAACACAATAACCCGTATCGTACCTTATCTCATTCCCTTCAGTTATTCCATTTTCTCCACTTCGTCTCTCTTCTCACTCTCACATTTTCCATTCTTCTATTTTAAATTTGAGTTAACACCTTGTTGCTCGAACCGCTGCTACCTACCTACCTGACACCGGCTACCTTAAATTACTACCACAGTAGTGTGAGGTTCGACTTTCCTGAAATTCTTTGGCGAGGAGGAGGAGGCAGCTCCTAACGTTAATACGGCTCCACGTCCTAAAACTTCGCCTGCTAACAGGTAGCGTCCGCTGTGGATCGCGAAGCCGGATGGTGGGGTACGGCCTTACCTACCGTACAGTAACCTATCTGTCTGGGCAGCTGGGGAAGGTTACGGGGACTCCAGAGGATGAAGGTTCATAGGGCTTCGTGGATGTACATGTGTTTCATCGACTCGTTTTCATGAGATCCATGTTTACCGGTCCTTCGTATCTCAGTAGCCATCAGCAGTGGAGATGCCGGAGTTGTCAGCCCGACCGGGAAACGGTGGCAGCCTTGCCTCTTGCCAGGCGAACGACTGAACGTCCGGTGGGGCTGCTGACGGGGGGGCGCAAGAGACCCTGACATTGATTGGCGACAGTGGGTTCCTATCATGCAGCCCCTTCTGCCCCGCACCTTAAGTTTTTCGAGGGCTTCTCGTCGCGTCGCGTCGAAAATTTTCTCTTTCACACCCGTCAACCGTTAACGCTCTCGATCCGATATTCCCTGCCCTCCCATTGCAACCCGATCGATCGTTCAAGATGCGTTACGTCCTCGTCACTGGCGGTGTCATTTCAGGTACTTCCATGGAGCCCCGACGCGCGGCGCGCCGCCAGATCGCAAAGTGGCTAACGGGTGGCAGGGGTTGGAAAGGGCATCATCGCCTCTTCCACGGGCCTGGTCCGTAGATACCCCGCCTTGCAAAGCAAAAAGCAAATGGGGTCTTGGGTCTAACGGAATCGGCGACAGCTCCTGAAAACTCTCGGCCTCCGTGTCAGCTGCATTAAGATTGACCCTTATGTATCGGTCGATGCGGGGCTCATGGCCCCCGCCGAGCACGGCGAATGCTTCGTTTTGTGCTCTGGTTCGTGATCCGCAACATCCATGGGACTGCTGCAGATATCTAACCATCCGCAGGCGGTGAAGTAGACCTGGACCTCGGGAATTACGAGAGATATCTCTCAGTTCGCCTCACTAGCGAACACAACATCACGACGGGCAAGGTCTACCTCAATGTCATCGAGAAGGAGCGTCGAGGCGATTACCTCGGCAAGACAGTCCAGATTGTGCCACATGTTACCGATTCGATCAAAGACTGGATCAGGAGAGTCTCGAAGATTCCGGTTGACGGCTCATCCGAAGAGCCTGACGTTTGCATCATTGAACTCGGGTGAGTTCTTCTCAAATCAATTGAGGATGTGTTCGAAGTCGAGGGGTCGGCGTAGTTATACCGCGAAGGTCCTGTTACTGACTTGGTATTCAAACAGAGGAACTATTGGTGACATTGAGAGCGTACGTCTACCGATTTGGCTTTTGGGATGGAGATGCAACCTTGGAATCGGGAACTCGTTGAAATGCGGCGCCGCTGACATCATGACAGATGCCGTTCATTGAGGCCCTCACCCAACGTATGTGCCAAAAATTGAACTTTCTCTGCCTAATACATGCTTTTGAAAGATGCTAACCATAAGCACAGTGCGCCACGAGGCCGGTAGCGGCAACTTCATGAACATCCACGTTTCCTACGTCCCTACCGTACACGGAGAGCAGAAGACGAAACCGACACAGCACGCCGTGAAGTCAATCCGTAGTCATGGCTTGATTCCAGATGTGATCGCCTGCCGTTGCGAAACACCACTTGCCGAGGCGACCGTTTCCAAGCTTGCGCTCCACTGCCAGGTCGAGAAGGAACAGGTCATTGTTGTACGGGACATGCCAACCATCTACCAAGTCCCTCTGCTCCTCAGCGAGCAAAAGCTCGTCCCTCAGCTTCGGTCCAGACTGGCCCTGGAGAAGATTGCCATCCCACCAGCCATGGTAGCCCAAGGCGAGGAGCTCTGGAATATGTGGAAGACGATCGTCACTCCAACTTACCAGGAGGAACTTAAGATCGCCCTCGTGGGCAAGTATGTCACATGCCAGGACGCTTATCTTTCGGTTGTAAAGGCCCTCGAGCATTCGGCAATGCGGATCCGCCGGAAACTGAATCTGATGTGGATCGACTCGGAGGAACTCGAGCCCACGAACGGGGGCGGGCCTGCGCAAGCGAGGTACCACAAGGCGTGGCATGACGTGTCCACAGCGTCCGGTATCATCGTGCCCGGTGGTTTCGGTCATCGCGGGACGGAGGGGATGATGCGGGTCACCAAGTGGGCCAGAGAAAACGGGATTCCCTTTCTCGGTGTCTGCCTCGGCTTTCAAGTCGCCGCGATTCAGTACGCCCGCGATCTCTGCGGCATGCTGGAGGCCACCTCGGAGGAATTCAACGCACAGGCCAAGGACCGCGTGGTAATCTACATGCCCGAAGTCGACCGGCAGAAAATGGGCGGCACGATGCGTCTAGGTCTGCGCAAGACCATCTTCCAGCAAGACACGGAGTGGTCAAGGGCCCGAGCTTTGTATGGCGGTGTCGAAGTCATCGAGGAGAGGCACCGGCACCGGTACGAGATCAACCCTGAGCTGGTCGGGACGCTCGAGAAGGCCGGTCTGCACTTTGTCGGCAAGGATGAGACGGGCGAGCGGATGGAGATCTTTGAACTCAAAGACCATCCCTACTTTGTCGGTTCGTACAGGCATCTGACATTGGTTCATGGGGCGCGGTTTCTAACTTAGACCAGGCACGCAATTCCATGCCGAGTACCAGTCGCAAGTCGTCAACCCGAGCGTGAGTCTGCCCATACCGCTCCCCAAGTTCGAACTAACTCAAGACCAGAGACCCTACCTCGGTTTCGTGGCTGCGAGTGCCGGCTGCTTAGACGAGGTAATCAAGCAACAGCCGGTTGAGCCATTCAAGAACGCCACCATCAACGGCACGGCCGAATGAGTTCGAGGAGTGAAATATTTTTTACATCCGTCAGGCACGGGACGCGGCGTCATAGTTCGCTTAGGTCGTGGGGGGGTCCCACACAGCTGGGAGGCGTTGCTTTCTTGGGAAGGCTGAGCACGCATGTTTCATGACACGAGTTAGCGTGACGTTCATCTCGAGACACGCGGAGGCCGTAGCCGGGTGGGTTGACAAAACGGCAGACATGTGATCATAGAGCTTCGCTGTGGGCGTCATATTATACACTGGGACCAAGCTTTCGGCGTTTGGGATGATTTGATGGGCTGGGAGATGACGCAGCTGCATGCACATATATGAACATAGACCTAGGCGGAGTTTGGATAGAGGGGAGTTCATCTCGGTTTGGTTGGATACCTTAGGTAGACACACGCAAAGTGGAAATGGGAATACTCTCGCACGCTCTCGATCTGCGTCTTTGGTAACCCGAGGCAGCTGTGGCTTCTGGCGCTCCAAAACCGCTTCCGCCTGGCACAGCAATAGTAGAAATACACAACTCTCGCGTTTCTCCCCGGCAACTTCCGCCGGCACTAACACGTATTGTACATGTACAAACTGACGGATACCGCCTACGTGTAGCCCCGATATAATAAGGCAGACGGGCATCTATCCGTCTTGTCCTAAGGAGGCATTCCACTCGCACTCTAGCGCTGATCGCCAGCACCCAAGACCTGCGGTGGAGCAAAGATCGACAAAACGTCAAAAACATACAACACCGAGGATTCCCCAGTCGTCACCGACCTGAGTACTGATTCGGCCCTTGGTAGCTTGACTAGGGCAGAGCGGACGGGATGCCGTATTTTCTACCAGGTATGGTCGTATGTGCTCGGAGGTGGGTGAATGGTAGTCCTATATGGTCGAGATGAAGGGAAGTTGAACCAGCTGAGATCCACGACTCCTTATTAGGAAAGGGAAACGGCTATTAGCGGCATAGACAGCGAGAAGCTCCGGCATCTTTCCCGAAGAAAACCGCCGGCTCATAACGAAAATACCCTAGAGTTGGTAGTACCGGTGGCTACACTGCGGCTGTAGCAGGCTTCCTTCCACCGGGGCAGGCTACGCTCTGGAGAGATAATGCACACCTACTGCATAACATTGTAGCGTTGGTTGACGCAGACAATCTCTCGTATGTTATGCAAAAGGTCATCTAAGTAAGGGAAGGGAGGAGATCCGTCGCTCCGCAAGCGGCGCCATGACTGAGGACGTCAAGGACTCAGGGCCTTGTCAGGTCACACAATGATGCGGGCTGATGTGTAGGTACCTACTTAGTTAGCCTGGAGAGGTTCTGGCGACGTTGCCTGACTCGTTGGGTGTCCGCTCAAGGTGCTAATTACCTACATGCTGTAATTATTGCCCAAACATTACTTTGAGAACTCTAGTACTCGCAGTTCTTCCCTTCGGCCTTTGTACCTTTTAAGGCGAGGGATATTGAGCATTATCTATTATACATAACCGTAGAGGGGAGCATGGGACTCTCGACCACACCGAAATTACAACAACCACTGCACAAAGAAAACGACGTCAAAAACGTTTAGGCAGCAGCAATCTCCATCGGCTTGCCCTTTACACTCCTCCACTCGACCATGAGGGCGCCCAGGATGCTGATGGCCGTCAGCGCCGTGAAGACAATGAAGGTCTGCGTCAGCGCATCGTTGAAAGCGAGCTTGACCCGCGGCAACAAGACCGGCTCGATCATCTGGGCGACGCTCGTGGCGCCAACCCCGAGGATGACGCTCGGATCGGCAATCTCGGGCACGTACTCGGCAACGTAGTGCACCAGCTTGTTGGTGAACACGTTCTGCGACACCGAGACGAAGAGGGCGCCGCCGAGCGTCTGCAAGAAGACAATGACCGACGTGCCCGTCGGCACGTCCTCAATGTCGAGCACGGTCTGCGCCGCCATCAGGGGCTGCTGGAAGGCCACGCCGATCCCCGCGCCGATCATGATCTGGTAGCCGATCCACACGCCTGAGCTCGTGTCCGGCTCGAACATGGTGGTCAGTCCGAAGCCAACGGCCGCCACCGCGCTGCCCACGATCATGAAGGGCGTATAGTATCCCCAGATGGTGACAGCGGCGCCCGCCACGACCGAGAACAACACGGTGGCGACCAGCATGGGCAGGTTCATGATGCCGGACCGGACGGCGCTCGCATCCTTGACCGCCTGGAACCAGATGGGCAGGTAGTAGATCGACCCGAGGAACGCTCCGCCCAGACAGAGAATGAAGAAGCCGGCCGACCAGACGCTCCGCTTGGCGATGATGCGCGGCGGCACCGTCGCCAGGTCGCCCTGCCTGACCTGGAAGAACACAAACGCCAAGATCAGTACGCCGAACAAGCAGAACAGCAGAATGATGCGCCAGCTGTTCCACGCGTACGTCGTCCCGCCCCACTGCAGCGCCAGCAGCAGACAGATGATGGCGGGCATGAACACGGCCGTGCCGAACGGGTCAAAGCGCATGACCCGCTGCCGGAGGCTATCCTTCTCCCCATCCGCGCCATCTGCTCCGACATCACCATCCAGCGGCACCACCACCTCCCTCTTCTTCTTCTTCGGGTCCGGGAAAAAGATGGCGATCACCACCATGGTGACGGCGCCCACGGGCAGGTTGATGAAGAAGCACCAGCGCCAGGTGACGTGGTCGGTGAAGGCGCCGCCCATGAGCGGGCCCGAGATGCTGGCCAGGCCGTACATGGAGCCGACGGCGCCCGTGTAGACGGGCCGCTGGGCGAGCGGGACCGAGTAGGCCAGGATGGTGAGGGCGCCCGAGAAGATGCCGGCGGCGCCGACGCCGGCCACGGCGCGGCCCACGATGAGCGTCACGCTGTTCTGCGCCACGCCGCAGATCAGCGAGCCGACCTCGAAGAGGAAGATGGCGGTCAGGAAGACCCGCTTGATGGAGAAGAAGGTGTAGAAGCGGCCGAAGAGGAGCTGCAAGGCCGCGGTGGTGAGCATATATGCTGTGGGGGGTTTTGTTATTAGTAGTCAGTTGAAGTTCGACGTTGTACTCTTGACACGAGGATCCCTAGGGCAAAAGGAAAGCCAAGCCGTACACCAAAGCCCACTACTAGTTTAAGAGATACGAAGTCAAGGGATATGAAGCGGGGCCAGAAATGGTCGTCACATACCGCTTGCGTACCAACCCACGTCGGGAAGAGAGTGGAATTGGTCGGTGATCTTTGGGATGGCGGTTGCGATGATGGAGTTGTCTACAGGTAAATTGAGGTAAATCAGACATTAGCACACGACAAGCTGGCGATCGGGGTCACGGTGTTCGATGCTTACTTACCCAAGGCCATGGTGAACACACTCAAACACAGAGCAAGCACAATCAGTGCAAGGGTCATCCCCCGTGGGTACTCGGTCCCGTCTTCTCGCGTCGGCACCTGCTCGAGCTTCGCACCCCCCGACTTGGACGTGGCTGTCGCTTGCCGGGCTAGTGCCGACGACGTGGGGTCCTCCTTCTCATTGTGTAGCTCGATAGGCTTGGACGTGCTGTCGACATCGATGTCTGTCTGTTCCCCGCGCGCAACTGGATGGGCCTTGCCGTCGTCGTCCGAGACGCTCAAACTGCTGGGAGCAAGTGTGGGGACCTCTGAGTCTGGCGGTTGCGGCGTGAATAGGGAGGGTTTGCTGTCCATGCTGTAGAGAGCTTTTGCCCGGAATGGCAATGATTTTTGATGTGTCTGTTGATAGAGGCGAGGGCAAAAAGGGATGGGCAAAGGATGGGCTTCAAGCACCCGTCACCGTTATATGTCAGGACTGCAACAGTCGCTCAGTGTGTCAAGAACGGGAAACCAGATCATCTAGACGGCCGAGGGAGCAGGGGCGGAGATATTAGTTCTTGCATGAAAGGCTCGGACCCTGGCCATGGCGGCTGACCGCCAAGCTGTTGCGAGGGCTGACGGCTGACACTCCATGACGTGCTCTCCCTTGGATGAGCCATTAGGTTCCAGAATGGAAAATAAAAGAAGGGCCCAAGTCTCCGTTGGAACGCGGGAATAGGATCCGACCCACCACGCTGGGCCCAAAGCGCAAACTCCGGGTTGCCCCGGAGCGTGGACAAGAGGCTCGCACTTCAAGTATGTCCGACACGAACGTCGAAGTGACTTAAAAGAGCGACGGACCAACTTCGCCCCGCAGCGCCGTCTTCTCTGCGTCAACACTGCATGGCCCTTCACGAGATCCGCTGCCATTCGGAGCTGAGCATCTGTGCATCGGAAAGGGAGACTGCGCATCGTGATAAATCAGCTGCCTTCGCTCGGACTCGGCTCCAATAATGCTCCGGAACGGGAGCCAAGTTGAGCCAAGGCCGATCCTCTCCCTGCCCGTTGGTCAAAACCTAAGTTTTCTCTTCCGCCCATCTCGGACATAATAACGTTAAGTGGCCATTAACTCCGTCAGTTCCGCGACCTCCCGAAGCACCGAATTTTTACCCAGCTTCGCACTATCCACCCTTATGAGCCGAGCCGTTCGCTGGCATTTCCTATGGTTCAGTTTGTCTGGCTCATGTTATTGAACTACTAGAGACCTTTGTGGTCTTTATGTTCAGTATAGCTTTCAAGCCTTCCAGTTCCCTGCCGTAGCTAAGGTAGGCACATCGCCTTCTTCACCTTGTTCACCTTCTTCACCTTCTTTTGCACTCTTTTCTCTGCCTCTAACCTCTACACACCCAGTGGGTGCACCTTCTAACTAAAAATGGCAGAGTTCTGAGAACATCCGAGACTCTGAATTCCATGACCTTTTACAGACAGTTGTATACACTCTGATTATATCCCAAATTCTTCCATGCGTTCGCACTTGTTCCTCGGTCACCCATAGAGGAGGAGTACATAGAGCCAGTGACTACCAGTGATACAGATCACTGTCCTATCACCACGGCATTGCAGAGTCTGTTCTCGGCTTTTAGCAGTTGGACACCAAAGGGCGATTCCATGCTAGATATCAGCATCTACTAGCCTAGCGACTCAGAACAAAGGTTCGAATACGTCTCTGACCTTTCTACCCGACACACCGTCACCAGAAATGCCAGCAGATGATGGTATAGAGCAGACGATCTTCAACAGACTCCGTCATGATCTTGAACATGGCCGGATTGCTGGCGTCCGACACTTGACTTCGCATCCGGCCGCTACCCTCCAAGTTTCAGTTCCACCATGGACAAGGGACCGTTTGATACTGAGACGTGAGAGCTCCAATGGGTCAAGGAAGATGGGACATGGGAAATGATTAGAGTAACACCTCAGCAATCATCTGCACAAGGCAGTTGCAGACGCTCTGGCGATGCTGAAGTTGAAGAGCAGTTGCATCCAGCTAATAACAGCTGTTCTGGGACTTCATTATACACTACTAAACAGTAACTGCTGGCCCTTGCAGAGTCAGCCAGACAGAGTCCGACACTGAGACTAGAACAAGGGCGATGAGCATAGTCCCGATACCTAACTAAACGCGCGCTCGGCCTATTAGTATAGACGAGGCCTGCTTCACCCATGGTCTCAAATGACTCCTGCAGCCCGCCTTCACAACGCATAATGCATAACGCTCCGATAACCTCAGGCCTCAATTTTCAAGCGAGTGGAATGGCCAATGTCGCCCAGAACATAACGGCTTCATCGTAGACACCTGTTTACTCATTACTGACCAACGTTGCTGCGGATATCCGCCCCGCTATATCCAGCAATCCGTACAAGGGGGCTTCCTCGGCGTGGCTCGTCCTCATCGTCGATGGCCCTGATGGAAGCGGGCGTAAAGTTTCTCGTACGTCTGGCGACGGTGCTGCCACCACCGTTGCTGTTTCCGCCGGCGCTGGTAGCCGCAGCAGTACCAGTCTTAGGGCCGGCGGAGCTTAGTTCCGCATGCCCAGCCATGCTTGGTGTGGGAAGCGACGGCGTGGCACTGCTGCTGCCTGGAAAGTTCGTAATGACAGAGCCAAAGTCACCACCACCCGAGGGGTTCCGCGAACTGGTTTGAAAGAGGTTCTCCAGCGCGGGTGAAGAATAGTCTTCCTTGCCTGAGAGCTCCGAAGAGGCGGGAATAGGGGTAGTGGAGTCGAGGTCCTCAAGGCCGAACATTTGCTGTGAAGCCTTGCAGCTTTCGCTGTTGCTAATGTCAGTTGCCGACTGCATTGCGGAGACGTCGGCGTGTCCAGGCGTGGAATCATGAATGTCCTTGAGGGACTTTGGCTCCGCCGGTGGCAAAGGGAAAGCGTGGTGTTGGGCCGGAAGCACAAAGGGCTGGTTGAGCAACGACTGCGTGAGACACGAGGCGAAGTCGGGAAGGAGGGACGCTCCCTGCCGGGGCATCTGAAACTGTGTGTTCTGCTTGCTAAGGGCAGCTCCTCCGGTGGGCGTGTTGGTCGGAACCTTCAGGCTCCCACGGTCGTCTTCCAAGCTGGGCCCAGAGATATGCATAGCCATAGGATCTGAGCCCTCACGAGGGACATAGTCCGGCATTACGGTGTCGGACGACTGCTTGCTTGAGTTCCGAGCGTTCGCAGGCCAGAGGGTCTTGCCATCCCAAGAGTCACCCAACTGTCCGCTCGTCATCGAATTAACCCACTCGAAATACCCAGAGTCGCCGAACGGATCGGAACATGACGGCGTATTATTGCCGGATCCTATGTTGCTACGACCAAGGTGCGGCATTTGCAAGTCTTGGGTGCCGAGAAAGCCAGCGCCTGCTTGGGCCTGGGGTATTCCGCTGATAAGTCCGGGAGGTGGAAACCCCAGGCCTGGTGTGTTCCTCAAGAGCGACGGCCTTCTGCCAGGGGAGTGTGTGTGAGAGCTAACGCCGTCCTCTGCATGATACGTCGGTACTGGCATTACCGGAGCGAAAGCCGCGGAGCGCCACATGGATGGGTTCGGCCATGCAATACCACTAGACTCGAGTATCTCTGCGACAGAGCTGTCAGCGCCACGCGCAACTTCACTGGATGGGGTGGCGACAGCTTACCGAGAGGAGCATGCTGAAATGAAAAGGCAACAACATTCTTGACCCGCTCGATCGGAGCCGACAGAGAGTCTCGCGGAAATCCCTCACTGATAATAATCTTAATACGTCCAATGTCATCGCCAGGATTCCAATGATTCTGGACCAGGAGTTCCTGACGGAACCGGGGAAATTTCAGACGTTCCAGCTCGCCTGTCTTCGTGAACTCTTTATCTCCAAACGTCAGCGCTGCCCAAGTTTGCGACGGAACATCGACGACAAACCGAATGTGTTGGTAATCAGATGCGGGCCATTGACATCACGGTCTAGAATGGTTGACCTAGACGCTTGGTGAGTGTAGTGTTACGCGGTTGCTGAGGAGGATCGGGTACGCACGCAACTAGGCGCCCATCTACTAGGATCCGAGCTTCGAATCTGACCAGGTTCGAGTGCCTGCTGTACGCGCGCGTGAACTGGCTAATGTCTGGCTGGCGCCAGCAGTGGAGCGAGATCTGGAACGGATTACCGGCCGCTAGACTCGGCACAAAGCACGTCATGACCGGCAGGGCCCCAGCGCCGTGGATATGGGCCAGCTCAAGGTCGGGCACGACATGGCATGCAACTTTGAACTCCTTGAAAGGTATTTTCGAGTCGCGGCCAGCGGGGAAGAGGATGATATCCCAGTCGTCGTAACGCATCCTTCCGGGTGGTGTCCGTCAGGCGTTGGGGGAGCAATATTGGCTGGACAGCTGATGGTTCGCCAGGGGCAGCTTTGCTAAAATTTGCTCGATGAAGATGGAGGGCGGCAGCAGGAGGAGAAGAGAAGAGTAAGCCAAGGAGGCGAAACAACAAGATGGATCAACAAGAAAGAACCAAAATTCCTCGAGGCGTTGGAAGGCAAGGGTTCCAAAAGACGTGCGGTGAGCGCCGGCTGAACCACCTCCACTTTGGCGGAGAGTCTGTTGTTAACAAGGGGTAACTGGGCAGTAAGAGAGCAGCGTAGTGCCCCGAGTGAATTGGGGTTGGAAGGTGGCTCCTTCCGTTTCATGGCTTTGCGATTGCTTCAGATGGAGATGCCGTCCCCCCTTCGGTCCCGAGTGAGCAGATCGCGACGAGCAACACGTTGACGATTGGCCGTCGTCAATTTGGCTGCCTGCCACGATAAGGTCCGCTGGGCCCTAATAGGTCCGGCGGTTGAGGGTGTTGTTGACGGCAGGCGCAGGGCGGGTGAGGTCGGTACAGCGACGGTAGCTCCTGCATCCTGAACGGGTATCATGTCGGGTGAACTTCGCAGCCGGGCTGTTTACGGCACCTCCGGCTAGGTGGGGGTGAAGGAAACCGTGGGGTTCTCGATCACTCACTCACATCATCCCGTCATTGGAAGGCTGAGTTAGGTGGGAGGACTTCTCGGACAAGCTCGTTGACGGCTCTCGAAAATTGGCAATCTTAATGTTCGTTGTCCTCCGCCTGGAATCGCCTGACGAAAATAACAGTAAATCCGCCCAGTTACGCTTTCTGCGCAAGGCGCTTCCAAGATGCTACCAGGGCAATAAGGCTAATGGATGGCTCGAATCCCGTAACACTTGACAAATGGACTCTGTTGGACATTGTGACGTACGTAGTCGCTAACTGGATATATACAACACCTTTCGCCGCAGCCTTCACGGATCCGGATCGCCCTCCATTCTGGCCTGACTGCTTTGTTAGCGAATCCCACTCCGGTCGACGGGGGTGGCTACTTGCCCTCATGGCACCACGACCGCCCAGCTCCCTCTCCAGTCCGCCTTCAAATTCCCGCGGGTAGCTGACCCGATCCGGGTACGTCAACTTGACAGCGTAGCACACGCTCAGGAAGACGGTAACAAAGCACCCGATCTGGAATAGGCCCTTGCCGGGGGTGGTCCATGTGTACTCGTACGGCGAGAACATGCCGAGGATATCGTGGTCCTCGTGCACCGGCTCGCCAAAGTTCCTCCGCTCTTGCTTATCCCACCAGTCGGCATGCGGATCACGGAATTGGCGCTTGATGCGAGGAGGGTTGATGTAGCCGCCGTTCTGCGCGAAATGTCAGCCCCAGGCGCTCCGTCCGCTGCCTCTCGTCCCACGCACCATGTCTGGATCCTCCGCCGGCGAAAGCGTCCGATAGTCGGAGTCGGGATACTTCTCGTCGACCTTGGACCTTCCGACCATCGATTCGGGTAGGAACGCTCGTTGTTGGATCAGAGGGAGTCGTCGCGCGGCAGGGAGCACGGCGGCCCGGAAGGGCGACATCCGCACAATCTGACGGGACAGCATCTGCAGCGTCATTAGCTCAAGTCATCCATGCGCTCGGCGTATGGTATCCTGAACATGCCTTGGCGTCGGTGGTGCCGCAATGCCAATCGGTGGGAGTTACTGATGATGTCGATTGGCGATTGAGTTGCAGCTCACTTGCGTGGATGTTTGGTGACGCCCAGACGGGGTTTGATTGGCTTCGGAGCCCCGCTGTCTTCCAATTGGCCGTCCGTTCTCCACGGCTGGCTTTCGGCCGTGGACACCTCAGGCATGAAAAGGCACGCTGCCTGCGGTTCGCGGGAGAGTTGGCGATAGATGGCCCCGGAATTTTTTGTCAGTTGGCAAGTTTTGCGGACGACGGGCGTTTTCAGCACAAAACACGCTGTAGACAGCTTCACAGAGCCCTGGTCATGCTCAGAACTCTTCAGAGGATTCTCTAAGGCACTACCATTCGTCTGACCTCATTTTTGTCTTGCCAGATGCCAGATTCGTCGAGATTTCGGCCGTCTCTGCCTCGCAGTGCCCCTGGTTATTATGACGGAGATCGCGTCGCCCAGCCTAACACACGCAGTTCCGCCCACAGGTCACGGCGACAGCGAACACCACGGGCAACCGCCATCAACACCCGATTCAGGACACGCTGACTCCGTCGAGCAAACAGGATCTGGCTCCCCTCAGGCCGTCAACGGAACCAACAATCATGAGAAAACCGACGAAAAGCCCGGTGAGGAGCAGGCGCAGGCCGAAACGCCACAGAGCAACAGTGTCCGCAGCGCGCGTGAGGCGACGAGCATAGACGATGGGCCCCCAGCTAAACGACGCCGACTGCGTGATACAACGCCAAATAGTAGCACCCGCAAACCAAAGGTCGAGTCACCGCCGTGGAAGAAAATCGAAGCCGATGGTCCGACAAGGTTGACGACTGAAGACGGCCGCCGTAAATCGGGACGAATCAATGCCGTGCCGCTGGCGCTGCAACCCGGCGACAAGCGTATTACGAGACACGTATCGCACAGCCAACAGTCCAGTCCGCCCAGGAATCGCGGTGCGTCCGTCAACGGCCATGGCCAAAACCATACTTCGACCCAAGGCAATGCCGCCGCCAAGCGTCCCCAAAATTCAAGCAAACGGCTGCCGGGTAAGCAGCCAACCAGCAAGCCCAGCCCGCGAAGACCCGCGACGCAGGATCCGAAGTCGACAACGCGGAGCCGTCGGCGATCATCGTCGCCTAGCCGCGTCGTCACACCTCTGAAACCATCGCTCGCCACGCGTCGTTCAACGCGCCACCTTCGGGGAACAGACGAAGATGGCGACGATGCCGGACTCAGTGCGACACGCACCACCCCGCGCATAAAGTTACGAGTCAGACCGCCGTTGACAACCATTCCGCTTGTTCACCGCGAGCAGGCCAACCTACGAACCAAGGTTGGTCCCACCTTCGAGGAGTTCTTTCAGCGCGCGCTCGAGATCCCGGTTGAAGAGGGGGGCCTTCTCGTGGCCTCTGAGGACGGGCCGCGATACACGGAGGAGGACGCGAGGGAAGATGCGCGGCTCATCCTGCGAGTCGAAAAAGAGGTGGAGCCTGGCGGTATTTTGGCTGAGGACAGGTGCTCCGTGTTCGAGCCCGAGTCCGAGGAAGAACCCCCGAGGCAGTGGGCGCACATGGACCATCTGACCAAGGCGATGTCTAATTTCCGAAAGCTGATGCTGCTGGAACACCAACGACACCGAGCCACCGCCAAGCGCCTTGCGATTGCCTGCGAGGCTGAGTGGAGACGACGGAATCCGCAGCCCAAGACCGCAGAAGAGATCGAGCTTGAAGAGATTGAACAAAGCAAGACAAGGTGGCGCCAAGTGAACAAGGTCATCGCGGGCACCTGGGAAAATGTCAAGACAGAGGTGAATCGCCGACGGTTGGCAGAGTGGGAGGAGGCAGAGCAACGCCGGGTGAAGGCTGCATTGAACCAGGCTGTCAACCTCTCGGAGCAGAAGCTTCAGGCTAGGCAAGCCCGTTTCGACACCGAAGAGCTCTCCGAAGACGAGATGGCTGACGACGACATGTTCTCCAACGACGACGAGGAGGAGGAGGACCTAGACGGCGAGAACGAGGAATCCGAGAGTATGCTAGGAGAGGAGAAGGAAGACGATGAGGATATGTCCTCGTCCGACGATGAGGAAGACAAAGAGTCAGAAGTATCGGACGAGGGTCTCACGCAAGAACAGCTACGTGAGAAGTACGCCAATTTACCGGATTTGGATACTACGTCGGAGGACAAGGCGGCTTCGGAGGCAGCTGCCGATGATGAAGACACAAGCGACGAGTCTGTCGACATGGATGACGATCTTGGGTCGACGGAGAATGAATCGGATGCGGATGATGACGAGACAGGCAGCGAGGATGGTGAGGATTCTGGAGACGAACCATCCGGCCTGCTCGGGCTTCTTTTCAAGAAGTCCGAGTTGAAGCAGTTGAAAGCCGAGGCTGCCGCAAAACAACATGCCACGGAGGATGAAAATGAAGAAATGGACAAGGCCGATGCTGCAGCTGGCTCTGGGGTTCATGCGGAGGACAACGATGGAAGTCCCGCTGGGACTGGTGAACAACAAACGATGGCTACAACCCCCAGACCCACAACACCAGAGAATCAAGTTGAGCAGGAGCCTGCAAAGGACGGGCAATCATTTCATTCACACCAGGGCCTGCCCACCAGTGAACCGATCAGTGGCCCCCTTGCAGGAATTGACAGAGCGGAACCCCCGGCCGACGCTCCATTGACGCACTCGACAGCTCATCAGGGAGAGAGTGGATGGGTTTCGCGGACCAAGCAGGAGCCTGTAGGCGATATTCCGATGACTGATGCCCCGGAGGTAGCTAGACCATCTGTACAAGCTACCACAGAGGCGGAGGTTGTTCCAGAGTCGACCGCAACGCAGCGCCACAGCCCGGAAACGGAGCCCATCACCAATGTCCAGAGCCCATCCAGAAGCCAATCGCCTCGATACATATCTGACGATACCAAACCCACCGATGTCGAGACACCCACATCCGTGTCTCTGCTGCATGCGCCCAAGACTGACAGCAGGTCCACCTCGCCCCAGCCGGCCGCCGCCCCCAGGACCGAGATACCTTTCCTCCTTCGGGGCACCCTGCGCGAATATCAACACCTTGGCCTCGACTGGCTTGCAGCTTTGTACGCAAACAACACGAACGGTATCCTTGCGGATGAAATGGGATTAGGAAAGACCATCCAGACCATCGCGCTTTTGGCGCATCTCGCCTGTTACCACGAGGTCTGGGGGCCTCACCTTGTGATCGTGCCGACGAGTGTCATGCTGAACTGGGAGATGGAGTTCAAGAAGTGGTGTCCTGGCTTCAAGATCCTCACTTACTACGGAAATCAGGAAGAGCGAAAGAGAAAACGCCAAGGCTGGACCAACGATGACGTGTGGAATGTGTGCATCACCTCGTACCAGATGGTTCTTCAGGACCAGCAGGTGTTCCGACGGAGACGGTGGCATTACATGATCCTCGACGAAGCACACAACATCAAAAACTTCAAATCCCAACGATGGCAGACCCTGTTGGGCTTTAACACCCACTCTCGACTGCTCCTCACCGGTACGCCATTGCAAAACAACTTGACGGAGCTGTGGTCACTGCTGTACTTTCTTGCGCCGCCTGAGAATGGTGAAGGCGGGTTTGTCGACCTCAAGGAGTTTCACAACTGGTTCTCAAGACCAGAGTCCCAAATCCTCGAGAGTGGGCGTGAGCAGCTCGATGATGAAGCTCGCGCTATCATCTCCAAACTACACAAGGTCCTCCGGCCATATTTGCTCCGGCGTTTAAAGGCAGATGTAGAGAAGCAGATGCCAGCAAAGTATGAGCACGTCGAGTTCTGCCGGCTCTCCAAACGCCAACGCGAGTTATACGATGGGTTTCTGTCTCGGGCAGATACCCGAGAAACCCTGGCTTCCGGGAACTACATGTCTATCATTAACTGCCTGATGCAGCTCCGGAAAGTGTGCAATCACCCGGACCTCTTTGTCGATCGGCCCATTATGACCTCTTTCCGGATGCAACGCTCGGTTGCGTCGGACTACGAGCTCAACGAACATCTTATCAGAAAGAAGCTTCTGGCTGTTGAACCGATGGGCATCGTGAGCCTCAGCTTTCTCAACATGATCCCTGCTCAGTACGAGGGCATGTCGAGCACACATGCGGACCGGATCGCTCAGTTGAGTGCGCAGCGCATCCTCCTCGACCTTCGAGAAGCGCAGAAGACGCGGGCCAACAACGCCTATCCTGACTTGGATCCTGCGTCAGTCAAGTCCAACTTGGTGTATCTGGAAGGCGCCGCGCGCTGGGGTCGGTTTGAGGAGCTGCAGCATTGTGTGTACCTCAACGCGCTTCGCCGCCAGCAACGGCCGATTTACGGCAAGCGTCTCATCGAACTCTTGACACTCGGCACGCAGCGCCGGCCCTTCAAGCCACGGCCCAAGGTCCCGCAGAAGGTAATGGGCTGGTTCGAGGAGGAGTCGTATCTGCTGCACAACGCCATTCCGACATTGCAACAGCGGGCTGACTCGATGGAGACGACCATAACCAAATTCGCATGTGTCACCCCGGCCGTCGTGACGGGCGACATGACCAGGCTGTTGCTTGGTGCGAAGGGGGTCCAAGCCTTCCAGGAGGCGGACCTGAGGCTGTCCGCTCCTGTCCGATACGCGCCGTACATGCCGAAGGAGCGGCCGCCGGACCCTTGGCATGAAGCCCGCATGCGGTTATCGATCCAGTTCCCCGACAAGCGGCTCTTGCAATATGACTGTGGCAAGCTGCAAGCCTTGGACAAGCTGCTGCGCAGGCTCCAGGTCGGCGGCCACCGCGCCCTGATCTTCACGCAGATGACCAAGGTGCTCGACATCCTCGAGCAGTTTCTCAACATCCACGGCCACAAGTACCTGCGGCTGGACGGCGCGACCAAAGTCGAGCAGCGCCAGATCCTGACCGACCGCTTCAACAACGACCCGCGCATCCTGTGCTTCATCCTGTCGACGCGGTCCGGCGGCCTGGGCATCAACCTCACGGGCGCCGACACGGTCATCTTCTACGACCAGGACTGGAACCCGGCGATGGACAAGCAGTGCCAGGACCGGTGCCACCGCATCGGGCAGACGCGCGACGTGCACATCTACCGCCTCGTCAGCGAGCACACCATCGAGGCCAACATCCTGCGCAAGGCCAGCCAGAAGCAGATGCTCGACGACGTCGTCATCCAGGAGGGCGAGTTCACGACCGATTACTTCCACAAGCTCGCCGTGCGCGACGTCATCGGTACCAACGGCGAGGTCCTGGCCAACGAGGATGACGTTGCCGCCAACGCCGCTATGGACAGGGTGCTCGGCGGCGTCGAAAGCAGCAATCCGCGCAGCGTGGGCCGCGTGCTGGAGCAGGCCGAGGACAAGGAGGACGTCGCGGCCGCCCGTGTGGCCGAGAAGGAGATCCAGCAGGACGATGCCGATTTCCTCGAACAACAGCCTGCATCCGGTGGCGGATCGGGCGTGTCGAGTGTCAGGCAGGGGACGCCGAGGGAGGGCACCGCAGAGCCTCTGTCTGCTTCCGTCGTGGGGAGATCTGGACTGGGGCTGTTTGCCGAGTCGGCCGAGGACGGGGATGCGGTTGAGGAGGTGGAGGTCGAATACAATGCCTTTGGGGAGCGGATGCACACCATCGACGATTACATGCTCTCCTTCATGGCGAGGGCGCTCGAGGGCACGCCGCTGGAGCTGCCGAGGGATAAGAAGAAGAGTAAGAAAAAGGGCAAGGATACGAGGAAGCGGTAAGGCTGCTGGCAACGGCACGGCAGTCGAAGCGCACCGGATCGCCTTGGTTAGAGCTAGTTTGTATCATAGCTGGGCATGTTACTTTTTGGAGACAGCGATTTCATGTTGCGGCATTGAGCGAGAAGATGAGTTTGTTCTACCGGATAGATCATGGTTTGGGGTGGTCGTCAGCTCTTGTACACATTGAATCAGGGATACAGCGATTCGAAGCATTTTGTAAGATGGGAGTTTTTGTACTAGCGGAAGGAAATGATACGATATGCTCGTTGAATCCCACTCATTACCGTATGCTCTGTATGCGTCTTTTGTACGCTTCACTGATCGACCGGAAGCTTGGGAAGAGTCGAGTCCTCGATTCAGTCTCGAAGAAGATGGCACACGTGACGGGGGGGATGAGGTATGCGTTTCCTATGGTACAAGAGGAGGCAAGCAGGCCTAATCACGCTACCGTGATGCGTGACGCGCATGAGTCTATCTTGTGAGCCGGAGCTTGCTTTGCCCCTAGTCTAGCCGGTAGATGCCAGTGAGCTGCACGCGTCTCCATACATAGCAACAATATGCGTACGATAAAGGAGTTGCAAAAGGCTCACCAGCTAGCCCTCATGCCTGTGTAAACTTTCAAGTGATACGCCCTATTGAGGAAAGCAAACCTGCTCTACTGTATGATGCTATGAATGGCTTGTGCTTGAAGTTGAATCACCAGATATTTGGCTGTTAGAAGATCTTTGTTGTCACTGGCCTTTGCGGATTCTCTCATTTATAACCCACTTCCTGGGCTTCGCCGAACCTGCGCATATCTCCATCCGAAATAGCAGGCACAGATTGCAAGTCCCTATCTTACCTTACCTTATCCAGTCACTTCTCCCATACCACAACAACCCAACGCAGGCATACCTGTCAGGGTTCTACCTTACGCATGTCGCCCAGCGACGCTACTACGGCCCAGCTGAACCCGAAGCTGGACAACAACAAAGTCATTGACCTGCAGCAACAACTGGACGAGGTGAAGCATCAGCTCAAACTAGCCCAACAGAAGAAAACGTCTCTGGCCGAGACTCGTGTTCAGCAAGATACCCGGATTCGACTCTTAGAAGAAGACATCCGACGGCGGTCGGCTAGAGTTGCGTCATTGGAGGTTGATAAGGAGGAGCTCTTAGCCCGGATCAGGGCGCTCGAGGATGAGCCACGATGGCTGGGTGAGCTGCCCCTTTCCGGCCTGGGCTGGCGAGTTTCCCAGGAAGAGAGAGACTAAAATAATGGAACAACAACAGCCAACGTAACTGCCGAATTGCAGGCAGTGCAGTCCAAGGTGTCGGCGTTCTTCGCACGCATGACCGACGTGGAGATCCCTCCGCCGCGCTCCTGGTTCACTGCGTGGGCTGCGGTGCAAGGCCTCACCGAGTCCGCCGGGCTCAGCCCTCCACAGCTTTCTGGAAGGTTGACCAGACGCTCGGGGACATGCGGAGCCCCAAGATAAAAGGTCTCGAGCTGCTATGTCTGCACCTGTACGCGACACTGGGCGTCGGCTGGTGGGGTAACGAAGCTCTAGCTCTCCTAGACATGCTCTGCAACGAGCTCAAGACGGCCACGCTCGTCCCCGTCGAGGGCCTCGTCATGGTCTTGGGCATAGGACTTCAGGTCGCACCGTCCCATAGAGAGGATATCCTTCTGGTATCTCTATGGCAGCTGGCCAAGATGCTCGAAGAGGTATTCCCAGACAAATCCCGGTTTGGCCAACTACGAAAGGCCATAGACAGTGAGCTTCTAAGTAGCTCTCCCTGGTGCTCGAGGATTACACAAGCCATCACCGATGGTACGATACAAGGGCTCTGCTCTAGTCAGGATGCCCAGTTCTACCAGACATATGGCCTCGGCGTCCTCATTAGCCCGCGTAAGGAACTTTATTTGGCGCTTGATATCTGGGGCCAGAGAATGTGGATGTTCAGTGATCTTGAGGTGGAGTTCACGCTCTCCTTCTCGGGAGGCTCTAGTCTTACTATCCCTGACTTCTCGAGGAATCCAATCAGGTGTGAGACGCGTTCGATCCCCGCATTCTGGTTCTATGGTACCGCAGGCACGGGGTAGGGTTGAGGTTTGTAGGATGGTATTTGAGGCGGCTCTTTATGTATGACATGGGAGGGTGGAATATGGGTCGCACAGGTTAGATTGCTCAGCTGAAGAGGGAGAATCAGAAACGCGCAAAAGCAACATGAAAACATTCCGAGTGTTCGGCAGCGGGAAGGTACGACTGACGAGTCTGCGTTTGGACTTTGGGTCTGTACTAGTATTACTACCCCTAGGATCCATTCTCCTTATTCCATTTAAAAAATAACAGAACCCTCGCTTTCTGCCAAGCCGTCCGGCTCAGAATGAAACGAAGTGCAATTCCTGAGACTCTGTCTCTATTCAACTTATCAGCTTTCTATTCGAAACCTTGAGATAGAGGTGCAGGCTGCGGTTGCTTCCCTCGTCCTCCTACCACCGAATCTTCTGGTTCTCTGTCGTCATTGAGCACTACTACCGAGACGTGCCGACCAGCAACATTCATTCCATGCGAGAGGCAGTCTAGACTCTTGAATACTCTGCAATGCATCCAATTGGGTGAGGGATTAAAGGTCGGAGTTGGTTCCGGGGCATGATGGTACTGTAAGCCTTCGCTTTCATAGGTCGGTTTCCATGGAGCGTTACCATAACCCACCTGGTGAGGAGGTAGCGGCGATATGCCGGTCTCACCGCCGACATGGCAACCCCGCGGAGCCCCCGATTTCTCACTGGTGCTTTAAGCTTATCTCGCTCGCGCACGACGGGCACTTTCCTCTGAAATGGTGGAGCGCCCCATGCACGGTGCAGCCGGTAGTGTCAGCACTAATGCCGGAACATCTCGAGCGAGTCCGCTTATTCGTCGTAAAAGTCTTCGTGTTGAGGGCTCTCATAGGTACGGATTGTTCTGCGCACGCAGGACCATGCATCCCGCCACTTCTCTCTGAGTCTGGGGTCGCCCTCGACCAATTTGACCGGTGACCCTCAAAAATGCTGCCTTGTGCAACGCGAGGACTTTTTGGGGCAACTTCGCCCGTTTGGATAATAAAGCTGCTTGGGCCTGCACCTCTCGTAATCATATCTCCCTAATAACTCGCCCAATTGTCTTGGTCCTGTCGTCAGAACCTGCGAGCAAACCGGTTCCTGACTGTAGTCTGTGTCGGATATCTCATCGCCCACTCACGGAGACGGACCCGGAAGCGGCCCCGCTTCTTCGCACTTAAGAACTCCGTCCGATTCGACCCTCGCCGGAATACCAATGGCCACCAGTGACCGGAATCGCCGCCGTGGCGGGGGTGTCGGGCTGCGTCTGCCCAACCTGGCGCTCATCGCAGCTCTGTTCCTCCACCCGTCCCAGCCGTCAACAGCGGATGCGGCACCCACCCTGGGGGACCACTCCGGTTCCGGTGCCCAGGGCCTACACAAGCGGATCCAGGGCGAGCATGTGGTGCTCGCGGACTGCCGCGACAACCACGGCGTCGTGTCGTCCCAGATGGCCTACTTCGTCGGCGATCCCGGTCCCGTGCCGAACGACGTGGCCGTCGTGGTCACCCCGGCGGGGCAGGCGGCGCTGTGGGTGAACGCCAACACGTCCAGCCTGTTCACCGACACGGGCGTAACCTTCCGGGCGAGCCTGGGCCCTCGCGTCGAGGACGGCCAGTTCGCCGGCACGGGGGACAACGGGTACGGCAACTTCAGCTGCTACCAGAAGTACGCGGCGGGGCTGTACAAGTATAGCGGGACGACCTGTAACCAGGTCTACTTGTGTGATCATAGCAAACCGCCCGGTGAGTTTATCTTGTTTTGTCTTGAGGGGTAGTGAGATGGGGGGTGTGGATGGTGCTGACTATATGGATCAGAAACAACAGCTAGCAGCTCGTCGGATAGCGGCAGCATGTCCCGGGGGACGGTCATCGGGATCGCGGTCGGGGTGGTCGGCGGGCTGCTCTTCCTCGTCGCTGTGGGGCTGGTGTTCTGGTTCTACCGGCGCCTGCGGCGAGCGAAGGCCAAACCATCGGGCGAGCTGCTCCGGCCGGGCAGTCTCTCCGTCTCGACGGACCCCAGCTCGCGGTTCGAGGCCAACAAACCGCCGAACCCGGTGGGCATGGCGCAGCCGGTCATGACCCACATGCGCGCCATCTACGAGGTGGACGGGCGGCGGTTCCGCGTCGAGATGGCCACCGACACGGGCCGGCTCGAGATGGATGCGCTGGGCCACGGCTCTGCCGAACTGGATGATAAGAGCCACAAGGCGGAGAACGAGAAGACCGACGTCACCACGTCCGAACCGAGCAGCGACTCTCCGCGTGAGATATCTCCGCTGAGCCCAGACCTCCCGGACTCGCCGGGCGCGAATGATCCGCCTCCGCCGCCGTCCTACACGAGCACGCCCATCACATTCTACTCGTCCGTTCAGGGGAAGTGAGGGGTCCAGCACATGGATTACCTATGGATGATGGAATCATGGAACACGCAGTTGAGGTTTGGGTTATGGACAAGAAAGGCACTACGGAGGCTCGGAAAAAAGAAATTAACTCACCTCATTCTCAAATCTGGAATTTGTCCTGTCTGGATATCTGGCCATCTTCAATGATCTGGGAGACGGAGTCATTCCCTTCGAGTGGCATGGGTCGGTAACTCGGAGAATTGGCGGGGTAACGGGGTGTGGGGTAAGGTTGCGGTGCCGCGTGCGGCTTCGGCGGTTTCCCCCCAAAAATGGTACCCGAGTGGGTTTACCCACTGCTCAGGTTGCTGCCTGCAAGCCGAGGAGGACATTCCTTCGCCGGGCCACCTGCACGATGGCGAACAATCGACCACCCTCTACACATCATGATGCGGGAGGAGACATGCCGCGTGCAAGGCGCCGCTCGTCGTCTGCGTCTCGGCACAAACCGGGCCCGCCGTCAGCGCCGCGCCGCGCCATCCGCCCCGTGCTGCTTCTCGTGGCGCTTGTCAATCTCGCGTGGAGCCTCTACCAGCTCCCGGTGAGCCGCGTTGTCGAGAGCCGGCTATGTCGCGACCACTACGCGGCGCACGATCCGTCCGCGCTTCGTCCGGACGGGACCGTTCCGGAGGAGCTGTGCAAGGTCGATGGCGTGCAGCAGCGGCTGGGCCGCATCCAGGGCATCATGGAGACGGTGTGGGTTGCTGGCGGTGAGGGAATCTCGTTGGATATACTTTATCATTCCTCGTTGTGAACCTTGGGAAGGTGGATGCTAAGCATGTCTACTTTACTAGACTTTCTAATGACCATCCCGCTTGTCTCGCTGGCTGACCATTATGGGTGCCAATTCGTGCTGTGTCTCAATCTCTTCCCACGCGTGTTCCTACTGTGTTGGACGTTCCTGGTCGGCTATTTTGATCGGGCCCTGCCGGTCAACGCCATCCTCGCCGCTCCGGTGTTCTCATTTCTTGGGGGAGACTGTGTCTTCAACTCGATTGTCTATGCTCTAGTATCGGAGCTCACAGACGACCACGTCCTCCGGTGAGCCCATCACTTGTCGGCATGTTTAAGGAAACACCGGGGAACTAACACTCCACAGCGCAACCTTTTTCGGCTATGTGAACGCCGTCTCCTCCATCTTCTCCCTCCAGCTTGGGCCCGCCCTCGCATCGGCGGCCATGAGCACGATGCTCTGGCTTCCGCTCTGGATCGGCATCGTCCTGCTGATTCTCGGCATCCCGGCCATCACCGCTCTCCTTCCAAAACCCAGAGGCAGCCGCCGCAGATCTCCCTCGAACGAGGAAGCGGACGCCGCGGCGCCACTTATCCCTCCCTCGTCCCGTCAACCACTCCGGAACAGCCTGGCCTCCAAAACCACAGCCCGCTTCCACACCGTCCTGGCCATCCTGAACAACCCCACCGGCAACTTCCTCCTCCTCTTAACCATCTTCTTCCTCGCCTCGCTCGCCAGCTCCGACACGAAACTTCTCCCACTCTACATCTCCAAGCGCTACACCTGGAAGTTCTCGTCTATCGGCTACCTACTCTCAGTGAAAGCCCTCTTCAACTTCCTGCTGCTGTCCTTCCTCATCCCGCACTTCCTGCGCTGGAGAAGAAGACAACAGCAACAGTCCCGCCTCCTCCGCCCAGTAGTCACCTCACCAGACTCAGAAATCCAAGCCGAGCCCAACGCGGCTGATGTCCATTCCGATAGAGAAAACATCGCATTGGCGCACGCAAGCCTGGTCTTCTCGGTGCTGGGCGCCTTGGCCATCGCCGTCTCGCCCAGCATTGCGGTGCTCGTCCCGAGCCTGTTGCTCTACGCGATGGGCATTGCGCTGCCCATGTTTACCTACTCGCTGCTCAAGTCGCCGAGTATGGGGTTGGTGAAGGAAGGAGAGGAGGAGGGCACGGGCACGGGCATGCAGCTATTTTCCGTGGTCATGTTGGTGAGGACGGTCGGTACGCTGCTCGGTGCTGTGGTCATGCCCAGTCTGTGGGTGGCCGGGGTTGGGGTCGGGGGTTGGGCGCTGGGACTGCCGTTTGGGGTGAGTGCGTGCTGCTATGGCCTGGCGGGGGTCTTGGTGAGAAGGATGCGGGTTTGATGCGGCCTGTGGGATACTATGATGTGGCGTGCGCCAATTTGGGGATTGGGCTTGTTCGGTGATTGATCGGGCTGGATGGGACGGCTGGCGGGGAGGCTCGCTCTTTTCATCCCGTTGCAATGCTCGGGAATTCCGGACATCGTCGTGGCGTCCGAGCTGAAGTCATCCGTCACACGCGCTTTTCAGCAACTTCCCTTTGCCCCGTCATCAATATTGAAAGCGCAACATGTGTTGTCCGCTTGGCCCGAGAAGTTGAGATCGGCTAGCTCGGCTGCCAAGGCGATCGGAATAGGGGCTTCCACTAGTTCGGCATACGGGGCTGCGGCAGAATCTAATAGACCCACGGCAGCTGAACTCGACAGCTGAACGCCACAGCAATGATTCGCCAGATCTCTGCATCGTGGCCCTCCCATAGCTCACGATGTTTCCTACACGCAGGGCTAAACCATGTTCGGCTTCACCTCATCTCCACTGTCTCAGCTTTGCAGGGCTGGGCCGCCTGGCAGTGCCCGGAAAGCTGGAAAGCGTCTAGGTTCGGATGCATCGTGGATCTCAGTATAAAGGCTGGACCGTCGCCATGTTCTTCAGCCCGGGTCCTCTAGAGATCGCAAGTTGACGGTGAAGAAGCCAAGACACTCAGCCAATCTTCTGTAAGACACCATGAGGACTAGTCCGTCCCTCGTCCTTGCCGGCGCCGGGCTCGCGCTCGCCGCCCCGGGAAGGTTCTCTTCCCGGCTCCTCGACAAGCGGACGGGCTACGACCTCTGCGAGACCGACTGCAATCTCGCTGGGGCCGCCTTCCCGGACAAGCACACGCTCCAGCTGATGCTTGAGAACTACCGGTCCGAGCAATGTCCCACCATCTACATCGGGGAGAACCCGGACACGCCGACGGCCACGTCGAAGGTTTGCCTTGACGTCATCGGCACCGACATCGTCTTCAACTTTGCGTCTTTCCCCGGCTACACGTACCAGAATGGCGCCGTCAGCTGGAAGCTGATGGGCAACCTCCTGACGCCCGAAAAGTTCAACGCCCCTCCCCCGCCGGCCGCCGAGGTCTCCTGCAGCCCTAGTGGTGATGGTCTCGTCTGCAAGCTCCCGTTCAGCGACATCCTCGGCGTCTCGGCCACCACCGGCGTCCAGGACCTCCTCTCTGGCATGTGCCCCAACGGCGACCGCGAAGGGCTCGGCTTGTACTTGTCCTTCGCAGGCCAGGTCCAGTCCACCGAGGACGACTCCGTCACGAGCTTTGTCCAGTCTCCGCCCTGCACCGCCCGGGACTCGACCGGCCAGTGCACGGGACACGACACCTCGCTCTCTTACATTGAGGTCGCCTACCGCTGCTCGGCCTGCACCAACGCACCGGCCTGCCCGTCCACGACAAGCACTTCAAGCATCACAACCAGCAGCTCCACCGCCACCGATTCCGAATGCACCGCGCCCGCCAGTTCTGAGACGACTAGCAGCTCTACGACAACCACAACCCCGAGACCTCCTCCAGCACTTCCACTTCCACTTCCACTTCCACTAACCCACCAACCTCCACCCCAACGGCATGCTCCTTCGGCACCGCCTTCGGCTACCTGTCCGCCTCCAAATCCACCACGCTCAACACCCAGTCCGGCCAGGGCTGCAAGCGCTGGGGGTGGTACCAGACGCCGACGCTAGCCGAGCTGCAGGCGGGGCTCACCTCGGGCCCGCTGTACGTCGGCGCGGGCAACAACGACATCTCCAAGGCGACGCAGGTCGGCACGTGGACCGCGACGGCCGACCTCGGCGGCCGCGTGTCCGTGACCTACTCCCTGACGGGGCCGTACGCGCTCGCCGAGGTGCATGTCGATCTCGAGTGCCTCCCCATCGAGAAGTGCGCGCCGGGCAGCTATACCGTGGGCGAGAGTGGGCTGGGTGGCAAGGGCGTGCAGGAGTATGAGGTTGTCGTGGGGGCGTTCCCGAGTTGTTCGGGGGGGAACAGGGCCGCGTTGATTATCCATGCCGCGGTGGATCGGATGGTTCCTCAGGGGACGACGTGTCGTTCTTGATTGGGTAGTAGCAGGTACTAGTAGTAGTTGGGGAAAGGCAGAGAGGGTTGAGGACTTGGAGGATGTTGGTGGAGGGCCTCGTTCAGAAATAGTGTCATTATCGAATCTTCTGTTCTAGATGTATGGGTATCCCTGGGCTATTTTCGGTTTCGTATTATTAGTACCTTAATCTGATAATAGACCGCCGTCACCTGCGGAGCTGCAAGACAGTGGGACTATGGGAGTGAGTACCGCGTACTTATGGATAGCGAGTATCTTTCTTGTGTGACTTGTAAGAGATTTTAGTGCCCACGGCCAAGTCGACATTGTGTCCCGACAACGCTTAATGCAACAGCTACAAGCAGAAGGAGGCCTCTCGTGGCCTTTGATCGCTCCACTCGGCCATTTGATTCTCGACTTGACACATGAACCCGCAGGTACAGTACTTAGCTGGGGTGAAGGGCAGTAACATTTCTCTTCATGCATCCCCCAGCCTAGGCCTGTCCCGGCCCTCTATCATCGAATACCTACCAGGTATTCTTCCTCGTGGTGTAACTTCTGATAAATCCACTCAAACCCCCAAAGGATTCCACCCGCTCTCAACCATCTCCACCGCTGTCCTCGTCGCAGCATCTAGATCCTCCTCCGGAAGCCCAAGCAGCTCATTAGCCGTCCCTTGAGTCCTAGCATAGTCATAGACATCCACCACCGCCGCCGCATCATCATCATCATCCTTACCAGACGGCGGAGCGAAAACCGTAGCATACAAGTTCTTAGCAAAGCCCCTGTAATCCCCCCTCCCCAACTCCGCCACACCATCCCGCACCCGCTGGGCGGTCGACTCGTAGGCGATCTGCCAATCGGCATCCGTCGTGTCCAGCACGCGATGCAGGCTATCGAGCATGTCGCGCTGCGAGACGCGCCAGCTGGCGATGTTGACGTGGCCGTTCCGGAAGTCGGCGAGCGAAGGAGCAGAATCGGATGAGGAGAAGGAGGAGGACGACGATTCGGGCAGGCTGAGCAGCGCCGCCAGCGCCCGGCCGCACTGCGCCCACGTGCTGACCGTGATGGTGCGCCGCCCGTCGTCGAAGAAGGTCGCCTTGCGCGCCGCGATGCTGAAGCCGAACCACGGGTCGCCCGCCGCCAGCGACCACTCGTACCAGAAGCCGCAGTTGAGCGTGACGTAGGCGGACACGCCGTTGTTCTGCACGTCCGCGATGCGCTGGATCGCGTTGCGGGCCACCTGCCCGGCTGGAGTAGTAGGAGGAGGAGGTGGTGGCGCGGTGGTGGTGGTTGCCGTGGTTGCCGTGGTTGGGGGCGTCGGGAAGCCGAACTTGTTGGGCATGATGTAGCCCACGCCGGCCTTGCCTGCCGCGGCGCAGATCCGGGGGTGCAGATCCTCGGGAACCCGCGTGCCCAGCGTCACGACCAGGAATTGCTGGCCCTGGAGCGCCGAGACTAGCGCCGCGTCGTCGTCGTAGTCCACCTCGACCACCCTGACGCCCGTGGGTACCGAGCTGTTGCTGCCCTTGCGCTTCAGCGCCGTGACGGTGTGCTTGCCGGTCTTGAGCAGTGCTTCGGCGAAGGCGCGTCCGATGTTGCCGGAAGCCTGGGCGAGGTGTTAAGTGTAGGTGTGGTTAGTTGCTTCCATCAGATGGTCAAAGGAGTGGAAGCAAGAGAGGGTGGATATGACGTACACCGATGATGGCGACTCTCTCAAGGTGTTTGGTGGCCATGGTGGGTGGACTTTGGCGGATTACGGTTGTGACTTCTTTATTGAGTTTATGATACTAGTAGTAGAGTATTGAGGTAAGCACCGTAAGCTCTATATAAATTCGGTTCTCGCCGGACGATGGACTTGTTTGGGAATGTGGACGAGCGTGAGAAGCAGACTCTTGGCGGTGTTTTATATCTTTCCCTCGTATGTATAATCTCAACGTCCCTAATACTGTACCTCGGATATAACATCCCCTTATCCACGAATCGGCCGGCTAACCCGGGCTTAAAACCCCGAGCCTGCTGGGAGCTACCAAGCGAGCCTAACGCATCCGGCCGAGAATGATTACTAAATAAGTCAAGCAGTCTCAGCGAGTTTCTGACAAATCCGCCTCGTAAAAATGCACCACTACGCAATTCGGCCGGTGCTGTGATGGGCCGGTCGCCGATATTGTCCCGCCACCTCCGGGTCCGAGGACCGCTTCGAACCCGAGCACACAAATAGTAGAGATCCAATGATTCCTATCAGCCACGTGCGCCCCGAGTCCGCATGGTAGGGACCTATCAGAAAAAATAGGTTCTGGTTTGCTTCACTCATATTGATTTAAGCTGCATTTACGGCTGAATATAGACCAGTTTAGTTCGTCTATGTTGTAGGTCTTAAACTAGGTACTAAAGACCATTGTGGTATTTATGTTCGGTATGGCGTTCAACCCCTCCCACATATGAGGCAGTTCCCCTGACTTAGCTGGGCGCATCACCTTCTTCACCTTCTTCACCTTCTTCACCTTCTTCACTTTCTTCACCTTCTTCACCCACTATTACACAGTTTTCTCTGCCTCTGACTTCTGCGCACTTCAACAGTAGGCCAGTTCCGCGATAGCCTGATAGGTAAGATCTAGAAGAAGACGAAGAAAAACAAAGTTATGATCGCAAGCTAATCAAGGAATCGACGGAAGAGCAGATGCAGAGCCTGTGACATACACTGCAAAGTGAAAGAGGTGGAAGAAGAAGAGCAAACAGAGGGAGAGAACTTGAAAGGGATAAGAAGAATGGGGTGTCCCTCGGTCAATTCTTTCCAGTTGTTCTCCTCTTGCAATCATGCTCTCCCAGGAGCTTGTATTGTACATTTGATTTACCGGCCCCTAATCTCCGTTCCTGGTTAATAAAGACATGTTGAGCAGATGCATTCGTAGCGCCCACTCTTCCATAAGTCTAAATTCGCCTGCTGGCCGTTGCATCACTGTTTAGGATCTGTCTATATCATGTGGGCATCCAGTAGCAGCTTGTAGGACATAAAACTACTACTAGTACTGAGTCTCGTCAGACAGATTCACCACGTCAAGATTAAGCTGCGTCGGCTACGCACAGACACTTCTGCAGGTCGATCTGGCTTTTTCACCCGCTAGCTGTGCGACATCGGTCCTCGGACTAGATCTTTCCGCTGACCTGCCATAAGCATTGAGGTTACAATTTCCACGAGCATGCTTAGCCGAGCTTAAGCCCGAGAATTCCGAGTCGTACCATATGAGGACATGCGCAACGGAATGGCGTAAGACCCTGAGCGGCGGTTCTTGTAAGTTGTTGTAATTAGGGGATAACAAGCGGGAGAGGTTGCAGATAGACACGTATGGGACATGGACCTTGCAGTCCGGGCTGCAGAAACGGCTATCCAAGCCATCCAAATCGGACGGGTTCAACTTCTCACGTAGTTTACCTATTAATCATCGAGATTCTCCCCTCTTTGACCATCTGCAAGGGCTCCCACTTAAAGAGTAATCGTCATGCTCTGTTCTAGTTCCCACCCAATCTCCCGGAACCGCCAAGGCAATAACCGCCGCCTAATAGCGAGCAGAATGGAGGACTAGAATAATATACCCGCTGTCCGGGTCCTACGACACTCGTATATCATCTCCGCATCTGACATTACTTTAGCCAGAGCCAATGTGCGGCCGGGATCCTCTTCCACGCAATGGCTGTCCAGACTTGCAGGGATGGTACACGTCCGGTTAGAGAAAGCGCAGCATCCCCCTCAATATCGAGATTGATGAATGCGGTACAAATCTTTGCTGGAGTCACTCCCCATGGTGGTAACGACATTGAGCTCGCAGCATACAAAAGGGGCGACTACCGCCGCCATCCCCTCTGCCATGCTGCCATCAAAACGCCCCTGTGCATATAGTTGGATTCTAGAACCAAAATAAGAGATGCTTTACCGTCTATTAGCAGCACTCGCAGCCTCTGCCGCGCTGGTCGCAGATGCGGCGCCCTCGGCATCGGCCTACGATTACATCGTGGTGGGCAGCGGCCCCGGCGGCGGGCCTCTGGCGGCGGAGCTCGCGCGGGCGGGATACTCGACGCTCCTGATCGAGGCGGGCGGGGACGAGGGCGACAACCCGACGTACGCCGACATCGCCAACTTCAACGAGGCGGCCAACGACGAGACGACGCGGTGGGACTTCTGGGTCAAGCACTCGGACGACCCGGCGCGCGACCTCAAGTTCGCGCACACGACCTGGGACACGGGCGACGGCACCTTCTACGTGGGCCTCGACCCGCCCGAGGGGGCCAAGCTGCTGGGCATCCAGTACCCGCGCGCCGCCGTGCTGGGCGGATGTGCCATGCACAACGCCGGCGTGTGCTCGCTGCCCGCCGCCGACGACTGGAACATCATCGCCAACAAGACGGGCGACGCGAGCTGGTCCGCCGAGAACATGCGCAAGTACCTCAAGAAGATCGAGAGGAACGAGTACTTGCCTGCTGGAAACCCCGACCACGGATACGACGGTGAGCTTGGGAATCGAATGGCTCCCTTACTGTTGCTGAACTAACAAGACTGTCCAACCCGCGAAGGATGGCTTGCGACGTCGGTGGCCGACAACTCGTGGGCCAAGAACAACAGCCTCCCGGGGACCAAGATCCTCAAGCGGCTGGCCGAGCTGACGGGGCAGGACCCCAACGAGGCGGCCAGCCTGGTGAACCGCGACATCCTCGAGGCGGGCGACCACGTCGACGAGACCACGTCCTTCTACAACATGGTGACGCACGCCGACAGCAAGGGCAAGCGCAGCAGCCCCAACAACTACATCCGCGCCACGCTCGCCGACCCGGCCAACTACCCGCTGACCGTCAAGCTGCACACGCTCGTGACGCGCGTGCTCTTCGACAACTCCTCCACCACCGCCCCTGGTACTGGTAGCACTCCGCGCGCCATCGGCGTGGAAGTGATGGAGGGCGCATCGCTGTACCGAGCCGACCCGAAGCACGTGGCCGGCAGCACGGCACCGCCGCGCACGCAGATCCTCGCCAACCGGGAGGTGATCGTCTCCGGCGGCACCTTCAACACCCCGCAGATCCTCAAACTCAGCGGCATCGGTCCCGCCGCCGAACTCGCCCAGTTCCACATCCCCGTCATCGCCGACTTGCCCGGCGTAGGCGAGAACCTCGGCGACAACTACGAAGGATCCATCCTCGCACTGGGCGCCGCCCCGGTCGAGTCGGGCCTGATCACCCTGCTCTTCCGCACGCCCTCGGCCCCGACAGCCAAGCGCAACATCTGGACCTGGTGCGGCGCCTTCTCGTTCGAGGGTTTCTGGCCGGGCTTCCCGACCTACCACGGCCCGACGCAGTACACGTGCGCGATGGTGCACATGGCGCCCAAGTCGCAGGCCGGGTCGGTCAAGCTGGTGTCGGCGGACCCGCAGGACAAGCCCGAGATCAACTTCCGCTTCTTTGAGAATAAAGGGGACGAGGACCTGCGCGAGCTGGCCGAGGCCGCCGACATCCTCCGCCAGGCGTGGCAGGCCGCGGGCGAGCCGGTGCTCCCCTTTGATGAGCTGCATCCGTGTCCTGGCGGCAACGAAGAAAAGAATTGTACGGAGGCGGCGCAGGCCGAGTATTTCAAGCTGCAGGCGTACTCGCACCACGCGACGTCGACGTGCGCGATCGGCGGCGACGGGGACGAGATGGCCGTGCTGGACTCCAAGTTTCGCGTGAGGGGGGTGCGGGGGTTGAGGGTCGTGGATGCGTCCGCTTTCCCCGTGGTTCCCGGCGCGTTTCCGAGCTGCCCGACCATGATGCTGAGCGCGAAGGCGGCGGAGGATATCATTACTGATGCGAAGAAGGCGGATGCGAGGAAGGTGTAGATAGCGGGAGGGGTTGAAAGGGTAAATTGGGAGAAGGGGGGAGGGAGATGGTCCGATGGTCAGCAAAGATAAACGAATAGATACAGGAAAGCGCGATTGCTCCGTGAACGCAGCGATATACAAGTTGCAACATCCAAGCGCTCTACATGTCCTTTCTTACCTCCCCTTTTCTATTGTCTCTATCAGTTATCCCACGCTTATGATCCAAAGCTCCCATCCACCACAAGCAACCATCAAATCTTAGCCTTGAGCTCCCTCTTCCACCGCTCATCAATAGTCATGACCTCGGTCCTGCTGCCCACCCCTTGCCTCGCCTCCTCAAACACCCTCTGCTCCCTCTTCCACAAGTCTACCTCTCCCTCCAAAAACCCGGCAATCGCCTCCGCGCACTGCGGAACCCGCTCCATGGCCACCAGATGCCCACAGTCCAGCACCACCTCCTTCACCTTTCCCCGTGTCGCACCGCCACTGCCCCCCAGCCCACTCCCCGTCCTCTCCAGCTTGGCCCGCCGCTCCGCGGGCGTCGACATGTCGGATTCCGCCCCAAACACATACAGCACGCTCGGCCGGAGCTCGGGCAGCCTGCTGTACGCGTGGAGCGGCTCGGGCCGGTAGAAGGGATAGCCCGCGTACAGCGGCCGGTCGTAGTCCGGGAGCGTGTACGGCTCCGCGCGGTAGGTCGGTCGGAGGAAGGTGAAGAGCTCTTGGTGCTTCGTCGTGGTCAGCGTGACCTGCTTGTCTCCCTTCTCTGCGGAAGGGTAGAGTTCGGTGGGGAGGTCCCGCAGGCCGTGGGCGACCCAGAGCTTGAGCACGCGCGGGTCCCACGCGCGGTAGAACTTGCTTTGGGCGAACTTGGCGGCCGCCGAGTCGCGCGAGTCCCACAGATCCCGGCGCGTGGTCGAGGCTATGGCTGGGCCGATGCCGCTGTTGGAGAGGGTGATGACCGGGTCGAGGAGGATCAGGGACCGGAAGAGGCGCGGGTGGGAGAGGGCGAGGAGCGCGCTGCCGTGAGTGAGTCGCTGCAACTCCAGACAGAATGAAGGCAATAATGGAAAGGGGGAGGTAGTCTCACAGTTGTGCACCGCCCATGCTATGTCCGATCCCGACCAGCGGCTGAGGCATCTCATCCTGTTTCTCATTGATCAGGTGCATGAGATCCCTCGAGTGGTCCCACCAGCTAGCTACATGGTGTCAGCATTCCGTGCCGTTTCACCTGAGATGAAGACGCCTTACGATCATTTCCCAGGATCTTCTCATTCAGCACGCCTGACTGCCCCTGATTCCACATGTCGGCGATCCAGATGGACCGGATGCGGATCCCGCTCTGCGGAGTCCGCTTGTGAAGGTCATCCCAGAGCGGCTCATACAGTTCCTGGGAAAATGTGAGAAACAGTAACAGATACGGAGAAAATAACCCAGAACATGAAGACTTCGATGAAAGCAAGACAAGAGATGCTTACTTTCGGAAAGCCATTGGCATGAGCAGCGATGATTGTGACATCGCCTGGCTGCGGGTTGGGGTTGTCTAAGGGGATGTACTGCTTGACTGCAAGTCTGGGCTTGTCCGCATCGCCATTCACCGTCGCCGTGGCATACTCGCGTGAGTGGCAGCAGTTGACGGTGTGCTCGACCACACGGTAGTAGGGAGACATGTCGGCCGTGTTAGAGTTAGATTCGAGAAGGGAAGGGACGAGTGCAAGATAGTACCTAGTAGACTGTTGCTGTCGACGGGAGCGCAAGGTCAGGATGACAACCTCGGCTGCGAGTGGGGCGCCAAATGGCTTCCACAATCGGAAGCCTGCAACGGCACGGCAAAGCTTCTCCGCGTCCACCAGCCCAATCAAATTATCAATCCACACGGGTAGGTAGTGGAGACGGAACTTCGAGCTGCGGTTTGAGGGCCTGAGGCAGATGAAGACTTACACAGTAAACTTCTCAAAGAGCTTCTGATAGTTGAGAATCTCTCAAATATCTGGCCAACAATATAAGCCTCAAAGATTGAGTCTTACTAGTCTGGCAATGGACCCTCGCTCGTAGCTTCCACTCGTGACTCCCTGCCTCGGTCTACCGGTAGACACCTTAGTCTACCTAAGGTAGGTACGGTAATACTTTAAAGCTGGCGAGAGCTGCTTCCTCAAGTATCCTGAGCAATCCGAAGGGTATCAGCTGCGAGGTTGGATGGTGAGGTTTTGCCAGATAAGGCCTGTAGGCTGTGTGCAACATCCTCTCAGTCAACTTCGGGTATCCGTGCTCTCGAATTTGATCCGAATCTCTGTCTACGGCATTCCCTCAGAATCCCATCCTACATCATGTTTTAGACATGTTCAAACTCCGAGTTCACGATAGACCTGCGAATGATATCAATTCGTCACCTCGTCGCCCGGCAGCGCAGGGAGTCAGGGACTACCCCCTCCCGAGGTGTGGCATCCGAGCGGGAACAAGACCAAAGAGAATTGGATTGTGGGGATGCCGCAGGCTTTGAAGGCGGCCCGGGAGGCGGTGACGACCGGGAGGAGGAATCAGGAGTTTATCAGGTGGACAGGTATTATGTCTGAGTTTTGTACTGCGGTAGAGACAAAGATTGGATGGGTTGGGGTTGGCATTGGAAAGGTATTAGCAAGAAAGGAATGCAATGATCAGACGGACGTATCCTAGATAGAATCCACTCACTGGATTGTAATCCACTGAGAATGAAGCAATCAACGATCAGAGTTCAGCCAAATAGCACTTCCAGAAGGCTTGCTAAAGAAGACGAAACGCGTTGGGGTATTACAACAGGTTGGGCGACCAAGACAAAAAGATCTAACCACCAACTCCGCCCACCGCGATCAGCCCACCCTCCCAAATTGGGAACCAGTTGGCAAACACGCCGTGCTGTCACGACTATGGCTCATTATATCTCTGTTGATATCGCATCGGAGATGGACGCGAGACTTGACTGTACGAAACGGTCTGCCCCGTCGTTAGCGGGCCCTTGCTTGCTTCAACTGAAACGAACGGCTTCGGGAGGTGGAACCGAGGAAAAGGACGGACCACATCACGTTGGACTAAAATCTCCTCCTGGGACTCGTTCCCGTCGGACCGCGACCCGTTGGTGGTCTTGTTGCTGTCGCGCCGGAGCGAGCCGAGGGCGACGCTTTTGGTGTGGGGCACATAGGTCGAGCTTTTCCGCTTGCTCGTGGCCTGGGACGTGGCCCCCGACGCGCCGGAGCGGTTTGCAGACGAGCGGGCGTTGGTGGTGATGAGCACTTTGAGTGCAGGGAGGGTTCCGACGAGGACGGCTGGGACGCAGTGCGCTTTAGTATTGTACATGGCATTGTGGAGGGAGACGACCATCAAATAGCTTACATATCGCAGCTGCCAGCGTCGACCACACCATGAGAAGAGTTAGGTTGACAAACCCCTGCTGCGCCAGGCTCTGGTTGGCCCGGATGATGGCGAAGACGATCATGAAGATCCCGAGGCTGAAGACGCCGATCAGGCCCAGCTTTTGCTTGAAGGAGACCTTGATGTTGTAGATGAGCCGCAGCGGCATGGCCATGACTGTGCCCCGCGCATTCTGGTTAGCACCGGCGACTCGGAGTATCGATTCTCAGTAGGTAGTCAATGGCTTACTGCAGAGATCGGTGAAGACGTCGCTCGCCGTGCTGTAGTAGACGCTGAAGTTGCTCGTCCACACGTGCTGCGGGCCGGCGCACTGGGCGAAGCGGAAGAAGTTCCGCACATCGGGGCCGCACGACAGCGTGAGGGTGATGACGCAACCTCCGTAGGCCAGAAAGGTGAAGACGGCCAGCACATACCACGCGCGCCGGTACCACGGGAGGTCGCGGAACAGGCGCCAGTAGAGCGCGAGGAAGGCGGCTTTGACGGACCACAGCACGGTCCAGAAGAGGATGGTGATGGGGAACTGGAAGCGCAGGTAGTTCTCCGTCTCGCCGATGATGGTCTCGGCGTTGGTTAAGGGCACGGCACCGGTCAGGATGCCCGTGACGTAGTATACGCTGGGTAGCTGGATGGTCTCGAGGATACATTGGGCCAGGAAGGCCGCGAGGGCGAAGAAGATGAAGCAGTCGTCGAGCGGCGGGGCCCGGCGGCCGGCGGGCGAGCGAAGGCGTATACCGGTGCGGACGGCGACAAGAAGGAATGCGGCCCCGAAGCACACCCAGATCAGGATGAGGAGCGACTGGTGCGAGAGCGTCCCGACGTCGTCGGTGTCGGTGGATGCCATCGTGTCGCTCGTTCATGCCGTATTCATGCCGGCGCCATGTCATACAGTCATTCAGGCACGGGCACTCCTCTTGCGGACTTGCGGTGCTCTGACCTTTGAGCTGACCGTGGACTGACTTCGGAACTGACCTTGACCTTGGGAGGGGCAAAGCGCAAAAGATTAGGACTCAGGGGAGATTCCATGACCAGGTTAGGCCAGCGTCCACGGAGGATGTATATATCGCCCACATCTGCTCGGCTTTCTTTCCCTTTACAATTTCCTTCCATACGACTCGTGTGGAGGCCTATGTCGGCTGGATTAGCAACGATATCTGGACGGTATGGCAGCATAAATCTGTTGGAGCGTTTGCCGACAACAATAGGGGATATCAGGTGCCGAGCACAGGCGTCCGGGCCAACAGGATTGCGCGCCATGTGAAATCGCTTGTCCCTCTCAGGCCCATCGCTCTCTGTCACACGGTCTGCCGTCTGCCATAGGCCAGGCGATTTCAATACTCTCGCCGCCAGCTCTGCGGGGTGCCGTGAATGCGACGTGACTGGACGCAGCCCGCAGGCACAAAATCGAGCGATGCAGGGGTTGGCCACGGGTTGTCGTGACCAGTGGCGGGCTGGCCCTATCGCGACGAGCTGTCCCCCGCGTTATGATGCAGCGGCGCCTGTCATTGGTTGAACTTCGTCCTCGAAGCGCCAATGGGATTTTGGAGGCAAGAAGGAGCCTCGGGACGGGAGGAGGGCGCCATCTTTTTCCTCAGGGGACGACGACCAGGTCAGAATGCGCTGGTTGACTCGGTCGTCGACATATATCATATCGTCAGACCTCCCTTTTCTCACGTCGAATCCACCCCGCCACGTGCACGCTGTAGTGTTCGGCTTTTGTCCTACATATTGTCCTGGCCGTCGGGTATTGTGCGGCTTTAGCTGAGCCACTTTTTGAGGCTGAACCGCGCCCAGCTTCCTCTTTTCGCGTCTTAGCAACCCCCACACCACGCCACACGTGACACGGGGTGCCTCAAGTTGAAGACCCGACGCCTACACCAAAGGCCCAACAATCCGGCCCTCAGGCTTCGCGTACAGCAAAAATGCAAGGCCGGGCATCAATGGCCTCGTGTCTAGGATGCGGTTCCTGCGTATGATGGTGGCCAGCGATCTACCAGCTATGATGTCAGTGCCCAAACTCAATTGCCAGGCCTCGTCGTCGTGGGCTGGGAACTTTTTGGTTCGCTGAGGAGGCCCCGTTCGACAAGGGCGGACACGTCACTCGGGCATCGGACCATGCGGGCTTGCATACGGCCTTGGACGACTCGGCGCAGAGCTTGTTGGCAAGCGAATACCGTACCGACACATCGGTAATCGGTATCAGATTAAACGAGTTCGCATCTGCATAACAACCTCCCTGCCAGTCCCTGGTCGGAATCCTCGTCGTCGCAGCTCGTCTCGGTTTAGCGCACCCCGATTCCTTGGAAAAGCCGGGGGAGAATTTTCGCGAACTTGATTCCATTGGGCATAGCTGAGCTGCACGCCATGTTGACCGCCACGTTGCCGAGCCGACATCAATGGATCGCGCCCAGGGTCGCAGGGGAAAAAAAAAGTTCAATGGCCGCGCACATGACGTGGAGAAGGCCGTTAAGATGTCGTGTGTCCCTCGCCCGGACAAGTCCAGCCGACAACATCCACAAACCTGGACCGCGATGCTGAGACAATGTCTCGATTCACACTCACACTTCTGGCGGCAACATGGGCTCTGCTGCTATTGCTGATCCCCGAAGCACATGCGTGGCCGACGCCATCGTCTTCATGGGTGCCGAGCATCAAAACCCACCGGCGCCAGCAGCGTTCCTGCCACGCCGAGCGCAACTTTAGGACTGTCTCGAGCATCTACAACCTGACTGTCTATCCCAACCAGCTCCCCATCTTCCAGGCCGGCGGCGCGGGCGTCCCCAAGGGCCTCTTCAACCAGAATGTTCGGGGCAGAGTCGATCCCGTCGGCAACTTTACGAACTTTGAGGACTCGATCGAGTACTTTTTCGCGTTGTCTCCGCTGCCGGCGGGGAACCCGGCCAAGGCGGCCATCACGGGCTACCAAATCACCGAGTTCAGCTCGCAGTGTAAGGAGGTCGCCGCGTCGGTCGTCTATCTGTACTGCAGCGTCTGGAACCCGGGCTGCGCCGACCACGGGAAGCCGCTGCCCCCGCTGAAGCAGGTGGCCTTCTGGCGGTTCGACAAGAAGGGGGCTGTGCTCAACTACGATGCGTGGATCCCCAATCTCAACAGCTGGGTCGCGCAGACCACCGCCTCGAACGCCACCCAGGCCGAAGCCCGCGCCGGTACCATCTATCAGATCTGCGCCGCCACGCAGATGCGGTGCACGGGCGCCAACGCGCAGTGGAGCAGTGTGGAGGAGTGCGTGACGACGCTGTCGACGAAGCCGTACGGCAATTACGACGAGGCGTGGGGCGACAACATCGTCTGCCGGAGCATTCACGTTGTGCTTACCCAAGTGCGACCTGACGTAAGTTCGGAACTCTTATCTGCTAGCCCGGCATTTCGAGCTACTACTGTAGTGTAGACTTGAGCTAACCGAGGCAAAATAGCACCACTGTCCGCATGTCGGGCCCACGGGAGGTGGGAAGTGCGTGAACGTCCCGTACCCCGAGAACTTCTTCTCGGACGAGACTTTGTACGAGCAGCCAACGGGCGAGACGTTTATGTGCGACTGATGATCTGGATACCGATACGATAATACTTAATTAATGTGTAGATAGAACGGCGGGGGCGGCGGCTACTCTGAGTTTGCAAAGTACTAGTATTTAGATAGAGCTTACGAAGTCAATGAGGACATGACGAGATGACGTTAGAGTGTAGTATCTTAGCATCAACGAAGCTATCATCCCGTTTCTCCCTGTTTGAGTTATGTGATGAAGGAACTGAGTGAGCGAAGCCTGGGGGAGGCACCAAATAATATCATGGAGGCAACAACCAACGAAGTAACATAACGTCTCCAAAGCAGCACGTTGTTCAAAACACAAGGTGTTGAATACGAAAAGACCACGTAAGTCTTGGTATTCAACACAAGGCTTCAGCCTGTCAGAACTGCGGTCTGACTACTACCTACTTGTCTACCGCACTCAGCGTTTTCTATGGGGTTTCATGTGATCTTGAAGAGCCCGCTTGCAGCAGATTGGCCGATTTAGAAGGCCCGGCGGGTGGTTGCTGTGGAATGCAATACCACCCAATGTACTAAAATTCAGGTATCACAGAACGTAACCCGATCGTTCAGTCTCAGCTGAGACGAGTGTTGTCGGGTCTTAACCCGCCTCCTCTGCTCTTCCTCTGCTGAACCGCAGAATTTACTCTTCTAGGTTGCTTTCTTGTTCCTTGGCTTCCAGCGCACGCTGGACAGGTTTCGTACATGGTTTATTGCGTCCTGTGAGATTAATGGATCCTCTCTCGCTAACAGCCTCCATCGCGGGAATTGCGAGCTTCTGCCTGCAGGCCGCAGTGTCTCTAGACCGGTTGAGCAGCAAGTTCCAAAATGCGTCTGTGACTATCACAGCTTTAGCATCGCAGTGCCGCGCCATCAAGACAGGGCTCTCGGAGCTGCAGACTCTGATCTTACAGAACCACTCGATTCACAGTCGACCCGACATCATTACGACCCTCGACAGCACGCTAACGAGCTGTCTGGTCGTGCTCACCTGCTTCGATGAGATGCTGAACAAACTCCAAGCAGCTGATATGCAGGCCGGCGCGGGGCGGAGCTTGATGTCGAAATGGAAAGCCAAGGCTCGCATTGTGTGGAACGAGGACGAGATGAAATCGTATCTCTCTTTGCTCCAAGGGCAGCAGTCTGCCGTGGCTTTCCTGGTTCAGATTCTGCACATGTAAGCATCCTGGTATTGTATTTTCGTGAAGACAGGGCTGATTCTCGCCAAGGGAGTCGGTTGACGCAATACTCGAAGGCGTCAAGAACGGCAAGGCATTCCTCAACAAGCAAGCAGTCGAGGCAGAATCTTTGCGGCAGGTGAATCCGCATCTTGACATTGCCGATTCGATTCTCGATTCCAGGCGGACTGCTAGAACCATCTTCAAGAATGGTGATACACTAGCCGAGGGCGCTGAGTTTGAGTTTGACGATGTAGTCATCAACTCAAAGGCCTACCGCCGAGCCATGGCCATGGCCAGGAAGATGGCCAAGGCAGACGCGGACTTCGCGGCCGAGCCGCAAGCAAGCCAACAACCAACAAAGCCCGAGCTCATGGAGACCATAGCCGAGGACACAAGCGACAAATCAGAGACAGCCCTTGTTACCAACGCGACATCCCCTAAAAGAGCCTCACCCCCCAACTGCGGCGAGAGCGTCATGGGTAAGTGTCATCAGGGCACGAAACGGATATTTCGACCGACCCAGTTGCGCTTCGAGGTCCTGTTTGAGACCCCAGTCATTTTCGTCTGCCTCCAGTCAATGACCGCGGCCCGATTCCGGGCGATCCTATCTACTACATAGACGTCACGAGGCGGAGTTTAATGGAGACGCGAGTACTATTCCCCGAGGACGAGGTAGCACTGCAACGGCACCTGGAAAGAAGCCCAGGATACGAGGACGACAAAAAGAGGGCGTCTTGGGTGACACTGATCTCGCACCTACAGGGGATGGAACGGGAGAGCCGAGAATGGCAGCAGCGGCGCTATGAGAGGTTGACTCCTGCAGAGAACCTCGCTCCTGTCCGCTTCGGGGACCATACCCTGGCCGTTGGCATCCGGGTCAAGACGCGAAGCTGGGATAGCATGCCAGCTAGCATCAAGAAGCCCTACGCGACTACGGCTATATGCCACGTGGTTGAGATTGCCACTATGATGGGAGTATACTGGAAGAAGTTTGATCGAGTGATGGATCGATACCGAGCCCAAGGGAACGGGTTCATTCTTACGGGCACCAACGTCCACGAGCTCGGCGTTATGTTCACGTTTCAATTCTACGGCAGGGTCAGATTCGGGGAGAACCGAGTGATACCGGTAGACGAGGTCAAGGATCTATGCGGTGGGTTTGTCCCGACGTTTTTCCCGGAACAAGATGGCCGCCGAACCTGGCCCCCGACGAGGAGCGCCTGGCCCTTCTGAATCTGTGGCTCGGGAGTAGACGCGATCTCTTCAACACGATGGTTCGAATTGGCTGCAACACTAACATCGCCAACCTCTTCCAATCCAAGGACTCAAATCTTAACCATCTCTTTCCAGGTAGGTTATATCGCCTATATTCGGTCACGTATCCCATCACTAACAGTAGCAGTTCCCTTCGAGCTCGTGGGTATGCTAGTCAGAACGCTCCACATCCGCAATAGTGCTTTCCGAATGCTTCCCAATCCGACGCCGTACCGCTGGAACAAGGAGCTTTTCAATCTCGATAGGATGGTTAGAGAGTATTTAAAGAGGATTTCTGACTATGATGCTTACATTCCGCAAGATCCTCAGATCTTACGGTTGGTGGAGGAAGCTGAGATGGTAGTGCGGACTCTGGAATTGGAAAAGTCCGATACGCCGGGCTCCTCCATACCGCTTCTTAACGCGCTACACGACGTCCTCGACAAATGCGACGTATTTCTTTCCGAGAACGACCGGAATCTCGTCCATATGGTTATCCGGGAACATTTCCAGGAACTTCTCGGGCTACTAAACGACAACAAGAATGGAGCCGGTCGCAATGCCCAGCAAAGAGCAGGGCCGTTTGCGGAGCATTTTGATGATCTGATGACCGACAGTCCAGAGTTGCGCGAGGCAGCATTCATGGAGCTGTACTTCAAGCTTCTGCGCCATGTCAGGCAAGGGGCCGTAATCTCCTACGTACGGCAACGGACGACGCAGCACGCACCATCAGTACATTCGCAGGATATCATCCACGAGGCCAAGGATGAAGCGGCATTGCTCTCGGACCGGGCTGACCAGTCCCAAGACGAGTATGTCACTACACTGGTGTCTCAGGCGTCGGCCATCTGGTGCACGCTTATTTTGGGGATGATCAGCTGGTTGTTATTGCACGATTTCCACCCGGCGAATGTGCAGATGGTGGGGGCCGAAGTGCAGGGGATGCAGCAGACCGTGTACATTACCTAGGGCCCGGCAGTGCCCGGCGGGTTACACCTTGCCTGCACGTATGTATTCATGTACAGCAAGGCACACAGACAACTCCGGCATCCATTGACGTTCAACGTGAAACTCGCCGCGTAGGTAGGCGTCCACCCCTGCAGGTCCCACGGAATCAGCAGAATCTCAAAACAGATCCACAAGTCAGGTCAACAACCCCCGGGTATCCTAACAAGATCATGACCGCCAACACGCTCCTCATTCCTGATATCTTCGTCCCTGCCAACCTATCACTTTAGCGTCAGTTCCGTGGCAGTATCCGTCGAGGAAGTTGCGAAACGGCACTACCAGGGGATTTCGGTGCAAGGCAGCGTTGTTTGACCGGTGCAACCGTACCGGAAGATGGGTTGTTCAGGTAACCGTCGCTCATCAACGCATCGCCTTTTTGCTGCTGTCCGACTTCTAACTCAGGGGCAGAAGTGTTAGCGAACTTTTCGCCAGGCGGACGTTCAGAGTCTTAAACACGGTCCTAAACCATCAAGCAACGATTGAGATTTGGTTCAACGTCTGCCTAATAAACATTGCTAGACACTGTCCCTTCCTGAAGGTCTGCGGAAGTCGAATAACCGGCAGCTAGGAGGACTTCCGATATTGTCGTGCTCTGGGTATTAGCTAGAAACAGAAACGCGTTTGTGCGTGTAAGTGACGTCGACAAAAGCGGCAAGCAACGGACTTCCGCTGGAACAGCCCCAGCTGAGAGCTGACAGCCAATCAGATGGCTAGCTGAGAATGGATGCCTCGGCCCAGGCCTTCTGCTTGTTGGTATGGCCTCTCGATATTTCAGGCTAGAAGCTTGCTTTCTACAGAGTACCTGCCCTGTGTCTGATAGGTATGGATGGTAATGTGCCTGTCTCCCGAGGCATCGAATCGCTCTGTGAGGCGCATCGAAGAGAGTTGTGGTCTGGAGCCTGGACCAAGGTAATCTGTCTCTGGCATTGAGGAGAAACGGCCCTTTTTGGGAGCACATCAGGGAGGGAGCAGAATCTCCCGGAGATTAACCAACTGCAACCCTCAGCTCAAGGCTGGAGCTTCCAGCCTCCACAGCCGAGTACAATGATAGGAGCGTCGGTGGCTGAAATAAGGACGTGAGCGATCCAAAATCGCAAGCCTGAGAAGCCATGGTCTGCAAATCCTACGTCCGAACAGTGCTTTCAACTACGTCAGTGGTTCTTCAGCAACTGGCCACTTCAATGGTTAAGCCCTGACTTATTAGTCTTGGGTTAACATCGACGTCCATCAAGCGTCGGTCTGTGACGTACTACATCTCTAAGATAGACAGTCTGATGAGTTACGAATTATTTAACTGCCCATGTGTTTTTCAGGCCTCCCAAGACTTGATCCTTGCGTTATACCGGATTGTTGTGATGCCCAAGACCCGCTCATCAAAGAAGAGAGGCCCTTCCGTTGTCATCCGACCTTATTAGCGCGTGATTCGGATGTCCAGACATTCCCTAATCATATCTCGCACGTTGCGCAGACATCTTCTTCCGTCACCATTACGTCTACGATACGTCAAAGCACTTTGAGACTTTTTAACCTTGCCCCCCCTTCTTATACCGTTGCCCCTCCAGACCTCGCAAACTCAGGTCTCAGACCACACAGCCTCATTTTCGAAGTGTCGACAAAGGACTGTCATCAAACACAAGAAAATGGGCAAAGAAGAGGTTCCCGCGCCGCTCCCGCAGACCCGAGTGCCCCTCCCGGAGAGATGCTTGCGAAGCAGCATTCGGGGGGACAAGGCCAAGCGCTACGCGCCGCCGCCGATGCGCCGAGCCTCGTGCGACCCGGTCGACGTGGCCGAGCTCAGCAACGAGACGCAGTGGCAGATAGACGAGCTCGTCGAGATCGTGAAGACGTCGCGGCCGCCGCCGCCGCCTGAGCCGATGTTTCCGCGGCGGAGTGTGCTTCGGTGCAAGCGGCAGCGGACGAGGTGGAACTCGGACGAGGACAAGCTGCTCGTTTTGCTCCGGGAGAATGGCATGGGCTTTGACCAGATTTGGGTACGTCGAGTCTCTTCTGGGGTTTCCTTTTTCTTTCTTTCATTTTTGTTCATTCTCTTTTTCCGTCATTGTTTTTTTTCTCTTTTTTTCTTTCTTTCTCTTGTTTCTTCCGAAGACGATCCACATGAAGAAAAATATATTGATGACGAAAACAGCACGATTTCCTACCCTGGCGGGGTTTCAAGGCCGTATCAAAGAGGTTCAGCAGGTTACGGCTGGCCATGGAGAACACAGCGGCTGGCCCTCGCTGAGCACACCCGCCGTCCTTGGTGTTTTCGGCAGCCCAGGTTGAGCTGTCTTGAGAAGCGGCGATGGCTACTACGATGGCAAGGTAGGCTGCCCACTTATTTACCAGACTATTGCTGTCACTGGCCTTGCTCTAATCCCTTGTGAACGCAGAAAGATACAGCACAGTCGTCCTTGGCAATCACCGCCAGGGTGCCACCCAAACCGACGGGCGGAATGCTTCGTAGTAGTTCAAGTCGTCGTCTTGTCCATGGGGTCCGCCTTGGAGTCTTGGACGGTTGGACCGCCCAGATCAAGTTGCTTACAAACCCACAACCCCTCGGCACATATCCCTAGAACAGCACACCTGTGCCTCGAATCCACGAGTGATAGAAGAGTTGACTACGGGTTTTGGTATAACCGGCGTTCTCCCTTCGTGACAGGAGTTGTTGTATTTATCAACACTGGAGACATGGGGCCTCGTTTCAGGAGGCTCAACGGTGTTGGATGGATACGCAAGGGGACTTTCTAGGCGCTGGATTGTGATGCATTTACACTCATGTTTGGAGTACGCAGTATTTAATAATGATTTTGCATGACACACAGAGAAGTGCACACAGCCATGGGAGAAGAAGAAGCCGACTGACTACTGGTATGTGACCTTCCTAGCCTACTACACCATCCACACGCAAGATAGTGGGGGTTTGGAAACCCCGTTGAGCAGAATGATCGGATTGAGTCGCACTAAGTAAAAGTAAGGCATGAACAATGGATGACTCTGCTTATGCTTATTAGAGCCTCCCAGAGAGCCAAGTGGACTGGGCCACCTCAGTCTCCTGGTTCAAACCAAGGTAATCGCCCCTTCTGGCCTAGCCCACAACGGCTTCAGCCCAGCTTCCACACACTCCCAATACTCCTCAGTGAGTGCGTACTCCACCGCCTCTTTCAGGCTGCCGGCCACATGCCACGGCCGAACCTCGGGCGCGAAGTCATGCACCGCGGCTTCACGCAGCTGTGCCTTCCGCAGCGGATCAATGCGCACGCTGCGTCTCCGAGCCCGCGGTTCACAGTCCACCTCGTAGGCATCGCTCCGCGCGCCAAAGTCGATGTCCTTGCCGATCATGTACACGGTGCGAAGGAAGGGCCGGTGGTCATGCTGGCAGTTCCCAGTGCGATCCCGGCGGTGGTCGAGTTTCTTACTGCGCTCCCGCAACACCCGATCCATGTGGCGCACCGTGACATCGTCGTTGCAGGCCGCGCCGAAGTACTTGTACTGGACATCGTCCAGCGGCAGGCCCGTAGCGTCGGTCCACCGGTCCTCGAGCGTGCTCAGCCAGGTCTTGCCGTCGCGGAGGGGAACGGGATAACCGTACCCCTGACCAGCTCCTGGCGCCGGGGCGGTGTCAGCTTTGCAGATAAACAGCTGCGGTTGCTGCTCGGGCCAGTGCTGGAGGTAGTTCAGGTTCTTGGTCGTGTGCGTCCCGATGTAGCCCTGCTTGGTCAGCAGCAGGTCGACGCAGATGCCGATGTCAAGGTCCCAGTTGGCGGGGTCCGACGCTCGCCAGACGAAGATGGCGGATACCTTGATGTCGTCCCCGCGGGCGGATATCCAGGGCTTTGGCGGGGTTGGGTGCAGGCAGTGCTCTCCAGTGTTGTAAAGGTGGGGATACAGGTCGACGATATCCTTGGTTATCATGACGTGCTTGAAGCCGTACTTCATCGCTGCCTTCTGCGCTTTGTCCCCCTCGCCGCCAATGACAACGACGACTTTGTCCTGATAGTCGTTGACCTGTTCGCGAAACGGCGTCTGCGGGAGAACAATAGACCCGGAGCCGATCTTGAGGCCGAGGCGTTTCTCCAGACCCCGAGCCACTTGTTTCTCGGTCAGCCCAGTTTCCCTGGTCAGAAGTACAAACGGAATCTTCTGATCCTGTAGACTGGCGATGGCCTCCTTGGCTCCCGGAACGACCATCCTGTGGCCGGGTTCGTTCGTGTTGACAACCGCCGCGAGGTCTATCACGAAGCCTGCCGTGGCGTACTGCGGTTGAGACGCACTCATCATGCCGGGGGTCGTGTGAGAACTTTGGAGCCTGGTAATGTTCTAACACGCCGTGGACGAGGTACACGGAGTTACCTTGGCTATGTAAATAAGTCGAATGTGGAATTTATATAAGTGTTCGTGATGCTGAGCACTTCCGGTGAACAAAGGCATTGTACAGCATTGTTCATTGTTCCCATCGCGCCTCCCATTTGTGTTCGATCGAGGAACATGTTCATTGCGTCCTTTCCTGATACGTCTGATGCTGAGCGAATCCGGCCCGGAACGCTCGTGAACCCGTAGAAGAAGAATAGGGAGAGTGCAGTGGTGCGAATTAGCGAGGAGTTGCAGATCATACGAGGATGATGATATTGCCCGAGGGATCCGCTATTACCGATAACCCGGCAGTGAACTGTATTTGGGCTAGTAATCATGATGGCAGCATGCATAGATGAAAGTATTGAAAGTATCTTGTAACAACTCGGACATTTACTGTATCAGGAATTTGAGATTGCATGGCTTCGTACATCATCCCCATCGGTGCCCCTATCAGACAGGGTCCGCCAGAACCTTGCCCAATCACTGCCCTAAACTCTTAATACCACCTTCAGCGTAGATGTCCTACTACGTCTTCAAATGCTTCTTCGCACTGCTAGCAGTGTTGCTGCATTATACGTCAGCACTGTCGCAATCTCACAAATCTCCCTGCTCCAAGCATACGCAGCGAGGAGGGAGAACTTACTATTCGTTCGCATACACGAACCCATCCTTGAGCTTCTTGTCCACTGTCCATTTGGTGATCGCATCTAAATCCTCCTTCGGCAGGCCCAACTTTTCATTCGCCAGCCCGTGCATAGTCTCAAAGTCGCCGTCTCCATTCTTGTAGAAGTACCTCGTGTACATCGCCTGCGCGAACCCAGCAAAGCTGCCCTTCTTCAACTCGTCTAGCGCTTTGTTCGTTCGCTCTTCCGAAGGTTCATACATGATGGTCCAGTCGCTGTCTGAATCGCCCATGGCACGGTGTATGCTGTCGAGCATGTCACGCTGGCTCACGTGGAAGCTGGCCACGTACAGGCCGTTGTCTTTCCAGTCCTCGAGGGCGGGCTTGCCGCCCTCCTTGGTAACGGGAAGATCAAGGAGCGCGGCGACAGCGCGGCCGCATTGTGCGAGTGTGCTGGTGCTGATCTTCTGGGTGCCGTCGTCGAACAAGACCGCTTTCTTATCCTTGACATCGAAACCGAAGAAATCGGTGCCTGCGACAAGAGACCACTCGTACCAGAAGCCGCAAGTGAGGATGACGTAATTAGCGCCTGCGGACTTGACGTCCGACATGGCCTCTCGGACGACCTTGCCGTAGACATTGTCGTTCAAAAGTCTGTCGTTCTTGGGATCTAAAAGAATTTAATGTTCGTTTCTCTCTTGGTCGATATTCAATTGGTCACACCGGTACTTACCCATTCCATAGGCATTAGGCATGATCCACTGGATGCCCGCTTTGCCCGCAGCGCTGCAGATGGTAGGGTGGACATCAGGCGGCGCAGAAGTGCTGAGACTGATGATGAGGAAGTCGTGGCCACGCAGTGCTTCGACTATGGTCTCCTCCTTGGAGTAGTCTACGGGAGCAACTTTGACGCCTTCAGGGCACTTGGAATTGCTGCCCTGACGGGTGAGAGCAGTGATCTCATGTCGGCCATTCTTGAGCAGCTCGCTCACGATGTGCGAGCCTACATGCCCGGTGGCCTGTTGGGAGTCAGCCTTGGTGTGCAAAGATCGGAGCATCGAGTAACCGGATGAGGGTAAAGGATGGAACGCACCCCGACAATGGCGACCTTCTTGATGCGGTTGCTCGACATCTTGGTATGTGAACTCGATGTGGACAGGACGTGAATTCACAATAAGATAGGCTGCAGTGGGAAGTGTGGTGAATTGATGTGTTGAGTCGCTGCTGCTTTGCGCAAAGCGCACCTCTTTATACGTCGGCCAGGTGTCGCAACGAGTGGTTGGAATATTCGGGCCCGAAGACCTCTCCTCCGAGCACTGTCCGTGGTTACGCCGTCTGCATACGAAAGCTGATCCAGAAACAGGGTCGCTGGCTCGCTGCTAACCTCGATTCGTTTACAGCCATCAAACGTCAAATAGTTGCCGTACAATAGCGGAGGAGTATCTTACCTCCGAAGCAGACTCCGTCAGGGCAGCGGCGATACGAAGGCCAAGCTTGTTGGCTACCTTGTGGGGACACCAGTGCAACTCCCAGAACGCTTCTCAAGAAGCTCGGGGAGCAACCTTGAGCCCCGACATGCCATAATGACACCCCATCTTATTGCCGAGCCAGGTGTTCATCTGTTGTTGGACAAAAACAAAAGATGCGAGGGAAGGCATGTTGTCCCCTTCTTCACCCCTGGCCCCTGGATGCTTGTGGGCTGGGCTTTTGACATGCGGGTCTTGGCACAGCACGGTATGCAGGGGTCGAAAGCACGATGCTAACGGAGTTTGGAAAAGCGACCACGCGAGATCTGCATGTAATTGGTATGGGCGGCGGTGGTGGTGCGGACTTATCCGCTATGTCCGCTTAGGTACTCAAAGCGACAACGTGTCGACACAAACACGTAAGGTCCACTGCTCTAGTCTCTGAGGCACAGACTTGATTCAAGTAAGCATATGTGGTTTGCGCCACAGCTGGTCTGAGCATCTGAGACTACACAGGAGCCGAAAAGGGGTCTTGATATCAGGAAGCTGGGAGAATTAAGCGGAGAGCATTTACTCAGAGTGACACACCAACATCTCAATCTTCGCCCCTCCATTACCACGTCTTACTCGAGCAATGGCCCTTTGCCTTGCTCCTCCAACTTGCCGCCTTTGCCTCCATAGCTGTCAGGCAGTTTGTCACCCAGCTCGGAAACCTTGCTCTCCCCAAACTCCCTCGCCAGGTTGCCGCCGTTCGACATCGGGTGGAACTTCTTGATCGTCTTGGGCGCCACAAAGAGCTTCATGAAGGTGTAGATGAAGCCCATGACGGCAGGGACGTTGACGAAGAACTTCTCCTTGAGCAGCTCCGGGTAGTTCTGCGCAAAGACCTTGATGGTTTCGGTGCTGGCCGCCTTGACCTGCGGCGACTGGCGCAGGAAGCTGATGGACTTGTAGTCGTGGACCTGGTAGATCTTGTAGGGGTCATATTCGGCAGTGATGGGCTTGGTTGCCGACGAGATGTCCAGTTCTTGCAGCGCGAGCTCCATCAGCGCGACCCTCCACTCAAGGAATCTGGTGATGACCGGGTTAGCGAATGAACAAATCGGCTGTGTGGGGGTCTTTGTGTCTCACTCTTCGAGTTTGCCGAAGGTCTCATTCATCGATTTAACCCCGCCATAGATATTCCAGGTAAATACCTCCTTGCCCTCCGGCTCATCCGATCCCTCTTGCGCGTACTTCGTCACATACCCCAGGCCATCAAATTTAGCCTTGCTGAAGACCTTGCCCGCCAGCTCGAGGGGCTTCGTCTTAGCTCGCCATTCCAGTGTCTTAGTCAGTTGTTCTTTGGCTTTGGCGAGGTCGCCATCGTTGGCGTTGAGATACTTTTGCAGGATGATGCGGGTGGGGACGTGGTCCGCCGGGTCTACCAGTGTCACACCCCAGATTTCAGGGTGGCCGAAGGCTTTCACCAGGGTCCAGAGCTGTCCAATTGGTGTTGACTCAATGGCGGGCTCCTTTTTCTCGGTAGACTCCTTTGTCTCACTGGGAGTAGGGGCGGTTGCTTCCGTGATTGCTTCTGTCGGTGCCGGAGCAGCCGCCGTATCCGCTGCAGTGGATGCAGGGGCCGCGGCAGCAACAACCTCAGGTTTGGTGGCGTCGGCCGCGGTTTTGGAAACGTCAGGTGCGTCCGCCGCGGGGACCACTTCGGGCTGTTGTTCCGTAGTACTCATGCTTCCAGTATTGCGTTCCGCTGAAGGCAAAAGGTAATCTTTACAGCCTTGAATGGTAAATGTTTGGCCCCTTTCTTGTCTTACCTGCTGTCTTCAAGTTGCGTTTCTTCTGGGGTGAGGCATGATTGTTTGGGTGGGGCAACGGGAATCTCTAAGTGGGGCGGACGAAATCGGAGATCTACCCCACCCGGAAGATTCCATCGGAACCGCGGACCTCTCTCCAACGAAGTTGAACGAACCTAGAAGGTCACACACATCTCTATCAGCTATTGACATAGGTATCCTTTGGAGTTGTGGTGGAATACCTCTGTCTATCGAATTTATGCCCACACCGGTTAACCACGACCAAATCCAAGGCACGAACCATCCAGAGACTAAGGATGATGCGAGGGCGGGCCGCGACGTGATATCACGGCTACGAGCCTTGGCCCTAGACGATTGTATATTGCACCAAACGTCCTCTACCACAACGGGAGTTTCCAAATATTTCATCAGTTCGTGTCCCACACTGCCGGAGCTTAAATAGCGGCAACTACGAGTACTTCGGGACAGCCTGTTGAGTTGTTCCACCATACCTCCATTGCAAGTTGCGGGTACGCGGCACGCCACTGGAACTTCCAGTCTCCTTGCTTCATCAGATGATACCCACCGGGTGTCACCTGCATTCCTTGCCTTGGTCAGAGAGAAGCAAGGAATCCGCGTCCATCTCGGGCCGGGCTTGTCAGAAATAGCCGATATGCGCCGTCAAACTCAACATCTCTCTCGGGATGGAAGGCCACAAACCCGGCCCGACCATCTCTTAGAACCCCCAAAGCCGACCATCCCAATCAGAGAATGTCAGGCTGCAGAAGCGGACAGGAGCTGGTCGGCAGCTGAAGGCTGGCCCGGTAACACCCCACTCCGTTCAATGATTCAGCTAATGACAAGTGACAACTCCCAGAGACGCCGAGACATTGCGGCTTGTCAATAAATGCAGAATTTAAGCAGTTGATTCTAGGATGCAGAAGGTCCGGCAGAGACATGTTTCCCTTGGATTGTGTCTCGCTTGCATTCCATCCAAGCTTAATATTGTCCTCCCTGGTCCTCCTTACCATTGTTCTGGCTCAGCCTACAAAGGTCCACTCACACTACCATTCTGCAAAGAAGGAACGAGGGAGTTTGATAGACCCCTTCCCTTAATATTATTACCTTATGAGATGCAAAATGCTTAGCCGTGACGTTCAGATAGCTAAAGAACTCCGACATCCCAGTCCTTATAACGCTGGTTTCCTCTCCTCGGCAGGAAGAGATATCCTGGCTGCATCATCCGCTTCGTGAACTCTGAAAAGCAAACACCTCATTCCGTTCTAAGATCCGTTGAAACCATGAAGACGTTCTTGTGGCTCTCTCTCTGCCTCGGACTGACCTCAGGGGCAGCACGGCCAGAAGCTGACTCTGGGCTGGATCCTCGGCCTCAGCATCTGGCACCCTTCCTGTTGGATGGTCTCTTCAAGCGCGACGGTCCAGCTCGGCCTGCGAACATCGACCTAACGGCATGGAAACCGGGTGCAGTCAAACTGCAATGGGCGGGTGACATCTTAGTCGGCACTCCTCCACAGAAGTTGTAAGTGATAGCTGACAAGAGCCTCGGCTGTCTTCGCGACGTTGGCTGAGGTTGACTGACCATTTTGTAGCTCCCTGATCTTCGACACAGGTGCACCGATGATGTTGATCGCCGCCAACAACTGCACGACCTGCGGGACACATCCCCGCTTTGATCCGTCCAAGTCCAGTTCCTTCTCTCCTCAACCGGGGTTCCGCATTACAATGTACTTCAACAGTGGCGGCGGCGGTACAATCAACGGCCCACAGCAGCAAAACGCGAATTGCACCGTCGTGACAGACACGGTTCGCATGGTTGACCGGCCCACAAGCGGGAGCCAGTTACTCATCTGCGACACCTACTCCAACCTCCTCCGCGAGCAGACGCCCGACGGTCTCTTCGGCCTGTCGTCCACACCGACCTCCCTCTGGGGCATTGAACCCAACGTCACGTTCGCATACACCACCATCTTTTGGCAGCTCGTCGAATCAGGCCAGCTGCCCACCCCCGAATTCAGCTTCTCCTACATCCCGTCTCACGGACCCAACGGCCGCCGGGATGGCGTGCTCACGCTGGGCGGGACCGACCGATCGCAGTACATCCCTAGCACTCTCCGAAAGATCCCTCTTAACTGGCCTCTGTCAGAGTCGGGTATGCGATGGGTCGTCGACGTACGCGGGGCGCGCATCGACGGCTATACGTTGCACAACTCGACCGACGCAGTCACGCTCATCGACACGGGCAGCGCGGTCGTGTCTACGCCGGACCACGAGACCACAGCCGAGCTGTACGCGCGCATGTCGGACGCGATTCAGCCGATCGATGAGCGAGGCGCGTGGGGGGCGCCGTGTGACGAGCTGGACCGTGCGGTACGGGATGTGGTCTTCACGGTGGGCAGCCCGGGGCAGAAGGTGGATGTGGTGGTTAAGAAGAAGTACATGAATGTGGGCGAGTACCCCGGCAAGCCGGGCATTTGCCAGGGCGTGTTTGTCGATCCGGAGCGGGTGGCGCGCGAGCCGATCAATGGGCGGCCCGCGTGGATCTTTGGCACGCCGTGGCTGAGGTCGTACTACACCGTCTGGAATGGCGTGGATCGGACGATTGGCTTTGCGACTCCCTCGCGCCCGGACTGCGACTAATATAGGGATTGAGGTTTGCCAGGTTATCTGCAGGTGGTGGATTGCAGAAACTCAGTGGTCGAGGGGCGAATGGTGGGGTGATTGGAGATGCTATTTTACTTTAGCTAGGTACCGAAGGATTGCTTGACACCTTTGATGCTTGCAGCGACTTTTGATGATTCTGTCGATTTGACGAACAAGTCGGTGTGGGTTGGTGAGACAAGTCGGAGCAGAGTGTCGGCTGACAACGACGCGGGGTCGAGGATTGGCCAGCTGCCCTCTCAACGTGCCCCCCTCCCGAGTGCCCGTCCGAAGCCTGACTTAGCTCATCGAGGTTTGAGAGCTGCACCTAATAAGTTTCCCTTCAGTTGAGGTGATATACCGTGTCGGGGGACTAGCACGGGGAGGGAAGAAGTATGGCACGCAGAGTAGGTAAGATCAGGACCATCAGGCTCAGGCAGCTGGCACCCTCACCTGTCCTAAAGTGTCATGAACGCTCTCCTCAAGACGCATCGCACAACGGTGATGACTCGCAAAGAGCGAGTATATCATGACAAAACTTGCCTCATCCAAACTGAGGCCATCACGTTCTCTGTCTCTCCTCGCTTTGCTTTCATCTTCGTAGCCCAGGGCTCGAAGACTCGAGTTGCTCAACCAACCCAAGACTGCCACCGCCCTCAACTCCAAACAATACATCAAACCAGAAACGCACTTCAACCCTCCCAGCCTGCGCACCAACCCAAGACCACAACATGAGCCCGCGAGGTTGGATCTCCTGGAGGGACTGGTGTCCAATATGCCAACGCGATGTGACCTTCTACACACTCCGCTGCTGGCGCTGTCGCTACTCGCATCACCGCGCCTACTACTGCCGCCGCTGCCGACATGACAGGTCATTCTGTTCCTGCGAGAGGCTGTCTCGCAGGTCACGGTTGCGAGTTTACTATCGGTACTATGTCTAAGAGATTGGATGGGGCAGAGGTTCATATATTTGTGGTTGTCAAGATGGGGCCGTTAGGTTGAGGAGTGTTGAGAACGACTCCCTTTCTTTGTGCTCTTCTTATGGTTTTAGATACCTATGTGTCATCACCAATGTCGGGTTTTTGTACTATTCTATTTCACGTTCACTTTTTGTCTTAGTTCCTTGGACCTGGTGGCATGCGGGATTTCTTACAATCCCTGGTAAGAGAAGATTTTCTAGGTAGGTGGGCGATATGTCTGAGCCGTTGTGGAACATCTGCTAACTGGTTTGACAAGCTACATGTCATTTATCACCAGCAGCTAACTTCTAGAACCCCCTTTTGAAGGGTTTCTTTGTAATGCAAACACGGTTGTGGTGGAGCGCGAACCATTGCCCCATCATGACTGGCTGGACTAACACGACGCAGGGCAGAGAACCAGAGAGATGGTAACGGACCACGTCCAATCAAAGGCTCTCAAGAGCGGGAAATTGTGTTGCTGTTGAGTTCTCTTTGTTTTCTCACGTCAAAGCTCGTTGCTGTCCATGAGAACAACCCATAGAGGGCGATCACACTTGATTGGCTGGGAAGGGGGATACAATAGAGCTGGAATATACGGGCACTTACCAGGAATGACACGAATGTCTCCCGTTTTGCCTATGTAACGTAGCATCATAGGGCTGGGCATGACCGTATGCATGCAAAGCTCCAATGCCTGATCTGACATATCTCAACCTCTCAGGTAGGCAGACACCGGAACTGCTAAGGATGACGTTCTCTGGTAAGGGCTAGCGCATCTCAGTTGCGCATGTGCGCAGGCGATACGAGGGTGAATCTTGTATACGTTTACAGACAATGATTTGGACAAATCAGGCTTGTTCTGCACTTTTGGGTGCTCGAAGGGACAATAAGGCTGTATTAGTTGTCCTGCTTCTGTGGTTGGGATTCGGGCCGTGTGCGTGCCCCCAACCACTGACGCACCTAGAAGGAACTAACTGTGCCACTACGGTGCGTGCTCGATTCTGACAGGCAATTATCACAAGGCGGATTCAATCATGCGGAGATCACCTGCACAGCTCATGTTCATGCATCATTTGAACACGAGACGATGGAGGACCGGTCAACGATAGATTAACATTGGTCATGGTGCTGCAATGATCCTATCCAGAGCCACCGTCCATTTCCAGAGTCGTCCAAATGCAGCTGCCTTCCTATCTTTAGCAATGGCATCTCCGGGTTCCTGGGTCCCGGGATTTCGGCTGAAACTGTGCTCTCCTGGTAAGCCCGACAGCTCGGTATTGATCAGCCCTGCCTTGATTGACGTGATATCGAACCGAGACGTCATATACATATAGCTTACTAGAGCTTAAGACCCAGGAAATTGAAAGCTTGAGGATATCTGAGTTGTCAGTATTATGTTTGTGAGTGCGCATGTGAGGAGTCTCGCCACGGAAATCTCGGCGTCTGGCTGAGGAACCTGGTCATTGCTCTCCTGCTAACGCCGAGCCGATCCGGAACTTCCGTGGAGAACTGGGGCCGGACACGGTGCTATGGAGTGCAGCTGACGCGGGAGGCTGCGGCACGTCTTGTGGTTTTAGGTTGTACACACAGATAAAAAAGCACATAAGCAGGAGCTCGGCACGCCTTGCCGATACATCAGCCACCGCGCATAGGCGCATGGCACAAGAACCTGGTTCGAAAGAAAGATGAATAGTCACAAAGCTCACATGCCATGGCCAGTACCAATCACGAGCTGACTGCAGCCTTCCTAGGAGCAGCTCTGTAAAACGGTCTGCAACCGCACGTTCTTTACCTCGGCCGAGGTCGTGTTCATAGCCAACATCAGGCCACCAGAGAGAATTTCGGCATCTGGAAAGCAAAAAGGCTCGAGCGCCTCGCTTGCGTGGAGAGTACCCTGCGAGGCTACCATAGGGTCCGTGGGGTACCATCGCTGTGTTTGTTTCATAATGCTTTCCGATGAGAGCCAGGACATGCAGCCGTCGCTGCTCGTTCCTGGCCTTGGGAAGGTGGTCTATTCCGTACGTACTCCGTAGTCCGGCGCTCTGTTTCCCGATCTCGGTGGACATGGCCAGGGATTCCTGCAGATCCCTGTGCACATCCTGCTTCCGCGGCGCTCGGCCAGCCCCTGGTTACGTTACAGGGTATCCCGTACTGTAGGATTCCGTTGATATCCCCGGATACTAACGAGTGGAGGTTCAAGGGCCTCTCCGCCACGTGCCCTGATCCGGGTTCTTTTTGCGGCGTCGAAGCTGAATGGGCCACTCACCTATATGGGGCGCTTATAAGTTCAGGGTTCGCCGACCAATGTATGTACAGCCCTGAGGATTCGAGGCCCTCTCCTTGGCGTCTGACATAGTCGGTGAAGACTGTTTCGTATATTCCGTACTTGAGCCTCACTCGTATCTCCGGCATCCTCATCGAGCCCTTTGTCAAGGATCCATCAACTTTGTCATGTCTCTCCTCTTCTAGCTGTTGTTATGTTACTACATTCCGTCGCTAAGCGCGATATCTCCTTTTTGCTCCTCACGAGTCACCATCGCTTGCGAGGGCTTACGTACCTCTGCCGCGATCCGGACCCACCACGATCTGTGCGGGATGCGATGGGAGCTACGTAAACACACCTGCGACCCCTGGACGATGCACCCTGGTTATCCCCGGAACTCCTTCCGCCGGCCGAGAAGGTACTTGCTTTTGCAGTGCAGTTTGCGTGCAGAGCCTTGTCCTCCAGCCCGTATTCATAACTATTGGAGGATTCAAGACTGCAGGCCCCCGCCGTCATAGCGCCAGTAGCAACGACAAGCCTGCCGACAGAGTCTCCAAGAAAAGCTTGTGCTCCGTGGTGGCCGGCCTCTCTGCTGTACCGACGACCGAGCTCTTCGCAGTTCTCCCCTGCCGTCCTTGGGTCAAGCGGCGCACTGTCTGCACTCAGATGCTGACCTGGTGGGCAAGGTACGGTATAGATAATTGCACAATATGACACTGATACTTACACTCTCCAGGTTCAGTCCAGGATCCTTGTGTGACACAGACTTGTTCCCTGAGGGTAAAATAAGCATCGCGGCAGGTAGGATGCCAGCCTCAACTCGCTGTATTCTACCCAATGCGGGAAGGAATACCCGGGGTACATCGAGTATTAACCTGCGAGCGTTGGACGTGTCTGCCTCATCCCTCGAATTCATGACCTCTCGAGGAACGTTGCTGTGCGGAATTCGGATCCGATCTAGTAAGTCTCGGGCGTCTCCTCGAGCATTTCCCCTTACTCCCGCCGCTATGTCCTCCCCCACGCATTCCCGGAATCCTTAGAGATCATAGAGCCAAACCCAAACGAGGTTTGTGCGTACCCGAGCTGTACGGCACGGTCTAATATTGTCATACCGAATGCTCCCCTATGCACTGCCCATCAGACTATTGATGCGTGACTCAGGGATGTCAGCACACCGCGGTGGAACGGGAGAGTCGGCGATACTTCCTGCTCGGCTTCTCCGGCTCGGAGGCTGCCTTACCTCGAGGCACGGACGCCGAAGAAGTTCCATCCTTGAGGGTGCTGTCGTCAAGGTCGTGATCACGATGGACGGTCCGTGGGAACATATAAGGGCGTTGAGCCTCCCTCATCCATCCCCGAGAGGATCTGTCCGCCAGCCTCCAAGACATCACTTCGTTGAGAGCAAGATCTCTCGCTCACTACCCGGTCTTCATCGAATCCCGCACATCCTTGACGGGGAACCTACTCTTTACCATGAGGAAGTCAGTCCTTTCCTTCCTTGCCACGGTTGCTGGCTCGGCTGCCTTGTCCATCCCGACCAGCCCAGACGCCCTGCTCCAACCTCGCCAGTCATCTTCGTGTGAAAACACCCCTAAGTCACGCAACTGCTGGGGTGACTATTCCACCGACACCAACTACTATGAGACAACGCCGGAGACCGGAAAGACTGTGGAGAAATGGCTCTCGGTCGAGGAAGGGCCCTGTGCCCCTGATGGATACCAACGGACGTGCATGACCTTCAACGGCACCATCCCCGGCCCGACCATCATCGCCGACTGGGGCGACAACCTCGTCATCCACGTCACAAACAACATGTCCAACAACGGAACCAGCGTCCACTGGCACGGGCTCCGGCAGCTGAACAACAGCATCAACGACGGCGTCCCCGGCGTCTCGCAGTGCGGCATTGCCCCGGGCGAGACTCAGACATACCGCATGCGCGTCACCCAGTACGGCTCGACCTGGTACCACAGCCACTTCAGTCTGCAGTACGCCGAGGGCCTCTTCGGCGGCATGGTCCTGCGCGGCCCCACCACGGACCACTACGACGAGGACCTGGGTGTCCTATTCCTGCAGGACTGGTCACACAAGGAGGCCTTCGCGCTGTGGGACGTTGCCAGAACGGGCAACCCCGTCTTCATGGAGACTGGCCTCATAAACGGCACCAACTCGTTCGACTGCAGCACGTCGACGGACCCCAACTGCAAGGGTACGGGGAAGAAATTCGAGACCGTCTTTGAGAAGGATAAGAAATACCTTCTCCGACTCATCAACTCGGGTACCGACGCCGCCTTCCAGTTCAGCATCGACGGGCACAGCCTGAGGGTCGTTGCGCACGACCTCGTGCCCATCGTCCCTTACACGACGGACAACGTCCAGCTCACCATCGGGCAGCGCTATGATGTGATTGTCGAGGCCAACGCCGAACCCGGCGACTACTGGATCCGCGGCGGCTGGATCACCGATTGCCTCACGAACTACAACGCGTTAAACATCACGGGCATTGTCCGGTACGACGCGACCAGCACCTCGGATCCCACTTCGTCCAGCACCGTGACGACCTCCCACAGCTGCCTCGGTGAACCGCTCGAGAACACGGAGCCATACCTGAAGCTTAACGTGGCCAATCTCGACGGCGGAGTCGTGCTCGAAGACTTGTCCTTCGGCTTCAACCGGACCGGAGACGTCAACTACTTCCAATGGACCGTCAACACCAGCAGCCTGCGGCTCGACTGGGGGAACCCGACATTGAAGCAGGTGTTCGAGGGGAAAAGCATCTTCCCTACCGAATATAATGTCGTGAGCGTCAATGTGAGTTCCTTTCGTTTTTGCCCCTCCCTCTCCATCTCTGTCAATGCCAGATACCCGAGATGGTTACTGACCAAGCCATTTCCGCACAGGCTAGCGGCACCGACCCGGAATGGGCCGTCCTCGTCATCCAGGACCTGAGCAATATTCCGTAAGTCGACAAATCTACCTACCTTACCCTACCCCCTTCATCACTCTCCCTCCCCTGCTCCATTCTCCAACAACCCACTAACATGTGTGAAACTCACCAACAGCCTCGCTCACCCAATCCACATGCACGGCCACGACTTCTGGGTGGTGGGCATGGGCCTGGGCACCTTCTCCGGCGACACGAGCGCCCTCAACACGACGAACCCGTCGCGCCGCGACACCAGCACCCTGCCCGCCGGCGGCTACCTCGCCCTCGCCTTCCAGCTCGACAACCCGGGCGCCTGGCTCACCCACTGCCACATCGCCTGGCACGCCAGCCAGGGGCTCTCGCTCGAGCTGGTCGAGAACCAGGCCCAGATCGTGGCGGATCCGACGGACCGGGGCGTGTTTGATGATATCTGCAAGTCGTGGTCCATGTTCAAGCCTGTCTATGAGCAGGATGATTCCGGGATTTGATTTGGGGGTTGAGTGGATGACGACGGAAAATGACGGTTTTGGATCAAATTTTGGGTTGTCCGGCAGGGTAGAAGGTTATCCCTTTTGGTTTTGATATACTTATTGTATTGTACATGTAAAGTTGGTTTCCTATGGGTGTATTGTGAAATACCTAACTTGAAGTTCCTCATAACAATCGTCTGACGCTGAGTTTCTTGTCAGCGAGGGGTCAGCGAGTTCTTCCCAAGGTACCTGATTGTAACGGAGCCCACTGCTTTACTCCAAATTGTCGGGATATCCAGGTTCACAATTGCTGAATTGCATTGTGCATAAACTCCAATTGTTGAATCCAAGCTTGAATAAAGGAGAGGGGGGCAGTGCTGCTGTTGGCCTGTTGCCTGTTGTTCCGCACTGACCGGGCTATGGAAATCAATGAAGAGCTGCAGAATGGAAGATGCGAAATGGTGAGAGACATCAAGGATGAAATCCTTTGCACTGCTTCAAGAAGCTCCGGCTGGTCAGGGGTCCTTTGCTCTCCTGACCGTCGAGGGTCGCACGTTCGCACCTTCCTGCCGGCCGGCCCGGCCCTGGTGGTGGGGCTTGTCTCGGGAAGGAAGCTTATCGCCGGAAACCTCCGAGGCTCCGACAAGCTTGGCATGACTCGGTTTCTGACCAGGGAGCTTTCCGAATTCCGATTGACCGTGAAGCTTTCTCAACAAGCCCACAACGGCGGAAACCATCCAACATCCTCGATGGGTCGGATCTCGACGACCGAGCTCAGCAGATACCTGCTGACTGGCCAATTGAGCCGTCGGGGTTGTTTGCACGCACAATTTCCGCGGATTTCGGCCAGCGCGGCCTTCGGCTCGAGTCCTCAACGCCGACACTTCGCGAGCCAAGTCGAAACGACGACACCGCGCCCCTCCAACCATGCGACCACCGTGCCCACCACACCAGTCACTCCCCTCCGCAAGCAGCTGAAGGAGGAGGCAAAGGCGCTCAAGGCATCTGGCAAGAAGAAGAAGAAGAACGCCGACAACCAGACCGTGCCCGGCTGGGAGCTGACGGTCGGCATCGAGATCCACGCACAGCTCAACACCGCCCGCAAGCTCTTCTCTCCGGCCGCGACGTCATTCAACGACCTCCCCAACAGTCATGTCGCGCTCTTCGACCTGGCCATGCCGGGATCGCAGCCGCTCTTCCAGCCCGAGACGCTGATCCCCGCCGTGCGCGCCGCGCTCGCCCTGGGCTGCGCCGTCCAGCCCGTCAGCCGCTTCGACCGCAAGCACTACTTCCACTGGGACCAGCCGGCGGGCTACCAGATCACGCAGTACTACCACCCGTTTGCGCGCGACGGCCGCGTCGTGCTGCACGCGCGCGACGGCATCGCGGCCGAGGACGGCGACCGCGTCGAGATCGGCATCCGCCAGGTGCAGATGGAGCAGGACACGGCCAAGACGACGGCGCAGCCCGGTGAGGTGCAGTGGTTGGACTTCAACCGCGTCGGCCTGCCGCTCATCGAGATCATCACGCTGCCGCAGATCCGGCACCCGGCTACGGCGGCCGCGCTCGTGCGCAAGGTGCAGATGCTGCTCGGGGCTGTGGATGCCTGTGTGCTTGGCATGGAGGCCGGCGGCTTACGCGCCGATGTCAACGTGTCGGTGCGCAGGGCTGAGGATGTTGCGGCGGGGAAACCCCTAGGCACGCGTACCGAGATCAAGAATCTAAGCAGCTTCAAGGCGGTCGAGGACGCCATCATTGCCGAGCGGGACAGGCAGATTGCAGTGTTGGAGGCAGGGGGTGTTGTCGAGGGCGAAACGCGCGGCTGGTCGCTTGGCAGCACTGAGACGCGCCGTCTGCGCGGGAAGGAGGGCGAGGTCGACTACCGGTACATGCCCGACCCGGACCTGGGGCCGGTTGTGATCGGGGAAGACCTAGTTAGCCATCTGGCATCTTCAATGGGCGTCTTGCCTGATACGGAGATTGATGAATTGGTGGCGAGGTATGGCTTAAGCTCCAAGGATGCCATGTCACTCATGATGCTGGACAATGGGGCGCGCATTCAGTATTTCTACAACGTCCTCGATGCGCTGGAGGAGCGACTCGGTCTGGGTGGTGACACTGAGTCTGACCAGCGGCACGCCTTGCTCGCCGCCAACTGGTGCCTGCATGAGTTGGGGAAGCTCACCGAGCTGTCTTCCGACCTCGGCATGACCCCCGACGGCGAGTGCCATGTCCCGTCGACGGACTTGGCCGCCATACTCTGCCACCTTCATCGCAAGGAGGTAACGGCCAAGGTTGCCAAGGAGCTCCTGTGGAGCGTTTTCCGCGGCGAAGTGACCACCGGCGGCGTTACGCAAGCAATCGAGGCTGGCAATTTGTGGTTCAAGGAACTGTCCGAGCAGGAATACGCGGAGCTTGCCGACAAGGTTGTCGACGGAGAGGACAAGGTTGTGCGCGAATTCTTACGCTTCAAACAGGGCAAGCTCAAGGCCTACCCACAGGGCAAACTCATGTTCCTCGTGGGCAAGATGATGCGCGCTGGGCCGGAGGAGCGGATGGATCCCGCCTCGGCAGAGAGAGTCATGAAGGACAGGATGGAGGGCGTTTATCTCCCGGCATTGGACGGGAATGAGTAGGAGTAGCTACCTTAGCCGTCGTGCTTTGATGGTGGCACGCTATCACAAGGTGGCTGAGCCGCCGTGCCGTTGTCGTTGTGCACGCGCCTCATGTGGCCCCTCAGCTTCCATTGCCGCGGGAAACCATTCCCAGGAGTAGAGCGTTCACAGCCCTCATATGTGCACAGGTAAGGCTTCTCACCGTGGCCGTGCATGGCGTGTGCCTCTAGCTCATGTCGGAGAAGGGAGGCAGTAGAACGGAACCGGTCGTTTTGGCAACCCTCAACCTTGCAGCGGTAAGGCTTGAGGTGGGAGTCCACAAGCTTGCTGCACATTAGGTGGTGTTCGTTAGTGGGACCAACTCTAGGAGCGTAAGGGAACAATCGGGTCTTACTCGTAGTTGCACTTGAGCTTCTCGGGCTTATGGTTACAGCTCGCCTCTCCCTCCCATGGGCAGTGGAACAGGCCGTCGGCTTGGGGAAACGCGTGCTTATAGAGAAAATGGTCCCTCGCAGACTCACCAGTCTCAGTCCAGCTGGAGGCAGGGTGGGTACGGTGCAGAACCATCTTCTCCCATCGCGTCCTTCTCCTTCCAGATGTGTTCCGCGGCTTTAATTCCCGCGAGAAGCTCTGTGGCCTGCTTCATCCAGTCGATTTGTCTCTCTTGAGCCTCCTTCAATTCCCTCAACGCGGCATCAATCGTCACCTTCTCGGGGACCTCGAGTTGGCCGTCGAGATGGGTCTTCCGCCGACCCGTCAGCTCTTCCTCCTCCATTCCCTCCCTCTCTCTGTAAATTCGCTTCACCTCTACAATATAGCCGTCAGGTACAGAGGAGGCATCTTCATGGCCGCCAGTTGGATGCTCTCCGCTTTCGGGACTAACAATTTGCGATCGGGAATGGGCGTCGGCCTGGTCTTCAAGAATGGAATCGGTATCCTGGTGATCCCCACTGTCCTCTTCGTCGCCATCCACTTCGCCCTCTGTATCCAGTGAAGGCAGGGCAAAAAGAGAGAGCTGCTCCTGATGCCGACCCACGTGGCACTGATACTGTGGAATGGAATTCAAGTCTTCACGACACAGGGGACATGGCATTCCCTTGGAGATATCGAGCGCCTGTTCGCAGAGCTTCACCAAGGCATCCAGCTCTCCAGGAGACCGTTTGCTTGGATGAGACGCCTCCAAGTGGCTCTTGCAGTCCGCGAATGAAGAAAGCTTTGACTGGCACAGAAGGCATCTGTAGGTCTTCCAGTGGTTTTGCTTGACGTGCTCAATCCACTCGTGACGACGGAAGTACTCCCGTTCAGGGGTCATACAATCGTTTTCTAGACACACATCTTCAGATGCAAATGGTGAGCAGATATCTTTTAGGCAACACATTTCTGATCATCGGGAGGTTACTTACATGGCTGAAGGTCACCATAAACATGCTTCCTTTTTTTCACTGGTTAGCAGTCGATATTGCTATACTGAATGCGCCGACTTACTTCCACGCCCTTCTGTCCCTGACTTCAATGATCATGTGGCAGAGAGGGCACTCGAAGGGGCCGGCATACGCTTCCTTGGGCAGCGGGGGGATGGTGAGTCGATCCGAGCTGGCCATAGACGTGGCGTATGAAGTCTGCGACATGCCGGCATCGGAGCCATCGTCTCGGAGAACCGAGGTATCCGTATTGCGGCCTTCTTTCAGGTGGCTGGGTATCGAAGACGCAATTGTCTCATCCTCCAAACCATTCCCCTCATCCAGCTCCTGATCAAGTCCGCGCGATAGCTTTTGGTGGTGGGATTGCCGGTATCTCAAATACTGTCGTCTCCGGCTGATTGCTTTCCCAAGGCGTTCTTCAAGCCATGGTTCGATCTCGCTGAATTTGGAGCGGACATGCTGCACATCATAAGGCTCGAAGTAAGAGGCATCTGTGTCCTTTGCCTGGATGTAACGATCGTGTGGTGCTGGGTTCCGTATGGTTACGGTGAGGCGAAGGAGACAGTTGATCACGTCCGCCATGTCGGCAGCGATCTGACCAAGCTCTGTGTCGGGAGCCTCGTCGTCGGAATCGCTGCCGACATAACCATCCTCACCCGAATCACGTTGATCCCAAGGCGTTTCCTCCCCTTTGGCGATGGCTGAGGCGTCCTCGATTAGTTGGATAAGGTCCCGCACAAGATCGAGGACCTGGCTCTTGATGTGTGAAGCGTCCCGAAGCCGGTAGTCCAGCGAGCTCATTCCGGTCCTGTGAGCTCCGATATTCCCAGCCCATACTTTGAACCGGGACCGCTCGTCCATCATCTGAAGCACAACCCCCGGGTCCGGGAAGTCCAAATCGTCGCCGTCTGGAGGTTCCAGCAGGGCCCGGAAAAGGGTGAGACACCGGGCGACATGGCCAGCGATGCTGTCCGTCATGGCGCGCACTTATGCAAGATCCAGTCTGAATGATATTTTGCTTTTCTGAGGGGTCTCAGAGGGGAGGATGGCTCATGTTAGGATGATGCTGACTTCGCTTACAAGTTACCAGTGCCGAGCGGGGGGAGGTACAGAGCACGAAGCATGCACGAACGGGGCTCAACTGCTACGCCATCGTCGGGGCTCGCCATTGGCTTTCAGGTCCGGTCTGGCGGCAAATTCGCTCGCCTGCGTAACTCCCCCGTCTCCAACTCCGCCCCTCAGGCGAGCTCGTCCTCCCACGAGGCCACCACGGTCCACAGCATTGCGACCGGACGCAACGATGTCGGGCTTCGAGGTCGCTGGCATCGTGCTCGGCTCAATCCCGCTCGTCATCTCGGCGCTCGAGCATTACGGCGAAGGCCTCTCGACAATTCAGCGATGGCGGAAGTACAAGCGGGAGCTACAGAGCCTTGTCCGCAACCTGCAAACAGAGCGCGTGAAGCTGCAAAACGTCTGCGAGAAGCTCCTGGTGGGGATTGTCCCGCCTTCGGATATCGAAGCCATGATCGACGATCCTCTCGGAGGTCTCTGGCGCCAGGACGCCGTCCAAAAAAGGATCCAATTTCGCCTCTGGAAGTCTTACGACGTGTTCGAGGCCACCATCAGCGATATCAAGGTCGCCATTGACGAAATCAAGGCAGAAATCGACTTATAAAGAGATGGCAATGTCTCGGAGCTAAGGCGGGGCATATTCACTCTAAAACGCTCACGCTACGACGACCAGCTCTCCACGATCCGGAACGGCGTGTCGAATCTGGAGAACCTTACAGACCGAAATATCGAACTTGAGCCGGAGCGTCGAGTACGGTCTCAAACAAAACTGTTTACAGTATTGCGGGACATGGCTACCAGTTTCCACCGGGCATTACGGAGTGGCTTTCGGTGTTCCTGTAAACATGATGTGGGCTTGGGGCTGCAGAGACGCTCGGCCGACATCTGCCCGACAGACGACAGCGACAAGATCATGAAGGACCTCTGCTTTCGGCTAGCCATCTCCTTCGTGCCGAAAGCACACCTCGGCGAAGCAAGCCCAGAAGAAATCTCAACTTGGCAAGAGGTCCTCATCAGAGCAGCATGGGAACCTGCTTCTCGGACTCTCAGTCCGAGCTGTACGACGAAATCAACCCCGGCTCAAACCAGGGTGAAGGCAAGGAAGGCTGTATCTTTCGGCTTTTCTCAGTCAACCACATTGACCTCATCCACCAGCACGACCACTACTACCATAGTCACGCAAACAAACACAGAGCTACAGACGCTGCTTCCTAAGCTGACTCTCAGCATCGCCAGTGGCGTCGCATTCTCAAACGCCGGGGATAATACCCTGGACGATCTATGCGAAAAGCTCCGCCAGTCCCAGAAACAAGCAGCAACGGACACTTACGGAATTCTCATCGACCAACTCCCACAGTCCTCTACTAGTACTAGTACTAGGCGGTATTCCATCCACCCGGCCCCCGACTCCAATGACTCGCACTCCTCCTGGTCTCTGGTATCCTTACGAGAGATCCTGGAACACAAGGCTCTTTTCCCTCCCTTATCATACAGAGACCGTCTCCGACTGGCTGTGACCATCTCTTCGAGCGTCCTGCAACTCCACGGCACCCCCTGGCTGCCCACCATCCTGACGAGCCGCCATATCTATTTCATCCGGAAGCCTGATAGCCCAACAATGTACTGGTATCCCATTCTGCTGAAACAGCATCATCCTCCTCTGGAAGGGAAAGACCAGCTTGAGCCGGTCAGCGATTGCGGAGGTACAACTACTGGTAGTAGTATCATGGCCAAGCGCAACCCGACGCTCCTGTCGCTCGGCTGCGTGCTGATAGAGGTCATCTTGGGAAGGACGCTCGATCAATCTCGTGGTGGTGGCTCTCCGAACCGACAAGATGTGGGCGTAGATCTCATGTCCGATTATGTCGCCGCGCAGAGCCTGATGGATGAGGTCCGCATGAAAAGCCTGAACTACGAGGCGGCCGTGGCGAGATGTGTGGATGATGGGAAGCTCCACAGGCATGACCGCGGGCTGGAAGATGTGGATTTGTGTCAGGATGTGTATTCGCGGGTTGTGGCGTTGTTGGAGAAAGATCTGGAGACCTCGTGAACCGAGGAAACGAATGTTCTAGGTAGGGCTTCGCATGTCAGCAGGATGAGGATGGTGTCATCAAAAGGCAGTCTCTCGTCATGGCTGATGGAGGGAGTTGCGAGGACTTCCGTTTATACCCTCCTGTAAGGATTGTGTGTTTGCTAAGATTATTAAGATAATGAGGTTATGCTGGATTGCAGACCTCTCTGCCAGGTATCCTACCGTACCTTATATCTCATGAAGCGATATTACTATGGATATTGGATACGGGGTTAACAGGTCGACGGGGGTTACTTGTTCTAGCTCTCAGTATTGGCTTTTGAACAGCCAAGACTTACCACTTGACGCTCTCACGGTCTCACCATTGTAATGATGCTCAACGATGCTAAACGGTAATGATGTATTGTATAGCAGGCACTAGTAGTACCTGAATGGACTGCGTGTGATGTCTTTCCTAGGGTCATATTTTCTTCTTGTCTAACCTCTCCTATAACGACCGAGAGCTGTGGGCGATAGAGCATCCGGTCATTTTAGGTATTGTACCTACCTACTTAGGTGAGTAAGCACACTGCTATGAGCCTGATGGATGAAATGCCTAATTTAAAAAGCTTGAACTACAAGACGACCATTGCGCGGTGTGTGGATGGGAAGCTCCATGGGCATAGCGATGGGCTAGAAGCTGTTGGTTTGTATCAGGATCTGGATCTGGTAGTTAGAGGTCAAGGCATTGTTAGAGAAGGACCTGGAGAACTCGTCAAGCGGAAGGAACTGAGAAATAATCCAGGAGAAATAGGAGATCGGTACATGCCGGCCCAACAGAATGCGAATGGGCGTGTAGTCACGAAGGGTCTCATACTAGCCGGTTCGGTAATTGGTAGTGCCCAACCCCACCTCTGTGGCGTCCTGTGTGGGTTTCCGTGTTTCGTCTGATCACTAACATTGGCATGTTGTATTGTACAGCCCCGAAAGGAAATCTCCCGCCGGTTGAATTTGAGCCTCCACCTTAAGTAGGTAGTTACTATTGGAATAGGATGCTTCCAAGCTTGATACGCCACATAAGCCTGGAAGATGCCCACAGCCCAGGAGAGGAACCCCAGCAGCACGGCAACCAGGATCCCGATCATGGTTCCCATCATGACATGCCGGGCGCCGCTTCGCAGTGCGAGCTGTCGTTCCAACCATCCGCGAGGCCGGGGGTTCTGAAGTTCGTGATGGAGTGCCGCCAGCCGCTCGGTCAGATGCACGGAGGAGATGTGCTCCTCCCCTTGGTTCCTGATGGACCCAAACTCGAAATTCAGGATACCCGGGTCCTTTAACCCGGAGTTGACATAGGCTGTCAACAGCTGGCGAGATCTCTTCTTCGTGAACGGGAACAGAATTGCCTGTAGCTAGTCGAGGCTACCGCCACGGTTGACGGTTTGCATCTTGAGCTCCTGCGGATGTCGGAACCAATCTCGGAGTCACGCGCTGATGGCGGTATATCCGAGCACTGTGGCCAATAAATGATTCAAAACACCTCATCGGACTCTGGGTACGCATCTCTCCAACCTACCCCACGGCAATCCCCGGGGGGCGAGGTACTTCTCTGAGGTCAAGAGGCTCATTCTGAGGTCGTGTTACCTGAGGGCTGTTACCTGTATTAGCGTTCCGCAGCGTGATTGGGAGAGGATACAAGAATCCGCTGGTTTAGAAGCAGCAGACCTTTGCAGAGGTTGTCCCTCGTTTGGTCTTGTTGGCCAATGTCATAAGGATTTGTCGATCTGTTCTGTCACTGCCCAAAAGAGGTTGGATTTCATGCCCCCACGGGTATTTACCGAGCCTAAACTCACTCTTGGCTACCATCTCCATATATGGCGATATTAACGTGAGGGGGCAGCAATACCACATGGACGGGAAAAAATGTACGTGTAAATTGCAACCAGATAACGCAACCATCGACACCACTCCTAAACACCTATAAATACTTCCACGTGGCAAATTCCCACCCTACACGCCTTATGTATTGACTAGAGCTTCCTTCGTTGTTCGGCCGCAGCAGACCTCACCATAAGATGCAGCTATCCATCGGCATCCTCTCGTGCCTCGTGGCCGTGACACTAGCCGCTCCAGCAGTCGACTACGGTCCGTGTGACTACAATGGCAATGACAACTGCAAAGAGATCATGGACAACACGGCCTGCTTCCTGAACCCCAAGGGAGCCGACGAAATCTTCAAGTGCATCTCAGGCGGTCGAGACGGGGTATGTTCCAGCCCTTTCGACACCCACCCCCTAATGATAATACAAATCTGTACCGGTGCAAAATGCTCACCCCTGTGCAATAGGTGTGCGCATGCTACGGATGTCTCGGCTACACGCCCGTCGGCGAGGTCATCTCGAAGTCGAGTGCTTGCGCGTAAGTTGAGAATCAGAAGTGGAGAGAACGATGTTGGCAGTGAGGAGGGAGAGAGAGAGCGGCTGAGCAGATCACTGATTCGGGTTGCACACAGGGGCTTTCCCACATCCTCTCCGCTGAAGCTCGGCGAAACGCCTACTATCACGCCGGCGCCGACTCCGACTCCCGAACCTAAATACTATTAAGACTGAACTGGGGGTGAGAGGGGTGTGCCGTTATCCTGCTGGCTTACAAGGCGGCTATGGGGAGCGGAATACGGCAGTTAACCACACTTCTGTGCCACTCTTTCGAATGGGCCGCAACTGATGGACTTGGCTGTGACCCAGTTCTGCACAGAAGTTTGGAAATCTACAGAGATTGACACTTAGAAAGGGAGCACAACGGTCCTTAGCCCTAAACAAAGAAATAATAGACACCGTCTGGTACCCCCTACTTACTATCTGTTTCAGCGTTACCAATGTCTCCCAACCGACAAATAAATACAGCTAACAAACGTCCCTCTCCCACTCGGCAACAACATCCTCCCAGGCCACGACCCTCGCCCCCTTCCGCTTCAGCCGTTCCTCCACCTCCCTCTCAATCTCCACCGCAGTCTTACTCACACTCCCATCCGGCCCCTGAGGAACATCATCATAAGTCGAGTGCGCCCCGCTCAGAAGCGTGACGCCAAACCCAGCAGCGAGCGCACCCGCACACGTCGCTTCGACACAGCACTCGCTCTGGATGCCGAAGGCCACGATCTGTTGGATGCCGTGTTGTTCCTTGAGCTCGGAGGCGAGGGACGGGTTGGATTGGAATGTGTCCCCTGAAAATATAAATACCATCATGCATCATCAGCATCGGTCCTCAAGGGTCAAGGGTACCGCAGTCTTGGAGGTGTATGTCCCAACTATAGGAGTTGAAGACACAAAATCTGAGACGATGAGGGAAGCTTACGCGTGTATTTGCCAACGAGGCGCTCATAGTACGGTGCGTCCGCTCGTGGCTCAAACACCAGCTTCCAGGCCTCACTGCCTCGGACGAGCGGGCCGTCCTCGGGCCTCTCTTCGTGCTGTACGAAGACGATCAGGGCTGGGGGCGGGACATCCGTGTGGTGGGTGGATGATGGACTGTTCTTGTCCAAGCGTGCTCGGGCAACGGAGAGGATCTTGGTGCCCGCTGTTCTGATGCGGTCTGCGTGAGGGATTCGAGTCTTGGGATCTGTCGTGAGATCGTTTTGGATGTCGATTACAAAGAGGGCGGTTTTGGTTGTCATTTTGTATTTTTGGGATAGAGGGTAGTCCTGGTCTCTGGCGGGTTCGATGAAAAGCTTCTCAGAACTCTTGATGTTCAGGAAAAGATGCCAGTACCCCAGAGGGTAGGTACGGACACTCCGCGGATGTTGTGAGTCACTTCACGCCTAGTCGGTGTATCCCCACAATCATTATATCTACCTCAACCAAAACAAGCAGCCTAGTGTCTCCTTCAGTCAACTTCGTGGCACTTTGTCACAACACGCCTGTCACAAACCTGCCGCTCTGGAAAGAGCTAACAACGGGAATTCTGATGGATTAGTAAGGGAAGACAGCATTTCTTTCATGACGGCATTGCAAGACAAGAACACACCCCCACCAGGGCCACCACCCCTCCCCTCCTCCCCATCAAGCTGCTCCTCTCAACAAACAAAACCTCTCAGACAACAGGTGCCCGCCTCTCAATGGTAAGCCACATATCCTCAAAGTACATTACCCCCCCTTTGACTCGAAACCTTGCCGGCCGCTGCTTATCCACGACCTCGACCCGAAAGGTCCTCAGAAAATGCAGCGGCGCCTTAAACAGCTCCATGTACGCCATGTCTTTGCCCAGACACACGCGCGTGCCGTAGCCAAACGCGAAGTTGTACCGTGCATACTCGGCCGCCACCACCCCCGCCTTCTTGTCGTTGCCGTTGCCGTTGCCGTTGCCGTTGCCGTTGCCGTTGTCGTTACTGCTAGTAGTAGTATCGTTGAGCCAGCGCTCCGGGCGGAACACGTCGGCGTCGGCGCCGTAGACGCGCCTGTCGCGGTGCACCAGCCACGGGTTGCACGTCAGCTCGGTGCCCGGCGGGACGTGGTAGTGCCGCTGCCCGTTGTCGTTGTCGTCGTCGTGGAGCACCAGCCCGTTTGGGGAGGGCGCTAGCCGCGGGAAGATGCCCGGCGCCGAGGGGGTGAGGCGCAGCGTCTCGCGCACGCAGGCCACGTAGTACGGGCAGTGTGCCAGCACCTGGTCGTATGTGGGTACGGTGCCGGCGGGGGATAGCAGGCCCTGCCGCGTGGCGGCGTCGATCTCGGCGAGTACCCTGTCGTACACGGCTGGGTGCGAGAGGATGTGCAGGATCAGGTTCTGGAAGGCCGTGCCGGTCGTGTCGGCACCTGCGATCATGACGAGGAGAGCCTCCGCTTTGACGAATTCGAGCGGTAGGGGCTTGCCGTTGTCGTCGCGGGCGTCAAGGAAGCTGGAGGGTAGGTTGGCAAGTTTGTTGGCTTTTTGTCTGTTTTATTTTCTTTGTTTATATCATTAATGCAAAGGACAGAGGCTTACGCTTGGAGAAGGTCCATCCGGCCGTTCGTGGAGCCAGCCTCCATGTCTTTGAGCCGCTGCTCTAGCAGGCGGTCCCGGAAGCGCATCAGGGCGCCAATGCCCGACTTCTGCTCCGGGCTGGCCACCAGGTACTTCGCGAGCGGGGTGCGCTTGACCCAGTTGGTGAAGGGATACAGCCGCGCCATGAGCCCGAACGGGAGCAGGCCGACGTGGAATCCCTCGATCAGCCCGCCGACGTCCTCGCCCTTCTCGATGAAGCCAAAGGGCGCGCCGAAGCCGATGGACGAGATCACGTCGTAGGCCATGTACACGGCCCAGGCGGCGAAGTTGAGCTTGTCGCCGGTGCGCGCGAACTGCGTGTCGAGCTTGTCAATCCAGCGCTGGATCTGCTCGTCGATCAGCGGCTCCATCTTCTTCACGCTGGAGAAGCTGTATGGGCCGGCGACAAGCTTGCGGAACCGGGCGTGGACAGCGGCGTCCTGCATGTTGAACACGGACTCGTCCTTCCCGAAGCTGCCCGTAATGTAATGCTGCGACTTGGCGGCGTTGCGGCTGTAGATGACCGGCAGCTTGGTGGCGTCGTTGACCAGCAGCATCGTCGGCGTGATGCGGACAATGGGGCCGTACTTTTCAGTCATCTTCTGCAATGTGGCTACTTCGTCTCCCTTGGCGTTGTGGTATGCGATCCATAATCTGGTGACGCTGCCCCAGAACGGGCCCGGGAACTTCGCAAGCGGGTGAAAGAACCGGTAGTAGACGATCTGGTACACGGCGCTCCAGGCAAGGTAGCTCAGCGCTAATAGCGCGAGGTTCCCGAAACTGAGGAGAGCCATGGAGGACACAACTAGCTGGATGGGACGCACAAGAAACGCAGTTGCCGCGGTTTACCGCTGGGCTTTATATCATCTAGAGTAGAACAGGTAGGTGGAACAGTTTGTACGGGACAGTAAGGATATAATCCAAGCGAGAGGAGACTGAATGCAACCCCCCATCATTGCGAGACAACCCAAAGCAAGAGATGGGGAATTGTCCGCTGCAGATTATGCAGAAGCGGCAAAGCCCACTTACAATCCCACGAGACGTGCGGCACCACGTATGTCTTGTACGACCCTGAGCGTTACAGTCCCGGCACTCCCATCCCACGTCTGGTGGGTTCAGTAACCCTACCGCGGGCCACCGGTTCGCCGATCATTGGCAATGGTTTGCGCCATGGAAAGAGGGAGAGCCCAGCGCGTGCTATACACCCTCGAGACGCCGTGTGTAGACTGCATATGCCGTACCCCCACCAGCCGGCCCGCGTTTCCTAGGTAGCATGTCACCTATCACCTTAAGTCATGTCATCAGCGGGAGGGCGACATTGTGGTTCGAACTCGACAACCCAGGCCTAGAGTTGGGGGTGAATCTCACTTACTTAGCAGGCTAGGTGCCTACTATGTAGGTACTCTCGGTAGATCTCGAATCGCGCATGTCCATCTCCCGAGACTTGCCTTGAGTATGACCGATAATGAATTATGAACCTTGCCCTCTATTGAATTCAGATTGCCGGCCCTACCTTCTATCCTGAACACCCTCAACTGCATTACCGTACATAAGATGCCCCGTTTCACATCCAGACCGAAAAGAAAGACAAGAAGACCTCGATCTGTCCCAAATATGGGCGGTTCATATGCTCACAGAAAGTCCCTGGTGGGCTTGAAACCCTCCTCGCAACGCCGGCAACCATTGTGACGGTCGTGGCCTTCGTGTTCGACGACTGTCTCCCAGCGCTCCGTTGTCGTCTTGCGCCAGACCCTGGGCCCGTCATGGCCAAGACCAAGCTCACGGTCCCAATGGTCAAACCCGTTGAAGTGGTTTTCGAGGCGGTTATCGTGCCGAGGAGCAGGTGCCGGCCGTGGCGTGTGATCATACCAAGTCGGCTCCTCGCGCAGGGGATTCAGCAGGCCCATATTATCTCCACCGTAAGTGGTACCGGTGTACGGCCCGCTGGTCGGATGGTATGCCGCAGGCTTGGCCCCATCGCCGTGAGTAGCGAACGCCCGAACCTCGCCCACCCTCGCTCCACCAAGAGGCGAGAACCCCAGGCCAAACGGTCCACCAGGCCCCTTCTTTGTAGCAGCACCCCCGACCCTCTTCCGCAGCCTCTCCTCAAGCTCCCTGGCCTCGGCCTCGCGCCGCGCCCTTTCCTTCACAGCCTCGACGGCTCGCCTCCTCTCTCCTTCTTCGTCCACCAACTTCCGCGTCGTCTCGGTGACGATCGAGTCCTCGATCGCCCTCGCGACCGCCGCTTCCTCCAGCAGCTGCTGCGTCTGCTTCAGTTCTTCCGCCATCATCTCCTTTCGCATCTCCTCCTGCCATCTATGCTCCCGCTTCACCTTCAGCTTCAGCGCCGCAGCAGCAGCAGCAGCGGCCTCCTCCCGAGCAAGAAGCCTCTCCTTCTCCTCCGCCCTAACCCGCATCCTCTCCATCTCCGCCTGGAGCTTCAACTCCCGCTCCCGCGCGAGCTGCTCGCGGACGACGCGCTCATGCTCCCTTTTCCGCTCTTCTTGTTCTTCTTCCTTTTCTTGCTCCTCCTGCCTCTTCTGCACCCGGTATGCGGCGGCGGCAGCACGGATTGCTTCTTCCTCCAACCGCCGCTCCTTTCCAGTTTCCTTCCCGCGCCTCTCTGCCTCTTTACTCCGCTCCCGATGCTGCTGCTGCTGCGCGCGATACGCAGCCTCGAGCCGCGTCTGCTCGAGCAGTGCCCGCCGCTCCGTCTCTTCCTGCCTCTGCTGCTGCTGTTTGCGGGAGAGGTCGAGCGCGAGACGCAGCGCGGCTTGTTCTTGCTCGAGGGCTTCTGAGAGCTCCTTCTTGTCGTCGTCCAGGAGGGGGCTGCTGCTGGTGTTCCTCTTCCCCGTCGTGGTGGTGGTGGTGGTCGTGGTAGTGGTGAGGCCGGGGTTCATCATCATGTTGTTGTCGGCGCGGCTGACGATCTTGCGGCGGAGTTGGATGTCTTCGAGCACGCAGGTGTTAACTCCGTCCGGGAGAGCGTGGGTGTAGTAGTCCGGCATTGGCATTTTGTGGTTGATTCTTAAGAGCTGGGGTCAGTTGGGAGTAGGGCGGTGATAGGGTAGTAACGATGGAAAGGGACGTGGAATTTGGGAAGGGGTTGGCTGTCCGCGGTTGATCAGGTCGAACGAACTCACTCTGATGGATGATAAGCCTCTTCCTGCGTCGCGTAGGCGGAAATCAGGCAAGGGTCCTGCAACATGCAGGGATGGGAATAGCAGGTGGTTGTGTGGTTGGGCGTTGCGGAATAAGACCGGAGGCTTGCTCGTCTGTGGCGCTGGCGACGTCGGCGGCGAGCTTCAACGCTAGGCGGCACGAGCCAGAACAGATCGCGGTTACCTGGCGGTCGGGAGAAGATTTGTCCCATCTGTGAGTTGGCAGAGACTTGTTGAGTTGGCTGACGAGGGGAAATGGAGGGTTGAGTCCAGATTGAAATAGCCCGATGGCTTGCGCTCCATCATTTCTCTCTCTCTTTCTCAACGGCCTTCCAGTTGAGAGTGAGACCCGGACGGTCCCGGTTTCTAGCCCATTGTTGTCAGAGGTAATGACACTTGTTTCAACTCTGACTCTCTGAGCCTGGTTACAAAGCTGTGTCTCAGGTATGTACATACATGCAGCTGCCGGACACGACAGCCTTAGGAACGTCTCACATCTCACCACAGAGGCCCCATCCGAGGCGTGTCAGTTCTAACCCATATTCATTCGAGAATCTTTATCTGCGTTTCAAGCACTGCCATCTCACCATGATTTGCCTGCACTGGTCTAGTTTCAGGGGACAGAAGGGATGGCTTGGCGGAGTATGGCCTGGCGGAGTCGTTCGTTGGGTTTCCGTCAGACACGCATGTCTGAGAGTTGCGGGACCACAAAGTGCAGCTAGAATTTTGCGGAAGTGGTGTATGTACATGTTGGTGGATGAGTGATCTTTGTTGCCGACGAGCTGGCCCTTGTGGGAATCATGGCAGCTGAAGAAATCAGCGAGCCAATTCATCGTTGAGCGGTGTTGGAAGGTGCAAACGACAAGGGGAGCAGAATAAACTCTCTGGTGTTGAACCTGATACGTTCACCATCGAGTCGGCTTAGTGCTGTGACTCCTGTCCAACCAGACTCACATACACATCGCAGCTCATCTCTTCTCAGCAGAAACCGGGAAAATTCATACCAGGTGAATTCCTTACATACGTGGCTGAAGCTACAAACAGAATGGCAAGCTCCCGTTGGTTGGGTGCGGTTGAAACAAACACGCGGCTGGGCAGTGACGTCACCGGGGACACTCGAAGCAGGAACAACAACTAGCATAGCATTGGACTTGGCTTGCATCACTTGGGCACGAGCACGAACTAGACTACATCGAGATCGTATGAAGGATTTACTTAAAGATGAGGATTGTGCAAGACTCTATTCAAATATGCCGTGGTGCTGCCGCACTCCGGGTCATGACCTTTCCATCGTTTCTCTTACTACCTAAACCGAGTCAGGAGCAGACACAAGGACTTTTCCCAACTGTGAATAGGCACGCACCTTCTGAGCCCAGGCCTTCCTCCCTTATCGACACAAGCATCAACAGTTGATGCATGGTAGTCGGCAAGCGACAGCTACCTCGTCACCACACCACCGAGATGCTCCCCTCCCACCGACGCGACCTTAGTCGCAACCGGGCGACACATGAAAAGCCCACTCACACCGAGGATTCCCTCTGGAAGCGGCTGTACTGGTTCGTGACCGACTGGCTCAGGATCTCATGGAGGGATCTCCTCACCATGGCCGTCCTGGGAGCTGCCGCCCTTGGCGTAAGTCGAGTTCCAACTTCCAACACCCTGCCACCGTCCACGTCCCAATTCCACGCCACGGCTGCTAACACACCCCAGATCTACCAAGCCCCGTACGCCGGCACGCGCAACTTCCCCATCACCTTCACCGAGTCCGGCGACATCGTCTACCCGGAGTTTGCCTACCCTAACCGGGGCTGGATCATCTCGCCGCAGCTGTCGGGCGTCATCTCGGCCGTGATCCCCATCGCGGTGATCCTGCTCGCCCAGCTGCGCATCCGCTCCTTCTGGGACTGCAACAACGCCATCCTGGGCCTGCTCTACTCGCTGATCATGGGCGCGCTGTTCCAGGCGATCCTCAAGACGCTGATCGGTGGCTTCCGGCCCATCTTCCTCGACGTGTGCCAGCCCGACATCTCGCTGGCGCGCACGCACAACGCCACGGGCCTCAACGGCGTCGGCTTCCGCCAGATCATGTACACCACTGAGGTGTGCACCAACCCGGACAAGCAGGCCATTAAGACGGCCATGACCAGCTTCCCCTCGGGCCACACGACGACGGCGTTTGCCGGCTACGTGTTCCTCTTCCTGTGGATGAACGCCAAGCTCAAGGTGTGGGCGAACTTCCGCGCGAGCTTCTACTGGCTCGCCCTGCTGCTGGCGCCGCTGCTGGGCGCCACGCTGATGGCCGCCTGTCTGACGGTCGACCAGGCGCACAACTGGTACGACATCGTCGCGGGCGCTGTCATCGGCACCGTCACCTCGTTCATGGCCTACCGCGTCTGCTACGCGGCCGTGTGGGATTGGCGGTATAACCACATCCCGCTCAGGAGGGACCGCGCCTTTGACTATGTGGCAGCCGCGGCGCTGACACCCGAGGTGATGGAACGCGCGTTGTGGGTGAGGAAGTTGGGCTGGGGCAGGAAGAGGCGGGTTGGTAGGCGGGCGGGTGTTGTGAGGGGCAAGGAGAGGGTCGGAAGCAATGCGAGCACTGCGAGGGATGTGAGGACCAGTGGGAGTACGGGTATGGAGGTGCCGCAAGCTGCGGCAAGGTATCAAGAGCCGAGACATCCCGACTACGCTCATCACTACGATGGACGGGGTGGATATATGGTTTGATGGACGATAGACTTATGCGACGATACCCTCTGCAACTTTCCTTCTGCTGTTTCGATCCCTTCCCTGCATATTTTACTACCCATCCTCGTACTGAGCCTTAATAAGGCTTAATAGAAGGAGATAGACCAGGTTACAGGTATTTCGTAATGCTACTTGTTGAATGTCTCATGAAACCAGGACCATACAGGATGATTGCCGATCTAGAGAAGCAGAGTGCATGCATAGCTGCACTTCCATAGTCCATTTTTCGGCAGGAATCCCAGATATCCTGTTCTCATCTTCTCGCATATGGTCCATACTAGTAATCCGTACTTCCATGCTGGTTAGGTCTCTCTGCGGTCAGAATCATCCAGTCTCCAGCGGTTATCCTAAAGCTTGTCGCTCACACCAAGCCATGTGGGAGCCCGGTCTCGGTTTAACAACACGAACCTGGACTGCCGGAAAGAGAAGGCAGCAACCTGCCTAATCGGTGCTCTACATCCTAGATTACTTTGCTGCCAGTGGCCTCCATATCTCTTGGATTCCTGCTCCTTTTTGCGATGGGTAACGGACAATACCACCCATTCTCAGGCCCAGCTCGGCGGTCTAAGCCGGCGCCCGGGTTGTGCCTGTCTGGAGAAGACCTCCCACCATGCTCGGCACTGCTCTGCCTGATTCTTCCCGTTGACCATAGAGCGAGTTCAAGTTCAACCGTACTACATGCAGGATACCATGTGTGTGACCGGCCCCCTAACAACTTCCATGCCGGTTAAACACACAACAAGGACACATGCTCCGTCAATCTCGGCAGATGCGTCGCACCGGCAAATGTCTGATGCCAAGACAAGCTTTAACAATACCAGGCCAACATAGGGACCTGGCCTGTGGTTGTATGGCGGTTGTATGGCGATCCGCCCACCAGTCGATCACCTGGCTCTCTATTGCCCTGATAATACGACGAGCTGCTAAGGGATGAACCATTGGGCAGCGTGGGTCTGTCTTTGGCTCGTAGAGATTCCGGCTTCCGGTCTGCGGCGAGGAGAATAAATTGGGCACTCATCTTCTGACCAATGCCCTCCTTCGAGCAACTGGGTGAAGAGTTACTGTGAATAGACAGGTATACAGGGGGCCACAGCTCCCAATCAGTCACACCCGGCCCCGCATCTAAATAAACGAATAGATGACTATGTATCTTGGGTGGTCGAGGAACGGCAAGTGGCGAAGGGCGGGCTGGCGAACGGGGATGCTTGAGAAGGAATAGGTATATATCCACGGAGGACGACTCACCTCATAGCCCTTGATGCTCTCCCCTTAAAATTGCTGAACCTGCTCGCAGATACAGTTGCCGCCAAATTGGTTCAGAACCTCCACGATGAAGTGGCTTTCACTCGCTCTCGCGCTCGCCGGGCCGTCGCAGGCCGCGCTGCGCTTCGGCTGCTCGACGGTGAGCATCCAGCGGCTCGACCCGCTCGTCGAGCCGGGCAAGATCCCGTCGTCGCACGTGCACCAGATCGTGGGCGGCAACGGCTTCAACGCGACGATGGAGGGCGACATCTCGCAGAAGGCGACGTGCACGACGTGCACCTTCTCCGAGAACTTCTCCAACTACTGGACCGCCGTCATGTTCTTCAAGCACCCCAACGGCACCTACAAGCGCGTGCCCATCATGCAGAACACGGCGCTGCCCAACGGCATCAACGGCGGCATGACCATCTACTACACCCAGCAGGACTTCAACTCGAACGGCAACCAGAAGATCACCGCCTTCAAGCCAGGGTACCTTGATAAACTGCCACCGACGCGAGCTGTAAGAAGAGAGACACTTACACGGAGATCCTCAGGTTCCGAATGACAGTCGGGTCCCCGACGTACAGCGCCGCGCCCGGGTCCAGCGGCAATCCGGGCCTGCGGTTCGTGTGCCTCCAGAACAAGGGCACGCGCTTCCCCGAGCTGCCCAACTTCCCTACCAAGCCCTGTCCCGGCGGCATCATGACCGTCCACCACTTCCCATCGTGAGTACACTCTCACCCCTTTCCCCGTTCGCTCCTACAGCTTTGCCCTTATTTCCCCCGCCCCTTTCTCTTCTCCGCCTTTCCCAACACAACCCCCCCACACTAACCTCTCCCACCATCCGTCACCACACACAGCTGTTGGGACGGCAAGAACCTCGACTCGCCGGACCATCAATCCCACATGTACAACACGGTCCGCGAAGCCTTCACGCCCGCGGGCCCTTGCCCGGCGTCGCACCCGGTGCGGATGCCACAGCTGGCGTTCGAGACGCTGTGGGACACGACCCAGTTCAACAACATGTGGCCGACGACCGACGGGAGCAGCCAGCCGTTCGTGCTGAGCTTCGGCGACAAGGTCGGCTACGGCACGCACGCCGACTACGTGTTCGGCTGGAAGGGCGACGCGCTGCAGCGGGCCATGGACTCGAGCTGCATGTTCAACGCGTGCGAGAACGGCCGGCCGCTCAAGAGCCAGTCTGTCGCGGACATGAATCGCTGCGCGGTCAAGAGCCAGGTGAAGGAGGATCTGGATGGCTGTGAGTTTCTCCACTCTTCTTTTGTGGTTGTGGTTTTGAGACGAGGATGCGATGTGGTGCTGACACTGTAGCAGGGCTGAAGGAACTCCCTGGTCAGGGATCCATGCCGATGTAAAGACGGAGCGAGCGGCGCGTGTGACCTTTGGTCGACGCGACGGATTGGGATTGAGAGAGATGAGCTTCTGTTGTGGAGAGTGTTGGACATTTGTGTGTCTTGCTCTTATACTGTGTGCCCTATTCTCCCTGCGTCAGCCACCTGCGTATGCTTCACTCGTTCGATACCAAACTGTCGATAAGTAACGGCCCATGTCACCCTGATGAGTAAATGTCTTTTTGCCGAACCCGTTGTTGAATGAAAGGTCTAAGGGGTCGGGGGAGCAATTGGCGAAGCGGATATGGCTGATCGTGAAATGCATCTCGCTGCGAGGCACTCCCGTCACTTGCAGGCCAATTCCAGAAACAACAAGCTTGAGGGACATTCATGCGGGCACCAGGGAAATAAGACGGTGAATGGGATCGGACAGTCGTCATTGATCAATATGTACACACGAGACGCGCCCGCGAGGGCCGGCGTTGGCGGCTGCCCGCTCCCCGGCCGAGCCAGGAACGGGTGCCTCCGCAACATTTACAACAGCCAGACCCCCCCATGCGGCGGAATGGCATAGTCCCCCATCCCACCCAATATTAACCCTAGTCCCCGGGGTAACCCTATCTCGTCATCATGGCATACCGCGGTACCATGGCCGAAAGGTCCGCAATTAAGCGTAAAAGAGAATGGTAACCAAAATGTTGCGCAGTCGTAATGGGACCGTATCGTAAATGCTCCGTTTAGATTGCCCGAGCCCAGCCGAAGAGCAGCAGAACTTTTTTGGTTCGTCGTGAGAAAGAAATCGTAAAGACGCGGGAAGAGCGAGAGGCTGGCACCGCAATGGCGGCCGAGGACGACCCAGACGCTGAAACGTCGGTATGAGTCCGAGCATCAGGGTATCAATGGTCGCAACCAGGCGATGTGGTGTCACGTAACCGTGACACCACTCGTTGGGAGTAGTTACCCGAAGGGCTGTCACGCGTTCCACGGATCAACCGCGCTCCATGAAAAAGGCGCGGGAAGAATCCCGTCTCCCCACGACTGTTAATCCAAAACACCAAGCCTCATAACCCTCAAACCCTCTACACTCCTTCAATACCCCCTCTCGTCGTGGAAGCTAACCCTCTTCCTCCGGTCCTCGTGTTCCCTCACGGACGGCAACCCACCCATGACCTCGGGCTTCGCGCTCGACCCGAACCCGGGCATTGACGACCACCTGTTAAGCTTCTTCTGCTGCTTGCTGGTTGGCTCCTCCACGCTGTGGACCGGCGTCGTCGTGTATTGTGTGCTGGCCGACTTGCTGGTGCTGGTCGATGACCCGGTCGTGTTGGGCGACTGGTAGATGTACTCGCCGTCGACGTAGATGGCGTTGGAGACGAAGGTCGAGCGGCGATGGCGCCGGCGGGTGTAGCGCTGCTCGAGGCGGAAGAGCTCGATCTTGGCCTGGATGCGGTCGAAGAGGTTCATACCCATGTTGGGCAACGGGTTTGGTTGTTCTCGGGGGGTAGGGAGCTTGGCGTTTGGGTGCTTGAAACGACGAGCTGCCGCTTGGATTCGGGCTCGTTGACGGTTGAGGAGGTGCTTGCTTAAGGGGCTGTCCGGACGACCAACGGTTAAGCTAGCCGGTGGCAGGGTGGGAACGTGGCTGATTCTTCAATATAGCGGTCTCGGCGATCGTGTCTCAGTAGACTGTCCGTTGTTGCGCGGGATGCTGAAGAAATCGAGGTCCGGCGCAGTGGGAAATAAGCTCAGCTTGAGACGAGTGCGCGGAAGCTGGCGTTGGAGTCGAAAAGGTGGCGATTGCACAAGGATTGGACGAAGATAAGAGCAAGGAGTGACGAATGGACTGATTCCGGTCCAATTATGTTATCGAGAGAGAGATCGTGGGGTGACCCGAGAGGTTGGGAGAGGGAAGAGCGAGAGCTTGGGAACGAAATGGGAGGCAATGCCACTTGAAGCAAGGTGCGGAGCGTGGACACAGGGGCCAGGTCCCGCTTGGGTGAAGTCAGTGGAGTCGACGTCCGAAGCTGGGATCCCGGTTGGCTGTGATGTTCGAGCCGTCCCCACCTCAATTATCCGTCTTCCAGGCCATTGTAACCGGCCCTGGATTCGGTGCATTTTGGCTTGCTCATACAAGCGTGCGGGCCAGGCTCGTTTTGACCTCGTCTCTCCGTCCCCTGGCGATCACCGATAAGAGTGAACAAAGCTGCAGGTGCATTGACCAGTCATTGCGCGCGGGCCTCGTGGAAAATGGGGCGACGGCAGGGTTCTGTCACGAGGCCAAGCCGCTAGCTTCCACCGGGGGCAGCAAACCATGCAGCCACTATCGCCAGAACTGGGCAAGTCTCAGCCGTCCGGTGAAGCTAGCGATCCAGGAGAAAAATCGCGAAATCCGTGCGCAGCATGGTGGGGGATGAAGGTTGCATTTGTACACTTCCGGGACCGTTTGCCACGAAGGGATTTGAAGGAATGAGGGGTCGGGCAGCGTCCAACCGCGGCCGAGGTTCTGCTCTTCAACTGCTCGCTTCTTCTGATGAATTTGCCAGAAGCAGACGAGTCAACGGGGGGTTCGGCTCCTCCACACGTGAAACGACCAGACATTCAGTTTCCTATATGTAAATGCCGCCGCTTGATCTTGCTCTTTATGCGTGTCTGATCGTGTTTCCTCAGTGCTTCCTTCATGTGGCAAAGCCGAGCGGGACGATCCGTCGTTCCCGTTCGTTGGCTGCGGCGCACATCACCGGGCCACGTTCCGTGTTCCCAATGACTAGAACTTGGGCAGTCGAACCCAAATTTTACAAATAAGGTATGAGCTGTGCCGTAGGCTTGTGGTAACAAGATGAAATGAGTCTCGGCGATAGAGAACCCGCGTGGCCTGCGCAGCATGGCCCTCCAACGCAACGCAACGCAACCGAACCTGGATCCGCACGTCCCCATTCAAACGACCAGCGTCTTCTCGAAAACGCGCAGCTCCCCCTCGGTGACCAAATGGCCCGCAAGATGGGGGTGCTCGGCCGCGAAGTCGAGCCGGCCGACGACGCGGTAGCCCATGCGCTCGTACCAGGCCTGGTTGCGCGCCTTGAACGGGTGGTCGAAGGCGCGCGACACCAGCAGCTCGCACTGCATGGCCGTCTTGCCGAGCGCGACGCGGCAGTGCTCCTCGGCGAATTCAACGAGCGCGCGGCCCGCGCCGCGGCCCCGGTAGGCGGCGTCGCACGCCAACATGCCGAAGTCGCCGTGGGTGGGCGACAGGGAGACGATGCGGATGCAGCCGATGACGGTCTCTGCGTCCGACACGGGGGCTTCTGCTTCTGGTGGATCGCAGCGACAGGGTGAGGCCAGGGAGACCGGGAGAAGAAAGGCGAGGGCGAGCTCTCGCCGCTTCAAGAGCTGCCGGACCTCGTCGCGGCTGGTCCGCCGGTAGCTAGGGGCGAACAGGCCCTCCTCTGTTTCTGTGTACACTGCGTTGATGAGGTCGGTGAGCCGGGCGACTAGTGGAGCGTTGTCGGCCACGGAGGCTTGGGGGATGCTGATTTGTACCCGCTGTGATCCAGCCTTGGCCGTCGGTGCAGGGGCTTCGTGGGCTATCATTGTGCCGCAGTTGCTTTCTGTTAGGACTTGGAGGACGTACTCGCCGCAGAAGGACCGCGTTTGTGTTAATATGGTGATACAAGGCGCCGGGTGCTGTGCTAGTTAGTTCGTCTCTGTCATATCAAGGGCGCAATATCTGACAGCACGAGGTACAACTGGCCAGGTGGGAACAGGTGGCACCCGAAACATCCGCTATATACTTCCCAACTACCCGATCGTATGGAAGTTCCCACATACCCTACCTACTGGTCGACAAGAAGATATAAAACAGTCTACGTAGTCGCACTACCTTAGTTAGCCGGAACCTACCACAAACACGAAAGACAACGGCACCTCAAAGGCAACAATCCCCTCCAAAGGGCCGAAAAGCTTTATCAAACCCGACATAACCGTCCATCCTGCGTCTGCACCCCCCTTTCCCCATCCCTGACCTCCCATGCCTCACTCCCGACCGCCGTCGTGGCATAGAACACCCCTCTGGGATCCCACAGCCTCTTAATCCGCAACAACCTGCCATAATTCGCACCATAAAACGCAGCCTGCCACTCCGGCTCATCCACATTCGCCTCATTGAGATACGCCCCTCCGCCGCCCTCCACCCCGTCCGGCGCAATCTCCTTAAACCGCGGAATCACCACCTCCCTCAAGTCCCTCGACGCCGCAGCGACCTCCTCCGCCGTCGGGTTGGCGGTGTCAGCACGATTACTACTACTATTATTACCACTACTAGCAGTCGTCCCCGCGGGAAAGCGCCCGGACAGAATCAGGAAGCAAATCACCTCCCGGAAGGCGGGGTGCACGGCGTTGTCGGCTCCGGAGCGGTTGCGCGGCGCTTGGTGGTAGCCGTATAGCAGCCGGCCGGACTCGCTGTGCGCGCGGATGGTGGCGAAGGTGGCGGCGAATCGGGAGGCCGACTCCCAGTTGCGTCGCGGCAGCAGGCGGTTGCCGGGCACCGAGATCCGGCCGACGCTGTTGAGGAAAGGGTCGCGGCCCCAGGTGGCGTTGTAGGCCGAGTAGAAGTCTGGGTGGAAGGTTGTGTTGACTGGCTGGGAGGGGGCGATGCCCAGGGAGGTGAGGGTGTTAAAGAAGGGGGCCGTGAGGGTGTGGAAGGAGGCGATGGTGTGGTTGGGCGCGAAGAAGGGGCTCATGCTGAAGGTGAAGGAGCCGTTGCCGGAGCTGGTCAGCGTCCACCACGAGTAGGTCCCCGCGTCGGTGAAGGGGATGAAGAAGGAGAAGTAGGCGTGCATGCCGCGCCAGAAGGTGTCGGCGCTGACCGTGGCCGAGGTGCCGAAGCTGAAGGTGGATGTGGTGACGGGCACTTTGGGGTGTACGCGGATGATCAGCGACGTGACCACCCCGAAGGTGCTGCCTCCGCCGCCGCGCAGAGCCCAGTACAGATCGGTGTTCTCCGCGGGGGAGGCGGTGATGAAGCGTCCGTCCGCGGTGACCACCTCGAGAGCCATGACGTGGTCGGCGGCCATGCCGTGCAGTCCCGAGAGCGGCGTGTGGCCCCCGCCGGCGATGTATCCTCCAGCATATCCCACGCTCTAGGGGATGGTTATTCGTTGAAACGCATGGGACAAACAGAAGCATCAAACTGGCTTACCTCGCAAATCCCTCCTAGCGCACTAACACCGTTCTTATGCGCCTCTGCATACACCTCTCGCACCGTCACCCCGGCGCCCACTTTCATGGCCGGCCCTGCGTACCCCGGTATCTCGAGATGCGCATAGTACCGAAGGTCCTTCAACCGGTGCGTCCAGATGCTCAGCGCACCGGCGCCGCTGCTCTTGCCCAAGTAGCAATGGCCCGTATTCTTGATTACCAGGCGCAGGTTCTCGTTGCGGGCAAGGTTGACAGCCAGTTGGATATGGCCCACATTGCTGACGTTCACCGCGTAGAGGGGGTACCCTCCGTGCGTGCAGTTGCCGCTGTCCGGGTTGGCAGTCGGCATGCAGGTTCTGCCTTGGAATAGCGGCCAGAAGATGGATGTCGGGTCGTTCTCGCTGCACTCCGTTAGTGAGGGTTCAGCTGGTAGTCACATCACATGAATGTCGAGATGTCATACTGAAAATATGGGTTGGTGAAGGAGCTTTGCACCGCCGCGCACTTCTCGGCATCGTACACACCGAGGTTCCGATAGCACGGCGCTGCAACAGGCAGCGTCTCGATGAGTGCTCCGTCCAGGAGCTTGTCGAATGTCCTCCATGTGGCGGGAGATGGCCATTCCGCGTCCCCGGGGAATGTCTTGCATGAGCCGCTCCTTAGGTGGTCAGGGTTCCCATCCGTTCCGTCGTCGAAGGCGAAGAGATGCGCATTGTCCACGACACCGGCCTTGTCAATGAGCCGCTGGAGCCCGTCCTCGGTCAAGGATCTCGCCTCGTAGTCAAACAACGGGTAGGCTCGCGCTGGCTTGTCTCCAGCTATAGCAAGCGGGAGAACAAAAGCGATGGACAGACACACCAAGTGCATTGTCCAAGTCTTAGCTGCCATGCTGGTCCGGTGCCTCTAATGGGTTATAGTGGGTGAGTGCTCGAGAAACACCTGCATCGCGTCCCCGAATTGTTTCTCATTGTTATATGGAATGGTCTACCTGCTGACTGCCCCTCACAAGCGGGATAGGATACACCCCAGGCCTTCACCATCTGCGCGGTTCTGCATGATCACGAGAACTGGGGAGATCATTACTGGATGATGATGGGCTTGAAAGTGGGTAATAAACCCAGCGTCGCAAGGCAGCTCTGGGCAACCACTATAAGGTCTACGATTCCCATTGGCCTTTGGTCTTCGACCTGTGCGATGGTGGTATTTTTGTACGTCTCATTGCCGGAACGCACCTCCTGATCAGATTTGGGTTGCTCATACTGTTTAACCCCCTCTCCTCCCAAATTTTCAAACTCGCATCCGGACTTGTGAGTAATGAGCCAGAGCCAGCTGTGCAATGCAGTAGTCCGAGCAGAAAGGCGAATAGGCAGGCGTGCCTGGATAATAGAATCTGGTAGGCAGGCTTTCCTTCAACTTGCCATGTCTAGGTCAGCTCCAGCAACGCTGAAATCCTCGTGGTATTTTCATTGAGTAAGATGAAGTGGTTGTAGTGACTCTTCGTAGTAAACAAGTCGGAGAATCAGGGTTGCTTGCCGAATCTGTCGAGGAAGAAGTCACGGCATTCAGTGTCTGAATCTAGAATCCGAATAGGTACCTGGTCCTGTATCTCAGTTTACTTGATTGAGCCTGTAGATGTAGATAGCCATCTGTACCAATGAAGCTTCCAACAGGCCGAATGATCAAGATTTCAAGGATTGTCGCGATCGGTCCGGAACACTCGGGCCCGGCAAACCGGTCAACCCGTTGATGTGATGTGGAATGTGGGGCCGCTGTCCAACGGTTCGGCCACACTACGTCATCGATGAGTAGCTCTCTTTTGGATATCAGAAAGATGCCCTCAACCACAACTCATCAACGACGGACTGAACTTAAGACCCTAGATCGTATTCCTAACGCTCGGGCTTACCGGTTCTTTTGTGTCTGTGTCTCTGCAAGGGTCCATCAATCGCTTCCACTATTCTACGTTGACCGATCACCGACCACCACTTTAACCGACCTTATCTCTCTGAGTTAACATCTGTAATTACTTCTTCCGAGAACATCTCATTGTACAACTTCGACCATGCCTAACGGAGAGATCCCCATCTCGAACCCGCCGCCCCTCCCGTCACACCTCCCGGACAGTGTGCTAGAACTAGCCGTGCGGCCTCAGCAGAAACGGCTCCCCGACAATGTCCGGCAGTCCCTCCGCGGATTCCAGCGCGCCGCCGAGTACATTGCTGCGGGTAAGTCGTGGCTGCGTGCATAAAACTGATCCGTACAGTGGCTAATTGGTTTTGCCAGCAATGATATTCCTCTGCGACAATGTCCTGCTAGAGTCCGAACTGAAGCTGGACCATGTTAAGCCACGGCTACTGGGTATGTTTGTGATCCGCTTTTTGTATGGATAGTAGGGCGAGGTGCTAACTGCGGTATGAATAGGCCACTGGGGTACTTGTCCCGGTCTGATCTTGGTCTGGTCGCACCTCAACCTGCTGATCCGCAATCACGATCTCGATATGATCTATGTCATTGGCCCGGGTCATGGCGCGCCGGCGGCTCTGGCTTCGCTTTGGTTGGAGGGCTCACTGGAGAGGTTCTACCCCGGAGAGTATGCCCGGACTTCGGAAGGGCTGAGGAACCTCATCACGAGATTCTCGGTACCAGGAGGCTTTCCTAGGTCAGTTTTGACTCATTGCTGAGAAGATCGGGCCGGGGATTTCAGTTGATGCTAATGCGTGGCAGCCACATCAACGCCGAGACTCCCGGCTCAATCCACGAAGGCGGAGAACTGGGGTACGCGCTGGCCGTGTCATTTGGTGCTGTGATGGACAACCCGGATCTTATCGTGACTTGCATCGTGGGCGACGGTGAGGCTGAGACTGGTCCGACCGCGACGTGAGTTCACAGTCCTTCCTGCCAACAACACTTCATCAGTTATCTCACACCTGTCAGGGCCTGGCATGCCATCAAGTACCTCGATCCGCGTGAATCGGGCGCGGTGATTCCCATCTTGCACGCCAACGGATTCAAGATCAGCGAGCGAACCATCTTCGGCTGCATGGACGACAAGGAGATTGTCTCGCTGTTTAGCGGCTATGGTTACCAAGTTTGCATTGTCGAGGACCTGGACAACATCGACGACCAGTTGCAGAGTGCTCTTGAGTGGGCAGTGGCCGAGATCAAGAAGATCCAGCAGGCAGCGCGGTCGGGAAAGCCAATTGCCAAGCCGAGATGGCCGATGCTAGTGCTGCGGACGCCCAAGGTAAAACCATTTCCCCCATTTGTTGATGGCGGTGCGCGGTACTGACGGACCTAGGGATGGACGGGTCCCAAGGAAGTAGAGGGCAAGATCATCGAAGGGTCGTTCCACTCTCATCAAGTTCCCTTGCCCAAGGCCAACAGCGATGAAACGCAGCTTAATGCACTTAAAGACTGGCTTTCGAGCTACAGAATCAGTGAACTAATCAAAGACGGAAAGCCCGGCGAGACCATTCTCGACGTCATCCCGAGCAAGGATGAGAAGAAGCTCGGCCAGGTCAAGGCCACCTACGACCCGTACATTGGCCTAAAGGCGGTGGACTGGAGAGAATTCACAGTCGAGAAGGGGACCCAGCAGAGCTGCATGCAGGTGACGGGCACATTCCTCGACAAGGTGTTCCAGGAGAACCCCAAGACCATCCGGCTCTTCTCGCCGGACGAGCTGGAGAGCAACAAGCTGAACGCCGTGCTCGACCACACGCAGCGCAACTTCCAGTGGGACAAGTACTCCCGCGCCAACGGCGGGCGGGTGATCGAGGTGCTCTCCGAGCACAACTGCCAGGGCTTCCTGCAGGGCTACACCCTGACCGGCCGCACCGCGCTCTTCCCCAGCTACGAGTCGTTCCTGGGCATCGTGCACACCATGATGGTGCAGTACTCCAAGTTCGTCAAGATCGCCCGCCAGGTCAAGTGGCGCGGCGACCTGCCGTCCATCAACTACATCGAGACGAGCACCTGGGCGAGACAGGAGCACAACGGCTTCTCGCACCAGAACCCGTCATTTATCGGCGCAGTGTTAAACATCAAGCCCGAAGCCGCCAGGGTGAGTATTTTTGACACGCTTTCTTTTCCTCCCCCCACCTCAGTAGTACCCAGTCCCCTAACCCAAACACACTACTCATTTAGGTCTACCTCCCACCCGATGCGAACTGCTTCCTCTCGACGATGCACCACTGCCTGCAGTCGCGCAATAAGACCAACCTGGTCATTGGCTCCAAGCAGCCGACCGCCGTGTACCTCTCGGCCGAGGAAGCAGCCGAGCACTGCCGCCTGGGCGCCTCGATCTGGCACTTCGCCTCCTCCTCGTCGACCAAGGACGCCGAATCCACCAACCCGGACGTGGTCCTCACGGGGATCGGCGTCGAGGTCACCTTCGAGGTCGTCAAGGCCGCCGAGCTGCTGCGCGCCGTCTGCTCGGCCCTGCGCGTGCGCGTCGTCAATGTCACGGACCTGATGATCCTCGCGCCGGAGTCGAAGCACCCGCACGCGCTGAGCCGAGAGAAGTTTGTCGAGATGTTTACGGCTGACAGGCCCGTCTTGTTCAACTACCATGGCTATCCGACCGAGCTGCAGGGGCTGCTGTTTGGCCGGCCCGGGTTGGAGCGCATGCGTGTGGGCGGGTATATCGAGGAAGGGAGCACCACGACGCCGTTTGACATGATGTTGGTCAATAAGGTCAGCCGGTTTGATTTGGCGGACAAGGCTTTGAGAGAGGGCGCGGGAAGGAATGAGGAGGTAAAGAAAGGACTGGAAGGGTTGCTGAGGGAGGTGGAGAGGCGGAAGCAGGAGGTTAGGACGTTCATTACCCAGCATGGCAAGGGTGAGTTTCCTTTTTTTTTTCTTTCTTTTTTCCTTCCTTTTTTCTTATGAATGCGGAGTACGGCATTGGGCTAACTGATGAAACAGATCCTGATGACCTTTACGAGTTGCCCAAGTTTGACTAAGGGGGATGCTGCTTAGCAGGTGCGGTAGAAAAGCGAGTTATTTACATGAGTTAGGTAAGAGGTTTCAACAGGTCTTGGATCTGTAAGATTTCCCCGGGGATGAAGATCCCTCCGGACACCACGGTGACGGCCCTCGCGGCCTTGCTGTGGCTGAGACGATCGACGTTGCGTTGCATACATCCTGGCTTCCACATTCGGCTGCTTGCTTCGTGCCATATGCGGCCCCATCAGCCAAGACATGCAGTTGCTCCCCGGAATCAGTCTGCAGACCCGCGTGCCGCTCTTGGTTTCACTCAGCATGAGGGCGTTTTTGAGGTGCGTCTCGTGTCTCCCATCTTTGCCTGTTCGGATGGTTCAGAAAGCATCACCTAGCGCTGTTCATTGCTTACAGAATCTCATCAATCAACTTCGCACATACCTACCGTAGAGTGATAGTATGGACATACAGCATGTACAGTTGGGTACTTGGTGCATTTTACCAGTTGCATAGGCTGGCACTAGTAACCTTGCCGTTGCAGCGTCGCCAACGCCTCGGAGCAACTGCCGTCACCGCCCTTTTCCCTGCCGCGGGCCCGCCCCGCAAAGCTGGTCATGGAAAACGCATGCTTCCAGGTTGCTTGATTGGCGCAGCATCAAATTCACGAATGCTGCATGCCTCACTGCTCCGGCCCTGTCGGATGGTTAGCTGCCCCTTGCCATCGGGTTCGCCCGCACATCACGTACTACCTAGCAGGTCCCAGCATGGAACATGGGTTAGCATGAACTTAAATCCTCTTCCTTTTCTCCACGCCTGGTTCTGTTTGTTTGTCTTCAATCTTGATGCCTAGCAGCATGGAATGTGCGCAGCTATTTCCAATGTCGGCTGCAAGACCCAACCCAGTGCGACCTATATGGTTAGGGAAGCGAACATTCCAGTAACAGTTCGCCGTCCACCGAGACTCAAAGAAGGAAACGAGTTGCCAGAGTGTGTCACCAACGCTCGGACTGAAACCTGGAGACGGCCCGGCCTACAGAGGAAGACAGAAGAACCCAGCCTCCTTCAACAGCCCCTCTATGACATTGTCTTCGCACACCAGCGTTGAACTGTCCCCTCGTAAGAGGCAGTTCCTTTCGGAAGCGACTCGAGGCTTCCTTCACTCACTCGGAGTTGTTTCCGCTGCCAAGAAACAGCCGCTTTCCGTTTGGCACGCGAGATTTAACAGACAAATCTAGGCGTACACAGGCCTCAGAAAAAAGCAAGTGAAGGCGTCAGAAAGTAGAAGCCATTGAGAGCTTGAGCTCGGTAAAGCGCATGAAGGAAGAAATAGCGAGCCCAACAGGGCAGCAGGTCACGCAGTTCGAATTGGGTAACCCTCGCCGCAAGGGTCTGGGCTAGCTTTTGCCGGGTCGTTGGACACTGGCCAATCTGCGCTGCTGCCGGTCCGACACCCCCCCAGCAAGCAGACGCTCGCGGAGGCAGCCGCGGCGGCCCCGGAATGGGCGGATCGCTCGGTCCGGTGGAGCATCTCTGCCCCTGGCATCCCTGGTCCTGCTGACGAGCATTGGGTCACCCCGCGGAATCACGCTCATCAATGCACACCCCTCTCAACAAGAGGCGAAGCCGCGAAACACCACCATTCTTGCGTGCGATGGGTCCAATAGAGGCGTGAATGTCTTATACTAGTGTAGGTAGTCCCGGAGAACAGGTTCTTACCTACACTAATTGATATACCCAAAGTGCTGCACAAGATGACCCCACTGAACAGCAGTGAAATCAATCTGGCAGTGCACTAGATCCGGTGCCCGCTCGGACCTCGGATTGATGACAAAACATGTGGCTTTGGATACAAAATCCGCCAGTGACAAGTCTCAGATCATTGCGATCGCATCTCATATTTCCAATCCAGCCAAGCGAACGGGGACCGCCCGCCCAGCTGCCCACCATTGGGAGTTCGCTCTATGCAGGGCTCCCAACAGGGCAAATACGGGGGGTGAGCCCGGCCTGCAACACGCCCATCCCGGATACGGCGTAGCCTCGCTGGGGCTATCACACGCCGGCCCGAAATTCACCTGCAGACTCACGCTGGAGTCCACTCCGGGGCAAGCGTGAATGAACAGGGGGGGCGAATATCGCAGCCCCTATGTAGGTGTGCAGAGAATCTGCCCAGGAGGCCCAGTGAACTCTCGACACATGGAAATACAAGCGACGGCACCAGGGAGCGCATGCGTGTCATCGGCCACGGCTGCAAATTGGTTGACTGCTAATAAGGGAGCAGGGGATGGTCCGGTTTCCGCGGATGATTGACACAGCAGACGCGGGGGTTTGTCGAATTTGCTGATACCCTTTTCCCACCGGGGTTTAAAACCAGACCAAAGTCCAGCCCCGTCATCTCAAGGTCACCTTTTGTGTTCGCACCCACCTGACCCATCACTCAAAACGCAAGGCTTCCCGAGTCGACACGGAATCTCTACTATGAACTGTCTCCAATCGAGTACAACATCCATTGCGCGCTGGCATACCGCAGAACACGGCGAATCGGTTTCGAAGGTGCAACGCGAGATATCAGACTCTGGTCCGCCCTGAGAGTTGCTACCTTTGTCACTCCGCTTTGAACAGCTATCGGCTTTTAGGCGGAGGGGTGCCATCAGTCGAACTTCACCAGACGCGTGTTTGGCCCAAATCCATACCACGCGTGAGCTGCTGAGGAACCACTCAGGTGGTGGTACCGCCAGCGTACCATCCGGACTGCGCCAACTATTACCTGCCTGGGTATAAATACGTGTTGGGATCTCCGGGCTGGTACTAATAAGGCCTACTTACACACCACGCACTGGATTCCCGACCTGTGGCCTCAGCGCCTATTCAGACTTGAACGCCAAACAAAACATCTATTCCAGATTCCCAGTTGCCCCGTGGTCGGCCACTCATCTTACGCCATGAGCAGCCAATCCACTCTTGCAGGCACGCTGGAGGGGGCAGAGAAGACTCACCACCCGCAAGTTGTCTTCCCCGCCGGAAACCCGGACTTCCGGGCTGCGCGAAACCGGTGTGCTCGCGCATGCCGGGAATTTAATCAGACGCCCGACGATGCGGACCCGGAGGAGCGGGCCCAGAAGTGGCTCGAGTGAGTCGACGACCCCCTTTTGAGCCGGAACTGTACTTGCTGTGTACATAGCGGTGGACTAATTAATCTTCTGTGCCCCAGCATCGTGCGGCCTGACCGTGACCGCAGCGAGGACTGCCTGCTAGCGGTTACGCATGACCAGACCTTTACTAACCCGGCGCTGAAGGCCAAGACGCCGTTTGTCAAGCCGCCCGTGTACATCGACTACGGCATCCGGCTGCACGTGGGCGGTTCCACCTTCATCAACCGGAACTGCGTGATCATGGACACGCCCGTGGCCGACGTGGTGATCGGCGAGGGTTGCAATATTGGCACCAACTGTAGCATCGTCGGCGTTACTCGTAAGTGTCTTCTCCCTCCACCCACCCAACTGCAACTGCAAGGAATCGATGGACGGCTAAATATGGCAAAACCCAACCAAAGATCCCCTGCGGCTCGACGAGCGCCTCCAGAGGCACAGCATCGGCCAGCCAGTCACAATCGGCAACAACGTCTGGATCGGAGCCAACGTCACCATCTTGTAAGTCCCCGTTCTTTCCCGCGTACCACCCATGTGATGCTCTCCTTTCTGCAGCCCTCGTACCATATCTCACTTATCTTCTATGTCGATCCTATGTATTTGCCCCCCCCCCTCTACTATTCCTTACCACTAATCCCGTTTGAATATGTCGTTGGTCCATACCTACCCTACCAAGTGCAGTGTTACGCAGCACAGCAGCTAAGCACCACATACCGTGTCACACACCCCCACCTCCATTCCCTCACCCGTCCTTTTTTTCTCCCCGGCAACCCTCGCATAGTAGTAGTAACTAGGAGTATTAACGCATGATCCCCTTCCTCTCTCCCCTACAGCGGCGGCGTCACAATCGGCGACGGCGCCGTGATAGGCGCCTGCAGCCTGGTCAACCGCGACGTGCCGCCCATGAGCGTGGCGTTCGGATCGCCCGCCCGCGTGGTCAAGTACCTGCGCGACGTCAAGCCCACCACCGCCAGCACATCATGGTCGCCCGCGGCGGGGAGCATGGAGGAGGCGCTGGGGCTGCGGAATCGGTTGCCCATGCGGCGGCACGAGAGCCTTTTTGATGAGGATAATCAGAGTGAGGGTGGTGGTGGTGGTGGTGGTGATGGTGATGATGATCGAGATGGGTTAAGTGGAGAGGGAGGATCGAACGGGCATGGTGATGATGATGATGATGAGAATGAGGGGTTCGACGACATGCGTGGGGAGCAGCAGAGGCCGTCCGCGATGATGATGCTGATGAGGGCCAGGATGAGTACCGCGCCGCGGGAGAGGAGGCTGGCGGAGCGGTTGGAGCTGGGCCGTGAGGAGGAGTTGAGGGAATTATTGCTGCGGGAACGGAGGCAGAAGGAGAGGATGCGGCGGTTTGAGGTGGAGGCTATTGCTGTTGTGACGGTCGCTGTCACCTTGTTGATGGCCTTCTTCTTTACGGGGGTGTGGTTTGGTGCGAGCCGGGTTTCGCTTATGGGTGCTTAGTGGATTTGGGCGATCCTGGGCTGGGCTGGGCTTGGGGGGTAGGCGTTTCTGGTCTGTGTTATGGCTGGGGGACAGTTTCTGGGTTGAATTTCGCATTGGCTGGGGGGGTTGATGGGGAACGGAAAGGGGGAATAAGGGACATCAAAGACGCATTGCTTTCAGGACGGTGAGACTGGGTTTGGGTTCATGGGTGTCTTGCAACCACAGCTGGCTGTGGAAGGAAGGGGAAGAGGGCGGGACCGCTTACATAGATGGGATATATATCCTATCTTGCCTAATCACTATTATTTTTCCCCTATATTACTGTGCACTTATATTGAAGGAAGGTCTGCTCTCTATTTTCAATGGTAGATTTACTGCTAATCCTATAGTTCCCTAGTAGGAGAGGATTATTTTACCAATCCTGACAAAATCACATTCAGCCTGAACCAGACCGTATCTCGACTCTTGCTGAGTCGAAGCCTCATCTTCTCAAACGTAGCGTAAACAATATGCACTACTAAGCAGCCCGCCCCCAGATACTGTCTTTGCTACCCTCCAACTTCGTGTGGTACTAGTATCTCGGCACGTCGACATCTAGTACTTACTTAAGGTAGTTGTTAACCATATTGGATCACCCAGGTTTGTAGGACGATTTCGGTAAAGAGCAACCGGTCTGGTCAGGTTGAGTTGAGATGCCTAGTTCCACACTCAGCCACAACCGTGAGCATTCTGTCCCTCCAACGGTCGTGGCAGAGCGACGGAGACTCACAATAGAGCACATCTGACCCTTGCGGTGCCTTAGTCTAGAGCCTTACCGGTTCCCCCTCTCTCCCCTGTGCATTCCCCTGTATGGCCCTTCCATTTCAGCCAGCACCCATCAGTCCATTCGGACAATCTGACGTCCCACCTAATCGGCATGCTACGGGAATCCCGCTCAACCGCAACGAATCGCTCGACCTGGAAGCTTCCTTGCAGGAAACTGACATGCCGGTGGCATCCTATAGAACCATTCGTCCATGAGATGAATCCGATTCTGCAAGCGTCCGAGGAACGGCATATGGACGGCCCTGCCTTACATTGAGATCTGCTTCGACGCCGGTTCCAAGTTCCTACGCTGTGTCGTGCTCGAGATTTGGCTGGTACTAAAATGGGAAATAGGAGCGGACTTTGACATATACCAAATGACATCACCGCCTATATTATGGAAGACTTGGTGTTAAACTTGACGTAGGCTTTGCCATACCTAAGCTGGACATTTTCGGAGCTCGAGGCCTGGATCTGGGACTGCTTGCCCCCTAGCCCTTGATCATGCATGTGCTAAGGGAGGTGGAGGAGGGCATGGCTACCGAGGTAATATGGGGTCGTGAGCAAAACGCCGAGAGCGGAGGACGGCGGCACTTCATAATGGCTCATACATACTAGTAATCCTTCCGACTTTCAAATCATCATCGATCAGGGTCCCTCTGCCAAGATTTGTGATGGAGCAAAAATCCGCAAAATGAAAAAAAAAAACATACAACACCGAGGATTCCCCAGTGGTCACCCACCTGAGTACTGGTTCGGCCCTTGGTAGCTTGACTAAGGGAGAGCGGACGGGATCCCGTATTTTCTACCAGGTATGGTCGTATGTGCTAATCGGGTCAGAAACAAGGCATTATATTCGGGGAGTGCAAGATCACAGCAGATTTGGGGGGCTGCCAACATAGGAAGTTTTGCATATTGTGTAATTACTACCAAAAATGCGGCGCTGTGACGCGGGGAGATATGAGTACTACGATTGTGAGTACGACCAACACTACTCCTTGGGCTTTCCAAAAGCGGCAATTGCAGCCATCCGTCAAACGGTGGAATCCTCTGGGAGTCGAGCCGTAGGTGCGGTTGGAGAGCTCTGGCCAAGCCATACTATATGTGATGGCTAATAAGAACGCTAGCCAAGTCGTACTACCCGAGGTAGCGTATGGCTTGGGATCTCGGACCGTGACCCAAGCAAAAAGGAGGTCGCTAGTAAGCAAAGCATTGCTAGGGTTGTGGTTATCGGCTGAGTGCGACGAGCGACACTACAACGATGGTAAGAGTCAGACTTGTTAAGTCTGTGTGAAGTGACAGGGAGATGAACCGGACTGGAAATGGCCGGCCAGACGGGACAACAGTTGATATATGGGAACGAGCGGGCTTGGTTGCGGCAGGGGAGGTTGTTGGTAGATGTCTAAGATGTCAGAGTACTAGTCTCTCCGAAGATATCGGGAAAGCCTGCTCAGTACAGAGGGTACCGGCGCCCGGGCCGATCACGGGGCCTTTCTGACTAAGATATTGATATCCAACTGTATGGTAGAGGTCTAATCTAACGTCTAAATGCCCGAATCCTCTATTGTACCCGGTTCAAACACGCTCCCCCATCTCCAACCCGGCCTCGTCGCTCTCCGTCTGCGGGCGCTTCTCCTCCTCCTCCTGCTCCCCAGCCGCCCGCCGGAACGAGTGCGACATCTGCGGGAAGAAGATGCCCGGCGCGAACACGGCCAGCAGCAGGCAGGCGATGAGCACCATGAACGACTCGAGCACGACAAACGACGGCTCGTCCTGCATGATGTGGTTGCCCCAGCCGCCGGCCATCTCGGCGATACGGTAGATGCAGCGGATCAGCAGCGCGACGTAGGCCAGCGCCATGGCCCAGAGGAACGCGCGGAACTTCTTGTCCGCCCACAGCGCCGCGCCGGCCTGGTGCTCGGGCGCCACGTTGTTGTTGCCGCCACCACTGCCGCGGAAATACCGCCCCACGCGCACCAGGTAGTCGGCGGCCATGGCGCCAAAGAAGCCCAGCACGACGACCTGCAGCACGATGCCGGCCATGATGGTCCGGTTGCCGTGCTGCAGCAGCGCGTAGTTGTCGCCGCCGGCCGAGGCCGCGATGCCCCCGCCGATGGCCTGGATGACGAGGCAGGAGACGTCGGCGGGCACGAAGAAGAGCGGGTAGACGCGCGGCTTGACGCGGCTGAGCGACCGGTTGAGCGCGTTGACGGCGTGCTTGAGCGTCAGGTACAGGCCGATGCACACCAGCGTCGGGCCGAGGATAATGGCCACGATCTGCATCCTGAAGGCCCCGTCATTCCACGGGTTCGTGGCGAGCAGTGTGCGGCCGACATAGCCTTTTTTAAAAAAAAATCATTCGCGTTAGTGTGTGTGTGTGTGGCATAAGGGAAAGGTGGTTGTGCATGGAGGGATGTGTATGCACATACCGACACACTCAAGAATGGTTCCCGCCACGATGGCGATGGTGAAGCCCCATGTCCGTTTCCATACGCCTAGCGAGAGAGCGATGAGCGCCGCCAAGCCGAAGCCGATGGTGAAGAAGATGTTGAGGCCTTCGTTGGGGTAGTAGCCGAGCGTCGTGGCCTTGACGGGGCAGATCGGCGACACCTCGTGGCAGACGGCGTATGAGGGCCGGTACCCCTTGGGCAGCGAATTCGTCGACATGGCGCCTGTGGTAAGGTACTAAAGCAAAACTGCTGACGGCCGGCGGGGCGGGGCGATTTTGTAACCTCGATCAAGCTGGCAGCCCGGGACTTCGGACGTGTGGACCAGAGGGGACCGGTTCGGTCCGATCAGATAAAGACGACAATAAAGGCCGGGGAAACTCGATCCGAGGTCTGCGGAGAAAAGAATAACGAGAGACTAGAGTTAGTTTGCAGAAAGGTCAGAACACAGCATATGAGGGCGAAGAGGATGACGCCCTCTCTTTTCTACGGAGCCCTCGGCTACGGATGGATCGGGCAGTGCACTTTGTTAGGCACACTTGGCGGATGCAGCGTTGCATCGATGTGAGATTCATCCTCCTCGCTCCTTTGCGTCATCTGCAAGCCTTGCCCGATAATGCGTCTCTGCATGGTTCTCTGCATGGGCTCGGCGTGAAATCTGAGCCATTGGGGGCTGCGTGTGAGAGATGGGTGGGACGGTCATATCTCCGAGAGGCGTGGTGAAATCCAGGGACTCGGGACTCGGTATGGTTACGGTGGGTACGCGAGTGCGACTGGAAACACACCCGAGGGTGAAGTTTTCTCAAAGTTCCGGTGTCTGATTTGTCGGTGTTTGCGAAACCGAGCAAAATACGATTGGGACGGCGCCCTGGGGTGAGCCAAGATTTCCGGCGGAGCTTTTCTCGAAGCTCTGGTCCCCGTGTTCAGTAGGCATCCCATTCCGTACAACCCCCACCACTTCGCTTTCGCTCTTTACTGCTGAATTTCTAATTCCTCTCAATGTGCCTCAATACCGACTTTAAGCCCCCAACCATCTTACTTACGGGCATAAGACACACGGGGCAGTAAGCCAGCTCTTCACGCAGAGCAACACATCGTTGCGCAGGTCTGCCCTACCGCGAGCCGCGAGGGTGGGTTAGCTTTTATGGCATTGCAAGGTGGGGATTCAAGATCTTTGTCGGTGGACCATTTGATTTCACACGTTTTCCGGTTCCTGGTTCCGGCCCACTGACAAGCCGAATCGAAACCGTCCCCAGATTGCAGACCGCCTCTGGGATGTCAGCGTGGTCCATTCGTTCTGTTCCCCTGCCGCTCCCTCTGTTTATTGTAGGTACATGTACAATACAAACATACCTGGATTTTCAATCCGTGCTGAACCCATCGAGCTCTGGTTGATAGCGAGTAGATTGTAGGGTGGCATCTCCAAGACTCCAAGGACTACCTACGGTGCCCAGGTAGTATTCAGGAAACGTGGAGGCAGAAACCCAAGCTGCAATAGATGGATGCGAAGTGCAGCTAAGTTGAATAGAGCTATCAGTTAGGGGATCACGGACCCAAACATACGGCCTTGGCTAACGGTGACACTGACAGTGACGATCTGATTCCTGTCGCCTTACCCGCGATTCGAACCGTTGCTAGCCCTCGGTTTCGGGACAGCACCAGCCAATCATCGTACAATCCATGCCGCAGCGCATCTCGATGTCGGATCGGGCTGAAGCAACGGCTCCGGCAACTTCCGTCCTTCCGATCGACACCACGGAGCCCCCGCCGCCGAGCCCCGCTTCCGTGGCATCGTCCCCTGCGAGCGGGTTGCCGACGCCTTCCACAGACTCCATACAACGCGCCCCATGGCCGGCCGGTGGCGGTCGACGGACCCACAAGAAGAGCCGCACAGGCTGCTCGACTTGCAAGGCGAGGAAAATCAAGGTGGGTTTGGAATGTCTCATACCGTTCGGTGTCTGTAACCAAGCGCAGCTAACCAAGGCCCAGTGCGACGAGAGACGGCCAGCCTGTCTCAACTGCATATCCCATGGCGTAGAGTGCCCCTTCCTCAGGGGACGCAGCGCCGCCGCAACCAACCCGCGGACATCATCCACAGCCAACTCACACTCCTCAGCGTCTCCCGCCAACCCGCCCTCCCCCTACGCTGGCGCGGTCTCGGAAGCGGAAGGCGGCGGGGAACAGCTGCCGCTCCTCGAACTCGAGCTGCTCCACAACTTCACCACCAAGACGTACTCCACGCTCACCGCCGACGCCAGCCTGTGGGAGTTCTGGCGCGATGACGTGGTCCAGCTGGGCCTGACGTGCGACTACATCATGCGCGCCGTGCTGGCCGTCAGCGCGCTGCACCTGGCCTACCACCGGCCCGACCGCCGCAACTTCTACACCGAGTCGGGCATCCTGCTGCACCAGAAGGCCGCCCGCTCGGCGATGCGCGTCATGGCCGCCGAGCACGAGATCGACAAGGACACCGCCGCCAGCCTGTTCATCTTTAGCATGCTGACCATCTTCTTCGGTACATTCTATCCTTTTCCCCTCCTTGTTGCGTTTTCGTTCCGCACAGCGGCTCTAATAACAACCCCTCTCTCCCCAATCAGCGTTAGCATCCCCGCGCCGCTCCAACCCAGACGGCACCTTCTTCATAGGCAGCAGTAGCAGCAGCAGTCTTAGTAGTAGCAGCAACAGCGAGCTCGGACGGTTCCCGGACTGGGCCTTCCTGGTGTCGGGCGGCAAATCCATCATGGACGTGCTCGGCGAGCGCGGGCTGGACACCGTCGCCGCGCCGTTCCTGCACTACGGCCGCGCGCGCTGGCACGCCCACCGCGCCAAGCTGCACGAGCACTCCTCCAACGAGCCGCTGCTGGCCCCGCTGCGCGCGCGCATTTTCGCCACCACCACCACCGGCGGCGGCCGGCGCGCGGCGGGGGCCGATGAGGAGTCGACGGAGCTGCTGCACACCTACGCGCACGCGCTCGACGAGCTGGAGCTGGCGCTCGTGGTCAGCCGGGACCCGGCCACCCCGAGGGACGTGCTGGACGCCATGGTGTGGCTGTGGGAGGTGTCGGACTCGCTAGTGCCGCTGCTGCGGGGCACCGAGCCGAGGCAGGAGGCCGTGGCCATCTTTGCCCACTTCTGTGTGCTGCTGAAACAGCACGAAGCGCACTGGTGGCTGCAGGGGTGGGGAGAGCACGTCATGGTGCGGGCGCTTGAGGTGTTGGATGAGGAGCACAAGGGTTGGATCGAGTGGCCCATGAGGGAGATGGGGTGGATGGGCGGTGGTGGAGGAGAGGGGGCCGGTAGTGGCGGGGAGGTGAATTACTACGCTAGCAGCAGATGATGGATAGAATAGAGAGTATTTCCCCTATTCACGTTTAGAGTCGGCACAATAGCAAAGTCGGCTCTGCCGTTGGAGACAAAGACGTTGTTGGTAGTTTATGGATGGTCTAGTAGAGGCTGCAGCTTGTTGGGAAATGTCGAGACACAATACATGGGTCCTATGTGCAGGGTCGGCAACTCAAAGTTTCATCGGTGTCTTCATGGTCCGCTGTGGGATACGGACTCTGGGAATTCTTGTTTTGGAGAAAAGCCATTCACCCACCTACTAGGCCTGGAGACGTGTGACAGGGAAGGAACTCGAGGTAGGGAAAGCGAACCTTAAGGTTCGGTATTCTAATCGGCGCGGGGTGGATAACGAGAGTATCAGAGCTTCGTTCGCCTGCCATATTTTGGCTGACAGACCAGAGTATCACACAGGCTGACTTCACTCGGCTTGGGGCTGGCCTACTTACCAGGTGGATCTGAACACCCTCGTCGACATCTCGCTGATGGCACTCTCCTTCTTTCTTTCCCAAGTTGGTTGATGGGATGTTCGAGCGCTCCCAAACCGTGTCAGTGCCTGAGGATCCATGGTAGAGTTTTGTTACTGTTACTGCGAGGGGCTGTTGTGCAGCCTTGCTGCAAGCAGAAATACGAGGACGCACACCTAATCACTCCCCCCCACAGACACCACCGGGTTGGATTCTCGGCCCCGAGTCTCAAAACCTTGCGCTTGACTGGGAAATCACTCGAGACGCGCAAGCTCATGCTCGGACAATTCGCCACTTTGGCGACATTCGGTGATTCACACTGCCATATTCTGGATCCATGATCCATCACTATGACCAGCACAGTGTCTAGACGTAGACTAGAGAGACTAGGACAAAGCGCAACTCAAAACGCTGACCGAAGCAAGATGGGGGCCCCCACGGCTAGGGCCAGCAGGCTTCTCTATGGGTCGATGGCATGGAAGTGGAAGGGCAAGGAGCGGGGAATCCTGACTCCCTTGCGTCAGCAGTGCACGCTTGGACTACATGTACCAGCAGCTTGTGACAAGTTTTTTATGTGAGTACGTGTCGTAGATGGAGTACGTGTCATAGATATGGATGGAAAGACTTGCAGAGAAGGGCACGAGAGGACGGGAGAAAAGGCGGTCACCCGGGTTGCCCTTGTCAGAGAGATGTTGCTGAATCTAGACCATCGCAGATGTATCAAGATGCGTTGTTGCAGGACTGCCTAGCCATGCGGCTTTTGACACGAGCTTTGGATAGGTAAATGGCTGCGTTCCAGAATTACTTGATGTGATGACAACACCGAGGAGTTGCCCATTTAAGCAAAACGGAAACCGTGATAGTAGCGCTCGGTTATCAACGTCACAACACAATCAACGCATGTAGTCTACGCCCACTGACTTGATTGTAGTCGATGGCCTTTCGTCGGATTTGACTACGACATACAAGGAACCGTGCTTACCGGACGTGTTGAAAGGGGAGGGTGCGGTGCTGGAAGTAGTATTCCTACCTAAGTATCGACTATCAAGTACTCTCGGGCGTTGATATCAGGCTCGGTCGGGCGTGGAGACTCTGGACATTATTTAATAAATAAATACCTATTTATCAGCGTCCTTGGCCGTTAGCTTGAACGACACCCTAAAGTGATACACAGAGTCCGTCCACAAGGTTCAATCGGAACACAGCTTGGCTTGGGTTCCTCATCTCGCCACGTCGTGGGTTATTTTCGGTTCCCCGTTTGTGCGCCCCCCGCAACGAGGCGGATCCATCACCTGCGTCACGATTACCGTACACTGCAAGTGCGTCGCTCATTCAAGGAGCGAAAAGAACCCCGTACCAGATGCCCTGTGTATTGCCTTACGTTTCGTCGGCTCTATAACGAAAGCGTCTCAGTTTGACATATTCTATCCGAGCAAAAGGCCTGGACAGATCCTGACTTCGTGTGTGTGGGTACTGGGTTTCGTGTCTCACTTATTCTGCCCAAGGCGGTTGAGAGACTTTCCCTCCTCTACACTAGGGCAAGCCCCACTGTTGCATTCGCTCGGCAAGTGGGGCCAGCCGCCATGGTGACGTAGGTAATGTATATCTGCTTTGCACAGGTTGCCATAGCGCATACGGATATCGATGCAGCAGTTGATGCAGACAAGGCAGGCTGCAGATAAAGTGCCGAGCGATTATGAGCCTTACCACCGTGTTATCCAATTTTCTTCGAGGTGGTTTAAGAGAAACCTATGGTGTAGTTAACAATCTCCCCGGAAATGCTTACACGTTGGGTACCTATAGTATTGTACCTGACCAGTGTCAGGAACCAAAGGCGGAGAGTACCTGAGGACGGGATTGGCGTCGCATCTGCAGGACAAAGGAAGGGGCAAGAGCACCGGACGTGCATGACTCGGGGCAATGGATGTGCAAGCCGATAGCTTTTAGCTGCTAGCTTCAGTTAGTACTTACCTACCTTAGTACGGAGTCCTCGACTCGAACAGCCATGCCGGCAAAGCTCGGGCGTTAACTCAATCAAACCTCTAGACGGAACATTGCTCCCATCGTCTGGGCGCATAAAATCGCGAGTCATCAGAAAGAGAAGGAAGGTGGTTAGGCTCTTGATTTCTCGATTGCTGGCGCTAACTCATGGAGTACGGGTGACCCGACCCTCGAGAAACGGGAGAAAGCTGAGCTAGGCCACCTTCGGCAGCTTCACACGACTTGTGTAAGGTACGGAGTAGTTGCCCCTCATTCCGTGTCAACTGGACGTAACGCAGCCGGCCCTCACCAGTCTTGATCAAGCGATGAATTCGAGGAGAAATCCACATTTCCGTGGTTTGCAGGAATGATGCCGCTCGGGTCCTGTCACTTGCCTCTTCTTGGAAACCTCTGACGCCCCTCTGTACACAGTCCATATGTACACCGGACTAGGGTTGGCGGAGTGCCAAGACCGAGACCGCGGTGATCCCTGGACGCGACTTGACACCACCTCTCGAGGGGGGGCTGGTCGACCTTCTTCCTGACATCGTAGGCCCTCATCCTGACGCTAGAGCGACATGGTGTGCAACTCGGAGGCCATCGCATGGGTGGCAAGGCGCTGGGCCAACCTCCCACACCAAGCGGGAGTCCGGCGACGGTGGTTGGTGCTGCGGGCCCAGCGCTTTGCCGCAAGGGGGCGAGCAGCGGCGGGCAGAGCAAGCCAGGGAGCCACAACTGAGCACGATGAGGTATCGATGAGGTATGTATTCCTGTGGGCATTGTAATTTGATACTGTAGGTACACGTCAAATAGCTTCAGAGAAAGTTGGGTGGTCTGAACTTTTCCACCATTGAAGCTCTAGTGTGAGTGGATGGTGGCTCGATGCAGTCGCAGCCCGTGCGCAAGTGCAGTCATACAAAAAGCCCCCTTGGCACCACCCCCTGGTTCCTGCAGAGAACCGAGGAACATCCATCTCTCCATCCCGCATTTTCTTCTGGCTGGACCTGCTTTTTGTTCCTTACCCTGCCCGTATATACGGCTTTCCCAGCTGCGGCACTCTCCGGGGATTTTATTTTGTCTTGGCTGCAATCGGCCTGACTCCCTTTCAGCCTGAGCTGTGCCGTTCTCAAATCCCCACCGTGGACCCGGATGCGCTGGAAGCACCCAAGTAGCACCCGCTCCATCCCGCACCGTATCTTTTCTCGACAAACAACCTGGAAAATACGACATCCATCTCACGAACATTTTCCAGGCCGATCATCGCGCAACTGCTTCTCAACTGCCACGTTCCCGAGTGAGCAGTTCCAGCGGTTGGACCCGGATCCGATCCCTTTTCTGATCCCACGCACGCATCGCCCCGCTGGCGCCTCCGTTTCTTGCGTCGGCCCGTCGGCGCAATCACCTGGGCATTCCCAAACCGCTTCCCCCGCACTTACCCCTGCGGCGGGCTTAGTCGTCTCAGCCTCGCCGGGCTGTCGACACTTCATCTCGCCGTCGTCCAGGGCCTAGCGGCCACCCCTTCCGACCGAAACGTCTGTGACATCGTAGACCTTAACCATGGCTCCAGCATTTCGGCCCGTCAATATCCCGCGGGAAGACTCGGCCACAGAAGCTACTTCAAGCTCACCACCGAGAACACCGCGACCAACGACCGCCCCCGCCCAGTCAACAAGACCACTTGAGGACGCCACGACGCCAACTCGAGACAGTTTTGCGACCAGCGCGTTGGCGTCCCAGAGGCCACTTCCAGTCTCGGGACCTCCCGACTCGGTGCAGATACCCGAACTAAGACCGCCCAGAACGACTGTCGACTCCCGACAGGCGGGACAATCCGGGGATTCGCAGGATGGTGGTGACGATATGTCAGATGACGAAGGCAGCGCGAAAGTGGGCGGAACCAAGAACAGAAAGAAGAACCCGTCAAGGTTTCCCTGCAAGGGCTATCCCCCGTGCACCCTGAGCTTCACCAGGAGCGAACACCTGGCTCGTCATATCAGGTAATGTGCAAAGGGCTCATGAACTTTGTGTGATGGGTCGCTGACGGTGTTGGTTCCTTAGAAAGCATACCGGGGAACGGCCTTTTGCGTGCGGCTGCGGGAAGCGCTTTTCGAGGTACGACAACCTCCGGCAGCACTCGGCTACCGTACACCACAGGGAGGATATTCCGCCCGAGTCTCTTGCGGCTACAGGAGCACGTTTCCAAAGGCAGCACAGGACGGACAGGATACGCCCCACCAGCAGCCGATCCAGAGCGTCACCAGGCGACAGCATTCGATCTGGGGGCCGTGGTCACGCAAAGAGTTTCTCCATGTCGTCCATGTCGAGTATCGCAAGCGCGAGCTCGCTGGGTTCTACGTATCCCGTAGACGAGGCTCGCCCCAGGCCGCCGCCGCTCGTGATGGCGGATGAGCGGCCGAGGTATCCGGGGGGCGAGCCATACTACAATCTTGAAGGGCAATATTACTTGCCACCTTCGCCGAGTGATTTCAGCACCCCAACCTCGGCAACGTTCTCTCACGGCCAGAGCAGCCCTCATTGGGGCCCCGCTTATTCTGGCCCTTCTCATGCTAGATCTAACAGCATGTACGCTGGCTCCAGGACACCCGGCCGCCGCTTGAGCGTGCCATCCGGGGCCAACCCTTTCCAATCGCCGCATGGCGTAACCTTCGGAGGGCCCTTACCCGGGCCGTCCGGGTTGAACGCGTCCTCGGCCGGAGATGAGGCATGGCGCAGACGCACGTGGCATCCCGACACGGATGGTGGTTACTACGGGCCGCCAAGCAGACCCCCGTCACAGACGGTACGTCTTCCAGGCATAGAGACGTTCGACCGGATCGTGAGGGAGAATGAAACCGCACCCTCAATGAATTCTGTCCTGCAGTTCACCGACTCGGATCACTGGGATCGACGTGAGGACCCAATCAGGCCCGCAATCAATAACACCCCACCGAGGGACAGCGCTTGGGCATGGGCAAACGAAGCCAACCAGGCCCTCCTTGCTCAGGCTGAGCAGGCTCGGGTCGGATTCGAGCCTGAGACGCATACCGCGCCGAGAGGAGCACTTCCTCTATTATCGAGGCCAGCGTACCTTCCTCTCGAGCCTAGGCCTCTGCCTCGACATCAACATACCCTGTCAGCGCCTTTGGCCAGCACTACACGGCCACCTAGTCACTTCGGATGGCACAATGGGCGATCTACTTTTACCCCGCCTGAAGACACCAACCACTATCCGCAGCGGCGAAACGTCATTGACCGCATTCTCCACCCGAACATGGGATCCTTCCAAGGATTTCCGGCTCGCGAGCAGCAAGCTGCTATGCACCAGCAGCCTGAACCTGGCAGGGCGCGGATGGAGCGGATCCCCGAGCGGCCGCCGAACCCGGGAGCAAACAGGGAGTTCCTGCGTGGACTGGACGCGCTCGTAGCCGTTGCGACCAACGAAGCGTCTCAGCAGCAGCAGCGCTTTAGGGGTGAACCCGGGCAACAATACGAAGAAGGAGTAGGAACCAATTAGGTATTCTTCTTCCTTTCTTGGTCATCTTTTCTTGGTCATCTTTTCTTGGTCATCTTTTCTTCTGCATCTCCTGTTGCGAGTCTCCTAATGTATGGGTGGGCACGGTTGCTTGGAGTTGAAGCTAAATTGGTCCTGCGTTGGTTTTGCTTTTACCTGGGGCGCCATCGGAATCGGAGAAAAAAAAAAAGGAGTGACGACCATCTTGTCTTGCTTTTACGAACTACGAAACGACCAAGGGAACTACTAGGTCACGGTGGAATACCCAACTCAACTCGGACGGGCGGCATCTGTGGATTTCAGATCATGGCAGGAAACGGTGGCTTAGGTTGCATTTCAGCGGGGTTCATTCACGACTTGTTGGGGACGATATGGTGCATGGCGAGATATGATGATACCCCCTTGAGAACAAGAACATGGGTAGTATGATATTTTATTTCCTTTTTCTTTTTGTTTTCCTGTTTCTTTTCTTTTCTTTTCTTTTCTTTTTTTTTGGGTGGGGGGAAGGGGGGCTTCTTGCTTCTGCCCGATTCCATCACTTCGGGATGGAGGAGGGGATTCGGAGGATGGTGGTAGATGTTGTGTACCGGGTCGGTGACACCGAGAGCAAGGTTGTTTATGTCGCGGGTGATGTCGTTTCTTTCGTATGGGGATGTTGCAGATGTTGTGGAGGGGGTCTATGTGGAAGGTTCTTTGGAGGGAGGTGTGGAGTAGTTTCTTTGGAGGGAGGTTGCTAATATGAAGTATGGTGTATTTGCTTGCGCCTAGCTTAGTATGGATTAATATTGATTGTATGCTTATTATGCACGACCTCGAGGATGTGTGGTTGGATCGGGTAAGCGTAGTGTAAGGTAGTACTGATACGTCCCGGCTAGTTGTCCGCTCAAGATGTGGTGGAGTGAGGGGAGGAAGATCACGAGCATCGACTAGGACGTCCCAACATGGCTACTAGCATTTTTTCTTAATGCTTAAGCCACCTTGTAATGCTGCGTAAAGTCATAGCGCACTTCCATGGGCGCCAGCAGCAGCTCCTTCAGGAAGGCCTCGTCGGTCTCGCCCTTCTTGAGCAGCTGCATGAACTCATCCCTCTCCAACCTCGTGGCGGGGTCCCTGTCGGACACGCGCCGGAAGTTCTCCTGCGAGATGGGGTCGATGATGGTCCGCCACTTCTCGATGCGCTTCTCCGAGTACAGGTCCAGGATCGACTCGTCCGCCCGGCCGTCCCAGATGCCGGCCAGGCAGTCATATAGCCCGCCGACGTCGACGAAGCCGCCCGTGATGCCCAGCCCGCCCCAGGGGTTACACAGGTGGGCCGCGTCGGCGGCGAGCAGCACGCGCCCGACGCGGAATTGGGGCGCGCACCGCTGGTGCATCTTGTACGGCGAGAAGTTGACCATCTTGTAGGCGTCCGGCTTAGGGTGGCCCGGCAGGATGGTCTCGAACTTCCACGGCTGCCGAGCCAGGTACTCGTCGCGCGACAGCCCGGGCGTCTCGCCGTAGGTGATGCGGTAGAGCCCGTCGCGCGTGATCCGGGCGGCCATCTGTTTTTTCATCAAGTCAAGTCAGCCAGAAGAAGTGTTAAGCCGAAGCTAGTTTCTTTGTTTCTTTCTTTTGTTTGTTTGCGATGAGGAGGTGATGGAACGAAAGCTCAGGGGGTGGGGATGTCTTACAAAGAAATGCTCCGGGTGGATGATGAAGTTAGCGTCGTGCCAGCCGAACTTCTCCTCGAACGGGTAGTATGTCTGTCCCAGATTGCCATGCCGTGGCCTGTGTCAGCGCGCGTGCCCCCTTTCTGATCTCTTCTTCCTTGCAACCTGCTCGCCAAACTCCAGATGAGAGAGCTAGAGAGGGATGGGAGTATAAGGAAAGACTCACATTCGTAGCGATAATCTGCGCATCCCACGTGAAACCAGGGAACTCATCCCCAAACAGGCTCCTTCTGACGATGCTATTCGCCCCGTCGCAGCCGACCACATAATCTCCCCTGACCACGACCACCTTCTTCTTCTTCTTCTTCTTCTCCTCCTCCCCTTCATTTTCTCCTCCGTCCGCGCCAACCTCGACCTCGCACCACGCCCCTTCCGCGTCCTGCCCCACACGCACCACCTTATGCTCCCACGAGACGGTCCCGCCGTACCTGCGCGTCACCTCGTCCAGCATCAGCTGGTCCAGGTCCTGCAGCGCGAGGCAGTGGGTGCGGACGTCCATGCCGTCGACGTCGCGCAGCGCGTCGTGCGCGTTGAAGCCGGCGACGTAGCGGTGGCCGGCCGCCGCGTCGCGCCGCCAGCACATGGTGTTCAACACCATGCCGCGCGCGCGGATCGCGTCGGCGATGCCCGCCCGCACAAACTCCGGGATCGCCGGCGGGCCGTAGTGCGCCGCCCGCGGCTGGTTGTCCAGCTGCGACGCCGCTTCCAGGATCTGCACCGGGATGCCGTGCTTGGAGAGCAGCAGCGCGAGGAGCAGGCCGGAGGGGCCGGCGCCTACTATTATGATCTACTTATCATAATGGGTGGTTAGTGGGCGTGGAACGAAAAGAATGGGTGGGGAGGAAGGACGGTGAATAGTAAATACTGACTTTGGAAAAGGGGCGTTTAGTAGGTGGTGAAGCGTCCATCTTCTTGGCTCTGTTGTTGGCGACGTCGTCCTCCTGGGCGTTTGGTGCGAGTAGCTGACGGGAAAGGGAGGCGAGACGTTCTCGTGGGTCTGTCATTTGTCGGGATGGGGATGGGATGTAGAATCGGAAACAGAGTATTACTAGGGATTCCGAGATGATGGGACACTCACGCGTCCTGGGCTACCTAGACTTATGAGCGGCCGCGGGTCCCGTTCTACCAAGCGCCATCTTCCCCCGCATTCACGGGGCGGGATCCGGGGAACCTAAGCGTTCGGACTACAACTCGTAGCTGTCCGGTCCAGGGGTCGAACCTATGGTAGAGCATTCGGGTTGATGCAGGCCATTGCAGGCGATTCCAGGCACGCGGCCTGGGCCTGGGTCGTTGTTTTATTGCCGTCGGACCCCACCAACCCCAAGCAGTTCGCGTGGTTTGTGGAACCCTGCAGCAGCTTGGGACCCGTGTTGGATGCGGGTTGTGCGGGGAGCGTTGGGGTTAAGGTTGGTGATGATTTGGGGACGCGGCCGGGGTCCGGCAGACGACAACCGGGGGTGCTCGGCGGGGTTAGTCGGTGCCGTGTACTACTGTACCTACCAGTACAATACTTGTATGGCCTCCTCGTCTCTCCAGCCTGGTCTGAATACTATCAGTCAGGACGACGGGCTAACCGACGTTCTACAACCATCCCGTCTCCCCTACTAAACGGATATGGAGCCCAAGAAACAATGTTTCGGGCCTCCATTTCCTTAGTTTCAACTTTCAAGTTCCACTAGTGAGACTATCACATTGCGAATTCAAGAATATTCACTCAGTAGTAGTATTGGCACACATCCTCAGGGTCACTGGGTGCATTGTCGAGACTCAAAGCTGGCTACTCATGTCCGAGATGATAGATCATGAGAACCGGTACGTCGTCGGCAGACATCGTTGTGGTGCCACTGCTGGAACCCAGCACGACACACTCCCGGATTCGACTTGACCCGTTTGCCTTTCTCATAGTAAAGAAGCGCGCACGAAGCCAAGAAGTTGTAACTTTTGACTTCCGTGATGGAAGTCGAGTCGACCAATCGCGCCTGTTTTCTTTTTGCTCCAGGGCTTGTCGCCTAGAGGCCCCAGACGACACAAGGCTGGTATGCGGCCGTGTTTGTTGAAATCTTCATCTTTGTCGACAAACGTGTATCCTATCTGAAATTTGTTTTATCGTCGTTTGAATTGAAGTCCCGAAAGTGATGAGTTCGGCGGACAGAGGTGGAAGACTGTGGTCAGGGAGCGTTGTGTTCAATTGTTGGTTAGCCGTGAGGGAAACTGGTAGATAATTCAGGAGAGGCTGGTGCAGTTGGCACGTATCTGGTAGAAGTTGATCAAGCAACTCTCGCGGTGCGTTGCATTGATGTCCAGGTGGTATGGATGACCCAATCGTTATGTGTACAGTTCACTTCGCTTTAGAGTTCCTCTGAGCAAAGCTTCCAGGTTGCGTTTAATAAGGTATCATGTGTCAATTTGGTGTGATGGACAAACTACCAAACCTACTGTACGTACATATACAAAGCTGAGTCCGAAAGTGATGCTTTTCCACTTTTCCTTCCTTCAACCAACGAATCCTACCAGGTAATCAACCTAACCCAATACCACCCGTGTGCCCATTGACCATGTCCCAGAACCTAAAGGGTCCCCCCAAGTCCGAAGCGCAGTCAATATGTCCCATCAGCACGCTCGAAGATGACCTTTTTGGCTATCGATGTGTTAGTGTTGCAACGTATTCCTCCGTGTTCTTGATTTGTTTTACTCACCATTAGGGAAAGGCCCCCATGTGCTGCCATCCTCAGATAGGAAGAGTTTGAATGCACCATTCACTGTCTTACTCTTCATCTCCCCTGCAGGTCCTGGAGCCCGTCGAAAATTGCTCAGTCGAGCACAGGTGCGGAGCATACTAGCACCCGCAACGGTGACAATAGAGCGGCCGAGACAGGAATGGGGACCCCAGCCATGGTGAATGTAGAGATCGTCTGGTCGATCCAGCTTGATTTCGTACGGATCGGGAAACTTTGCAGGGTCGGTACCAGCGGTAACGAAATCCACGAATAGAGAATTGCCTTGTTGGACGGACACGACGCGGGGCCCATCCTTTATGTCCGCCTTGCCCGTAGCCACATTCCGAATCACGCCAAAGGCTGGTGTGCTGAGGCGATACCTGTTAAAGGCTTTGGTGAGAACAACATACTCCTTGGACGAAAAACATTGAGAGCTGGTCTCATACCCTTCTAGCGCATACTTCTTGAGCTTCTCGAAAGCTTCCGGCTCGTCCGACAGGGCAAGCTTCCTGATGGCGGTCCAATGCGGGTAGTACTTGTCGGACAGGTATAGATCGATCATCTGCGCCCACTACAAAAATGCTGTTAGAAAGCCACAATGCATGGTGAAGAGCTCACTCATACTCCTTGGGCCTGCGTAGCCGATGCAGCCGCAGCAGTTGGGATAATTGTCCAGACAGTCCCATCGACGCTGCCGATCCTATCGAGAAGCCTCTCCACTAGGCGGGATCCGTAGCTGCTTAAAGTCGTATCCGTATCCGTCGATCCCGGTTGGAACATCCGGATAAGGGACGGGAAATGTCTTGCTTTAATGTCAGCAACCACCTTCTGCATTACCTCACCGAGATGCTTCGTTTCTCTGGCGGCCACGACCCGGTTCTTGAATGACTGTGTCTCGTCCAAGTCGAGGAACACATAGCCGAACAGAGTAGCGAGCACATCGGAGAGCGCTCGTTCCGTATAGCTGTCCGGCCCTCCCCCATTGCTTTGCAGCGGGATGGCAAAGAAGTGACCCACGAACTCCGCGTGGGCAAGGTTCCCCACACTTTGGCGCGTTTTAGTTGGTTAGTGTCATCAACTTAGTGATCTAATTGCACACGGCGTTGGCGGTCAGCGGCACGCTTACTCTCGCACAATGTCAATTTGGTAGGAGCCGCCGATCTTGCGACTGTGCTGTCGAATAAGCTTGGCGGTGGTAGCCTCGTAGAATCGACGAACTTGGTCGAGGCCGCCTTTGGGACTGTACAAACACTCCTTCACCACGGCTCTCTGACAGGTATTGGCAGGAGTGTCACCACTGAGCATGTAATCATGTTGGATGAGCTGGAACGTGTGCGGGCCCCCTGTCAGATTGTTAGTTTCGATCGGAGGATGAGACTCAAGTGTGTGAAATGGATTGGGAACTTTGGGATCTGACATGGGACATGGAAGTGCGACTGGTTGTTCAACGTCTCGGTGACTCCCTGCCAAGTAGTGACCGGTTTCGGAGGGCCAACATATGCTGGCTTGCCGAAGTCGAATTCCTGCAAGTTTCCGAGCTTCTCAAACGTTTCCTTGTTTCCTTCGGGAGTCGTGAATGGATAGAGGGCGTACACGCTGTTTGGACGGTACCATCCGGGGAAAGCTCTCATCAACAGCTTGTACATGACTCCGCCGCCGGCAACATCAGGGTCAGAATTGGCCTGATTGAAACTAGGTATGGTAACGTTAGGTTATCGCAAGAATAAAACAAGTTCGCCCGAGAAACTTGAGCTGCGTACCCGAAACTGGTCAAGTTTGTAGGGTTGTAATCCACCGAGTAGAACCTGTCTCCGCGGACTAGGGCTGTCGCATCGGAGAGGATTGCGAAGGAAGTCGTAAATCCGGGGCACAACCCAGATCCCGGGACCATGGGCTTCTTGGTATCCTCGGATAGGAGACCCGGATAAAGTTCGATGTTGTCCGGATGTCCGTAGAGCGATTCCACTAGATGTCGAGGTTAGCACACTTAAAACACTCCATCGATGGGAATGAATGAACCTTACAAGTTTCGGCAATATAAGGGTCAGGATTCACCTCGGCTATTTCTATTGTCAGCCCTACTCTTGGTCCAAAGGCATAGGCACAGGGGAGGGGTCCAACTTGCCAAACGATGAGTATGGCTGCAGCTTGAAGAACGCTCTGAACTCATTCAGTGTTGCTAGACCCCATTCACGGCCTTGTCGAATGCCGAGCATCTCAACCGCTTTCAACACCGGGGGGATATTCCGAACACCAAATGCTCCTATAGCGCGACGATGAATGTGAGTAAACTCTGCGGATGGATTCGTGCTCACCCGGAACGCGGCAAACGCCTACCTGCAACGCTCTCTGTCCCGGTCTGGATAAGACTGACAAGCTCGGCATCATGAAAACTCCCATCGCTGGTTCTCTTCAAGCCACCAAATGTCCACTTCTCGGGCTTGTCGGGCAGTCCCTGGACCCACGTGCGTATGCCTTGGATAAACTCTTCGACAGACATGTTGCCTTGGGAAAGCGTTGGTTGTAAGCATGACATCCTGTCGGGCGTGGGTCGGATGACTTACCAGGATCGGCCTTGCCACCGAAGATCCGGCGAAAGAGGTCGTTTGCCCAAGCCTCATCATGGTCACTCGTAGCGCTGTGCCATCGATAGACCATGTTGAACTCGACGCTTACTTGGTTCCCAATGCCTCTCGGCGTTCCCTCTGAGTCGAAGACATTAGCAAAGTCCTCGCGCGGGTCAAGCTTCCAGTCCGAGTGGACAGGGTTCCGATTCAGATTCAAGATGGTTCGAAGGTAGTCGTCCAAGATAATGTTCACATAAAGACCGCATGTGATCCTAAGCACATTAGTCGACGCAAATTAGCCTCGAACACACCTGTAGACTTTCATCCGAACACATACAGTCTCCCTGTTTGGAACAGATCATTGTCCCTTTTCTTCTGAGCCTGGTCATACTCGGGGTGATCCCGGGTCACACCCGCTGGTAGGCTAAAACGGCCATTCTCTTCGATGATGGCCAGCTCCTGCACGATGTAGTTGTGGAAGCGATTGAAGGCGACCATGAGCGCGCAAACACCAGGAGGTTGGCTGAGCAGTCTCGATTCCGCAAAAACGTCCTTCTTCAAGAGCCCGTCTTTGAATGTTCGGACTTTCTCTTGCTCTTTCAAGTTGTTGCCGTAGAGGGGGGATAAGTCAAGGTATGACGAATTCTTCAGTCTGGTTCCGTCCTCCTCGTCGGTATGGAAGAGATCTAAGTCCGACTTATTAGCACGCATGGAACTTGGTTTCGACGTCTGGATGTTGTTGGGTACCATGGATGATGATGGTCGCGAAATGAAAGAGAACGCTGGAGATCTTGGTAGGGTGTTCCCTCGCTGGTCCCTGCCGCACTAGAAGACCTACATCACGTCAGACCTTTCTTCCCCCCCGGGCTCTGGATAGACGAGACTTACTGTCAAAGATGATGGATGGATCAGGAAGTTCGACCGTCTTTTGATGTTTCGGGGCCACACTGCGAGCATAATGGCTTCCGGCCGCGCCGAGGTGAGGATACATAATGTTCTGTCGAATTGTGTTTTATTAACTCCAGATCTTTGTCTGTTCTGCAAGGGGGAACAACATACGTTGTTGGAGCCATCAGCAGTACGGTACCTGAACTCGTCGCCCAAGTACGAAATGGGTGGGTGTTGTAGGCTCTTCCACAGAGTGTCGATGAACCTCGCATTGAGGCGGCTACGAAGCTTGGAGCCATTTGGCAATGATGCTGCGAGTTGGAGGATATTTTCGACCTGGCTCAGAGGAAGACTGGTTATTGTCACAAGTCTACTTTTATTAGGAATGCAACAATTGTCAAAGCACATACAAGGTGCTTGCGATCATCGATCAGACCGCCCTGTATAGCTACCTCACCGGCCTGAAGGACGATGTTCAAGTTGGGCAGAATGCGGCCAGTTTGGCTGAGGAGATCTCGTCGAGCTTCGTTGAGCAGCTCTTCGAGGTTCGAGCGGACATCTCGACCGTTGTTGGACATCGCTTGTTTGGAGGCGGCCATACCTCGACGGACAACCGTTCTCTACGATGGAAGCTTGAAGAATAAAACGCTGTGTTGGATTGAATGAGCCCAGCGAATACGTAGGCAAACTCCCCCATCTTATATAGCATACGGCTGGACCGGAACACCGGGTTCGTACTACCTACGTCTGAGGAGGATATCTTTATTAGCAGAGGAAAAGGAGGTCTCAGCCATCAGTTGACCTTGCGCTTACAATCTATCGGTCGCTGGTAACAGTGTCACGTCCATCACACTGACGTCACCGTTGCTGTCATGCTATTATAATGGCATGATATTTCATCAGGTTGTCTGACTGGGCGTCACTCACGATGCGCTCACCTGTACAAACCAAAGTGCTCCCCGTCTCCGTCACCTTTGCCTTTTCAATTCTCGACTTTGTCCGACCGGAAAATGGCCCCACCCTTCAAGCCGTCGTGATGGTGTGCCGGTCCCGTCACAGGCAACTCAGACCTTGACCGTGGCTGTGTGGTAATCCTATGTATACTGTATATGCCGCCGATGTGGGCCACGTCGGCATCGGCCAGGTCAACAGAACTGAACGTGATTGCTATACCCGGTGAGCGTCATGACACAGTGGCGGCTCATGGGCATCCCAGTTTCCGACAGACTACCCTTAGGTATCATATGACACTGACGCAAGCAGTGACGACAAGTTATACCGAGGCGAAATGTTACCATTCTCGCCAGTTGTGTATAAGTCTGGAGGGCATACCCGTTGTTCCTGCTAAATCCGCGGCGATCTAGCACGGGCCGTCTGCAATCGGCGATCCAGCTTAGCCTTTGGCTGGAGCGGGGCCTAGCCGCTGTAGGGGCCCAGCGAGTTACTATCCTAACCGACGCGTCTGGATCGACAACCTCGTGATTGTTGAAGTTCTAGGCCTCAGCCGTTCTATATCGATGTCGTCATGACTGTCTTCGCACCAGTTGTGACATTGTAACTTATCGGAGACACATTTTTCGTGCCTGCTTCTTCATCAACAGCTTGGAGCCGCTCGGGAGGATGACGGAAAGCCTACTTTACCTAGCTTGACACAAAAAACGCGCTTCTGAGAACCCGGATCGCATCCGTGCCTTCAAATAAGAGCTTGCTTTTCTCTCTCGTCTCCTCCCCCGTCCTCCCCCATCCTCCCCCCAATGCCTAGACCAAAATCTCCCACAATTCACCACCACAACCGTCTTTATTTGTCTTAACGACACTTCCGAGAGAGCCATTTTGACTTGCATATCTCCAGAGGGGTAGCACTCCAACTAAACAGGATGGTCAGCATTCTGAAAGACATTCAGCATCTTGTCCGGTATGCCCACTGGGCGTACATGGACGATGACGGTGCTGAGTTCCGGTCGGCGGCTCAGGACTTAGAGGGTGATGTCAACTACCGCAAGCTGAAAATCGTGACGCCGTTTTTCAAGGACTTCAAAGCACTCACTCCCAATACGCACGTCCATTTAGGGGTCCGGAACGGCGACACTCTCGTCCTCGCCTTCCGAGGCACCGACTTCCCCTTCACCGTCGAGAACCTTGTGAATCCCAAGTCGTGGTGGGGCTTCTGGGGCAACGTCGTGACCGACGTCGCCTTCCGAATGGTCCAAATCCACTGGCTTCCGGGGGACAACCCGGCCATCCTTGCCCACGATGGCTTCCTGGCCGCCTTCAACAACCTGCTGAAAGACGACAGATTGGGAAGCTGCATTCTCCAGCTCATGGGAGATCTGCCACCCTCCAAGATCGAAGTCTGCGGCCACAGCCTGGGAGGCGCCCTGGCCACGCTGTGCGCGCTGTGGTGCAGGACGCGGTGGCATTATGCCAACATCAAATGCGTCACTCTGGGTTCCCCGCGCGTGGGCAATGAGGCTTTCTGCCAGCGATTCCACAGCAGCGCAATTCTCTGCTACCGCCTGGAGATGGACGGCGATCCGATTCCCACTGTTCCGGACCGCTTCACACAGGCGGTGCCCGGCAAGCTACCGGCCAACGACCCGAGTTGGACGGAGGGCGACAGGACATATGGCCATGTGGGTATCCCGATCATACTGCATGGGGCTGGAGGGCGCGTGATCTACAACTCGGTCGACTATGATGTCGAGCGGCCGGACATTGAAGCCGAGAAGGACGCGCCGCCCCTCCCTTGGCAATTCAGGTTGCCCTACGAATTCGGCGGCTTTCTGCCCTACTGGATTCTGCGAGGCTTGAAGATGTTACCTGCTATCTGGCAGTACCACGACCCAACCGGGTACGAGACGGTTGTGCAGCGGATTTTGGAACGCACAGGTGAGACGAGCCATGCTGCGTGCAATGGCTCTGTGCCTTTATCTCAACGCACTCCAACGCTCACTTCTCGACATAGGAGCCCCAATGGCTGGCAGGGTTAATGTTGCGGCAACGAGCGGATATGGTGGCCATGAAGGCAAAGTTGAATTCCCCGTTGAACGTTCGGTGGTAGATGTACGGGATAAGTAGTAGTAGCTTGATTAAGTTCTGGTACCCTAATCTGTATCCTTCTGTCTTCAGCGCGACACGATGTCGTTCTTTCTCTCGCCAGGGCCCCCCGTAAGCGGACTAGCAGTGATGCCTAAATTCTTTTCGGGAGCTGTCCGAAGTTTGGCGGTTTGTGCTTGTGTTAGGTAGTTTCTTGCCGAGAGAGCGAAACGCTGCTCCTACCACTTCCGTACTCACACGTTGAATGAAGCCCACAAGGTTGGACGAGCGACTCTATGTCGTGGAAGCCGACCAGCGGACCCAACGGTTGAGGTCCTGTGACTGTAAGCTGCAAGTTTTGTGGTGGCCTTCTTCCCGGTCGCATGTGGGTGGAGGCCCTGGTGCTCAGGCATGTCCAGGGTCCTTGGTACAGCGGAAGAACAGACAGAACCGCGTCGTAGCGCGGCTTCTTGAGGTCCTCGCCCCTCTTTGTTGGTCTATAGTGAAGTGATTAGTACTTAGTAGGTATAGTCAGATCTGTGGATATATACTTTGTGGCTTTGTGTCCAAGAATGTGAATGGGACAACGAAGCAGAGCTGGGGATGGTATAGGGCGATTGTCAGGTCTTATACGGAATTGTTCGCCATAGACTGGATGCTAATCCATTGCTCTCTGTTCCAAGCAAGGGCTAAACTCCATCCGGCAATCATGGACAAACCAAACACGTGAAAGAGGTAACAGGGTGGTGGAGGACGGTTGGTCTGACAAACTCACCTCGGTTTGCCCGTCCCCCGTCATGAAGTATCCGCAAATTCGGCATTTGCTTGTCAGTGGACTTTCATGTAATCACTTGGGGTAGAAGCTGTAAGAGGTGCGTTAACCGCAAATATTTGTGTCCTCGTCTTCTCTTATGACTGTGTTTCTTGTTGTTTCCCTTTCCTTTCTTTTTTATTCCTTTTGGTGATGACCCTTCCTAGCATGAAGATGCTGCTCGAGACTCATGCAATGGAACCTGCACTGCACCTCAGCGACGAAGTGGCAGTCAGACCGCATAATCTATGAGTATCAAGGTTGAAAGGCTTCTAGCAATCGTGCCATTGAGCGACTCGGACTTCCCCTTTGCCATCATCGCCCAAGATTGTTGACGATACTGCCCACCATGACGGCAACCTCCATCTCCCAGTGCTTCGCATTCTTGTCCGTCTCACCCGCACTGCTTTTACCCTTCGCCGCGGCGGCAACCGTACTGGGCAGCTGGCTGCCCCTGGCCACGCATTCCTTGATCGCCTCGCCCACGCTCTGCCGGTTCGTCTTAAGAGTCCGCGCAGACACACCTCCCTTGGCAATGATCTCCTGCACTCTCGGCGCCATGTTACTTGCCATGGTCCGCCAGAAGTAGCTCGCCAGCGACCCTGTCTCCAAATACGCCAGCAGCGGCTGCAGCATACTCCCGCCCGCCAGCGGCTGCTTCCCCTGCAGCAGCGGATGTTGCGGCGCCTTGATCCCCTCCAGCACCGCCTCCAACGCCACGACATTCTGACACCGCGCGCTGACCTCCGCAAGCGTCCTCTCCAGACTGGGCAGCGTCGCCAGCGCCCTCGACAACCCGGCGATACTGCTCTGCAGCGCAGACCGCAAATACACATCCAGCGCCTGCAGCATCAGCGTAGGCATCCACTTCTCCGCCCCCTTCCCCGCCGTCCCAGCCGGCACCGGCGTGAGCAGATACAGCGCGGTAACGGCCGACACTGTCCGGCCTTTCACCTCCTCGCTCTGCGCAAACGTCGCGCTCCCGGACGCGCTGCCCACCGAAAACTCCCGCACCATCCTCTCCGCCGTCTCCCGCACCGACCTCTCCACGGGCGCGACCACGCCCTCGCGCAGCGTCCTCACCACCGCGACCCTGTCCAGCCCATACCCTTCCCCGCCGGGCACGCCGGCCGACGTAAACAGCTCCCTCAGCTGCAATAGCGTGTGCGCGCAGCGCACCAGCGCGCGGTGGTCCTCCCTCGCGCGCAGCGCCGCGGCACTGGCCGTCGGCGCGGCCGACGCCGACCCCGTCAGCTCGGCGTGCTGCGCCTCGAGCTGGCGGCCCAGCTGCAGACAGCGGCCGACGGCGCGGGCGAGGCGGAGCGTGTCCCACAGGCGGGCGGCGACGCGCCGCACCTCGTCGGCCTCGGCGTGTTTCTGCGTGACTTCCTTCTCGAGCTGGGCGTAGCTCTCGTTGAGGGCGGTGATTTGGGCTTCGACTTGCGAGACGATGCGGGTGCTGGCTTCAGTTTGGGTCTGGGTGTGTTCCAGCAGGGGGAGGGCCGAGCGGGTGGTCAGCAGGTCGATGTGGGAGTCGATTTCTTGGATATCGAAGAGCACGCGTGAGAGCGGGGTGGAGAGGTCGAGCGGGGTGTCGGTTGGGTTGTTGGTTGCGAGGACGAGCGTGTTGGCGAAGGACGCCGGCTTGAAGGACGGGTCGAGGAAGGCTTCGTAGTCGATGTACGACGGCTCGTCGGGGTCGCGGGCGGCTGCTGGGCCGGCGGGGTCGCGGGCGCCGCTCATTGTCACGTTTTGTCTACTACTAACTGCATTAGATGTATCCAGGTGTGGTAATGGTGGTGCCAAAGGCGCGCGAAGCTCCAGCTACAACTAGGGTCAAATCGCGATCGAGACCGTGTCATTGGCCCTGGAGCCCCGCTTCTTCAGTCGACCCGGCATTTGCATCCCGCAGATCCGGAAATTGCGGCTGGTCTGTGCGCTGACGGGAGTGAGGTCATCCTGTGCGACACACCGTGCGCTTATTGAGGAGGCCGAGTTTTCGTATTGACATTGTATGACCCCGAAACATGCCACTGACCTTCTGTAATAGACGGAAAGCAATAACAGAACCTATTCTTGTCATCTACAGTTTTTAGAATCAGTTGTTATGAGACTGAGCGTTCCGTTCTGGTGATCGCAAGTATCGAAGCCGCAGTGCTCTACACAGTACGGATGTACATAGAGAGGTGTTTATTAGCGTCTCCAAGCCCCAACTTTGAGTGATTAAACTTTCCGCCCGGATGCAGCGGGCCCCATCGGGAGGTTCGGCAAGGACACTTGGGCGCGAAACAAGCGAAAGACGAATTACGGTGCGTCCACCTCAGTCATGAGTGCTAGATTCTGCGAAGGTTCTACACCAATCTTCTCAACGGACTGCCGACACGACCGAGTGCCCGATGCGACCAATGTCCTAAAACGCCGCTAACCGCAGGGGCTGGGGCAAGGTCAATTGTTCAATTGCTCGGTCGCTGAGCTGACTCAATATCGAAACCTCGGACGCGACATCACTTGCTCGTTCTGTCCAGCATTTGAGGACGCCCCTATGACCACCCGCTCGACCGTGGTTCCCCAAGATGCCGTTGATAGACGCCCGCGACATTCTCGCCTTCCCCGGCGGCGATAATTCAAGCGACACCGTCATCGGCAATGTCCACTTCAACCTAACAACGCTCGACCATTGGAACTACACGCTCTACTCCAACGGCTCCCTGTCCAACGGCTCGTGGTGTCTTCTGACTTTCCCACCGTATACACCTTCGCTCATCCTCCCCAATGGCACCTTCGTCAATGTGACCTGGTGCTGGACGCCCACCGAGCCCATCGGAGTCCGCGGCGGCATCGGGATCGGGTACGCCGTCTTGTTCGGCATCGCTCTAGTCCTGAGCCTCGTCAATCTCAACAAACACGGAAAGCTCCATCTTCCCGCCGAGAAGCGCTTCTTCCCCATCGGGCGGAGATGGCAGTGGTACTGGGCCGCGTGGGTGTGCGCCACCGGCGTCATTAGCCTGCTCACCGTTGTGGATGTGGACCGATATTTCCTCCCGGAACTGCCCATTATCCTGACCAGTTTCTTCTGGTTCCTTATGCAGCTAGGCACAATGGCGCTTGTTTGGGAGGCTGTTCGGCACTGGGGGAGTTGGATGGAGCGGCAGTTTATCGACCCCGATCCTTTTGCTCTGCGGGACGACGACAGAAGATCCAAGGTCGAGTTTTATCTTCCGTTGATCTTCTACCTCTTCTGGTGGCTGGTACGTTTTATCGGCAACACTCACTCATCCTCAGACTGAGCAGCTGACCGAAGATCTTTTTGCTCAGAACTTCTTCATGATTATCCCTCGCAACTGGGGCCAGATCGAACGTCAGCGCTATCCCCAGCAGACCCTAGACGAAGCCGCGCCCGCCGCTACAGATGCCCGCTTCAAAGCTGCCGCCTTCCTCCTCGCTGTGTGCTGGCTGATAACGGCCTTCTCGTTGAGGCATTCGATCAAGCACTACTGCCCTCGCAACCGAGGTCTCTTCAACCGTATCGGGGGCTTCGTCCGCTACGCACCTCTGCGGTTCATGTTGATCCTTCCCCTGGCTGCCGTGGTCCCGGCTTACCAGGCTCTTGTGGCGTTTGACTTTAACTACAGCCCGCTCAAAGTCGATGGCAATAGGCCGGCTATCTACCTTGGGGCATACACCCCGACTCTCCTTATTCTCTACATCCAAGCCCTCTTTGGATTCGTTAACCCCAACGAGGACCTTGAGCTGCAACGCCAACGCCGTGTGCGGGGCCACGAACTCGACCGTGAAATGGGCATCGTGTACAAGCCTTCGTGGTGGCGCCGCGTCAATGGCGAGAACCTGGACCCCAACATGAGCATGCGCGACCGCTTGGTCCAAAACGTGCGGGAGATCCATGGAAACAAGCCGCGGGCACCAAACACCGAGGGAGGCTTCGATCTTCCTGCCGGTGGGCCCCCTGATCCCGTGGAGATGACGCCGGTCTCTCCTCCACCGCCCGCAGCTTCGCGGATGGCCAGCCCGCGGACGGAGCTGCCCCATAACCTGCCGTTCCCCCGGGGAGCAACAGCAGCAGAGCGTGTCGCCGCCTCTCCAAGGCGCGAGGAGCTGATGATGGACTGGCCGCCACCGCCCTCGTATAGGGATACGGTGGAAAATAGCCGCTCGAACGTGGCGAGGAGCATCAGTGCTCAATCATCTGTGTCTACCAGCCAACCGCCGCAGCAGATCCGGAGTATGCTGGATGTATAAATGGAGATCCTTCACAGGCAAGGAATACTGCCCTCTTGTCCGGCTCCGCCGTCTTCTGAAGGCCTGCCTGGACAACATTAGTTCTAAACACGAGGAATCAGCCATCCACCTATTCCCACACCGGCGCTGCGATAGACGTGTAATGGCCTGGTGATATGAAGCATCACTGAGGATCCCATACACTGTTCTTCCGAGCTGCGCCACCAGGGCTGCTGATTGTCCTCTCAACCGGTGTTACTCCGAGTACGACCCTTGGGAAGAGATGGCATGGGCCCTGCTACGCCACAGACCGACAACATTCCGGTTTCGCTATATAAGCAAGAATCGTGTATATATGTCACGGCTGGTTACCAATGATGGTGTTTTCGACGGGACATAGCAACATAGATCCGATGTCCCACGCTGGCGAAATATAAGCCCCCCGAAGGGGAAGGAAGGGGTGGAGGGATGGACGCAAACCTGGAAGCTTATAACCAGACAGCAGCAAACCAGGGCCGGCCATAGAGACGCCGCACACCGCACACTTTGGCTACGCCGTTTTACCACGTCTTTGACATGGGAATGGGTGCGTATTGGGCACGGAACCTCTTGGAGTACCATATGACCCATGATTTCCATGTACGGATTATAGAGTACGTCAATGGATTAGTCCATTCGAACACGGTCTTCTGGCCTCCTGTGGTCACATTAATTCCTTTTCCGTTCGGTTTCATGGTGAACGCCAGGTCTGAGTGCTCCCCGCTCCCTGCAGACACTGTCCTCCACTTATTACGTAGGTCAAGCAATCCAATGCTTCATCGATCACGCCTTCGCCTTCCCCCTCGATTACCTTGACTCTGACCATCAGACCACCATTCATCAAGTTGCGCGCCCCTGCCCCTCCGACGCCCCTTAGCCCAGCTGTATTGTGTAATTCATCCGCGGCGCCCCAATCTTTCTGAATCCTTCGGATCGATGCTCAGCTCGGGACGCCGGCTTCCTGCCGATGCCAACACAATGCGGCGACGAGATTACATGACTGGCTAGGAACAGGCACGCGTCTCTCAAGTCTGGACGAGATCAACGCTTAGGCTGGTCATCTTCGTTTCCGCGAGACCTTGGTCCCACAGCCACCGAGCAGCAGTGGAGAGAGAGGCAGGCTCGGTCGACATGGTGTATGACAATAAAGGAACAACTGGCTATGCTGCATCCATCGATCTCCATTTTGTTTCCGGGTTAATCCAGAGGTCTAGCTGCAACATCCACGCATCTGTCACTTCAGCATGCAACGGCGACGATTGCTCTCTTCTTCCTCTTCTTTCTTCCCCTTTCAGTTCTCCTTCTCCTCCTCCTCTCCCAGCTCTCCCTGCTCTTCCTTTCTCTTCCCATCTGCTTTCTACATTCCATTCGTTTTTGCTTCTACCTCGATCTCTTGCCGGCCCCAACGCCCTGAACCCCGCTTCCTTTCCTGCGCCTGCGGTCTCGCTCTGGCGATGGGGGCAGAGTCGTCTTGGAGGTGACCGCTGAGGGCTCTTCAGCGTGGAGCTCAATCCATCGAGACGCGGCTGTTGAGATGTAAGGATCTCCGTTACCTCTTTGCCATGGTTGTTGGTATGTCTGATGATGAACTGCATGGTGTGGTGGTAGGGTAGAGAGGACGAAAACGACGTTTCTTGGCCGAGTTGTCGGACTTGTCCTGCAGGATCCGCACGCGGCACGCCCAGGTAGGATGAGGAAGATCTCTTCCCTCTTGTGGTAGGGTGATGAAGGTGGCGGAGGCAGAGGCGCTGCAGTGCGCAGAGACGACGACTAGACGCAGATGGAAACCGGCAGGAGGGCGCTTGTCCTCCAGGTTGTGGAGCGATGCCGTGTCTTGGTCATCGACGAGTTTCTTCCACGGTCATGAGTCGGAGCTCCGGCTCCGGCTCGCTCCGCCCCAGCGCTCGCAACCCTGTCATCAACGCAAGCAGTGGCTGTGTCGGCGCGAGCTTCGGCCTGGCCCGCTGGGTCGTACCGCCGGTACGGGGCGAGAAGGAGGCCACGGGCGACCGAACTCGAGCCCCTGGCAAAGCTAGCCCCACCCAATGCGAAAGGCGCACGGGCTGCGCACGCTGCAAGTGTGTGTATCCCGACATCAGGATGGCCAGCGTCTGCCTTGCTCTTGGCAAGCGGACCGAGAGGAGGTTGCGCACATTGTGGGGCCGGGAACGCTGCTGCCGGCGCCCGGCACAGTGACGACACGAGCAGCAGTCACAGACTTACAGCGCCACCAGCGTAGTGGTGAACCAATATAGCGCACAGTCATGCTTGGTGCTGACCTGCAGCCATGTGTCAGCGCCAACCCATGCGTGTGTCCCAACGGAAATCCGTATCCCCTTACCGGTGATGGACATCCGGTGCACACCTCGAAGGCTGTGTTGAACTGGACGAAAGCGAAGGCCCTCTCGAACATGCGCAGGTGGAGGGAGGTGATCGCTGAGACGGTCTCTCCGTCAGAAACGCTGATTTCGAAAGCCGGCCCTCTGGCTGCTGGGCGACGCGGTGCAGCACGGCTGGCACGGCACCCCCTGGCCACTGTGTGGAGAGCTGGAGGACCAGAAGTTGACGCCGCAGGTCGAAAAGACGGCCGCCGAGAAGTGGGAGGAGATCGCAGAGAAGCGGGTGGCGAGCACGATCTCGTACTTTCTCCGCCGAGCGTCGCAGAGCCTGCCAGATTCAGCGTCAGTCAGCTCGTGTCATGTTCTCGAGGGAATCGCTTGCTTTATCATGTCAAACTTACCAGAACGACTCGGTCATGTTTGAAGGTGATAATGACCTTCGGGACCATGACGACGAGGACAAAAGACAGGACAAAACCGAGGACAAAAGAAGACAGGACAAAATAAAGTAAACAATAACGCTGAAAAAAAGAAATAAAAAATAACGCTGAAAAAAAAAAGAAATAAAAAATAACACTGAAAAAAAAGCCCGCCCATCCATACCCTTTTTTTATTTTTTGTCTTTTTTTTTTCAATTCCTTTTTGTTTTTTTTTTTCTTTTTCAATTTTTCTTTTAAAAAAACAATTTTTTCGTAAATAAAAACAAGAACAGGAACAGCGATAGCGATAACAAAAATCGCTATAAAAAGCTTCCACGAAGCGGTACATCCCCATGCCCGCTCCTTACCCCCCCGGTCCCGAGCCACGTCCAGGCTCGTCTGAGCCGGAGCGTTGTCACCACCCTGAGGTGGCTCTGGCGGCCGCTGACGAGCCTGGGTCTCGGCCGTCGGGAGGATCGGAGCGGGGGGGGGGAGGGCGGGGGCGCCCGTTTCGTGGAGGTATACTTAATGAATCTATCCCGTCGTCAGATGTCAGCATAGAGTCAACATCATAAGCGCGGCGAGGGGTTGGGGCGGCGGGGGTTGGGGCGGCGAGAGGTGATGGCGCTTGTTGAGCTCGTTCCCTAGGTTCGGGTTTGTGCCTGCTGTGGTTCAGGTGGGGTTTGAGAGCTGTGGTGTGATGTGAGACAGGATCAAGAGTCGGGGCGGGGAGGGGTTGGGGTGCTTACATATCTGTCATGTTCTGTTCCCATGTCAGTTAGCATTTGGTCAACGTCACGGTGGTGTAGGGTTGCAATCACTTACTGTAAGCTCTGCTTGCAACTCAACAGATGTTGAAGGAAAAGGAAGAAGACAGAGACAGGAAGCGGGCAGAAGATATTTATGACTATCTGCAAGCTGCCTACATCCTTCCACAACCTGTCCTGGCTGTCCGTCAGTGCCAAACGGGAAGGGCGCAGGGACACACTGCGTGCTTCCTCCAGGAAGCCGCCAGGTTCGAAAGGCGGGAAGCGTCCAGCATGTGAATCCGAATGTCGGGCATGCCCGGGTAAGTGCGACAACCTCACGCTCAGGTCAAGGAGGCATGGTGTACTCCGTATAAGGAAGTAATTATCTATGCATTGTTTGAATTCAGCTTGCTGGGGCGCATAACATCTCGATCAGATGCTCATCAATCTCGTGCTTGCCAAACCTAATTCAGAGGAGTCAGTCACTCTTACCGTGTTCGTCTGCAAGGCCGCAAACCAAGCAGGCACCAAAAGCACAGGTGCGAGAAAGCAAGGAAGAGGACTCGGAGTCGGACCATCTGGGTACAATAATCGATCAATACACATGACGGAACGACCCCTTTTCAAGCGAACACTTCAACCTGTGTGGCCTTCCGAGATCAGACCAATGAATGTTCCATAGTGCGATTAGGGTCAAAGTTTAGACGGGAGCCACACATTCTTTCCCACTGTGTGCACTTTGCCACTCTATGCGCTCTGGCTCACATGACCCACCTCGCATGATCAAGTGGGCTCTTTCCAAAGCATGACAAAGTCCGCCCTTTCCAAACATCCATCACTTACTCTTGTCTCCTTCCCACAAACTCTCAACACTGCCGCACCTTCCAACTCCTCAAAGCTATCAGCATAATATGGCATTCTCGCCTTCCGATGATGAGCTCCCTACCTACGAGACCGTCGTAGGCACCCCGGCCACAGCCACATCCCGACTCGGAGAAGCCACCGGTGATGTCGAGGCGGGTGAACACGAGGCATCGACAACCGAATGCTCGCTCTTCATTAAATACGGCGAGGGATGGGCCACCTTGTCGTTTGAGATGGTGCCTGACCCAGGGGTCAGGCACCAGTATTACTTGGCCAAGTACCGCCCCTGAGTGGCCATACTTATCGTCAAGTGCAAAGATGTGGCCAGATTGATGCGAGAGGGTTTTTCTGGTCAGCCGACAACGTCGTCCCTGAATTCGGCCACATGTTCAATTCGGTCACTCCTCGCTGGGCTGCCGGCGGATACGGTCATGCTCGCCAATGGACCCTGGTCGACAAAACATGCACCCCGGATGGGACTCCCCGGTGGGTTGGCCGTCTCGAAGTCATGGCCGCGTCGATCGGGCTCCTGTCGAGCTTCCGCCCACAGGACCTGTCAACAGAGCATGTGCTGTCTACCCACGCCTGGAACAAGGAAAAGCAGTTGGTGTACTGCTATCTATACCATGTCCCGGACCAAACATATAACTGCATTTACGACAACAAGCCCCTGTATGGGTGGTGGCCATGGCCAAAGAAGGGTGACCATCAAGGGCGCATGAAGAAAGTAGCGGTGGAGGAACACAGCAGACAGCGGAAACAGAAACGCGACAGGTGTGTGTGTGTGCACGTAAGGCATAATCAAGCTATGGAGCGGCGGAAACGGAGGAGTGAGGGAGGGAAAGGAGTTGTAGATTTTATAGCAATGAGGTGTGCGGCAATCTGACTTTTGTTGGGTTTCTCTACCTAGTGAAGTATGACTCAATGAAACGTGCAGGAGCAGCAACTACCAACATGCATCAGTCAGTTCGTGACTATGGCAATCCAGCAATGTTTGTTTGAATTTCCCTTGTGAGTGGCCATGGGGACGCGGATTGCATTCAGTCTCAATCGTCAAGTCATCATCTGGCAATGCCATGACACCACAGGCTACGCACCAAAACGTCAACAGAAGGGGCGTTACCACAACAACGCAACCCCACCATCCTATGACACTACCACAGTGCACACAACTTGGGCCTCGCCACAGCTTGGGTTAACGACGTCATCGACACGAACATGCCACGCAGGGCCAGCTGACAGGGGCCGCTACGCGCCTCAGACGCGCGGGCGAACCTTTGGAAACGACGGACATAGCAGCCAAGACCGAGCCATGACTGCCACAGAGCATGAGGGTTTCGAGCAACAAAAACGTGAGTTTCTACAAAGTGGATCCAAATGGCAGGGCAGAGTCACGTTGTCACGCTTTGTCTATCCATTAGGCTCTCGATTTGTGACGCGAATTGTGTCGACTGGAATCAACGGTTATTAGCGTAGCTTCGTAAGTGTTTACGGTGGATGACCTTGAAGCGCACAAGGTTGCCTCACAGGAGCAAGATCGGGTCAGTGTGGACTGTCTAGAGACACCCGCCTTCTCGAAGACCGGCGACGGCCTTCTTACCCTCTGTTAACCTCGGGCAGGACCGGCCGTGCCAAAGCTGTACGCCTCTGCCACGGCCAGGTCTTGACGGCTGTGGCCGGGAAGGTGCGCCACCACAACACAATGCACCACAATGTGGTCCTCGACTTGATCGGTATGGATCGTGCAATTAACTACGTAACACGTACGAAAAGGTGGGCCGTCGTTCGACCTGCTTATCGAACGACCGGTATCGCACTCCCAAGAACCTACACCTCTCACGACCCGTGGCACGACTGCCCTACGTTTGCCGTGGCCCGCGGAAACAAGTTCAGCTAGGTGGGGTGTTGCACCCCCTCCATGGCCATGCGAGTCGGCCCGGAGCGAGCAGCAATGTCGTCTTGCAGAATGAGGTACGTGTCCTGCAGTTGAGCAGTGCAAGCGACTTCCCGCGGACACTTCAACAAGCCCTAGGCCACTGACTCCGTGTTTTCGCGCGAGAGACGGTGCTGCTGCGGTCCAAGGGCAAAAAAGCGCCGCGCTGGCTGGTCCGCCCATGTGTCGACGGTGTGCTCGTCTTCCTCAACCTGGCCCGGCAGATCACAGACCAGCCGGTATATGCCTTGCGTGCACGGGGATTCGGAATGGCGGTGACCTACCTCGCGGCCATGAAACGCGCGCAGCCTGCCGGGCCCATACATGTTACGCCATCGCCGGTTACCCCAGTCAGGGCAACCATGAAGAGACCGTCAAGCATATGTCCGGCTTCGAGGCGACACTCTCGCCGCCCTATTCTTCAAGGCACTCGAGCCAGCAGCTTCAGCCGCATCTACGCCCACTCGTGACAACCTAGGGCGACGACACAGTTTGGAGGGTGTGGTGGCGCTGCTTGCGGGGAAAGGCCCACGTCTGGTACAACGACAAGCTCGTCGCAGACGACCGGACTCTCCTATAGATAACAGCTTCTGGTAGTCAACCTCATATGCGATACGCCGAGGAGCATGTTCAGGGCGTGATTGCTTGATATCCGACTAGACATCCCTGGTCCGTAGACCCAGTTTCGCCATCGTGCGCTGACATGATATACCAATATCAGCCGCAGCTCACATGTTAATAAGAAATAGAACCAAACTAATTCGGTTGCCAACTCTGATTCCCCTTCTTCCTTACCTTCCCCGTCGTAGTCATCTCTCGTTATATTTCTTTATAATCCTGTCACAAGGAATCGGGCATGTAGGTACGGAACCCATGTGCCTAGAGCCCCGGAACGGCCGTTTACTGCGTACGGGCCGTTCCCTGGGATATATTAGGGTGGTCCCCTTACCACCATTTTGCTCCTTTGCTTTTACTTAGCTAGAACCCAATATACTCTCTTCGTTTATGCCTTTCCGCGCGCTCCACCACCTGCGATAGATCCTCATCATTCCAGGCGGTCTCCCGGCACACTTCTGCAAATACTTCGCTTAATGTAGGACGCTTGCCCTACATTGCGCAAAGAGATCCACAAACTCCAGGGTGCCACATGGCGTCCGCTTCATAGACCGTTCCCAATCGTCAATAAACCGCTCTTCAACGGTGGGCAGACATTCGTGATTTCTTGATGCGCTGAGCAAGCGATTGAAGTTCCTATGTCTCAATGGTCTACGTATACGTTGGATGAACATGGGCCCTCCATCTACGGTGATCCGAGCACTACGCGGCGGTGTTCGCCAGCCGTGGCCTTCCGCCTGCCCCAAGTTTCCCGTCCTACTTGGTCGCTTTCCCCGGGCGGGACATACTCGTCCATGCTCTCGAATTCTTTTCCCTGGCCCGCCCAAGTCCGGATTACACCTAAGCTCGACCACGGTCCGTCATTATCCCCGCTAGTAGTACAAGTCACTCCCCGTGGCGTGAGCTCGAGCCTTGTTTGAGCCCGTCGCCCCGTCCTTCTTCGCATCCTTATTCTGCACCGGATCGTCCGCGGCCCTTACATGCAAGAAAGAAAATCACCTCCAGAACGATTCCAGACAGCTCTTGGGACCTACCAGATCATTACTGTGGTATATCGAGCAAGTCTCGGTTGGATTTCACCTGCTGCAAAGCCGGAGCTGATGTGCATTCGAAAGCTTTGGATGAAGTGGGGCCGCTTTACGACAAGGTGACATTCGTTTCATAAGCCGGCAGCCATTGCCAGGAACGGATCGCGGCCCTTCTTTTTAGTGTAAGGGGCCAAAAAAGCTCGTTTTATACCTATAGTGTAGGTACCCACACCATTGCATGGCCGTATTGTATTACCTAAGCTAAGTTCTCTTCGTCTTCATCGTGCAACACACCCCATCGGAGAAACCTCCTCTCATTAGGTCCTCCCGGCTGCGTGGAGAGGTAATAACGGTTCCATATAATGTGTAAGGTACTAGCACTCTACGTGCAACTTGTGGTCATCTGAGGTTATAGCTCTGGGTTCACAGCAACAACGAGGTAATCTATGCTCTTTGGGCACAACGGGCGACGCCTTCTATGATTTGGCAACAAGAGGGAGATTTTCTTTGCAGAGTGTCAGCCGTTCAGGAAGTTATTGCCATCAAGACCGGGACCCTGGGGATGGTTCAGTTGACAGTACACCAGAAGCCTCGTTCTCGGCGTACGTACAAAATACCTAGGTACGTTAACACCGACCTACACGTGGATGATGTGTAATGTGTGTACAATACAAGTAAGGTACCCTGCGTGACATGCACAATACATAAGGTACAATAGTTACACTCTCTGTATTATACGATACCTCACAGGACGACTTGTCAAGCAACTCGCTAGACTCCTTGGCAAGGCCCAGAGCGATGCACTCTCAAAGTTGGCTCCAGGCCAGGAGAGTACGAGATTGTACACTACACTTATTACGTTCCCAGAAATGCCGCGCGATTTCTGGTAAAAGCCTTGCCGGACTGAATAACCCTTTTCGTTAATTGCCGTACCTGGTCCAAACTTTGACGGCCCCACATCTGAGCGAGTCGAGATCTTCATCCACTTCTTTTCAGAGTTTCAGAAGCTTGGCCAGTCACCGTCTGCCTTCGGTTGCAACGAAGAAGGCTGGCGCCCTTTCCAGCTCCACCCACAGCACAGAACGGCCTGGCAGTGCATTGCAGGACCGAGATTGTGAGCGTTCCCCGAATGTCCCATCCTGGTTACGCCCAATTTCCAAATGGCCGCGACGTCGCTACCGGAATACCACGTCTTCGATAAAGCTTCAACCACCTGCTACACAGTAAGCAATCCACCACGATCCCATGTCGACCTCGATCCGCAGTGTACCTAGCCTGCGGAACTTGGGGTTTGGGCAAGGGGCTCCGGCTCCTTGCCGGCGGGTCGAGATCTCGGTTTCGCCAGCCCCAAATTCCGTAAATACCTGGTGTTCCCACCAGCCCGTCCCGCTGGGTCCATATGTAGACATCGACAGCTTCATCTCTGCTCGTCCGTCCTGACCAGCCAACCTGCCGAACGGGGCCGCCTTCCCACCGCGAATGGTGACTTGACGATGAGGTCCTTCCATAACACGTGCGCCGTGCTTGGCCTGTGCTTTCTCGCTGGGTTCAATGCCGCTGCCGCCGCCGAGAAGGGCTCAATATCACTCCTGGACGCATACGCGGCCCTCCCTAGCTGCGCAGTACGTGCGGTGGAACGATCCGGAACGATGAACCGAGGCGGACTGACCGTGGAAACAGCAAGGATGTCTCCAAACTGCGCTGGGCCAGTCGACCTGCGGCTTGACGAACGTGACGTGCATCTGCAATGACCAGACGCTCAAGAATGCTGCCACGGCTTGCATCACGTCCTCGTGCACGATCAAGCAGTCCCTCAGTACGGCACTCCCCCGGTCGACCTGGGTCTATAGCTGAGGATTGCTCACGTTGACGCTGACGCTGGAAAAACAGCCGCCAAGAACCTCACCTCTCAGCTCTGCGGCGTCGGTCTCCCGGTCGAGAGGGACCGTACCTTGATCCCGCTCTACTCCACCTTCATCGGCCTGGCCGTCTTCGCCGTGATACTTCGCCTCATTGCGCGCGTCTTGACCCAAGCCTACTTCTGGTGGGACGACGCAGCTAATTTTGTTGGCTTCGTACGTCGACCTGTGTGACTGGGCCGGAGGTTCCACGTGCTGACAAGGCCTAAGATCGGTGCAGCGGCCTTCAGTGCTGTGAGTATCAAGTGTGAGTGCTCTGCTCCGCCCTGCCCTGCCCTGCCTTTCGGCACGAAGGACGGAAGAACTAATGCATTCTGCAGCCGTGACGGATGGACAGTCGATCGATATCTGGTTCGTCCCATTCGACGACATCACCGAAGTCGTGCGGGTGAGTCCCAAGCACACGACATACACCGCCCAACCCTTTACCCGAAGTGCCACAGCTGACACCCCGCGGCTCTCCAAACGAAACAGCTGTTCTACTGGCAAATGATCCTCTACTGCGTCACGCGCTTCTTCGTCCGCGCGTCCATCATCCTCTTCTACATGCGCGTCTTCCCGCCCAAGCCGGACCAGAAGCTCGGCCGCATCGTGCAGGCCACGTTCGTGTTCAACATTGTCTACAACGTCAGCTTCCTGTTCGCCGTCATCTTCCAGTGCAGCCCGCTCGCGCACTTCTGGTGGCAGTGGGACGGCGAGCACGCCGGCACGTGCGGCAACGCCAACATCCTGGCCTGGGTCGCCGCCGCCACGGGCATTGTCTACGACCTGTGGCTGCTGGCCCTGCCCTTCTCGCAGCTGCTGACCCTCAACCTGCACTGGAAGCGCAAGCTGATGGGCGGCATGATGTTCTTCGTCGGTGTTGCGTGCGTTCTCCCTTCGCCTCTGCTCTATTTCCCCCCACCCCGTTTATTGGAAAAGGGGATTGTAATGCTGACTGAAGAAAAAAAAATTCAAAAAACAACAGCGTTATGATCATCAGCCTGGTCCGCCTCAAAACCATCAACGAGTTCACCCGCGCTGTCAACCCAACCAGTTCAGTTCTCCCCCACCTTTTTTCAATTCTCCCTTTTTCTCAGCTGCAGGACTCAAACTAACAAACCTTGAAAAACCAAAACAGAAGACCTAGTCCAAATCTGCCTCTGGTCAGGCATCGAGCTCGACGTCGGCGTCATCTGCCCCTGCCTGCCCTCCTTCCGCCTCCTGCTGCGGCGCCTGCTGCCCCGCTTCATGGGCACGACGGGCCAGCGCTACGAGATGGGCTACCATGTCTCGAACCTCACCGGCACGCGGAAGAGCGCGGGCGGGCTTGGTACCACAAATGCTGCTGATGGAGGAGGAGGAGGAGGGGTTGGTGGTGGTGCAGCGGGAGCAGGAGCAGGGAAGATCACGGTGGAGAACCGGGTCAGCATCAAATATGCCAGCGAGGAGGGCGACTCGTCGACGACGACGGCCGATGATGCCAGGAGCTCCTCCGCGAGTGTCACGAATTTGGTGGAGGGCAGGGCGAGTTCGGGCCGCGATGAGGAGAGCGGTCCTCTGCCGCCGCCGACGGGGTATGTGCATCGGCAGGGTGTGAGGCATGGGTATGCTGGGAGGGGGAAACGCTAGACAAGAAGGGACCAATTTTATAATTATAATGTCCTTGATTATATCGTTGCATGGTTGTCGCGCTTGCCTGGCTCTCCGTGGTTATGCCTTTGGTCCTTGTCCGCATGCGTGGTGAGTCCTCGGTCTGTCATATCAAGGAGCGCTTAATGACCGCCTATACTCCGTAACGTACATTATCAGCGAGCGGGACATATCAGCGAGCGGGACACTAATTTCTTGGCACAACGCGTCCTTCCTCATCTACCTCTAACAACGCGTTTTTCCTACATCTAAAGATGTCTTCCACTTCAAAGGAAGCTAGGGTAACCTTGGCCCTCAAAGCTCTTGAAAATGATATAGAACTAAGCCTTCGAGCCGCGGCCAAGCTCTATAACGTGCCAGTTTCAACCCTCGGCTACCGACGTACCGGCCGGCCTATACAACGCGATCTTCCAGCCAATTCGAAGAAGCTTAACGTACATGATAAGCGAGCGACGCAGATAAGCGAGCGACGCACTTTCTACCACCCTACAGCAACTATCCTCAATTATAATACAACAACGCTAGCAACCAACTACAATTACATCAGAAATAGATGAATCAGATGATTCTACAGCCTCCTGGCAAGTGCGAGCATTATGGCCAGGCCTGCCGCATACCCCACAGCATCGAACCTTCGTACGAGCCCCCCCTGAACCGCTACCATCCGGCTGCGTTTCCTGCACTGCCTCCCCACCTACGGCGTTCTGATCTAGTAGATCCTTTGCATCTTGCATAGTAAGTGAACCTCCAAGCTGCACACGTGTTTTCTTGGCACGCCGGCGCTTGCTTAGTGCCTTATTGGCCTTGCGAAGCGAAGAGACCTCTGACCGAAGGAGGGCCACCTGGTGCATTACAGCCATCGTACCCTTGGCAAGCTGGTCTATAGCATCCAACATTGAAGTTGGGGAGCTATTTTGATGGTTCGCAATGCGAGTCTTGATGAGCGTTGACTGTGCGTCGGCTTCTCGTAGGTTATATGGTGTCTGGAAGACCTAGGGTTGCGTAGTGCTGGGCCGTGAGGTTGGGGGTGTTGGCGTACGAAGCTTTATATCTAGCTTAGAAAGCACCCGCTCTGGGTCGTATGGCACAAGGCCAGTCCCTGTAAAGCCACCCTGTACGTTCTTCTCTGTCATAGAAGCAAAGAAGGCTTCTCGGAAGGCATAGAGGAACTCAAGCTTGCTGATGTGGTTGATATGCATGCGCATTAAGCCCTCGATCTGGCGACCGTATGCCTGCTTGAGTGGCCCAAAGCAGCCAACATCGAGAGGCTGGAGCCTATGGGAAGAGTATAGAGGTATGCAGAGTGTGACGATGTTGTTCTGCTGGCAGTAGAGCTCGAATTCGGTTGAGTGGTGGCTCTCGTGGCCGTCGAGGATCAACAACCGGTATATGCCCTTTGTTCGAGGTGCCGTATAGTAATCGAAGTGCTTGATCCAATCCAGACCTACTATATTGGTAGTCCAGCCATTATCGGTGGTTACAATGCGCCAGGTAAGTGGTAGGTTGCACTCCCGGTACCAGTTACTCTGGTGGTACTGTGCGGCTAGGATGATGAACAGAGGGATAACCCAGCCAAGGGCGTTGACTCCCTGGATCACAGTCGCCCACTCCCGATTACTAGGCTAAGCTAGTTTTGCCTTGCCACGCCCATCCGAGGTTGTAACCACCATACCCGCAAAGATAACACCCATTATAAACCCAGTCTCATCAAAGTTGTAGATATCGTTATCGACAATCCTATATTTAGCCCTAGTATTCTACATAAGTGTAAACCACTCGCTGATGACCTGTGGATCCTCGTATTTAGCCCTCTGGTAGTCATACTTGCGTATATACCGCGTACAGAGCTCTGGCTGGCGTTTGACAAAGTTATAAGCCCAGCGTTTGCCGATAGGGGGCGCATCGCGTTCGCATAGTAGGTGGTTGGCTATATCTTCTATACCACTTAATCTAGGTAGGAATACGCGTATAGATAGCTCAGTTATATACTGAACTATTGACTTCTCTTCTAGATCCGTGAGCTTACGCGAGTTGGCTAGAACATCGCGTCTTGTAGCACATCCCTTGCGCCGGTGGCGAATCGTTGCTTCTGGAACGTTGTATAGCTTGGCTACCGCCCGGATACTGAGATTCTCGCTCTGTTGGATAGCTTCGAGGGCTAAAAGAAGCCTGGCTTCTTTTGAGGGGCTACGCATGGCTTGTTGCGGTGGTATTTGGTGGAAAAGTTTAGAGGAGGCGCGTCGCACTGAAAGTGCGTCGCTCGCTTATCTGCGTCGCTCGCTTATCATGTACGTTACCCAATCTGAAGAGGAGGCTATTGTTCAATATATTATTGAGCTATCTATACGAGCTTTTCCACCAAGATTGAGTGGTATAGAAGATATAGCCAACTAACTATTATACGTACGCGATGTGCCCCCTGTCGGCAAGCTCTGGGCGTATCGGTTTGTCAAATGCCAGCCAGAGCTCCGTATGCGTTATTCGCGAAGATACGACTACCAGAGGGCAAAGTACGAGGATCCGAAGGTCATTGGCGAGTGGTTCGCCCTTGTATAGAACGTCAAGGCCAAGTACAGTATTGTAGATGACGATATCTATAACTTCGACGAGACTAGGTTTATAATGGGCATTATCTTCCCGGGCATGGTAGTTACAACCTCGGATGGCTATGGCAAGGCGAAGCTAGCCCAGCCTGGCAACCGCGAATGGGCGATGGTGATCCAAGGCGTCAATGCCCTTGGCTGGGCTATCCCTCTGTTCATCATCTTAGCAGCGCAGTACCACCTCGCCAACTGGTATACCAAGTGCAACCTCCCGGCCGACTGGCGCATTACAACCACCGACAATGGCTGGACTACCAATGCAGTAGGCCTTGATTGGATCAAGCACTTCGACTACCATATAGCGCCTCGGACAAAGGGCAAATACCGGTTGTTGATCCTCGATGGCCACAAAAGCCACTACTCAACCGAGTTCGAGCTCTACTGCCAGCAGAACAACATTATCACGCTCTATATACCTCTACATTCCTCCTACATCCTCCAGCCACTTGATGTTGGCTGCTTTAGGCCGTTAAAGCAGGCGTACGGTCGCCAGATCGAGGACTTGATACGCACATATATCAACCACATAAGCAAGCTCGAGTTCCTTTATGCCTTTCGCATAGCCTTCTTTGCCTCTATCACCAAGAGGAATATACAGGGTGGTTTTACAGGGGCTGGCCTTATACCGTACGATCTAGAGAGGGTGCTTTCGAAGCTAGATATCAAGCTTCGTATAGCAACACCCCCAACCTCACGGCCAGGCACTATATAATCTTGGGTCTTCCAGATACTATACAACCCTCGAGAAGCCAAGTCATAGTCAACGCTTATTAAGACTCGTATTGCCAACCATCAAAATAGCTCCCCGACTTCAATGTTGGCTGCTGTAGACTAGCTTACCAAGGGTATGATGGCTGTAATATACCAGGTGGCCCTCCTTCAGGCAGAGGTATCTTCGCTCCGTAAGGCTAACGAGGCGCTAAGCAAGCGCCGGAGAGCCAAAAAAACACGTGTGCGGCTTGGAGGATCACTTACTGTGCAGGAGGCACAGGAGGTAGTAAGCCAGGGGGCTATAGGTGGGGAGGCAATGCAAGAAACACAGCTGGATGGTAGTGGTGCTGGGGGGGGTCGTACGAAGGTTCGGTGCTGTGGTGTGTGCGGCAAGCCTGGCCATAATGCCCGCACTTGCCAGGAGGGTGCAGAAGGGTCTGATTCATCTGTTTCTGACGTAATTGTAGTTGGTTCTTAGTGTTGTTGCATTGCAATTGAGAGTAGTTGTTATAGAGTAGTGGAGAGTGTCCCGCTCGCTGATATGTCCCGCTCGCTGATAATGTACGTTACCGGATATTCATATTGGCATCATTTCGGCATGATGATGCCTGCAAGCACCCCTTGTCGCTCTGCAATGCGATCAGATCGCTTGACTCGGGCTCGGCGATGCCCAAGCGAAGCCAAGCTTTTTGCATTTTCTTGGCTAATAAGCATGCAATATTTGACAACATAGGAAGATCAGCACGAGGGCAGGCGTGGCACGGGCAGATGGATCAATAAACCTCCTTAGCACAAGTTGACAGTGCAGGGTTAGTATTACGTACATATAAATCAGGTATCTGTATACGGATACCCACCCGGAAGTAGGTACATATGACACCGGGGAGGTCGCTATAACGTATTGCCATTCCTGTCTTAGAAAAGGCGTAAAACAGCGTCCACAGCCTGCAGGAGTGCTGGTAAACACGGCGGAGCAAATACTAAGTGTCTGCCGGGCCCCAGCGGCATGCTGCACCTGCGGACTACACGTGCATATGATATTCGCCCAACATGCAGGGCTGTTCCTAGTTCCCACGACGATACGAAAGGCGGGGAATGCGAGCCGCCACCGGGTGCTGACTGGCTGCTGACCAGCTGCTGGAGATCCCCGATCTCTCCACAGATCACCGCTAGGGATCTACCGGGTCCACGGGCGAGTCAGTTGCGTCTGTACTACATATTGATGACCCTTGCTGGGCGAGCTGACGGGCAGATTGTGGGACTGAGAGACCTTGCATATCAGGAACCGGAGCATATGGCAGTCAGGGACTTGTGAGTCTGATAGTCTTCCAGTATCCTATTTCCCCCCCCATATCTGATTCCGGTGATATCCTACACCATCCACGGGTTGGACGACTGCACCATGGCCATGCCACTATCGATGAACCCCCTGACCCTGCACATCTCCTCCGTCTTCCCCCCTTCGTCACGCACCATATTCCAGAACCGCGCGCCGTTGCTCCACATTAGGTTCGCGGGCCAGTGAACCGTCGTGCCATGCTCGCTGGTCGCCTCCAGCCCGTGGTTGGCGATCAGGACGGGCGAGAAGCGCGGAAGCCGCTCGGGCCGCGCTGCCTTCTCGCCCGGGTCGAACTTGTCCGACACGTACCACCACGCCGAGTCGCCGCACAAGGTCGGTGTCGGCGCTCCCTCTTCTCCGTGGGAGGACCAGTTCAAATCCTTGTCGCCTAACCCGTCGGTGGAGATTCCCGCCATGGGATCGCCCGCTGGGGATTGGAAGATGCTGATCTCAATGCTGACGGTGTGGTTGGTGTTGTCGCTTGGTTGGTACTTTGTGAAGGTGCTGCGTCGGCAGTAATTAGTAGGTCATTTGCCAGCTTGAGTCACTGAGCCGTGATCCAGCACAACCATCAACCTCTCGAGGTCCCAACTCACATATGCGCCAGATGTGGCTCGAGGATTTCCAAGCGGACCCGAACTGTATCTGAGCTGTTGAAAACTAGGAGACGGACAAAGCAGCCCAGCTAGATCAGTCCCGGTGCCGCGTAGTACGATACGTATCGCCTGGGGGAAGCAGTGATTACTACTAGTACTAGTACATACCAAATCGCTCATCTCCTTTCGTTTCCGGTAACGTCTCCGGGGCAAACACCGGTGAAATCTGGAACACCAGTTTTCCCCCTTCATTTACCCCGGGCAAGGTGGAAAACGCCTGCACGCCGGCGCTGAGACGGGTCGAGCAGTCGTCGCCGCAACAGAGCGCGACGCAGCTGTTCACGTAGGGGTAGTAGGAGGCATTATCCTGCTGCCTCCCGGTCACTGCAGGGTCGTAGGCAGGGTCGTAAGCCACCTGCGGGACCGTGAAGGTAGCCTCCACTGCTGAGAAGCTGCCTCGGTCGGGGAAGTCGCGCGCATGCATGCTGAGCCCGCACATGTCTTGTCGCGTTTTCGTGCCGTGTACCAGGGTGGGAAAGGCAAGAGCGAGGAAGGCGAGGTTGAGAAGGCCGTTGAGGATCCGTGGCCGATGCATCTTGCGCTATGAAGTGTTCGGTCAGTAGCGGGCGGGTTTTGAAGAATACTAGTTACCTAGTAGATGTTGAATAAGCAAGATGATGTACGGAGCGGGAGCAGAAGTGGAATTCTCATGGCGTGAACTCCCAGATGATCAGACTTCTATCTTTAATACCCCCTCGTAAATCATTTTGGGGGGGCTCATGACCTGCGACCTGGCAAAGTAGAGATGGATGGTGAGTTCCAGAAGGCTCTCCTTCATCAACAATGCCAGGTCACAAGAGGCTGGCTGCTGAAACGTGGAGTCAGAGTTCTTCCACCGGATGGCAGCACAGCACACGGCAAGCGCGCATGAGCAGTCATCCCACTCTTAGCATTATGTGACTTGAACGGTGTCCGGCCTCTCTCACTCAGCCGCAGGTGGTTTTCCGGGACGGCCAACCTCCAATACCAGGTTTCCTTCGTCTGAAGAATCACATGAATGCCTCGTCAGAGCCGGCAACATGTTATTGTTGGCTACCCAAAGTCGGCTTGTCATTTATGAAAAGGATGCCAAGGTACTTTTGGTTGGACGTTTGCCCACTTGCTGGTGCTAGCACTAATCACCGAGCTGAGTGACCGTGCCCAGACCAGCAACAACCACTGTCACACGAAAAGATCAGCTCAGCACTCAAACTGGGAGCTCGACACCCGGCAGCCTGTTTGTGGACGTACGTGCAGCGGCAGTGATGATGTACGAAGCGATGGTCCACGCCGTCTGAATAACGGCCACCTCATCCGCCTCCGGTCCTCGCGGTCTGTACATGTACCACAAGGCAATCACCAGGCTCAGCACCACGGGACTCATGACCCAGAAGACGATCTTGGTGGCAGACCATCGGAGCAGCAGGCGAAGCGCATATTCCCCAACTTCTGGATCGAGGACACCCGCGTTCAGCTCCTGCCTCACCCATGTAAGCCAGCGGTCGCCCGGGTCGTGCGTGCCGGAGTAGTCGCGGTATAGATCGTTCAGGATGCGCTGGGTGCGGTTGTCGACGGGATCCATGATGTGGTATCCGTGAGAAGGCACACACCGGTACAGTCCGAAACCGGCGACTCTCTTGAGCGAGAGGAGCCTTCGACCCCAGGGTCGTAGCTTTCGCTCAGCCCTTCTGATCTGCTTGAACAGATGTCCGTCTTGAGGGTGTCCACCAGCTGGTGGCAGAACTGGCAGGATGACTTCCTCCGGAACCCGCTGCCGTTCGTCTTGCCACATTCCAACCACGATGTAGTCCTTGTCGGGGAATCCCTCGTTCGCCTTCTTGGTCCTTAGGGTCTGCCTGGTCTCCACCGCTTCTTCCCCGGATCCTATGACAGTGGCGAACGACGTGTGGATAGTCTCATGGGTGTTTGACCGGGCGCACGGGCGTGTGATGGTTGTAGAGGTATAATCTCGGGATACTCGGACTCTGTGAGAGAACATTCCGGCCTCCAAGCTCGCAGCGATAGTTCTCACGCGAGTGGTCTTCGCGATAGGTCGTGGTGGAGGCGGCTCCCGAAGGCGAATCGTTCTGTTTGGGGCCTCGTCCGCCCTGTCCGGATGTACGGTCGGCGCAGTATCCTGATCGTGGCTAGCCATCCGAATGTTTTTGAGAATCAACACACACTTGCGTAAACTCAGGTCGGTCCCTTGTTGCACAATGCGGCGCTGGCAGAAATAACGAATACAGGTGGGATTAAGGGTGGAAATTGGAATGCAATCGCGGGGGTTGATGCCAAATTGCCAAAATGCAGGTGACCTGCCGGCAGCCACCCTCAAGGAGGTTCAGCTGAGCAGCTCCATGTGACCCTCTAGAGGGCTTACTAGACTCGTGCAACCGACTCGAACTTAACATGTCAGTTTCTTGGGAAAAGGCCATTCCCATGTATATTCTGGGGTCAATTGCTTTTGATTCACTTACGTCCACTTATCATTCATTATCTTTAGCGAATAACGTATCTTATAAGCGAGCCGGCCATATAAGCGAGCCGGCCACTCTCCACTACACTACCAACAATATCCTCAATCACAAAACAACAACACTAGGAACTAACAATAATTACATCAGAAACAGATGAATCAGACCCTTCTGCACCCTCCTGGCAAGTGCGGGCATTATGGCCAGGCTTGCCGCACACACCATAGCACCGAACCTTCGTACGACCCCCCCCAGCACCACTACCATCCAGCTGTATTTCTTGCATTTCCTCCCCACCTACAGCCCCTTGGCTTACCACCTCCTGTGCCTCCTGCACAGTAAGTGATCCTCCAAGCCGCACACGTGTTTTTTTGGCTCTCCGGCGCTTGCTTAGCGCCTCGTTAGCCTTGCGGAGCGAAGACACCTCTGCCTAAAGGAGGGCCACCTGGTGCATTATAGCCATTGTACCCTTGGTAAGCTGGTCCACAGCAGCCAACATTGAAGTCGGGGAACTATTTTGATAATTGGCAATGCGAGTCTTGATAAGCGTTGACTGTGTCTTGGCTTCTCAAGGGTTGTATGGTGTCTGGAAGACCCAAGATTGTACAGTGCCCGGCCGTGAGGTTGGGGGTGTTAGTGTACGAAGCTTGATATCTAGCTTCGAAAGCACCCTCTCTGGATCGTATAGTATAAGGCCAGCCCCTGTAAAACCGCCCTATATATTCCTCTTGATGATAGAGGCAAAGAAGGCTGTGCGAAAGGCACAAAGGAACTCGAGCTTGCTTATATGGTTGATATGCGCACGTACCAAGTCCTCAATCTGGCGACCGTACGCCTGCTTCAACGGCCCAAAGCAGCCAACATCAAGTGGCTGGAGGAGGTAGGAGGAATATAGAGGTATGCAGAGCGTAATAATGTTGTTCTGCTGGCAATAGAGCTCGAACTCGGTCGAGTGGTAGCTTTCGTGGCCATCGAGGATCAACAACCGGTATTTACCCTTTGTCCGAGGCACTATATAGTAGTCGAAGTGCTTGATCCAATCAAGGCCTACCGCATTAGTAGTCCAGCCATTCTCGGTGGTTGCAATACGCTAGTCGGCCGGGAGGTTGCACTCTTGATACCAGTTGGCGAGGTGGTACTGCGCCGCTAAGATGATGAACGGAGGGATAGCCCAGCCAAGGGCATTGACGCCTTGGATCACCGTCGCCCATTTGCGGTTGCCAGGCTGGGCTAGCTTCGCCTTGCCACGGCCATCCGAGGTTGTAACCACCATACCCGGGAAGATAATGCCCATTATAAACCCAGTCTCATCGAAGTTGTAGATATCATCATCTACAATGCCGTACTTGGCCTTAACATTCTGCACAAGGGCAAACCATTCGCCAACAACCTTCGGATCCTCGCACTTGGCCCTCTGGTAGTTGTATCTATACGTATAACGCGTCCGGAGCTCTGGCTGGCGTTTGACAAAGTTATGCGCCCAGAGCTTGCCGACAGGGGGCGCGTCGCATACGCGTAGCAGTTGGTTGGCTATATCTTCCATACCACGCAGTCTCGGCGGAAAAGCTCGCTCAGATAGCTCAATTATATACTGAACAAGAGCCTTCTCTTCGGAATCGGTGAGCCGGCGCGAGTTGGGCGTAGTGTCGCGTCGTATAGGCCGGCCCGCTAGTCGGTCTTGCAAGGTTGTTCGTCGAACGTCGTAGTACTTCGCTGCAGCCCTTATGCTTAGTTTTTGGTCTTTTTGTATCGCTTCGAGGGCTAGGTTTATCCTAGCCTCGTACGAAGAAGAAGACATGTTAGGTTGTAAAGAAAATCTGGTTTTAAGCGCGGAAGTGACGCGTCGCGGGTAAAGTGGCCGGCTCGCTTATATGGCCGGCTCGCTTATAAGATACGTTACAACAATCGATACCTTTTTTTGCGTCTGATGGAGCAGGCTAGGAAATCGTCCTCATGTTCCCATCGTAACAACTTTGTAAGGTTCATCACCGACCTCTCGCCATCTTGGCTTTCGTGCTCTCGTCTGTCGGGTCTCCTGCGCACGCTTACTGCAGGTATGCTAGCTGGCAAGTCAAAGAGACACTAATATACCTAGTAGGTGAAAAAGAAAGTCAGAGAACGACTTAACGCATGGCGTTCCCACTTTCAGAACGCGGCTGAGTGGTACAATGTGTGATCCAGTCTTGTGTGATGTACGTGATCCAGGTCTCTAAGCAGTCACGACAGGTGGACTGACCGACTTTAGTTTAGTACTAGTACTCATAAGCTTCTCATTTCTATCAGAGAGGCTTATTATTAGCAACGCCTGCACAGCCCCCCGAGCAATATCAGTTAAATAGGCCTCTAACTAGCCATCGGGTATGGGGATAACGGCTATGAGTACTACAACGAATTCCCGCGCACATATGTACAAACCCAGGATCTAGTCAAGGCGCACATCAGTTCGACGGTCCTAAATATGGTACCTACCACGTGGTGAGACCATCGATCGATCGCTTGCGGGCCGTTCCCGTTTCGGTCGGCGCGTCCGGAACTTCCGGGATGAGCTGCTTGAAAGGAATCGTACATGATCGAAAAGCCGCAGGAGCTGAGCTGAAGTTCAGCTGGGTGGTGGCTGCTTGGCGGACGGAAATCAGGCAAGTGGAGTCTTTGTTTGCTCCTCACCCCACCGATCTATTCGTGGGCTTTTCCGGAGCGGATCCGAGAGAAAAAGCCAGCGAGACAAGCTTAACTCACTATAGACTAGACGGGTGGGATACCGTAGGAATATTGGCAAAGAATGCGGGATGATGATCGGCGACCACCCGAGTGGTGAGGTGCGCATGTGCCGATGCTGCCGACATACTACTATTTATGAGGGATGGCCGGCCCTATTTGCTCTAGGAACGACCTCTCGCAGTCAGCGACCTTGAAGACCTGACTCCTAGCCTCAGCCCTCGACGAAGGAGAACCAAGACAATGAGGCTCATCGAATCCCTCGTCTGTGGGCTCACCGCCCCTCTGGGCGTATTCGCTGGTTGCGTGGACGATAAGTGTCTTCGAGGTGTGTAACTGACAATGCTACCTCATGCAATATGCGTCTGAGAGTGTATGCGGCTTCTGGACTAACGCAAGTTCTCTTCCTCTGTCAAGCCGTCGCCAAGACCCCCAATGCTGGCCGGAACGGGACGGCCGACTGCGAGGCCTATCTGCGGTTCACGACCACAGTCACGGCAGTCGAGACAGTCACGGCATCGACGGAAACGCTGGTCCGCGACCAGACCACCACGGTGGCACAGACACTAACGGTCGTCGAGACCGTCACAGCCACGCAGACAGTCCCGCCAGCCAGCAGCGGCAGTGTCGTCTTCGTCAGGGCAGCAGCAGCCAAGGCATCCGAGAAGAAACCGGAAATCCCGCCCTATGCTCACGGACACTGCCGGTCGTTCGAGCAATACCAGTCGGCGTGCTCCCGGATCGGCGTCCTGCCCACCACCATCACGGTGGCCGGCGCGACAGTCCAGACCTCGGTCACCGCCACGACGGTCGTGACAAGCGTGGTCACGGTCCCGACGACAAACGCCGCGGTGAGCCTCACAACAACGGCCACGGCCACGGTCACGGCCACATCCACCCCGGAGACCCCCAACATCGTGCCCAACGGCGGGTTCGAGAGCGGCACGCTCGACGGGTGGACGGTCGCCGACAACACGACGGGCGAGGTGGTCAGCCCGGGATCCCACTCGTCGTTCTGCCTCCGGCTCGGGCCCATGGACGGCGGGGGCCGCGAGACGGGCCCCTTCCCGCTCCACCAGGTCCGGACGACAGTGTCTGCGACCCGCGGCGCAAACTACAGCTGCAGCTTCGAGTGGGCGTTTGAGAGATACGTCCTCAGTGCGATGAACCATTTGCCCGCGCTCTACGTGTACGTGAACGGCGCCATTGTAGCGACTCCCTTCATGCGTGGACAGCCCGAGGTGTGGCAGACTTGGCGGGCGCAGTTCAACTATACTTCCATGGGCGAGGATCTGCTGGAGTTTATGGCCTATAGCGCCCAGGACGCGTCCTCGAGGGGGGAGAATTACTTCAAGCTCGACAATGTCGTCTGTGTCCCTGCCGCCTAGGTCTGCATGCGGGCACGACTGTCTGAGTCATGGATCGGAAGTGGTTGTTGGGTTTAATACTGAGAACGTGGTTGAATATGTCGCACCAGAGTCGGGATATGCTAGGATGGTAGTGACTGAGGGAGGATGACCATTGCGAGATATATACTATATCATATCGTATAATACGCTGCAGATGATACGAATTAGTACCAGTACAACGTAGGGACCTCCCGCGGCGTATTCTATAATCTCCAGTTTGCGGCCTTACACAATGCTGCCATACTCAAAACACCTACGCACCACACCTAAGGTAGCCTTTCCTACCTCGACTCGCGGCCTTGCTCCAACCTGCTCGCCCACCGCCTAACCTTCTTCCTCAGGCCCACCACCTCACCATCCGCCTCCGCCCTGACAACCCCCTCGCCCAGCACCTCCAGCGTCTTGCTCGGCAACCGCAGCCCGGCCCCTCCTCTGGTCGGCGTCGTCGGCGTCCCTGGCCCCGTCCCGTCCGCGCCGCCGCGATGGTACTGCAAGCTGGGGATCCACGCCCAGGCAAACACGGTCGCGAGCGCCATGACAAAGCCGTAGGCCACAAACACCCAGCCCAGGCCGGAACTATTCGCATCCGCCACGCGCACGCCGTCGATGGTCCAGGTCGGCAGGCTGGCCTGCACAATGACGGACCCCAGCTTGCCCGTGGCGGCGGCGATGCCGTGGCAGGTGGCGCGGTAGCGGGTGGGGAACAGCTCGGCGGGGATGACGAAGGTCAGCGTGTTGGGCCCCAGGTTGAAGGAGAAGTGGCAGAGCGCGACCAGCACGATGCTGACGGCGTGCAGGTCGTTGTGGAACACGGCGAAGAAGCTGCCGCCGGTGACGAGGAAGAGCGCCGCCATCCAGAGGAAGGAATACGTCAGGAACTGCCGCCGCGGCACGTAGTCGATCAGCAGGAGTAGCATGACGCAGCCCGACACGGACCCGATGCACACCGTGATCAGGTTCTGCACCGCGTTGTCCCGCAGCGCCTCGAAGCTGCTGGCGCGCGGCGTTCGGGTTCCAACTCGGCACGTTGTTGTGGTTGTGCGCCACCGTTGTGTTGTTGTTGTTGTTGTTGTTGTTGTTGTTGTTGTTGTTGTTGTTGTTGTTGTTGTTGTTGTTGTTGTTGTTGTTGTTGTTGTTGTTGTTGTTGTTGTTGTTGTGGTTGTTGTTGTTGTTGTTGTTGTTGTTGTTGTTGTTGTTGTTGTTGTTGTCGTTCGGCTTGTACGTCCAGAGCTTGGCGAGCGTGGAAAGGTTGCCCATCCCCAGACCGTAGAATGCACTTCGTTGTTGGGGGTACATACTAGTCAGTATATAAAAAAAGGAGTAATAAAGTGCGGTCTACGTAACAGGCCGGACGGGAAGAACTCTCTCACATATCGAGCAGGAACCAGCACATGGACGTCCCGGCCAGGCTGCGCCAATTGCCCTGCACCACGAAGTAATCGACCATGTCCTCGCGCGAGAACTGTCTGGGGAGCTCCCCGTCCCGATGGAGCGGTTGTAGGGCACCACCGCCGTTGGCGACGGGCGGGTGTTGTTCCAGGCCATCGGGGCCGACTTCCTGCATCTCGGGCCGTGCATAGTGCCCATCATCGGGGTTTGGCCCCGGCGTCGACACGCGGCGGTAGCGGTACAGCAGCATGGTGTTCTGCACGGCGCGAGTGCCCTCGTCCCGGACGTCGAGGTCGTACAGGCCGGGATCGTCGATCTGGAAGCGGAAGATGATGGCGACGAGGGCCGGGATGGCGCCCACGCCCGCCACCCAGCGCCAGATGCTGTCAACGACGCGGCCGCAGTTGCCGTTGTCGTCGCTCGGCGCGTGGCAGGACTGCAGGTTGTAGCCGCTGCTGTAGCCGAGCAGGACGCCGAGCGCAACGAGTTGGGAGATGAGCTGCCCCAGCGGCTGCATGAGGAACACGGCCACCATCATCTTGGCCCTGGCCTTGGTAGAGGCCCATCTGAGATCGACACCGTTGTCAGCATTTTACATTTTGCCTCAAAGAAAATACCGGCGGGACTTTGCCTGGGGGCGGCGGTTACTCTGTGCAGATGGAAGCGGACAGCGGATACTGCAAGCCGGTCAGGACGAAGGATCCCAAGACATTCGGGCCGGTTCACAATTCATGCCTCTGCTCCTATTCCCACGCCCATAAGAAACCGCATCGCCACGAGCCACGGCAGGACGGCGATGGAATTCCCAAAGCCCGTGGAGCTCGCCGACAGCGCAATGGTCGTGAATCCAACAATCACGAGCTCAATGCCATAGAGCCGCGTCCGGCCGTATTCTAGTTCCTCGTTAGTCGACGCTGTAGCTTATACATGGGACAAAAATGAGGATGAGCGATTACTAACTGTCGGCGAGGAAGCCAAACAGAAGCTGCCCGATGAGCGACCCGCCCAGGGTCATGCAGTTGATGAGCGACTCCCGCCAGCCGTTCGTTTCCTCAGGCCAGTAGACGAAGGCCAGCGACGGCAGGATGGCGTTGGTAGCGAACAGGTTCCACGAGTCCGTCAGGAAGCCGCTGGCCGCGACGGCGAAGACGAGCCATCGGAAGCCGTACGAGTCGATGGCCCGGCGGATGAAGCGCCGTTTCTGCTGCCGAGTCTAATAAAGGTGCGTGCAAGCGTCAGTTGGATCACGTACTTGCTACTAGTACGTGTACCGACAAAGTTGAAACTTGAACCCATCCGCGAAACCAGAATATAGACGCAACGCCATACCGTTAAGTTCTCCGGGATCTGCGGTCTTGACGCTGCCGATCCCATTGTGTGCTGAGGGACGATCCGGGGTACCTTACAACACCTTTTGTCAGGGGATCGACCGAACCGAACGAACCGCAGATGAGACGGGACGGCCTGGGGACCATAATGGCCTCCAGTTGAGCCGCATCCCGGAGGCGTCCGCGAGGCTCTCTAGAACACGGGCTGGGGTGAGTAGAAGGTTAAATTGCCCCTACGCTCAGCCGCAATGCCCGGAGCTGGACTAGCATCTTCATTGAGGATGAGCCCCCGCCACCCCACTACTACACGTGTAGGTGCGAGGCCGTCGGGTCTGGACTGGACCCCGTTAGTGCAGGGCTTGTGTCAGCACAGGTATGGATAACATCATAACAGGCCCATGTTCGGTGAGCCCAGTGTCGTGCTTCGGTATGTCCTTGCGGACGCTTCTCAAGCACCATAAGCGCTACTCGCCTACCATATCAGGCCGGGCCCGGCCGCGGAAGGACGCGAAGCTGGGTGGTGCTTGCGCAGCACACCGGTTCCCCTTTTTTGTTTTCAGCTTGCCCATTCTCTATGTAACTTGGCTGCTGGAGCGCCCTGCAGCATTTTAGCCATCTTCACCCCCGTCCGCAGACATGCACCATTTCCCGATCGAGGTCTAGCCCCCGGCGAGGCGTGCAAATTCCGCTGTCCCAAATCGGGACGGCACGCCCCCCACGTGCTGTCAACGCGCCCTCTGCTTGGAAGACAGTTTGCCGCCGGGGCTATTGGACTGAGCGTCCCACGGATGCAAGCGAGATGCATCGCAAGGCTGCCATGCCCTCGACACGTGTACCTCGCAGTCGACTGGCCTGGACTCTGGAAGGAGGGCATGTTTCCCAGAGCCTCCCAGTGTCCGACGATCCGGGCCCTCGGTGACGGTTTTTGTCGTCCTTCCCGATCTGCACCCCACTCGATGCTTATCCTTCCCTTATTACTTTTGTATGATATACCGATATAATAAGACATTATTATAAGTGTTTTGGCAGCGTCATGAGCGCTCCTGGCGTTGGCGTCAACGACATCCTCGTCTTTATCAAGAAGTGCAAGGACATCTACACCAGCTTCGCGAGCGAGTACGACAGCGCGCCAGGGCGCGTGCAGGAGCTTGTGGACACGTGCAACTACCTGTCGACCGTGTTCAAGGATGTGACGGCCGTGGAGGGCGATGGCATGCCGCCGGCGCTGCAGCGCACCTTTGAGCGCAAGCTCGAGGAGTGCAACCACTTCATCGAGAGGTACCGCTCGCTGAAGAAGGACTACCTCGCCGAGCATCATGCCTCGTCCATGACGGAGCGCTTGCGCCGCCACTGGGACACGACGTGGCAGACGGGGCTGCACGCCTTTGAGCTCAAGAGCGCCAAGGAGCTGCGCGATGCTCTGGAGCTCGAGACCGTAAAGCTACTTGCCTTTCTCATGACCTCGATGCGGTGCGCACCCTTGTTCTTGTTCTTTGTTCTGATGATGCAGTGATCCGTTTGTTGGGAGGGTGGGGAGTGTTGACTTGGGACCTCCTGTCCCTTTTGCTGCAGGAACCGCGCCAACAACGACACCTCCCTGACCAACTCAACACACCATGCGCCCGGCTATGACCCGACATGGATCGAGAATCTGTTCGCGCGACTGCGGTCCATCAACAACCGGTACTGGCGGGAGATCAGAGCGTCAACGCAGTCCATGCTAACGGGAACCGGAGCCTCCCGCGAGCCTGACCTCTCGGGCGTCTACGCCGAGATGTTTGGTGTGTGGAATGACTTCTGCGCGCGTGCTGGCCTGCCGGAGTCGTCGCGCACTTCGCTGCCCATCGACCGGCTGCTGGCAGCACCGGCATGGAGCCGGGCCGGCGCCGTCATCAACGCCACCGCGCCGTCGGTGCATTACGGACTCCCGCGGCCTGGACGCGCCCAGACGGTGGATTCGGTATTATTGGTGGACGGGCCAGACTCGTTGTCGGCATCCCCCAACATTTTCATGCTCACCCAACCGAGCTCAGGCAGGTTCACGCTGCCCACTCCGTCCAGCGCAACCACGCCGCTGGGAATCCCCTGCGAGACTCCCGTCGTGTTTCAGTCTCCTTCCAGTCCCGTTCCTCTGCCCGACTTATACCGGGCAACGGTCTACGTGACCCTGGTCAACGAGAGCTTGAAGCTTACGGAGTGGAGGGTTGACCGCTCGGGTGCCATGGCAAAGATCATATGGACAGCCGAACGACCGCCCGGTGTCTTGGAGCATATCTGTAAGGGAAACCCGTCACCCCACATATCTCACACACCGCTCTCGACGTGGGGATGCCGTTTCTCGCTAACCCGCACATGTCCCCCCTTGCTCACAGTCCCGAAAGACGTCTTCCCCGAAACCCTGCACAGCTCCCAGCGCAGAACGATGCACGTCACCTTCCCCTATCCCAAAGACGGCGAAGAGCACCACCTCATTTGGCGACCAGACGACGGATCGCATTCCCGCACCATCCGCTACGACCGAATCATCCCAGAGTGCTACTTCGTCTCACCCGAAGCCCGGCGCGTCTTCCAAAGCCACGTCCGCGACAAGGACCTCGTCGACGGCGGCACCTTCGACACCGACGTGATCTGGACCGACCGCAGCGAGGCGCGCTACGAGAAGCGCGAGTCGTACGCCCAGGACCTCAAGCTGTGGCGCGGGCGGCGCGGCCGCCTGCACGAGGGCCGCTACTCGCTCTCGTTCAACGTGACTAACTTCGGCGCCTACTCCAACCGCCATGTCGAGTGCGAGCTGCACCGCTTCGTGCCCACCGCGCGTACGGGCGGGAAGGATCCTCGCGTGGTGTATCTCGACTTCGCCGCCGGCAGTGACGGGCGGGCCACTAGTCAGAGCAGTAGTACGGCTGCGACGGACGAGCTGGGGGATACTAGTGGCGGAAGTCAGGCGCCCGGCTCGCCTCCGCAGCAGAGGAAGAAGAGAGGGCTGTCGGGGATCTTTAAAAGGACTTCACAGTCCGTCGAGAAACCCAAGGCGAAGAGGGTCTCGGTTTCCTCTCATAGGTCTCTTCAGCTCTTCGCCTTGGAACACGACTTCTTCGCCAACCTGCGGTACCTTGCCGTAGAGTTTAGCCATGTCGAGGACGCCGGCGGGCACCTGGTTGAGACGGGCTCGAGTGGTAAGCTAATCAGTTTTCTTCCTCTCCCCCCCTTCCCCCCCAACCTTTCCTCCACAACCCAGCACCAACAGACAGCCGAAGCCCGTGACCATAGTACTAAGCTTTATTTATTCCGACTTCAACTAGTCGCCAACCGCTTCCGGAAGCTTTTTGACGAGAAACGCAGAGAGGAGGCCAACAGATCCCCCTTCTCCCTGCCCAACCGCCACTTCATCACCGTGAACTTTGACGACCTGGGCGAGTCGGCCGTGTCTGTGTCCAGCCACGAGGAACCGCCGCGGCGCGCCAGTCGAGACGTGTCGCCGACCTCGCTCTCTCCGACGACGCACCTCCAGAGCCCACCGGGCAGCGGCCGGGCTAGGACACCGTCTGACCTCCTCGGCGTGCAGTATGCGCAGTACCAATAATAAAGGCTCAGCCCTTAAATAACTCGATCAAATGTCTTGGCACACCCGAATCAAACTAGCGCCACAACCCGCGGACCTTCAAGCTGATGACGACTTGGCCCGGCGGGCACAAACTGTGGGCAACCAGCAAACGCGACAAGACCTAGCGTAACCTCCATGTGATTGGGTCCCGCAATTGCAAAGCTGCCAAATATCTTGGCTTTCAGAGTATGTAATGCTGCTCCCCATCATTTTTTCTCCCGGCAGAAAATAGATCATGGACTGACTTGCTACCAAGCACTTGACGAAAGTTCACGTCGGCCTAGACATGAAGCCACAGTACCTCTAGCGCCGCCGCAGACCAACCAGAGACATGTAGTCCATGGGGCAAAAGGCACCAACCAGGCTACGGAACTTCAGAAGCTGTAGTACTGATCTTGTATCATGACTGGAACCTCGGAGTACGGAGATACACTGGTAATGGAGATTGCGGGTATCGTGATGTTGGCATCATGTTGCTCGTCTGAGAGGCAATAGCCGACGAAGGTGAAGCCGATGCAGACAATGGTCTATGTCAAGCTCTCATCAGAGCTGTCCTTGAGGCTGTGCAAACTGGCCCTCTACCTATCTGGTAGTTGTTGGACAGGTGCCGCTGCGCCGAGTGAAGTTTCACCAGGATGATCGGAAATTGAAATGTTCGCCGACAGCGCAGTTGAAATCGAAGCGCTGCCAAGAAACCCCACACTTACCCCACAATACGCTAGCGCAAGGTTGGTTAGCGCCCAAGGGGGCTGAGGCACTGCCAGTAGGCCAGCTGGCTCACCCCACTCCACTGCAAGTTGCAACTTCGACTTCAACTCGATCACGGTCAACGAATCCTCGAAGCGCCACCAAGTAATAGTGAGATTGAAGCGGGACCTGGGTTGACTCGGTCATTCTGGCTTTCGGCGTTTGCATCGTACAAGACTTACAATATCGGGGTGTAGAGAACTCCCACCGGTCATGGAAAGCCTCAACTGGCAGCATGCAATTGCAGAGTTGCCGACGCAACCTTTGTCGACCGCCTCAAGTCCACAACCAACCCAACCTTGGTAGGGAATCTCGAGATACCTACCTACGCAGATCAGCCAGTGTAAGCTACCTTAACTAGGCATTGAACTTGTGACAAGGGCCCTTTCGGAGCCTAGATTTGGTCCTCACCCTTCCATTTCTCACGACACATGACCTCATTGGCCCCTTCACTGGTGTTCAATTCGGCCCCTCATTCTCCAACTTCCCCTCAGTTCTGTGGCGTCCGGCACTACGCATCGCAATACCTTACCTAAACCTCCAACTTCCAACATCGCAGGTACCGAGCCCTGAATGGCTTGACCAGGCGATCGGTAAGCTTGGCGCACGGCGTCATACCAGGGGGTCGCCAGGTCCGGTACCTAGTAGCGAACGGGTGGATGGTGCGTCCTACACCAGAATCACGGTCAGCATGCACCCTGGAGCCAAGGATCCGACTCATCCGACGGATTGATGGCACGAAGTCAAGACGGCCGTATAACGCGGAGCAGATGTCGCTTCAACGCGTTTACCTCGTAGCTAATCCCGGCTGATTCCGCTGCCGCACCACCATGGAGGCCAGGCATGGGTGACGAACGGTTGTACCCACCCAACAAGATCGCTAGATCGCTAATTCTTGCTGTCTTGGTCTTAACATGTCCGCGTGCGTCCGCTGGCTGGGATCCAGGATTATTTAAGGCGTCAACAGTGAATATGATTGCTTCGACGGTCGAAGGGGCGGCCTTAGACGCCACTAGGTAGCGTCGCACTTGATCTGGTTCCGAAGCTGAGTGGGACCATGGGGGCGCGCCAAAGTGCTGGGAAGCTCCACGGATCACGGTATCCGAATATGGATGCGCTATTCGCGAACAGATCTGGACTGTAACCCGGTTCGAACAGGCCTGGCCATGCTCTCTCTTTACGACAAGCATGCATTGGTTACATTCTCCGGGCCATCAACGCATTAGGTCTCCCAACAACATCCCAACCAAAGTGTTTGTTCAGCGCCAGAACTTGGTCGTTCACACTTCACAACACCCAGACAGCCAAGCAATCAACTACCGCCATCCCGCTTTTAGGGTTGCAGTGTCTGTATTGTACATACCCTACCATTCGTCTGAGTTGTCAGCCGATGATACCGTACCAGCAGAGGATAAGCTAGCTTGGGTAACAGCGGTGTGTGTGCTCTTATAAGCAGGCCGTCAACCCCACGAGCCGGCCCTGTCTGTCCGGCCCACTCCAGATCGTTCCCCTCTGCTCCAGCCCAACTCGCCGTTCAGACAATTGGCAAGGGAGTCCGAACAACAACTTGGAATATCATGAGTCCTGAAGCGGCCGGAGGCAGGCACTTGGTGCACAGGTACAGCACTCCACGCCCCGGTGTATAGTCCGCTTCGCGTTCGCCGTAATATTAACATGTTCCCCCAAGCCATGCTAAGGAGGGCGACATACCGGGCACTGTGGACTTGACTGCTAAAGGTACGCTTCCCATAAGGCAGCTGCCCCCCTCTCTCACAGCACTGGCAGACAGTAGCTGACAAGCCTTACTGATTAGAGGGCGACGACACGGCTTACGGACAAGCTCTCTACCCGGTGCCGGCGGAGGACCCCAACGACCCACTGCAGGTTCGTGCCCCCTTCGGAGATCCCGATCCTTTGCGCAGCTACTCCGGCAGACTGAGATTGACACGACCTGACGCAGTGGTCCAACACCCGCAAGAGCCTGATTCTTGTCGTCTGCTCGCTTTACTCTTTCCTCAGCAACTCGGCCCTGCTCGGCCCTGCGGTGTACATTGGCATATATGCGCAAGAATTTGACATCACCCCGAATGAGGCGAGCAATCTAATCAGCTACGCGAATCTTGCGTTTGGCTTCGGTAGGTACTACTACTTGGCTCTGGCAGCAATCCCATCGAGCTATGTACAAGGAGTGTCAATTGACAGCATGTGTTCCAGGGTCTCTGCTGCTGGTGCCCTCCTATCACAAGTTCGGCCGCCGGCCGGTCATGTTGCTATCCCTCGTCTCGGTAAGGAAGGGCCAAGAAGACATTCCTGGGTTTCCAACCCATACTGTGTGAACACAAAAGACTTACCTAAGCTGGCAGTACTGTGCCGGGCTCCTTGCCTGCTCGCAAGTGACGACTTATGGCGGGCTGATGGCCGCACGAGTCATCCACGCCTTCGGCTCGTCTGTGTGCGAAGCGCTCCCTGTGCAGTTGGTCAATGACATCTTCTTCCTCCATGAGCGCGGCAAGCGGCTAGGCTACTACACAGGTGTGTCCTCCCCATCGCCGCCAGCTGGGGCCAGCGTTTCTGAATACGAAGTTCTCAGTTTGCCTCTGCTTCGGCTCCACGGGCCCGCTCTTCGCCGGATACATGTTGGCAGGCGGCTATTCGTGGCGCCTCTTCTTCTACGTCGAGTTCGCCTTCGCCTGCGCGCTGTTGATCCTGGCCTTCTTCGTCGTCGAAGAGTCGCTGTACCACCGCGCCCCGCGCCCGGAGCCGGTCCAGGAGTCGTCCAGCTCCCAGCACGACGACAAGGAATCCATGGCCAACGCCGTGCACACCGAGAACCCAGCGGACCTCACTAACGTGCCACCGCGCAAGACCTTCCTGCAGACGCTGAAGTTCTGGGGCGTCTACGAGCGAGACGCCGACTTCTTCCTCATGATGGCCCGCTCCTTCACCTACTTCCTGGTCCCCCACGTGATGTGGGTTATCACAACCTACGGTATGCGTCCTCTCCTCCCATCCCACCCCCTTTCTATCGTGCCTCAGCACCCCCAAGAGGATCCCAAACTAACTATCCACTTATTAGGAATCTATATCGGCCTAGGCGCGCTAACATTCAACTACACCTTCCCGCTGAAAATCACCGCGCCGCCCTACAACTGGTCCGAGACCTCGTCGGGTCTGATCGCAGTGGCCTCTTTCCTGGGCTACCTGCTGGCCATCCCGTTCACGACGTCGTCGGACCGTCTTGCCGCGCGTCTGACGCGCAAGAACAACGGCATCCGTGAGGCCGAGATGCGCCTGGGCGTCATGCTACCCGTCATGTTCCTGGCGCCCGCGGGGCTGGTCGTGTACGGGCTGGCGGCGGAACGCGACCTGCACTGGGTCGCGTACTTCGCCGGCGTGGTCATGTGCCAGGCCGGCAGCTTCTTCTACTTCACGTTCACGCTGGCCTATGCGATCGACAGCTATACCGCGAATATCAGCGAGATGCTGATTGCCATGAACCTGGGCAAGCAGGCCATTTCCTTTGGTATGGGCTTGGATCTACTGTATTGGGTGCTGCAGCACGGGTACGCGGTCATGATTGCGGGCGTGTTCTGCGCGATTGTGGCGGTCAATAACCTGGCGCTGATTCCGTTTATGGTCTGGGGCAAGGGGATCAGGAGGTTCATGGCCAGGACCTGGTTGGCGAAGGTGCATCGGGATAGCGTCAAGGAGATTGCGACGCATTAGCCAGCAGAGCGTTAGATAGGAGATGGAATAAGTAGGGTGTATGGATGTCAGAGCAAGTGAGCAGTTTGGTGTCTACAATCAACATTCAGTTCAGTCAACAGTGCCTTCCTGAATGCTCAAAAGTGCCTTGTGTGTGCCTGAGCAGACCGTCAAGGCTTGGCTTCTGAGACGTCAGGCATTAAATGAACTTCATACCACACAATGTTGGGTCGATGTCCACACAAATGGAATATGTGGTCTTGAGCTGACCGGACATGGTTATACGTGACCTACGATGGATGTCCTACTCCGTATAGCGACCAGGAAGGCGCAACCCCTGGTTGGCATGCGTGCCTGCCAGGTGGTTCTGCCTGCCCACATGACCATCTGCCGCTTTTTACTAAAACGCATGTCACGGTTTATCTCGGAGTCAGACCTCTTTTATTGGGTTTAGAACCGTGTGAGTTTGTACAGTACCAAGACATTCTTCCATAGAGTTTTGCAATATTGTCGACGCTAAACACTGGTCTAGGTCGTCTAGGTCGTCTAGGTCTGAGGTAAGTCACACCTAGGTTTTGCATGGACGTCTGTTTGGGGGTCTGTGCTGGCTTTGTTCGTTAGCTGAAGAAAACGGTTCAGAAGTTGACCGACCTTGCAATTGCTCGTCTTGTACTGTACATACGGAAGAGCTGTTCGCAGACTTGGGTCTTCTCCTTGTTTTGGCTTAGTACATTCTAGTCGATGACACCATGGCTCAAAAAACCCTAGCCTCCAACCTTCCCTCCTCGCCTCCATATCGACGAAGAATCGTTCTCAACTTTGTTTGGCTCCATTCATGGCGTCCACAGGTAGACATCGGTCTGTGCACGTGGGGAACATGGGGGAAGCAAAAGTCTGGTCGCCAAGTCGGCTTGCGCACCGCAATGTGGAGCACTTCGAGTCAGAGTCTGATTTTGGTCTGATCGTCAGATAAAGAATCAGGATCAAGGAAGCAGGCTCGACAGGGCAAGAACAATTGCACCCGCTGTGGCTGATAGCGACTCCGACTCTGCCTTACTTGATTCTTGGATGGCTGCGTTATGTAGACTGAGGTGATTCCGAAGATCCCGGACAGAAGAATTCCGGTGGCGCCCGTGAAGTCGGCCACTTCGGCCTACCGATACGCCGGCCTTGGCGGTCTTGGCAGGGTCTTGGCCCGTGAGAAAATCCTGCCCCAGGGCCCCACCAAGATACCGCCATGCGGGATCCGGCACCGGCCGACCGACCTGAGCCCGGCGGATATGACGGCATTAAGCTGCCACCCGCGTCCTTCTAGAAGAATGCGCGTCGTTGAAAGGGGAACAATGGGAAGCTGGGAACGAAGCGCCAGTAACAACGCGGCTGTTGGGGGCAAAGAAAAACCCACAGAAGGGCACATGACGAACGCCGAGACCCCACCGACAGTTCTTCCCCATCAACAAGGCCGCCGTTGCCATGAAAGGGACACCGAGGATGAGACCCGCCAAGATCGCCCAGATGCCAAGGGCCTGCACGCCAAGTCAAGATATCGAGCGAGGAGCAAACGAGAGTGCGCGGTTGACATCGGTGGCTGTGTAGCCTCCCAGAGGCGGATTCGCTTCCCTCGATTGCCAAGAGGTTATTGATGGAGGAAGATTTCTTGGGATCTGCTAGGCCGGGTCTATATCAGTTCGAGATCTCCCCCCGCAACCGAGTGTCGCCACAAGACTCGCAGTAGACCTTTCTCTACATTCCACACGCGGCAGCCCTTGTTATTCATTGCTGCTCTTTGCTGGTTCCCTTGTGAGGTTCCGAAAACAATCACCGTTACACGACCATCAATTCGACTCCCGTAGTCAATAATCAATCGATCCCACGGCAATGGCCAAGAGTGCGGACCCGAAAAAACCTTCGGGCCGCCAGGTCTCGGGCCAGTCCAATCGGCCTTTGAGCCGCCCGGCCCATGCGCTCACCTCTGAGCAGCTCGCCGCCGAGCTTGACGTCGACGTCCTCTCTGGCCTCACGGCCGACGAGGCCAAAGTCCGACTGGAGCAGTATGGACGAAACGACCTCGGCGAGGAAGAGGGCGTGCAGCCGCTCAAGATCGTTGTCGCGCAAATCGCCAATGCCATGACTCTAGTAATGCCTTCCATAACCAACGCTCGATTACACGAATGGCGTGACTCTGATTCAGTCTCTAGGTGCTCATCCTGGCCATGGCGGTCAGCTTCGGTATCCGGTCCTGGATTGAGGGTGGCGTCGTAGCCGCCGTCATCCTGCTCAACATCGTCGTCGGTTTCTTCCAGGAGTACTCGGCCGAGAAAACGATGGATTCGCTCCGCTCGCTCAGCTCGCCCACGGCCAATGTCGTGCGTGGCGGCGAGAGCATCGTAGTGCCCTCGGGCGAGGTGGTCCCTGGCGATCTGATCGAGGTCAGGATGGGCGACACCATCCCTGCCGATATCAGATTGATCGAGGCGAAGAACTTCGAGACCGACGAGGCCCTGCTCACCGGCGAGTCCCTGCCCGTGCGGAAGCGCGAGGGCGCCACCTTTGACGATGCAACCGGCCCCGGTGACCGCCTCAATGTCGCCTACAGCAGCTCAACCGTCACCAAGGGACGAGCCAAGGGAATCGCCTTCGCCACTGGCACCTTCACCGAGATTGGCGCCATCGCGTCGGCCTTGAACCAGAAGGAACGCCGCGTCCGTCCTGTCAAGCGCAAGCCCAACGGCAAGGCCGGCCCTCACCGCTATCTGGAAGCCTACACGCTGACCCTGGGCGACGTCATCGGCCGCTTTCTGGGCGTGAGCGTCGGTACACCCTTGCAGCGAAAGCTCAGCAAGCTGGCCATGCTCCTCTTCGGAATCGCGGTCGCGTGCGCAATCATTGTCCTAGGTGCCAACCGCTTCCACACCACCCAAGAAGTTATCATCTATGCCGTCGCCACCGGCCTCTCCATGATCCCGGCCTCGCTTGTCGTCGTGCTCACCATCACCATGGCCGCCGGCACGAAGCGCATGGTGCAGCGCAACGTCATCGTCCGCAACCTCAAGAGCCTGGAGGCGCTTGGAGCCGTGACGGACATCTGCAGCGACAAGACCGGAACGCTCACGCAGGGCAAGATGGTTGCGCGCGGCGCCTGGATCCCCGGCCTGGGCACCTACACAGTCGAGCTCACGTCCAACGAGCCCTTCAACCCGACCAAGGGCGACATCCGCTTCGATGCGCGGGAGCCACACCAGATCAACTTCCGGCCGCGGTCCGAGAAGGACGAGAAGGAGCTCGCTGAGAAGAGCGCCGTCGTCGAGCCGGCGCAGCTCCTCGCGAACAGCAAGGCCCGCCTGCAGGAGTTCCTCACGGTCGCCTCGCTTGCGAACGTCGCCACCGTGTTCGAGAAAGAAGGCGCGTGGTACGCCCGCGGCGACCCGACCGAGATCGCCATCCAGGTATTCGCCAGCCGGTTCGGAAAGAACAGGCTCGCCATCATGAAGGAGGACAGCCCGGAGTGGAAGGAGGTGGCCGAGTTCCCCTTCGACAGCGACGTCAAGCGCATGAGCGTCATCATGAAGCACAACCGCTCCGGCGAACACTTCGTCTTCACCAAGGGCGCTGTGGAGAGGGTGATCCGGGTGTGCACGAGCTACTGCATCGCGGACGTGGCCGAGGGCGAGAAGTCCGCCGAGGTCGAGATGACGGAGGAGTTCCGCAGTCAGATTCTCTCCAACATGGAGGTGTTCGCGTCGCTCGGCCTGCGTGTCTTGGCGCTCGCCAGCAAGAAGATCGGCGCCGGAGTGGATGCCAGCGAGGACACGGACCGCAACGAGGTCGAGAAAGACCTGACCTTCCGCGGCCTGATCGGCCTGTACGACCCGCCCCGCCCGGAGTCGGCCCCGGCTGTCCGCGAGTGCCACGAAGCGGGCATTTCGGTGCACATGCTTACCGGCGACCATCCCGAGACGGCCAAGGCGATTGCCATCGAGGTGGGCATCCTGCCCAAGCGGATGGACCGGGTCAGCGCCGACATGGCGAAGGCCATGGTCATGACCGCTACCCAGTTCGATGCACTGAGCGATCCGGAGATTGACGAGCTACCCGTCCTGCCGTTGGTGATTGCGCGGTGCGCGCCGAGCACCAAGGTCCGTATGATCGACGCTCTGCATCGTCGGGGCAAGTTCGTTGCCATGGTCAGTACTTCTCGCTCTCCTTTTCTTTTTCCAAGTCTGCCTAGTACTAGGAGCTAACCCTATTAATTCCAGACCGGCGACGGCGTAAACGACTCGCCCTCCCTGCGGCGTGCTGACGTGGGCATTGCCATGGGCCAGGCCGGGTCCGACGTAGCCAAGGATGCCTCCGACATCGTGCTCACGGATGACAACTTCGCGTCCATCGTAGCCGCCATCGAAGAGGGCCGCCGCATCTTCGACAACATCCAGAAATTCGTGCTCCACGTGCTGGCCGAGAACATCGCGCAGGCCGGCACCCTCCTTATCGGGTTGGCCTTCAAGGACGCCTCTCGTCTCTCCGTCTTCCCGCTCGCGCCCGTCGAGATCGTCTGGATCATCATGGTGACGTCGGGCCTGCCGGACATGGGCCTCGGCTTCGAGCGCGCCGTGCCGGATATCATGCGGCGGCCGCCGCAGTCCCTCAAGACGGGCATCTTCACGGCCGAGTTCCTCGTCGACATGGTCGTCTACGGCCTGTGGATCGCCGCGCTGTGCCTCGCCTCGTTCGTGCTGCGCGTCTACGCCTGGGGCAACGGCCAGCTGGGCACCAACTGCAACGACGCCTACAGCCCCTCGTGCGAGACCGTCTTCCGTGCCCGCGCCACCACCTTCGCCTGCCTGACCTGGTTCGCGCTCTTCCTCGCCTGGGAGCTGGTCGACATGCGCCGCTCCTTCTTCCGCATGCAGCCGGGCTCCAAGAAGTACCTCACGCAATGGTTCCACGACGTGTGGCGCAACAAGTTCCTGTTCTGGGCCATCGTCTTCGGCTTCGTCACGCTGTTCCCCACACTGTACATCCCCGTCATCAACCACGCCGTCTTCAAGCACACGGGCATCAGCTGGGAGTGGGGCATCGTCTTTATCGCCGCCTTCCTGTTCTTCCTGGGCGTCGAGCTGTGGAAGTGGGGCAAGCGCGTCTTCTTCCGCCGCCGGGCGCGCAAGACCACCGGCATGCGCTGGAAGGACATGGACATCGAGCAGCGCGTGTTTGGCGAGTACCTGAGCGGCTATGAGAGCTCTGAGCCTTCGCCTGCCGCCGGCGCCAACGGACGGGATTGACTACGAAGGGGCGGGAAGCCCCGGGCTAGGATGGTCTCCGGTGTTGAGGGTTGTGACTGTGGTGGTGGTGGTGGTGGTGGTGGTGGTGGTGGTGGTTTTGTGATGTATGGGATGGCGGCTGCTGTTCCTGGTGATCATCGCAGGGCTGTACTAGTAATAGTGATGGTGGTAGCTGAAAAAGGAGGTACGGGCAGTAGGGACGTGCTTCGGCGAGGGTTGGTCCCTGGCATCGGCCAGTGGCTTGACCCAGGGCGAACCTGGTGGTGTCAACAAAAGGTGGAAGAGGGCCGCAGTCTCTGTAGTTCTCGGGTTGTGGAGGTAAGTGTAGTGCGTAGTACTAGTAGCTGTGTGACAGATGTTCAGATAGAGTGGCAATATCAAAACCATCATTTGGCTACTACTAGTACTTCACATCAAGTTGTGAGCCGCTGTAGTTTGGATAGTCATCATTGTATTGTACATCGTTGTAAGGGAGGCCCATCAATTCCGTCCTGCCAACAAGCAAGCCCTGGGAAGGTGTCGAGGGTTGCCTCGCACAGCTGATCCAGTCATGGGTTAGGGCTGACGTGTCGGCAGGTTCGAGGACCAGTGCCCCCTGGGAAGTCGTGACTCTCCGGGCAGGGCGGACATAATCCAACGTGCAAATACGTGCGCATCTCCCACTAAAGGACGGGCCCCCAGCCGTGTATATTGCCACATCGGAAGAGTAAGTTGCCACCATGGCAAGCAGTATGGATACCTGGTAGTTCTTTCAGCCAGTGTACCATCGTTATAACCTATTAGCAGGCTGATATTAGTGGTACAGCGGCGGCTGGCAGATCTTAATATCGGGTCGGCGTCCTCCTCCAACGCCTCGCCCTCTTGGGACGGTGCTGAATCCCGCGAGGCCAACTTCACTATCCAGATTGTGCACCAAGTACCTAGGTATAGGGCGCTAGAGAAGCTTAAGAGGAAGCTACCGTTAGGTAATAAGGACTGCCCATACAGTGTACTAGAAACATTGTGGATACTGATGGGTTTATTGGGCCCTGCCTTGATACCTGGTAGCGCCAGTGCTCAAATCCAGATCATTCTTGAGGCGTGGAGTAGATCAGACGACCCGTCCGAACTGGAAAAGGGGTGACGCTTGACAGTGCGTGTGTAGGTCATAATCCGGTTAGGCTTTGTATACGGTTGAAAAAGTGTGCGAGTGACCAATGACAGTGAGACAGTCAGGCAGTTCAGACGGAACGCGGTGGCGAATGTGTAGCCTGCTTCACCTGCCTCCCCTGGGCAAAAAGGTCAGTTCCAGATCCAAGCCCGGTGCTGTGTGGACGTGTCACCATTATCCTGATCAGGGGGAACTTGCCCAAGGCGCCCCCCGCCAAGACGTAAATACCTATTTATCGCACCCTCTCCTCCGAGTTTGTTCCCTTTTCTCTTCCCATATTCATCTTCCTGCAGAGTTCGATGTCTTACTCGGAACACTGTAAGTCCGTCACCGACCTTCCGGACGAAGCCAAAATGCTGACCCCGTCAGCCGTTTTAGCGAACGCTCCTTCGTCCACCATGTCACTGCAAGAACTAGAGCACTGCCTCATGCGTCTGATATACGGGTCAAACAAGCTCGAGTCTGCTGGCAATGGTCTTGCCATTACCGCGAGGCTTTGCAAGGCTGTCTTCCGCGGCGAAGAAGTACCCGTTAACATCGAGGAGGTACCCTCAGACCCTTACTACCAGGCGCACCAGGCCCATCTTCGCTCGCACCACCGGCCAACCGACCACCAACACGTGATCCAGTTGCGCCGCGAGATCGTGCAGCATGCACGAGCGCTCGTCTTCATGATCGATCACATCGTGATCAGCAAGGAGCCGTGGTCCGAGGCGCTGATCTTGGACGCACACCGGATCCTCCAGCACAGCGGCCTCGACTCGGGCGTAGTAGAGGCCGGTGGGACGTACCGCAGCCACGACTGCGAGGTGGCCAAGGCACGCCGGTACTGCGTGCAAGCTAAAGCAATCCCATATTGCATGAAGAAAATGGTACGTAACCTGAACCGCGACATAAAACAAGCAGAGGAGCGCGGTAGCCTCGACCCATATAGGCTCGCTGCCCGCTACCGCCACCAATTCGTCGACATCCGCCCCTTCGGAGACGGGGACGGCAGGATGTCGCGGATCATCCTGAACACACTCCTGCTGCGCTACGCAGGCCACGTTAGCGAGGTCGGCCTTGAGCAGTGCGATGAGTACTTGCGGCTCGCAATGCGCGCGTCAAAGCTCTTGTCGGACGCCGCAAAGCGCTTGGCTACCTGAGTCTCTAGACTCTGAGGCACAGACTTCATTCAAAGTGAGCATGTGTGGTTGTGGGCCCACCCAGGTAGCTAGTGCAGGCCTGGGTGGCTGGTGGAGATGTACTGTGAACTGTCATTTGGGCCCCATACAAAATAGAAAGGTTACCTTTTTCAATCACTTATTCTAGACTAGTTCAGTACTCATCTTATAATAATGTAGCTACCTTTATAATGATGCTCTAGATCTTACCGTTTAAATGATATTTACCTTGTAGGCGCGCATGTTGTAGTGGCGGTGGAAATACAAGATGGAGATGACAGAGACGGGCGTTTTTGGGCGATTTTCCGGAGCCCCCGGAGACAAAGAAGCCGTTTGACTGCCCGTTCTGCGGGCAGACGCTGTCAGCGGACTAGAGTGAAGACAGGAGAAGATGGCGGTGCGTACTCCCACTCATGCCTCCCACCCAGGGGGTTGTGCAGCCTGCGTACTAGTCTCTAACCATACTCGCAGAGGCCATGGCAAGCAAGATCTTTCTCCATATACTTGCGTCTTACCAAACTGCAGCTCCCCCCTTTGCGCGGTACTGGTCCTTGGCTGAATGGAATACCAGCCACCCGAAAGGAGCCTTCCCTTCGGGGGACACTCTCGAAGGAACCTGGGCGACAAGTACGGTCAGCACCGAGGGAGAAGTTGACGAAGAGTCGTCCAAGGAGAGCCTGGATCTCTTCAAGCCGGTCACCAAGGACGTCGTCCGCCTTCTTCACACCTTCCATGAGAAGCGTCCTGACGAGTTCGACAGTTTTTCCGCGTTGATGGCCGTAGTGGAGCAGCAGGCCGTGGAGGGCCTCTCGAGTGAGGATCTAGAGTCATATACCAGACCGCTCCTCCGCATCCAGCAGATCATTTCAGCACTCTCGATACTAGTACTACTACCAGTGATTACACAATCGGGTAGAACAGGGACGACGTCACCGAACTGAAGCAGAGATTCCGGGAGGAATATGCTGCCCTTCAGGAGGTGGCTGAAAAGACTGGGCTAAGATGGCGGGCGTTCGCGAAAGAAGACGAGGATGGCACCGCGGCCAAGGTACAACAAGTACACGCAGATTGCCCACAAGAACCGGACATAGAAGCAACGCCAGCAGTCACGCAGCCCAAACGCCCCTCGTTGTGGGAGGTCTGCGACCTTCAATCTGCTGTTCCAGCCTACGCCCACTACTTCGATGACTGCAAGGAGGCAATCAAGAAGTTGATTAAGACTCAACAAGAGTTCATCCAGTCTAAAAAGGCTCGAAATGAGGTAACGATAGACGTGAACCCGGAGACGGAAACTAACCCTCAGGACGTGGAAGAAGCGGCTGCCATGCTATCCGACACGTTCCGGGGCTTTGCCAGGCAGGCGGGCGATATCCACTCGTTTCTCAGTCTCCTTCCTGACCGGGCTCTTGTTTCGGCGATAGTATGCGCATTGTCTTTGTCTCCAATGCGGCGAAGAGACATGCTCTACGAAAGGGCGCGGCAGAAGCCGAGCTCGTATCTGCACTGAACGATATCCGGGGGGTGATCGCGTCTAGAATTGATAACACCGGTCGCCGACTGCAGCCGGTCAACAACGAACTGGGCTTGGTGAAAAGGTCTCTCGAGTGTGCAGAGACATCTTGAATCTCCTAGCCGCTCTTACTGAGTGGTACGGGCTTCGGACGTCCTATTTGGCAAGGACGTGGCACGAGGCCGTCAAGTCGTCGTCTCTCAAACTCAAGGAGCTTCGAGCAGAGATGCAACGGGACTACGAGGAGCTTCGACGGAGCACTCAGCTGGTCACGGTAAACACTGACATCAAGACTGTGCAAGATGATATTGCGAGCTTGAGTGTAAGGCTCAAAGACAACCTCGACATAATGGACAGGGCCACGAGGGCCCTCCATGGCAGCCAGATCCAGCTTCGTCTCGCTAGCCTGCTCAGCACCGCCCTCGGCCATGAACGACTCTCTGGCAAGGAAGGCCTGGGATGGTAACATAGTACGTTAATGACCACCCAAAGGCTACAGATAGATTTGGGGCGTTTCGGCCATCTGTAGTAGGACATCATGAGGGGGGCCACGCTAAGCGCGTCGCTTATCTCGGAGAATTCCGAGGTACCTACAGTAGGTAGTTGGTGGGCCGGTCGCTATGGAGACGAACAGAGGTTTTTAAGGGTTAAGGTTGCGTTACATCGTTCCCCGGGTCCACAATTTCTTGATTGGTAACAACACCGACCTTACGTGATTACAGTACCTATTACCCAACCGGCCCGGGCCAGCGACCTCGTCTACACATGTCTCCGTAAACGCAAGATAGGAGACGTCGTGGGTAGGTACCACGTAATTCGCCAGACCCTCTTCACTTCGCACGACTGAACAGTGAGCACTCTCATCCGGCAGGGTGCAGCTGAGAGCCTGAAGCCCAATCTTCCCCGCAGCGAAAGTGCCTACGCCAAGCTCAAAACAGCATACCTTAGCGATCAATAGCGCAAACCTTATCAAACCAATATCGGTTCCGCCTCAGCCGCAATGTCACGATGCTCCCGACGCCCCGGCCCTAACCAGCTCGGGCGCGAGTGAGGCAGAATGTGTCCGAGCCTCCCTACCAGGGGCTGCACAGTATAAAGCCATGGAAGCCAAGACGAGCGTTGGCCGCCCTCTCCCCCTTCCCGCCTTGGCCCTGCAGAGAATCAGCGCCTCGTTTGCCAGTGCTCCTCATAATACGCCTCTCAAATGCGTTGCCAACTCGCTCTCTCGGGCGCTCTTGCGGGCTTGCTCGCCCAAGTAGCCGTGCGTCCACCCCCAGGGGAGCCAAGGTCCTTAGGCTATTACTAGTAGTTATGGGTTTAACAACATGCTAACACTATCCAACCGCACACCAAACAGACCGCGACAACATGCACCCCGGACAACGCGACCCCCGTTGAGTCTTTGGTCTCGTCTGGCGGAGGCGGCAGTGGCGGCGGGGGCGCCGATATCTTCGTCTCGTACAACCCGTTCGACGTGATCAGCAACGCGGTCAAGAAGCGCACGACGCCCGACGCCCGGCTCGGCAACATGGCCAACATCCTGGTCGTCTCGCGCCGCGACAGCGCCAGCTCGGTGACCTGCGCCGCGACCGAGATGTGTCTCTCGATCCAGAAGTACCCCTTCTGCCTCGATCTGACCAACGGCGACTTCCACGACGGCACGGGAATCACAGGCAACGCCCTCTCGGGCGACTACACGCTCGCCGACGGCCGCAAGGGCAACCTGTACAACGGGCCGTATCCGCAGCCGACCGGGGCGGGCGGTGCCAGTGCCCCGGCCACGACGGCGGCGGCGGCCTCGGCGGCAGGTGGTGCTGGTAGTGGTGATGGTGGTGATGCCGCCGAGTCTGCGACAGCATCGCCCGGAACAGGCACCGGGGCGGCTGCTGGGGCTTCTCCGACGTCGACGGGGAATAGCGGCCCGGCTGCTACCGGAATATTGCCCGGGAAGAATGATGCTGCCCCTCGAGCGGTTGGTGTCGCGGTCTTTGGGAGTGCCATGGCGGTGTTGGGCGCTGTCTTGCTGCTCTAATCTTGTTATGTCTGCCCTATTAGCTCATGAATTCACTACCCAGCCGGGCGAGCCCACCCTAGCCACATGGCATTCATACACATTAAGTATGTCAAGGTAACGGGGTCAACACAGGTTGCATTCCTTGCTTGAGGGAGGTCTAGAGCCCCTTGGGGACATTGGGTCCTCATGTACAATACCGTACAATATATGGAGAGGCTGGTTTTCCGTCTCCTGCCCCTATTATTGCCGTTACTAGGCTTTCAGTATGGTCTTTACCCCTGATTTCAGCAAAGGTCGTCACTTGCATTTCTATACCATTCAGATACGGGCTTTTTTGTTATGGCATATACCATGCATCTACTTAGTACTACTAGTAGTACCTCGTCTACCTGATTAGGTAAAGAAAGAACAAAGAATCTTTGTCAGAGCATACAGATCAGATTCCTAGGACCAGTATGTTTAGTACTACGAGTATTCTGTTACTAGAACGTAACTGTCCACTTTAACAGGTACTACTATCCTTTCCCTCCGATCACAGCACACACCCCCCAATTTACTACTAATTTGGGTACTAGTACATCCCACCGCCTGGGCTCGTCGGAATAGCAACGATCAGAGACCAGGTCACCACCAATATGAGCATAAGCATCGCCCCTTGTCTGCTCAACACAGGCGGCCGCGAATGGCTGGACTGCTGCATGGAAACCTGGGAAAACTTTCGAAACTTTCGAACCACTTTCGGGTTATCTCAGGCCGTTCATCATCACCTTCAGATATCTACTCGGGTTATTACTGGACGGGTCAGTCGAACAGATGCAATGACTTGGCCGATCGCTCGGCAAACCGCTGGCTAGAGCCTCCCGCCTTCTAGGACTATGTCTGTCCGGTACTCTTTTCTCGGCTCGCGGCACTTGGTGAGCCAATGAAGGCGACGAAAGAAGTATAACAGAGCATTCTTATTCGCCAAAACCGAAACAAGCCTTGCAGTCAAGAGTCAGGTGCGTCTAGATAAATGAAATTGCTCTATCCCCGGATAATGACCCTGGCAATCAGGAGATGAACCGATTGGCGACAGTATCGGGTCCTGTAAAGAGCAAGCGGCTCGACATGATATGCCGGGATCAACGAGTGCTGATGAGGGAGACGTCTGCGTGGTCTTAAAACAGGTCAGTTGCCCCGTCGAGCTTGTTACTGCTCTGTCCTGTCTCGTCAACCAAGTCTCTCATCCACACATTGCCTCCGCCAAGTATGAAGTTCCTCTCCACAGGCCTGGCCCTTGTCGGGCTGGCTGAAGCTGGCCTTCGCTTCCCCTGCTCAACCCTGACCTTCCAGCGGCTCGACCCCGTTGTCGAGCCCGGCAACAACCCATCGGCGCATCTGCACCACATCGTCGGTGGCAATGCCTTCAACGCGACCATGACGGGCGACGTCGGCGAGCGGGCCACATGCACGACCTGCCAGATGGCCGAGGACTTCTCCAACTACTGGACGGCCGTGCTCTACTTCAAGCACCCCAACGGCTCGTACCACCGCGTGCAACCGGCGCCGGTCCAGCCGCTCCTCGGCGGCTCGAACGGTGCCCAGGGCGGCATCACCGTCTACTACACGCAGTTCGACCTCACCCGGGACAACCTCAAGCAGCAGCCGGTCAAGTCCTTCCCGCCGGGCTTCCGGATGACGGTGAGTAAATACTATTCTCCTTCCTTCTTCCATGATCATCTACAATAAAGTTGGGAACTCTAACCTGATGCTGTGAGCAACAATAAAGGTCGGCAGCCCAACCGTCACGGGCAAGCCCCAAACCGGCATCCGCTACCAGTGCCTGACGGGCCAGAACCGCGGTCCCGAGATGCCCGATTTCCCGGCCAAGCCCTGCAGCGGCGGCATCTTTGTGACCCAGCACTTCCCAGCGTCAGTACTACCTTAACCATACCCCCCACCCCGAGGACGAAAGGCACGGACTTATACCTAACCATGAACCTTTTACATGGGCACAGATGCTGGGACGGCAAGAACCTCGACAGCCCGGACCACCAGTCGCACATGTACAACACGATCCGGTACGACGGCTTCATGAACGCCGGGCCGTGCCCGTCGTCGCACCCGGTGCGCATGCCGCAGGTGACGTACGAGACCGTCTGGGACACGACCAAGTTCAACAGCATGTGGCCGTCGGGCGCGCCCAACCCGTTCGTGTGGAGCTTCGAGGGCACCGCGGGGGGCAGCCACGCTGACTAGTACGTAAAATGATTCCCGTCTCTAGTTCTTTTGTGTGTTTCCTTGACACTTCGTTTCTTTTCTCCGACCAGTATGATCTGGAGCACTACTAGTAGTCGATCATAAGAAGAAGAGAACAAAAAAAGAAAAAGATGAGCTGACATTGAGCGTGTGTCCTCCAACAACAAAGCATGTTCGGTTGGAAGGGCGATGCGCTGCAGCGCGCCATGGACAAGTCCGAGTGCTTCTACGACGGCTGCGGGTCTATCAAGAAGCAGGCCATGACGATTGCCAACACGTGCACGGTCAAGGACATGGTGGGCGAGAAGACTGATGGCTGTAAGTTGTGTGTTTTGTTTGTTTGTTGACCTGCTCTCTTCGCTGGGGAAGAAAAAAGAGAAAAGAAAAGAAACGTGAAAAGAGAAAAGAGCTAACATCTCTGTAGGGGCTAAGGCGCTTCCTGGAAAGGCATAGAAGATGTTATAGGTCTGGTCTTAGGAGGCAAGTTTGTGAACTTACGGTAACGGGGTGTGGTCTGTGTTGATGTCCTTCTTCTTTCTCCTGATTTTCTCAGCGGAATCCGGCCAACTCGCGTCGTACAGCACTATCTCACTCGTTGAGAACCTTGAGGATAACAATAGCTGGCATCGATATCTGAGTATTAGTTCGAATCGACTTCCACTACTACTTCAACTTGCCCAACCACATGGGAGGGTTAGATGGATGAATCCTAGAATCCCCTGAGCCCGAGGGATGATCACAGTGGGCAGCACGGCTCGGTTGCTGCACTATAGTATGAAATGACCCGAATCGGAACAACCGGGCAACCTCGGCTCCCACTCGTAGAGCTCGATCCAATGTATGCAGTGAGACTTTGATCTGGTTCACAACTTGAAGTTCTCGACATATAGTCATAATCACACCTGTCGCTACGGTATCTCCACAATCCAACATCTAGCCTGACTTCCGTCGGGCAGGTCTGATCGGATTCATGGACTACAATGTCGGGACGTCATTTCGCCAAGTACGAGATCGTTTCTATGGTGGCCATCCCACCTAGTGGACCGGTTCAACATGGAGTTTGTGCGGCAGACCAGAGCATATGGATTGCCTTCCGACAGCTCGATCGAGAGCGATCAGCGGTTTTGGGGGATCGAGTCGTTGCCTCGGGGCCGTGAAATGATCGTCCATTGGAAGCGTCGTTGGTGAGCGTGTTGAAGGAGTTTGGATCGCGTCGCCTCTGGACTGGGTAAAATAAGGGTTCGGCCTGGGCTGGCGTCAGGATTTATGTCTAGAGTGAAACAGTGCTAAGCTAGTAATCACAGTGCTCGTTACATTAGCCCTCTGCGCTCAGTCCTGCACAAGGTGCCGTATAGATCTATGTCTGAATTCTAGCATTAAATGTACTATCCCGTAGGGATCTTGGTCTACATGTCCGCCCGTCCCACTCGAACCGTAACAGCCTTTTTCCGGCCAGACTCCAGCTAAACCTTAACACGCCACGGCGACCCAACCTTACCCGCCTCCTGCATCAGCCTCCTCGCTTTGACCATCCTCGCAGCAGCCATCAAGACCATCCCAAGCACCAGCGTAGCCCCAGCAAAGGCCTGAGCGCCGTAGTAGCTGCCTCCCTCAGCCGTGATGATGGCGCCGGCGATGGGCGGCCCGGCCAGCGACGCAAAGCTGACGATGGTGAACACCATGCCCATGCGGACGCCGGCCTTGCGCAGGTCGGTCGTGAGGCTGCTGAGCCCCGCGGGGAACAGGCTCTGGATGCCGCCGGCGGCCATGCCGTAGAAGACGCACCAGACGTACAGTCCCGCCGTGGACCCGACCGCCATCCAGCAGAACAGGCAGATGCCGGCAATGCCGACGGTCGGGATTATGGCGTTGAGGGGCCCGACGCGGTCGGCGATGTAGTTGGGGATCAGGCGGCCGGGCAAGCCGACGCCGTTGATGACCAGCAGCAAGTTCAGACTGTCGGTGTAGCGCATGCCGATGATGTCCCGGCTGAAGGACGAGATGTAGTAGAAGGCAAAGTACAGTCCGAGGAAGAACTGTCCCCCCCCCCCAACCCAACATGTCAGTCCACGCGCAACCAAACCCCAACCGAGCACCGACCCTCAGGACAAGAGAGTCTACCTAGGTAAAACTCACCGAGAAACTCCCCAGCGCATAAAGCGTATACTCGCCCTCCTTAAACGCCTTCCACTCCACCCATGGCCCGCTCCTCCTAGCCGGAATCCTCCTCTTCAACCCCACCAGCGCCACCGCAAACGTAGCGAGCTGCACATACCCGATCGCGCGCATCGCCGCCGCAGACCCCTGGGTCGGCAGCAGCTGCCGGACCATGCTGGGGAAGACCAACCCGCCCGTGGCCGTGCCGCTCGCCGCAATGCCCATCGCAATGGCCCTCCTGGTACTGAAATACGTCGACAGCGTCGAGATGCACGGACAAAACAGACACCCGTTCCCCAGGCCCATGCATATCCCCTGCGCGAGGAGGACCTGCCAATAACTGGTAGCGACCGAAGCCGTAAAGATGCCCACGATCTGAAACGCCGCGCCGAGGGCAAACACGTGGCGGAAGTAGCCGGCGTCGGTCAGGCGGCCGGTCAGGGCGCCGACAAAGAACAGCAGGAAGATCTGCAGCGAGCCGATCCAGGAGATGTCGGAGGGCGGGCGGCCGAGCGAGGCGGTGTAGTGGGTCTGGAACAGGCCGAAGGAGGTGATGAAGCCCCAGGTGTTCATCACCACGAGGTGTGTGCTGGCGACGGCCATCCACGCTTGCATCCCGCCGTCGGGCGGCGGGCCAGGGTTCCAGCTCGACTTGGTGCTTGCTTTGGTCAGGACGCGACTGACGACTCTCGAGAGCATGCCGTTTGCGTTTCCGTCACCGTCACCGTTCCCGCGGCCAGCCGCTGTATCGTCGCCGTCCCGCTTCTCACCATCTCCACCCTCCGGGAGCGACGACGAGTCCGTGTCTGGACCTGAATGGGAAGCCCCCCTCTCTACATCCCCGGGTAACCGCGTGGCCGTCTCGTTCACCATTATTATCGGCGCCGGTAGTTCCGTTTGCTAGTCTGTATCCCCGATTGCCCTACCTCGGTCCTGACTATTGGTGTTCAGCGAGGTGAGGCGAGTGAGTATGAATCCCAACCGCACCCACACCCCCGTATCAAAGAGCGGGGGACCAAGCGGAAGAAAGTGTACTGTGTAAAGCTCTGCCGTCAGTCAGGCGAGACTAATAAGTCAAAGGACCGCAAAGCTGAAGCTGAAAGATATAATCTCGTCTCGAACTGGGAAGCAGTGCGTGCGGGCCGGGGACATAATGTAATGGAATGTAGTTTTGACTCATCAACCCAAGCACAGCAACGCAGATCTCCGGAGAAAAAGCTATCACCCTACAGGGAGCCGAGAATGGGATGCTATGTCAGATGCCATTGTGGAGCCGGACCCGGCGAGAGGTGCCGGGAATAGACTTATCGTGACAAAAACCTTCAGATGGGCCCAGCCAGGCCCGATATAAGTCCTCGGCTCTCGGCACCGGGACGCGGCTTCCATCCGACCGGCTCGCCATGGGTACGGTAGTGACAAGAAAGCAGATGTCATTGTTGCGCCCTTCGAAATTCCTGTAACAGGAATCGAATCCTGTTGTTCTGCGAACCAGTAAAAAATGCTGATGCTGACAAACTGAATGGAGCCGATGCAACATCGCGAACCAGCCCGACCCCGAAGGCCTGTGGATCCCGATGCTACGGCTTGCCGAGGGTGCATCTTGAAGGGCATCGGCTGGCGCCGATGTCGCACCCACTCAGGAAACGTGATAATAGCGAGAAGCATGTTGCATGAGTGCCGGATGAACTTGCACGTTTAAAACTAGGTAACGCGGCTTGTGTACATCTCTCACCAAGTAAGTGCTCTGCCCTGAACATTCCTCTGCCCCTCTCGGACGCTTCCCGGTACATGATTATTAGTGGGAGTCCAGCGCAACCTCGATAACATGTCCTCCGTACAACCATCCTGCTCAAGAAAAATGGTAACCACCAGACGACCATGGCCGACTAATAGCCGGAAAGCAAATGCGAAAGCCTGCAAATGATATGTGACATACTGGCACAAATGCTGCGCCCCAAAACCCGAGCAAAACCTGCGAACTCAAACGAATAACCGAGTGTACCTGCGCGGCATACGATCGCGAACGGACTTCTCAGCCACGTACGGCCCAGCGAAGGAACCTTTTGGCCTTGCCTTTGAACGAACCATCCGAGCCGGGGGGTCCATGCCGGACGGGAGGGAAGTGCGTCGGTGATGCCGCAGCGGAGCGTGTCCGGCTGAAGATGTAGGTAGAGAACGTGCTGTTGACGGAGCCTCGGGGTACCAAGCCCGTTCCATGGCTGGGCCCGGGAGGTGCACTGGTAGCGGGATCAATCGTGGTGCTGCTGGGGAAAAGCGTTGACACCGAAGCCGTCGCGTTGGCTGGCGTGGGCGGCGACGTGGGCACGATGGTCGTGCCGCTGAAAAGCACTGGGGTTGCTGACACCGTAACGGTGATGACTTCTGTCAACGAAACCGTGGCAGTGTCGAAGTCCGGCGATGCAGTGGAGCTAACCTCCGAAAATGTGGTACTAGCCGCCACTGCGCTGCTGCAAGATGAGGACACTGTACCAGACCTGAAGGCCGGAGCCGTACTATTGAGAAAAGGCGCTGAAGCCGAGACGGTCGCGTTGACAGCAGTGGGCGAAAGACCAGACGTCACTGTAATGGAACTGTGGTTGGGAGATCCCGTGACAAGAGGTGGCGAAACCGAACCAGTCCCAATGACACCGGTGGGGGAAAGACCAGACGTCAGTGTGGTGGTAGTTTGGTAGGGAGATCCGGTGACAAGAGGTAGTGAAACAGAACCAGTCCCAATGACACCGGTGGGCGAAGGACCAGACGTCAGTGTGATCGTAGTGCGGTTGGGAAACGTGGTGGGCACTGAGGGCACGACAATCGGGGTGCTGCTAGCCTGGGAGCTGCTAGGCACGGTTGAATTTCCCGATGCCGTGCCAGTTGGAAGCAGAGTGCTCCAGGACAGGCTCCATGTCAAGACGCTCGACTTTGTTGCGTTGAGACCCGCGCTAACAGACGTTGGTGCTGTTGGCGCGGTCGTGAGCGTGACGTTGCCCGCTGCGGATGACGTGACGCCCGACGGTGTGAAGGTTGTGATGTTAACCAACGTAGAAGGCGCAACTGTTGGCAGTAATGGTTTGCTTGTGGTGTTGCGAAGTGAGGTGGGGAGACCGGGAGCTGTTGTGAGACTCGTGTGGTCGACCGGCAGGGACGTGATAGTGGTGGTCAAAGTGAGAGTAATGATGACTGGAGGCGGAGATGCCGTGCCGGTGATAGAGACAAAGACGGAACTGTCATCACTGGTTGGTGTGGCTGTAGTGTTTCTCGGCGTCGTGCTATTCGCGCTGGTCGGAAGAGGGCCGGAGGGAAACGTAACCGTGGTGTTAGTGACACTCGAGAACACAATCGAGGAAGGCGCAGGGGCTCCTGTGCCGGGGACGGCCGGGGTTGTGGAGTTCGCGAAGCCTGACGACCGGCCAGCGCCGCTAGTTGGAAGTTCACTCTCTATGGTGGAGTACGTTGGCGCTGGCGTGGTTGACACCCCCGTCTGTGATAGCGAAGCAGAAAGTGATGTCGAATTCCCCGGGGGCGCGAGACTGGGCACAGTAGAACCAGGTTCCGGCAGCGAAGTGGTGGACTCAATACCCGACTGCGTCACCGTGGTGTTTGGTGCTGGGACAGCAGACGTGTACGAGGTCGGGATCGTGGATGGAGGAGCATAAGGTGGTGGTGTGCCAGAACTGGATGAGATCCGAGGCAGTGGCAAACTGGTACTTGTGGGGTTTGTTGGATTTGTGGTCGGCGAAACACTCAAAGTCGTGGACGGAGGACCGTACCCATCGGGATCAGCGGCTGAAGAGCTTTGAGACACTGGCAAGTTGCTCTCCGTGGAGGACAGAGGGGTAGTTGACGGACCAGCACTCGATATAGTGGATGGAGGGCCGTAGCCATCTGGTTTACTGAAAGCCGACGACGTTGGGGCGAGTGGCAAACCAGTGTCCGTTGAATAGTCCAAGCTTGTAGACGGATCGCTACTCAGGATTGTTGACGGCGGCCCGTAACCCTCTGGATCGGAGAAAGATGCCGAGGTCTGCGAGACAGGCAAGCCCGTGTCCGTTGGGTAGTCGAGACTTGTGGAAGGCTCACTGCTCAAGATCGTCGACGGAGGACCGTAACCATCAGGCTCAGTGAATATTTGCGATGTGCCGGGCTGCGGCAAGCCAGTACCCGTGGGGTCCGCGGGAGTTGTTGGCTGTGCAGATGTGGTGGGTTGCACTTGAGGGTCAGATCCGGGGAACGAATAACCATACCCACCGTCAGGTTCTGAGTAGGTGTAACCTCCAACTGTACTGGTCTGGATGCCATTCGAGTTGTCAGTGAGGGAACGAGCGTGATGGTGAAACTCAGATTGCGGCGGGGAGGATCCACCCACGGACACCGGAGACTCAACAATGCTGAGGGCGAGGTCGGTGACTACGACCGTGGACGTCTCCAAGGTCTCGGTGCATGTGTCGTGTGATGTGCTGCTGGTTGTTACAGGCGACGGTGTGGTTCTCGAAAAGAGCGGTGCTCCGGACGTGCTGTGGGAGACAGACTCATCTGACGTAGGGTAACTCGTCGAGAGATTCAGAGAGGCGCTGGTCAAGCTGTACGAAGGCCAGATGGTAATTTCGACAGGCACAGAGCTCTGTGACTGAGACTCCGTAGTCCAAATCGGCTCTACCGAGGTGATCACCGAGTCGCTGGCCGAAGAAAAGTACGTGGGCAGTTCTGCTTCACTTGATGTCGGATCACATGTCTCCGATGACGATGAGGGCGTGGTAGGTGGCCACAGCGTGACCTCCGACGGTTGGGTAGGTGCTACCACCGTGCCATTACCACTGAGAGATGGAAAGCCTGAGGCTGGAAGCGTCGTTGAACTGGGTACTGTGAATCCTGCCGAATTGGATGAGAGAGTGAGGTTCGCCGTAACTGACAGCACAGTTGAAATTGCCGAGCTGATAACGACAGGTGTCGATGTCACTCCTTCACTGCTGCTGACCTCCGTGGACTGACGAGGGGCAGATATTGGTGTGGTGCCGGCGGTGGCAGTAGTCGGCTGCGCCGGGTTGCTCACCAGGTCGGAACTGCCCGTCAGCGCGCTAGTGGAATGGTAATCCACGGATGTAGAGGAAACAGGCTCATCGGCAGGCTCATCGGTTGTGATGGGCGTAGTGGAAGCGGACGGGGTAGTGGAGCCAGGGAGTTTAGGTTCCCCAATATAGGTGATGGTGACGGGCTTTCCAGGGGAGTCGATTGGAGTCACTGTCAAAGTGTAGATCGGCTGACTGCTGAAGGGAACAGTATTGGACTGAGTCTCAACGGCGCTTGTCTCTGTCGAGGGCAGATCCGATCCCACCTGACTCGACGTCGCAGTGGAGGGGGCAGGAGCCGAGCTGCTTTCATGGCACGAAGGTTCTGTCGTAGGTGACTCCAAAGTGTAAGTAACAGTGTATGAAGATCGTCCAATACCCGACTGTCCTGGGACTGTGTACGTGACCTGGATAGTGGACGTGGTGCTGCTGCTTGAAGGAGGGGGAGCTTCGCCGGCAGGAGAAGACGGAGTTGGGGCGGATGTCGCAGTGGGTTCCGTTACATTGACGGGTACTGGCGAGCCTGATGCTGTTGACGAAATGACAGGGACGGTGACTGTGTCTATGCCCGGAGCAGTACTTCCTGTTTGTTGAGACGAAGGCTCGCTGGGGACCACAGTGACTGTCACAAGGTTCGTGACAGTGCTGGTTTGCGTCGGCAGACTGACCTGGGTGGTGACAGTGTATGTCACGACTTCAACGGACAGAGAAGAATCGTCTGGCGACGCGGGGCCGGCCGATGTGGTTGCCAAGGCTTGCGCAGGGGGCGAAGGCGTGATGGTAATGGTCCCCGTGAAGGGCGTGGGAATCTCGGCGTCAGGGGTAAGAGTGTATGTCACCACGAACGGTACCATGTCCGGTTCATTTGGGGATCCCAGGGGGATCGTAACCGTCGTCGTACTCCTGCTGAACGGAAGAGGCAATCTGCTTGATGAGATTGGGGAAGCAGAGATCGTGGGTGAAGGGATGGACACGGCGGACACGGAAGACTGCGGGACTGACACGGTAGGCAGTGAAAGCGGGATGGAGACCGATATCGTGGGCACTGACACCGGCGGAATGGATGGTGTGGGAAGGGTGACCGAGGCGATAGTGATCGGGATAGTAACAGTGACCTCCGTACTGTAAGTGTAGCTTCCGATCGAACCAGTCACAGTGAGGACAGACATGGAATCCGTCTCAGGGGACCTCGAAACCGGATAATGTGGCGTCGACTCGGAAGTTGAGGGTGCAGTGGCCGTGGCAGCCCAGGGGATGGTTCCGGAGTCCTCGGGATCAGTGAGAATGATGACCGGTTCGAAAGTCGAGGTACTCGGCGCTGGGAGCGTGACCGTCACAGCAGAAGCGCCAATGGTTCTCCCAGAGAGAACAGTGGTCAGCATCGTTGCGTCCGTGAGAGACTCGGAGTCGCAACTGGTGCTTTCTGTTACGCGTTTGGAATGCCGCACAGTCGAAGACGGGCAAGCATATATGGGCGAAACCGTTTCATGGCTGACTGAGAAGTCTAAACAAGTAGACGCAACAGCATCATCGCTGGCGGACGGGTCAGTACTGGTGTGCCGAAAATTAAACCTGCGACCTCTGAAGACGCGATGCATTACTTACCGACGTGAGACGGCAGCGGCCGAGGCCAGCCAGATCACGCCCAACAGGGCTCCAAGGGAGGTCTTGAGACGCATCTTTGCCGTATGGCAGTGGGAAAACGAGAGCGCACGGACAACACTCGAGGAATCAAATGAGCGGCTGACTGGGCGTCAAAACGAAAGACTTGAGCGTGCCCGCTGGGAACGACAGGCGTTGCGGCTTGAGAAGGAAATCAAGGTAGATGGAGGGGAGGAGAATGGCAGGAGAGGTGAAGAGTCGTGGGTGTGAGGAGGATGAAAGGCTCACAGAACTCGTGAAGAGCACCCAGGCAATGAGAACCACTCAGGCAGCCGTGTTCTCGCGAGGAAGGAGCACCTAGCTGGGTTCCATGGCAAGCGCGGTAAGAACCACCACAGAGCTGCACCATTTGACGTCAATAACCCAGCACAAACGGCAGGAGCGACCCAAACTATGGCAGTCGCCATGACTCACTGCATGAGGCCACGGTGTGCGAGTCTTCTAAGGTTGGGCTTGAGGGAAGGAGCGAGGATCTTCCAGTCATAGCCCGCAGTCGGTGTGCAGCCGCAGATTTCGTGCTCTCGCCAGTTTCGAATCATCAACTGGGCAACTAGCAGGGACAACAATGTCTCGATCAGGTGCGCCGGAAAAGACCGCATCCTTCCCCCTAGCTACCTATCGATCCCGTTTAGGAGCTTCCAGGCAATGATTGTGTTTGATCCATCATTATTCAAGTACGAGAGGCTGTAGAGTCAATCGCGCATGTCCGAGTAATGATGTGATACAGGAAGGAGTGGTGGAGGAAGATGCCGCGCCGTCCCCAATCCGGAAGCTTCCAGTCCTCCCAGTCGCAAGGGCAGTGTCCATCTGAGGCAAGTTGGGTCCCGTTGACGGTGGGTTTGCTGAACGAACCTGTTGAACTGATCGGGCCCATCGAGGGCATGTTGCATCGAACTCAGAAGTGCATGCCCTTCTCTCCAGTACCATGTTAACAAGGTGAATTGGGCTACCTTCAGTCTTAGAACCGAGGCACTTTGCTCTGCAGGTCAAGGCTACCAGTGCACAAACGCACAGGTAGCGCGGAGAGGTAAGAACCACTGAAAACTCTTCGCATGATAGGCTCAAACATCGTCATCATGATAATCGGGCCCCTCGCCCTCGTGGTGTACGACGTCTTCGTGTGGCACGGGCCGCCCAACTCGTATCCTCGCTCGCTCCTCCATCTTTGCAACCCACATGGCCGCACCGGCAGTGGTGGTCAGCAGGAAGAAGAAGCTTAGAATCGGGATGAGCTCCAGGATCATAGCAGCCGTCCCGAACCAGAGATATTCCCACCGCCTCGCCTCGAGCTCCCTCTTAACTTCCTTCTTGTTCAATCCTCGCAGCTTAAACCATCTGTGATGCGAGAGTTTGCCGAGGCGCAAACCGGTGATCATGATGAAAGCAGGCGTGCCGACAAAGGGAACCAGGTTGAGCGGCAGGAAAACGATCAGCTCAATGATCTGTATCAGGCTCCATGGTTGGTATTCTGCGCGACTTGTCGGCTTGCCCAGCATTCGAACAGCGTTCGGAGCTTCCAAGAAGAGGACGCGATGCGGCGCGATGAGGTCGGTGAGGTCGTGCTGGATCAGGGTAGCCTGGTAGCGGTGTGTTAGCATGGGGCAGTCGCCAATGCCGGTTAGTGAAAGGAAAGGGCAAACTTACATCGAAGATGTCCACACGGCACTCGTCGACGAAGAAGCCCTCGAACAATCCTTGGATGATCACGAGGCCCTCGCCCAGCACGAGGACTGTCGTGTTGATCAAGGCGCCGGCGCGGCCATGGAATATGAGGAGGAAGAGGAACTGCGGCAAGAAGGCGAAGGTGAAGAGCAAGAAGTAGACCAAGAATGAGATGAGGGAGAGAGGGAGGAGGCGCGATACGAAAAGCGGGTAGAACTCGGGATGGCGCAGGAAGTACCAGATGCCTCGGATAGGGTAGGAGGCCGATATCAGCGCGACGGTAGCGTAATAGACGAAGCGGTGGAGTGGGCGGAGAAGGCGCGAGACGCGGGAAGATCCGTCGCCGGGCGCGGCTTGCGTGGATGGCATGGCGGGCGCCGCCGTTCTGGACTGACGATGTGATGGGAAGTCTCACGGTTGCAGAAGGTGAATGGAATTCGGACAGTGCCAATTACGTACCCCCGGCGCGCTAGCGTTCCGGCGTTTCGGTAATGCGGGGAACTCTGGCTGGTAATCTTAGTGACACAACCCTAACCCGTTGGAACATCGGCAGCATGCCCAAAGGAGATCATGAGGCAGCTCATTGCCAGTGGTCTTGTGGAAGCAACGCAAGTGGTGATGAATCCTTGGTGTTGCTACCGAAGATGTCGACTACCGGGCTATTTAGGAGGGGAAAGTGTGGCATGCAGGAAGCAATGCGGGGCTGTATGGCTATGGGACTGCCTTAAGCGACAATATTTCGTCTTGATGTGGCTGGTTATAGCTAGACTCTGTTCAGGACTGGGGATGCGGTTGGTTGCAGCACGACTTACAACAGTAACGAGGCCACCCATGTTGCGACATGACTTTCGTACTTTATTGATAAAGCAAAGGTTTCCGAGTGGAATGCTTGGGTGAGAACAACGACAAGCCTAAATGGTAAGAATATCACACTCGGCTAGACCGAAGGCGCCAACGATTTATCCGGCCATTCACGCCTGGCTAGCCCGTTAGGTCATAGGTGACCGTCGAACGGCAACCGCAAAATCAACAACAGCTTGGCTATGAGCATCTTCCCCGTTTTTGGCATGTGCAACTGCTACCACCACATTACGTAGTACTACTAGTACTACCTCAATCCCATATCACTAACCCCTCTCTTCACCTCCTCTTCCTCAACACCTAACTCACTGAACCTTCTTCTGCTTTTCTCCCTCCTCACTACCATAACCCCCAACGAAGTACCCCTCCCCAACCCAGTCCACCCCCTTCCCCCTCCTCTTCCTCTCCTCGGGCGGCTGCGGCCACTCATCCAACACGACCCCCTTCCCGTCCCCAGCCAGCGTAAACTCCACCCCGGCCAACCCGGGCTCCAAATCCACCATCAACTTGAACCTGCCCGGGTAGAGCACCGTGTTGCCCTTCTCATCGACCCTCGCCAGACTGCCCAGCGTCAGGTCCAGCGTGACGGTGGCCGCCTCACCGGGTGCGACGGCGTGTGCGCGGGCGTAGGCGACCAGGGATTTGTGCGGGTGTGGCGGCGGGCCGAAGGTGCCGGAGAGGAAGAGCAGCGCGACATAGTCGGACTGGACTTTCCCGGTGTTGTGCAGCTGTAAGGGGAGGGTGGCGATGGGGCATTTATCCATGTACTTGTACGTGGAGTTCAAGTTGGCTTTGCATGCGGCGACGAGGTCCGCGATCTGGAATGTGGCGTTGCCATTGCCGTTGTTGGCATTGACCTGGAGAAGCCCGCTCGTGGCGCCAAGCTCAGCAGTGAAGTTGGTATAATGCAGGCCATACCCAAACGGATACACCGCAGTACCATTATACCACTTATACGTCCGCCCGGGACTGTTCTTCCCCGGCCGCAGCGCCATATCGGTCATCGGCACCTGCGCGACATACGCGGCCGGGTACTGGGTAATCGGCATGCGTCCTGCGGGCGCCACCTTGCCCGTAATGACATCCATGATCGCCGTCCCGCCGTCCTGGCCCGGATACCCGGCCCACAGCAGGGCGCTGACGTTGGCGTTGTGCTTGATCGGGCTGGAGTCGATCTGCCCTCCGCCCATCTGCACGACGGCCATCGGCTTGCCATACAGGGCCAGCTGCCCGATCACGTCGAGCTGGGCGCCCGTCCAGGCGATCGAGTCGCGGTCGAGCCCCTCGGACTCGACGCTGTTGTCGATCCCGCCCACGTAGATGATCACGTCGGCCTTGGCGGCCGCGTCCCACACGGGCAGCCAATGGTCCGTGGTCGGGTCGCCCTGCCCGCCGGGCCCGTTGGCGTAGTACACGGTGGTCAGCTGCTGGGCGGCGTGCAGCGGCGAGTGCAGGTAGGGCGGCTGGCCGAAGTAGTTGCCCTGCATCTGCGCCGTGGCGTTGGCCCAGTCGCCGATGAGCGCGATGCTCTTGTTGCCGCTCAGGTCCAGGGGCAGCATGCCGCCGTCGTTCTTGAGCAGGACGATGCCCTCGACCGCGGCCTGGTAGGCGAGCTGCTGGGCGTGGGGCGTGCTGACGCTGGAGAAGTTCAGTTGCCGGTAGGGCTGCTTCTCCGGAGCGTCGAAGTAGCCCAGCCGGATGAGCGACGAATACTGGCGGATCAGGGCCTGGTCGACGACCGAGTCGTTGATCAGCCCCTGCTCGTACGCAGCCGGGAGGTGGTTCTGGTAGTAGGTGCCGCAGTTGACGTCGGTGCCGGCGATGAGCGACAGCGCGGCGGCCTCCTCCCTGGTCTTGGCCCACTCGTGCGGCAGGTAGACGTTCTGCACGGCGTCGCAGTCGCTTGTCACCCACTGTTGCTCGCTGGTCCAGCCCCAGTGCTCGCGCAGGACGTCATTGAGCAGCCAGGGGTCGGCGCACGTCGGCACGCCATTGACGGCGTTGTACGAGCACATGAAGGCGCCGACGTTGGCGTCGCGCGCGCAGGTCCGGAACGGCGGCATGTAGTACTCCACCATGTCCTGCATGTTGATCGGCGCGTCCCACTGGTACCGGAGGTTGCCGTTCCACGACTCCATGTCGTAGCCAACGAAGTGCTTGCACGTGGCCACGATCCGCTTGTACTTGCCCTCGTCGTCGCCGCCCTCCAGGCCGTCGATCAGCGCGTGCACGTACGAGCTCAGGTGGAACGGGTCCTCGCCGGGCGTCTCCTGGCCGCGGCCCCAGCGCGGGTCGCGGAAGGGGTTGATGTTGGGCGTCCAGAAGTCGAGCCCGGCGCGGCCATCGTTGTTGAAGGCGCGTGCCTCAGTGCTGACGACCGTTGCGACGGCATGGATGAGTTCGTCGTCGAAAGCGGCCCCCATGAGGATGGGCTGCGGGAACGACGTGGCGTAGCTGTAGTCCCCCTCGGCCGAGAAGTTGACGCCGGGAGAGGATGCCACCCCGTGGAGAGCCTCTTGCCACCAGGTGTATGCAGGAAGGCCAAGGCGGGGAACACCCGGGCTCGTGCTGCCAGTGTTGTTGATCTTCTCCTGGATGGCCATCACTTTAACGAGCGCCTTGGCGCGGGTCAAGGGGTCTGAGCGAATACCTGGTTAGCACGACGTACTGTACAATGAAGAAGGCTTACAGAGTCGCATGCATACCGAGGGAGGCATCGCAGACCGAGTTGTTTGCGAGAGGTCCGGAGACACAGTCTGGGAAGCTAAAACCCAGGGCGAAGACCCCGGGGACGGTGGCAGCTACGCTGCTGAGTAAGAGAGCCGCCCGCGGCATGATCCTTGGATGAAAGGGGCTTTACAGGACGATGGCTCCTGGAGTGTCTGTGAGGTGCGCCTTTCACACGGCGCGACGCTCCCTCATATAGTCCTCCGGCCGGGCGCCTCGGGGCCGTCAATGACATCTAGGTACTAGTCAACGCTTGTCGAGGCTATGATCGTCGATCGACATTACAAACATCGCTTCCCCACCTCTCCGCGCTCCCCGCCTTCTGTGAGCTGTCGTGTGACGCTAAAAAACTACTGCATTTCCCGGGCCGGGAATATCTGGAATTGGGGAAAACTTCGTGGTTGACATGCCTGTGGTGCTGGGTGGTGGGACCAAGGACTGCGCTGAACCTGGTTCTCGGCAACAGACTCCCGGTCACTGTATGTATTACAAAGACAGAAGAGCCTCGATTCGTTCCCCCGTCGTGAGTGGTGACCGCGACTGGGCCGCCGGCGATGGTCGGGGATAAGAGAGCCGCACGACCGGTCGTCGTCCACCTGCGCAAACAAGCATCGATCGCCATTTATCCGCCCTTTTAACCACCACATTCCCGGGTGCTAGACTGCTACTAGTGCAGTGGGTCCCGGCACATGGTCCAGGAGACGACGATGACGTACAGTACTTTGTAATCCGTAGAGGCCCCGAGGTTTGACGAGGTACCTCACCCCTTAACAGGCGAGAGCTTGGGTTGACCAGTTCGGGTTGGCGGATATCGTAGGTGGTTGGTTTGCCAGTAAACTTGTTAGTCCAGCTTATCATCATCAGTGCTAACAGCTAGCCAAAAATACCATCTCGTCCAATTCCATTGGTGAGGTTGAGGGACCAGAATCACCAGAGTCCGAGCTCGTCTCGGATAGTAGGTACTACCTACCTATACTCTGAGTCTCTGTTTTGCTCATAAACATTCTGCCTCTGCTCAAAAGGGTCTAGAACTAGTAGCTATGAGGACAGAAAACCGCCCGTTTGAACAACAATGAAGAACGGCGACACACGGGATGGGTGACGCCATAGAGCTCGGTTGCGCGTCTGTTCCTTCGCCCGTAATATGCGCAGCAGCCTCGGTGCCAGGGCGGTCGAGATCGGTACCAACCGGCTTGCCGAGTGCCGCTGCGAGTCGGGCATTGTACGCGGAGTCATCTGACGCGAAGGCCTGGGTGGACTGCACGTTGGGTCTATCCCGCTGACCGAGTGCCGCTGCAAGTCCAGCTTTGTACGATGTGTCGTCCGAGGAGAAAGGTTGTGTTGATGGTAGAGCTGAACGAGGACCCTCTCCCTGACCCATTTCTCCGCGTTCCGTCAACACCAGACCCAGCATACGAGAGAGCGAGAGTGAGAGAGAGAAAGAAGAGGCCGAAGGATCGACTCGTGAAAGCGGTTTGCGGATGATTGAAAGGCGTTAGCAAAATGCCTGGCCCTGCGGCTCTGGCTCTACACGCTACGCCATCCACCGCTCTCCGCCCTCTTCGAGGCGAGGGAAGATGTCACATCTTTATACGGTCGGAATGTACCAGGCCAACTCCGTAGGCGCCAACTGGTCTCTTCCTCCGCGGCCAAGTTTCCGCCAACCAATCTCTCCTGATCCCGGTTGCCTCGCACAGGTTGCACAACTTGCGGCGGCAGGTCTCAAGAGGTCGCCTCGGCTCAGCGAACGTTGTTGACGAGCGCGTTGCAACTTGCAAGTCACTCAGCTTAGCCCGTGCTTGATTCACAGGGTTCTCGATAAGATAAGCACCGAGCGCTAAGCTCACTCGACCTCGACGAACCGCATCAATTATCGGAGCAAGTCCCTACAACCAAATCAACGAGCAATGGACGGATCCGGCCCATGGGTACCAGATTTCGATGATAACTCCCCATGGCGCTGGCCCTGGTGGAAGTTTGATATGAAACCCGAAGACTTATTCACGACGCTGACCGATCGATACAACACGGTGCCGTACAAGACCCAGAATTACGAAGCATTTCACCAGGACGTCAACGAAATCGCGGCTAAAGCCGAGGACGTGCTCGATTTCCATCAACGGCGTGCGCTCCGGCGAGAGCAGCGAATCCAGGAGATGCGACGAGCTTGGGACAATATAGGCGTCAACGTCCTCTGCAACTCTTCGGTCTTTGATGACAACGCCGCTCGCTTGAAGGCCTTCCTGTACTTTACTTCGAATCTTTCCCTGGATGCTCTCATACTCTTCGTGGATTCGCTTCATCCGCGGCCGCTGCGGGGTACGCTTGTTCCCGGGCCTCGCCCCTGTCAAGGTAGCTGACATAGCAGCCCTAGATACCACGCAGGCCAATGTTCAGTTGCCCCGTCCGGACACGGCGCCGACTATCCCGACAGGAACGACACCTTGCGCTAGCTCGCAGGGCAATATGGCTGGGAGCATCGACATGGACGCTAGCGCACCCGATCGAGGTCATGAGAAACAACGAAGACGCGGTGGACTCGAGAAAAGGTAATAGCTCGAACCGGCGAGGCAATGGAAGGATATCGCGACCGTCGCCGAGAGCGACACCATCATCGCCGCCAGTCCTGACAAGGCATGCTGGCGTCAGCAGGAAAACGACACAGCGCGGCGGCACGGCTAGGCTAGGGACGAGTAAAGCTGGGCAGCCGGACAGCGATCCCCGAACGTCACCCGACCTTCGGCTGCAGAGAAAGCGGCATCAGCAACGTCCGGCAAAGAGGCGTACAAGTCGCAGGTTGGCTGGTCGGCCACCTGAGTTTAGCGAGGCCTAGGCGGTAGTTGTTTTACGTATCGTGGAGAGCACCCTCGTCTACGACACCGGCGCCATGCGTGCCGGGATCAGACCTCGCAATGAGTACACGCGCTGCTGCCAACGTTCACGATCACTTGCGTGGCACACTCCATTCGGCTCGACGAAGTCGGTTTACCTGTCCGCGTCGCGTACTGGCTGGTGTGCAGCACGTTGGTGATGAGCGTGTAGACCGGTCTGCCACCGGCGCACTCGCGAGTCAGCGCGGTTATGGAGAGCATCGAGCTGTGGCACGTCGATAATCGGCTGAAGGCTCTGGTATGGGCTTTGGGCGAGGATGTGGCCCTGCCGTACGACATCCCGGGCGCCCAACCTCACGCAGCGCTTGCCGTTGACCGGCTTGGTGGTTCTGGAACTAAATCGGCGGGCGCGCCTGCTCACCGGCAAGACATGCCCGGTCTCACTAGGTAGCATCCCGCTGAACTTCAACCGGCGGCGCACCCTAGTCGACGTACTGTTCCTAAGTATTCACCACCAACGGGCTGGATCGCAACTGGCCATCGACGTCCACACCCCATGTCCGAGTGAGGCCGTTGCGTTTGTGCGGCCAGGCTGTTGGAGATGGTCACCTTACCACTGGCCTTCCAGACCGCCTTGGTTGCCTTCTTGCCTTTGTTACCACAACCGCAGCCACATCCTGCAACCATCAATATCATCACCATTTTTCTGCTCCTTGTACTTGCCTCCAACGTAGGCGGATGGGAACGTCCAGTTGGTGCCCGTTGTCATCCAGCCGTGTCGCCGAAGGGGGTATGACCTGGCTTAATGGTGCTTCTATCTGGTACGTGGGGCAAGGTAAGGAGGGGCAAAAGCACGAAAAACTCCAACTACTAATATATTCTCATGATAGTAGTAACTCTTTCCTGACGCGCCACTTATACACGTTCCCGAGATAAGTGCGCCACTCATATGTGCTGCACCATTGTCATGTCAATGCGCTGTGCGTCCGCGGGATTTGCTCGGCATGTCTATATGTGTCTTACTCTACGCGAAATCTGGCGGTATCCCGGTTGAGTCGTGAGTCAGCACTCGGACGAAACGCTGTGCAACCGATGCAATCGGAGAGAGCTCGGCCCAGGCTCGGATAGGATTTGATAGGAGCTTAGCCCAACATCGACTCTGGGAAAGCGCGATGGGGTTACATCATTGAGATGCAGCATGCAGGCCAGACCGGCCTCAATGAATCAGCATAGAGAGACAACCTTACTGAGTAACCTTACCCATGGATCCACGTCTTACTGGTAGATGCGACCTCGATCGCGATTTTCGTGATGGCTTCGACAATTCGACCGTTGTTCGTTATTGTGTCTTGATATCGTCGATGGTCTTCGGCATCATAGAGTCGGGAAACATTCCGAGATGCAATGGAATCTCGGATAGCGTTCATCGCCGAATACTTGGGAGGGTATGGACTGCTTGGCCTGCCATCAGGATACTCCTCGCGTATATAGATGTCTGCTTGACTTCGTCCGGAATCCTCTTCACCATCATCAACAGCCTCAACATCTCATCAGCATCTAGTACTACGTGTGCATTCAACGCCATCAACTTATCGCCTCCATACCTTCCAAGTCGCTACTCTTTGAACGTCATCTCTCCAAAGAGCATAACACTCCCATATAGGCACTCGCCAATAGTCCTTTGATTCAACCTGCACTTCACCGCCTCCGCCACCGCAAATACTAGTACTCAAAGACCGCAGTCATGGGCAGCACCGTTGAGAACAAGACCGAGTTTGACTTCATCGTCGTGGGCGGTTCGTCAGCCACCTCCCTAGTCACTCTCCCTAGCGCCACATCTAACTCATTCAACAATAGGCGGCACTGCCGGCTGCGTCGTCGCCGGCCGCCTCGCAGAGAACCCCAACGTCAAGATTCTGGTGATCGAAGCCGGCGTCAGCAACCCGGGCGACATCGACGCCATCACTACACCGGCGCGGGCCTTCGAGCTGCGCGACAGCAAGCACGATTGGGCCTACAAGACGACCATGATCGACCGGCCTGAGGTATGTCGTTTCGTTACTTCATTAACAGTTACACAAAAACCAACCCTTCTTTGATAGTACACCCGCGTGGAGAAGCCCAACACCCGCGGCAAGGTGCTCGGCGGCAGCAGCTGCCTGAACTACTACACCTGGATCCCGGGCAGCGCAGCGACGTACGACGACTGGGCCGAGTTCGGCGGGGATGAGTGGACGTGGGCGAAGTGCCGCGACTACCTCTACAAGCCGGCCACCTACCACGACGACCATCACCTCTACCGGCCCGAGCTGGCCTACATGGGCGCGGGCGGGCCCATCCCCATTTCGCACTCGGACCTCGTCCCCGAGGCCGAGGGCTTCCGCGCCGCGCTGACCAGCGCCTGGACGAGCAAGGGCGAACCACTGACCGACGACGTGCACGGCGGCACGATGCGCGGCCTGTGGAAGGCGGTCAACAGCATCCACAACGGCAAGCGCTCCTCGTCGTGGCTGTACCTCGTCGGCAAGCCCAACGTGGTGGTCATGGCGCAGACCCACTCCAAGCGGCTGCTGATCGAGCACGGTAGCAACAAGGTCGTCGGCGTCGAGGTGATCGGGCCCGACGGCAAGGAGTACACGTTCCGCGCCACCCGCGAGGTGATCGTGTCGAGCGGCGTGTTCGAGTCGCCCAAGCTGCTGTTACTGTCCGGCATCGGCCCCGCCGCCACGCTCTCCCACTTCGGCATCAACCCCGTGGTCGACTCGCCCCACGTCGGGCAGAACCTGCTGGACCACCCGATCCTGGCGCACGTCTTCCGCCTCAAGGACGGCTACGGCTTGGACCGCCACCTGCTGCGCGCGGGGCTCGAACACGACGCGGCCGTGTCGGCCTACCGCTGGAAGAACAAGGGACCGCTGACCAGCGGCTTGCTGGAGCTGGTCGGCCTGCCGCGCATCGACGAACGCTTGAACAAAATCCCGGAGTATGTCGAAGCGAAAAAGGCCAACGGCGGGGTCGACCCGTTCGGGCCCGCGGGCCAGCCGCATTTTGAGATCGACTTTGTGCCGCTGTTCGCCGACGCCTTCCAGTGGCACATCCCCACGCCGCCGGAGGGCGATTACCTGACCGTCATTGTCGACCTGCTGCGGCCGCTGTCCAGGTCGGGCACGGTCACGCTCAACTCGACCGATCCGCTGCAGCAGCCCAAGGTGAACATCAACTTCTTTGAGGACTACCTGGACGTTGTTGCGCTGCGGGAGGGCATCCGCTGGGTCGATGACATCCTCCAGACGGGCGAAGGGATGAGGGATATTGTCCGGGAGGACTACCCCTGGCCGATGCCGCGGCATTCGGACGAGGCGATGGATAAGATGATTCTTGAGCGGTCGCAGACTGGGTTTCGTAGGTCTTTGCCCTCCCCCTCCTCCTTCCCCTTCTTGGATCGATAAATCCTGGAAAAGCCGACTGACAAATCCTGGTCCCGTTGGACAGACCCCTGCGGAAGCGCACGCATGGGCAAGGACATCCACCAGGGCGTCGTCGACAGCAAGCTGCGCGTGTACGGAGTCGAGAACCTGCGGGTCATTGACGCCTCGGTGATTCCGGTCATCCCGGACTGCCGCATCCAGATGTCGGTTTACATGGTCGGTGAGAAGGTAAGAAACATAACCAAACAATGATCACCTTTGCTGGATTAGTGCCGTCGGTCTGTGTGTGACATGTTGTGCTAATCAAAACGGGAATCTGCAGGGTGCCGACATGATCAAGGCTGCGCACCCTGATCTGTATGCGGCTTGAAGGGATCGTATGCCTTTCGACGGTGGAGGGTTGGCTGGGGAGTAACCAATGTGGATTGGGGAATGACGGTGGTGGGGGTGTGGTGGTAGCCACTCATTTTGTTGTCGTTGTGTGACTCATGTGGTAGTACGATAGATTGTCAACCAGCTACACGTGTTATTTCGTTGTTACCTTTTTCTCATGGGGTTCGATGTTGTTCCAGGTAGGTAGTTCCAGGAGCCCTAGACTGCAGCTCGTAGACTACTAGTAGTAGTAAGTGGTCGCTCTTATCAGTAAGTGGTCGCTCCAAGCCATCATTCGCCAAGTATCACACGGAGCAAGACATGGGCCAGGCCGAGTTAAATCTAAACCAAGTCGGTTCCCGGAGCAAATATGTACTACTGTAAACCAGCAGGTTGACAATAGTTCAAACATGAATACGGAGTACTAATATTACCTAGGGTACCTGGTGTAAACTTAACCCTACCCCTTCCTATAGCGGGTACCGTACTATTGCCCCTTTAAGGCTAGCGCCTTGAGGCGAGATAAAACTTCAAAGCAGTAACGTTATCCGATATCGTATCAAATAGTCAAATAGCCCCTAGAGCATTCCCATACCACGAGTACTCTAAGCAGTCGAAATCAACGAGGTAAAAATATCCACTGGGTTAACATCGAGCCTCAACCGCTCCCATACCTTAAAATGAACTTATTCGTGAACCCATTCCGGGCGCAGACCCGAACAGGAACCGAGTGGTTCTCAGTCGGCGTCGCTTCGTCGTTTCCGGATGTCAGTCTCGACGCCGAAAGTGAGCCCCGGCTTTGCGGCAAGCGCGGCGCGGATACCAAACCGGGATGCAAGATCTTCCACGTCCCCAAGACGGACACCTCTCAACGAACCGAGGTCGACATTCCACCAGCGGAGGAAACAGCACAGGACTTGACGGACCAGGTCCTCGTGTTTCAATATCGCAGCACGTTCCATGCCATCGACCACGTACGTGCTTAGTCCTTTGTGAATAGGTACCTACGGAAATAACAATTTCTTTCTGACGATGTGTTAGCAATGCCCTCATTCCTCCTATCCCCTTTCACAGGGCATCCCATTCGATATCGAGGACTTTGGGATTGTGCTTAGCGCAGGGCTTACGTGTCCGAAGCACGGCTGGTCCTTTGACTTGTTCTCGGGCAGGTCGGACCGCGGGAATTACAAGCTCAAGATATGGGAGGTGCAGCTGCGTGACATTGATGGCTCGGAGACGGGCGAGAAGGAGGTGTGGGTGAGGAGAAAGCCAAGGATTGGCTGAAAGATTGATTTTGGAGAGGGGGGATGGGTGTCTTAAGGTACCAGGTACCTAGCAGGTATTATCCGTGCTTTGCCGGCTGTCACTGGTCATTAACGGTGTTGAACTACCAAGACCTTTGTGGTCTTTGTGCCGACTATGGCTTCAAGCCCTCCCACATATAACCTAGTTCACTGGCTTAGGTGGGCACATCACCTAATTCCGGCCCTCCCTGGACCTACTAGTACTCCTACCCAACCACGCCGTTCTGCGCTCGGACACTACTAGTACTGACGGATATCTGGCGTGGCGATGAAAAGGCAGATGGAGAGCACATCAAGAAAAGGGGCCTCAAGCTTATGGCAAGTGATCATGCTCCCCTCAAGAATGCCATATAAGTAGTAACCACGGGGCAGAATCTGAACTTGAAGCATGGTCCAGCGGAGAAGAATCACACGTGAATGACCGAAGTCTTTATTTTGCAAGGCCTGCTTACTCGAAGAGCGGACCAAGCGCTCTATCCTCCTCTAGATTCTAACCCAATCAGACCGTGTCCAGACGGCCACCGACTCCTTCGCTCCTTCCCGCCCCCACCCCTCGGCAACACGAACCTCGCAAGACCGGCTTGCCCCCAATTGCGCCCTATCCATCCGTGTCCCTCGACAGTGCTCACTTTACTTCCTGGGGCAGTGGTGCTCGATGTTGGCGGTGGACTCGGTGATCTTCCCGCACTTGCCAAAACCGCCCTTGGTCGCAGCCGTGTCGCAGGTTATGGTCTTGGGGCTCTTTCGGAGGTCGCCGCAGTTCTTGCAACTGGCCCTGTTGTAACTGATACGGCGGCACATGGTGGAGATCTGTGGGTGTGTGTGTTGGGAACGTGGACGGTTGGATTTGCTAGAGAGTGGTGTTAGTACTACTAGTAGTGGTAGTGAATGGAGGGGGCTAGGAAGCAGGGGTCCGACGATCTGGTTGAAGGCGTGGAGGGCTTACAGTTGTTGTTCGAGGTTTTATTAGCGAGGGAAGTTGGCAAGGCCGGCTTGTCTTGAAGCAAAGTCAAGTGAAGTGGAAGATGGTGTTGTGATGATGAGAAGAGAAAGAACGAGGAGGAATGTCGGGAGCTTCGTACTTATAGACATCGGATCCCCAACTGCCTTCTAGCCATAACCCTCGACAGGTCTCTTAGAATACCTCATGATCCAACCGCCTGGGCCTCGGAGCCGACGTTGGCAGGCATCACGACGGTCACAGATCTCGTACCTGACACAGAAACGCCGGGCGTGTTACTAATTTGGGCGGTATTCACAGTTGTCCGAGCCTCTGAGACAGGTTGGCGCACTATGACGACCTCTATCGGTTACAGACATGATGTTGTGTTGTATACCTTACATGGGGCAAGTCGACAATGGCTGGGACCCAGGGGCTCGTGAGCCTGGAACAGCAGCAGACCCATAGACCCAGTTTGGGAGCCATGGATGCGAGCATTGAATGGAGATGATACTATCAAATCCTTCTTCTACACGCTGCGAGGTTGCCACTCTCAGTTGTCTCAGCTAGGTCGCCGCCACTCGCCAGCACCTTCCCGTGACCCACAACCCCCCGACGATGTCGCCGCCAAAGTCTCCACTAGTAGAGCGAGAGAGTGCCGTTTCACCCTAGTAGATTCCACTAAACAGCACTAGTCTAGGGAGTTACTTCGATAGAGTAGTATAAACTGACGGATATAGGACTGCTGGTCTATACTTAGAGTGCTTACGTATTGGGATATCTGGGGTCTATAGGATGGAATGGGAATATTCCTTGTGAACGTTGCCTAGTATGGCACTCTAGCAATCCGCCAAAGTCAACTGCAATAAGGAGCTAGCATAAAACAGCAGGGTGATCTGATCATGTGATGCCTGTGGCTAATATTGCGGCAAAGTTGCAGTGCCCGCTATCTTACTGTAAGATTAATGAGCCGTGGGATGTAATGGCGGCGAGCGTGGGGCCTATTGAGGCCCAAGGGAGAAAGCCGGATTATCTGAATCACGAGGAGGATTTTGCTCCGAGAGCGAGCATCAGGTAGCAGTTAGTATTCATCCCTGCTTGCCTGTTCGCATTTGCATCGCTCTCATAACAACGGCTTACAGATAGGTTGCTGACAAAGCTCGGCCACGCCGCCACACAGCGACCTTCGGACTCTCCGGCGGCTTACGACCTCGGACTTGGGATGGACTCGGACCTTGACTTTGCGAGGCGGCGTGACTCCTTGGTTCCAACAGCGGCGAATCTGGGCGGGCTGTTGTTGTTCCCTGGCTCACGCCGTCGGTTGTGAGACAGGAGGCACCAGGCTATGGAGCGCCGGTCGGACCGTCTTGTCACCAGCGTCTGTGGTACGTTCCAGCTGTCCCGTTTCACTTCACATTGCCCCCCTGACTCTGTCTTTACCAACTGGCTTTGTAGGGACAATGCCACGGGTTATGTTAACAACTATTCCTACCAATACCGCATACAACAACACTCTGTCCGACCGGCGCAGGGGCTGACAACTCTGCAAGCTTAATTAGACGGAACAACAACCACTCGACCAACCCCCCTTACTGCAGCGTCAGACTGGCCTGCCCACTGCTCCCCGGCCCACCAGTCGCGGTATACCCCTCCGTGGCCAGGATGACATAGTCATGGTTCCCCAGGCGCATGCCCAGCTTATTCCACTGGTCGAAGTGCTTCTGCGTGGTGACGGAGCCGCCGACGCGCTTCTCCTTGCGCACGCTCCAGTACTGCTGGAAGGTGCGGGTGCCCTCGATGGACGGCTTGTTGACGCGCGTGCTGGTGAAGACCTCGTAGTCGCCCTCGCCGTCGACGGTGAAGTTGCCCTTGGACGTCCACGGCTCGTTGGGCGCCAGGTCGGCGTGCGACTCGATGATGTAGTACTCGATCAGCGGGTTGCGCGTCCAGCCGTAGATGGCCAGGTAGCCCGGGCCCGTGGCGTTGTACGTGCCTGTGTATCGGATGGTTCTGTGTGGGTACAGCGGTAAGTATATGTCGCTGGGTGGTAGGTGAGGTAGGTGATAGACCGGGCAAACGCACCTGGAACCTCCGTAGCTCCAGCCCTTGCCGCACACGAAGCCGCCCTTGCTGTTCCAGCTGACTGTGTAGGAGCCCCCTCCGCCGTTCTGGCAGCGGACGTTGCTGCCGCCCTCGGACCAGTTCTGGAAGTAGTAGCCTTGCCGGGCTTCCAGCTCGTTTTCTGCCTGTGTCCGAGTCTTGGGCCCCGCGGGCGCGCTGGGCGCAGCTAGTGCGCTGGAAGCCACAAGGCTGGTTACGAGGAGCGAGAGCTTGACCATGATGTAGGGATGAAAGAGCTGAGGCTGGTAAGCACGGTCTAAGAGCCAAGAACTGGGAAAGCTGTGTGGTTCCGGATAGCATCCCTTTATATCTTCCCATATGGGACGCCCGCACAGATTACCATGCTCCTGACGATCCATCCGTAGGAAGTGCCAAGATCTCATCAAGACTTATTACAGGACTCTCCTCAAAGACCTTGATATGTTTGATGCAACATGGCTATGCCTTGTTCATGTGGAGTTGTCTCTAACGGCATGGCTCTTGTGGGGTGTAGATCGCCGTGCCGGCCCAAAGCATTTAGCCTGAAGCTGGAGGATGTCTAAAACGAATTCCCTGTGGCCGGAGCCGTTATTGTTGGACACTCCGCGTGGAAGTTAATGAAATCTCCGTATTTGCGGGGTCCTCCCGTCCATTGCCGGCATGCCTTATTCCGGGGAACGTTGCAGCGTGGACACTTGGGCAGATATTCATGGAATGAGCATGCCCTATGAGTGCCAGCTTCTTTCTAGAAAAGTCAAGCCGGAATAATGGGATATCTACGTTGGATGATCCCCGAGCAGGATATTATCCGGCCAGTCCCTCTGCCAGTAGCTGGTGGCTCTAGTATACTGTTCCAAGCGCACCAACCACAACCTCGAATCGACGCCGCCTTCATAACCTCGGTTCGTTCTATCGCAGAGCTGGGAGCAAGCACCATGCTGCGGCCGAGAAAGTGACGCTTCTTCTCGCAGAACTCCTTGTTGGCCATCGTATGTAGTAGCCTGTTCGCCAACATTCCCGAGCTAGAGCTTTGGCCTACAGTGCTGAGCAGGGAGAGTGAGACATCCGTCGCTTCTTCCGGAGAACTCTGACCGGGGGAAACAGAAGATTTCTCGCGAGAAAAAGATTAACAAAAGTTAAGTTGAACAGGGGAAACGGACAAAATGATGGAGACTCGGATACCGGGAGTCGAACCCGGGGCTGTTGAGAGAGCAGACACTTCTGAGAAGTGAGAGTCAACGATGTTACCGCTACACCATACCCGATTTGAGGTCGTGGTTGGTTTCCGACAGGGGTTGGAAGGCGTTTCGGAATCTCGATATTTCTGGGCAGAAATTTTCGTTGTGGGCTGTGGTGGCTTGGGCGAGTGCGTGGGTAACACCCTAACCCTGCGTGCCTGCTGCTCTTGACGTCCTGGGAGACCCCACGTCTATCTCAACCGAAACTTAATTCCCCCTCATCAGCGCTGATGAACGCCAGCGCGGTAAGAAAAACGCTGAGGTGCTGATGCAGGATGAACCGCCTGAGATCATCGCCATTCCCAGTTAGCAAGCTTTCGCTTCATGCCCCTGGCTTCAGCCCTACCACCAACTCACTTCTGCGATATCCACCTAGAGGTCTCCTTCCCTACACCATCCACAGCACAACAACACAGTGTCGCAAATCCACTTTCAGGCTTCACCGCCCCAGCCCCGCCAGCGCGAGCACCGACCCTGCAGAGAACAACAACAAGCCAGCCCACACACAGCCAGTCCACACAACAATGGAAGTAACCTGCCAATGCAAGACCATATCCTTCACCACCCCGACCGCAGAGCCCCTAGCAGTCTACGTGTGCCACTGCACCGAGTGCCGCGCGCAATCGGCGTCGGCCTTCGGCACGAGCGCCATCTTCCCCGCCGAACCGGGCCTGTTCCCGCTGCCGCCCGAGCTTGCGTCGCGGCTGCAGGTGTGGACCCGTCCGACCGACAGCGGCGGCACCATGGACTGCTACTTCTGCCGCGTCTGTGGCGTGCGGGTCATGCACCGCATCCGTGGGGCGGATGGTACGGAGAGGGAGACAGTGAGCATCAAGGGCGGGCTGGTGAAGGGGTTGAGCTGGAAGGGGGCCGCGCATATCTTTACGAGGAGTGCGGTTGTCGATGTGCCGGAGGGGGTGGAGAGGTGGGAGGGTGCGCCGGATGTTATGCCGGGGAGGAAATCAACTTCAAGCCCCGAGCGTGAGGGGGATGGAGGGGATGAAGGGGGGAAGTGAGAACTGTGTTTGGTGGCTAAGCGTGAGCTGGTTCTTCAAACGACATGGCTCTGGACTTTGAAGGTCGGGGCAGGAAGCTCTGGTGATCTCGAGCTTCGCTGCGGAAGGATAGCGCTGGGAGCCGTAGAGCTCAGAGGTGCCTGAAGCAGGGCATTGTTTCAATCCCATGACGTCTAGGCATCTCCAGGCCAAATCGTGGACACCAAGCCATGGCGGACCGTGGTTTGGAGATCACGCCAACACGCTCGGAGTTAAGCCTTGCAACCGATGTCTTTTCGAGATCGAGCAAGGTACGGATCCTACCGTCTACGTACCCCCGGCCGCTAGAGCTGAGTCAGATAAGGTTTCTGACATGCAGCAGCAGGTTTCCGAGGCAGCGTACCTAATTTAGATTTTTAATCAAGCCTTCCACAAGGGCCGTGGACCGGAACACTCGGTGAAACGACCGGCAACATTGCCCTATGCAGCTCATGCATCTTTTCGACAATCCCGATACCGTCGAGTTTACACGGGTTACACATACCAAGGTGTCCAGAAACTGAGAAACTGGTACCTTCCGCACCGTGTTGAACGGATGGAACGGAGGATCGGGTGCATAGGATCTCCGCAACGGCGGCCCACCCCGGAGATAACCAATGGAACACGTTAAGGGTCCAGCCCTTCCGGGTGCTGATCCCTGTTGCTTACCGACCTTAGTTAATTCTGACATTGATAAGCTCGACGGTCCCGGCCTCTACATATGCGTGAAGCAGACCCGACTATCTCTGCTCAGCATCTCTCCTCCCGAGGTCTCTTACCGCAAACCTTCAACATCGACATTATGGGCTCGACCGTCGAATCGGCGCCGCCCACCGGCCTCAAGCACGACATTCTCCTGGTAGTCGTTCCGTTCCCGGCAGACGAGAAATGGATGGCCAAGCTCAGGGAACAGCATCCGGGGCTCGAGGTGCGATGGGTCCAGCAGCCGCCCGCGCTTGAGATCGACCCCCCCCTCCCTAAGGAGACCTACGATGGGGTCACCCTGTTGTGCACCCTCGCGTCCCACCCATATGAAATGCTGCAGAAGGTCCGCTTTGTCCAGCTGCTGTCTGCGGGGGCCGACAGGTGGGTGGGCTCCGAGCTGTACAAGAAGCCAGATGTCACCTTCTGCACGACGAATGGCGCACATGCGTGAGTTGCGAGTTACCCGCGCGCGCTAGATGGGAACAGCTGATGTCTGACACGTCACACAATCGACAGCCCCCAGATCGCGGAATGGGTCATCGGCACGTGGTTGATGATGAACCACCATTTCATCGACTACGCCGAGGAGCAGAAGAAGGCCAAGGCCACCCGTTTGATGCATCTCAACGTCTACGACTCGCCCGGCCTGCGCATGGGCGTCCTCGGCTACGGGTCGATCGGGCGGCAATGCGCGCGGCTGGCCCAGGCGCTGGGCATGGAGGTGTACGCCTACACGCGCACCGAGAAGGCAACGCCTGAGTCGCGCAAGGACGACAGCTACTGCGTCCCCGGGACGGGCGACCCGGACGGCCTGATCCCCGCGAAATGGTTCCACGGCGCTTCCAGGGAGGCAGTCAACGAGTTCCTCGCCCAGGACCTCGACATCGTGGTGCTGAGCCTGCCGCTCACCGAGTCGACCAAGAAGATCCTCGGGCGCGAGCAGTTCGACATCCTGTCCAAGAAGAAGACTTTTGTCTCGAACATCGCCCGCGGCGAGCACATCGACACGGACGCGCTGCTGGACGCGCTGCGCGAGGGCAAGATCAGGGGCGCCGCGCTGGACGTGACCGACCCGGAGCCGCTGCCCGACAACCACCCGCTCTTCACCGCGCCCAACATCTTCATCACGTTCCACATGGCCTGGCAGTCGCCGCAGCTATTCCCGCGCGTTCAGGATATCGCCGAGAAGAACCTGATGAGCCTGAGCAAGGGCGAGCCGCTGATGAATGCCGTAAACCGCGAGCACCATTACTAAAGTCTTTTTCTTGGCTATCAGTCTCTGCCACTACTGGGCCACAGCCAGCCGTCTCCTGAGGTCTTCCCTAGCGTCCGCGATCGCCCGGTCCAGATCAATCCCCCAACACACCGCCTGCCGTTCCTCGATGTCTTTCCGCATGGATTCGAAATGCTCCTTGCCCGTGTTCGGCAGCCGCCACTCGTACAGGTCGGCCGCGCGCCGGCTGCTCTGGACTAGCCATTGGTCCCGCTCGCGGCGGCTGGCGTCAAACGCGGCGAACACGGCCTGGATTTGATGGTGGGCCTGGTTGTTGTTGCTGGGGCTGGAGCTGGAGCTGTCATGGTCGTGCTCGTCCATAGTGCTAGTGCTAGTACTAGTACTAGTGATTTCCTCGAGCAAGGACAAGAGAACTGCCACGTCCTCCATGCAGAATCCAGCGCCGGATCCGTGGTGCGGCGTGCTGGCGTGGGCGGCGTCTCCGATGACCAGGATGCGGCCCGAGTAGAAGCTGGGCAGGGGTTGGGCGGCGAGGTCGAAGAGGCCCCACTGGTGCAGAGCGTCAGGAGTAGTAGTGGGAATAAGTAATAGCCAGGATATAGATTTGAATATTGACGCACCTTGTCCATCTTGTCCTTCGTGAGCCGCAGTAACCTCTGGACAGTGTTGCTGAAGCTACCCTGCTCAAAGTCGCGCAGCGCATCGTCTCTCGTGGCGGGGAGGGTAAAGCTCCTCGCGTCCTGGCTCGGCCAGGACTCGTTCGGGTCCGTCACAAAGGCTACCAGGTTCAGGAGCTGGTCTGGGCCGGCGCGGCCGACGGGGAAGGTGAGCACATGTCTGCCGTGGCCCATCTGAGGGGAGTCAGTCAACTGTCTCTTAAACAGGGTCGAAGGAAACACTTTGGCTCTGTGTTGTATATCCTCCTTCCGAACGAAGGCAGACGGGAAAGGACTTACCCATAAACTCGAGCACCCCGCCCTCGCCGGCCCAAGCTCCTCCATAGCCCGATCCATCGGAATCATACACCGATACGCATACTTACCACTATACCCGCACTTCGCCCCCTCCTTATCCTTCCCCCCAACCAGCACCTCCCTGACCTTGGACTTGACCCCGTCACAACCAATTACCGCGTCCGCTTCAGCGGTGGTGCCGTCCTCGAAATGCAGCACCACCTTCTTCTCCCCAACGCCCGGATCCTCAATCCGCTCCAACCGCTTCCCAAACTGCACCGTCCCCTCCCCAACCATTCCCATCAACTCTTCCAACCACCGCGCACGATGCACCGCGCCATGACCCTCGGGATAGGGGCAGGGGATTCTGAAAGCGGGCGACAGGTCGCGCGCTTCAAGGGGGGAGGTGCCGTCGAGGAAATCGATCCACACCTTCTCTTCCTCCTTCTCCTCCTCCTCCTCTTTTTCTGCCTCTTTCCCCTGTTCCCGGTCCCCCTCAGACAACCACCCTCCCATACCCCCAGAGGGAGGGGAGGACTGCCAGCGCATATCCCGCGGCGTGCACACCTCCAAGAACCGCTCATACACCCCGCGATGGGCGATGCGCAGCGCCCGGGCCGCGTTGGGCCCCAGCCCGAGCCCGGCGCCCAGCTCGGTCGGGTGGCGGGATTGCTCGTACACGGTGTGAGGGATGTCGCGGGCGGAGAGGGCTAGGGAGAGGGTTGTGCCGGTTATGCCTGCGCCTATTATTGCAAGGTGCATTCTTTTCTGGTTGGCGGTGGAGGTGGAGGAATACATTGTCTCTTTCTCGGGTATGTTTTGTGTGTGTGCGATACCGGATTCGGGTCCCGGGAGGTAGATAGTAGGAGTAGGAGTCGGTTTGGAAGAGATCAGAGTGAGCGCAGTATTGTCATGAGGCCCTTCAGAAGTTCAGATGGCTTCGGCTTTGGCAGGCTAATAAAAGTGCTACAAGGCCTTGAAGTCGTATGGGTTCCTTGCTGTTGCACCGGGTGCTGATATCCAGGGCGGTCGACAACTGCCGATGTGAGGGGTTGGGGACGAGTGAGGGTAACAGGAGGCCGGAACACATTCCACCTATCCAGCCAGCTTCCAGCTTGTCAGATGTGAATGGACGCGCCCCCCCCCCCCGTGCAATGCCAGTTCTCGAATGCACTGAATTATTAGTACTTGCCAGAATCTTCTTTGGCAAACCTACCCCTTCAGCGCCTTAGACATGATGAGCCAAATGGATGAGAGTCTGCAATCAGCTTCCCGGACCTACACAGGACCAAGCACATTAAGAGGTGGGATCGAACCAACAAGTAAATACTTGTGTTCATAATGCGTCGATCGAGTTGCTCCTCCGTCTGCAACGTCTGAACCAGCCCTGGACAGACATTCCAACCTCACCACCGTCCCATGGGCAGAACCTCAATCTGCCCAAAACCATCGCGCCTGATCCTTCTCCCTCCAGCCCCCACCTCCACAAACCACACATGTTCCATTAGCCAGTGACGCAGCCGCATCTGTATGGACTCACGATTCAAGAGTTGTCTGGCAAGTAAATATCTGGAGTGTCAATGCACTCAACTTTCCGCATACTTACACAGACAAACGCCAGACCTAAGCTCGGACGCTGCTTCCCTAACTTCAACAACTATGAACCGACGAGCAGGGAAGTGTGCTTGTCAACCAGAGGCTCGCCATATATCTACCAACTCTCACGCCATGTAATCGTCAGAGGCCGACTCGCTGCGAGACTGGCCCGTTTGGTCGACGTTCCACTTTGTGTCCGTCGACCTGGTTCTCGCATACCCACCGGCGCTCTGCAGACGGCTAAAATATAGTTGTTGAGGTCGAGCTGGGGGAACTTGCTTCCGTTTACTCCTGGCGTTGTCTGCTCGCCCCGCGCCCGACCTTGCCCCGCCGTGGCCCTTAAATAAAGGCTGCCCACAATTCCCGCTCGGTTTCCTTTCCGCTTCCCTCGCGCAACCACAAAACTCCCATCGCGAACGCTTCTCCCTTGGCGCGCGTCCGTTGTTTCGTTGTGGGAGCTCAGCAGAGGAGAATCGAAGTCGCAGACTAGAAAATAACTGCTCGGCGGCTCGTCGTCCCTCGTCGAACAGAGCCGTTGTCTAGGCCGTTGTCTAGGCCGATATCCAGGATGTCCATCTAGGACCACCGAGCCTCTCGTCGTCGCGCGTAGCTGAGGTTAGAAGCGCCCCCGCTCAGAGCAACAGACTATCGTAGGACGGGCCCGAAAGATAGATCTCATGTTCTCCACGACTGCGTACAGTCTGCTATCCTACCTCGGCGCGGCGGGAGCCTCGTCTTGGGGTTGTACTGGTCTCCCCTCGCCGCGAGGATTCCCAAGCACCCCCTCGACGCCAAATCGGCTTTCCTCCCCGACGTCGTCGTTGACCTGACCGCTGCCTACACCACCTGTGCTTCTTCTTTTCGCTTCCCACTTCCGGTGTCGTGTGGTCTCCCTGCCTTCGAGGCTGCCAACGGCGGACGGAAGGGTTAGTGTGATAGATGCGGCATTGAGGTTGGCTAGTAAAGTACTTGCATTGTACAATACCTCCTCCACAGCAGAACCCCCACATATTCTTCCGTCGCGCCTGGCTTCGTTCCCCGCCGCACCTCCGCCATCCCTCTGGTCGCTCCGGCTGATGTGGTAGTATCCGCTTGCGGATGTCGGTCCCCGGCTTCTTACATCTCAAGGGAAGTGACGAAAAGTCTTCGACGAAGTCGACAAGGTCCTGGTATGTATAGATCATCAATTGCTCTTTGACGTCCACATTGGACTCCCGAACCTTGTCGACGCGTGTGCCGCCCGGCCCGACTCTCTAGAGCCTACCGCGCCTCCACAAACACGTCTCACTTTCTTCGCTCTGCACTTTCCGGGCACAGCATGACCAATCACGAGCGCTTTGTGAAGCCGGAAGACGTCATCCAGTCCTCGTATGCCGTCCACTACTCTGTCGTGGGTAAGCACGCTCGGCGCTTCCCTTCTTTTCGCTTCCCTCATTTTCAAAAGGAAAACAGGACGGCGTAGCAGTTCTACGCCATCGGAGGACTTTCCCCAATATTTTCACTTTAACGCCGTTCCGGCGGATGAGGTGGATGTAACTATCAGCGGAACTCCCGCCGCTCAACAGCGGAGAGACTCGCCGCCGTCATCCTCTTCGGGGCTCCGGCCTGCCGTCTCGGTGTCTCCCCTCCGTGGGCTGTTTTTGTGGCTGTGCCACGAGGGCGATATGGCCGACAATGGAATTCGGGAGACTATAGCTAATATCGGGCAGAGGGACGGGGAAGATGGCTTTTGCGCTTCTGGCGTGTAGGTGGATTCGGGATGGAAGATTATCGTTTGTCGCAAGGAGCGAGAAAATTGGTTTGTTTGAGAAAACGTGGTGTCGGTCGTAGAGCGCGGTTGTCTTTCTGCAGCATATATGCGCCAACGAGCGCGTCTCCCAAGGTCGCGGGTGTGAACTATTTAGTACACAGAGCAGTTTATTCATCTACTGTTATTGTTCGTGTTGATCATTAGCGTCCAAAAGGGTAATAAATAGCTTTGAAGACTGACATGCCCGCCCAGGGGAACAAGTCACTCCTGGGGTAGTATGCCTCCGAGTAAACAGGGACGTGCTTTGCCACGTCTTACGTAGATAATAATACTGCCCATATAATAACTCACGCCTACATGGCATTTCTAATCACAGTCACGACCCCCAACTCGTAGGCTCTACAGATCACAAGAGGCAGGCCGGCGGCTTGATCGAGCCACGGCAAGCCAGGCGCAAATAGACGAGACAGTCATTGTCCTCTCCGACCCTTCTACATACTCGCATTCTGACTCAATCGATGATGGCTCCTCGGTTGGCGATAGGAAAGGGAGGGTGGTGTTGGGAGCGAGGCTGACTAAAAGTTTTTTTTTCGCGGGTTTTGAGAGCCTGCCAGTGCCGGCGCACTACCCTCGACGAGAAGTCGATCCCCGGCGTTCATCAGGGCCTCCTCTCTGAGCGTCTTATACTGCATGAACTCGCACAAGTTCGCAATCACGACAACCCTGAAGTTGTCTTCGTCCCACACTTTTGCGTTGACACTCTCCACCTTCCTTTCCATAGGTACTGATGCGATCCATCTAGCATGTGGATCTAATGGAGTGGGCACAGGTCCTGTACTTAGATTCTTCTGGCTCGGTCAACCAACAATGCTTCCATCATCATCAATTCATACAATCCATCACATTCTTGGTTGACCTATGTTCCCTGCGCTTCCGTATCACATACCCTCGTGCCTCGACGGGTGGACATGGACGCTCCGGAGGTTCTTCCTGGCCATTTCGGTGTCTCCAAAGATTCGGTATTCTCTGAGACACTGCCGGCTTCGAGCGCCCTCTTGGTCCCGGTGACGAGTCTATAACGCAAAGTGGATGAATGTTAGAATGCTGGCTGCGAAGCCCACAGCGGCCATTGGGTCCATTGTTGTGCTCGGACGTAATCGAGATGGAGCTAATAAAGGGATCAATCACTGGACCGAGCATTGAATGCCAAATTTGCGAAGAGGAACAGCGAACATGACGCAACTTCATACTGGGCGGTGCGGAGTCGGGCTGTCGGTGAAATTTGCGCCCAATCCCACGAGGTCATCTACCATCTGCCACGCTCACCTCTCATACAGAGTGGCCTGGTTCCTATCTTCCACCTTCCACTTCCGGGCCCGTCACGTTGAGAAGTGAACGAAGGACATGTTAACTCGGAGGCTTTACATACAGTACACTTAGAGAGGACGGTTCATCGCCCGTTCACATATTGAATCATTTTACTCGTCCAGCACTCCTCCGCTTCCTCGACCCTCTCCGTCAATGCCAATCTTGCTCGGACCCGGCAGCGAAACACCCTCCTTCAAAGGGAAGACGACAATTGCATACTTTTCCCGCTCCTAAATCCGAAGCAAGGACTGGTCCATATAGTACTTGATGTTGGCATTTTCCTCGGGCCTCTCCATCTCCTCACCGCTGACATAGCATATCGTGACTGGCCTTTCTGCGTGCTCTCTGATAAGCGTCGCCTTGAGCGTTTCGGGCACCGCGTCCATCCCGCCGAGTTGTTGCAAATCCTCGGCCGATATGGGGCCGTCAGGTGTGACGATGACGGGGATAGTGATACGGGCCTTGTGTTCCTTAATAAACGTGCCGTCAGCCATGGGCTTTTCTGGCTACCTGTCATCGTACCTATTACCGCTCGCCGTGCCATTTTGTCTTCCTCCTCCACCCAACGGAGTTTCTCTTCTCTCATTTGACGTTGACGTGCACGTGCAAGCCGTTGTACCGCATTGTCGTCGTCCTCCTCGGCCTGGCGAGCGTTTTGTGCAATCGCGCGTTGGAGTGCCGTCATCTTTGTGAGCTAGAATAGTATGATTGCGGCTGAGGGAGCCTGGCTGAGTTTCGATGTCGGTTTTCACAGTTCGAGTTTGGAGCGAAGCGGCGGGCGGGGGTTGCTCTTCCTTTAATACTAGGTACTAACCTTGGGTACCTACTACGTCAGGAGGGAGGTGCCAAGGCGGGGATATGAAGCAATGATAAACTAAATGTGTGACTCGAATGGCACGAGCAACACTGCAAGGTTCTCCATTCGTGATAGATAGTTGGGCTATATAACCTAAGATCCATGATCTAATAAACTAGACCCCAAATAGAAGGTTGATCACTGATCTAGACTTATATTTCCGCCCTCCATAGGTAGAAAGCTCAAAGCCGACACCTTTTTGTCTTTTAATGTTGTTCAAAGAGTGCGGCTGCTTGCTTGTCTACGATTGGATGGAAAACGACAAAAGGCACGGGGAAGAGCACAGAAATCACAAAAGCAAGTCGGGATGATAGGGAAAAAGGAACATAAACAAAAAGGCAAGGAGTTCAGGCGAAAAGGGCGGCTTATGTTTGTTTGCTAGTTTTGACGCCCCTTTTCTCTTTCGTTTCTCATTTCTTTCCATACCTTTCAGCTAAGCCAAGGCTTGACAACGACCCTCGGCCACGGACTTTACCGGGTATGCCCGGGTCTGACCTACCGGCAAGGATACTTGCCGTGGAAGCATTTACCATAGGTCCTTGAGAAGGGAGTAGGCGGTGGCAACGTATAGGAGGTCAGCACACCTCCGAAAGTACGCTCTATGGCCGGGCCGCTCCGCGGACCTGGCCCCGAACGTTAATGATGAACAAACAAAGAAAACCTCTTCTTGTCCTCGTAGCTACTAGTTCTGCGGCCTTCTATCCATACCCGGGGTTTTATAGGACGAAATCCCTTGACAATCTAGCTATAATAGACCAAACGCATGAGACATCACGACTGACCTAGGTGAGGATGACGCTTACCTACACGGAGGGCGGATCCGCAGGAGGTTGGTGAGTTCCAGATTTCGGTCTTAGTCGGTCTTCGTCGGATTTCCGCGATGCATTAGAACACCCTTGTGTAAAGATCAAAGGTGCACGGATCCTTGGACGGTGACTCAGCGGTCGATGCACAGGATTTCGCGTCAGTAGCGCGTCGCGTCCCCGGCTTCGTCTCCTTGGCAGCCCAATCATCCAACGCGACGCGCGCCGGAGGATTGCAGCGGCGGAGGATCAATCCCAAGGAGGTCGGTAAAACGGGGTGGATCGGTTGCCGGGGCCTCCGACCTCCGACTGAATAATTACTACTAGGTACCTACTATGGCTACGAGCGGACTTAGCGGAGTGAAGATCGGTACTTATGTCCCCCTTGTTGGAGAGCATCAAGTTGACGCCAGGCCGGCCGTCCAGTTGGGAGAAGGTCAAGGGTCAAGGACTGCCACGAAAGCGCTTGGCGAGGAAAGGGGTGAGTTACTAGGGTGGGATGGTTTGGTATATAAAGCCTGGTCCTTCCAGGAAAGAGTCGTCCTCGATTCAAACATCATCATCCTCTTGTTCCCACGACGAACTTCTCCCGCATCCACCTGTGCATTCTGTTCAGTACAACCCACATACTACTAGTACTCGAACCCATCTCCCACAATCTCACACACCGTCCTCCAAAATGACCATCGCACACACGGGCATCAAGGTCGCCGCGGCACAGCACGCCGCCGTCGTAGCGTGGTACGAAGCCGCGCTGGCGTCCATCGGCTACAAGAACGCCATGTCCTTCGCCGAGGGCCAGGTCGTCGGCTTCGCCGATTCCGCGGGCCACATCGACTGGTGGATCACGGCGGCGACGGCCCAGGACGGCGCAACTGCCATTCTCCCGACGCATACTGCATTTGCTGCGAACGGTTCGTACCTACTCTATTTTCCCCAAGTCCAATCTTTGAAGGCCTTGCCTTTCCTGGGGGTTTGCTGATGAAAATGGTGGTGGTGGTGTATTAGACCGGGCGAGCGTGGACCGATTCCATGCCGATGCCGTAGCGGCAGGCGGCACATGCAACGGCAAGCCGGGCATCAGGCCGTTTTCGGGGCCGACTTACTATGCGGCGTTTGTGCTGGATCCGGCGGGGAATAACATCGAGGTTGTGTGCACTGCTGAGGCTTAAGGCTAGCGTAGTTGGTGTTTCCCTGGTTAGAGACGGGTTGGATGGCTGTCCGTGGCCTTAGTTTTGCATTGTTTAATAAAGGCTGAGCTCCGCCAAGTGTCTACTAGTAGTTAGGACACCTTTGTAAAGCATATTCAATGACCAGATAGTCAGGGCTCACGGCCTAGGTACTCTCGGGCTTCCTCTTACAGCCGAAGCTCACGACAAACAAAGTCAAATCATCTGAGTCTATGTAATGCAAAGCCAGGTGATCCAAGACCCGTGTTAGGCAGACTAAATCAACCTCTATACAGCATAACATTGCGTTGTGTAAGGTAACCATACCATACCCCGATCAACAGGCACCTCACCGCATCTCTCTCCCCCGTCTTTCTCCCTCTCACAGATTCCTCTAGGGTCTACACTCCCCACCCCCTCACCAACGCCACCTCACCCGCCAACCCGACCACAATACTCCCCGCAACAAACCAATACCCATACCGAAACCACCACCACGTACTCTTCGGATCCTCTAAGTCCACATCCCGAATCATAGCGCCCAACGCAGCCGTAGCACCGACGGGCGCCACCGCATAATACCACCAAGACATCCCCATCCCCACCCCTGTCTCCATCCCCACCTTCCCTGTTCTTGTCGTCGATAGGCCGCAAACCACCAAACAGCCACCCAAGCACGCCAGCAGGAGGTACAGCACCCGCTTGGTGTGCGGGCCGCGCGGCCCGCCGCACAGCACGACCAGACTGCCCACGCCGAGCGCAACGTCGTGATCGTAGTCCTCGGCCGCGTAGATGGTGTCGTAGATGGCGGACCAGAGGGTGCAGGCCGCGTGAAGGGCCAGGAAGGGGGTTCGCATGGTGAGCGGGCCGAGAGTTAGGAGGGCCGGGATGAGGGTAGCGGTTGTTATTGTTGTTGTTGTTGTACTACTAGCAGTGGTGTGATGGTGATGGGAGTAGTAGTAAGGTTCGCAGCCGACGGCCACGGCGCCCATGACGACGCCCCAGGCGAGGCAGAACCCCAGGACGAGCTGGGGGAGGTTGGTGTGGCGCTTGGCGAAGGGGTAGTACGTCGTAGCGAGGATGTTGGGCGCAGCGTAGCGGAAGGCGAGGGCCGGGTCGGGGAAGCCCCAGGCCAGCGTGGCCGCGGCGCCGAGGGCGTTGGCAACCCCGAAGGCGAGCGCGGCGGGGCGGGACACGGCGCCGCGCGGGATCGGCCGCCGGGCCGTGCGCGCGACCAGGGCGTCGATCGGCGCGTCGACGAGGTCGTCCCACACGTGCGCGGCGTTGGAAAAGAAGAAGGAGGCTACCAGGAGGACGAAGCAGGTGTAGCCAGGGGAGTGAGAGGGGTGGTGGTGGACTTCACCAAGGACGGCGGCCAAGAGAACGCCGAACAGAGTGGGCAGGTAGATGAGCATCAGCGCGGCCGGCAAGGTGAGGCGGGCGAGCTGGACGTACGGAACCCATGACGGCGGTAGATGCGAGACCCAGCCGGTGGCACGGTCGCTGCTGTACTGTGTCGAAACCGAAGGAGCTGCGGTGGTGGCCCGCTCCGATTTGGATGCGGAGACGTGGCGAGGGCGGGTGGTAGTCGCACTACCTCTGACCATTGCGAGCGTTGGGTAGAAGAGAAGGAGACAAACGGAGTTGACTAAGCCTGGCGAGACTTGTTTACCACTTGGGGCTTGATTACCAAGAAACCATACATGGATGATGGAATAAGATACTAGTATATATAGTGTCTATCCAACGCTAGATTGGATATGCGGCCATATCCCAACCAGATCCGCAGTTGGGGGCGCTTACGCTGGCAGTTTCTGTCCGCCGGGTACCAGTGTCTGGAAGACCCGCTTCGGATCATACTTCCTCTGCACGGTTCTAAGACGGGCGACGTTGTCGTGCCCGTACGAGGCAATGACGGGCTGCGTGTGGAAGGCATCGTTCATGAAGATGTACTTGAGCCAGACGTGCTCCCGCTTAGCCAGCTCGTCTACGCGGTCGTGTAGGGCTGGCAGCAGACGTAGCGCGGTGGCATCGTCTTCGGGAAACCACCAACCGTAGTTGAGCCCGAACCAGGTCTGCGTGCGGGGCTCGAGACCCAGCGCGTTGCCGCCCTTGGCTTGCCCCTGGTGGATGACGTTGGGGTGGATCGGCTGCAGGGTGAGGATCATGGTGGCCGCCGTGAGGGCAGCCAACTTGGTCACCTCGGGCGCCGTCTGGAAGATGTGGGCGAGCCCCTTGAACATGGACGGGCTGGGCTCAAAGCTATTGGTGTACCACATCTTCCGCTGGACGTTGGGAAGAGGGAACATGCCCATGATCTCGTGTAGGGTGTAGAACCCTGTCATGTCAGCCGCCGGCGTCAGCTTGTAGAAGGGAGCATAGGCCGCAGGGCGCTCTACCGGCTGCAGGTAGACGAGGGTGAGCAGCACCGATGCATTGTTCACGGCGACATTGAGTACCAGATTGGCGTGCAGATCCTTGTCGGGAGTGTGTTGGTATTCGTTGAAAGCCAACAGCACATCGGAAAGCTGGTCCGGGGTGAACACCAACATGCCGCCCCAGCAATTCTTGATCGGGTAAGTCGTGGATCGGTACGACGTGACAATGCCTTTCATATGCAGTCAGCAGGCGCGGAAAGTTACACGGGGGAGGGGGGAAGGGGTGGTGGACAAATGGTGGCAACCCACCAAAGTTGTTCGAGCCGCCCTTCAGTGCCCAAAACAGGTCGGGATGAGACGCTGCGTTAGCCTCGACTAGGCTGCCGTCGGCTAATACCACCTCGAAGCTGGCGACGTTGTCACAGACCAAGCCGTACAGGTCCGACAGGTAGGACAAGCCTCCGCCGAGCGTCAACCCGCCAACACCCACGGGCATGACGCGGCCTCCGACCATGGTGACGTTGTGCGAGTCAAGGAGCGTGTAGACGGCGTCCCATCTCGCGCCAGCGCCGAGGGTGACGAGCGACGTTGCCGAGTCGTAGGTAACCTGGTCCAACTTGTCCAGGGCGATCAGCACGCCGGCTGAGTCGATGGATGCGTCGTGGGGGCTGGGCGAGTGTCCGCCGGACCGAATGGCGAACGGGACCTTGGCAGCGGCGAGCGCAGTAACGAGCTGCTGCACGTGAGCGGCCGACGCAGGCTGTGCGATGCAGGCCGCCGGCAGCCAACACGACTGCGACCAGTTCTCCTCGGTCAAGCTCGAGTATGGCGCATCCGTCGGCAGCGTGATGATGGACCCGAGCTTGGCCTTGAGCTGGTGGCAGGCGGTAGCAGCTCGCGCAACGGGCTCAAGCTCCGGCGTGGGACTTGTGCTAAAGATGTTGGTGATGTGCGAGCCAATGCTGGGCAAGACAGTCGCCGCCAGCACGCCAATGGCCGCTATGGCAGCAGCCGCCGAGATAAGCGGGACGCTCCGAGCCGGACGAATGGCCTTGGGATCGGCAGTCATCGCTGCGGGGTGCGCGTGTGACTGTGCTACAGTCGAGAATGGGCGAGCTGTGTGGGAAAGAGAGAGAGCAAGAAAACAAAATGTCAGAGGTGTTCTAAGGTAAGGCAGGTACATACGAGGAGGTAGCACACCACAGGCCGGACAATTCCAACCCCGCGTCGAGAATGGCGGGCTGCCTTATACCTCGAGTCCGAACTCGCGACCGAGAGCCTGGGAATCAGTCGAACGACACCTCGGCGACATGTGTGGGAGAGTAAGCAATATTATCATGCAAAGGCGGGAGCATTGGTTCGGCGCGGATAAGCGCGCATGCGGCGCGTTGTCCATTTGCGTTTGACCGAGTCTCCTTTGGGCCTGTCAAACTGCGTCACGGTTATCACATGGGATACTGTGTGTATGCACTGTACTTTATACTGTTCGGCCCAGAAGTGCCGTCAATCCACCGGTCGTGATGTTGTACAACCGATGGAAGAATAGACGCGACAGCTCTCCCCGAGTCCGCGCAGTATCGCGCAGATGTTTGCGTGTTCTTGTGGGAATGCGAAGTGACAAATCCGAATCCACCACAATACTATCTCGACACCACCAAACCAATACACGCACACTCGTCGCCGTGTTGCGCCTTCCTCACGTTACACGTTACACACCCGCTGCCGATCCCAACCCACAAGACCGGCACCTTCGGGCCGCTCATGCCGCCTCCTCTATGAGGTATTCTCCAAGACCCCGAACCGACAAGCCAAGAACAAACCAACTTGACCAACTACTAGTAGAAGCCAAACCCCACCCCCTTCCTCAACGATACTAGTACCTAGTACCTACGTACCTATGTAGGGCTCAAGATGTTCTGGGAAAATCATGATCGACGAGACAGCCAGGCGAAGATCACTGTACGATCGAGATGGCGTTGCGTCGTAATCGATGTAGGGCCGCGGCGTTGCTGTAGGCGCCGGATGGTTGGTGCCATCGTCTGGAAGTCCCCTACAGGTGATAATGCAGACGGTCCGTCGATGGTTGGATTCGGCTCTACTCCGTACAAAGCCCGCCCGCTCCGAAAAGAAAAAAAAAGGTTACACAAGAGCTGACCACTCCCCCTCCTTTCCGAGGCATATTGCTTTGCGGCGCAGTCCCCAATGTCAGCGGCAAATCAGGCGGGTTCGGTCTTTCTTGCGCAATGGAGGGTTGCCCGCAGTGTCGCACACCCAAAGTACAGCATAGCTCAAGAGATCTGGTTGCAAATGGAGGGCACAACCATGGACGTCAGTCTGCTAGTGTCTCAGTAGCCTTATGCCGGCAGTGATCTAGGATTACGAAGACGCCCGGCAAAATGCCACCTCGATCGTCCTGGGCGACCAAGACCACACACAGCCAAAAGGAAATGCCCCGATTGTGAATCATTCTCCTTCCCCTAACAAGTCTAGTGCTCATTTTTCGTTGCTCAGCCGACGGAACAACTCCGACCGGGCGCAAGACAATGGATCCAGTCCCGGAGACGCCTGCCATCGGGCCGGACACGGACCGCCGAGTCTCGATCGAGGCCGCGGTCTGGACCATGGTGGCGATTTCTGGTGTTGTCATGGCCCTGCGAGCGTGGGCACGGATATCCACCCGCATGATGGGCCACGATGACCTGCACATGGCCTTATGCTGGGTTCGTCGAGATCTCATCCTCACTCGTTCTCGTTTTGCTCTTTGTGTTTGTGTCCTTGGGATCATGGGATGATCTAGTACTGACTTAAACCAACACAGCTTACATTTATCGCCCTCGGCATCATAACCACGCTGATTGCCGAGTCAGGGGGCACACGGCACTTTGCTTATCTGACTCTCGCGGAGAAGGAACACCAGGTCAAGCTGCAGATCGTGCTGGAGATGTTCGCCATCCCCTGCACGGCCTTCGGCAAGGTGGCCGTGGCCTTCACCATCCTGCGCATCCTCAAGCAGTCGTCGGCCAAGTGGTACGCATGGTCGTTGTGGGCCCTGATCTGGCTCACCGCCATCACGACGGCGGTCGACGTGCTGCTGGTGCTGTTCCGGTGCGGCGCGCCCGCCCACCTCTGGGACCTGGTCGGGCAGGCGACGGGCGCCTTCGCGTGCCTCGACGCGGGCGCCGTCTACGACTTCAACACGTTCGCCGCCGCCTTCCAGGCTTTTGCCGACTTCTTCCTCGCCCTGCTGCCCGTGCATATCATCTGGGGCTTGCAGATGCCCAAGGCGCGCAAGCTGGCCCTCAGCGCGCTGCTCGGCCTGTCCACCTTCACGGGCATCGCCGCCTCGGTCAAGACGTCCATCGCAGCCGATCTGCTCGGCACCAGCACCGACCCTACCTGGGGCTTGTACGGGCTGGCCATCTGGGCAGCGGTCGAAATCACGTTGATCGTCATCTGCGGGTCGGTGCCCGCGCTCGTGCCGCTGTGGGAGCGCCTTGTTGGCCGCCGCCGCCGCCGGGGCTACGCCAACGCTAGTAACCCCCCTTACGTGGTCTCTTCCGGCTACTACTCGGGCCACTCCTCGGGCCGGGGCTCCAAGCTCAAGTCGGGCTCCAACGCGCAGTCCTCCTCCCGCACCATGGTGGCTACGACCACGGAGAGCGTGGGAGGAGAAGGCACGGTGTTCTACCCGGATGATGATGATGCGACAGGCCGCCCAGGAGTCATGGGTACGGCGGGGGAGCGCCAGGGCGGCGGAGACCGCGATGACGTCGAGCTGGCGCAGCTGACTGAGGCGCACGGGCGAGGATTTCCATATCTGCCAGAGCGTTCTCGTGGTGGCTTCCATTGACCCAGGTTGGCTTGTAGTACTACTAGTAGTATTTGTTATGCTCCTGTTATATATACTGTAGATGTCCCCACAACCTAAATGCTCGCTGATGTACGGGTTGTGATGATCTGCTCAGTACGCGGTTGTCGTGATTCGGGTGAAAGTGTGCCGAGCCTGAGGGCAAGTCCACGGCCGAGAGGTGTCAGGCCCAGCATCCCGGGCCTTTCCTCTACGAAGAACACACCATAATCTTCATCAACGATATACTTCTCAAACTGAAGCAACCAACAAGTACTATACCAGTGCTAGGATCAGCTTATTACTACTGCCTCTATACCCAGTCAAAGTTACTAATACTAGTACTTATATAGTAGTCCCCCAACCCTCCCCCTTACCCCTTAAACCCCCCTCCTCCTAACACCCTCCAAAGCCCCCTCCACATCAGCAACCTTCTTCAACTCCCCCACCGTCTCCCTCCAAACCCTCTCGGTCGTGGCTCTCCCCTCGGGGGTATACATCGCCCGATGAAACGAATGCAGCTCCCAATTGACCAAAAACCCCCCATGGCTCTCCTTTCCTTTCACCGCCACCGCATCCACGTACGTCCACGCGCCCTGCTCCAGCGAGCGCGCCAGCAAGCCAAACGCCACGCCGACAAACACCTTGGCCAGCCACGGCAGCCGCCGCCCCACCTCGGTGCCCTTCACCATGCCCGGGTCGACCGTGTTGACGACCACGCGGTCCGGGTCGACCTGCTCGCCGAGCTTCTGGACGAGCATCAGCAGGAGGATCTTGGTCGTCACCTGCCGGTGCTGGGCCGCGACTACGCCGAAGCTGCCCTTGGGCATGTTGTGTATGGAGGCGTTGGAGAGGTAGCTGAGTAAGGGGTCGGCGTCGGTCGGCGGGAAGGGGTAGGTGAGTGAGAGGTTGGAGCCGACGATGGTTAGTCGGCCTGGGCCGTTTTCGTCGGCGGCGGGGTTGTTGTTGTTGTTGTTGTTGTTGTTGTTGTTGTTGTTGCTGCTGCGCTTGGAGAGGACGGGGAGAAGGAGGAGGGCGAGGAGCGCGGTGGAGAGGTAGTTCACTTGTAGCATTGCTTCGTGGCCCTGCGGGGTGGTAGTGTTGTTAGTAAGAGGAGCACGAACGAAGGGGGTTGGAGCAGATGGATAGTGTAAGTAGGAATAGTAAACAAGTAAAATAAATAATAAATGTGTCTTGATGGCAGACGTACATCAGCAGTGACGGTCCACTGGGGCGTGGCAAACGCAGCGTTAAGGATGGCCATGTCGAGGCGGTCGATCTCCTCAGCGCAGCGGGCGGCAAAGGCGCGCACTGACGCGAAGGACTCCTGCTCGATGGTCCAGACGTCGATGCGGGCCTTGGGGTGCTTGGCTCGCAGCGCGGCCGCCACGCGCTCGCCCCGGGCGCTGTCGCGGACGCCCATGATCAGGCGCGACAGGCCGAGCGCCAGCAGCTGCTCGCTCGCGGCCCGCCCCAGGCCGCCGCTGCTGCCCGTGACGACGGCCGTCTTGCCCGCGAGCGACGTCCCCGGCGGCGGCGGGCGCGGCTTGGTTCGGATCTGCGTCTGGATGAGCACCGACAGCGGTGATACCTTGGCCGGTGGGAGCGCTAACGACGCTGACATTGTGGGTGAGGGTTGGGAGTTAGGAGCTCGTGGATGCGAATATACAGCATACACTCGATATGGCAATGGAGGAGGAGGTCTGGGCAATGGATTGTAGGTATCAGGGGGTTCTGGGGACACGCGTGATATTGAAAAGCGTGGGCAGTGTGAGTCTGAGACATTAGGTAAGTCATTTCTTTCAGCTTGTCACTCGCAGTGATGAAGAAGAGGCAACAAAGACAGGCAAATTGCTATCGACACAGTGGGTCCCGACGACCAACATTCTGTGTTTGTGCCGAAGGGGGGCGTCGACTTTTGCCATTTGTCATACTGTGATATCTGCAATGCACGGGACGTATTGTTGGGTTCATTGGTGCTGCCACCAACTGCTCTGCTGCCCACCTCGAAGCGGGGTTAATTCCCCCGTAGTGTAGATGTGACGGTTGTGACCCATCAACGGGCCAACGGCACGGTTCCTGCAGGGCCGGGCCATGCATCGAAGGGACTCGGTTGGCAATGTGCCGGGCGGCAAAGTAGTATGTACAGAAATACATGTAGACAGTACCGTAGCACAGATTACCGCGCTCTGGACTTACAACGTTACGGATACAACATCCTGGTAGCAGCCAGATACTACTAGTAGTACCATATCATCACCTCGCCTTAAACGCACCCGCGCATTTGTGCTTGTCTCCCGAAATATTTCCGTTGTCTTCTCCAATCATTCACATCCCAGCTCGTTTTCCAGTTTCTCTCGCAAATATTGCACCTCGCCATGCCTGCCAAAGACCCAACCACGCCAGGAGGGGACCTCCTACCACATGTGGTAGGGGATGACGGGACCGTGTCCATAGTTGCGTAAGTCCACAAGGCGAATGCCCGCTAAACGTAGCTACTGTTCTCCTTCACGCGTCGACCAGGCGCAGACACCACTCTACTACCCGCCGCACGGGTGCACGCTACTAATTACTGCCTACCTAGGTAGTTTGGGCGGCGCCATGGTGACTCGCGTGCTGGCCCAGGCCGAGGCAGAAGCACTGGAAAACAGCACCAACGCCAGCACCAGCACAAACACACGCCAGTTCCACTTCGAGGTGGTCATCCATCCGGACCATCCGCGACTCCGCGGCCTCCCCAAGCCGCCCACACACTTCCACCCGTACCAGGAGGAGTACTTCACCGTGGTGCAGGGCGCTCTGGTCGTGGAGATCGAAGGGGTCGAGCGCGTCGTGCGGCCGGGCGACGGCGAGGTTGTGATCCCCCGCAGGGCAAACCACCGCCTGTGCTTTCCCAGTCTGGTCGACTTGGGCCGGGCGCAGCAGGAGCAGGGACAGGAACAGGAGCCGGTCCGCTTCTACGTCTCGGGCGAGCGCACGGACACCACGGCGGCGCTGGACCTGGTCTTCTTCGAGAACTGGTACGCCTACCAGGAGGAGGTGGTCGTGCACGGCAAGCGGCTGGACCTGATCCAGCTGCTGGCCACGTGGGACGCGGGGGCCTCGTGCCTCACGCTGCCGCGGTGGGTGCCCTTCCGGTCGTCGGTCTCGCGGGCGCTGGGTGTCGTGGTGGGGCGCTGGCTGGGCGGCCTGTTGGGCTACCAGCCCTTCTACAGAGCCTGGACCACGGACTGGGAGCTTGCGTGCGCCAGGATGGAGACCTCGGTCTTTCAGCGGCGCTTTGCTGACCGCGCGAAGACTGCATGAGTGGGTGGTATTATCCAGTATCCGCATGTAGGCTGTACCAGATACCAGAGCATATGGGACATGGGATCATAAGATCAGTATCGAGAGTGTACGTCCTTAGAGTAGTGCAGATGTTCAACGGTTTTTGGCCCCCCATCAATCCCACCTTGACAGAGATGAGCAATAAACGAGCTCCCGTGCTCTCACCAATCCCAACGTAACAACGCAAATCGCGCAGTCTGCACAGCCTGTACAGCCTGCACGGTGCCGGGTATTGTCCGAGGTTACAGTGCATGTACCAACCTGCAGACTCACAAGATCGGCACACGCCACTCGGATCTCACTGGTGATAGCGCCAACTGCAGACACTTCACTGCTTCGGGCCAACGACACTCGCTACTCAGCCCACTATGGTAACACAGTTCGCGACCCAACCAGGGACGCAAGCGTTTGTTGCGGCGTTGTCAGCCTGAGACAGGCAGTCACCGACTGCTGACGATATATCCACTGAGCTTTGCTGGCGCCAGAGCCAGAGTGAAGATGGGTGGCAGATGACTGGTAGACGTAGGTAGTAAGTACTATGGTTCTCAACCGACACACTGAGCAGCTCACCTTTCCCACATCTGCTTTGGACTTCTCGGTACTAAGCCCGTCAAGCTGGTAATTCGATGATTGCGAGACCATAGTAATTACCCCACAATCCAACGAGAAGGAAGCCCGCATCAGTCCGGAACATGGACGCTGCGACGGCCGCGGCAAAGGCCTGCCTGGCCGCCCGGGAGGCGCTCGGCACAGACTTGGTGTCCCTCGCGCCGGCGAACCAGACCCTTGTGGAAGTCAACTGGTATGTACAATACTACCGACACCTATTCAGGCTATTCTGCCCTCCTAAACACACAGCCAACTACATACCAGTAGCATTAACCATTTGGATACAGGTCCGAAACGTGTTGGGCGGCGCCGTCGTGTGTGGTGCAGCCCAGCTCGGCCCGGCTGCTCTCGGTCGTGCTACGGATCATCGTGCAGTTCCAGGTGCTGTTTGCCGTCCGCAGCGGCGGCCACTCGCCCAACCCGGGTTGGGCGAGCATCGGCCAGCCGGGCGTGCTGATCGACCTCTCGCGCCTCGACGCCTTCCGCGTCAATGCCGATGCGTCTGTCGTGAGCGTCGGGCCCGGCCAGCGATGGGGCAGTGTTCTCGCTGCGTTGGACCCATACAACGTCACGGTCGTCGGCGCAAGGTTGCCTGGTCTCGGCGTGGGGGGGTTCCTGCTCGGAGGTATGTGAACACCCTATTTTCCAAAGCAGTGTGACTTCAGTTAGAATTTGAGAGGAGCAACTAAACAGCAGCATTTGCTGGTATTTTTCTATGTAGGTGGGTTATCCTATTTCTCGGGCGAGTACGGCCTCGGCGCGGACAACGTGCGAAACTTTGAAGTCGTCCTGGGCAACGGCAGCATCGTCGAGGCCAACGCCCACGCGAACGCGGACCTATTCTGGGCTCTCAAGGGCGGCGGCCCAAACTTTGGTAATCCCCGCCTTTTTTCTTATCAACAATACGAACACCTTTTGTCAGACTAGGATAGAAGAGACTGACCCCCTTTTTCCAGGCATCGTCACCCGCTTCGACCTAGCCACCATCCCCATCCACACCGTGTACGCTGAAATCCAAGCCTACGCCGCGACCGAAACCGCATCAGTGCTGCGCGCCCTCGCCGCCTGGCAGCTCAGCACGGGCGCATCCGACGTGCGCGCCACGGTGGTCGCCCTCGCCTTCCCCGACGGCACCACCACGCTAGGGTTCATCTACTCGCAGCCGGCCGCCACGCGGCCCAGCGCCTTTGCCGCGTTTGCCGACATCCCCGTGCTGGCCACCGTGCTGGCGCCGACCAACCTCTCGGCCCGGGCGCTGGTCGAGGCCGCGACCGGCCTGGCCAACCTGTCCCCGCAGCGCCATGACTACCGCGCCGCCACGGTGCCCGTCGTCGACGCCGACTTGTATGTGGATATGTTCCGCTTCTGGGCGGAACGCGCGGTCGACGTCCATGCCAGGACGTGCGCGAACCAGACTTTTGTGCTGCAGCCTGTCACGCCGAATATGCTGCAGCGGGGGGTCGATGGCGGGGGGAATCCGCTGGGGCTGCGCCCGTCTAGCATGTCTTGTAAGATTCGCTCTCATTCCCTGAATTCCCTGAGCTAATAGGATTTGTGTTCGAAACAACAGGGTGGACCACTCTCATTGACTGGGAAGACCCAGCCGACGACGACCTCGTGCGCAGCGTGTCCATCGCCACGACAGATGAGTGGAAGAGGCGGACGGGCGGCGGCGGCGGCAGCAGAGACTTTCTGTACATGAACGACTGCTCGCGCGATCAGAACCCACTGCCCGGTTACGGGGTCGCCAACGTGGCCAGGCTGCGCGCCGTCGCCAGGAAGTACGATCCTCACCAGGTGTTTCAGAAGCTGCAGCATGACGGGTTTTTGTTGAGGAAGACTCATGTATAAAGGGCATCACCGTCTACTAGAGTCTGATAAGGTCCTGCTTGCCATGCGTTGGTCTTTCAATGGGGTACTATTACTTCGACTCGAGTAGTATGTACTACTAGTAGTATTGTACATGACATCCTGTCAAAGACTCTAGATACAAAACAAGAAGGGTGCCATATCGTCCTCCTCATGCTCAGCACCGTGAACTATCCGCTGGCAATTCGCTCGGAATAGCACATTGGTCGAGCTCAACTATTGGTTCACCGGGTACTACTAGGTTGCCCCCATGTCGGGCGAACACCGGAAGCTCCGAGTAGCCGTTGCCACCACCATCCATTTCCGTCGTCGCAAGGCCCGTATCATATCGTCCTCCAGCCCCGTTGTTGTAACACACCTCTTTGCCCACGGCGTCGTGGTCCTCACCACATCGAGGGGAAGAAGCGTGCTTTTTCGCGCGCTGTCGGAGAAGTACTAGTATCCAACCAACAGTAGCAAGGATTGCCACACCAACAACCACCCCTACCACGCCTCCAGCTATCGCTCCCACGGAAGGATCCGGATGCTGTCGTGACCGGCCCGCTGCTTGTATTGCTAGGTGTAGGGGATGCTGTGTGCACCATGTTAATGAGAGATCCAAGTTACCGTAGTCAGTAGGACGTAGTGAAGAAACCAGCCTACATGTGGATGCGGTTACGAACAACCCTTTCACTCGTTCTGAAGACCACTGAACGTTTTCTTGTGCCCTGGTTTTCTCCGTAGTTAGTAATTACTAGTAGATCATACGTGCTAGCACGGTAGCAATGTAGCACGCAAGGGCACACTGAGTAAGTACCCACCCACTTCTATACCGGTTTCTGATCACCTCTGCCTGCTCGTAAGCAGGAGCGTTGGCGTCGTAAGAGTCCTTCCAAGTCCATGTTCTCATGTCAAAAAGAAGAAGCCCCTGAGGAGCAGGGTCGGGTTTCGTCCAGTCAAACACAGACTCCCCAATACTCAGGACTTGTCGGTTACCCGCGGCCACGCATGCACTATTCAGCAGTTATTAGCGGATATAGCCAATAAACACTACCCAATCGCCGCACGGGGGAGTCATACTGGCTATATCGGGGCCCTGCCGGAGGTGTTGGGACCTGTGTCCAGACAAATGCTGGCAGGCTTAGTACGTAAGCATCCTGGTACTGGTACTTGTCGCGCTCGTTTGAGCCTCCGAATAGAAAACTCTGAAAACGGTTAATTCGTCGTCGATCGGTGGGTCTGTATGTATTGTGTACATTGTCGGCCAAGAAAAAAAGATGACGAACTCACATATCGTAGCCCCCGCCAGGCACCTCAGACCCGACAGTGCAGAGCGAGGTTCGCGGCGATGGAGGGATGTCCCCCGTGGATATATGCCAGTACGCCTCTTTTGTATTGGGGTCGAAGAAGGTCACGTTTCGGAAGTCAAACGCGGGTGCGTCGTTCTCTAGCTGTGAGATCTCTCCTCCGTCGATGTAGACATAGTTACCAAGGACCGTAGCGCGCATGTACGCTCTGCGCACGAAATTTGTCGGCGTTGGTACGTCGAATAGCACCGCGTCGACAAGCTACGTTGACCAGAAGAAAGTAAGTACTAGACCCGATACGACCCAATATGAGGGCATTGTTGGGTAGCGAACAGGGGCCATGACAGGCTACGGAACGGGGAAAAGGATGAGAAATGCTGAGTAGATAGTAGAAGGCAAGGATCCATAACAACCTGCCCTAAATAATTCCAGGGTCGCATTGGAGGAAAGAGCCTCGATGAGATTCAAGGTTCGACCTAGGCAACTATGTAGGGTGTATCGGATCCTCCCTTCCCGTTTCCGTCATTGGCGGTGGCCCGGGGGGCTTGAGGCATGATTTCGTCAAGGGGCCGATTGAGAGTGTCAGGATTTTGCAAGCGCTTACTGAAGCAATCTGGTTGGCGTTGAATTTCTCACTACTGTATGAAGGCGGCTTGTACCGCGTTGTGTGACCCCCTCTGTACCACGGCGGTGTCGTCCGGGACAGTGGATGCTGCTACTGTCTTTCCTCTTCCACGATCGAGTATCGAGATGCTTGGGTAAGACTAAGAAACTCTAACTGGGTCTAAGCAAATGGATAACAATAGCCTGGCTAAACTTTTCTGCTGGGATGAGACCGCATCCTCGCAGCCGAAGTCAACGATCGCCTTGGGTTAGCTTATTCTTAGAACATTTCATGCTGACCTCTGTGTTCAACCTGCCGCGGTCAAAGAGAGACATGTAATCGGTCATTGAAGTCATTTTTGCCTGCTATTCCAAACCTCTTCCTGGCAGCGATAAGATGGACCTTTCAATAGAAAATCCCCCCCTAGAATCCGAGATCATCACCACGGAATCATAATCACAAAACCCCCACCCCCAAAACAGCCAAACGACCAAGAACCCCCCTTATTTAGACCCCTACACCGCCTTCAAGACCTTAGCCCTCACCCCTTTCGTCCCCGGCTTCGGCCTCGGCACAAAGCAATCCATATACCCCTCCACCGCCTCCGGGCCCGTCTCAAACAACCGACACTCAAACCTCCGAAAGAAGGTCGCCAACCCGATATACAACTCAGCCCACGCCAGCTCCCGCCCCGCACAGCTGCGCGTGCCCTTACCAAACGACACGAGATACCCCCGCAGGGGCTTGCCGTCCGGTGCGCGGGGGTCGCCCCCTCCTGCCTCCCAGCGCTCCGGGCGGAAGACCAGTGGGTCCGGACCGAACAGCCACGGGTCGGTCAGCACCGAGTAGTTGTCCATGCTGACGACGCAGCCGACGGGGATGTGGTACGACGACGACGAGGCCGTGCTGCTGCTGCTGCCGTCGTGGTGGTGGTGGTGGTGGTGGTGGTGGTAGACCATGGGTGTCGGGGAGAGGCGCGGGGTGCGCGACAGCACGCCCGGGGTGAAGCGCAGGGCCTCGGTGATCACGCAGGTGAGGTAGGGGAGCTGTTGCTCGAGGGTTTCGAGCGGCGGGAAGGGCTGGTCGGGGTCCGGGTCCGGGATGGCGGTCAGCAGTTCGGCGCGCAGCTTGGCGTGGATGGCTGGGTTTGAGAGCACGTAGTAGCAACAGCGGGAGAGCGCGTACATGGTGGTTTCCATGCCGCCCGTGATGAGGGCCAGGGCTTCCTGCTGTAGCCGCTTGGTGGAGAGCTCGGAGGGGGGGAGGCCGGATTGCAGGAGGGCGGTGAAGAGGGATTGTGGTTCGGAAGGGGAGGGTTTCTTCTTCTTCTTGGATGTAGCGGATGCGTGAACCGCCGCTTTGGCGCACAGGATCTGGTCTTTCATTTCTTCTTGGTACTCGATGACGGCGCCCAGGGTGGAGGAGATGGATCGCACCAGCCGGCCGGGGAGCATCTTTGCGAGTTTGAACGGCCAGGGGAAGAAGGTGATCCAGTGGACGGGCTTCATCAGAGCCATCCTAGAGAACTGTTAGCAGTTAGGTTGACGTCTACATGGTGTAAGGTTGTGACGAACGTGGCATCCGTGAACGCGGCTCGGAAGTCGGGAGACAGAATAAAGTCGTAGGGCTTCTCAAAAATGTAGCCCACTACAACGTCCGCGGTAAAGGCGCTCCACATATCACTCAGGTTCAAGATGCTGTCATTGCCCACAAACTCCGACTTGACCCTGTTGACGAGCCGGTCCATGTGCCGCTGGATGTGGGGTGCGTACTGGGCGATCTTCCTCTTGGAGAAAAAGGGGTTGATGGCGGCCCGGCGCATGCGATGAATGTCGTGTTCCGGAGTCGCGAACCCGGACATCTCGTTGTTGAAGCGATGCGCAAAGTCCTTCCGCTTGTCGCAGTGGCGAGACTGCGAGAAGAGAACATCGTAGAAGGTTGGATCTTGAATATGGACCTCATTCGGAGCGATGCGGACAATTGGCCCTACATAGCATAGGACTGTGAGCTGGCGCGGTCTGGACTCCAGGGGTGGGAGGTCTTCTCCCGGTCCAGTCCTACCATATTCTTCATGCCACTTCCTCAGCTCGTTGAAGAATTGCCCGCCGGGGCCCTTAAAGCACTGATAGTAGGTCTCCACCCACTCCGTCACCGCCGCCAGCTTGGGTCCAGGTATGTGTCGGAGTGGGTGGAAGAACAACCGGTAGATCGATCGGGCAACAAGATAGAGGGTGTATGATATGCAGGCAACAAACGCCGCTTGACTGTAAGTCATGGGCATAGTAATGTGGGAAAGCAAGAACCACGCCATGCTTCGAGATTGTCATATCACTGCGACCCCGGTGCTAGAGATTCGCTGTTTGTCTTGTCCTTAGACTCTCAATACCCTCTCCTATTATCTATATCATTACTGACCACGGATACTCCCAACGCCGTCGCCTCCGTCGGTCCGACACTCTCTTTCAGCATCGAGGAGTGCAGGGGATGAGTGAGACTTGAAGCTTGCACAGGCGTGGTGTTCATGATTCTTACTGGGCGATACCAAGCCATATGCAAGCGCCAACGGAATGTTTCACCATTTATAAAACCAAGCAGTTCTTCCGGTGACAGCCCAACTTCCAGCTCAAGGATGATCATCACCAGCTTTGTCAAAAATACCACGCTGCTCCCCCGCACTAGGTAGTTAATGTCCCAATGAGTGCACTTCCCGACTTTTGGGGGCTTGAAGCCCGGGAAAACCAACATTTTCATGACCGACATCGTGTACGGGCGGGCTAATTGGGACGAGATGGCGCCAGGTGCTAACAAGCGGTGTGACCGACAGCTTCCGGTGGCTTGTTCGACGGCTGTTTACGTGGGTCACAGGGAATGGGAGTCACCATCGGGCCTCCTCGACGTTCACCCAGCTGCAATCTCATCACATCAGCAGATACTCCGACTGGAGCCTTGACAAACGCCAACGTTGCCACTCTCATATGGATGTTGTCAACTTGTTAAGAGAGGATAAACGGATATGACGACCAGGATGGTCATCGGAGCTGGGTGGCCGGAGACTCCTGGTACCTTGAGAAGGCATCTCGATCCTGGAATAAGTGGAGTTTGAGTTTGCAGTGATCTGCTGCAGGGTACTTAGGGTACCTGGAGCCCAACCGCAAGGATGGTGCGCTCATTGGGCTGCTGTGCATGTGATGAGAAGGTACTCGTGGCCGTAATGCCGGGTACCGGGTTGGGGGAACCAACTTACCTTCGACCTTAATTTGAATCTCTATTCCGGAAACGTGCGGATGTGATATCTATGAGCGGTAAGCATTATTTGTGTACTAACTAGTCCTGTCATGGCGACTAGTAGCTATCACTCAAAGTCTCAAACCCGAGCTCGGGCAACTAGAATCCGATGTAAGCCGTAAAGGAGCCTATGGCCCCCTTGCCAAATTTCTCGAGATGGTTACCGAGTTCTTCACCACTTACAGCATTGTACCACGACACACAACGTAGCTCTGCAGAGCCAAGGTTGCCATTTAAGATTCTTGGCGAATCTTGCCAAGCTTAGCAGCGGCGAAGAAGGTGACCGTTGAGAGATTGTGCTGGACTCTCTACGCCTTCTGTCAAGAAGGTGTAAAGGGTGAGTGAGGTCTGGGCGCACCTATAATGCACAGGCAGTACTAAACGACTAGATTCTGAGTCTGATACGGGGTCTGTCCCGGTCCTAGCCTCCCAACTTGCAAGTGGCCCGAGAGACATGGACTAGAGATATCACTTTCAGACGGTGATAGAATGGCCAGTAGTAGGCCAAGAGGTAGAGAAGCATTGCTTATGTACTTCGTCTCTATTTTCGACGCCGCAGCACACTTTCTGGTTTTGGACAGCTTTATGCCAGGTAGCCTTTGACAAATATAATGAGTATTAGGGCAGTTCGGTCTCCCTAGTCCCTTCCAGACTCAACCCACTACACGTGTAATGACGGACCCGCAGAAGTCAGTGCCGACAGTGGATGCTTCAAGGTAGGAGTCCATCCAGCAGCTGAGGTTTTATGGCACTCCATCGGCCAACACGGTAGTGCGGGTAGTCAGGGCGGTGCATTATTCCGGCGAATCTGTGGCAGAGAACTCGGAAGGGACCCTGGCTTGCTCATCCGTTGACATGTTTCAGTAGGTGGCGGAACGATGAGTCGTGGATGCAACTTGGCCAATCTCCCATCCGAGCCCTCACCCGATTTTAGCCGATTGGCGACCTGACGCCTGAGATCGTGCGAATTGAACTGCGGACAATGAATGGGCGGCTCTTGTCGGACAAGGCCCGCAAACAAGCAGTGCTGACATGAGAATTCACAAGCCGATACCCGAGCTCTGAGTACACTTCAAGCATACGAATTACGAATCCTTTGGTGCCAGTTGTCACCTTGTCTTGTACAGTACAAACATGTAACGGGGTAATGACCTGGCACAAATGCCAAAATGATCAAGCAGGAAATGGTATTCAGCAAAGTATACTACCTTATTTATGTACAGTAGTCAACGATGATGGTATCTAGAATCAATGAAATTTATACACGACTGATGCGTCACTCCATATCCACTTGTTCGCCCTGCGCATGAGGCTTCTCGGCCGGGGTTCTGTTCCATGGAGTCAGATCGACGCTCCCACCCCTCACACCGCTCACACTTCCAGGCGGCCGCCACCTTTTCAGACCGCCCGCACATGGACTCTTTAACCACCCACAGGTCTCTCTGTCCTTGGAGGGCGAGCCTCTTTCCACTTTCACCTCCACAAACACAGTACATGAACTGCACACAAAAGGAAACTTCGACCGACATTGGCGACAAAAACATCATCAGGTATCCCCTCTCCCCCCTTCCGCAAACAAAATCTGAAGACTGAATCGAGTGCCCAATCTCATAGGTGTTAATAGGGAGCTTTTGCAAGTTCCGACGAAGCGAAGCCGAACAAAAATCACCCACCGCCTCAAAGATTGGCATTGCTCAACCGGACAAAACACTGCGTCGGCTCCCTCGCAAACCGCTGCACGGCATCATAGCCACTCAGCGCCTTGGGCGTCTGGTGCAGGTGGAAGTGCCAGACAATCAGCGCGAACTGGATCTTCAGCCCCTGCAGGGCAAAGCGCTTCCCGAAACAGGCGCGCGGGCCCAGGCCAAACGCCAGCTGCGGGCCGGCCATGGCATCGAACACCTCGGCGCCCGAGTCCCGGTCGGTCTTGAGCCAGCGCTCCGGCTTGAAGGCCGAGATGTCGGCGTCGTCCCACAGGCCCGTGAGTGCCCCCTTGGACGAAGAATCGGAGCGGCGCGCGCCGGGGCTGCGCTCGGCGTCCGACAGCCGCATGTTGGGCTCGAGGTAGCCGGCGCCGTTGGCCATCAGGAACACGTCGGTGCCCTTGGGGATGGCGCGCCCCAGCACGGTGGTGTCCTGCAGGGCGCGGCGCACCACGAAGGCGATGGTGTTGGCGTGCCGGAGCACCTCCTCGACGACGGCGTCCAGGTAGGGGATGTGCGCCTTGGCCAGCTCGGCGTAGGTCGGCGTGCGCTTGGCCAGCGCCGCGTCGGGGAGTGCGGCCCGCAGCTCCGCTCGCAGCCGGTCTTGCGCCTCTGGGTGGTCGGCCAGGAACTTGACGCCCCAGGCGACCGTGGTGGCGGACGTGTCGTGCCCCGCCAGCATGAAGCCGAAGAACTCGTCGGCGATGCCACGCTTGTAGTAGTCGGGCTTGCGCCCCTCCTTGGCGGCGACGTCGCGCTCGCGGAGGAGGACCGAGTGCAGCGCCGTGTGCGGGTCCTCGTCGCCGCTGTGGATCTTGCGCACCGACTCGTCGACCTTGTCGCGGATGTACTGGTCCTTGATGGCGGTGGCCTTGCGCATGTAGGGGAACTTGCGGATGATCCACGAGGTCAGCCGCGGCGCCGGTGACAGCTGCGTGTCGGTGACCGAGTTCGCCAGCGTCAGCGCCGCCGAGAAGATCTCGGGGATGTCGCCCTCCGGGAACTCGACGGGCTCGTCGACGCTGGCGGGAAGCTTGAGGTCGCTGAGCTGCGACACGGCCTGCAGGCGCCGGGTCGTGTTGCTGTCAGCCTCCGGGTGGCCGAACATGGCCATGAAGATGGTGTCCAGCGCCATGTAGGTGATGTCGTGGTGGGCGAGGAACGGGCGGCCCTCGGCCATGCTGCACTTGAGCTCCCACACCTTGATCATGGTGGAGACGGCCTTGTACAGCGACGGCCCCAGCACCTGGGTGATGAAGGTCGGGGCCATCAGGTGGTTGATGAGGTTGCGGTTCTTCTTGAAGCGGTCATCGTTCGAGGTGAACTGGATGTGCTGCTCCGGCAGGATGCCGCCGATCAAGTCGCCAAAGAAGCCGCTGCGGTCGAACTCCTTGGTCCGCCGCAGGAGGATGTCCTGGCTCTCATACGGGTCCGTCACCACCACCCATGGTAGTCCCATCGGCTGGACGAAGGCTTGTATGATGGGACTTTGGTGCCGCGATGTCAGCGAGGTCAACCAGCACTGTCGCCTCGTTAGCAGGTAGGTTACGCGGTGGGGTGCAGCCCATGACCCGGCAGTTTTGAACTTACAAAGATACGCTTGGTGCGCATCACATAACCGATCATCTCGGGGACATCCCCGAACAGCTTGTCGACGGCATTGCGGTTGTACGGGATGCCCTTGAGCGGCTTGGGCAGCACGGCGCGGTATGCCCAGTAGAAACCCACGACAACAATGCCCACCACCAAGGTGCTCTCCAAGAATGAAACGACGGCGCCCATCTTGTCCCAAGCTGTCCTCCCTACTACCTAACAGTCTCTCCCGCGTGCCACGTGGGATTTGTAACGGAATAATGATATAAAAAGAAGGTAAGAAGGGTAGCAGTCACAGTCGCACCGAGTTGCTTCTGCCACGCGAGAAAGCGAATGCCAAAGGGCAGCAGCAGCAGCAGCACGGCAGCGTGGCTGCATCAAAAGGAACAGTGGACGTCTCATCAGGTGAGGGGCCAATGCAGATGGGAGGGATGAGGGTTACTGCGTTCCTGCGAGGTCCAGGAGAGAGCATCAGGGGCCGGGGATGCGGCCTGGCCATCCGATTGGCACATGGGGCCCCACCGCATTCCCGCAGCGATTGACAGACAGGCCAGACACGGGACACAATGATGAAGGCCTCGAAATTACCGCGCACGGGAAGTGACTCCCGACGCATCTTAAAGAAAATCTGCATATCGCTTATATGCCCGATTGGTCATCGCGAGGCCGTTGAGACGTTGAGCGTAGCGTTGGACCAGAAACGCGGGGGGGCGGAGGGGGGATACGGGGGAATTGGAATCTTGGATGTGACATGTTCGCTCGGGAAGAGAGTCGAAATCCTTCAGTCTGTAACCGGCTGCCATTGCCACTCCAAGATTGGGGGCAAAGCCTAGAAGTACTTAACGTTCTTTTGATTCGGACACTCGCCGCCCATGGACTCGTCCCGTACGTTTCGAGGAGGCAAGCCAAGCTCATCTTCTTCGTCCGGCAGACACTCGTTCTTCGATCCCCGTGTGCCCGGAGCGGTCCGTCCTTCACCATCACCATGGCTTCCGACGACAACGGCCCGCCCATGACCATTACCATGGTCGTGTGCACCGTGGCATCCTTCTGCTTCATGAGCTTGCGCTTCTACTGCAAGCAGGCGCTGGGCACCAAGGTCGGCATCGACGACGCCATCCTGGCCTTCTCATGGGTATGTTTCCCGAGTCCCGATCACGAATGATGCTAGCCACCTTCGGGCTGGCTGGCATGCGCCAAGCTCCACTGCGACCAAGACAACGCATACCTACCAAGCTTAGTTACTGACGCTATCGAACAATCACCGCTTGCAGCTGCTCTTCCTGGTCTTCGTCATCATCTCCATCTACTGCACCAAGCTCGGTCTGGGCAAGCATGTGAGCGACCTCACTGACATGACGCTGCTGCCGCAGCTGCTCTACCTGCTGCCCATTGGCCAGTTCTTCGCCGTGCTCTCCGTGGCCGTGTCCAAGTCGTCCTTCATCATCACGCTGCTGCGGCTGGTCACCCAGCCGTGGCAGAAGGCGGCGCTGTGGTTCATGTTGGCCACCATCAACGCGTCCATGCTGTCCATCTCCATCGTGCAGTTCTTCCAGTGCGCCGTGCCCCCGACACCCGGCTGCGTGGCCGGCGACCATGTCATTGGGCTCGGCGTCTTCGCCGCCGGCTACTCGGCCGTCATGGACTTGGTGCTCACGGCCTTCCCCACCGTCGTCATCTGGAACCTGCAGATGAAGAAGCGCGAGAAGATTGGTGTCATTGCCTCGATGAGCCTCGGTGTGGTGTAAGTGATCATCATTACTCCTAGACCGAAGCAAACTACTACTACTAGTACTAGTAGTAGTAAAAGGCGGTGACATCCCAGAACAAGACTAACAAAAATGATTCATTTTTCTGCAGCGCCGGAGTGGTCGGAATCTACAAGTCCTCGACGATCCCCGCCGTCTCGCGCAACGTCGACTTCACACACGGCACGGCGATAGTGCTGATCTGGCTGGTAGCCGAGGTCACGGCCACGGTGATCGCGGCGTCGATCCCCTTCTACCGGCCGCTGGTGCGCAGGGTGTCCCGGACGGGCAACAGCAAGGGGTCCTACGCCATGGGCGGCATGGGCGGCCGCAGCGGGCACAGCAAGCTGGGCAGCAGCGCCGACGTCAAGGGCGCCCCGGCCTACGGCGACGACCACGACAGCGACCGCGACATCAAGCCCCTCAACTCCCACACCGTCCGCCGCACCGACGCCTACACGGTCGAGTACGACAACATGTCGTCCACCGAGGCCGGCACGAACAAGCCCACGGGCCGCCGGGAAATGTTCTGAGCGGGCTGTGCTGCCTCTCGTCATTATTGTTATTATCGGTACCCTTCCTTAATTTCAAAATCTTCCGGGCGGCAGGTTCTTTTCAGGTTCAAAAAAAAGGCCATCCACGGCCCCAGTCACAGCAGTCATCAATGCATACCAGTTTCTATTTCACGACTAGTCGATGATAACGTTGTGGTCCGTTTTGCCCATCCGATGCCTGATACACTACGCCTCATCTCCACATGCCGATTCGGCCAAGACAGAGGAGGAATAGGCGGCCGTTGGGGGCGGGCAAGGGTATGGGGCGGAGGAGAGTGGGCGGGCGAACAGGGACTGTCCACGTCCTGTCTGGGCCTGGCCGTCGGCAACTAGTCTCCGGGGGCAGGATCCGCGGGTGTTTACATAACGATTAGGAAACGGCGCTATAAACAAAAAGTGAATTCCCTGTACGTGTATGTAACATGTATGGAACTTCACATTTCACATTCTAGTCTCCTTCTGTCTTTGCGATGTAACATAGGTCCGGTGCGAGGAAAGAGACAAAAGCAAAACTTGCATCTTTTCAAGTGGTAATTCAGCCCACGTTTCTTTCTGCCCACGTGTTTTGGGGGCGTCCTGCAGAAAAGACAATGCTCGGGTCAACAACTCCCATCCCCTTTTTCCATTGTTGGTTCTTCAGCTTTGGTGTCCTCGCCCCCAAAGCGACCCAAGAAGAATGAAAGAAAAAAGCAAAGGCAAAAATTTCAATTGGCCAATGACGATCAGGCGCCGAGAATTCGTAATCCTCTCAAACCGAATAACGAGTAAGAGTGGTTACGTTGACAAGAATTGTTTTCCATCTCCTGCAGGAAGCAGAGTGCATGGCAGCTGCGCCGCCTTCCTGCCTCGCTGTCGGGAAAGGGTAAGAGCTGTGCTGATCGCAGGGAACGCGTTGGTCGCAGACGAGGTTACAGTTTGGCATGACACCATACATCTACATATGCACTTTCGGGACGCTGTGGGGGGGGGGGGCGGGGGGGGGGGATTAAATCTCCCTTCTCGGGTGCTGGGCTCGGGTCCTTATCCGTGTTTCCTCGCCCTTTCTCGTTCCCGAATGTGCCGAACGGGCCACTAACGACCGTTTGATTGATGGGGCGGATGGAGCTGATGGCTTGGCTGAGGCAAACTTGGCAATCCCCTGTCTTGACACAAGGGGTTGAAGAGTTATCGCACCACACATGCAGTTACGCTAGTGACCGTTCACTGCGGTTGGTTCCTAGCGCCGGATGTGAGGATATGAGTAGTAGGGTTATGCGTTGACAGGTGTTCCGACGACGAACTTTTTGGTAGTATAGTAATGTACGCCATGAAGCTTGACGTTTCCAAACGCCGATATCCCATGGATTGGCTACGCTATTGTTGTGTCTCGACACCTTACACTTGTTAAAGATGCTCTCCAATCTTGGGATCGAGTTTCTCTGGCCGTCGAGGTGCCTCCTTCTTACCAAGGAATTCCGCTACCAGGGCCCTGGCACGAGTTCCATCTCATCCGACATCAACCAGGATTTTTGATGTTTTCGCTCCACTATCATAGACTTATCGGAACAAGGACAAGGGCATTGTTCTTGTGAAGGAAGCTCGGAGCGGAGACAGGTTGCAGCGAGGGAGTTCTGCCCCCCGGGCATAGTGGAAACGTCGAGCAGGCCTCCGCACCCGTGATGGGGCCAGCAATAAAAGCGATTGTCATTGACTGACCATGAGTGAATTAGGGGGTTTCGTATCGCCATGGAGTGATGGTCGGCCCCGTTGGCTATCGCATCCCCTGATGGCCTCCCGGGGGCATGTGAAGAAGCGCCCCGCTGAGCGGTCTGGTAACGTTAACGGGCAACAAGACCGAGACGATTGATCGGGCGGGGGAGTGGACATCAGAGATACCATGGGATCGTTCGATGGTTCCTCGTCTTCTCTTAAGCTCTGGGCGTCTGTGACGCGAGCCCGCAAGACGAAGGGCAACAGGTTTGCTCCGGTTCTCACAGACAAAGACAGCCACAATGCCCGGGACAACAACCACGCCAGAGATCCGGCTGCCGCCTCTCGAGGAGATTTGGCAATGGCCGCGGATGGTCAGTCCCCACCTGGCCGACCTCGAGGAGGAGTGTCTGCAATGGACTGCGAGCTTCGGCGCCTTCGACCCGGAGACGCAGCGGCGGATACATGATAAGGGCAAACTCAGTAAGCTTCTGGCCACCCTACTGAATTGGAGAAGACGCACAGTGTTTTGCTAACTACTATACGGATAGACCTTCTGGCGGGCATGTGCTATGCACGGTTGTCGAGGGGTGAGGAACAGACTCCCTGATCTTCCCACACTAGGGGTGGAAAATGGTCTACTGACACGGTGTTGGGAAATACAGAGCAAGTGCGGTCGGGATGCGACATCATGCACCTCTTCTTCATGTTTGACGAGTATTCCGATGGCGGGGCCACTCCGGAAGAGGTCTGGAACCAAGCCCGGGTTCTGACAGACGCCATGACTTACCCCGACAAGCCCCGGCCGGAAGGGGAGTGGGTTGGCGGCGAGGTTGCACGACAGTATGCTCTCCTCCCTTGTTTCTACTTCTCCGGCACTAAGCTGATTCAAGGGGACAGATTCTGGCTGCGGCTTCCGAAGACATACACCGAGACTTTCCGGCGACGGTTTCTGAAGACGTGGGTCGACTATGTCGAGGCGGTTGCGCGGCAGGCGGAAAACCGGGCAGTGTCGAAGGTCCTTGACGCTGACAACTATATCGTCTTGCGTCGGGATACTTCTGGCGCCCCATCGACGCTTGTCATGTGTGAGCTGGACCTGGACATACCAGACGAGATCAGGGAGCATCCGATCATCGAAGAGCTGTTCACGCTCGCCACCGACCTGATCCTCGTTGCCAATGTGAGTCTGCACCCCTGTTCCGATCGCACATACTACAGTAGTAGCAGTAAAACATGAGCTCACATCTCTTTTTGTGCAGGACATACTTTCGTACAACAAGGAGCAGGCGGCCTGTGACGTGGAGCACAACCTCATCACCGTCATCATGAAGCAGTTCCAGCTGGATGTGCAGCAGGCCTTCGACAAGGCCGGCGAGATGTGCCGCGAGAAGACGGACAGGTTCAACGCCCTGTACCGTCAGGTGCCACGCTGGGGCGGGCCCGTCGATCTGGATGTGCAGAAGTTCGTGGACGGCCTGGCCGTGTGCGTGGGCGGCACCCTGCACTGGAGTTATGAAAGTCAGCGATATTTCGGGACGCACGGCATGGAGATCAAGAAGAGCCGGACGGTCCGGCTGTTACCGCAAAAGTCAAAGGTGAATGACGCCGGGAAATGATACCCAACATTGGAAAGAGGTGTCAAACTTGGGTTGTCTTTTTTTGGTTTGGCGCTCGGAATCAATGTCACGGTGGGAATGAGGGAATGAGGGAACCAGGCAGTTCAGCGTGCATGCACAAGCGTTTTGTTTTCGCTCCCTGTCGGGAGGATGCTGGTTCTACAAGTCTCGATTCTTCCATATTATGCTGTGCCTCCAGCCCTCCGCTGCTTGTGAAAGGACCTTGTGAAAGGAGTCAGTTCCTTCCGGTTTTATTAACTCAAAGGTTTTGTACCTCCGTACCTGCCAGACCGCCGGGTAAATGAACAGACTCGTTTCCACTTGCCATTTTTCCTGCAAGGTATATCTCGGGTGGTCGGAAACTTGCCGAAGCATTGCCGATGCATCTATTTAAAGCCAGTCAGGGTTAGGGGCTTTGATCGGGCTGTAACAGTTATGATCTGTGTTATGATCTGAGTTATCCGTCCAGATATAATCTTCCATATCAGTTGGTACAGTACAATACTACTAGGGCATACACTACAAGACTGCTTTGAGCAGAGCATGACATGCTCTGGAGGCTTACACAAATTCATAGCCATCAAGAGGGAAAGAAATCCCGGGCTGGATATTGTGCCTGTTCTCCCTGATACACGCCGGCGTTTTATCGCGAGAGGAATCGACTTTATTCAGGGAATGTTCAAGCTCCTCGATGTTACGTCATTTCGACAATCCGCCCGTTCTGGAAGGCAGATGGAAGCTGAACCGGCGGGCCTTTCATTGCTTCTTGCCGAGACAGGCAGTTCTGTCGGCGAATCTCCAAACGGCCATGGACAGTGGATGTCTGTGCCTGGAGGGGCCCCCTGCCGTGGTGCGAACGATCATTGGCAGGTTCAGGAAGCGAGCACAAAGCGAGACCCGACACCATGCCGCCGGGTCGCTGCAACCCTTGTCCTTGCTGCGGCCAGATCGGATTCGGTGCCATTGGGTTCCGCCTACCCGCCGCAGTCAGGAAGCGGCACTCCACCGACGCCATTGTTCCTTCCTGCTCGTCTCGTCCCATGGTTAGGAGTTTACCGGTGAGCGGAATATTGGCTCGGAAAAGATTCACGATGATTGACGGTTGAGGCCTTGGACTGGTGAGTCAACACGGTGAGCGGCGGAGCCAGACCGGTTCAATCGTCAGCTTGGACCCTGCTTTGCTGACGAAGATCGTCAGAGGTTGAAATTTGCGTGTGTCCATTGGGCTCAAGTTGGTCTCCCTCGTGATGCTTCATTGCAAGCAACCCGAGCCGTCTTTTTCCGAGAGGCGGGGGGAATCCTAAAGGCACGAGAGTACTGAACTGTCAGCAATTCAGAAGCCAGTAAACTTGGGGGCCATGACTAGGGATATCGCCTTGAGCCTAATACTGGTTTTCCTCACCTTGTCTTCGATTTTCATAACTCCCCACAGAAGACATGCACAGGGACTCATCGGCGGGGGGAGAAGGCCCGATCGTTTCGTTGCGGCGCCAGGGGACCTGCCCCTTGCTGTCCCGGTGTCCTGGATGTGCTATACAGGGCATCAATCTCTTATGCAGCGGTGTGCTGTCACATGATGCTCTTGTTCACCAAGCTTTCACAACAAAGTGGGCATCGCGGTGAGGGAAGCCAGCGATCAGTGGCGCGGAGCGTCTCGGCGTGTTCCCGCCCCCATGGCCTCGGAATCAGGAGTCCATACGTTAAATTCCTTTCATCCCCCCGCCGCTGACATCCCCTCTGTTCTGTTCCCCTCCTCTGATCACATCGCCGAATCGTTAGTGCATAACTCCATTAGAATTCAGTCCGAAGGGACAGGCACCATAACAGCATGTCTTCACCAACAGTATCACACACGCTCTACGCCCTTCTGTTGGAGCATATTACCACGCCTACACTGACCACAAGTCTTGCCGCAACAGCAGCACTTCTTATCTTCTATTTCCTCGCCAGTGTCATCTACTCTCTCACGTTCCACCACCTTGCCAACTTCCCGGGCCCCGTCTCGTGCGCTGTGAGCCGCATACCGTTTTGGGTCGCCTGTGTCAAGGGAACCCAAGTACAATGGATGCATAGCCTCCACGCTCGATATGGGCCGGTGGTTCGCTACAGCCCGAATGACCTGAGCTACGTCGACGAAGGGACAACGGCGTGGAAGGCTATCCATAACCAGGATAGGACGGGTAGAAGGGAGTTCCCCAAAGCCAGGGAATGGTTTGTGACACCCGCCAACGGTTCGTACCACCCACCCTCCCTTCTCCAGTGCGAAAAGCGGAAGCAGCCTGCTGACTCTCCGTTTGCAGGTGTATATGGCATCAACAGTGCGGCTGAGCACGAAGATCATCGGCGGTACCGCCGTGTCTTCGCGCCGGCCTTCTCGGAGCGGGCCATGAAGAGTCAGGAACCGCTGTTCCGGGAACACGTCGACCTCCTTGTTTCAAAACTCGACGAGATGGTGGGCGCTGGGCAACCAGTCGACATGTGCATGCTGTACCAACTCACCACATTCGACATCATGAGCGACTTGACCTTTGGACAGTCGTTCGCCCAGCTCGAGGACAAGACCTACCTGAAGTGGGTGCAGGCCGTCTTCGACTCGGTCAAGGCCATCCCCATCGCCCAGGTCATCCAGTACTACCCGCTGCTGAACACGCTCTTCCAGCTGTTCGAGCCCAAGTTCGTCAAGGACATGAAATACAACCACTTCAAACACTCGGCCGAGCGCGTCGACAAGCGCCTCGCGCAGGGGTCGGACAAGCCCGACATCTGGAACATGGTGCTCAAAGTCAAGGGCAAGCTGCAGCTCAGCCGCGAGGAGATGTACTGCCACGCCGACGTCTTCATGCTGGCGGGCAGCGAGACGACGGGCACCGCCATGTCCGGCCTGACCTACTACCTGCTGACCAACCGCGACAAGCTGGCGCTGCTAACCCAGGAAATCCGCGCCCACCACCGCACCGAGGAGGACATCACCATGGACAGCGTAGCCTCGCTCCCGTACCTGAACGCCTGCATCAACGAGGCCCTGCGCCTCTACCCGCCCGTGCCGGTCGGCGTTCCGCGCGTCGTGCCGGCCGAGGGCAGGGTGCTGCTGGACAAGTTCGTCGGCGGCGGCACGCGCGTGTCGGTGCACCACTACTCGACGTACCGCAGCCCGGCCAACTTCGCGGACCCGGACGCCTTCGCGCCCGAGCGCTGGTTACCGACAACAACGACAGACAGCCGGTCGCGGTACGCGGACGACCGGCGCGAGGCGCTGCAGGCGTTTGGGTACGGCCCGCGCAACTGCCTCGGCCAGAACATGGCGCTGCACGAGATGCGCCTCGTCCTGGCGCGGCTCTTTTTCCGCTTCGATCTCGAGTTGCTGGACGAGAGCAGGGACTGGACGGACCAGAAGGCCTTTGTTCTGTGGGAGAAGAAGCCGCTGCTTTGCAGGCTCAAGGCGGCGGTGTCTCACTGATATTTAGGTGCTTTGGGATTATAGGTTGTGTGCTTTTTGTAGGGGTTTGTTGGGAGGCTTGTTTGATTTCTGTTAGTACTAGTACCTTCACAGCGTCTGGGAGGCGGGTATTTTCTGCAAAAGCGGTTTCGGGAACTTCTGTGTTTTGTTCAGGGATTTCGCGGCTTGGACTTCTAGCACGGCGTTGTCACGCTTTTACATGTGCTTTAATCAGGTTACGGAGGCATCTGCTATCCTTAGTAGATCTTGCAGAATAGAGTGCGGCTCACGCCGGTCTTGATTAACGTTATCAACTTCTTGGAATGAAACTCCCACAGAATCCGCTCACATTAGATATGCCAGCTGAAATCCTCTTCTCGCTTGAGGAGCCGTTTACCTATAAGTTAGCGTTGTCAAAAGAGAGCAGCATGTAACTACTTCAAAGAACCTCCGGAAGTCGGTCGAGACTCCGTAGTAATGCTGCCTCCACAACTGCGTGCCTCTCTCATCTTATGGTGCAACCAAATCGCGGTATGATTTTCACGGAACCCAGAAGTTCGATTTTTGCACCTTGTCCCTTGGTAGTAGAACCTAGAGATTTCGGGGAAAGGTAGCGTAGGACGTGGCGGAAATACTGAAACATGCCCTCGTCAATCTCATCAGACTTTTTGTCCCTGTTCTCCCCAGACCCCGGAGGGACTTATCGGTCCTTCTGGCTTAGCGGCTTCCTTGGTATGTACCTTAGGTTGACCGGAGTTCATACTGTATGTATGCATTGTATACAGTACTTTAAGCATTTCTGTACGTCGAATGTCCCAAACTTGCTCCCCTACTTTCCCAGTGCTTTATGGCGCCATTTCATGGAAGGAGTTCAGTGCTCCCGACCCTCATCTGTCACCCCCAGTGGGTGGAATGGGCTTCAAAAAGGCTCCAGCACTTCATTTGTTTTGATCCTCTTACCTATTCCGTTCACCCTCCCCAAGTTTATATCATGTCACATAGTAACTATATCCAAATCAGAACACTCATGGGCCAACACAACCAGCAAAGACAACCTGCAGTTCGCTGGTATTCTCCACCATTACCGCGATATAATGGTGGAAGTTGCCTGGCCCTTTGCGAACTTGCTGACGGACGACCATGATTTGACCACCCGTCTGGTTAAGCTTTCTGTCCAGGGCCCCATTGCTTGGAGGATGCATTGATGATTCTTTTGGTATTCTTGCTTTCTCATCTTTTCTTGATTGCTTGGCTTCCTGTCGTTTGTCGTTCGTTCGATCTTACAGTCATCCTGGCGAAGTTTCCAATCCTCACTTGCCCTCCTCATCCTTCTTCTTCGGCTGACTCCCTGGAATCTCCTCCCCCGTCTCCTCGTCCACCAGCGGACTCTCATCAGCCAGCCCCTTGAACTTTGGCAGCCCGTCCTTGACGTCCACTACCCGCTGCGGATAGAACATGTGACATTGCGCCTTGAACGCCTCCCTCCCCTTGCTCGTGTTGATCTCATCGATGAGCGTGGGGAATAGCAGGATCATGTTGCGGCCTTCGTCCATGATCGGGGTCCGACAGTAGGCACACTGCACCTTGCACGGCAGGTGGTGTGTCGTCGACTTGGCGGTGGGGTCGTACCATCCCAGGTCATGATGGCCTTTGGTGAAGTTGATGTCGGTCTTGTGGAAGATGGCTGCCCATTGGAACGGAGCCTTGGACCCACGTTAGCATCAAACGCAAACAGGGTACTAGGCCTAGTATGGCTGTGGTTTGAGGGGGCTTGCTTACCCCGTGCATCCGCTGGCAGGTTGTGCAGTGGCAATACTTGGATGACAGTGGTTTCTCCCGGCTCAGCTCATACTGCACCGCGCCGCAGTGGCATTTGCCCTTCCATTTTACATCGAAATTTTCAGCCTTGTCATGGATCCGATACGGTGGCCTGGTTTTCCATTCGTCTTCCGGGCGGTGTGTTGTTGAGCCAGCTTGGTACTGATGCGGTTCATTTCCATCGCTTTGTTTGTTGCCGTCCTTATCTTCGATCATTTTTCTGACGACAGGTGAAGTGGTGAGAGCTCGAGAATAGAGAGTGGGATTCGGAAGGCAGCGCCTACTGAGTGATGAAAGGCAGGGTCGCGAGCGGAGGAGGAGCATCAGGTTGTGTCGTAAAAACGTGTAGCAGAGCGGATGATTGTGTTGAAGTCGGTCTCTATGGAAGGTAGGCTGCTTTAATACCTTGGCATCTCATCTCTTCTATTCGCGATGATGCGCATTCCGAGTCAGCTGCTGGTTGGACAGGAGCAAAGCTTCCTAATGAAAGCATGGTCCAGTGAGATGTTGACGTCATGCCACCCCACAAAGCCACCACGGCTGTATCAACGTCAACACCATCACCAACTTAGAGAAATACCTTCCATTTCTAAATCCCCTGGTGACTTGCACGTGTTTTGGATCTGCGAGAAGATATAGAATGAAACATAAAGAAATGGCTTTACGGGAGGGAATTCCCAATGAGTTCCACGGGCTCGGTCAAGCATTACACCTGAGCCCCGATAATCTCGCCCGTTGCGGCAGAGTCTTCCGTGAAAGCCATGATAGAGCCCTCTCATTGTTCTGAATGGTGTCCGTCATTCACAGCTACCATTGCGTTATCGACAGCTTTTGGTCCTCTGGAAGGACCGCTGGTTGTTCGGAAATCAACGGTTTCCCCACGGTCCTTCGACTTCCCGCGCTGGAAGAATAGAATGGATAAAGACCGACCGGGCATGGCACATCTTCTAGAGATAGAAAACGAAGGCCATGAAGTGATGGAATTTGTGGTCGGTAAGGTGGTCGTAAGAATGAAGTTCCAAGAGGACCAAGACCCAGCTGGTTGCCCTCGAAGTTCTTGGAAGCTCAGCAGTCCGTCGTACCTTCAAGATTCAAGTCTCCCACCTTCCCTAGATCTGGAACTACATTACCTTCATGCATCCTGTTCTGATCTCCTTCGCTTTTCTTTCGTGCAGAGGCCCCATCCTTCATCTTCAACCGACTCGAATACATTGTTACTTCACGGTATTCACAATTAAGTCAATGGAAGCATCCAAATTGATCGAGGCCGCCGAATCCCTGCTTAGGAATGCCAAATTGTTGGCCAGGCATTTGGAGGGTCCTCATCCGGGCAAGACGAAGCGGGACTTAGCCATCGAGGAGGAGGGCCTCCGGCGGAAGATCGCGCATCAGGCGAAGAAGATCGCCTTCGAGACGGCGCCCGCGCTTGATGTTGTAAAATCTGACTGGATTGTGGTCAGTCCCTCGTCACTTGTCCTTCATCCGTCACCACGGACACTAACTAAATCCCAGCTTGCCGATGTCGGGGCATCGCACACCTTCATTGACTGGAAGGCCTTCGACTATATCCCCCTCGAAGGAGAGATCTCGATTGCCGACCTCGCTCGCGCCGTCGATGCCCAAGGGTCTCTCGTTGGTACGTTTGCCTTTCCACCGCACAAAATCCCGATGCCTTTTCCCCGCGATAACCATCCAACCGCCATACTAACGACATCAACAACCTAGCTCGATTCACCGCTCTCCTCCTCTCAACTGGGAAGCTCCTCCCCGGCCAGGGCCCCAACACGGTCCGCCACTCGCGCATCTCTCCGCTCTACCGGACGGACAACGGCATCTCCACCCTGACCTTCATTGCCGTTGGCAACGGCATGAGGCCCTATTCCAACTGGCCCTGGTACTTCCGCCAGTACGGCCGCCGTGAGCCCCTCATGCAGAATCCAACCCCATTCTCCTTTGCCTGGGGCCTACCTATGCACTCGCCGTGGGAGATCATGGCGATGGATCCGGACTACGCAAGTACCTTCGGGCGGGGCATGAAGCACAAGGAAAAGGTGTGGCCCAGAACGCCTCTTTGCGGTCGGGGAGCGCTGTATGATTTCTCCTGGGTTGGGGTAGAGGCTGAGAAACTGGCTCAACAGATGGGCCATTTCGTGCCCGTGGTGGTTGACGTCGGGGGCGGACAGGGGCAGCTGGTGATAGACCTGATCAGGGAAATCAGGGGGCTCAACCCGGGGCAGTGCGTGCTGCAAGACCGACGGGAGGCTCTTGAGGACGCGAAGTGCTCGATTGGCCTAGAAGGTGCAGTGCTCCAGGAGCATGATTTCCATCTCGAGCAGCCTGTGAAAGGTGAGTGGATAATCCTTTGCCGTCGCCAGGAAGCTGTGTGCTGACCTTTCTCTAGGGGCTTTGGTATACATCCTCAAAAGCGTCCTCCTCAACTACTCAGATGAGCTTGCCACGCATATCCTGAAACAATTGGCAGAAGCCCTTCCTGTTGACAACCCCAAGGCAAGAGTCATCGTCATCGAAGACAGATTCCTCGATGTCCCGGAGCTGGGCAATCGTCTTGTTGACTTGACCATGCTGAATCTGCGTGGGAAGCTCCGCAACAAAGAGATGTTCGAGGCCATTGCTGTTGCCGCAGGGCTCCAAGTAGTGGGATTCTACACCCAGGAGGGCAAGTCGATGTGCGTGGTTGAGTGTGCGAGGGTGTGCGAGAGTGCGGGGAGTCCGCCTGGAAATGGTGACTTCTAAGGGCTGGTTTTGATTGATTGATTATACCATTAGCGTCCGGGGGCGGTAGAACGCCTAAGCTATCTAACCAGCCAATATGCCGTCTGGGCTGGGAATATCGGTTTGAAGCACAAGGTCCGGGTTTTAGCTGCGTGCTGCCTTGTCTTACGATGGCGATGATTATCGCATAGCATGCGTTGCTTCAAGTACGTAGCTTCACGTCGGCGGTCAATCAAAACACATTGCTTGCATCACTACCTCGGCCGGACTTATTAACGGTCGGCTACTCGAAAACCATGCGTGATTCTGCACTGCCTGTTGCGGACTGTTACAGTCACTTGGATCATCTTATCAAGTGCGATTAACGTAGAGATGTACCACCGATGAGCAAAGGGCCGAGAAAATTGCCATCACATCATGCTGCGGCTACCTACAATAGGGGGTGGCTCAGGGTTACATGGCGTGGTGAAGCCAGTCAGGTAGCTGGAACTGGCCATGTGAAAGGCCTCTTAAGGTGCAGCGGCAGCGAGCTGAATCGTTGGAGAATGCGGCCTAATTTGCCGGCGGTTCAACTGCGGCATGCCGGGAACAGGTGCGAGACAAACGAGAAGCGAAGGTATACAGAAAATGGCGCAATCAGATTTTTGACGCTGTTAGTGTTGACGGATGGGATTGGTGTCGTTGGCCCGGGGAGATCTCCCCGACATCCTGAATTTGATCTGGACGAACGAACCCCTGGCCATCCTGAGCCCGTGCTCCACTTTCGCTCTCTGGAGCCTTCGAGATGTCGTTTGCAATAAGAGCACAGGGGCCTGTTGACGAGGCAGGAAATCAGTTGGAGCTGGTCACATCGGTTTATTTGAATGCTCTAAGTAATACACAGTGAATCCCTCATGACAAGGAGACATCAAAAGGGGCATAGAGCGGTGAAGTTCAAAGCCTCAACCTCGCGAGTGACCTAGCCTTGGCTAAACTGTCCCTTAGGGTAGTACCTGAACATGGAAGGGTGATACACAGTTGTTACTCACCATGTGAGCATGATTGGTCTTTGAGCTTCTTGTTAGGACTGCAAATCCGGATCGTAGAGGGCCTTGAAGAGAGCGAACACATGAAGCAAATCGCGTACCCAACGGTGAGATGCCATCTTACACAGGTTGGCATTGTTGGTTGCACAGTAGAGACGGAACTGCCCGCCTACCCCGCCACTCTGACTGCCCCTCCTCTTAATTCAAGGCAAGTCGGTGCCCCGCGATGAACGCGTCACCCAATCATGGACCGAAGTCGCGAATAACCGGGCGCGAACTGATTTCTGCAGGAAGCAGAGTAACAACTGAAACTTGCGAAGCACCCGAGAGGGAACAGTAAAGCGGAAATTTGAGCGGTGTTTATTAGCGCCCGGCTCTGCCAGCAACAGATTGTGCCCCGCTGCTGCAACGGAGCGTTGTGCCGCGTGCCGCTCGTCATAGTTTTTGACGAAGTTTGCCAAGGTTGGCAAGTTTGGCCAGGCCGTCTCCACTGCTCGCTGCCCCGCTGACGTTGTTCGTGGATTCTGGACCTGCTCCTTTTATTTATCTGGCGATCCGCTCCGTCCCGCCTTGGTGACCATCTCAATTGACCTCACGTTACCGACCACTCACGGGACATTCATTGCCTGTTGCCGCCATGGTCCAGCAAGGAGGCGCACCGGACGGCGCTCACCAGGCGGCCCGCGCCGAGCAGAGCGCCGAGCCCAGCGCCGAGAACAACTCATCGCGACCCGCTCTTCCGGACCGCGCCGAGTCCGCACTGCCGCCGCACCTCCGCCCTTCTGTCATTGGAGTGCCCGTGACGCCGGGCATCACCCGCGAAACCTACGAATCGGAGCCAAGCGACGAGTCCGGGGCCACTAGAGGAACTGCGCAGACCGGCGATTACTTCTCGCGGCGCGATGTCGATCGTGCGATTGCTGCGTCGCCGGCCCCGGACGCGACGAAGCGCGAGGGTCAGTCATTCGAGAACAAGGTCATCGCCGGAGCGAAAGAGGGATCCGATTTCATGCGCCGAGTCAGCGTTGTGGCCCTGGGCGCTCCGACCAAGGAATCGATGTCCGATATTAGAGCAATCAGCCCCGACCTGTCGCTCACTGGAAACATCATTTCGGCGACATTCAACCTCCCGCACTCTCTCAAATACCATAAAGGCTCTGACTGGGTACGTCGCCTTTTTTTCTCTACCCTTTCGATCGTGAATTTCCCGCAATCTCAGAGTCGCATCTGCCCCTCCTTGATTGCGAACAGCTTGCCAAGCTCTGGATGGTGGGGCTGATGTCATTGTTTCCCTGTAGGAATTAGCTCCGCGTCGTGGGCAGTCGGCCCTTTTCGACTCCTTTTCGTACCTCTCGTCCGATGAGTCCCCCTGGAACCATACTGTAGTCGCTTGGACCGGGGAGATCGAGAGTCCCTCGGACAGCACCGCGCCGAACGCTGCTCCCAACACGACGGTGCATCTGGGCTCGCTCAATGCGCTTTCGAAACCGGTGCCCCTCGATGGCGACAAGGCCTTGCCGCCTCCGCCGGCGGTGACAGACGGCCTGTGGATTCCGAAGGAGGATATGCAGCGCCTAGAACACCAGCTCTCTCATAATGACAGGATCAAGACAATCCCAGTTTGGCTGGCCGACGATACTGAAGCAAATGAAGAACCTGGCATTCGGCTAAAGGACCAGGCCAGATGGAGGCGTTATGCTGAGCACGACCTTTACACGCTATTTCACTACAAGCAGCACGAGCCGGCTGATGGGCGTGCGGAGCGGGTGCAGTGGGCCGATTACTTCCGCATGAACCAGAAGTTCGCCAACAAGATCCTCGAGGTCTACAAGCCCGGCGATATCGTCATCGTCCACGATTACAACCTGATGCTGCTGCCGAGCATGCTGCGTCAGCGTGCTCCCCATATGTACATCGCCTTCTTCCTGCACTCTCCCTTCCCGAGCAGCGAATTTCTCCGGTGTCTGCCGCGGCGCAAGGAAGTCCTGGAAGGCGTGCTGGGCGCGAACCTAGTAGGCTTCCAGAGCTACAGCTACTCACGGCATTTCTCTAGCTGCTGCACCCGCATCCTGGGCTTCCCTTCAGACAGCTCCGGTGTCGATGCATATGGCTCTCGCGTAGAAGTCGGCGTTTTCCCGATTGGCATCGACGCTACTAAGGTTGCTAGCCTGGCGTGGACGGACTCGGTCAATGAAAAGTACAAGGCGCTGAAGGCCATGTACGCCGGCAAGAAGCTTATTGTCGGTCGTGATCGTCTCGATAGCGTACGTGGGGTTGCGCAGAAGCTGATGGCGTTCGAGCGCTTCCTGGAGATGTATCCGGAGTGGCGGGACAAAGTGGTGCTGATCCAGGTCACTTCACCGACCAACATCGAAGAGGAAAAGGAGGACCCCGAGAATAAGATCTCGAGCCGCGTCAACGAGTTGGTCATGAAGATTAACGGGTCGTACGGTTCGATTGGCTTCTCGCCTGTCCAGCACTTCCCGCAGTACATCAGCCAAGAGGAGTACTTCGCGCTACTGCGGGCAGCCGATGTCGGCCTCATCACATCGGTGAGGGACGGGATGAATACCACGTCGCTTGAATACGTCATCTGCCAGCGTCAGTCGGCTGGTCCTCTCATTCTGTCCGAGTTCAGCGGCACTGCTGGCTCGCTCAAGGACGCCATTCACATCAACCCGTGGGATTTGACCGGTGTCGCCGAGCAAATCAACAACGCCCTCACGATGCCCGAGGACAAACGCCAGGCGATGGAACAGAACCTGCTCGCGCATGTTACTAGCAAAAACGTGCAGTACTGGATCGCCGGCTTCCTGCGCCGTCTGGTCACTGTGCTCGGCAACAGGAAGAATGTTACCGCCACCCCGCTCCTCGACCGGTCGGCGATGCTCCGGAAGTACCGCACTGCGCAGAAGCGGCTGTTCATGTTTGATTACGACGGCACGCTGACCCCAATTGTCCGAGAGCCCAGCGCCGCGATCCCCTCGGAGCGTGTGATTACCAGCCTGAAGGCGCTCGCTGCAGACCACCGGAATGCGGTCTGGATCATCTCGGGTCGCGACCAGGAGTTCTTGACCCAGCACCTCGGCCACATCTCCGAGCTGGGCTTCAGTGCCGAGCATGGAAGCTTTATGAGACATCCTGGCTCGACCGAGTGGGAGAACCTGGCAGAGAAGTTCGATATGGGCTGGCAGAAGGAGGTCCTGGATGTTTTCCAGAAGTACACGGATAAAGTGCCAGGTAAGATCCCCACTCCTCTCTGTTCCCCACTCTCTGGTTTGTATGTTTGACACTAGCTGACGGGATTCGCTTTCAGGCTCCTTCATTGAGCAAAAGCGCTGTGCACTGACCTGGCACTACCGCCTCGCCGACCCCGAGCAAGGCCTCCACATGTCCCAAGAGTGTCATAAGGAGCTTGAGACAACGGTTGGCCGTAAGTGGGACGTCGAGGTCATGGCCGGCAAGGCCAACCTTGAAGTGCGCCCTACGTTCATCAACAAGGGCGAAATCTCCAAGCGTCTGGTCAACGACTCCGCGGGAGACGTCGGGTTCGTCCTCTGCATGGGCGACGACTTCACCGACGAGGACATGTTCCGCGCCCTCAACGGGCTGTGCGCGCCGTCAGACCGCCATGGCCAGGATGGCCCGGCACAGATCAAGCCGGAGGACTGCTTCACTGTTACGGTAGGAGCGAGCACCAAGGTGACGCTCGCCCGCTGGCACCTGCTCGACCCTGAGGACGTCATTGAGTGTGTGGCGCTCCTTGCTGGAGTCGGGGGTAGTGGCACGGGAACCAGCAGTGGTGGTGTTCTCAGCATGGGCGAGGTCAACCTCGCCGCGCTGAGTGCGGTCGAGGACCATATCCCTGTCGAGAAATGACTCGACGGACGGGGATGGGTGAAGAGCAAGATATAGACATTTGGGCTCGTTGTCTATGTTGTGGTGCTCGGAGTGGGTGGTAAAGGGCCTTGATTAGTATCTCTCTTGGCGATCCCTTTCTCGGGTTACTTTGCATGCATTGGGGGCTGAGCGTGAATGGGGACCGTTGAGCACTGGTTCGCGAGGAAGAAGCTCCGACGACTTGACTTTACAGGCGGATCAGCCATAGATGAGCTTGCCGGGGATGGGACGGCAACCCATGGTCGTCCCGTTTGATGCACGTTGCGTTGCATTTGCATTATGAATAGATGTCATGTACGGTAAACTGGAATTTCAGTGAAGCTATCCAGTAGCTCGCGGTCGCTGTTTGTCGATGGCTTCCGCAATGGAACTGCTTCTGTCCAGATAACTTCGGGCTGTCACACTCATATGGTATGTTCTCTATAATTTCGTGTCTGTCACATGTGGTATATGGTATTTACAATATGAGTCCATGTGTATGTATTGCCTTGTAGAGGAGAGGACGTGACACTTGGCTGTTCTGATCTATCCAAGCAGTTTGGGTCCAATCACCTCCCATGCCTCCTCTGCATACGCCTCCTTTCTGTTTGGTGCTGACTTTGTGGCTTTGGCATCGATCACGTTGATGTACTCTTTTGCAATGGCCTTCCTTGTATCACGCAGAATCGGTTGTTGCCCACCAAGTTTCTCAAGGATTACCTTGGGTATAATGCAGAGATAGACAGAAGCAACGCATGAAAAGAAATAACTAAGGTAACCTCTGAAAGCACATGCATAACCCCCAGTAGTCCTTACCAACAAGAGCGGTCGAGAATTGGCGCAAGAGAGATGATGCAGTACGACCGGTCATTACCCGGGTCATCAAGTGCTTGTTGTAAGACTTTCAATGCCAAGGTGAAGACCAGACTAGTTATATGTCTTTTAATTAGCATGTACAAGATGGATGGGAAATTGACACCCTTAGTTCCAAGGCAACGTGACTTCCTTTCAGACCAGGCAAGCTTGAAATCCTACGCAGGTTTTCAGCACATTTGCGCTGGGAGTGACACAAGGACAGAGAATCGCATCTGGCTCATTTCCATTGAACCGACCTGAACCTTAGTCCTCAGTAGTGCGCAAAATCGGCAGGTCCACTCAGAACAGCTGCCGCCTGGGTACATGTGACGCTTTACAACGAGATCATCAGAGGCCTGGTAGATGCTAAAACAGCAGTCGTGGCCGGCAAAGCACAGACATCCCCCAAAGGTCCGCTATAGCCTTCTTTGATACTATGGCAAGTCCTCCCTTAGTTAGGCTAGAAGGTATAGACGAACACGACTCGCTTTCGGTGTGCGTCCAGGTGAGGTATTGTACCCGATCCTTAACGAACTACGGGTAGTCGTGACTTATTCCCGCTTCTCTTGCTTTCAGAATTTCCCAGACGGTGCATCATTATCATGATTGGGTGAATGGTGGAAGGGCGGAACATCTGCAACTGACTCTACGGAATTTCATGGCTCTTCTCCTTGTGCAAGGTACTGCCTTCTTGGTTCGAGGGCAACCTCGGACCGGAAATGCTGGCAGGATCTCCCATTCCATCACCTGGTCCATGATCATATATCTCTGCACACCTTCAAGGAGGCGTTTATAAGATGATGCTATTTCAGGCTGTTCGGGTTCTCCATTCCCAGTCTGTTTGGACTACCGGCGTCAGACCTTTCGTAGCACCTGAGCCCTTCTATACAATCGCAAGTATGGCAGCATTGGAGTGAATCCGGGCAGCAGAGTATTTGAATGGTGGCATCTTCGGACGGAATATATCTGTCCAAACTACTCCAGACGGCATGTGTTAGTCTGATGCGCTATGGACGGCATAGTGTATTTCACATGTTGGCGTGTTCGACCGCAAATATGTGCGCAAAAGAGCTCCTGAATGGAGTAAACAAAGCAACGCCCCGCAAACAAATTCTCACGAGGCTATGTTAACGTCGTTGTGCCAACGAACTCCCGTGAAAACTGCCCCAGTGCCAGCAACTCTGCTTCATCGCTGCTAGTAACATCCGGACCTCTACAACGGATGAGGGATCTTGCAAGTGCAGTCGTCCTCTCATTCTCGTCCACTTGTCCCTCGGCATCCCATTCGTATTTGGTTGGCGGCAGGAGAGAGCGGCAACTCGTTCAACCCTAGGCCTAGTCATATATGCAAGGAGTAGGGAAGACAACTTGAGCTCTGCCAAACTAGTTGGAGAACATAGGCCACAATCAGTGGCACGCTGCGGGGTGAAGATCGTTGGTTGGCATGTGCGAAAAGGAGGCTTCGTCCTGTGCGATCTGTTGCCTATCGGTGTCTTCCCGGCCGATGTACCGGTGGATACCTCGGACGAGGCTGAGGCGGTGGCAGCGTGGATGGGTGCGGTGCCGGGGGACGCACCCAGTGTGGTGTAATTGCCAAAGGATCGGTGTGAGCCAGCGGGATAGGACAAAGGGCATCCGCTTGGCCAGGGGTACAAGCCAGGGGAGGACGGTTTGTAGATACACCCGCGGCGTTCAGCTTGCCTTCCTTAATGGAGGTTCTTGGTCAGGAGGTTGGAGGTTCAGATGGGGATGGGGAGGGGGAAGTGCAGGCCGCCAAAGGGCCCGCGTAGTTAGGATGTTCCCGATCACCCGTGGCGCCTCCGCGATACTTTTGATCCGAAGCTGCTGCGGAGGCAAGGGGTGCGGATCGGGGCGGGTGCCGTCCTCGCGCCGCTTCCGAAGCACCTTCCCCCACCTCGCCGGCGAGGTTCTCGACGGTGCCAGTAACCCCATGCCACGGCCCTCTCCGCAGTATGACATCGCCGAGGGCTAGGGCCGCGGGACCCGCCTTGTGAAAATCTGCACAATCAAATCGAAAAAGCATAAACTTCTCCCTTCCCTCCTACCGACCTTTCACAAATTTCTCTTCCTTTTCTCAAGGAAGTTCCTTGAGAGATTCGTCCGAAGTAAGCCACCCCCGACCCCCCTCCCCCCAATCTCCCTTCAAACTCCTCTGTCCCTTGTCCGCTGACCCCGTTGCAGCCATCAACACTTCCCGCGCCATGGAGGACCACGGCGCGTACCCGAGCTCGCCGCTGCGTGCGGCCGACGACAGCGACTCCGGCGAGGAGTGCGGCCGGTCGTGGGAGCACCACGACCAGAGCCCTCCGACGCCGACGCCGACCGCCGAATCTCGCAGCCGCCGCCGCGAGATGTATGAGAGAGCCCGGACCGCCCGCCAGGCCCGCGAGGAGAGGAGCCGGGGCGAGGAGTCGGCCGGAGTTGGTATGTTGAACCCCTCGTTGCATATCATCATAGACGGCCATGGCCCACCTCTCGAACATATCAGTGTTCTAGTCTCTCGAACCTATCGGTTTTTCTAGTCCAGTGATATAGAGGTTGAAGCTGATGTGCTCCGATCCCTAGCCCCTGCCCCCGCCCCGGCGTCGACATCGCCGGCCCCTGCGGGCGTTTACCGGCCCCCCGTTGTCCCTGGCATGGGACATCTGGTCCCCCGACTCCCCCCCGCGCCCTCCGCTGCCGACCCTGTCCGGCCCGTCCCCTGGGTTTGGGGCAACGCGCCGGTGTTTGTGCGGCTGCCGCCGCCGACGACGACTTCCGCCCCGCCCGCGCCAGGCAGCATGGCTCCGCCGGCCCTGGTCTCTCCCTTTGGCCCCTCCGGTGTTGTTGTGGTTGCTGGGCCGACCGGCCCCCTCCCATTTGTTCCGCTGTCGGTGATTGACCCTCGGCTACTTGCCGAGGGTGGCGTGCCGGCGCCTCGTCCGGCTGGTGTGGCCGCCTCGGCGGCGTATATGCCCTCGGGCATCGTTTCGGCTGGGCAGAACTTTGGTTTTGCCCCAACTCACCCCCAGCATATGGGGGCTCATCGCGCGGCTTTGCCCATCGTGGCAATCGATAACACGGGCGCGCCCCCTCCCACAGGAGCGCCCGGCGCGAACGCGTTCAGTGCTGGGAACGCGTCGAACACTGTGAACCGACCCGCGTACAACGCGGGTGGTTATTCTGCCGCACAATTCGCCGGACCGACCGGCGTCTATTTTACCAACCCCACGATTCACCCTGGGGTTTATTCTTCTCCCCACCGCGCGACCCAGGCTGGCCTTTATCCTCCAGCCAACTTTGCACAGCAGCAGAACGTTTCGTTCCCTGCCGGTGCAAGCCAGCAGCAGTTCGGTTACTCCTCTTCTCTAGCAAACCCGTTCCCTGGTTACGCTTCCTCTTCCCTCCCAGACCCTTTCTCTGGCCCGGCCACTCAAACTCAGAACCGACCCAACCGCGTGTCGCCGCTGTTCGACCTAGCTCACCCTCCCCCAACCCCGAAGAAAAAATACTAGCCATGTCCCATCACAACATGGACAGCGCGGAGGTCGACCAGTGGATTAGCATCCACTCGGACGACCTCGACATAGATCCGCAACTTCTCCAGGTCGGTAACCACCATCCAAAATTGGAAGATGAGGAGCGAACAGACCAAAGCTAACCAGGAGTCGGTTACTTAGGAGGGACAGGATGAGCTTAATCAAGACGACGCTGACGACCAGGCTGATGTAAGTCATGACTGGCAACTTGACACTTTCCTCTATCCCACTTCTCATTGATTTTTTGCTTTCATCAATTTACTGTGCTAAGTGACCGTGCTGACAAGTCCCGAACAAGGCAACTCTCACCGCAGAAGCCAACATGGACAACATTGCGCTGGGGGCCCTAAATATTACCGAGGAGCAGGATGAGCACGAGACGGTCATCGACCTCACCGGCGGAGACAACCTGACCGAGTCCGAACATGGCAATCCCGAGTCGGACAAGGAAAATACCGGGCTGTTGACTTCCGCGGTCGCGGCGCTGGTCAACCACATCGACGGCGGCGGCGGCGACGATGCTGGCAGCGACGGCGACGACAATGGCGATGACGATGACGGCCTCCCCATCCCTCACATGCCCGACGTCCCGATGTATGACATGTTCAACCCGGCCGTCAACCCGGCCGCCGCGTTCTGGTCGACCGACACGACACGCCCCCATCCCGTCGGGGCCGTAAACATGTACCAGCAGCCGACTCTGCCCGTTTTCGATACCGACCCGTACCTGCCCTTCGCCCCCTGGCACGTCTCTCTCCTGCCGCGCTTCCAGCCCGAGGCCAGCGACCGTGCGCTGCTCGTCCCCGCCCGCTTTCTCGCCGCCGTCGGCATGCTCTATCCGGATGCCGAATTCATCGTCTCCCGCTACCCGGCCCGAACGAATTTCACCGCTCGGCTGAAGGGCCGCTTCATGGCACAGACGACCGCTCTGCATTTCCCGGGGTTGGTTGATCCTCACAGCATCGCCCACCCGCACCCGGAGGACGAGACGCACTATATCATCTCCCTTCGTCGTCGTGATTGGTAAGTACTAACCTATCATCTTCCCACCCCTTCCAAAAGTACCTAGGTAGGTATGCAGAAAACTGACATGACCATTTCTTTTTTAAAAACAGGCCGATCGGGTCGGTAGCTTTCTTCCCCCACACCACCGCAACCAACGAGTTCCTGCACAAGCTGCGCGGAACCTTCGACGTCCTGCCCAACGGCGCAGAGCAGTGGTACTACGTCCCGCACGACGTCATCCAGCGTCGTCCCTGCGAGGCCTCGCCTTCTATTACTACTTCAACTAGTACTGTCTCCAACTCCTCCAACTCCAACTCCAGCTCCTCCGACAGCAGCAACGGCAGCAGCACGATCACGCGCCAAGGCATGTGGGTGTGTCGCGCGTATGAGGGCCGCCAGGGCCCGCAGGACCCCCGCATCGTGGTCGACTGGATGAGGGAGAACGCGGGGAAGATCGATCAGGATGTGATGGGGCGCATGGTGCTGGGTAGGATGGAGCAGAATCTTTTCCCGCCGAACCATCGGATCTGAGGGTTTTCCTTATTTTTTCTTTTCCTTACTTTCCCTTTCTGATTCTCACGGGGCCGGGAGAAGGAAAAAGGGACGTGGTTGTGGGGACGGCGGCGGATGAGACTGAGAGAGAGCATCTTATGGGAACTTGAACGGGGATGTCACGATTTGGAGTCGGCGCAGTCCGGTGGAATCCTTGGGGTGTGCGTGCTTGTCTGACGGCGGGACCTGTGGAGGCTCTTTTTTATATTGTTTTTTCCTGTTTTTCAGTTTGTTTCTTTCCTTACTCCTTTCTGTTGGTTGGGACGGAGGTTGACGAGGGCATCTCATGGGAGGGGCGTCGCGATTTGGAGTCGGGCGTCCGTAGAACCTTAGGTGTAATCGTCGACTGCAGGCCTGCGACGGGGTATCTGTTTGCAATTTCATTTCGCATTTCTCCTACGTATGTTGCCACGGGGTTGGGATATGGTTGGCTGGGACATGTCATCGGTGTCAAGGCAGAGATCCTTCACGGCACATGTCTAGAGCTATACCGTGAAATCAGTCAATCGATGGGCCCTAGAGGCTATTGTCGTCCTCCATAACGTTCTCCTCGACGGTCATTGAAGCCCTGCAGTCCTTGAAATTGGGTGGCACACCCCGCCTAAGGCAGTGGGACACATCGGCCGGTTCTCTGTTGGCATCTCATGCCTCACAAATTACAATCGTGATGTTGGAAAACGGGACATGAAATGCACAACAGCTAACAACCCTCTACGAAAAAGCAAAAAGCCTTCTGGACTCCTGAGTTGATATTAAAGACTGGCCATTGATGCCGTCAATCCTTCCTGGAACTCAAACAATTAAAGTCGTCGTATTTCGACGCGCTACAAATTCCCATTACCTAGGTAACTAGGTAGGTTGTCCTTACATCTGTTTGCCGTTGCTTGGGATCCCCTCTTCCAAGGTTAGCGCGTTCCGTACCAGGAGTACTCTCTCCATACTGCGATTGTGATCGTGCTTAAGCTGTTTCTTTACAAGATCACTAAACCACTTGACTGTATCCAGCTGGCCATTGAAAAGATTCATTGAAATCATCTGAGTCGAGCCGCGCAGTAATCCTAACGTGGCCCGCAGCCGGGGTTGCCACTCTGGCGCTGAATAAGGCCACGAATAGCGCTGAGCTGAGAAGAGCTCGCTGACTGAGGGCAACCCACTCCCTCGAAATATTGCATGTAGGCAGCCATTTTTTCAACCACACGAAAAGCTGAATGTGGAGCGTAAACGAGAGACTCTACAGAACGCCTTGCCGCCCCGACTGAGACTGTGTAGGATTGAGCTGAACGAGGTCTAACCGAGTGTCAGCGTAGCAGTCGATGGGGATGCTGTGTGCATCCAGCTGCACATTGAATCGCTCCCAGCATGGCACTCTGCGTCGTGAAGACATCAGATGAGGGAAATATTGGGCAGGAAAGTTGTATAAGAAGGGTGCGCTGTTGGCCATTCAAGTCTCGGTACTATCCAGAGTCAACAAGCGTGATCTCCCAGCTTCTCTGCATCGAGCCCTAGCCTCCCCGAAGACACCCGCACCAAACATGAAGTCATTCGCTGCCCTCACCTTCCTGTTGGCCCTCGCCACCGCCTCTCCCGTGGAGGTTGTGCCCCGAGAGGAGGGCTCCCTCGAGAAGCGCGACACCGAGATCGTCTACCTGGCCAACTGCAAGCGCACCGTGTCCTGCTGCCCCCCACTCGCCGAGACACACTCGTCGGCGATTCTGGTAGGTCTTCCGAGTTCCTAGCATACTCGTCTCATGGGGGCAGTGGTACTGACAGGAGGACGAACAGTACTACGCCAACAGCGCCTCGTCGCAGAACGGCAACGCGCCGTCCAGCGACAACCAGTGTACCGTCTCCGGCGACAACTACGCCTGGTGGGAGAACGGCTCGCCGCACTGCAGCTTCCCGACCGGCGTCACCTTCACCGCGCACATCGATGCCGATGCGCAGAGCCGTCCCAACTTCTCTTGGGCTGGGTACGTTGAACACACCTCATTTCTAAGAACGTTCTTGGTCTGTCTGTCCGGTCCTCGAGCTAACGCTGCGTGTGTGTGTCATTGTCAGATGGGGATCGAACGGCTTCAAGAACTGGGACTGCTACAAGGACAACGGCCGCCAGATCTACAGGACCAGCGGCCCCGAGTGGTCCTTTGATTGCAGCAGTGTTTACTACTGCATTCCGCAGTAGACGCGACGCGGTATTGTGGCTCGAAGTTCTGCGTAGACCGGCTGCGATAAGGGAGAGTTGATTGGACGGAGGCGGCGGGTGATAGTATCTCAGGAAACATGGCGTCGAACTGTTGCATGTCCGATCATTCGAGTCGTCTGCCAAAAGTGTGATTGAAACCAGTCCCGGGCAATGGCAAGGAAGTATTAGTTAGGGAGAAGACTGCAATTGTAAACCCTACCAATTCGCAACACTATTTCCATTCCTCCATTTTCGCTTGAGGGGGGGATATTCTTGGAGCAAGGCTTGACCTTGGTCAGTCAGATACCAGCAAAGTGACGAGGGCGAGCTGACTTAACTCCGGCCTCGCTTATTGAACTGAAAAAGGTGCAGAGTGCCCTTGAGCACATCCGTCCTGATCCATGACTTAAGAGGGTGAAGTTCAACACGCGTGACACCGTAGAATCAGATGTCACGAAGTGAAATTGAAAATTACATCATCGGTTCGGGAGGCCCCGCAATCGGCAACGGCGTGTCTTGGCATCGCGAAACTTAGCCCCAAGACCGAGAGCGCCCCGGTGCTTCCTCCGACAACCGCAGTCCGCATCCACGCTCCCAATGTCGTCCGCGCCGGCCAAGGAAGACGCGCACCCGGCCGTCAAGGGGCCCAGCGCCCTGCGGTCCATCCTCGCCGGCTCGACCGCCGGCGCAGTGGAAATCGGTACGTTGTGTTCACCGGAAGGAGCCATGAGCCAAAACGCTAACAGAAAATCGTGGGCAGCGATCACATACCCGGCCGAATGTACGTTGAGACACGCGACACCACCCAATTGCTCTTGAACCGAAACTCTGACACATTCCGATGCTACCGATAGTCGCCAAGACTCGGACACAGCTCAACCGCAGGCTAGCCGAGGGTCAGAAGCTGCCATGGCCGCCATTCGGCAGGCAGTGGTATGCCGGGTGCACGACACTGATCATTGGCAACTCGGCCAAGGCTGGGATCCGTAAGCCGCACTGCGTCTTGGATGTCGGTCTGCAGCAACAAGAACAAGGGCTGACGGGGAACCTGCAGGATTCGTCGCCTTCGACCAGTACAAGAAGCTCCTCGCCGACGCGGACGGCAAGATGTCAGGTCCACGGACGGTGCTCGCAGGCTTCGGCGCCGGCGTGACCGAGTCGCTGCTCGCCGTCACGCCAACTGAGAGTATCAAGACGACTCTGTGGGTCACGCCTCACATCCCCTTCCCCCACCCCTGACAACATGGATCCCTCACCAAAACCTGTCGCTAACTGCCCGCCGCAGCATCGACGACCGCAAATCCGCCAATCCGCGCCTGCGCGGCTTCCTCCACGCGGTGCCCATCATCGCGCGCGAGCGCGGCATCCGCGGCTTCTTCCAGGGTTTCGTGCCGACCACGGCGCGGCAGGCGGCCAACAGCGCGACGCGCTTCGGCTCGTACACGGCGCTCAAGCAGCTGGCCGAGGGCTACACTGCGCCCGGGGAGAAGCTGGGCGCGGTGGGGACCTTCGCGATGGGCGGGCTGGCCGGGCTGATCACGGTGTACGTCACGCAGCCGCTCGACACGGTCAAGACGCGCATGCAGAGCATCGAGGCGCGGAGCTTGTACGGGAACTCGTTCCGGTGCGCGGCGATCATCTTCAGGCAGGAGGGCGTGTTGACTTTCTGGAGCGGGGCGCTGCCGCGGCTGGCCAGGCTGATTATGAGTGGCGGGATTGTGTTTACGATGTATGAGAAGAGCATGGAGTTGATGGATCGGTTGGATCCGGAACGGAAGTATATCTGATACCTTTGAGCTTTACATGGAAGACGGGCGTTTATATGCTGCGTGGGTTGTGCCCTCCGGGAGAGGGATATACCTCCCCGATCTGACTGCGCAATAGACAAAAGTCCCTTGTACCGCATACGGACGGTGGTCAAGGATATGGTCTTATTGTTTTAGTCCCCCCCCCGAACTCCAAACGCCTTGCCCATGCGGATATGTTTTAGTACAGTACTGTACAGGGTGCGGACCCAAGTCTTCCTTATGAGAAGCGGACGATCCCACTCAGCCTCTTGGCTATCCGCTGCAGCCATGTTCTGTTCGGCGCCTCCTCAAGCTCCTTGAGCAAATCCTTGTAATATGTCGGGTTGCTCTTGGGTTCGAAGATCTTGGTGGCAGCGCGGTACTATGCCAGGGCCAGTCAGTTCTCACAACTGTGGTCGGGTCGTCGTGCTCCGTCCGAATCCCGACGAACCTTGTTCTTGTACCGGTCTTCCAGCAGCGAGTACAGCGCATTCGCTTGCTTGAGATCAGACAGTTCCTGTGTCGAGCCCCTAATCAGCGGCGCCAAATTGCCCTTCTCAAGCCGCTTGGCGAGCACATCCTGCAGCTGGCACTCGGGCCGGAGCGGATCTGCCGGCCACCGCGACAGCGCGCCCCGGAAGTGGTTTGCTGCGACCTGCTGAAGTGTTAACAGAAGCAGGAGCTATAAAAAGAGGGTCAGATCAGTTCAAACATACACCTCTGGCTCTGCCTGACATGTTGCGCTGGACTCTTCTGGAACCTTGAAAGCCTCCGCCAAATTTCCCAGCGCCGAGCTTGTGTCACTGATCATGATCGTCCGTCATGTGGCTCGTGCACCCGCGCCTGCATATAACGCTAATGCCGATCAGGCATATTGTGGGCCCGTCTCATTGAGGCCGCCTCTTGGCCTTGGCGCAGCGCAATTCCCGCTTGGTCAGCCGCCACCGTCAGTCCCTTCAGGCGGGCATCGCCTGTTCGTGACCCTGAAGTTGGCTACTTCGTCACCCATACATCCTGGAGATTCCGACGGGAGCTGCGCGCTCCTTTCCTTTGCCCATCTTCTTGACCATCGTTCCGCGACATTTTCCGCCTATTCGTTCTTTCCTTGCCCATTGTCTTTTTCTTCGCGCCTAGAAACCGTTACCTCTTGCGACGTCTGCATCCTGCGGCTAGCACCGTATCGCCGACCTGCGTTGAGGATCGCAAGGCCTCCTGACCCATCGACAAATCTGCACCTCCACGATGTCGGGCCGTTACGAGCGGGTACGATTCAACTCTTTTTGAGCTGTCATCTTTCATACTTCTGTACCATGCGGCTAACAGGTTTGCAGGTCAACGCCCACGACGTGGACGAATCCGAAACACCAACAGCCCCCTTGCCCAGGCCGACATATCCGATCCCCAACTCACCACCACCGTCGTTCCACTCCCGAGACTCCTCGACCGAGCGGCGACAAACCGTGAATCCCGACCTTGCCGATGCCTTCGATTCCGATGGCGACGATAGCGACGATGACGCAGACGACAGGCAGCGGTTAGTCCGCGGCAATTCCACTCCATCATTCAATGAAGCCACGCAGGCGGGAGCGGCGTCGACACCGTCGAACGGGCAAGCAGCGCAAGCACAGAGACCGCTAGGAGTAGCGCCGACGACGTCCAGGGTTTATGGCAGTGGCATCCAATCCGACGGCGTATTCTCAAACCTCTCGGCAAAGCCGGAGCGCGGTGGCGAAGAAAAGGAGGAGCTACCTCCAGTATGCCAGGGTACCATTTGATTTCGTCATGATTCACGGGCTAACTTCGCATAGTCCTACGAACAAGCCGCAGCAGACCAGGCCCCTCCGTACTGGGAAACGACGATTCTCGCGCCCGGTCTGGGCGGACCCGACGACGTCTTCATCGACGGCCTGCCGGTGGGCTCCTTCTTCGGCTTTGTCTGGAACGCCATGATCTCGATGGCCTTCCAGCTCGTCGGCTTCCTTCTCACCTACCTCCTGCACTCGACTCACGCAGCCAAGAACGGTTCTCGCGCGGGACTGGGCATCACGCTGATTCAGTATGGGTTCATGATGAAGAGCGCGCCCCCTGGGTCCGGCAGTGGCATGCATTCTCATATGGACGGCGAGGGCTACATCGATCCCGCGGACCCGAACTCACACGACTTTGATCCGAACCAGGTCAACCAGAGCGGCGGTAGTGATGATATCACAGGCAACGATTGGGCGGCATACATCCTGATGGTGGTGGGCTGGTTCATCTTGATTCGGGCAGTTAGCGACTACCTGAAGGTGCGCAGGCACGAGCAGTTGGTGCTACAGAGTCCTGATCGGGGATTGGGAATTCCGATTATTGCGACTGGGGAGTCGCCCGAGAGAGTGGTATAGGGACTTGGAAAGCGATGTTTCAGGCGAAGCGGCGTGCAGGGTCGAGTTTTGTGATATTCTCTGTTGGAATTTGGCTCAGAAGCCGTGGACCGCTATTTCTCACCTCGCAGTATACCTAGATATGAAACGCTGCCTCGCTGTTTCCTTACCACGTTACACCTAGAATCCACGTCAATGATCGCCTTTCTTACACACTGACACCCATCTCGACCAACGCACTATAGCCTCGCCCTTGCAGCTTGGCCGGCACACCGGACGACTTCGACTGCCGCAGAGGAAGATCAAGAGGGGTAGGATGCGGGGCTTAAACCTTCCATGTCACCCGATTGACGGCACATGTTGGCATTACATCACAGCCGACGTCAACCCACCTTTATGAAAGAGTTGCCGGGGCAGTGACATTCTTCATCGCCAACTCCATCTATCGCAGCGCGCGTGAGGCGTATGTAGAAGTCATACAAGCGGTACACTACACATTTCCCTTTGGCAGCAAAGGCAACATATATTTCTCATGCAGCGAGGCAATTAGTCTAGTACAGCCCATCAAAATCCAACCCTGGCGAACCGAAAGCTCCTGGTCCCGCTATTCCTAGGGTGCAGCACCACCCTCACCCTGATCCGGCCGTGCCTAATAAGCATCATCACCACGACTAGTATCCCCCGCACTACCGGCAATCCGATAGCGGCAACAACGACGACGACAACCACAACGACATCATCATTCTATCACTCTACCCCCACCACCACTCCTACTATCACCCCACTCACACTATCCCCATCCAACATCAGCATGGCCTGGCGCAGCTCGGGCGCAACGAACCGGGACCTGGTCGAGAACATGTGGCTGCACAAGCTGATCACGCACCCGCAAGTGAAAGACGCCTTCCTGCGCGTCGACCGCGCCCACTACGCGCCCTCGTTCCCCTACGACGACTCCCCGCAGCCCATCGGCCACGCGGCCACCATCTCGGCGCCGCACATGCACGCCTGCGCCGTCGAGCACCTCCTGCCCTACATCGTCCCCACGGAGCAGAACCGGGCGCCGAGGGTGCTGGATATCGGCTCTGGCTCCGGGTATCTGACACATGTCCTGGCGGAGCTGGTTGGGGATGGGGGCACGGTGGTGGGCGTGGAGCATATCAAGGAGTTGAAGGAGTTGGGGGAGAGGAATATGGCCAAGTCGCAGGGGGGAAGACAGATGTTGGAGAGTGGGAGGGTGAAATTTAGGGTTGGGGATGGGAGGAAAGGGTGGAAGGAAACGGGGGAGGAGGAGAAGAAGTGGGATGCTATTCATGTCGGCGCCAGCGCGGCGGAGGTGCATGGGGCGTTGTTGGAGCAATTGAAGGCGCCGGGACGGATGTTTATCCCCGTGGATGATGATGGGGAGGGGTGGAGTCAGCATGTGTGGTGCGTTGATAAGGATGAGAACGGGGAGGTGAGTAGGAAGAAGTTATTTGGGGTTCGGTATGTGCCGTTGACGGATGCGCCGAAGAAGTGAAAGGTGGGTTTGGGGGGGTGGTATGGCCGCGAGGGGGTTGAAATTCCCTTCTACTCTTTTCCCTCAAAATCCTCGAAAGAAAGACAACCCAGACCGCAGAGCCTTGATTAGGAGGGGAAGAATGCACTTGGCCTGAATTTGAATGATCATAGGGAACGGAGTTTGAAGGTTTGGAATCAAACTTAACGCAACCAACAGAAACGACACCACAGGGGTCGGAGGATGTGGCATCAGAATGATATCCAGTATTTTAGTGCGTGGCTTCAAGGATGTTTGATGATATCCGAGAAACAGCTATGCAAAAGATGACCTTCCACCCGCTTCCAAGCATACCTGACATACGCTCCGGTCATGGCAAGACTGATACTGGTGCCCGTTGGACCAGGGGCGTAGTCCGTGTCGCCGACCAGCACGAACTGTCCAACCCAAAATCAAGTTCGTCCTCTCGTATTGCTCTTGGCCAGCCTGCGCTAGTTAGCTCGAAGTCGCCACCTAGGAGTCTAGGACATAGTCTAGATGTGAGCAACCCTCAGGATCTTGACAAACCAGGCTGACCCTACCCTTATCGTAGGGCCCCATACCAACGTCTACAACGGCAGGTAATAATCAGCGTATTTACTAGTAGTGGATGTCACCGGTTCGAACAATCAGCTAAGTTCAGATAGTCTACTATCCCCCTGCCCTTTGCAACACCTCCGCCCCCTACAGCGCCGCAACCACACCGGCAATCCCAACCGCCGCCGCCGCCACCGCAGCAACCAACCCAGTTTCCTTTGGTCCCACAGCAGCTCCGGCAGTAGACGAGCTGCTCGTAGCCTCAGCACCATCAGTCGAGCTCTCACCACTTCCTCCGGAAGTCTCCGTCCCCGTCGCAGCCGCCGTGCTCGTCTCCTCACTCGAAACAGAACCTGTCTGCGTGACCGTGCCAACCGACGACGATGGCGACGACGACGACAACAGCTGCGCCCTCGCAACCTCCAACAAATCCTGCACGGCGCTCGTGCAGCTCTCGCTATCCGTCGCGATCTGGATCTTGATCAGCGCGCTCTCCAGCCCGCCGCAGGAACTGGCCACGCTGTTGGCCGCGCGCGCGTTGCTGCTGGCCCACTCGCTCATGCTGTGCGTGTAGCTCGAGTACGCGGCCGTCAGCGACGCCGGCGGCGTGATGGTCCTGGTCGCGTCGCACAGCGTCGTGAGCGAGTCGTCGGTCAGCGCGGACGGGTCGTCGAGCGCGGGCACTGTGACGGCGGTCGCGAGCCACGAGACGACGCGCGCCGGCGGGGTCGGGACCGTGTCGACGAGGGAGAGCAGGCTTCGTTGGCAGGCTATGCTCTGGGAGAGGGCGCCCGTGTGGCTTGCGGTGGCGACGAATTGCCGCGCGGCGAGGGCGCCGGGGGTGATGATGGGTTGAGGCGCGGCATCGGCGGCTGGGTTGGCCAGGGCGAGGGAAATGCCTGTCAAGGCGACGGCGAGGGTTGGGGTGTGCATCTTGTGGTTTTCCGGTGTGTGGGTTGTCACCTTGTTCGTGCGTCGCGGTACTGTTTTGCTGATTGGGCGCCACCGATCACTTGGAGGGAGTGTAAGATGAGAGAATGAAGACGCGGGAAGAGCGCCAGTGAGGCAGTGGCTGTATATAATATAAATGAGGTACATATTTTGCATGACTGCCGCCAATGCGACGCTGGAACTTGGAAGTGGATGTGGTTGCACCAGCCAGTCGCCAGCCACAACGAAACATCCCCCTGGTCCGTCTCCAGCAGGCAACGGATGTTTGTGCCGTTGTGGCAACCGGCGGGTCCTCGCACAAGGACATCGCAGTCTGCAGATTCCACCGAAACCGCTCATTCATTCGAGATCTCCACGGGCCGGTGCCATGTTTGGCTTCCACCTCGTCCGCAGTTATCAGCGTTATACCGAGGCAGTAAAGCGTAAGCTGATGCTTCTGGGCCCAAGACGAGCAGCAAAGGAATGTGAGGGCCGGTAGCCATACTCCAGCAATCGTTCTCGAGAGTTAAAGGACGCATGTAACACGTAGGCTCGTGCGTGTAAGCTTGGTATTCGTTATACAGATGGGTCAGTATCACCAGGGGGTAGGGCAGGTGTGACGTCGATCCCGAGACCTTCGTGATGATCAAGGGCAGACACCGAGACACCATAGGAAGGCCAGCCATGGGCGGTAGCTGTATGGATGCAACAGGAGCAGAGGAATGGGAGCTATTAAAGTACGGACTGATTGAACTCTTTCTGCACATACAGTGCTCCGTAGATGACAAACCGCATGTCACAAGGACCTAGTATAGGAGCCTCGGAGCCTCGGAGGTGTAGCCGTGAGAAGATGCATTTCGCAAACTCGTAGAGCGCCTCGCAATACTGAGTTTGCTTGTAGACATTCCCCGGCGTCAGGATGCTCACAATCTTCCCGCCCGGTGAACGAACTAGTAGTACCTGTAAGGCGGCCGCGCCGATTCCGCCAACTCCATTCGTTTCGATTGTCAAGACCATGCATATCCTCGCGGGGGACTGTAATAGAATCATAGAAACCCCATGCTTCAGGGCTCGCCAGGCGTAACAAAGGACAAAACAGGTGCTCGCAGCCATCCTTCCATCAACCTCCCCAAGGGCTGTGTGTAATTCCGGTATGAGAGTCGAATTTAAGATGCCCCATACCGTATCCAGCAAACGAGTGTGCGAATCCCTACGACAAAGCCTCCCCCATATGCGAATCCCCTAGATATCGGAACCGTTGGATCTTCCCTTTGGCTATACTTGACCGGCCCTTCGGGCGGCTTCGCCCTCGTAGGCGACCTTCCGGATGCGAGGTGCAACACGCGGTAGCAGTAGGTGATGGACGCGTCGCCTAGCCGGTCGGGACGGTAGCGGGGCCACATCCATTAGGGCGCGGTTCGGAGCCGGTGGCTGAGGCTGTCTTCTGAGTCGTGTGCATCTGCGTCGCTGTCAGTGTTGGTGTTGGAGTTGGATGGCAAGGTGAGAGCTCTCAAAGCGGTGTACCGGCCGGGACGCCGGGGAATCTCTTCTTTTTCCACCAGCCGACGGTCCTCTGCAATGTCTGCGTCGAGCGACTTCCCACTGGCATTGACGTCTCGAGCCAACGCCCGTTCATCCACTGGGTCACAATACTATTCATCCTCATCGCCCCCGATGGCTATGACCTTTACGGTGCTCTGACCTTTACGGTGCTCAGGTCCAGGTCGGCTGAGAGGAGGAGGGAGAAATCACGAACCAGCCGCTTGGTGTCCGGGATATCGTCGAATGTCAGGATGGCGCAGTAAACCGGCGTTGGCGCTGACAAGGTCCAACATGCACGTCGGGATGACAACCCATGCCCATCATCGGGGCCAGCGACCGCAAACCGCACCCCCCGGGGTGTAGGCGCGCGGCGCGGAGGGCGCAAGCCATTCGAGGACCAAGGAGTTGCGCGCCGCATGCTGCGAGTAGGGAGGTCTGAATCAGCGTGTTGATCGATGCAAAGCGTGGATATGGCGCACGTTGGGCGCGGCGCGGGAGTACCTACGCAGACAGCAGTGGGTCGAGCTCCTCGGGAATGAGGTTAGCAAACGCTGTGAGTGGACCGCAGCACCAGATCTCGTGATCGAGTTCATCATCTAGTGGGTAAGAGCACAGTTCAATGGACTCGAGGCGCTCGAAGGCGGAGGTAACTGAAGCCGGGGTACTCGTCGGCCCATCCATCTTAGCCGTGACTATTGAGCTCGGCCGGTCCATGGCTGGGATGAGAAAGTGGAAAGAGGCCGTCGTTGGCCTGCGGGAGTTTGGGAAGCAGTGGCGGGTCCTGGTATGACTGCAGAAGACCTGCTGGTACGGGATAAGTCGAATCGAATCCGGGTTGATAAGGCCGTCCAGCTGTCTGAGGATCATGAGCTTGACTTCCCTGGGAAAGCTGTCCATGGTAGGCGGGACCTTCCTGGGAAGAGAGTCCATGGTAGACGGGGCCTCCGTGGAAAGACTGGCCATGATAGGCACTTCGAGGAGTCGGGCGAGAGGGAATGTCGAACGTCTATGTCCCATCCCAGGATACCTCGAGCCACTCCACCTCGTCATATGTAACATATGTTCCGCCAAGTGCGGACGTCGACAGATGGAGAAGAAGGTGTCGCCGTCATTGTGGCTTACCGGGATGCCATCGAGCCGGGGGATTGCGTACGTCTGGTTGAGCCTCTGCATCAACTCGAGCTGAGTTCAATCGTAGTAGCTCCTATAGTTTAATCGCAAGTTTAATTGCAGTGCCTCCCGCAGTTGAATTGCAATGGCTCCCAGACGGCCGCTCTCAAGACGTCCCACCGCAGCGAGGATCGCGAATGTCGAGCTCCAGCCGGTCTTCGGCGATGCTGAGGATGCCCACGCTCGCCACAAGCAATGTCTAGGGTGCCGATGTTGATGCCAAGGCGCTCCAGGGCCAGAAGGGGTCCTTCTGATGCGCTGCTTTGGGGCGATTGTGATCTTTCTTGATATTTTTGTTGGCGTTTATTGTCCTCTGAGCAGGACCCTTGCTTCCCAATCTCTGTTATTCGATGTAAAGGAGTTCTATGCCGTCTTGTCTAGAGTCAGCCTTTTTACTCCGCGGCAAAGGAACCTCAGCTGTCAATAAGCGTACCTTTGCTGAGTCTGACGTTGTCTTAAGAAATGATACGATGAGGCTTGGGAGAATAGAGAAACGACAGTAAGGTACTGAGGAACTTGTGCTAAAGAGGTGCGAGGGGTCTGAATTTCGCTTTTTCCTTTTCCGGCCCTTGCGAACCTATTGGGCGGTCCCTGCCCTGCCCTACTCACTATTAGTAGGTACCAAATACTTAACTCGTGCGCACCAGGGCTCGTGTTCAGTCACGGATCTGATTCGCGGGAGGTGCATTCGCGTGATAATTGCCGTCGACGCACATTCCTCACCATCACCGGTTCCGGGAAGAGTATCCGTTTTCCATCGTCTACCCGTCGACAGCCGGTTGTCCGCCGGCCTCGCAATGTCGTGGGATCGTACCATTGGCCGCCGGGACGGGCCCCCCTCGCCGGATGGATGAAGGTGAACTATGATGGGACATGATGCACCCGTCGGTTCCTCACCTCCACCGGCACTCGCTGCAGTCGACAGCTATGGAACATGGTAGAGGTACCCTGGAAGCCAGATTGTCGTGAACTGCGACATTCAGTTCATTGTCAAGCGCGTTTAGTAGCGTGATGATTCCTGACACTCATTTACGATGCTGTCCACATCCTCAGCCCGGTCGCCGACGGAATAGGAGGGTGAGATACGCAGCCAAACCGGCGCTGCACGCCAGAGCCGGAGCTTCAACCTGACATTTAGCTTAGTACAAGACATTAATTATCACACTTCTTTCAAGGAACCTGACGTAATGGGGAGGTTAGACTTTGGTCAACTAAAACCCGGCTTCTCATTTCTCGCTACCGCCATCGTACAAAGGCCCCCAACTTGGGGGCTCCCAAGGCTCTGCAGCAAAACCACCGCATAGGCCCCATCCCAAGGCCGAAGAGGTTGATCGCGCCGCTCCCTCCATCATTCCCTTGCCTCGTAGATACTCCTCCCCGTTGCACTCTCAGGCCAGTGAAAAAGGAACCGAACCCTCCAGCGCACGAGCAGCAGTCTCTCCCAGCTCCGAAGGGAACAAAGACCAGCGGCCTAGCGCTTCATCCAAGCAGACCAGATGCCCTTGCCCTTATCCTGGACGGAGGCGTCACCCCGGTCCTCCTTCATCTCCACGGCCCCGTCCCCCTTTCCGGCGACGGTCGCCACCACCACCTCCTTCCTCAACTTCTCCACCAGCGCCATCACACGCGCCAGCTCCGCCCGCAGCTTCTCGACCTCGGCACGCTGCGCCTGCCCCAGCTTCTCGGCCCCAGCAGCCTCCGCCGCCAGGATGTTCAGGCGGTGCGGCAGGTCCACAATGCTGCTGTTGATGGCCACCACGGCGGCGGCCGACTTGCTGCGGAGCGCCCTGAACTCCGTCTCGAGCGCCGTCAGCAGCGCCGTAGTCTCGTCCTTCTCCCTGAGCACGTCGGTGATGAGGAGAAGGGTCTTCTGGTCGTCCGACTCCGGGCGCGGTCGCGGGTAGAGGTAGAGGCTCCGGGCGGCGGCGGCGATGCGATCGATGGTCTGCGAGGCCCTGGCCAGGTGGGCTTTCAGCCGCTTGACTGTCGCCAGCCGCGCGGCGATCTCCTGTGCGACGTAGTCCCGTCCGCGCGAGATGCTGTTCAGCTCGGCCTGCATGGAGTTGATGGTGTTGGTCTGGGTGTCGGCCAGGGTTTTGGTCTTCAGGATCCCCGTAGTCAGGTCCGGGAGGGTAGTGAGCGTGAGCTCGCGCAGCTTGGTCTCGTGCGCTGCGATGCGGTCCTGGAGGTTGGCCTTCTCCTCGTCGGGGAGGGCCGAGGCGATGTTGCGCAGCTCTCTGATGGCTGCCTTCTCGGCCGAGATGGTCTGCTCCGTTCCCGTGATGAGGGCGTGGCGCCGTTGGAGATGTGCGTGGAGGGCTGCGGAGGTCTTCTCCGACTTGGTGATGTCGGCGGTGAGATTGGTGACCCGGTCGCGCAGCGCTGTAATGACCACATCGCTCCTGGTCTCCATCCGGGTGCGGCACTCCTTCGCAGCGTCCTGGATGTTCGCTAGCATATGGCTCTGGGAAGCCACCTCCTGGTTCATCTGCTCAATGTTGTGATGGTTGGCCGCATCCTTCTGGGCGTTGGCGAGTGCCTCTCGCAGCTGCTTGTTGTCGCTGCTTTTTTCAGCTAGGTCGAGCTGCAATTGAGCAATGGTCTCATCGAACTGCCGGTTCTGACAAGCCCTCTCATGCTCACTCTGAGCCACGATCGAGGCGACCTTCTGCTTGGACGCGGCAATATGACGCTCGAGGTCTTGCTTCAACCCGGCGATTGTTTCATTCGCGCTATCCAGGGAGCTTAGGAGCTGTGCCTTTTCGGCCCGAAGTGCCTCGACCGAATCCTTGTACGCATGAAGCTGGTTAAGCAGATTGCCCTCTTCCCCATAGGCCTCAGTGAGCTCAAGCTTCTCCTTCTGCAGTTCGGTAACCAACGATAGCAGGCGTGTGTTTTCGATTACGAGGCGTTTTGCCTCGGTCTCCATTTCGTCTCTAACGGCAGCCCGTACGTCTTCGGTGTTATCTACTTCGTCCCCGGCCAACTGCTTCGTGAGTTTTGGAAGCTTCCTCTCGGACTTCGTCAGCTCTTCTTCGACCTGACCAAGCTTCTTTGTCGTGGCGTGGAGACTCTCCTCAGCCTGGGAGCGCAGCATCTCTGATTGGGCCAGATCATCCTGCAGCTGTTGAATTGTTTTATGCTGTTCATGGGGCAGCTTGGAGGAGCCTTCATGCTGGGCGGTGAGCTCTCTGACGGTCTGGGTGAGAAGGGCGATCTTCTGGTGGGCCTCGGCCACCTCCTTCTCACGTTCCTCCTCAAGTTCCTCGAGATCGGCAATTTCCTTGCTCTGGGTGGCGATGATGCCCCTCTGCTGTTGAACTCGGGTGGTTAAATCATCGCTGAGAGCACTGTCGGGATCTTGATCCTCCTGGCATCCACCCAAAGCCATGTCCAGCTGCTGCTGGAGGCTCTGGCATTTGGATTCCAGAGCCTCCCTCTCCTGCACCAGCTTCTGGATTTGGAGCTGGAATGGGGCCATCTGGACCGCCAGCTCGGCGCCCCAAGAAGCCTCCTTCTCCTCCAGGAGGTGGGCAAGTCTGGACTTCTCAGCCCGGGCATCCGAGAGCAGCTCCCTCTCGGAGGCCAGTTCCTCCTTGAGCTCGTCGAGCTCAGCGCGCAAGGAGGAAGAATCGGCAGCACGCCGCTTAGCGCTCGGGGCAGACGCGGGAGACTCTACCTTGCCCAGCGACCGCTTCTTAGTATCCCACAAAACCTTCTTCGGCATGGCGTCATCATCTTCCTCATTGTCATCATCATCATCATCATCATCATCATCATCAGATAGCACGATAGCCGTGTCCACGGTGTTGTTCCTGGGTTTTCGGGGCCGTCCCCGGGGTCTCTTGACCGTTGGCTGGGCCGGGGCCTGTGCCTTTTTGGTGGCCTTCATTTTCGTAGAGGCCTGCTTCTATAGAACGAGTTAATATTGAAGCATGGTAATATTTCATAGTGAGATACATGGGAATGAAGGCGCGGAGAATGGAATAATCGTTGTCACTTTTCCCACGCAGTATATGTTGGCGGGGCTTAGGTTCGCGGGGAATGAAAAGTCGGTTTCACCTTTCATTCTCCGGGTCTGACTTCTCATTCCCCCGCAAACCCAAGCCCTGCCAACATATATTGACACGGTCTAACCGTTCATGCCCCACGAACCCAAGCCCCGCGAACATATATTGCGTGGGTCACGACTTACCTTCTGGCTTTGCTTTGCCACCTTGGGGGCCTCCTTGGGGACCTTGGGGACCTTCGGGGTCTCCTTGGGGGGCGAGATCTGACTCTCCTTGACGATGGAGACTTCCAGCTCCTCGGGCTCAGCAAGGGTCGCCATGATGCCAGAAGGGTCGAAGTCAAATGAGAGTCCGAACGTAGATGGTTGCGGGGTATTTATTGCAATGGTTGTGAAGGAGAAGAAAGTAGGAACAAAGTTGAGAGGGTGTATGTTCTTTGCAACGATTTAAGCACTCGGTCTTTGCAATGACTTAGGACGGATTGTTAGCGCCTTAGGCGCCTAATGTTTGCATTGACATGGGACGAATATGAGGCCTTTCCAGTACGCGTTCTTTGCACGGACTCAAGGACGCTTTTTTCTTTACTGACTCAAGTACTCGGTCTTCTCCGAGACTTGAACTACACGTTCTTTGCAACAACTCCAAGGTCTTAAAAAGTCCCCGTTCTATATGACAACTCAAGGACTCCTTCTTACAACGACTTAAGGACTCGTTCTTGATTACGACTTGAAGACTACGTATTGTTCGCAACGACTTGAGAGACCATGCGTTTTCTATAATAACTCGAAGACAACCAGTTCTTTGCAACGACTTAAGTACTTGGTTATTATAAGAACTTAGGAGAACTTAAATACATCTCACTCGTTCTTTGCAGGGACTTGGGAGATCTTCAGTACGCCTTCCCTTCCACGACTCATGTATGGGCTTCCCACGACCGATTCAGGGAGCTTGCATTTTTGGAGGGGATTTGGGACCACCTTAGTGTACGTTCTCGGCTAGGACTCAAGTACACGTTCTTTTTTTACAATAACCTGGGAGAATCCATGGTCTTTGTTATAGAACCAACCTAAATTGCCAGAATTTGTAAGTGGTTAATGCCCGGCCCCTTTTTTGACGTTATATCGAAGTCGAAAAATAACGGCGTTCTCACATAAGCCGACTCGAGGCAGTTCGGGCCGCGAAAGAAAACATGGGCCCGCCGAGACTCGGGCCCGGGACCGAAACGCAGAAAGAAGCGGATAAAACCTCGTCCGACGCTTGAACGCCGTCGGACCGTCCGACCGTCTTTTGCGGAACGGTTCTGAGGTCCCCAGATGAATTCAGATCGAAGTGGAAGATGTAGGATCGAAGCAGCCACAGGCTCGGCGTCGGTCTCGGCGGTCTTGGCGTCCGCATTCGGGTATCAGGGACTTACACGCTCTTAACCGCTTCTCGGCCCGTATAATTTCTCAGGCCCGGATAACGTCCTTCGGCCGGGGAGCGTCGTGGAAACGCGATCTGAAGTCCATGGAAATATGCCGTCGTTGAAACTGCATCGCGGAAAACGATATTTCTCTGCATCTGGAGCTAAATTTCGAAATCCCATCGCCATTGATACTACATAAGGCTTGGCGATAACATCCGTCTACCGACGGAGCGGTACCGCGGGGAAGGCCGTTGACCGGTAAACACGCGATGCTTTAGGGTAGCTGAAGTTGCCCGCCGGAGTTCTTTCACGACGACTTGACATCCAGCCGAAGATAGACAATCGCGTTGAGCAGGGCGTTGGAATGTTCGGTGGAGGGGTTGCAATGTTGAGTGAAGGGGTTGGAATGCTGGCAGGGGTCAGGGGTGAGACGGAGGAATGGGGACAGGGGGGTGGAATGCGGGTTCTCCCCAAGCCTCTTTGTCTCAGCGCCGAGGGACAAGAGCGGGAGGGCTGACAGGGACAACGCCAGGAAAGACAAAACTCAGATGAACCTGGTACGCCATCAACATGTTTTCCCTTACCACGTGGCACCAGAGCAAACGCTGACCTGCGCTCAAGTGCTGTTGTATTACATCAACTGAACTCCTGAAACAACCCTTTATACAAGAGACTTTCTCCAAGTTTGCCGACGGCCCTCCACAAAATTTATTAGTGCCCGCCGTACCCGGGATTGGCCCCAACCTCGGTATGCAAAACATCCCCCTGCTTCGCCTTGACCTCCTCGACCCGGTGTTCCAGATCGGTAACGGCCCAGTCGCGCTTGTTCATGCCCGGGACGAAGAGCGGGGCGTCGGTGAAGAGGCGGTTCATCTCCTCGAGCGGGCGCTTGGCCGTCTCGGGCAGGATGGCCCAGAAGAAGAGGGCGTTGGTGAAGTTGCAGATGACGAAGAGGAAGTAGAACCTGTAGCCGGCCGTGTTCATGGCGGGACCCGTGACCTGGCCGATCATGGTGTTGAAGGCGAACGAGATCATGGTGGCGATGGACACGCCCTTGGACCGCGTCTTGGTGTCGAAGATCTCGGCGGGAATGATCCACGACAGCGGGCCGCAGGTGGCGCTGAAGCTGAAGTTGTAGGCCCACGTGACGACGATGAAGCCCCAGGCGGCCGCCTTGTTGTCGTTGGCGCCCGGCGGGAACTTGGCGAGCAGGATGGTGGCGATGATGAAGGTGAGGCAGTTGCCCAGGTTGCCCAGGATGAGCGGCCAGCGCCGCCCGAAGCGGTCGATCAGCAAGATGCAGAGCGCCTGCGCGATCAGCGCGATGATGGACGAGATGGCCTGGTACTTGAGCGTGTCGTCGCCCTTGATGCCCATGAGGCCGTAGATGGTGACCGAGTAATACTGGATCGCCGACACGCCCGTCATCTGCACCGAAGCCTGCAGGGAGCACGCGAGGAAGAGCCGGCGGAAGGACGACCGGTCCGTAAACAGCTCCGAGTACGACTTGGCCTCGTGCTCGTGCTCGTAGGTGATGGCGTCTTGGATCTGCTGGAACTCGGCCTGCACCCAGGGATCGCTGGTGTCGCCGTGGGCGTGGAGCCTGGCCAGCGTCTGCAGGCCGAGATCGGGCTTCCCGTGGTCGATGAGCCAGCGCGGCGACTCGGGAAAGAGGAGGATCAGCGCGGCAAGGATGACGGCGGGGACGACTTGGATGCCCAGGGAGGTCCGCCATTGACCGTCGTTGTCAGGGGCAAAGCCGACGTCGGTGCCGTACGAGATCCACGCGGCTGCGAGACTACCGATGCCTAACATGAACTGTTGGAGCGCCGTGACACGGCCGCGGATGCTGGGATGGGCCAGCTCGGCCTGGTAGAGCGGGACGATCATGCAGAGGATGCCGACGCCGAGACCGGCAATGGCACGGCCCGAGTAGAGATACGAAAGCGCCTGAGCTCCGGTCTGGAGAGCACCGCCGAGACAGAACACCAGGGCACCTATCAGGATGGTCAGCCTACGGCCGAGCCAGTCGCCCATGGGCCCGGCAGAAGCGGCCCCGAAGAAGGCGCCGCCGGTGAAGACCGAGACGACTGCTCCGCTAGTGGTCCATTGTGATTAGCGATGCTGATGAATGAACGCCATATCGGCGGCTTTCATTCCAACACTCACGTCTCATTGTCGCTAGGCTGAAATTTCGTGTTGAACGACTTCGACGCGATGACCTGGGCAATAACTCCCAAGTCGTAACCGAACAGCAGAGAGCCGAGCGAGGCGAAGACGCCGACCAGGAACTGGTACCACTTGGGCGTGAGAAACGCCATGGCAGCACCGTAGAGGAGCGATGCCCAAGGGAGTGGAGCTTGGGATTATCTGAGGTTCTTGTTTCTCTCCAAAGAAATAGAGGCTCAAGTGGCAGCAGCGGCAAGAATGTACATGCGTGGCCCACCACCACCACGACTCATGCAGATCGGCATGCCAAACTCTTTATACTTTTTTCGACATGCAACAATCCTCAGCGTCCATCCCGCCTTGCAGTGTAACATTCAAGCGACGGCAAGAGACTCTCGTCCGCGAACTAGACATTAGCGGCATCCTACGTCAGCAAATGCCAGGCCAAGTGCCGTTCTACAGCCTCCGAGTGGCCGGGTCCGTAACCGAACCGAGCCATGGGCTGGGGACCCCACGATCTCTCCAGAGACTCCAGGTTTCTCCAGAGGTCCCACACCTGCTCCGCGTTTTGGCCTCGATTCAGGGTTACGGCACTGGTGGATATTCTCCCGCCTGTTTTTCTTCCGCCGAGGTCCCGCGCGAATCAGACGAGCGGTGGGCCCAACAGTTGAATCCCGGCCCTGGCCGTCGGCACTGCAACCCTATTCCAGCGACGGTTCCGGGCTGCCACATGGAGCGGTGGGCCGTTGCTTATATGCGCGCCAATCGGACAGACAAGGACGGCAGACTGCCGTCGCTAGCGCCGCTCCGACTTGGACCGCGTTCCGCCCAGTGACCTGCCGGCATGTGACACGATATGGTTTTGAGTCCGCTAGCGGCTGAGTCGGAGACTATCGACGACCTCGAGCAGCTTGTTTGGTTTCTACATCTGTGAGTTCTACACGCCCGCCCATCACCATCCTGAACCAGCGATGGCGAGCTTCACAAGGGTTGAAGAGGGGGAGACCCCGTGCATCACGGTCCATCCGACCAACAAGATAGCAAAAGTCGACGACAATATCTATGGAGGGTTTACAGAGTAAGTGGTGGCGTGGCGTCCCTGGATCAATTCTGATGCCCCAGACAAGCTGATCACGCTCGCCACCCCCAGACATATGGGACGATGCATCTACGGCGGCATCTACGACCCCGGCAACCCTCTATCTGACGAGAACGGTTTCCGGAAGGACGTGATTGAGGCTATGAAGGAGCTGAACGTTCCCGTGGTCCGGTATCCTGGCGGGAACTTCGTTGCCACATACCACTGGCTCGACGGGGTTGGGCCCAAGGAGAACCGGCCAGCTAGGTGAAGCAATTATCCTGTCGAGTGTCGATTTGTCGATGGCTGACTTCCCTTATGGAACTAGACCCGAGCTGGCATGGATCGGTACTGAAACCAACGAATTTGGGACGGATGAGTTTATGAAATGGTGCGAAGTCGTCGGATGCGAGCCCTACATTTGCTTGAACTTCGGCACGGGGACTCTCGATGAAGGTTAGCTCCAACGTTCTCCTCTAGGTCCGCTGTCTGTGTACTGAACATGGAATTCGGCAAACAGCCCTGGCGTGGCTGGAATACTGCAACTCAGATCGCAACACCTACTACGCGAACCTGCGCCGGAAAAACGGGAGGGAAAAGCCGTACAATGTAAGTACATCAGTAATAAGAAACCGGGATTCTATCCTCGACTGCCGCACCAAACCACTGACGGCTCACTCCAGGTCAAGTACTGGGCTCTGGGAAATGAGTGCTGGGGGCCGTGGCAGGTCGAACAGATGACCAAGGAAGACTACGCCAAGAAGGCCTACCAGTGGGCCAAGGCTCTCAAGCTGCTGGACCCCAGCATCACGCTCATCCTGTGCGGCGCGACGGGCTCCTCCTCGTGGGACTACCACGTGCTGAAGGAGTGCGTGCGATGGGACTCGCACGGCCTCAACACCATCTCCAAGTCCCTGATCGACATGCACAGCATCCACATCTACACGGCCGACAGTGAGCACCTCGCCAACGCGACGGCGCCCCGGTCGGCGGAGCGCGCCATCCAGATGACCAGCGCGCTGATCGACCTGGCGCGCATCGAGAACCAGGTGCCCGCGACGGTGCCCAAGCAAAAGATCTGCTTCGACGAGTGGAACGTGTGGGACCCGGTCCGCGCGCCCGGCGAGCAGGGCGCCGAGGAGCGCTACACGCTGTCGGACGCGCTGGCCGTGGCCGTGTGGCTGAACGTGTTCGTGCGCCAGGCGCGCGACGTCGGAATGGCCAACCTCGCGCAGTCGGTCAACGTCATCTCGCCGCTGCTGACGAGCCGCGACGGCCTGGTTAAGCAGACGATCTGGTGGCCGCTGCTGCTGTTCAGCCGCTACATGCGCGGCCACGCCGTCGCGCTCAACGTGCGCGCGCCCGAGTACGCGGGCCGCACGAACCCGCCCTGGATCCGCGCCGCGATTGAGACGCCGTTCCTCGACTGCAGCGCGACGGTGGGTGATGATGGCTATGTCAACCTGGCGGTCGCGAATCTGAGCGAGGAGCGGGGCTTTGACGTCGCGCTCGAGGGGTTGAAGACGGATGGCGAGGTTGCTGTCTTCACCGTCTCCGGTGACAATGTCCATGTCACGAATACCGCCGAGGAGCAGAAGGTCGGCATTGCGGAGAGCACCTGGGATGGGAAGGGCAAGTTTACCTTTGGCAAGCACTCTTTTACGCTGCTGAGGTGGAAGCCCGCGTGAAGTGGTCTTGTGTGACGGTGCGACGGTACGACGGTATTGAAATGGCCGATCAAAGAAATCAGGAATAAAGACGGTCAGCTGTAAAAAAGGTGGATGCTTACAAACTCATCTGGTGATACAAGAGTCAAAGGCGCTGTTTGCATTCTGGTATGTTGTCGTCATAAGTGGGGCATGTGAGCCCAGCCAAGCAGGGCTTCAACTCCGACATATCTATCTCCCCAGCTATGAGTCCCATCCCGACCGATTGGGTTCCTCCGCGAGCGTTTTCAACTTCGTACTCAATTTGGGAGCTTCATCTCACAGTTGAATATGGCGGTTTCCTTAGTTTGCTCCAGACAAACAAACAGACTCGCACTCGGAAAGATATCACAGGCGCGGATTACAGGTCGCTTGGCTGGAATCAGTGACGTCACTTACATCTCAGGCCACGCCCGCTCATCACCACTTCCGGTTCTCGTCCCCAAGGGACATCGGCCGTACTCCCAGATACTATTTAACTCGGAATCGAGCACATCTCAGCGTCTCCCCGCGATACCAATTCAATCCACCACCAGACAAACCCTTTCCCGCTTCCAATCCATCGCCCAATACCGGTATGCCCACTATCCCGCATTGCCTCTCACTTACACCCCCCCCGGCCAACTAACCAAAACACCAGGCAAATCTCAACAACCCCCATCCTCAACATGGCCACCACCACCACCACCACCACGACGCATAGCACCTCCCTCCCGGACCCGGAGAAATTCATGCACACCTCGGGCGCCTCCGACCCGGTGTGGGTCCACAAGCAGCCCTACTCGCGCCTGCCGACGTTCCCCTCGCTGGCCCAAGACCTGACGACCGACGTGGCCGTGATCGGTGCGGGCATCGCGGGTATCCACGTGGCCTACGAGCTGGTGACGCGCGGCCACAAGGTGGTGATGCTCGAGGCGCGCGACGTGCTGGCGGGCGAGTCCGGCCGCACGTCGGGCCACCTGACCAACGACCTGGACGACGGCTATCTCGAGATCGCCAAGAAGCACGGCGAGGACGGCGCCAGGGTCGCCGCCGAGTCGCATGCCTGGGCGAGGGACAGGATTGGGCAGCTCGCGGCCGAGTTGGGGATTGAGTGCGAGTATCGGAAGGTGAGGGCTTATGATGTCAGTCAGTACAGGAGGGGCACCAAGGAGTATGAGGAGGAGATGAAGGAGTTGAAGGAGGAGGCCGGGATGCAGGCGCGGTTGGGGATCGAGACGCGGTTCGACGAGGACCTGACGGTGCGCGGGTGGAGCGGCAAGCCGGACCAGCGCGGCGGGCTGGTCGCCGAGAACCAGGCGACGTTCCACCCGACCAGGTACCTCGCGGGCGTGCTGGAGTGGCTGCGGAAGCAGCCCAACTTCCAGTGCTACACGCGCACGCGCGTCATGGGCATCAAGGAGCAGGGCGTCGAGCTGCTCGGCCTGGGCCACAAGTCGGTCTCGATCGAGACCGAGGCCGGGCACACGGTGAAGGCCGACCACGCGGTCGAGGCGACGTGCGTGCCGCTGCAGAAGCTGTCCGTCATCGCCGAGCTCGAGTACTACCGCACCTACTGCATCGCGGTGCGCGTGCCCCGGGGCAGCGTCGAGGACTGCCTGCTGTACGACAACGCCGACGAGTACAAGTACGTGCGCCTCACCGAGTGCGACGAGCGGGACGACTACATGGTGGTGGGCGGTTGCGACCACAAGGTCGGGCAGGAGGAGACCACGGCGCGATATGCCGAGCTGGAGACGTGGACGCGCGAGCGCTTCCCGCAGGCCGGCAGCGTCGACTACCGCTGGAGCGGCCAGGTCTTCGAGCCGCTCGACTACATGGCCTTCCTCGGCAAGAACCAGGGCAACGACAAGATCTACATTGTCACGGGCGACTCCGGAGACGGGCTGACGCACGGCGTGCTGGCCGGCCGGCTGATCGCCGACGAGATCGAGGGTAAGGAAAACAAGTGGGCATCGCTGTATAGCCCCAAGCGGCTGGGCAGCATCCTCAAGAACTTGCCGAGTATGGTCAAGCACGACGTGCAGATCAACATACAGTACAAGCGCTTCTTGCAGACGGACATCACCGATATCGAGGACTTGGCGCCGGGCTGTGGCGGCGTGTTGAACGAAGTAAGTTTGTCCCTTGGAAGCCCCTTTCAGAGCGGTTGCAGGTTAGGTGACTAACGCTTCGTGATTAGGTGGCTTCGAAGCCCGTGGCGGTGTACAAGGACGAGGAGGGCAAGGTGCACAAGTACAGCGCGCTGTGCCCGCACATGAAGGGCGTGGTGTGCTGGAACTCGGCGGAGAAGAGCTTCGACTGCCCCGTGCATGGCAGCCGCTTCTCCAAGGACGGCATCTGCATCATTGGCCCGGCCAAGGCGAACCTGGCGCCGGCTGACGAGGCGGGAGCGAAGGATCAGGAGGCTGCTGCTGGGTCGGCCATGTAAGAGGATTTAGGGACGGGGGTTGATTGTTTGGTCGCAGGGGGGGTTTACTTCGGGAACTGCAACTTGTGTGAATGTCTCAATTCCATGATTCTGAATTTCCATAATGATTGACTCATGTCCGCTCCACGAAGCAGAATAACCACACTTAGTACGACGACAGCATGACGCCCAGACGGCCACCGTCCATCACCATCACCGTGCCATTGCAGTACGCGCCCGCCCGGCTTGCGAGATAAAGTAGCGTCCCGGCCATCTCCTCATCGCCACCAAATCGGCGGGCGGGTTGGAATAGCTTGTTATCCGGGTCTTCCTTGTCGGGGTTTCGGGTACTGATGATACCATGCGTAAGGTCTGAAGGGAACACTATCAGTCATAGCAAGACAGCCTAGGTTAGCTTTCTTATTCCGTTAACAACTCCTCTCAAGAACAACATACATCCCGGGGCCAGGGCATTGGCCCGAATGCCGAACCTGGCCAGGTTCGAGCTGGCCTGCTTGGTCAACTGCAGGATCGCCGCCTTGCTGCCAGCGTATCCCGGCCTCGATACGGGGTCGCGGCTGTACGCGGCGATGCTGCTCGTGACAATGACCTGGCTCTGGATCGAGGGGACGTCGCCCCCGCCCGGCTGCAGCGGCGCGCCAAATACTATTTCGCCGCCCGGCCGCACCGCCACGGCCCTCTTGTTCCCCGCGTCCAGCAGCTCGAGGAAGGCCACCATGGTGAAGAAGGCGCCCGTGACATTGACGTTCATCACGTCGGTCATGCGCGACATGACGGACTGGTCGAACATCTGGGCGCGGATCTCGGACAGCGGCAGGGTGCGGTCCCAGCGCTCGGCGGGCCCGCCAATGCCCGAGTTGGCTACTAACAGATTGATGTAGCCTACCTCTGAGCTGATTCGGTCGACGGCGGCCTGGAGGGAGTCTTTGGAGGTCACGTCGCATTGGATGGGCACGAAGACGGTCGGGTGGTGCTTGGCGGCGGCGTCCTGCAGGACGTCCAGGCGCCGGCCGAGGATGTAGACGCGCTGTGCGCCGTTGATGGCCAGGGCGCGCGCCATGGTGAGGCCGATTCCTGGGGAAAGGGAAGAGGGGGGGTTGTTGGTTAACTGGATTGATTGGCTTTTAAGGGGTGCGTTAAGGAGGAGAGCTGGGCGACTGAGACTCACCTGTGCCTCCGCCTGTGATGACGGCCACCATACCGTCGACACGGAAGAGCTTTGCTGCATCGAGAGGAGAGTCCATCGTAACTATCAATGAGATATTCGTGGCTTTGGGCTTTGGTGCTCGTGGTTGACTCGGTCTAAGAGGAGGCTCAGCGGTGCCGATTGCTGAATAGAGGTAGGTAACGTACTAGGCGCCCGGGGAATCAGAGTGGTGGGTTTTGTATTCGACCCCTTCCACTTATGGGTTCGTGGAGCTCAAAGCTCTTGCTGACAATCGTGGAGTCGAGGCGATGTGTTATGAGAGTTGAACCAACTCCTGACGGAAGGAATAATGGCCTACACAGAGGTGAGGTAAGTACGACCCGTCGGGGTAGCACGACATCGAGGGCTGATCACCAAGCCCGATCCCCGAGACGCCGGCCAGGTATTGGTCCCCAAAGTCTCGGGTTGATTCAATCGGGGATGCAGGGATCTCAATGCTGGAGTTCATCCCTACGACCTTCACCAGATCAAAGATGTGGAAATTCCTGAAGCTTTTCTCAACCGGACTTGACAGCGGGTTCGTATACGGGCCGTGCTAGACCACCCGCCACATCGGGCTTGAACAGTGAAGTTGGGGATGTCCGGGACTTATCAGGGCGGATGGGCTGTGCGAAGGCGGTTCCGGCTTTCTATTCCACCATATCCGATACAAACGTCCCGCCGACAATGCAGATCCGCCGATTTGCAGAAGGCACTCCGCTCCGGCTCATACAAGTGAAATGCTATCAGGGCTCAAAGACTGGATGTGTGGCTTGGCTATGTCATACTATCACCTTCGTGCGCCGCTCAATGGCCCTTCATTGGACCGAGCCACAAATCGAGCCAGGGAACAGGCCTATCTTGCTTCAACACGGCCATAATGGCTGATTCATTGAAAGAAAGCCAGACCCTCAAACGGCATGGCGCGCGGAACCAACCTAACGAACAAGGGGAATCACAATACCGAGCCTGATCCAACCCAGAGCCATCATCCTTCAACCAGTGCATCTGGGAATCCAAGGCTACCTAACCAACCCATGATCCCATCGTAAGATCCCAAAATGATCATAATCACACTCCTCCACAAAGTACACAGGCATGCCTCAATGCTGCACCGTAATGGTAACAGCAGGGCCCTTCTTCAGCATCCCCTCCCGCTCCGCCGCCATGGGACTGTCATACGCTCCGCCTGCCCCTCCTGCTCCTCCAAGTCCCCCAGTATACTCCACCGCCGTCATATCCGACTTGGGCACAGGCGTGTACCTCCTGCGTCTGAGCCAGTACCTGCATCACAAATTGTCAGCGAGTTCATGCCTCCCACAAGGAACCACTCCTCCAAATAAGAAAGCAAAAGAGAAAGAGAAAGAACTTACACTAACCCAGAAATCACCGCCAGCACAAACGGCACCCCCAACCCCACACTAAGCCCAATAATCAACTTATTCGACACGCCCCCAGTCTCACCGTCAAAAACCTCCCCAATGTCATCCACAACCCCACCAATCCCCCCCTTCCCGCTCGCCGACGCCGACGGCGAGCTTGACGGAGGCGGGGGCGGGGCCACGTAGCTAACAGGCGACCCAGAGGTGGCGGTCAGCGTGTTAGCCGCCTTGCCGAAGGGGATGGTGCTGGCCACCGTGGGCGCCGTAGTCTGCGGGAAGGTGGCTTCGACGCCCGCAGGCACGGCCGTGACGAGTGCCAGGGTCTTGGTCTGCACGGAGGTGGTTTGCAGGGACTGCGGGCAGAGGATGAGACCCGGGGAGAGGCAGGATGTGGCGGTGAAGAGGGCCCTGGTGGAGATGGTGGTTGTTGTGAGGTCGGTGTTGGGTGGTGCTTGGCGCGCGGCGACACCGGTGGGCGAGGAGGGTGGAAGGAGGAGGGTGGTGGAAGGGGTCGTTGTGGTTGTGGTGACGGTGACGGCGCAGACGTCGGCGAGGGTGGTGTAGAAGATGGGCACCGTGGTGGCGGGCGACTCGGCCCAGGTGTGGTCGGCCACGGCGAGCGTGGCGCCAGCGACGGCACCCAACGCGAGCGTGTACTCCTGCACGACCCGGACGGCGCAGCCCTTCTCCTCGGCCGCCGCCGCCTGCTCGGCGCCGCCCGTGATGTTGGTCAGGAACTCGGCCACGTGCGCGAACACGCCCACTTCGACGCCTGCCGTGACCGTCCATTCCGTCTTGTCGAACGGGTTGCCGACCAGGAGCTTGTCGCTGCTGATGTCGAACCCCGCGTGCATGCCGACGCGGAGGACGCCCTTGAGCGCGACTTCGCCGCTGAGGATGGTGACGGGGAGGAACTCGAACTTCCCGCCGTTGCTAGGTGGAGAGAAGAAAGGAGAGAGCATATGTTAGTATGAGCGGAACCTGGGAAGGTAAGGTAGGTAACTTACAAGATGACGTCGGATACGTCGCTGCTGAACATGGCAATCTTGAAGCCGATGGGCTCTTCAACGAGGAGATGAAACCCCGAACGGAGGCTGATTTCGCCCTCCACGCTGAGGATCAAGTCGATCGTCACGAAGATGCCAATCTCCAGGTCCGGGCTGATCGATATTCCGAGCGGTCCGAACGGTGTATTCACCGGGGTTTTGAACAGCGGCAGCGTCAAGGTGGCCTCGGCAGCAATTGTCGTGTCGATGGCGACGTACAGGTCCAAGTAGTCGATCTGGAACAGCAGCTGGACTTCCGGAAGCGGAGGAAGCACAATGTCAATGTCGGTGTCGATGGTCACATTGTCGAAGCTGAAGGCCTCTTCGAAGCTGAACTTGGTGCTGAGATCGCCGTCGACAAGATCGCCGAGCTCGTCCCAGACCTGGTCCGCGATCGTCTTGATGGCGGCGACCGACGTGTCGGTCAGGTTCTTGAGCTCTTCGCCGATCTGTGCTGTGATGTTCTGGGTCGCATTGCCCAAGTCGAAGGATCCGGTGATGTTCAGCTCTGCCGTGGCCCCGGCTTTGAAGTAGCAGGTGGAGCATTTCACCTCGACGCTGATGGCAGCCTCTAGTTCTTCAACGCTGCTGTTGAGGGGGATTTCTCTGAGATGGATTTAGTCAACGATATTTGACACGGTCATCCCGGAAGAGCAACTGACTGGCTGAATAGGATTGCCTCGTTCCAGCTCCCCTCGAGGGTCGTGCTGTTCTTGAAGACGGTCTCTCTTTTCTCGTGCGCCACTTCCGCGAGGCGGCGCAGTAGCAAGTGGATCGTGTCCTCGTCCGATGTGCCGGGGAGGTTCCGTGTCCGGATCCCCACCAGCGGCGCCGGGCTGTAGGATGCGAGAGCGAGGCTCGCGGCCCACGCAACAACGGACAGAACACTGAGCCGGACCATGTTTGTGCTCGGGAAGAGTGGCTGCCCCGATGGAACTGACAACCGGACAGACAGGTTCTCCACGTCTTCTTTATGCTGCAAGCTCGAGGCAGCAAAGCTGCTAGCCTGCTACCCGGCCATGACGGCCCCCAATGGCTTGGACGGGCCATCCAAAACGGCCGCGGGGATAAGGACGGGATGTGTGGATGTTGGAGGGGCTGAATTGTTTGCGTGGGCCCGACGCACGAAGTACGCCGCAGGGCCGCAGGCTGCCAGGATGGTGGCTGTGAGCCGTGACCAGACTGCAATCCGCATCGATGAAAACTCAAGTGCATGCAACCGCACGAAGGGGTTCCAGTTGCAGCTTGACCTGTTGCGGAACAGGCTCCCGGGTCTTGGCGTGTCTGTGCGGTGAGTTGTTTATGATTGTTGAAGAAGCATCCTGGGGCACGTTCTGTTTGTTGGGACAAAGGTAGCATGAGTGAATGGGATCGGGAGGTTGGGGATTGCTACATCGAAGCCCTATCTGCACCTCTGTATGCATGTTGGTTTTCCGTCAGCATGGTTGTTCGTTCCACAGCATGCATTACAAATCACACCTGTTCCTTGGGAAGCTCCTCGGGAATAATACAACAGACCTTATCGCAACCAAATCCATAGCGTTGGGCACAACGGGAAGAATCCTTGGACCAGTTGCCAAGGCTGTGGAGCTGAAACGGCACATACAGACTAACCTCGATGCAGGACAGAGGCGGGGAGAGTAATGCACGGTGATAGGTTTCAAGACATGCAGCAGTCCCATTCGGTGATAGGCATCCAGCAGTAAGAACTAAGAATAGCTGACCAGCCACACAAGGCTGGACCTAACAGCCAACATGCATAATAGGGGCCATGGCACGAATGGGATCAGGCTGTGTGCTCGGTTTTGGCCCCCAACAGGACTCAGGATCCCAGGTGTGTCATAGGTATCCTGCCAATCGCAATGCTGCTGGTGGAAAATGAATGCTGCCCAATGCGTCGTTGGTGAAGGACCATCTGCAAATACTGTTATTAAGAAGGCAATTGTGTGGGAATTTACCTAGAGGCCAGGCGGCTGACGCGGGAGTAGTGGTGGATGAGCATGCCCCTGTACCTACGTAACGTAGTTGGCTGGTTAGATGTGAGCTTACCAGTGGATGCGGTGTGACCATACTCTGAATTGCCTCTTCGCTGGCGAGCCAGCCGGTGTAAGGAGCACGGACGAGCAACTGGACCTTGTGAGTCTGGGCCCGGGCAGGGTTTGTGATATCAGGTTGCCAAGCTACCAACAACAGCAGAGACAGTTTTCAGCAGGAGCGCTTTACCGTATATCGAGCTATGGGAGTGCGAGACTGATCAAAGTTCAGACATTCCGCTCTTTGGAAAGGGAGGAGGGTGCAGTTGAATTCCTCACAAGTCACAAAGCTGTCCTCACTGGCTAACCCATAGGTCGGCTCTTGGTGTTTAATTATCAACCCCGATGAAGCCAACGGAAATGCTAGGTAGTTTATATAGAACAATCCCCTCGAGAACGCAGCCATCCAGTGTGAGTTAGCTTCCAACTTGCTAAGTGGCAAGGGACCGTTGTCCTGCCGCTGACGGGGGTATAATGGGCAAGCACGGAACCTGCGGTGATGGCCACACCCCAGAACACTCCGCGAGTCCAACCCGGTCGGCCCAACCATAGGTCCTCTGCTTCCACATGCTGGAGTTGTCCGCCAGGTCGCGTCACAGCGAAATGACGGAGCCTGACGTTCTTAGATGGCCAATGGCCTCCTGCAACATCCTTTCGTCCCCAGATTCGCCCTTCTCGCTCCTCAAACTATCGGCCATGGGGCGAGCCTGGAAAGGTGGTGGGTCACCTGTTGGGTGCGTACATCCTTGGTTACGGATTTGGACACCGACTGGTTCTGTTGTCTTTAAACCAGAAGCCACGAGTCTATCCTTTCGAGCGACTGCCAGGAAGGCACGGTTGCTGACGTGCTCCAGAGTGTCAAGTGTGTCTTCTAGTATCCACCCGGATACCTCTCTGCAAGTGATCGGATTTCATTGATCACTCTAAGATCAGGTTAGTTAGTATTCGCTGGAGATGTTGTGACTAGATCGCCACCTACAACTCAAGATACGATTCTTCGTTTGGGAACAGTGTTGCGGCATGAAGGTTGAACTTCCTAAGTCGTGCATGGCATGGCCAGAGTCAGACCCCTAAACGTTGGACGAATTCGTATCAACCGGGATCTTACATTGCATAGAGACGGATCCGGTCGTCATAGTCCTCCTTGGGCTCCATGGGTTCGATGTGTGAGTGGTATGCTTTGAAATACGCATTGCCAAACCAGTTTCTCTCTGGTAGCCAGTTCCCTAACTCGTCTAAGATCCGATGTGATCAGCTCAGCTCCCCAAGCTAAAGTCGCCACTCTCACATTCGTTGTGTGCCCAGAAGCTAGCCGGGTCGAAGACAATGCCATCTCCGGTAGACTTGATGACCGCCGCATTCCCGCACCACAGGTCGCCATGGACCAGGGACGGCCCAATCTTCCGCCCGTTGCTCTCCATTGGCCGCAAGAGTCTTGGTATGACCTTGTCAAAGAGCGCTGGGAGGAGCGCATCCAACTCAGCATTTGGTCCGGCTCTTTCCTCGCGTAGCTTCAGTACATGGCGCAACCCGTCGCTAAAAAAGGTCTCCCAGCTATTGGACCAGGTGTTATCCTGCGGCAGATCGCCGTTGTACGTCGTGCAGTGGAAGCCGAATTTGCCCTCGGGTGATGTATGGCTTGAATGCAGTCGTGCGAGCTTCTCGCAGAAGGAGACGGGATAGGGCATGACTCCGGCCGCAAAGTCGTAGAACTTGCAGACGTAGAAGCAGCCATCGCACTCCGCGAGGCGTCCCCAGGCGATGGGTTTGGGACAGAAGTCGGGCGTGATGGCGTAGATAGCCGTGGTGGCCTCAAACTCGCCCTTTAACGCGTCCCGCCCATGTTGGCCTAAGGAAATCTGAGGTACCCTGTTAGCAGGCCTGGATGCAAAGCGAGGGGCCGGCGATGTTGCTTTGCTAGACCTTTACAAAGTAACTTTCATCGCTGCCATCCGTTTGGTGGACCTCAAGGCGCAGTGCCTTGGCCCATGGCGACTGATGAACGTCTTTGGCTCTTACGATCCTGTCGACGCAGCGTAGTGCTGGAATGGATTGAGCCGATTAACAATGTTTAAGGGAGTCATGGGGATTACTCTTGACACTCACCCCCGATGATGTTGGGATCCACAGATGGCCCTCCTGTTTCGTCAGGTCCGCTCTTCGCGTTTGCCATTCTCTAGTCAAACCTGTATGTTCGTAGACTTGATCAATCAGCTGAACTTCGCTCAATCGTGGCAGGTTGTTGTAGTGGGCCCGAAAAGTACAGTCCTGTTGTGCCCGGGCCTTAACAAGAGCCCGGTTTGTTGGTTGTCAGCTTGGTTGCCGAGAACCCGACCTTTCCTACCACCTCCGATCGCGGGAAGAGCCCTCGGGCCCCTCTTCTGTCCTGCCATAAGCGGGGTTGCAACTCACCCTCATTGTTTCTCACAACAAAAGAACCAAGGTCTGAAGACCTTGTTGACATAAATGACCCTCCCAGCGACATTCACTCTCAACAATGGTATGACATCGCCCGCTGTCGGCGTGGGCACTTTCCAAGGCGAAAGCGGCAATTCCAAAGTCAAGGATGCTGTGAAGCTGGCCCTGAAACTCGGCTACAAGCACCTCGATGGCGCGTGCGCTTATGGGAATGAAAGGGGGATTGGCGAAGCGATCAAGGAGAGCGGTATCCCGCGGGAAGAGCTCTTCGTTACATCCAAGTTGTGAGTGGTGTCCAGGCGTAGTTGCGTAGGTAGGTAACTTAGAGTAGCGGATGATACAGAGCACAAACGTGGCATGACCCAAGAGACGTGGAAAGCGCGCTCGACGTCCCCTTGCAGGATCTCCAGCTTGACTGTGGTATATCGGGACTCCATTAATAGACTCGTTGAGAGTGATGAGCTGTCTGACTCTCTTATCCACAGTTGACTTGTACTTTGATGCAGTGTAGGTATTAGTATCATCCTCAGGACGGGAGAGTCTCTTTATCGAGGCTGACAAGCGAAGTTCCACATGCCTACAAGGCGGGTGAGAACACCACGACTATCCGCCATCCCAGTGGCAACGGAAAGGTGCGCCATTACCGCTCCTGAGCCAGAGCATAGGGGGAATGGGTTTCTCACCGTTGCTATAGCCGGTAATTGAACATGACCGGTCCAGACGATATCCCGAGACATGGCAGGCCATGGAAAAACTGGTTGACTCGGGCAAAGCACGGTCCATAGGTAGGTGTGCTGCCAGCTGAAAGTGACCACCACTAATCGGAGCTCAGGCATCGCGAACCTCAGTGTGCTCAAGAGCAAGCGCATTCTCGAGGTCGCTCGTATCATTAGAGCGGTAAACCAGGTCGAAATCTACCCGTACGTTTGGTCTATTAACTCTTGATCCGCGGGCATCGATAGCTGAGACCTTGTTAGATACTTTCCGCCAGCATGAGCGCTTGGAAGTCTCCTCCAAGCATGGGAATCTCCCCATGGCCCATCGGCCCCTCGGAGGACGGCCGATAGCCGCAGTTCGTGGTCATGCGGACAAGCCCTTCCCAACGGATGATGCTGTGGTGCGTGTTGGATACTAGCCAATCGGCCTAAAAGAGGAAGCAACACACTATTCGTTTGATCACAGATTGTCGATATTGCCGCCAAATATCAGGTGACTCCGGGACAAGTTTGCCTCACCTGGGCCGTGCAGCGCGGGATACCGGTGATTCCCAAATCCACACAGGAAGAACACCCGAAGCAGAATCTGCAACTCAGACGGTTGCCGGATGATCTCTTTAAGGCTGTCAACACCTTGGCGACCAGACTTGGCCCGTTGCGATTTCTTGATCCAAGGCGGCATATTGGATTCGACATCTTCGACGAGGAGGCCTCTGCTCAAATCCCTTTGCAAAACGCATACTAGGTCTTGTCAGGTGGGTGCTGTTGTTTCGTTCAAAAGGAGCGCCAGAAAAGACTACCACCTAAGCCTCAAGCAAAGGCTGCATGCCTACCGTAGGTACTAGCGAGTAAGACAAAAGTCCGCGCACCGCCTAACGGTCAGATGGCTGCAAGATCATCAAGTTTCAGTGCAATGCATGGTAGTTCTTGCAAGACGTTCCCTCCCTCACTACCAGCTTGCTATCGGATCAAGGATTGAAGAAGAGGTTGCACATGTCAGAAGGTCGACTCGGAAGAAAGTGACCAAAAGGAGATCCTCGGTAGTCAGGGTTGTCACTGCCGTTCCCGAATTTTAGGTCCTGCCGCATGCAGCTTGTTAAATGCAGGTGCAACTCCGAGGCACTTGCCTTGTCTACACCTCAGTCGCCCGTGGGTTATCTCAGATCAGCCGTCTTTTGTGGGCGTTGTTGAGGCCTGCGGCCGTAAGTGGTGTGGATGGTCCGTGCGGGGTCCGTGCGGGTATGAGGTGTCTCAGGTGTGTAATGGTGACGTCCATGCTAGCTGGCTAGCCAATTGAAGATCTGACCCACTCTTTGCACACAACGCCCATAAAAGTGCTATTTCAATGGGCTTCGGCCATCCCATCCGCTCTTAGAAAGTTCAATCCTTCTTAGCCTAATCTTTTCTGGCTGCGCTTATTCAATCAGCCTTACCCGCAACGGCACTTACTACGATAGCAATGCCTTCCATCACGGACTTGCCCTGCGAGATTATGGGGGAGATCCTGCGCAAGCTTGATCATCTACGGGATCTCAGCTCCACGATTCTTGCGTGTCGCCATTTCTATAACTCGTTCGTGGAGTTCCCTGGCCTCGAGGCTTCAGTCCTTCGTCGTCAAATCACCCCGGCCCTCGTTCCATATGCAATTGCTGCGATGGACGCGCGGCGTTTGCCCCGAGACTCAGAGGTTGACCCCGTCCTCAACTTGCTTGACCAGCTCTATGACCAGCCAGCCACTCTCGCGGACCGGCTTATGACGTTGCGAACTCCTCTCCTACGAGAGCTGAGTGATTACCACGATACAATTCGCGCCGTGGTAACCGCCTTCGCGAGCTTTGCCTTGGAGCGTCTTTTGGCTCAAAGCGCATCGACGAGCGTGGCCCTATTGCCCACCGAGTACTTCTGCTTCTGCAGCTCTTTCTACAGTCTCGAGCTATTTAATATAATGCTTTGGCAACGGAATATCGTACGCAACAAGGACCGGCCCTGGGAGAACGAGCAACTCGCTTGTGCATATGAGCAACTCGCTTTTGATTACGTCGGTCGCCGGGCAAAACTTTTGGAAGGTTGATCGGGACATCCCAATCATGCGGGCCCTTTGGCGGGATACTCTGACGCCTATTACGGATTCCTTTGAAGTTCTCGATGATGGTCTGTTAAGTTGGAAACCGAGGGAGGTGGTGGACTATCTTACGCGCCGATATGGCAAGCAGCCAATACACATCTGGGTTAGTGTCTACCATCTTTATGAACCGATGATTTGCTACGACCATACTAACGCCTGAAGTATAGCTATCTAACGGGGTGGAGTTCGTCTATGACTTGGCGATTTCCGGTTCTTACGGTGACGGTATGCGTGTGCTTCCACCGTGGCGCCGCCACGGCGTCAGGCTACCTGAGCCTTTAGCATTTGCCAATTATTATGCCAATATCAAGGCCGGTCATGGATATGTCAAGGACTATACTGAGAAATAGTTGCACGCCGTCGTGACGCGAGATAACGGCCAGCCCAAGGACGACACGGACCGGGGTCCATACGAAGCTTGGCACATCGGCACCCGTGACCTGCTTCTGAACCGGTCGGTCATGTCAAGGGGAGCTGCCTCGCTCCGGGAGCGTGCTTACGTGTTGTGGGACTTGAAACGGGTGAATCAAATCTCAACCGGCTACGAGAACGATGATGAGATGCTGGAGTTGTGGAGGGAGCGGTCCTTGATCTGGAGGGAAGGAGGCACCGGGCCACCGGCTACTGGAGCTGGAATAAAGGCGACCTCAGCCGTGTAGAATGGGCGGCTAAGTGAAGCGAAGCCCCAGGCATGTACTTGGGTGATTGCTGCGTGTCATTTATGTCTACCTGCAGGCATGTATGTTGAACTTAGGGGGTCACACAGGTTGTATTGCTTGCTTGAGGAGTCTTAGGCTCTGGGAACCTTGGTTCCTTATGTACATGGAGAGCCTGGTTCCCAGCCTTCTGCCCCTTGTTGCAGCTGTACCGGTACGTCTAGTACCTGACTGGCTTGTGGTCTCTGCCCCTGATTTCAGCAATGTACTACATTCACATCAGGTCACTTCGAAGACCTCGGTTTGTCTGTTCCATCCTCCCCTCACCACCATACCACTTCACAGAGACAGACTAGTACTGCGCCGCAGTGGTAAGAACTAGGTACCTATCATACCGACTTGGGACATTTCACTCGCCTGTGGCTCGGTTCTAATCATCACCATCCTCTGTCTGGGATCTAGTCGTCCTTTTGAGTCTCGTGCTCCATAATTACTAGTACTAACCTACCTCCAGATTGTCCCCAACATCCAATCCGATCATGGAGGATGGATTGGTGCCAAAGCTTATCAGGATGCGGCACATTTCTGACAATCCCAGTCGCGAAGCTACATACAAAGCCTCTTCATGCCCCCCTTCGCCCCCGCCCCACCCCGGCCAAAAGATCATGGTCGTTGACAACCACCACCGAGGGGAACTCTCGTATCCTCGTACCGGTCCCGCGGAGTGAAGCCACTCACGATAATCCGGACGAGGACCGTCTTGTTTTGATCCTCCCTCTGATAGACACCATTCCGGAGATGGTTTGCTAGAACTTGAAGCATGGCAGGATTGCAGAACCGGCTCGCCAAGTGCGGCACATCTCGGCGTTGGAGTTTCGATGCTAAAGATGTGCATGAGCGCCTTGTAACCCCAGAAGGTATTCTATATGATCGACGTGATTCCCCAAAACGCCTTCTCCAATCAAGCCATTTCCGGAGACAGGAGCCAGCAGTGCACTTCCCAGTCTTGGCCGGTGCTCGGCGAGATCCATCAGCCGCCTCCTCAGAGACATGCAGCCTTTCCCGGCGGCCATACCCATGAGCTCGTTGCTCCACCTTCCCTTGACCACGACGTCGCATGCGTCGTCGACGAGGCCAAATGCCTGATCCCGGTCCCGGTGGCGCAGCTCAAACCGACCCCTCGGACTTGAGTGCAATGCACCGTTGCTCCATCTCGGGAAGCGAGCTGCAGTAAGCCCAAGTAAGCCAACCAGGCGCGATACAGCTTGAGGCTTCATAGGTGCCGCGACCCATTTGAAGAGATTATCTCGGCATCTATTGGCTAAGGGTCCGGGGAGATGCAGGTCCTTGAGGTCGTCTCTCCTTTGCCTCATCCTTTGCCCCTCCGGTGAGGAAGAGCTGTTTGCTTAGCATTGCTTCTCTAGTCTCCCCAACACGATGCTCTGCGGGTGGTATATATCCTCTTTTCCGCTTCGCTTGGGGTGCTATGAGGCGATGGAAATAACTGACGGTTCAGTAGGTAGTTGTCAGAGACTGAAAGGTCCAACGACATCATGTGGGATGATTCGGTAGAGCCAATTCACGCCGAAGAATCCATGCCCAGCCCAGTGTGAGACAGAAAATGGCAGGTGAGCTTCGTAGCCGATGTATCAGGACCATCTGATTCGAAACCAGGTCTCCTTGTGATTTCGTTGTAGCATCAAGCTCTACACCGCCGAGCTCGACTATACGCTATGTCAGCACAGTGGAATTCAAATCTCGTAGCTTGCTTTGCGGTATACATTCGGGGAACCGAAGTCTCGCCCTGGTGGGCTTTCCAAAGAAATGAGCCACAGCAGGGTATCCATATAACTTCTAATCGGGTCATTGCGCCTTGATAACTTGGAGGTAAAGAGCTATGTACGGATAGGCAAAGGCCGACCGTTTCGTCACCCTCGCTGGTGGAGTTACATGCAGATTGATGCGCAACGAACTGATGCATTGCGCTTGATTCTTCCATTATCGATTAAATTTAACCCACGCAAAACGACTCTACCATTCTGAAAAAGATGAAACAAGATGGGACGTGAAAACTCTTCCATGGACATGGATATCGTCCGAAGGAAATGAAGTTTGCCGCAGCAAAAAATCCTTAGGTGGTGCTGAATCTCACGACTTCCACCAACCACTCCGCAACCGTTCGTTCCCTTTTGGACTTCACCGCCCAAACCTAGCTCTAATTACGTTTCTTCCAGGATGGACCTAGAGGGAGAGCGAGTCGGTTCGGGATAATTTCGCGGTTTGGCACTTCAGCGATTTGACCAGCTCCTTCGGTAAGGATAGTACGCCCGACCCAACCCAGCGAATACTCGAAATCACAGGCCGAGAGCTCCAAAGGCAGTAGCAGAAAACAGCAGAGCGCCAATGGCAAGACCGGTGAAGCCGTTGCCGAAGCTCGGCACGCTGCTACCCGGCGCCGCGTTGTCCGAAGTAGTCGAAGTCGCGGCCGAGCCGCTCCCGCTCGCGGTGCCGGACGTCCCACCGCTGGTCTTAGCCCCACTGCCCCCCGTCGCTACAACAGATGCGCTGGCAGACGCGGGCAGGTCCGTGGCCGAACCCGTCGCGCTCGCGGTGGTGTTGCCTCGGCAGAAGACCGCGTTGTCGGCCGCGCCCTCTTTGAACAAACAGTCCATGAGCTCGCGGACGGTCTGATCCTGCGAGAGACAGAACAGGCCGCAGTTGTTGTAGTAGCTGACCACGTCGGCGGAGCCGCAACACTTGGCCATAATGTCGGTGTGGTTGCCCCCGAAGGGCATGGCGCAGGACGCATCCTGCACGGGGATGTCGTAGACGAGGGCCCCGCCGCACGCTGTTGACGTCGCCGATGCGGCGGCTGTCATGCTGGTTGATGTCATCTTGGCGGGAGTTGGACGTCGTAATTCGTACCGGTCGTGTTTTGGGGTTCTGGGACAGAAAGACGGGATGAACGAATAAAAGCCGAGGGATGCGGGAAAGACGAAGCGGGACGGCAGCGGCTTCTCGAGCCGAGTTTGTATTTATGTTGGCATTCCAGGGCGGAAAACGTGGCACGGCAACCCCAACGCATTACACAGTGACGTGGACCTGGTGCGTTTCCTGACGATCCGTGGGCTGTGGCCGTTGCCAAACCAATCATGAGACAGGCTAAAAATGGATACGAGTGCGACGGGGCTGAGAGGTCACGTGCGCGAAGTTTCGAGAATGCAAAGGAGACGGACTCCCATAGTAAAGGTTAAGAATAAGACAATCGGGATGCGTAGAGCTTTGAAAGTATATTACATAACCTCGGTCGGCCATGCTCCTGTTTCCATTCAACAGGTTCAATGAACTTGGTAAAATCGTGAGCTCAGCACCAGCCCCAATTTTATGTTTAACAGAATTGTGGGGCATTGCAGGATGAGGCTGCTGACCCACCATAGTCGTTTGACGGAGTAACACGATTTTTTTTCTCCTTTTCCCGTTCTTTCTTGCATTCATTATTTTTTCCTCTTCAGCACCGGCCAACGGTCCTGAAGCATGAACCTTGAACTGCCAGGCCAGTATCAGCGTCCTAGTCCTTTCGTTTTGTGCAGTCGGTGAGGATGACAAGCAGGCCATCCATTAACCAGGATCACATCCTACGGAAGACACGGTGCGCGCAGTCGCGACGCGCACGGATGCGGCCGTGTTGAGGCGCAGCAGGGATTTGACAACTCGGAAAAGTTTGAAATCGAGGATGCGGCACTTGATTCAACGATATCAGTCCAGCCATCCGGCGCTGACATACTCATCCTTGCCTCAATTAAAACGGCCAGCGCGCTGTGGCTTCACAAAGTACCGCACTACTGCCTCGTTGTCATGACTTTCCACTGTCACACCTGGGCCCTGGCTCCCAGGGCTGAGTACTATGGCAAAGGAGTTCGAGGCCGTTGAGCAGCCGCTCGCGGATGCGGTACCCATCGGAATTAGCCGACCGGGGCAAGACGGAAGAGACATGGCGTTGCATTTCGTACGTCTGTAAAGGACAACGGCGAAGAGTACACAACCTGCGGAACCGACATAGTATGCTCGAGAATAATCGATTGACCCTGTACACACAGGACTGACTATACTACCGCTGCTACCTACGGAGTATACCTACCAACATCGCCTCCCCACGAGCCGGTGAAGCCGTTCGCCGTGACGATCTCCGTTCCGTTGGCCAACCTCAGCGTGGCATCCGTATCCTTGCTGCACAAACCAAAAGCCTGCAAGTCTGCCGGCGTCTGCTGCACGAAATGCATGATGCGCTGGCAGCCATTGTTGCAGCCCTGGTATCCCGGCCCGCTGAAGAAGGCCCACGAGGCCGACGCATACGTGCGGATGCCCTTCCCTCCGTTGATGTAGTTCGCCGGGCCCATCCGGCACCTCTTGTCATTGCCTGCACACCAACTAAAGTCCGGATCGCCCCACTTCTGCGCCTCGACCGTCCACGGCGCCGGCACCACCATCGGGTTGTTGTCGCCCTGATCGTAGTTCGTCTCGCTCTGCAGCATGCTGACCATGACGTTCTCTGCCTTCTTGAGATTGAGCTGGTACAGCCACCAGTGCTCAGACCCCAACCCGTGCAGCCACGTGCCCTTGGTCGCCTCCACAAGCGCGCCCCTGCCCGCCGCGAAGGCACTGCCGCCGTCAAACTCCTCCGTGACGTGGTCCGCGACCCAGTTCCATACATTCTCCACGTACACGGACGACGTCGGCGCGAAGTGCATCCCCATAAACGCCGCCTTGCACTGGTTGCTCGTGTCGCGGCACGCGTTGGTGAGCTTGTCGGCCCCGCGCGTCCCGCCCACCGTGATCAGGCTGTTCCACAGCGCCACGTCACCGGGCTGGCGGCCGGCCATGTGGAACTGGGTAATGATCGCGCCGGGGAGCACCTCGCTGACGGTGAAGCGCATGTCCTGGATCTGAGCGACACCCACGTCCCCCGGGCGACCGATCTGAATGACTGGCTTGGGGTTGGACGCGTCGGCGAAATACGAGCCGGCGCCCGTTATGGTCGCCCACGCCTCGCCCACGATGCGGCTGCCGGGCGGGATGATGAGCGTGGAGTCGACGCGGTACTTGCCGAAGGGGAAGTAGGCGATCTTGTTCTGGGAGGCGGCGAGCTCGAGGATGGCGTTGAGCGCGGCCGACTCGTCGATGGTGTGGTCGCCTAGGATCTTGCGCCCGCCGTTCTGCGCCGGGTCCTTAACGTTGAGGAAGTCGGAGACCGGGTTGCTGGCGTAGTTGGGCGCTGCGATGGCTGGGTAGCGGCCGGAGGGGGCCAGGGCGCTCGGGCGGGACAGAGTAGTCGCGCTCACCGGCCCATAGACGGGGTTGCGGTCCACCGTGTTGCCGTAGGAAAACTGGGCGACGTGCGATTGTGGGCCCAGGACGAAGTCGCTCGGGCCTTCGGCCACGTTGCTGTGGAGCGTGTCCTTGTCAAGGTTTTCGATCACGTACGACGGCCAGGTGGTCGTCTTGAGGACGACGCCCGAGTTAATGGACTTGGCGTCGATGAGCCCAATCCAGGGGTAGCCGCCTGTGTTGAGAACGCAAGTGCCAACGGTGTCGAAGGTTGGGTTGATGATGCTGATGGTATGGCCGCCGTCGATCAGCATGCCTACCGTGTTTTGGTAGAAGTAGATGCTCTTGTAGACCGCTTGCTGGTGCCCGTTGTGCCAGATACCGTTCTGCGCACGTTAGCCAGGGCAAGAGTGAATGGTGTTGCAGTGAGTCTTTCTTACCTGACCACCCTCGATGCGCACGTCCGAGACAGCGAGCGTGGAGCCACGCCCCAGCCGCATGCCGGAGTGGCCGGCGCCGTTGACAGAATAGGGCATGCGGATTCTGACGTTCTGGAGATGTGCCACTTGGGCAACACCCCAATAAAGCGCAGTGAACGGCTGATTTCCGGCAACATTCTTGGTGTCAAGAATGATGTTCTTGAGGCTGACGGCAAACGAAAGCTCGCCCGAGACCCCCGTTGTCGGGTCCTGGCCTGAGAATAGGGTGCCGTCGCCGGCGAAGTTCGCTGCGGCTTTGATGACAGGAGGCTGCGGGGATCCGTATTAGTTCGGCCATGAAGCATTCTTAATGGAGGACACCCACATCAGTAGCATCGCCCATAATTATGGTGTCGGTATTCATGTAGATCGTCTTGTCAACGATGTACTCCCCGGGGGGGATGTAGACGACCTGTCCAGAGTGTCAGCCATCCGTGGTATTCCAAACGGAATAGAGAACAGTACCCTGGGTTGAGACGCAAGCCATTGGCCGTGACGGCTGGCCCCGTTGGTCGCTTCATTGATAGCCTTCTGTATACCGGGACCGTCGCCTGGAGTGACAGCGCGGAAGACCTCGTAGGTATAGTCGTTATCGAGATCAGGCGCGTAACCCCGGACGTTGGCAGAGGTGTGGTCGATGTTGGCATACCAGAACCCAGTCTTTGCGGCACGGGAAGTCCGATGAGCATCCGCCACGGCCTGGTCCGGCGGGTTTACGCCTCCGGGAGGATTGGGAGTGGGAGATGCGACGACAGTGCTCACGCACGCGGCGGAGAGCACCGCAGCCACGAAGGCAATTTGGACCATGATGCTGAAGTGTCGGGTTGAGGAACCGACTTGACTGTCAATTCGATGGTTCCACGGTCTCCAAGGTCACCGACATCTTCAAAGTTCACACCAGGTGAGGGAGCCACAGGTAAAGTACCAAATGGAAGGAGCCATGGAACTTTGCACCTTCCACAGTTGTCCGGTCGCTCCCTGGATGCCCACTCGACTCGGCCCGTCGGCGGCCTTGGTCACCCCACGCTGAGACCCGGCCCGTGGAGAGATCCGGTGGCTAAAGGGGCCTAATTATTGGCCTAAGTCCCAGTGAACAGGTTACACTGCCCCGCCATCTTGGCTTCTTCGGTGTTTCTGCGCTTTAGCGTTACGAGCGGCCCAATAACACTAAGGTTTCGGGGACATTGGAGGGTGAGGTCCACTCCAGGCATCAGCATTTTGTAGCTTTGTCAAATTTCAATAAAAGCACGCCGAGCATTGCGCGAGCCTGCTCAGGAAAGTGCCCTTAGTAATGCCATAACAGTACATGGGAGATGCCTGTTGTAATGGCACGCCTGTTAGGATATGGAGAAGCTTAATTGTGCCACAGCAGGGCCGTAGAGAAGCAGCGGGACCATCACCGGCGAAGCATGCATCCCTTGACAGTGGAAACACCTCAGGGGGAGGTGCACGGTCCACCTGCCTGTTCGGGTGCACTCCGGCCGACAAGTGCATTGCTGATTGGCTGCGCTTATCTAGGACAACCTTGGACCCAGTGGCCCGGACTGCGGCATTAACAAGTGGGGAGCGCGGGGAAGCCGAATTCGGGTTTGGGCGTTGAGGACTTCCATGTGCTCTGGAATACTGTGGAGTCCATCGCGGGTTTCCCAATTGAAGCCTAATCTTCCTCCAAGGACCGATCTCACATGTGACTTTTGGGCGTCAAGCACCGAGTTACCTACGCCTCCCAAACATACCACTCCCTTCGGCATCCCGTCAGCCACTAAGCTCGACATGTGTGGTCGCTGAGTCAGTCCTCGGCAAGCCACGAGGTAGCAAAGTGCCTAAAATAGCCTTTATTGAAAGGAAATGGAGTGAGACATGACAGCATTTGAGTTCGTTCACATGCCCCGCAGCGTTGCCGGAAAGTGCAAGTATCACGGTGCACAACCAAGCCTTAGCATCGCCGAAGGACATGATATCACTCTTTCGGGAAGCCCTTGATGCGTAAACATGAGGCTTGTTCGGCATGGTTCGTGAGATCGCCTACATGACAGCCTATGTTACCCTTTCCTTTCTCCGCTTGTGTGAGAGGAGAGTGTGTGCCCGGTCATTGTAACCTGACACACTGAAGAAGCCATCCGAGTTTGTTTTTCCCTCATATGATTGAGGTATTTCGGAGACGCTTCCAATTTTTCAAGCAAGGAACAAGGCTGCCGATAGAAAAAGGCCTTTCTATAATGCATACTGATGGACTTCGACTCCCGCCTTTGACGTTGATGTAGGTATGTCTGGGCGAACGTAGCTCTGGGAGCCTGAAAGCCGGTTGCCGCTGCCAAAGCGACTGCACACTCAGAATGTCTGGAACCAGTGACACATTTTCATCAGAGGAAGAAGACAATATGGGTGTTGACTGGTATTTCTGGGCTGCTACTAGTTGTAGTTGCAGACGACTAGCCGTATTCCCCATCCATCCTCAATGCCTTGCAGGGTTAGACCCGTGACTAAACTGCAAACGCTTTCTCAACTTCTGGTACGATCGCGTGCCACAGCTCACACAATCTGAGTCTCGAATGCTATGTCCATCTCGGAGTGGGAGAATCTCGAAGTTCCTTGTCCTTGTCGAGCTTTCCGTGATCAGGTCATGTCGATTGTCGGCACCGACTTGTGATTGACTGGCCAAGTTGGAACAGTTAGCAAACCAGCTGTAGAAGACAGTGTGTCTATGTGGACCTGCCTGGCGTACCTCAAATCGTGACATGTCAGACTGCCGTTTCGTGAGTCGTGGCGATTGGCCGCTCAGAAGGTCGAGTTCTTTTCATCGCAGTTGATCTGGCAATGAATGCAGTGGCCAGGGATAAGGTATACCTCCATGCAGCCACACTCCGGACACTCACAGTAGAAGATGAATTTGTCTTCCCGGCAGTACGGACTGGTACAAGGGCATTGGGTAGGGTCCTTCTTGGTTTCGTCCGCAGTGATCATGTAGATGTGCTTCTTTGGGGTTACGCCAGGGATGGCATACTTGGCGATCTTTCTGTCCACCTCGGCCTTTTTGGCGGCCTGCTTGGCCTGGAACGCCTTCGAGAGGATGAGCATCTGCTCCTTGTAGTCCTCCCGATACTCTGGGTGGAAGACCATCTTTGCGTTGTATCTTCGGTTGGTGAACTGCTGAGTGCTGGTTAGTAAACGATGTCATCGTCAACCTCCGGTCTCAGATTGATGGTGGCTACGGATGGAAGGAAGTCAACACACCTGGTGCTTTGAGTTTCACGATTAACCACTCTCGAACAGCGTGCACGAAAGTCAGTCGGTTGTGGCACCCACCTTGCTGGACAGATAAGTTTGATGCTGTTCAGTTTCCGGCGGAGCCTCCCGATCTTCCGGCCAATTACGCGGAGCCGCGAGGGTGACCTGCGAGCACAGGAAAGGTAGATACCTAATTTGGAGGCATTCTCGTTATCATGAGGAACCTGAGTACGATGGGTCCCATGGGTGTATCTCAGTCATAGTGTGCATAGACAGCATTGTCAATGTATAACAACAGAGCCATCTGATGGATTGTGGATCAAGATGAATAATAAGGAGCCGACAGGAGAACAACTATGAATTTCTTACACTGGCACTCCATCTAGCTGTCCGTTGCACCTGTTCAGCATGTTCATCTCCTAACTGCAGTTCTATCGCCACTACTGTACTAACTACTTACCTACCCACGCACCCTCACTCACCCTTCGAGAACGCAGGGCCTTGGGCTTTGACAATAGCATCACTCAAGACGTCGAGCTGACGACCTGCGGCGATTATTATGCTAGCCGCAAGTTTGGCGGCAGATTGCTTGAGCTCATATGTGGCGGTGCCATCGGCAGCTCGGATTAGCATCCGTTCGGCATCGTCGTACATTGTGCACACGTCGGTAAGCCCGATCAGAATGCTCTGGAACTCGGACTTTGCAGATCTGGCATATCCCCTCCCGTTCAGCGCCGAAGCGTGATCGTGGACCAGGATCAGCGCCTTTCTGACCCGCTCCCTGTTCTTCACCGCTTGATATGCTAGACAACAGCTGCAGACTGGCGTATGGCTTGAGGCTAGAGAGATGTTAGGTGTAGGCGTATTTGAATGCTCACTATCGGTGTGGGTAGAGGCGGAAGGATTAGTTGCGTGGTCACTCATGGTTGTATGAAGGCCAGGGGTACATCACAGCCCGTTGTACCTTAAGGGTCTGAGATTCAAGGGTTAATATAGAAAATAGAACCATCGGCAAACATGAGATCCAGTTGACAGTCTCATTGTCAAGGAAACAAACGGCTTTGTGCGGAAAGGAACAATGCGCCGACAAAGCCTTTGTCCCTGGCAAACAAACCGACCCTTTACAGCCACCCATTATGTCCGCGTACTTCCATTCTCCCGTCAGATCAATGCAAGTGCCACGCCAGGAAACCCACCATTACCTATAGAGCACAGTAATCCTACCTTGCCAGCACGCTTTAGCCACCAGTGCCCCATTTTTCCAACAGGGTCGCGAGATCAGCGCCGAGGGTTCTGCCCTCGGCAACATCCTCCGCGGCCAACGCCGTGCTCATCTCAGGCCGCACCGGCAGGGCAAAGTCGACCGGCACACTCTTCAGCTCCCGGATGTCCGCCTCCAGCCCCTCAAAGTAGGGGATCGCCTCGTCCGGGATCCGCTGGCCCATCCTCCGCAACATGGACAGGATCCCCTGCGCAAACCTCCTGGCGACGCCAAGGTTCCGCTGGAGCAGCCGCAGCAAGGCACAGCCGCGGACAAATATGTTGCACGCGCGAGGTTCGTCCAGGAAGGGGAGTATGGTCCCTGTGATGTTGTAGACGCCCGTCGCGAGGAAGGACGAGTAGTCCGCCAGTCCCCAGCGGCGGACGTAGGCTTCGATGAGGTCGGTGTCGACGGCGCAGAGGTCGATCGTGATCTCCTTGGCCGTGCGGCCCTCTGCGACGACTGTGTTGGCGTGCAATGGGCGGAGTACGTTGTAGGCTACAACGTTCAGGTAACTTCTGCAGCGGGAGCGTGGTGTTGTTAGCAATTGACTTGAATTGTGACTTGTGCGTGGCACACAGGATGCTTGACTCACTTTAGAAATACCGTCTGCGGCGTCATGTTTTCGCGGTAGCGGAGAGTCGGGGGCAAAGATCCTTCTAGCGTTCCTAGTTGCAAAAGGAAGTCTCGTCTGACGCGCATGTCCTGTTCCCAGCTCGCGGTGCGTCGTGGCAGGGTGTTGTATTCTATGACGCGGTATTGATGGACCGAAACCTGATTCATCAAGGGCAGCACACCCGGTGAAAAGGGTGGCTCTGGAGAATACGGTCCGGAAGGCTGCCCAAAGACGTCTGTATTGGGGCCAGGAACGTCGCGCTCATCGTAAGAATAGGGGAGCGTGGGAGGTGGTATCAGCGGCGGCTTAAGATAGACGTTGGATAACACACTTTTTCACCGAGTTTTGTTAGTCACTCAGAGACCTCTATCGCCTGGTCACCACTACACAACCAAGAAGCCAAATGGCATGCTTACCATTCGATATTGAACATGCCCCAATGCAGCCGTGCTAATGCTCGGCGCATCTCTGCCTCCCCGGGTATTTGGTCGCTCATTTCAGCAAACAGCTTCTCCGGGTTCAGCCTCGAGAGCATGTCGAGAGCCGCGAGGCGGTACATAGACCCGGCTCTGTTGGTCCCATCATGACACGACACCGAGTACATCAACCAGAGTCCCTGGACCGTTGTCAGACATACTTTCCCTGCTTCGAGGTCTAGGTGGTGCTTGGCCTCTGTCAAGAAGCGGGAGGCAAGACTGGTTTGAGCTGCGCGGCTGACAAGTCGGACGTTCTCGGAGAATATCTGCGTAGCGTTCCAATGAGGATGTCAGGGAGTGGATAATGACGGCTAGGGCGTAGGGAATGACTGACCGACCGCATCGCACAGAGAGAGTTTACAAGGAATGGTGAACAGAACTGGCTTGAGAGTTGACTTGCGCGTCGCATATCCCGGATGAAAAGGTCCCTGTCGATGAGGGACCATATAAACGGGGCGTCCCACTTGAAGAAGGATGATACGAGGTCTGATACCAAGCCATCCCCGGCGACGGAGGTCCACGGTCGAGCGGGAACCTTGATGACGCTTCTTGCGAGTGCTACCGCATCGATTCTCCAGACCTCTGCGTCGGCAGTGCCATACTCACCCGGTGAAGGGTTGCGGAGAAAGGTGTCGGCGTCTTTGAGAAAGTTGAGTGTCGCGATGGGATCCCGGGTAGCTCGTAGCCTGCGATACACTTCAAAGGCTTCCGTCTCCGGCGTGGAGATGATAAAGGCAAACAACTCGTTGAGATCCCGGTTTTCGCGCTTCAGTTTCTCAGACGTCAACTTTAGGTCCGCGTAGCGTGAGACAGCACCCTCTCGGACCGGATATTGGCAGTCGAGGTCGCCGCGCTTCACGCATGCACCGCATAATGGCCGTTCGCCGTCGCACTGGAGGATCGAGAGACGGATTAGGTCCTGTAGGCAATACTTGTGGGAGGCGGGAGAAGGACGAACGGAGTTGGCACCTTTGTTTTCTTCTTCTGGCACCTGCAGCATGCGAATTTGTTGAGGGCCCGTCGCAATCGGCGGGGTCGTCTGTCGCCATTTGGTCCGCGGTCTGGCGACGTTCGGTTTGTAGATCGCCGCGCCAGCTGCCTCAGATCAGGCGGGCTCGGTTGCTCCCCGTCCACGGCCCTGGCTAGTTGCGACCGGAGCACAACTGCGCAATCATCCATGCCGCTGTCATCGGAGTGTCACGCGACGGAGGTGGCGGCGTATGGGCTGGCGGCGAGCCATCGACGCCAACGATGTGGACTAGTGGAGGAGAAATGTTGAGGTGAAGCAGAGAAGAGTTCGCAGGGATAAACCCGGGGCCTACTCCGACATGCATGACGCCAGGACAAACGCCAGGCCATAACGAGCCTAGTCGCTGATCGCTTCCTAAACCAAAACAAGGCTAAATCGCGAAGCATCATGGGCTTCGGCCGGAGTTTAATAAAGCCAGCTGAACTGCTTAGCGTTTTGTGTGTATGATTTCATACAGTACACCTGCAGTCTACGCTGTTACAATGCAAGAGGCGGCTTGATAATGGCGATCAAGATAATTGATGATTACGGCGCGTAACAGACGATGATCGACAAGGGATGGAGGCATTACTGGTAACTTCGGTTTCAGAGTTCAAGAAACCGAACCTCGGCCATAAACACCCACACTCACAGTTCTCACTCACAGATCTCTTAGAGATGGCTCAGATGGGTGTCTCTCAACCCCTCCATGGCACCTTCCTATGCAAGGTACACCACGATCTAACCCATGTTTTCGTGCATCCAACCACGTTTCGCGATCAATCAATAGCTTCATGGACCTCTCTCGCTTCCAGTTCTCGTCGGAGAGGAGAAGCACCATGCTTACTGCTGACTGCTACCACTTTACCAGTCGGTGGCGTCGGTGATTGTTGGGCTAACTTATCGGACCGTCCCCGATTCGTCCGTGTTTCGCCCCGAAGGTCCCTCGATTTCCCCCGCAAAATCTTGCTTTTCGCACAACTGCTTTTGATGACTCAGCAAGCACGGGCCAGCGCCTCGACCGAAGTTTTGCCGGCCGAGAACCCGTTCGCGTTCTCAGAGTGGGGCCGGCTCCATTACGAATGCAAACGGCATCGGCGACGGAGGCCGGAAGGCGTCGCCCGCTCTACTTGGTTCACACCCACTGAGTCCCCTCAGCACGCGCCCCGCGCATTCATGATGGGGGTGCATTTTTTGGCGCCAGGTTCGCGTCCCTGAACCGGGGACGCGAACCAACTACGCCCAACCCTCGACCCTCGGTATGCTGGCCTTGCTGGCCTGCCTCGCTCTTGCTATCGTGGCCTCCTTCCCCCCCTCCCAAACCCCAGAACTCCCTTCTTTCCTCACCTTCTCGTCGTTCTTCCTACTCCTAATGCACTTCTCAATTCACCGTGACGGTACAACGACAGTTGCGCTTCACCGGGGCGGACCCGGCCAGGGTTAAAGCGCTCCTCTAGGCTTACATAGTCAGTGCCATCGAGGAGAAGGGTAATGAGAAGCCCTTTATTACTGCAGACACGAAGGCGGAGCACGATAGAATTTAGGAAGCCTGGACTAAGTATATCTTCTCCCCTTCTTCCTAGGCTTCCTTTACCGGAACCTGATCTCGATATAAAGCCTAGGACAATGTGCTGATCTATTACTAATTTCAATTATATCTTAAAGTTTCTATGAGCTTACGAGAGAGAAAGAAGGTGCAATGAACAGGTATGGTGCTCCCCGGATATATATGGCTCATCATCGAGCTAACTTAGTGAAGCCGCGGTGGTTTCGACTCCCGCCGCTTCTGGCTCGACTTCGCCCGGGATCCATCCACCCCAAACGTTCAGGCACCAGTCCAGACGTTTCTACACCAATATTGGAAAGCTCCTACAACGTACGTGTCGTGCTAGGGCCTGAGGAGCGCGCCATGGTCCGTACGGTCACTTTGAGCCATCGTTCAATACCAGACCACTGAAGAACATGACCGCCCTGCATGTATCTATATATAGTTCAGCTCCCGGAAGGTGCTATTGACGCACGGTCCAACCGAGAGTTGGAGGATACAGCTCTCAGTTGGCCCGTGCATACTCGTGGGATCTGTCGTGGGCCACATGACTATCCCCAGGTCTGGGCTGGACAGGGCGCAGAAGACAGGGGCGCATCGTCACCAGGAACCAGTCAGCGCTGGCAGCAATTAGACAACCACGTCAACAATCCGGCCATGGCACCATACGGCAGATATACAAGTTGACAAGGCTGCATCAACAGAGAGGGAACTCGGTTGACTTCCTGTGGATACCAGCGGAAGGCGACTTCGTATTGGGAGCAGAAGCGAGAGCGGCAGCGCAGAGGGCAACAAAGCAAGGACATGCACCCCGCTCCCGAATGCCCTAGGCCAAGTCTACCACAATCAGACTGGCAATAGCCAAACAACGACATGGAAGAGTGCTCCCTGAAAGAGTGGGGAAGTTCTCGAAGGCTCTGGACGCGGCACTGCCAGGTAAGCACACTCGCGATCTCTATGACAAACTGAAGCGAAAAGAGGCCTGTGTACTCGCACAACTCCGAACTGGAATGGCGAGGCTGAACGGCTTTCCTGGGAGGATTGGTGCGGTCGAGTCAGATATATGTGCCTGTGGCCAGGCGAGGGAAACAGTGGAACACTTTCTGTTTCGATGCGTGAGATGGATCGATCTGAGAAAAGGCATGCTGCAATGCTCAGCGACAAGACGAGGGAGCCTCTCTTTCTACCTGGGAGGGAAAGCGCCATCCGACCCGAAGGTATGGCGCCAAACATGAAAGCGGTCCGGGAAACGATCAAGTATGCAATGGCGACGAAGAGATTAGATTTAGACGACGAACAAAGGCAACGATGGGACCAATCACAATAGCGGAACTACATTAACACCACATAGCCTCAACCAGCAGATCCCGCTTTAGCTGCTGAAGATGGGACGCTGAACACTTGGAGAACGTAACCTCCAAGACGATCTGCTAACGATTAAGGCAAGAGGCAAAAGGTATTAGAAAGCTTTGCGCAAAGGGCAACTCAAGGGGCTTGTGCGAGATTATGGGAGAAGCGGACGAATCGTTTATAGTTAGCGTGCCAAGACCCTTTAGGCTCAGTGCCTCTGGGCGAAATAAATTCCATCCATCCATCCATCCATTGGTTTCTAATAGGCTTTTCCTACCCCAGGATTTGATCACCCCCTCTTTAGAGGGGGCCAACAATTGAAAAACACTCGGACCCCCAAGTATGACTGCGTTGCATTGTTTGCTAGATCTTAGGTTTGCATTGAGTTTAATGCGTTGCATTGCTAGGAGCACTATTTCTGTACGTGCACCGGTCGGGTCAGCTCGCACATACAAGATTGATATTGCGACGGAGAGAGCAAGATCTAATTAGATGACAGATGCGGGGGCAGGACCAGACCTCAAATATCAGAGCCGAACACATGACCAGGAGCGGGGAATCCTGTGACAATTTCGAACAAAAGGCCCCTAACGTACATGATAAGCGAGTGACCCAGACAAGCGAATGACCCACTCTCCATTACCCTACACACATTACCCTCAATTACGACCCGGACATCAGTTGGAAGCGAGGTGGCCACCTACAACCTCGAGACTAGGCTATATCCAACCAACAAGATAGAAAGCGCAGACGACAGACCGCAGCAGGGAAGATCACCCCGGGGGGCGGCCCCTATAGATCCACCACAAGAGACGGACAGTGCCAGGCAGAGCACTACGGACTCAGGAAAAGGTGGCAGTCACTAGAAAGAACAGCGAGAATTGGCAAGACTAGGCTAGAAACAGCGCCACTTGCAACGACGCCCTCGTATGGCTTAGAGAGACACAGACGATATCGAAATCGCTGTCATCTCGATCAACGAGACCGGAGAATTAGAATTCCAGGATTAGGTCACCCAGAGGGAAGCAGCCAGTATTACGGCCGGAGATAAGTTCTCGTACTACCGAAGTACAGAGAAAAACGCGGAAACAGGCAGGATCCTAGCGGAATACCAGGGATACCCGGCGTTCGAAGCAAAGCATCTTAAGGGGCTACCAGACTATAGACCTTGCGACCACGAAATTAAACTTAAGGAAGGGGCCTAGTTGAAGTTCTTCAAGGTATACTATACTAACGAAAAGCAAGATGCTAAGTTAAGGAGATATCTTGAAGAGAACCTTAAAATAGGGTATATTAGACTATCTGTCACGAGGGCTGTCGTTCAAGGCTAGGGTCAAGCCTCTGGTGGTAAACTGACTGCATTGCAAGAATATTGAACTTGCAGGAGGAAAGAAATCCTCGAGACTGCAAAGTAGGCTTTAAATACAGGATGCGAGTAGGTCTGAGCTTGCATGCATGATGTAATGGAACATGCATAATGAATCATCACTTGGTATGATGAATCATTATATATATAACGTATCTTATAAGCGAGTGACCCATATAAGCGAATGACCCACCCCCCTGCCAAACTTTAACAACTATCCTCGATTATACCACAATAATACTAGGAACCGACTATAATTACATCGGAAACAGCTGAATCAGATGCTTCTACAACCTCCTGGCAAGTGCGGGCATTATGACCAGGCTTGCCGCACACACCACAGCACCGAACCTTCGTACGACCCCCCCCTGCACCACCACTATCCTGCTCCTTTTCTTGCGCCACCTCCCCAACCACGGCCTTCTGGCCCAGTTGATCCTTTGCATCATGTACTGCAAGCGATCCTCCAAGCTGTACACGTGTTCTTTTTGCTCTCTGGCGCTTGCTTAGTGCCTCGTTGGCCTTGCGGAGCGAAGCGTTCTCTGCACGAAGGAGAGCCATATAGTGCATCACCGCCGTTGTACTCTTAGCAAGCTGGTCCACAGCAGCCAACATCGAGGTTGGGGAGCTATTTTGATGGTTGGCAATGCGAGTCTTGATGAGTGTTAACTGCGAGGTCGCTTCTCGAGGGTTGTATGGTGTCTGGAAGATCCAAGGTTGTAGTATGCCGGCCCGCGAGTTCAAGGGTGTTAGTGTATGAAGCCTTACATCTAGCTTGGATAGCACCCTCTCTGGATCGTACGGCATAAGGCCAGCACCTGCAAAGCTACCCTGGGCATTCTTCTCCGTCATGGAGGCGAAGAAGGCCTCACAGAAGGCACAGAGGAACTCGAGCTTGCTCACGTGGCCATCGAGGATCAACAGCCGGTACTTGCCCTTTACCTGGGACGCCGTATAGTAGTCGAAGTGCTTGATCCAATCCAGGCCTATAGCATTAGTAGTCCAGCCATTATCAGTGGTTGCAATGCGCCAGTTGGCTAGGAGGTTATTATCACGATTTGAACACATGCAGTGACCGGGTGGGGCGGACAAGGGTATGTCCGCAGCCAATCATTGCACACAGGGATATACAAGAGCGCTCGCAGCTCTGATGAGCATATATAGGAGCGCCCGCTCACCTGGTGAGCGGATGAGCAGGATCACCTAGGCTCACTGGTAAGCTCTGGTAAGCGGACCAAGACTAGCTAGTATATAGTCATTCGTTCTAGAGGACTCTAGGAGTTCTCCAGTAAGCAATACAAGCAATAGCCTCTACCTATTGTGCGGATATTACGACAAGCATTGTTATAAACCTTTTAGCTTCACTGAGACCTATAGTCCGACCAGCAGTTACCTTCGACCGGCGAACCCTTTCAGAGGCAGGACTGCCTATGGTTTCGTCATACGTTGCTCACTCCCTTTAACTCTATCACGGTTCAAATCGAAGGTACCACCGACCATCATGGCGCCCCAGACACCTAGCACCCCGGAATCCCAGAGCCAGGCTGCGACTATACGCCAGATGCAGCAGGCTCTCGAGGCTCTCAACGCCAAGATCGCCTAGCTTAAGGCCGAGAATAGCCATATACAGCAGCTCGTCAACAAGGCCTACAACGGCAAGCCCAAGGACAAGGCCAAACTCGAAGTACCCCCTAAGTACGGAGGCGACAAAGAAGGACTCACTAGATTCCTTATATCTATAAGAGCCTACCTTAAGTACTACCCGGACAAGTTTACGGACGAATCTGCCAAAGTTATATTTATCTCCTCACGGCTTAAGGGGAAGGCACTTCGATAGTTTGAACCCACCCTTAAGGATTGGCTAACCAACAGTACGGACGCTTAGGATAACTTTACCATTGAAATTTTCAAATCGTACGACAAATTCGAGCAGGAAATCCAAAAGGTATTCGGAGACTATAATAAAAAGCTCTATACGTAAGAGCGACTCGTATACCTAAGGCAGATAAAATCGGCGGCTACCTATACTATATAGTTCCACTAGGATTTACTTCAGTATAAGATCAACGACGAAAGTCTTATATAGTTATTCTACAATAGCTTAAAGGAAGAAGTTAAGGATAAACTATACTAAAAGGACCGACCCGATACGCTTGACGAATATATTGCTATAGCTATCTATATCGACGATCGGATTTATACTAGGCACTAGTAATGCAAGGAATATAGAACGCAGCCTATATTCGTCAAGGCCAATAACAAAAAAAAGCGACAGTACCCTAGTATATTGTATAGTACCTATACTGGTC